GCGCTGTCCTTTAACCGTTGAACACGCGACTGGAAAGGAACACAGCCAAGAGGTTGATGAGCGGGTTGGTCAATCATCAGATTCTGGCTATGGTCATGGCCATTAGTGACTAGTGAGTGTTACACTCGAATTTAGCCACCGGAATAAGAACCAACAGGTCTTTTTCTCTCTGTTGCGGGCTCTTGACCTAGACCGCGGTGTTTAAAAAATACACCGATCCTAGAGAGACCGCCAAACAAGGTGGTTGAGACAATTTGACAGTGGACTCGTGTGGGCATCTCAAGGGCGTATCCGTAGATCGATCTAACCCTGCTCGGAGATGCATCCAATGCCAGCGTACGGATACAGAGTGTTCCATATTGACGATCATCACAGTGCAGTGCAGTGTCACTAGCAAAACGGGGAAACCATGCATGCCCCAGTGACGAGTAGCCAGAATAGGCCAAAGATGCGGGTTCTGAAGCTGTTGACTGCTACTTTACGAAGATGAAGATGGGTAATTATTAAGAACCCCGATTGTGTGTATAACTATACTGTGTCTATCACCAACGGTAGAGCACAAACACACGCACTTACAAATGAACGACTTCGCCGGCAACAAGGCTGATGCTAATGATGGATATCTTCCCGATGCGCATGCTGTGGCACAGCCAAATGTAGGAATTGCAGCGAACCGGTAGCCATGCGATTTTCCAGTTTATACTCTCTGTACTCAGGACGTACGCGCGACAGGAAGAATGCGGTGCAAGGTTGCAGAGTAGACTCCACGCTTTGTATTCTCTTGATGGATTCTACATTTCACCTTCCTTCCTAGATAGGTCGTTTCAGCGGAAGATCGTGCATGGGAGAGCAAAACTAGGGTGATTTAATGAAGGAGCCAGATGAAGGCCATTTGCCCGGTTGTCTACTCCTTACAAAAAGACAATGACGATCTATAATGCTTAGTGATTAAAGACCCTGTTCAGCAGCAGGTTTGAAACTCGTGGAATCACTGATCCTGCTTCTTTATCGGTTCTAGAGCAGTGGGAGAAAACATATCCCTGCGTTATAAGTCGGAGCCTCACTAAATACTGCCAGCATCAGAATGCCATCCGGGATGGGGTAGTACAGAGTTTCAAAAACCCATTATCTGTACTCAGATCCAACTAAAGCTATTTGAAGGTCATCATCTGTCATGATTACATATCTCGGTCATGTGCCAGTTGGTTTGGTACGTCCTTGGAGGCTCAATGACAAAAGCAATCAAATCAATTAAACATCTCGAAGGGAAAATACGTGATGGTGGGGTCGCAGGGATTGGAGTTGGTCAAGGGTTCAACGACCGAATGTTGGTTAGACAAAAAAACAAACATGCCCGTATTTCAACATCGAATCGAAGGACCCATCATCATATCATTAGAAATGAGTTGAGACTTTCATTCTCGGCTTCGGGCTCGGACGGATCTGTTTCGATGACCAGACCGCAAACAAGCACGGCATTTGTATCATGATAAAACCCTTCTAGACCTTTAAACACTAGAGGCAACTCGCTTCGCCTTCCGAGGCAAAGATATTATATCGCACGCGGTCTTACAAGCGCAAGAATCTCCCGATTTAGGGTTCGAGGGCGATATCCAAACTTGGTACTCCTCTGGCTCCCGTGCTGATTTCCCCGTCGCCGACGGTCCGGCACGAGGGAGTATCTTGCGGATATCGTGGTAGGTGAGAGTAAGAGGTGAAAAGACCATAAGGATTGAGTCGCGGGCCGATGTTGGACAGGGTGAGATGGACACGAGTTTTCTGTTTCGTGAGGAATTCGTCTTACTTGGAGGTCACATCATGAGGTTTTTTGAGTTGGAAGCTGGAGTTCATTTTATGCTGTTAGATGTGAATGTATCCGCTATGTATGTTACGTCTCCGGTTGTGAGCTTGAGTAGGGAAATAGAGATGAGTTATGATATGCAAGCATGTGCCAGAGAGGCCATCATGGGTCTTGGTTCAACAGCTCCACAAGCATCCATCCCCACTAGACGCATACTTCGTTTACGAGTACGGAAGATGCAAGGTAGAATTAGTAGGCGTGTTGTAACTTTAGATCAATTGGATTCCGATTTGACATGAACTTGTTGAGAGAGTAACATAATGTGATCTGGAGATGTTAGAAAAAGATTGATAAAGTGGTAGCTTCATAAAGCACAAACCAAAGGTCAAGCAGACCAAGCTCAACATCCAAAAGCCACAATCAATTAGAGGCGCATCTAACCCAATTCCTCTTCCTAGTTTCTACGTCAATCACATTCTCTCTCCTCATTCAGCGTTTTAGTCTGACACTCGACACTCGTTTTGACCTTTGCGCGCCATCCCGCATATCCCATCCCACACTATGCCCCAAGTGAACCCCCGTGGCATATCTCTTGCGTCCGATCACATCGCCAGGGTCCCTGTGTTATGTTATTCCCATCGTGTTTTGGTGATGGTTTGTTTTAGTTTTGGTTCAAGGTGACGGTCACGGACTTCATATTTAGAGTTTCAGTTATGTCCGAGGCCCTCGTCTTTTTGGTTGTTGCTCACGGTGAGAATACCGCGGCTTTAATACCGTTCCTCCCTAAGTACTGTAGTAATACCTGGCATGGAGTGTCAAACAAATGACACCTCATGATTACTTGCATCTTCCTTGTTCCAAGGCACTACGCTGGAAATAAACCATGAGGTGCGTACTGTGCCGCCGCGGGGGCATTTCCTACCGCCCTGCCGCCGTCTAATCTGTCGCATCAGGTATTGTCTCACCCCATCTTCATGTTCGACAGCTTTCATGCTATTCTCTTTCTTTTCCCGTCCTCCGTTGCTGGTGCCAAGGGTGTCGGTATGGGCGAGTGGCATGGCATGTAACACGCAGTTGAATGCGATATGCGATATGCAATATGCAGTGTGCCAGTCAGTTCCCTTTCTCTCTGGCGAACTGTTGTTGTCTGTCGACCTTAGCTACCTATGCTGTGCTGTACACGCCCTCTGGCGCCGTAAGATTCGACGGAAACGCCCCCCCTAGACGAAGTGGAATTGATCGAGGAACACCCTGTCTCTCTCTCTGTGAGTGCGAGAGGAGCGGAAGAGAGGAGAGGGCAAACAGCCCGAGCGAGCTCTCCTCTCTTGTACGTACAGTAGAGTCTCTGTACTGGTTTAACGATTGATTGATTGAATTGATTAACCATGACCATGACCTTGAACCATGTCATGCGAATATGCATTGCAATAAAATCTCTCGCCATCCCCCCCATCCCGCCTTTTCGCTCGCATAAGACCCATGATTAACACTGACATGCCCATCACCCATCACCCATGCTCGTTTGACTCCCCTCCCTCCTCTTTTGCTGATCTATCCTGTCCGAACCACATCTTGTTCCTTTTCCCGTTCATTTGGGGTTACGTACAGTACAGCACAACACAGGCTTAGGTTATCGGTATTCTCCCTATTAGTTACCGATCTATTCTTTTGTTGATTTGTTCTCTTCTTTCCATTCCCCTTCCTCTCTTCACATTCACCTTTATCTTCAACCTTAACCCCCTCCCCCTCCCCTCCTCTCTCCAACCCCGTCTATCAGTCGGTTTCTTATTGAATCACGGCTTCCTCGGCTTCAACTGGCAATTCCCCATATAACGCCTTTGCCGGTTTAGGGCTTAAGTCGTTCCAACTCCCGCGACCTAACCAGCAAGCTCTCAGACTACGGTGCCTACTTTGCCCCAGCCAAGCCAAGCTTCCAAGCCTCCAAGCCGTCCTCAAGCCTCCGAGCCTCCCAAGGGCCAAAACTACAGCGCCTGTCGAGAGGTCCACCCCGTCGTTAGTGGTAACTGTGGCGTGCCAAGGCAGCTTAGCCAATTGCACACAGCGGAGCACAGCTTGGAAGACCACTGGAAGATCGGACAAAGACCCTAGACAGGGCTGCCGCTGTGGGATCGGGTCCATTCTTCCTTAGAGTCTAGAGGTGACATTTTCAACGCTTCCAGTCCCGTCTTCCGCGCTCTCTAGCTCCCCTTACTCCCCGCCCGCACTACCCGGGACGGTCTTTTATTCCCAGGACAGCCTGAGCCTCCGACCTTCCGATTCCCCTGCAATTCGCGACGAGACAAGAGGAGACGCAAGGGATTGATTGATCAAGCAACAAGTTTTTTTTTTCTCCATATTCGTCTTGTTTCTCTTCTCTATACTTTTACTTGCTTTGATCCAGACTTTTCAGAGTTCCAAGGCATTCGAGAGATATTTGCCGCTTCTCCTTCTTCTGCTTGACGGACCAACATCACCTGTTGGCTTTCTTCTTCATCACCAACAATCATCAGCCATCAACCATCATAGCCAGGTGCTACTATTCTTAGTGGACCCATCAAGAATTGGACCCAAGCCAAGTTCAGCCCAGCTTGAATCATCATCCATCATTTCGTCTCGACCAACCCAACCAACCTTGGCTCTTTAATCTTAAGCTACAGCATCCGTCCTTCGACCTTTGGCCTTTTAGCTTCAAGCTTCCCAAACTCTGTCTTGCGCACTACTTACGAGCACTTGCATCAACGCACATACGTTTTTCGTATTCAGAGAAAACCCTTGCATCATCTAACGACGCCTACGACGATTACGACCATCACGAGTTAAAAGAAGACTGCTACACGAGTCTCATCCAGGAACCAATCTTCCCACCTGTTTCTTCATTGGAAAGCTTCAATTTTGTGTTGATCATTTCTTGTTACTCCGTACTTCGATTCCAATTGATATCCCACGGATTGGGCTTTCGATCCAGCCGAGACACAAAGCGCCGCCGATCACCCATCGATTATTTGCCACAAAGCACAGACGCAATTATTACTGTTCCTCAAAGCTACCTCATTCGCCGTAATACTGCAAACACGCAGCTCGACTTGACCTCAATCCATCATCAATCTTTCTGTCCGACGTTTCGGGAGTCGGGTGAACATCACCTGGCCCCTATACCGCAGCCAAGACGGCTCCACCACGAGAAATAGACTCCCGCGACATGGCGATGGATGCGCTCAAGAATCTTGTCAATAACGTCCCAGACTGGTTACAACGACTTGACGACCTCAGCGGCCAGATCGACCGACGCCAGGCCGAGCTGGCCGCTGTTGCTGCCGCGGAGGGCAAGAGCCCAGAGACAAAATCCCTTCGCAACAAGGGCTCAACCGAGTCGCTGAAGCCCAAAGATGATCCCCCGGTAGTTTACGCAGATCAGGCCGACGAGGATATCCTCCAAGACAGCACCGCCGAAAACGCTGCAAAGACACCCGAAACACCAAAGGTATACATACCGAGCCCCGGCTCCATTCGCAAACAGCAAGAAGTTATCAAGATAGCGCAAGCTAGGGCACGGGCTCAAGTCAGGAAGAAGCCCAAGTCCCCGTCTATGATGTCCAACGAAGACGCACCCGCCGCCTACCGAACACGGACCATGATTATTGTCTACTACGACAGCTATGTCCAGGGTTTCTTTGACGAGCTTGTCAGGTTCGTTTCGTCAAGTCGGAACCTCATGCGCAAGGCCAAAATGGCTGCACGGGTTGCTCAAATCAAGAAGCTGGCTGAGCAGGACGTATCAGAGGATGGTAACGATGACGATGCACTCCCTTCACTGCGATACATGAGCAGCAGGAGATTTGGACCCATGTCAATATCAAGGTCCGGTGCTGGCGACCAACCGCCAGACGTATATGATAACTTAGATAAGGGCCTTGAGTTTGTGCAAAGCATGTGCGAGCACGGTGCCCACCAGTTCCTTCGTGACGGAGACTGCAACGATGAGATCAGCAAGGTGCAGAAGAGGCTCGGTGAGGTCCTCGAGATGGCCAAGACGGAGATGGAGCGCGTTCAACGCGAAGAGCCTGAGTTGGCTAAAGAAACCGGGGAGATGGGCAAGGTCCGAACGCGACGGCCCATCAGCATGCGACGCGACATGTCCGTCGGTCTTAAGGACGGTAGCCCACCAGCACCAAAAGAGCTGGAACCCGCCAAGTTAGAAGCTGCCGAGCCTACCATCCCTGTTGACCCTATGGCACCTATGGCTGTGGATCCGAATATCATGGAAGCCGACGAGGGCATCGACGTCGAGATGGAGCTACCTAAACTACAATATCGATCGACCCGGGCTATGCGGAGCCGCGGACCATAGAGTGGACGCGAGCTGTGTGTCTGGGCTATCATTCTTGAAACGCCATAACGAAAAAGAAAATACTTTGTTTGCCTTGCTTTCAGCATCATGCCGCTATTTATCCATATCATCATTGGCGCAACGGACTAGGGAAGAAGAAGGCTTCAGGAGGAAAAACTCAAGCTGCAACTGTTTTGGTTGATTTCCATGTTGGGAAAACAAAAAGCCATCTCACATCTGTCATTTTTATATATATCACTATCATGAAGCGTGAGCATTGCATCCATGAGGAATGGCTTTGTCTCTTTTTACATTTGGATTTGCTCGTGGGGGCATTGTCTTTTCTTGACGAAACAAAACACACAGAAAGACCATTCATAGCGTCGGGGTTGTTGCATGCATGCTCTATCGGTATACCGTGGGTTCCCAAAGATGGTCCTTGTTGATAACTATTTCTTTTCCATAGTTTGGCTCTCTTGCTTTTATATAGTTCTTTTTATCTTAGGTTCACGGTTACGAACAATGGGAATGTTTGAAAATAGTCTATGAGCGTTGATCTCGGGTTTGATCTCAAGTATTGTTTTGTGTTTAATGTCCATGGATGTATGCCGTCCGCCATGTCGTTCCACGATGATGTTATGTCACTGGGACCTTCATATTAAGTATGCAGGTTGAATAAAAAAAGAACATCCTGAATAAAGTTGAACATAATGTAATCAATGCCCCTTTGCAAAGGATAATGAACGCCATTGAACAATGTTGCGATCAAGCAACAGAGTTGAGTCAAAGCACTTAGACGTGGTTGGCTTAGTGAGCCAGGTTATTCCGACCGCGTGCTCTGCTCAGGCACCACCTCCGTATGACGTCCCTCGTAGCTCAAGCTTCACTCCCACATCAAACACGGTTTATCGTTTCTCCATAAGCACCAACATCGCGTAGAACAATCGTGACATTACTCTCAATAGTTCCCCCGGACATCGCATCTCCAGCCAACTTTACTTATCCAAAATGACGACGGCTTCGTGCGTCGCCGACCGATAGCTTCCACCATTTCGCTGCCGATAGGCCCCCCGCCAAATCATGGGTCAAGGCTTCTCCCTCGCGACGCCCTCTGTTGGCTCCGCGGGCATCGATATCTCGGAACTGAGTGATGTGCATTATGAAAAGAGCATCGGGAATGCGAGGTTTATGAAAACTATTCGTGGCCGTCATGAGAATGGGCTGGTCCTCGTCAAGGTCCTCGTCAAGCCGTACGCCGACGTTAAGTTAGAGAAGTACAAGAAACAGATAATTGGTAGGCTGCAAATGTACTTCGCATTACTAAACAATGTTCTGACGTTTCATAGAGCAGCATAAAGCGATCGCAGACGTCCCTAATGCCCTCGGGTTCCAGCGCATAATCGAGACCGAAAACAACGGTTACCTGGTCCGCCAGTTCCTTTACAGCTCACTCTATGACCGCCTCAGCACTCGACCGTTCTTGGAAGACATCGAAAAGAAATGGCTAGCTTTCCAGCTTCTCTGCGCCCTGCGCGATTCTCACGCACGCGATATATATCATGGCGATATCAAGGCGCAAAATGTCCTCGTGACCTCCTGGAACTGGCTCTATCTCTCCGACTTCTCGTCCGCTTATAAGCCCGTTATGCTTCCCGACGACAATCCGGCCGACTTCTCCTACTTCTTCGACACATCGGGTCGGCGCACATGCTATATCGCACCTGAACGCTTCTATGCATCTGGAGAGGCGCCACCACAAAAGGCGAAGATGACATGGGCCATGGACATCTTTAGTGCGGGCTGCGTGATTGCGCAAATGTTCCTTGAATCGGAGATGTTCAGCCTTGCGCAGCTGTATAAGTACCGGCGCGGGGAGTACGATCCTGTTATTACACATTTAAGTGTCATTGCGGATAAGGATGTCGCCGACATGATAGCACATATGATACAAATCGACCCAGAGAAACGATACTCGGCAGAACAGTACTTGGATTTCTGGAAAGGCAAGGTGTTTCCGCCATACTTTTATAATTTCCTGCATCAATACATGGGACTTATAACCGATCCTTCATCCGGCAATAGTCCCATGTCCGGCGCCACGAAGAATCTGGGAGAAGCAGATGATCGAATCGACAGGGTGTTTTACGACTTCGACAAGATATCCTACTTCCTTGGCTATCAGCTTGAGAAGCGGACCTCCGGGGAGTTGCTACCTTCTTCCAGACTGAGCCTTTCACATTTTCCTGTGAGGCTTAATATACCAAACCACAACCATACAGTATCATCTGACCTAGAGCCACCTGAGGACGACGGAACGTTGATATTCCTGACATTAGTCGTGCCGCAATTGAGAAATACTGCGCGCGCATCTTCACGGATCCGTGCATGTGACGTACTGCTTGCCTTCTCCGAGCGGCTAACCGACGAAGCCAAATTGGACAGAGTACTGCCATATCTAATGACCCTTCTTGTCGCAGACGAGACAGACCTAGTGTTGATTGCTGCTATTCGAACCATTACCCAACTTCTGCATCTTGTGCAGATGGTGACACCCATCAACTCTCATGTTCTGGTAGAATACGTGTTGCCTCGCATGGAAATAGCGCTGGGGGCTCGATCGAGACTACCTAGTCCTTTAGTTCGAGCAGCCTATGCTTCTTGCCTGGGAAGTCTCGCGACTACTGCACAGCGATTCCTCAACATGGCATCGAGTCTTCGAGCTGATGGCTCAATACCCATCGCTGATCCGGAGGTTGAGCCTGGAGCCGATGCTAAGGCCAACTTTGAAAGTGTCTTCGATAACGCTGGCCGGCAGCTTTTTGAGGTTCTTGAGAGTCACACAAAGCTATTGGTCGAAGATCCGGACATTTCGGTTCGTCGAGCATTCCTGGCCTCTGTGCCTGAGTTGTGCTTGTTCTTTGACGACCATTCCAACGACGTCCTCCTTACTCATCTTAATACCTACTTAAACGACCGTGACTGGACACTCAAATGTGCCTTCTTCGATACGATTGTGGGCATCGCAACTTTCATTGGAAGCACGAGCTTGGAAGAGTTTATGCTACCCCTGATGATTCAAGCCTTGACCGACCCGGAGGAGTATGTAGTGCAAGCAGCTCTCCACTCACTTGCTCAGCTTGCTGGACTCGGTTTGCTATCAAGACCCAAAGTTTGGGAGCTGGTCGACCTTATTAGCCGATTCACGATGCATCCCAACATTTGGATCCGAGAATCAGCGGCAGAATTCTTGTCAATGTCAACACGGTTCCTGACACCTGCTGATGTTCGATGTAACTTGATGCCTCTCGTCAAGCCATTCCTGAAAGTGGAGGTTCTGTCAGACTTTTCCGAGCTTAACATCCTAGATGCGCTTAAGAGGCCATTGGCTCGGAATGTTTTTGATCAGGCCATCACATGGGCTTTGAAGACAGAGCGCGGGGTCTACTGGAAGCCGCTGCAGCAACTCAAACCATTATTGTTTGGGTCCAAAGGGTCATCAAATCGGACGTCCCGAGATTTAACGCAAAGCTCCATGGGACGAGTAGCTCGAAATGATGAGGATGAGCAGTGGCTGGCAAAGCTTAGGAATCTTGGACTCAAGCATGAGGATGAGTTAAAATTGGATGCTCTACGAGAATTCATTTGGCGTCTAAGTAAGATGAAGGCGCGGGATGCTTCGACTGCAGACAGTACCGCATCTAATGGAGTGGTATCACTTAAGACCCTAGGTGTCGCTCCTCAGACTGTGTTCTTCAACGACGCGCCTCTTCGCGACCCTAAGGCTGTGGTTGACCTTGAGCCACCGGCGGAGCCTTACACCATTGCAGATGCCCTTTTGGACGCCTCAATGACTATTGACGACGCGGCCGGTGGGAAAAAGAGGATCAACACTAACCGCAGGGTACAAAGTGTTGGACCTCGCTCTTCACGCCGCCTTCTATCACCAACTAGCGCCGGTCGGACACATTCTAGGGCAGCATCATCTGGATACACTGGGCAGATGGGTGATGATGGGGCTTCTCAAGGGGAGCCATCTTCCTCCAGAAGCGCAGTCCGTCACCAGGCGAGCGCGTTGAGCCTACTTGACCGCAAGGACAAGAATAAGTCTATCGCACAAACTGGCACTACCGACACTAATGCCTTCGGTGAAGTTGAAGGGCCTTTCGCTCAAAGCCCAGCAGACCAACTGCCATCTTCTAGAGGCAATGAAGGGGACACCACACGTCCCCGTGTATCGAAGCATAGCTATGAGGGAGGCGATCCGAATATTCAGAAGATGTTAGATAACATGTACGTGGATAACTTTCCTCGCGATGTTATCGAGTTTGGACCTATTGTCACGCCCATCAAGAGGAGCAAAGCAAGCCGCGCCAGTTTCCAACCTGGAGAGGAGCCTTGGAAACCCGATGGTCAGCTTGTCGCAACGTTCGCCGAGCACAAGAACCCTATTAACAGGGTACTACCATCCCCTGATCATGTTTTCTTCATCACAGGCGGGGACGATGGCACTGTGAGAGTGTGGGATACAGCCCGGCTCGAGCGAAACATCACTCACCGTTCACGTCAAGTTCATAAACACGGCGACAACACACGAGTCGTTGCGCTCTGTTTTGTGGAAAACTCGCATTGCTTTGTGAGCTGCGCGTCCGATGGCAGTGTACATGTGGTGAAGGTGGACACTGTTTCTGCTAGCGGTGTGATCAGATATGGTAAATTGCGTGTTCTACGCGAATACCAACTTCCAGATGGCGAGTTTGCTGTATGGTGTGAACATTTCAGACAAGAGTCAAACTCAGTCTTGATTATTGCTACAAATCGGTCAAGGATTCTTGGTATTGATTTGAGAACCATGAATCTCTTATATGTCCTGGAAAACCCAGTGCATCATGGAACACCCACTTGCTTTTGCGTGGATCGAAAACGCAACTGGCTTTGCGTGGGAACGTCGCATGGAGTAGTGGACCTCTGGGATCTCCGTTTCAAGATGAGGCTCAAGGGATGGGGTCTACCGGGCAAGGGATCAATCTATAGGCTCTGTATACATCCTACGAAAGGCCGTGGCAAGTGGATTTGCATTTCTGGAGGAACCGGCCAAGGAGAAGTCACTGTCTGGGACCTGGAGAAGACGTTATGCCGAGAGATCTACAGAGCTGGGGGTGGTAAGGATGGCCTGAAGGGGTACGAAGCATGGGATGTCGATGAAGACAGACGGGATGGTATGCTTGGACGATATGCTACCAATATTGAGCCTAGCGACACCGCGAACGGTGACCGAGGGGTTCGTGCCATGGTTGTTGGAACCGCTACTGCGGAAGATTCGAGGGATGTGAGACACGCATTCATTGTCACTGGCGGTTCAGACAAGAGGCTGCGGTTTTGGGATCTTTCACGGATGGAGAGCTCGTTCATCTACAGTGGCCTCTCTCCGGAATCGCCCAAGCCGACTTACACAACCTCACATCCCACAACGGCGCTGACGCTGAACACTGAACGGTTCCCCAGGCAGGCACCGACAGCTCCTAATGCGGGCGCCGGGTCCAAGGCGAAGTCTTCTAGTGCGCGACCGCCACGATCAACTGTTATTTCTCTCCAACAGCAGCAGTTGCTGCAGTCCCATATGGATTCTATTTTAGACGTGGCGTTGTTGGAGTACCCATACACTATGAGCGTTTCGGTGGATAGGATGGGTGTTGTGTTTGTGTTTCAGTAGAGCAGGGACATAACTGGGACTGTTCCGCAGGAGTTTATTGATAGACCACGAGCAATCACTTTCTAGTTAGCTAGCATGTACTGGATAGAGTATTGACAAAGACTTTATAGGATGCTTGGCCAGATTGTGAGTAGATTTGCTAGGCAGTAAAGACTCGTATTCCCTACATGGCTCAAGACCAGTATAAATAAACAGATCACATTCTATTTATCAAGACTCCTCAATAATTAGTATTCAAAGTATGTTCAGTCATTAAGAAGGATCACTGAGATATCTATCGTGGCTGAACTCCGGGCGCCACTTGAAGCTCAAGCCACAGTCGACACCAAAATTTCCCCCTCCGCCTTGTCAAGGTCACCCATCAGCCTCGCCATAAATCAACACCACCGACATTAAGCACCACCACTCCAATCGACGTCACGACCACGAGCCCGCGAAGCAGCAAGAACCAGAATAAACTAAAATCGTATTTAAACCCGAGGTAACGGCCCCAGATCCAAGATGCGGCTCACCGCCGACCTCATCCGGGATTCCCTATCCTACCTCAACCCTCTCAAGGAACGAGAGCTTGATCTCCGAGGTGCGTTGTGAAAAGAGCAGATGCTACACTTTTTGATCTTTAGAGAGCGCAGAGTTGATACAATCGTCTTTGCGGCGTGAACAGGACACCGAATTCCCGCGATTGAGAACTTGGGTGTTGCTGGCGTAAGTTTTTGAACCTTTTACTCTCCGTTTGTTTGCGTGGATGCTAATAGCTTGCTGCATGTAGCCTCACGATGCCATCGACTTCACCGATAATGACATTCAAGCACTGGGCAACTTTCCCCTATCGCCGCGTATAACGACCCTCCTCCTCGCGCGCAACCGCGTCTCGACCATCCAGCCCTCTCTGGTCAAGGCCATCCCGAACCTGACCAACCTGGTGCTCTCGTCGAACAACCTTGCAGAGCTCGCGGACGTGGATGCGCTAGGATCTTTCCCTCGATTGACACATTTAGTGCTGTCGGACAACCCTGTGTCCAAGAAGGAGGTGAGTGCTGGAATATGATTATGGGCGGTAGCTCTTGCTAACGAGCTGCAGAACTACCGATACTGGGTGCTATGGAAGTGTCCCTCCGTGCGATTCCTAGACTTCGTCAAGGTGAAGGACTCTGAGCGGGAGAAGGCTCGCGAGCTTTTCGGAACTGAAGAAGAGCCCACGCCTCTGGCTTCAAAGGTACGGACAGCTTTGCTACTCTTGTCACACCGGTGCTAACAAATACACAGATCCAGGGTATCAAGACCACAACTTTCAACGCCTCCGCCGACGGCTCGGATGCTCCATCCAAGCTTTCACGAATAAAGCTCACCGATGTCGAGAAGAAGCGATTACAGGAGCGCATCAAGAAGGCCACCAGTCTGCAGGAGATTATTGCGCTGGAGAAGGAGCTGAACGAGGGACGATTGCCCTCTGGTATCCACGGAGACGCTATGGAGGAATGATACCTCATATGTATGGAGTAGTGGCCGGACAGGACTTTGATCTGGGGGTTACAGAAAAAATGTTATGATTGTTCGTCTTTTGGGATATGATTATCGTTAGTAGCGATTGTTCCAACGTTGATGTCAGAGACCGTATTATGCTACTATTTTGCTTTTGTGATACACGCGCTGAGCTGATCTGCTCTCCCTCATAGCATTACTGTCCACTAGCCAGTCATGGCCACATCTCCGTCCCGATTCGCACCATCCGCCTGTCTTGACTCCATCTCCAGCTGCGAGTTCGGGTCATCCTGCACGTCATTAAGATGAGCAGAGGCACCCATCGAGTTGCCGTTAACAATAGACTTGTTGGCACCGTTTGCCATAGCAGACTCGATGGTCTGGTTATTGTTGTTATCACCCCGGAGACGAGCCTGTGTCGCCTTGGCGGAAGCTTTGATGTTCTTGTAAGGAATTGTCTTTGGCACAACGTCCTCGAGAAACTCGAGGTTGTCATGGTGTGAGATGGCGCTCGCTGAGGATGTTAGTTAGAGCTGGGAAGTCTGAAGAAGAGGTTTACTCACCAACGTCCTTGTACTGGATGTTTCGACGGGGTTTACGGTCTAGCTTGGCACAGGTATGTGACTCTTCTGCGAGGTGCTGGACAAACATCTCCTGTATAGTGTGAGCTTAATGCCAGCAGTATAGGTAAAGGGGCATAAACATACGGCGGCGAGGGTTATAACGAAAGCTGCATTGTTAGAGCATAGACCAATCTCCGGGTCTTGTGCGATGATCTTCTTAACTCTTGAAACTGGGGGATATGTTAAATGGTGGCTCTTGGGAGCTGGTGGATCCAACTTACGGGGAAGCTGGTTCTGGCCTGTGGGCTCCTTTCGAGGAGGAATCGCTGTGGTGTTGTATGGCATTGTGGGTGAAGTGTAAGGCTATTCGAGTGTGGGATAAGAAAGAGTCTGGGAGAGTTGAAGTTAGTTGGGAGAATTGGTCAATGTGAGATGGTGGAGGTAAGTTAAAGGGTACAGGGGTGATTGATATAGTGAGAGACTCTTCAATCAGAGGCAGTAGTTCAACAGCTCTGGGCGATTAAAAACCCGCCTGAGGTTAGATAAACCCAGTGAACTTAGTGAGAAAAGAGTTACATGAGAGACAATTATATCAGAGCTTTAAACGGGAAATATGAGGCCTACCTTGGATGTGAAGCCAATAATTAAAGTTCCTATTAGGGGTTGGTCTGGGCAAGCTTGAGAGTGTGAAAGATATATGAGAAGTTCAACAATTAAAGTAAGGGTAACGAAAAGCAAACTGCTCCTTTTCTTATTCCAAAGATGCTGAGAATTCAAGTTGTATATGAGAATGAGAATTGTCACCGGGATGAGGTCAAGAGATACGCGAAGAAAGTAGACCCAGGACGCGATGCTGCAACCACTAAACGCGATACTGTGGCTTGAAACCACAGCCACTTCCATATCGAAGTCAGCCTCCTTGTTGGCCATGACACTTACCATAGAACAGAACAACGAATGCTAACGAGACATTAACACAAGAAACGACGCCCGTCTTCGAATTGATAGCATATTTAACTCCTTCGCCCATTCTGTCCCCGACGTGTGCGATCTCGTAAAATAGTGGTCGAGCGACAATGGTTGCCTCGTCCGAACCATGAACGTGCGACAATCATCCTTCAGCCTGGCACCTCCCGGGCTAGAAAGGCGACCCTCAGTGGTATCACGGCTATCGTCAGTCTTTTCCACTGCGGATCAAGAACAGGGAAATGCGGCATCTACAGGGGCTGCCTTGATAGAGGAGGAGATAGCCGAGATTAAGAGATATGAGGTAAGTTGGCTGTGCGCTGTGTATGCGATACAAGACTAACCCTTGAACTAGGACTTTACAACAATAGGTATGCGACTCGAACGATGACGATTGACAAACCCGATACTGATACTTGGTAGACTGGGTCCAAGATGCGGCGCGAGAGCAGGCTAAGCGTAAGGCGCGGCGGAAGCAAGCAGCTGGTCTTTACGACAAAGGACAACCTGGCTGGCGATATCAGCTATGGAAGAGTTATGATGCAGCGCAGGCTTGGATTGTGGTGACGATTATCGGTGTTGTAATCGGGCTGAACGCGGCGCTTCTCAACATCATTACAGAATGGCTCTCCGATGTCAAGATGGGCTACTGCGAGACTGGCTTCTACTTGAATGAGAACTTTTGTTGTTGGGGAGAAGAGAATGGTACAGTAGTGTTCTTGATATGTCGTTTGATCAATACTGACATGGGACAGGCTGTGATCAATGGCATAGATGGACTGGTTTTGAACCCTTTAATTATTTCATCTATTTGGTCTTTGCGGTAAGTCCATTTCCCTCCTCGAATGGATGATTGACTGACAACATAGACTCTATTTGCTTGTGTCGCGGGCACCTTGGTCAAGTCATTTGCACCATACGCTGCCGGCTCAGGTATTTCCGAGATCAAGTGCATTATTGCCGGATTCGTCATGAAAGGCTTCCTTGGCTGGTGGACTCTAATCATCAAGTCCGTCTGTCTTCCTCTAGCCATCGCATCGGGCCTGTCGGTCGGCAAAGAAGGCCCCAGTGTGCACTACGCCGTGTGCACGGGAAATGTCATCTCTCGACTCTTCGACAAGTACAAGCGCAACGCTTCAAAGACGAGGGAGTTTCTGAGCGCTTCGGCTGCTGCAGGTGTCGCAGTCGCTTTTGGCAGTCCTATTGGCGGTGTGCTCTTCTCTCTCGAGGAGATGTCGAATCAGTTTCCTCTCAAGACGTTGTGGCGGAGTTACTTCTGCGCTCTGGTGGCGACGGCTGTTCTCGCTGCCATGAACCCTTTCCGAACGGGCCAGCTGGTCATGTTCCAAGTTGAGTATAAGAATGACTGGCACTTCTTTGAGCTGCTGTTCTATGTCTTGATTGGCATCTTTGGAGGCCTATACGGAGCCTTTGTGATCAAGTGGAACTTGAGAGTCCAGGCATTCCGCAAGAAGTACCTGAAGGAGTATGCTGTTCTCGAGGCGACTCTGCTGGCAGCTGGCACTGCTATTATTGCCTACCCTAACGCCTTTTTGAGGATCGACATGACAGAGAGCATGGAGATTCTCTTCTCAGAGTGTGGTCACGGAAACTCGTACCATAGTCTCTGTGATCCTAACAAACGATGGTGGAACATCACATCTCTCTTCTTAGCAACTTTCCTACGCCTCTTCCTCGTTATCTTATCCTACGGATGCAAGGTTCCCGCTGGTATCTTCGTTCCTTCAATGGCTGTCGGGGCATCCTTTGGCAGAACCGTAGGTATTCTCGTTCAGGCTATTCACGAGGCCAACCCCACCAGCGTCTTCTTCTCGGCGTGCAAGCCGGATGAGCCTTGTATCACGCCTGGCACATATGCCTTACTTGGAGCTGCCGCTGCGCTGAGTGGTATCATGCACATTACCATATCCGTGGTTGTCATCATGTTTGAACTGACAGGTGCTCTGAACTACATCCTCCCTACTATGATCGTTGTCGGCGTCACCAAAGCTGTCAGCGAGCTGTTTGGGAAGGGCGGTATTGCTGACAGGATGATATGGTTCAGCGGGATGCCGTTCCTCGACAGTAAAGAAGAGCACAACTTTGGTGTGCCTGTGTCAGCCGTTATGAGGACTTCAGTTGTCTCGATGCCCGTCCATGGACTCACTCTTGGTGAGGTTCAGAGTCTTCTTGCCGACGACCGATATCAAGGCTTTCCTGTGGTGGAAGACAAGCACACCAAAGTCCTCGTTGGCTACATCGGCAGTACCGAGTTACGATATGCCATTGACAAAATGAGTCGAACATCACCTTTATCAGGTGGTGCAAAGTGCACATTTGCATCATCGCCATCGAATCTATCGAACACCTCGCTTCATGGTGGAAATGGTGACTCAACCCATTCAACAATGCTCGACTTTAGCCGATACGTTGACTCAACGCCCGTCACAGCACATCCAAGACTACCCCTGGAGACTGTCATGGAGTTGTTCCAAAAGATCGGGCCTCGGGTGATTCTAATCGAATACCACGGCAAACTCACCGGTCTTGTGACTGTCAAGGACTGCTTAAGATATCAATTCAAGGTCGAAGCCGCTGAGAATCCGAAGGATAACCATCGCATCGAAGAGGGACAGGAGCAGTTATGGAACCTTCTCCAACGAGCCGGCAATTGGTTCTCCTGCAGGGTGTCAAGATACTCTGGTGGTAGAATCCGCTTGAGTAGTAACTCTGGTGGTGAACGGCCTCTGGGTAGAGGGCAGATATTGGATGGCGATGAGGATGTAGCTGACGAGGGCGTTGAGCTAGAGAGCCGACGGTAAATGTATGAACATGTTGGTTATCAGAGCTTGTGATATTTGCTATATAGAGAAATGCGCACGGTACGCTGGCGTTTGGGACTTGAATCTATCATTACCTACTTTTGATCTATATATGTATCATGATCTATCGGACTAGTCTATCGTGTCTTCGAGTCAGGATAGTCCAATCTCGACTGTAATATCTAGCCATTCCTCTCAACCTATCGTGATCTCTCATCAGACACCCTTCCCAGGTCGATAACATCCTCATCATCCCTCCTCAGCATTCCCTCCTCTTCAGTTGGCACAGGTACATAAGCCGGCCCGTCAGCCGCCGCAGCAGCACCAGCATCCTTGGTCTCATCCTTTCGGCCCACGATAACGTTACCCGCGACGAGAAGCGCGGCACCTGCCCACCACAGCGGGGGCAGAACCTCTGAGAAGATCAAGGCACCCAGCATTGCTGTGATCATGAAGTTGGTTGAAGTATTCATGATGGATACTTGAGTGGTGGATGTACCACGGGCAAGAGCCTGTGTAAAAAGTGTCCACATCTAAGATAGTGTAAGTAAGGGCTGGTGCAACGGAGGGAGGGTGGGAGTAGCTTACAACGCCGTTGAAAGTGAGGTTGAGAACAAAGAAGAGCTAAAATATGTGAGTTGATGCCAATAAAGAAGTGGCAGTAAACTTACACCTCGGACTACATACTCGACGACATGCTCATGAGAGGATAAGCCGAGTAAGCCTGCAATGCTGTTGGATAGATCGGTTGTGAGATGTGTAGTTGTCCTAAAGTGTCAGTTAGCATGGGTTGCCAAGCATATACCATTGGTCTAGTTGAAGCCAAGAGTTTGAGGGTGTCTGATGTCCTTATCTCAAAGAGAATGATCTCGATAGGTTTTACAGAATGGAAATAGTAAGTAGCCCTGACTTACAACTTGGCAAAAACTCCATTGAAAGCTGCACAAGCACCACTAGCAACCGCAAAGAACATCCACTGCGACCGCAGACTCCAATTGCTAAGCGAGGGCATCTTTGAAGACGATTGGTTCTTGGCAGGAGAAGTTTCAGTTCCTGAAGAAGCTGCTGCTGCTGTTTGTCGTTTGCGGATCATGGTTGTCGGAGGCTTCGGAGTCTTTAAGGTTGGTGAGAATGGAAAAGGTCCCCTAATGATGATGATGGATTGACTTGGCGGACTTGTTAGAGGCTGAGGAATGGTCTTTTTAGTGGGGGACTGCCTGTCTTTAGGTGCCTACCTTAGTACCTAGGCAGCTGGAGCTACAACCCCTGGCTCAAGGGGCGCTTTTAGGAATCAGCCTCTTTGTCAAAATCTGGGGAAAGTGAATGAAAGAATATGCGTCATGTTGCTTTGCTATCGTGCACTTGAGTATATAAGTAAATCCAGTTCGTGCTATCATTCTGAGCTACACTCATGTCGATGGTGTGTAAAAATAAGTCCAGTTTCCCATTGACCGAACTCAGTCCTTTGCTCTATGCCCATCACAAGCAATATCGGGTTCGTCGTTGTAGTAAAAAGCCATGTTCCAAACGCCGCCCAATGCCAATAAATAAATCTCTCGGTAGTAACCCAATCTGTGACCGTTGTCTGTATTCTTCGTAACCCATGTTGCGCTTCAACGCAACCCTTGCTTATTGTCCCTCGCCAGGCTTCTTTGCATTGCAACTGACAATCTTGACCTTGTTCGCCGTGACCGATTGACTTCCACTATCCATCTTGAAGGTCACGTTCTTGATCAAGAAAGTCCAAACTTCGTCGCAGAATCTGTATGTATCGAGGCTTCCCTGTGTAGGCGAGAGTGGTTAGTCTTGGAGATTACTGGTGCTAGGAATCGGGGTCGCTCACCTTGAATTGAAGACGAGCCTTAACATTCTTCTGCAGCGCCTCGGTGATGGCTTGATCAAAGTTGCCCAGAATCTTCATAGCAAGCTGGGGGTTGATACGCTCATCACTGATGAGATCATCGAGGGTATCCGTCAAAGCGAGACCGATACTGTAGTGAACCATGTCAGTCTAGCTGTCGCAAAGCAGCGCATAGCAATGAGGCGCAGTACCTGCTTCGGCGGTACAGCTCGTAAAATGATTGCGCTCCGGTGGCCATGATTTCGGTTTATTCGTCGTGCGCGAGGAAGATCTGGTCGTAAAATCGTTAATTGCTTTCGGCGGTTGCTCGTTTGTCAAAGGCTAGGTTCATGAGGACCGTCTGCCTTGAGAGGGGATGCGCACAAATTGAATGACTAAGCGCTTCGCGCCGCACGCCGCCACAATTCAGCCTCGCATCATGTGACGTCTGTCCCAATTATTCGTTGCCTGCTGCTTTGGCTTGGACACGCATCGCAGCTTTAAGGTACCTACCTACCTCTAAACAGGAGCTCCTGGAAAGCTCAGAAAATAAGCCACCATCAACCCCGAAGCCCGCCATCGCCAACGATATCAACCCCCCGGATCGCCGAGATAACAATTCGAATACCCGTTGCTATGAGTCTATACTATGGATTGGGCGGCCTATGGTCGTTCCTGCTAGTCGTTGGAGCTTGTACGCGAAACCCGTTCCCCGAGAGGCGTTGGATGTTTGGAGATTGAGTGTACTTTTGCTGACGATGACACTGTCTTGTAGACATGCTCTTTACCGGTAGCGGCGAGTCCTTCGATGTCGGTGGATTCCTCGAGGCCGTTTCGCCTTATACCTGGGCTACTCTGGGTATCGCGTTTTGTATCGGTCTCTCCGTTGTTGGTGCTGCATGGTGCGTATAACCTCATACATCTTGGTACATCGCGGCTCTAACGCATTGTGTACAGGGGCATCTTCATTACCGGCTCGTCGATTCTCGGTGGTGGTGTTAAGGCCCCCCGCATCCGAACCAAGAACCTGATCTCCATTATCTTCTGTGAGGTCGTCGCCATCTACGGCGTCATCATGGCCATCGTCTTCTCGCAAAAGGTCGAGAACGTCACTGGCGCCGAGCTCTACTCCGCCGAGTCCTACTACACCGGATATGCCCTCTTCTGGTCTGGTATCACAGTCGGCATGTGCAATCTTATCTGCGGTGTTGCCGTTGGTATCAACGGTAGTGGTGCTGCTCTGGCCGATGCTGCCGATCCCTCTCTGTACGTCATCTACCCTATCTCGCCCGACGCGATTGTCTTTACTTACACTTCCACAGCTTCGTCAAGATTCTGGTTATTGAGATTTTCAGCTCAGTATTGGGTCTGTTTGGTCTTATCATCGGTCTCCTTGTTTCCAGCAAGGCCCCTGCCTTTGGCGAGAAGAAGTAACCTCTATCACCTAACCATAGACCTCCATCAAGTCCGGCAGCCTTGCCGCCGGCATCAACTTTGTGTGTTCCAAAAGAGAAGGAGCGCGCATGCATTGCACCAATAATATTTGGTCAGGCGTTTGGAAGATTGGCTCGGGAGGACGTGTTTTGGCTGTACCAGTATCAGTATCATTTGGAGGTGAACGTGTACATCACGATGCAAGATTTGAATTATATGTTATTGAAGATTAGGATCTTAACCAGGATTGCGTCTTGTATGTGTTGATCAAATACAAGTTGTTATGACGCTGAAAAGCCTGGTTGAGGTGATGCGCAACCACGAATACGATCTTCTTGAATTCTAAGCAGCTTGGACAGCACCCAACAGTAAAACTTCAACACTTGATCCTTTTTCGAGCTTGCCTTTTCCACTAGGTAGAATGACCAAGGCGTTTGCTGATCTCAAGCTACCGACCTTGGAGCTGCGCTGCCCTCCTGTGCTAGTAGCTGAGAGGAGTCCATCCTTTCCAACCGTGACTACAGCGCGGTGGTATTCAGGCCTGGGATCCAGGGGGAAATCGTGGGATACGACAGCTGGAACTCTCGGGAGGCCTGTAGTTGAAGCACCAGACAATTTGTGCAATGAAGGGAGCACAAAAAGGTGGAAGGTAACGAGAGCAGACGCTGGGTTACCAGGCAGAGAGAAGATGGTCTTCGTGATGCGCTGTCCAGAGTTGTCTTTGACGGGAACTGTAGCAAAAGTCGTCGGCTTTCCAGGCTTCATAGCAACACGTCCAAAATGGATAGTGCCACCCAGAGAACGCTCAATAGTTGGCTTGAGGAGATCAAGCTCACCCATGGAGACACCGCCAGTGGTGATGAGTAAATCTGCGCGTCGAAGCCCATCGCGCAAATTTTCCTCCAGCGTTCCAGGCTTATCGCTGGCGATACCAAGGTCTATAACCTCATAACCCCATTCTCTGGCAGCAGACATGAGAGTGATTCGGTTGGTATCGCGGACTTCGCCCAACTTCAGATCACCTGGACGGTTGTACTCGACGATCTCGTCGCCAGTAGACAGGACAGCTACTACAGGGCGACGGTAAACCTTTGCCTCTGATACTCCCACAGAAGCGAGGAGGCCGATTTCTCCACCGACGCCGCTGATTGTCTCGCCCTTATTGAGGATAACAGTGCCTTCCTTGACGTCACTGCCGACTTCGCGGATGTTCTCGCCCTCCTTGACTCCTTCGACTTGGATTTCGACTTCCTTCTCTTCCTTGCCATCCTCTGACATTGTCTTGAGAACAGTATCTTCTACCATAACAACGGTCGTGGCACCGGGAGGCAAAGGTGCACCAGTGGTGATTCTAGCCAATTCCCCTTCCTTCAAAGCTCCGATTTCACCAGGGGCGGCGTGAGATATGGCGGTAACGGGGAAGACGCCCTTGAGCTGGCCATCTTTGGGGGCCACAACAGCGTATCCGTCTACAATGCTCGCGCGGAAGGCTGGTACGTTCTCACTAGCCTTTACGTCCTCTGCCAGGACTGAGTTGATGATTGAATGGTCGACTGGTGCTGTGATAACCTCTGGCCCAGGGGTGTGCTCTCCGATCAATGCCAGCGCTTCTTCAACTGGGAGCATGGGATACGGTGATTCTCTGTAGCGACGAGACGGGCCAAGCGCAGGGTCATTAGATAAGGTGGTACCTGGTTGCGTATGTCTTACGAGGCTCCCATGGCCATGACCCTGTCCATGCCCGTGTCCATGATTATGGCCACAGCCGTGGTGATGATGGCTATGTCCTTGACCAGCAGTTGAAGGCTGAGCATTCCCACTCGCAACCCCGGCTTCAGCTTCTAGCTTCTTAACTCCTCCTGAATGGATAGCTCTTGAGTTGCCACCGGCTGCTTGAATACAGGCATGAGGCAGTGTCTTGACAATGGCCTGAAGATTCTCCTTGGCGCCCTTAGGTGAACCAGGTAAGGTGACAATAATGGTGGAATTACGAACACCGGCTGCTGGCCGCGACATCATGGCAACTGTGGAATTATGAGTTTCAACTGTCGTTATAATGATGATGATATCACTCACAAGGTGTAATTGCGAGTGATGCCGCTAACATGCCATGTACAAGACCTGGTGCTAGCTTGTGTAGCAGAGGGGCAACTGCCTGAATAACATAAGCATAGTGATTTATACGATTGATACGACAATCTTACCTCTGGAGTATAATCCCCAGTTGCAAAGCCTGTCCCACCCGTAGTGACAACAAGGTTGACACTATCTGGGCCATCAGTCCAAGCGGTTATCTGGCGCTGAATCGCTAGTACATCATCCGTGACAATCTTGGTATCGTGGACCTCCCATTTTCCATCACCTTCATCTTTCAGTACTTGGGTGAGGATAGGACCCGAAGCATCGGCCGAGGCGTCTTTGGCTGCTGTCGTTGAGACGATAAGAAGGGCCGCCTTCAATGAACCGGAAGCCATGGTTCTGGTGAACTAAGCAGCAATGCTATAAGTAGGTACTAGCTAAACTATCGAGAGATAGATAGGTAGATATAAGCTCTGGAAGTTAAATATGAGATAGAGTCAAAGTTACAGTAATGAGCATATAAATACCCTAAAATGATTGAGTTCATGAACTGATAGCAGCGGGGAAGCTCCCTTGCTGTCTACTAATGATTATATATACCACGGCCCCACTGATCCCGTCTTAGTGGGACTCGCCCCGAAATCGCCAACTTCTACGGAGAAGCAAAGCAACCTCGAGCTCTTTCACCAGTCACAAGCCTTCATTTGCTTCTACTTCTCAAACCTTCCAAATTACTCACAACAACACCGCATACTACTTTACTGCAATTACTCAAAATGGTCCGCATCAAAGAGAGATATCTCCTTGTCAACATCGTTTATCCGCCTGATCCTGCAAAGGCTGCAAAATCAAATTTGCCAGACTTTGTCCTTAATCATCAACCAACCATCGAAAAGCTCACGCCTGGCGCTCTTATCAAGGGCATTAGAGCCGAGGTCGCGTCACTCTATGGTGATTATGGGTCTGGGGCCTTGATGACCTGCTCAGGTAAGCGTTACTCAAAATTGTCAAACGCGTCGCATTGCTAACATTACTTCAGTGAAATATCTATCTTTGGCAACCTCAACTTTTATCCTCAGATGTTCCAGGGCACACTATCAAATGCTGTGGTCCACTCTGACCTTCATGGACCACGTTCCTGTCAAAGATGGCAGACCATGCATATTTCGCGTTGTGCGCGTCAGTGGAACAATCCGTAAAGCTGAGGAGGAAGCTATTCGCCAAGCAAAGAGGCTCATCCTCGCTGCAAAGGAGGACACGGATTCCAAACTCTCACTTAACAGTTCACTGCGCAACCAGGAAGAAATGGTCCTCGACATAAACGATGTGTCAAGTGACGAAGACATGGACGACACAGATGGATGAACGGGTATCATTGCTTTCTAACTACCTTGATCCCACTATCCTTGGGCACTGTCATGTCTCCAAAGTCGGGATCCATGTCATCCGCCGGAGCGAACGGCTGGCTTTGTTCCATCTCCATGGCTTGTTCCTCCTGGATGCGCCTCTGTTCCTCCTCGGCCTCATGCTCCATCGCATCATATTCCACCTTCTGGTCGATCCATCGCTCCTGAATATCTTGTACCTCTAACATGGACGACTCGCTTCTCATGGCGACCGACCAGACCGTATCATTGGCACCTTCGGCACTACCAAAGATGTATCCACCAGCGCGGTCAATAACGCGGAGGATATGCATCATGCTCTTCTTGTTTTCGACAGCCAGAACCTCGTAACGCACCAGACCATAGTTCTCGATCAGGCTTGCAACGGCCTCGTTGAGCTTGCCAAACTTTTTATTCCGCAAAGCGGGCGATTCGGTCTCGAGATGGGGCGTCAGGTATGTCAGGTCGTCCACGTCTGTATAGTATTCGAGATTAAAGGGAAGTTCGTCATACTCAGAGACTTTGTCGATCTTGGAGAGAATGTTTATATGTGGCATGTCCATCTGGATCATGGCTCGGAGGGATAGGAGGACGTTCGACACGTATAATGAAGGTTGCGTCAAACAGAAGGAATCTGAGAGGTGGACGCAGACGAGCTACAAACTGTCAGTTATTGCACTCCCAGATAGAGGAGACTACCAACCCTGAACCCAATCTTCTGGAGCTTGTAGAAGATATTTCGCAGAGAGTTGTGGTGTGTATATAGTTCCACTTGTCCAGGACAATCGAAGAGAATGTAGTCTTCACTAAACTCTTTCAATCCTTCTTCCAACCACTCAAAATTATGTTCCAACTCTTCAAGGGCATACAAGATGCCTCCATTAGGTCCCAACTTGTCATCTTTCATAATTTCCTCAAGCTTTATCAGATTGCGAATGTCGAGTGCCACAGGGTAGTTTGTATGGTCGTTGGCGGGATCGAGGTTTACGACAGAACAGGCTCGCCCGATGGCGCCCAGAAACTGGTGCACTTGATCATTTAGTATATTCAGGTCTTATGAGTGTCTCTAGTACTCACTGCCATCGCAGTAGGTACTCTTTCCAGAGCCCGGGCTGCCGAGAACGAGTTGCGCAAATGGCATCTGGGAAGATGTCGCGGGGTGTCAAGCTCAAGAGCACATGGTCAGACGGCAGATGCAGCCGTAAAGTAGCGGCGACTTGGCGCAAAGGAAAACAGGCTTTTACCGACTGTTTTCTGCACCAAATAAGTCGATATAATGACTCTAATGGCAGGTATAAGGAAAACGAAGGATGTGATGTTGGTTGTCCAACAAAAGCATTGCAAAAGTGACGGCACCAGCGGATAGGTAACTAGCCCCTCCACACCTTACAAACCCAGGCATGTGGATGCTCGCCCGGAACAAATTCAGCACCTCAGTCACTGAGTCTCAGTGGGGTGGAGTTCCATCCGGCCAATCCTCGGCTTCTGAGCTCCCCTGTAGCTCCGCACCCGATCACAAGCTAAAAGCTGCGCGTGCAGCGAAATGCAGCCACGCTCTTTTTTTTCTTTCCCAAGTTCATAAAACCTCGCTACCTCCAATTTTCCTCCCTTCCTCCAAACTCCCTCCGCTTCCACGCGGCTCCTTTCTTGTACAGGATGCTACGCTATGATGCGCAGCAGCCTCACACTCAGCCATGGCATCTGACCCGTCAAGAGCCGCTCAAATGGCCGGCGACGTCGCTGCGACTGTCGCCCATGCCCTCAGCAGCTCTCCAGCTACTTCTGGCGTGAGCACCATGCCCGCTGTCATCCCCCATGAGCCCTATACCTGGTTCGGCCTCTTCGGGTGGTTGATCTGGTTTATCTTCCATATTACCTCGACCATCCTTTACTGGGTGGTTCGGATCGCGACGATTAATGTCCCTTCCTTTCTATTCCACTTGTTCTCGACAAGCTGGACCGTCACTATGAATGCCACCACACTGTATGTTGGCTATTATACAGCGTCGTCCTTCATTGCTAATGATACCATAGCATGTTCATCATGGCAGCTGTCGTGTCAGCCGTCAGTTGGGTCGTCAGGTATCGCATTCTCAACATGTACTCTCGTCTACCGCCAGAGCCACAGCGCAAAGAGCCGGAAATCGATCTCTTCCCAGACACCCACGAAGGTGGTACCAAGTCGGGGCTGGCAAACTACTTGGACGAATTCTTGAGTGCTATCAAGATCTTTGGTTACCTAGAGCGACCTGTCTTTCATGAGTTGACTCGCAGCATGCAAACGAGGAAACTCATTGCAGGAGAGACCATCAACCTTGAAGAAGAAAAGGGCTTCTGTATCGTGGTTGACGGCTTGGTTGAGATCTTTGTCAAGTCAAACCGAAGTCCACGCGCAGCAGCTGCCTCTCGAGGACATCTTGATCTAGACTCGTCCGATGAGGATGATGTCGCTCCTGGTCAACAGACCTACCAGCTGCTCACAGAGGTTCGGAATGGTGCACCCATGTCTTCATTGTTCTCCATCATGTCCCTTTTTACAGAGGATGTCAGGCTGCGGCCAAATGAGGATCATGAAGAGACTTCTCTGCATCATGTCCAGAGCAGTGGCCTTCGGCATCCGACTTTTGAACAGCCAAACAGCCCAAATGTCACTGCGGATATCCACATGTCTATGCCAGGCACACCTCATAGACACGGCGAGATGGATGAGCAGAAGCCAAAAGGTCTCGGCGTATCTGGCTTTGAAACTGATCAAGCTGCGATCCCGCCAATGTCATTGGATAGCTCTACTCCTCCCCCTCCACCTACCAGGCCGCCCATGCCCACAAGGACTACATCTGGGTCGGCCCATCCAGACATCATTGCTCGAGCTACAGTCGATACCACGATTGCCATTATTCCTGCCAGTGCATTCAGAAGACTCATCAAGATCTACCCCAAGGCCACTGCACATATTGTTCATGTTATCTTGTCGAGATTTCAGAGAGTCACTCTTGCTCAAGCCTACAATTACCTCGGCTTGACTAGTGAGGTGTTGCAGACAGAGAAGAGCATGATCAAGTACACGATGTGTCAACTCCCAAACATTCTGCGAGGTGATGCTCTTGAGCGCCTCAAGGAGAAGTTTAAGCGGGAACGAGAACGCAGCGAAGAGGATGATGATACGAAGGGTATCGCGCTCCACAACTCTGCGTCGTCCCGTCCTCGGAGGTCAAGCACAACTCTTCGAAAAGAGGCTATGTTGCAGTCAATGACAAAGCTACGATCGACCACGGTTGTCACTAGCACCATTGCACCACCTCGCGAACGAGCTTCGCCTCACACACCGAGCCCTGGAGACCTGGTATCCAACACTCAGTTACCGCGTGGAGCCTCTCGCATTGGCCATATGGACCAACGATCAACCTCGGGGGCCTCGATACGGCGACAGGGTGCGAATCCTAAGGACGATCGATTCTTTAATGATCCCTTTGATTCCAGAAGGTTGGGTCGCATAACCATGGATCCGCGAGAAACTGTCGACGAAGACAACCTCTTCCGTGCTTCTATCTTGGAGTGCATGTTCAAGTCCCTCGGCCTGGACACCAACGGCAGTGCATCGCGCGAACCAGAGTCTATGGAAGGTTCTCCTAGACTGGTTTCACTCGACCAAAGGCGGTCAAGGTTCTACAGCCAAAGCAATGCTTTTGGTTTCATGGCTCCTTTTGACGGCTCTGTCGATGGTGAAACCGAGTCCGTGACTTCTAACGGAACGGCTCTACATGCTCCAGCCAGTGCCCATGCTCTTGCCAACGACATGAAGGATGAGGTTGAGATTGTATTCTTCCCCAAGGGGTCTGTTCTCGTTGAACAAGGAGAGCGAAATCCCGGGTTATACTACGTCGTGGATGGCTTCTTGGATATTGGCACAACGGGTGATGCTGATGCTCACAATATCCTGCAATCCAATGGCTTCGGCCCATCACATCAGGATCCTTCATCTCCGGATCCATCCGAGATGGGCTCGTTTCCTAACCTGGCACGCACTGAAGCTGCACGTGACCAAGCCGAGACACAGACGCAGCAGCAACCAGCATCGAAGAAGACACGTCGAAGTATCGCTTTGGTCAAGCCGGGTGGTCTTGCTGGCTACATTGGAAGTGTCTCTTCCTACAGGTCCTTCATCGATGTTGTGGCCAAGACGGATGTGTATGTCGGCTTCCTGCCTCGAGCCTCCTTAGAGCGAATCGTGGACCGATATCCGATTGTCCTTCTCACCATGGCAAAAAGATTGACCAACATCTTACCTCGCCTAATCCTGCACATTGACTTTGCTCTGGAATGGGTCCAAGTCAATGCTGGACAGATCTTGTTTCACGAAGCTGATGAGAGCGAAGCCATCTATATCGTTCTCAACGGTCGCCTTCGTTTGGTTCAAGAGCGCAAGGGTGGCAGTGGCGGTGTCACTGCTCTGGCTGAGTATGGACAGGGTGACAGTGTTGGTGAGCTCGAGGTGCTCACTGAAACTGCTCGTCCAGGAACTCTGCACGCTATTCGAGACACGGAGTTGGTGAAGTTTCCACGAACACTCTTCAACAGTCTGGCGCAAGAGCATCCAAACATCACCATCAAGATCTCAAAGATCATCGCATCACGAATGAGGGCAATCGTTGATGAGACTTCCAAGTTCTCATACAAGGATGCCAGCACCAACCCAAAGACTTTGATGCGGAAGTCTACGATGAATCTTCGAACTGTGGCGGTCCTGCCTGTCACTTCAGGAGTGCCAGTCGTCGAGTTCGGTAACCGACTTATGAATGCCTTGGCACAAGTTGGTCCGGCAAACGGCGCCACCTCCCTCAACCAGGCTGCTATTCTCAACCATCTAGGCAAGCATGCCTTCAACAAGATGGGAAAGCTTAGGCTTTCTCAGTATCTTGCTGACCTGGAAGAGAAGTATGGCCTGGTTGTCTATGTTGCAGGTAAGCAATAATGTGGTTTTTCTTTTTTTACATACCCTTTTATGATGATAATATCACACATAGACTCCAGAGGCAAAGCCGATGTTGGTTCTATTAACTCTAATTTTTTCCTGAACATGTCAATTACAATCTGTTTTCTGAACCTGCAGATGAGAGCCTCAAGCTAACTTTGGCTCACTAGATACAAATGTCAACTCCCCATGGACCCAGACTTGCATCACGCAAGCAGACAGCATCCTCTTGGTAGGCCTTGCTGAAGGGTCACCTGCCATTGGCGAGTACGAGCGCTTTATGCTTGGCATGAAGTCCACCGCCAGAAAGGTTCTGGTGCTTCTACACGCGGAACGTTACTCTCGTCCTGGGCTGACCCGAGCTTGGCTACAAAATCGTATGTGGATCAATGGTGGTCACTGTCACATTCAAATGGCTTTCAGAACAAATGAGATGCCAGTCCATCCTCCCAAGAAGCTTGGTCAAGCACTCAAGGAGCGTGTACAGGTCTTGCAAGCCGAGATTCAAAAGTACACGTCTCGCAAGGTGCATCACACGCCGTACTACTCGCCTGATTCGCCTTTCAAGGGCGATTTCCACCGGCTGGCGCGGCGACTTTGTGGTAAGTCAATTGGACTTGTTCTTGGTGGAGGTGGTGCGAGAGGCATTACTCAGATAGGTATCATCCGGGCCATGGAAGAAGCTGGAATTCCTATCGACCTTGTCGGAGGAACTTCTATCGGTGCCTTTGTTGGAGCCTTGTACGCTCGACACGCAGACGTTGTGCCCATGTTTGGATTTGCCAAGAAATTTGCCGGGCGAATGGCCAGTCTCTGGCGATTTGCTCTGGATCTGACGTATCCGTCTGCGTCGTACACCACAGGCCATGAGTTCAACCGTGGTATCTTCAAGGCGCTCGGTGACACGCAGATGGAAGACTTTTGGCTTGAATATTACTGCAACACAACCAACATCAGTAAGAGTAGGGCAGAGTTCCATACCAGTGGATACGCATGGAGATATATCCGTGCCTCCATGTCTCTCGCTGGTTTGCTCCCGCCTTTGTGTGACGAGGGCAGCATGCTGCTGGACGGTGGCTACATTGACAACTTGACAGTGTCGCACATGAAGGGTCTTGGAGTTGACATAATTTTCGCCATCGACGTAGGTGCATTGGATGATGACACGCCGCAGACTTATGGTGATTCACTTTCTGGAGCATGGGCTTTCGTCAACCGGTGGAACCCATTCTCGTCTCACCCCAACCCCCCAACTCTTGCGGAGATCCAGGGACGGTTGGCATATGTGTCGAGTGTTGATGCCCTAGAACGTGCAAAGACGATGGCTGGATGCATTTACATGCGGCCACCGATTGATGACTACGGAACTCTTGATTTCCACAAATTCGATGAACTGTACCAGCTGGGATACAAGTATGGCCAGGAGTTTTTCCTCAAGATGAAAGAGCAAGGAGTCTTGCCTTTAGTAGAGGAGACGGAAGCCAAGAAAGCTTTGAGAAGGACAATGGCGCCAAGACGAGCGAGTATCTGATTTATCTGTATCGGCTTAGACTTGATATTCGGTAAAGCGTTTAGCATTAGAGTAGTGGATCTATTCTTAGACTACATACAAGCTCGATAGACGGCTGTTAATGCCCAAATTTTGAAGCCACCTGATGGAATTTTGTGCTGCAGGGTTACGTGAGTATGCATTGTTTCAGGGAGAAATGAGAAATTTGCTTTGTTTGTGTCGTGTCAACTGTCAAGGGCCTTCACGAAAAGTGAGGAGAGATGACGCTATTCGTGACATCATGGCGGACCACCAAGCCCAAGAGCACGTCACCCCAGGGCTTGAGATCCCTGTCCAAGTTAAGCTTGACCTGTAAATCGAAGCAATCAGTGACATTCACCGTCAAAACGTCAAGTGATTGAGTGGCTCCGGGTATGGAGGCCGGTCATAGGGGCGGGGAAGTCAATCTAGGATCTGGGGTCTTTAATTTCTTGGCTGGAAGCTTATAATCGTGGGGGTTGCTCTTTTCTATCAGGTCTTGAGTTTATGTGAATGGCGTACGAATATCTGAGCATTACACAGAAACAAACCCTCCCTTTGATTATCAGCAAGGGAGATATCTAGGACTTGTCATTGAAAGTCCATTACTACATAAACGAGTTTAAAAAGGACTCGCTTCTTCCATTTTCATCAGCATCATCACGACACCCATACACACAAACCTCAACCACTATCTACCAGCATCATGGGAAGAAGAGATACATACTCCGAGCCCCCTCGACACAACCGTCAGCCCCATCGAGAACCTCCTCATCGCGATCCTCGGTCCAATAAAAAAGAATGCGGCTTCGACTGGACACCAGGCATCGCCCTCGCCCTTGTCGGCGCCATCACCTGGTTCAGTCGCGATTTCGACAGCTACAAGAAGAGACATGATGGACACGAGATTGAAAAGAGAAACAACGAAAGAAGTCGCGACAGTGATAGGGGGAGGAGAAGATATCGATCGGGCAGTCGGTATCCTGATGATGGATATGATTACTATCCCCGTGATAGGGGTTATAGTCGGTAGAAAAGAGGAATTATGATAATGAGATATACGAACATGAATCAAAATAAATCTACGAGGACTTTAAGACACTATACGAGGAATGAGGAACAAGGGATATTACGAAAATGGGCATCAGAAGTATATGAAATTGTTGCTTTTCACATATTCATCTTACTCTCAATACAATCATGCATCTCACTGGCATAATTCTTACTCATTCTCGGATATATAAATCGTGTTCTCATATAATCTCATACACCTCTCATCACATCACGCCTTCCTAGCAATCTCAGCCTCCGCTGTCTCAACCAAGATATCGAAGATACGCTGCACATGCTGCTCCTCAACTTTGGTCACGCCAGTACACACGCGAATAGCGAACTTGCCATTGACGACAGTACCGGTGAGGTAGAACTCTCCCGTTGCGTTGATGGCCTCGTAGACTGCTTCAGTGCGGTCGTTAATCTCCGTCTCGTCTGCGCCGTTGACTCGTAGTGTGACGAGGCCGAAGCGCGCCGGTGTGAAAACAGTCAGGATATCTCGGCGGGACGCAATCTTGTTCTCCAGACTCTCGCCAAGCTCTACGCCGTGGCGGATGTGCTTCTGCAGACCGCTGATGCCGAAGCTGCGCATGACGAACCACAGCTTGAGGGCGCGGAAACGTCTGCCTAGGGAGAGCTGCCAGTCGCGGTAGTCGGTAACCAGCTCGTCGTCGCTGAACTGGTTGCGTAGGTAAGGGGGCTTGATGCTGAGTGCTTGGATGAGCCATGACCGACGACGCACCCACACGGCGGAGCAGTCGAAGGTGGTCAGGAGCCACTTGTGCGGGCTGAAGCTGAAGGAGTGGAACGATGAGAAGGCCTTGACTAGATGGTGATTCTCTTTGAGGACAAGCGCTGAGCCAGCGTATGCCGCGTCGACGTGCACCCACACCTCCTGAGGCGTCTCGAAAGTTGGCTTCAGAGCCTGGACTATACCCTCGAAGTCGTCCACAGCGCAGACATCAGTCGTTCCGAGAGTGGCAGTTAGGAAAAACGGCTCGAGGCCGCGAGAGCGCAGGTTCGCGATTGTTACAGCGAGTGCCTTGCCCTTGAGAGCAAAGCTATCGGCCTCTGAGATGGGCACAGTGGCGAAGCGTACGCCGAGGATCTGAGCGACCTTCTTGGTGCTTGAGTGCGTGCCTGCGCTGCCGAGGGCAACGAGCTTGCTGCGGTGGTGCCAGAGAGCGTCCTCTTTTTCATCAGTGCCGTCGGGGAGGTGAGCGGTCACAGCAGCGAGGTACTTCTCCCGTGCAGCACACATGTTTGTGAGGATAGCTTCACTGGCACTCCCGTGGATAACACCGCCGCCATGCGTCGAGCCGCCGCTAAGATAACACTCGGGCAGACCCAAGGCCTGGGCAAGCCAGTCCATGACAACAGTCTCAAGCTCAGTGACAGCAGGACTGCAGATCCAGTTGAAGTGGGCGCCGTTGAAGGCATTGGAGTACATCTCGGCCAGGGCAGCCGGGTAGCTGCTGGAGCAGGGGAAGAAGGCCATGAAGCGAGGGCTCGCCCAGTGGGTGATGCCCGGGAAGATCTTGGTCTGGATATCATCGTGGATGGCAGACCAAGGCTCTGGGTCCTGGGGGGCTGCGGAGGGGAGAAGAGGACGTAGATAGCCTGGTTTGACGTTTGAGACTACGCGATGGTCTTCAACAGTTTCGCTCCAGTGAGTTACTGGGGGTTTGTTAGTATTAATAAAGGAGTTGGTTGGTGATGGTATTGTTAGTGGTGAGATGAGTGGTGAGTGCGGGGGAGGTATGTAGAGTTTTCTTAATTGGAGAATCATGACTTGGAAGAAGCTATCATGAGAGTGGTTACAAGTACGACTTACTCTCGTCTATGGCAGCTTTGGCAGCCTCGCGGAATTCTTGAGCATCCATGATATACTATGAGAGAATATGCATGAGTTGAGGACTTTATGCGACCCAATGGAAGTGACTGAATGAAGAAGTCATTTTCTTTTCATGAAGCGAACTTCCCTCATCTTTATATGACTTTGAGATACATAATAAAAGAAGCATTCAGCGGCTTTAGTTTCAAGTATAGAACAACTCATACAACTTCGACTTCAACTACGACTATACTATCCCACATAAAATCTAGAGTTTAACCTCTCGCTTGCAAGTTAGTGTTAGTTTAGTGTTAGTATTGTTCAGTCCTTCTTTTCGAGTATTTCTTGGTCCGTGTTTTGCATTGTTCACTTCAGCTGTGGAAAATCAATGTGAGTTTGCGTATATAACTGATGTGCAGTTTTATCGCTACAGGGCTGAAAAGGCTGTAAGATTTTGGGCTGTGGAGAAGCAAACATGGCTTTGGAAGGATTCTCTTAGTGGGTGAGTATTTCTGATGCCCGTTGGCATTGTTCTAGTTATAGATTGTCTTGATTTTTGACATGTTGAGCTAATGCACGCTATGTTTTGACAATCAATCTCCAGAGTTGGTGTCTTAGTCCTCGTAGACATTGAACTCAATTAGGAAATTACAACTTTCTGTGAAGTTTCATTAGATGTTACAGTCAAGCGAGGAATTGATATCCATCAGTATCGTTAATGAGGAATCCCTAGAATTTGCTGTAAGTACTCCCAGATAACATCAGCACAACGGATGCGCCACTCCACCGCTGAACAATACCAAGCCTCAAAGCAGGGACCAACCTTTTACTTACCTCCATGTCAACAGACATCTAATAGCTTGACAACTCGTCAGCCAAAGCTAGATCCCACAAGTTATCAATCCAGGTACTAGCTTGACAAACCGCATAAGTCTCACATCACGTTTCCCGGTAACTCTTTGTCTACTTGATTTCGGGTTATTCCATCACCCATTGTCTTGCTCCACACCGCTGTTGGGGCTGGGACTCTTATGATCTGCAGTCCTACGTTGGCGGTAGAACAATAATAGTCTCGCTCTTCGCCTCGATGAAATAGGGTGGTGTTTGTTCCCGAGTTGTGTAAGCTGTTACATATCCTGGTAGCCCTTGCATAGACGACGTAGTCTCTCAAGTGCCGAAGTCTCCAGTTCTTAGCAATGAGGCGCTTGCTAGTATCACACAAGACAATAGACTCAAGCCAGGTGAAGCTCGTCTTTGTTCTACTTGGGCGGTTTATCTAGTCGTTACGGCCACTGACAACAGAGGCGGTTTCTAGTATAACTAGTCGTGCGTTCAAGAGTGTGTTTACTCCCTACAGGTAATTTCAAAACATAACAACAGACAAGCCAACTTGACGCTACATGTCACATCGCCCATAGTTAAATTAATATCTGCTGTACTAGGATATTATTCCATCAAGAGTCAATTGCTGCTCTCTGCCGTATGACTTCCGACCACGGCTGCCATCATACGCGGTGGTTGTGTATTTGTATAGGGTAGCCGATATGAATATCGATCGTCTTTGAATGTCATAATCAATCATTGACTAACGTCTGATAGCTTGTCAAGTTTGTTCTAACCCAGTGCAGCTTTGCCGTGGTCGTTGAGGCTGGCTTATGAATAGAAATATGATCGAGAAACTTCTCATCTCTTCGATTCCGACATTGCCACTGGGAATAGCATCATGACACAGCAAAGAAGCCCCACAGGCTAACAGACACGCCTTGACTGATAAGAACCACTAATCACTATCGATAATTGAGCCTCAAACTAACCAGCACCGCTGATCATTCGTTATCAGATCAATTAAATAAGCCTTCTGCTCAGCGGATAGACACCTACAGCCGAGACCTCCTTGACCAATAGCACAGCAGGGCATGGTCCCAGGACCCCTAAAACTAAAACGGTACCTGTCGTGCAAGAGACATGGCTAATTATGCACGGCGGCTATATCCATAATGTGGACCACGGGTGAGCGACGCATCATCGCGTTGCTACTCTGCAAGCGTGATAGTAGAGCCTTATTAGTCCACAGGTGCAGGACAAGGATGTTTAGTAAGTAATATCGAACATGACTCCGGCATCAGATCCGGTGTGGATAAGTCGTGAGAATGATTGAAGGGGGAGGGAGAAAAAGGACAAGAGGTATCCGTAACTATGGCTGAACTAGAAGAGTCATAGATGGAGAAGAAGCATGAAACTACGGATATTTGCCATATAATATCACCATATGGAGCAGCGGCAGTGGAGTTTGTGGTGCTTCCTCGGTATGATGATCCAGGTATAGAAACCGTCCGCGTCTGATGGTTTCCGTGTTGCGTGTGCATGTGTCCCACGAGTGGTCGACGCCAACTCTCACTTTGAGCTGAGCTGAGACTCTCAAGATGGAATGGAATTTATTATGGAAACGTGGAGAGCAATGACTCTTGGCTTCCTAATCAAACCAAGCTCATGTGGATTCTCTCTACCTTGATGGGTGGGTCTGACCGGGAAAAGATTTTCAGGTCTGCTGAGCTAAGGTACGGATACCGACCCTAGGTGTAGATATTATCGTCAAGAGAGAGTCAATATCAAGGTGGGTATTGGGAAATGGACACTGAGATGAAGAGGCTGGAGGGGAATGAAGGGGAGGGGAAGAAAAAAGGGGAAAGGTGTGAGTCGAGTCGAGCTGAGTCAAGGGTATGGTTACCTCACCGACTTGAGGAAGAAGCCAAAAAAAGAGAGGTGATGAATTAGCTGACTCTGCAACATGAAGGCAGCAAGTTGTAACTTCTCGTTGGCAGTCCCAACTATCGTGAAGTCGAGTCCATGGTGTTTTGGCACATCACAACCCTCCCAAATCAACAAAGAAGAGCAAAAAACCCGTGCCTGGCCCAAAGCAGAAGGCATACAAGGGCCCTCAGCCAACCAACTGACACGAACCCAGTAAGAGCTGCAGGACGGCGGGTTAGCGGGTATACCCAGCCAAAGGGGGCCCAAGCTTCCCCGTTCTTAAGACCTTTCTGTCTTTTCCCTTCCCCCGCAGCCCTTTCTAAAATCTCAATGAGGTGCTAATACCCTTCAGTGAGCTCTTTGTCTTCTTCTTTCTCCTGCCGGTAGTCAACAAGTCCATAATCACTACGACTGTGACGAGAGTTACACGGCAGGGGAAAAAGAAAAAGAATTGGAACAAGGTGGGACGATGCGTTGTGGAATGTTCCCCCGGAGTTGGACGCACGTCTAGCTATAAGATTGCCTATTCCGATGTTTTTGCCAGCTCAACCGACTGACGATACCGGAACCCTTGCCCTTTTTCTCGACATGGTTCTATAAGACTTTTCGTTCTTCTTCTGCTTCGCTTCCATCTAGCCACAATTTCCTAAATAAGAAACACGTTGCTAGCTTTGACCACTCGTGTCAATGGTATGCGGCATGCGGCATGCGGGATGGCCTTCGAAAATCGGCCATTGGCGGCGGTGTCGTCTAATCCCGATGGCGGAATATGATGGTGGGAGGGGCAATTGGAGAAAGGAAGAAAAAAATAAGACAAAAGGACAAAAGGGAGGGAGGGAGGGTCGAGACTAGGGGGTGTAGCAGTCAAGAATCAATAATACCCGAGTTGGAGGACGATGAGATGACGAAAACGAAGCCCACGATGCAAAACGAGTCCCTGCCACGCATCGTGTCCCTTCTAACTTAGACCATAACTGCAGACCATGGAGACTAGAGACTAGAGGCTATCCCCAGGCAACACAACCCCCGTCCCCATCTTCATCTCCGTCTCCAAAGCTTAACTTCTACTGCACGTCCCATCTCAATAGGGATAGCCTGAGGGGAAAAGCCATCCATCTACCAATCTGCATTTTGACAGGAAGGGCAAAAAAAGAGTCAGGCTCAGGCTCAGGCTCAGGCTCAGTCGAACTAACGCTTAGTTAGTCGTTAAACCCCCCAGGTTCGAGAACCGGGCACAGACATGTAGACGGTTAAACTTTACGGGACCGCGAAGGCCAACCCCAGCCATCGAGCACGTTTTGGCATTAGCATCAGCGTTAGTATAGAGCGGTGCGCGGTCAATATCACCAGCCAGGGCCGCTTGGCCAGACCCTCAAAATATCTTTGGGGGTATGAGTACGAGTCTGGGGGATGGATGGCAATGCGCCAGGTCTAATCAGGAACTCCCATCATGTAATGGGAATTCGCAATATGCTACTCTCCCCCCGTCCGGAACATCACATTGCCAGCGTTCATTCTCACGACGGGACAGTCTAGCCTAAGGGTAACGGAGAGGCGATAGCCGGGTCATGCTATGCTGCTCTTGTTGTTTTCCTCCCCGTTCCTTTCTGACCGCCGGTCTACGGCATTTGCTACCGAGGAGATGAAAGATGAAAGATGAATGGGATGAGACCATCGGCCGTGTTTGTCCGTTCATCGCACATCTCCGGATATCGAATGTGTTTGGGCCAGGACTAACCGTATTTTGTTCCTGTGTCAGGTCAGCGTTCCCGTAAAAAGCTCCCTTTTTCGGTTAACCACCCAATGTCCTAACTACCCAAAACACGGCGTCTATTAGTTAGTACCGTGCGACGGGATGAGAATATGAGAATCACATTTTCGCAACGAAGGATGAAAAAGCGTGGGGAATCATGAAGTCATCAAACTCCAGTTTCTTCCCCAGTGTGAATGACATCTCCGTCATCATCAAGGCAATTTCAGGTGTTGGGCTATAAGTGACGTTGCGCAGATCTCGATATCAATACCTTATTTCCATTTTAGGGTGGCCATTCGCAAAGAATAAGGAATATCAGCTCCGGGCTCGCGCTGTAACCTGTTGGTTTGGGTGCTGGAGAACCACCGTACCCAGGCTGACAGGTGCAGTAGGGCTCCATCTCTCCCTGATGGTGGGAGGATCTGGGTGAGGCTCTTGGAAGAGACGGGCCGGCTCACACCAGAAATTGCTAGAACCATGCAATGTTGTCCGTGTGTGCATGGAAAGCAGGAAACAAGAAGGAAGGGAAAATGGCCGTGCTTGACGATGCCGTGCAAATCGGATGAATCGACGAAGCGCATCGTGATGATGGATGCTATATATGTTACATGCCTTACACAACGTGATGCTTTAATGCTGGCACGCTGAATAACACCGGCCGAAAATCTCCGACCAGACGCCAGACACCTCTGAGCTCGTCATCATCGTGACTACCAAGCCGTCATGAAAAACACGTATTTCGGTTCAAACAGTTCACTTTGTAGATTTGAAAGATGGATAGAAATCACTGAAGATAGATAAGTGTTGTTTAATTGAAATTGGATATTTTAATAGGGTAACAACTAATAAGCAGATGGACTATTCTTTGACAGAACGGATTCGCATCCGTGCCAAGAACTGTAGCGTCTTACCTTAAACCCAAAGTTAATCAGCATCAAAAAGAAAAATGGAAGCCTTTCTGGTTCCCACTTTCCGTGAGCCTCCTCGCGCCGAGCATCGGATGTTTTATTATTAGCCCTCCTCGTGTTTTGGAGATGGTCATACACCCTCAGAGACGCACAGGCAGGAACGGGATCTGTGTTGGAGAAGTTCGGAAGGAGAAGCGGAAGGAGGGAGGGGGAGATATCAACCAACCGACAAGACCATGCGGGAATGAGAGAAATTGGGAGAGGCAGGAGCCCTACGGTGGTAGGCTAGGAAGGCATGAAGTGAAGCGCGAAGGCGTGATACGTGATGCGTGATGGATTGTATGCGTATGCTTGATGGAGGGAGGACCCCTTCGAGCTTCTTTCCCAATGAGTGGACACGGATCTTTTCATATTTCGGCAGTGAGGAGCAGAAGAGCTACAGTGCTCTCCACCATCGGCGCTAGTCATGCACGATTTGTCGAACCCCGGTCCAAAGTGGTTTCCAAAGAAACAAATTCTCTTTTGAACCCCCCACTTCTATTTTTTTCTTCCTCTTCCATCTTGTAAGTGAAGTGAAGTGAAAGGCCAGGCAGGTACCGGTACCGCGATGGAGCCTTTTCTGGGGAGTCATCGTGGATACTCCCTACACATTCATCATTCAGAAAAAAAAGAAGAGGGTCACGTTTGTTTGAGCTGACTCTGGTTTTTCCAAGGTTATAACTCTTCAAACACGGTCTGGGTGTGGTTTGAGGTTTTTGGTCAATGAGGTTAGACGTGGGCTTTCTGAGCTGGAAAGGGAAAGACTGTAGCAAAGAGTGCAGTTGATGTTTGATGTCGACGTTGTATGGTGATATTTCAACATAGGTATCATGTATAGACAATTTGTTGTTGTTGCTGTTGCTGTATTCAGTGATCAACAATCCGTGCTTCCATCTAGACTTACTCCAAATCTAGAAGCCCTTGATCAGCTTCTCCAACTGATCTGAGCCTCCCTGAAGATGCTCTAGGGGAAAAAGTATATTCTCCAACGCTTCTGGATCACCGAGAGATGGCTGAAATAGTGTGCTATGAGGTGCTCATCCATCCATCCATCAATCTCTTTCAAAGTGTCGATGAGATATGTCAGCCAGGTCGTCATTCTGAATTATTAATACAAGACTCGATGAGTAACACGCCTCTATGTTAACACGCAATATCACCACCTCTTGTCATCACCGCTGTTCAAACCCGAGTATAACTACCTTACCCTTACCGTACATTAGGTACCTTGCTCTGACAACGCAACTTCTGACCCCCAAATGAAACCATCGTCAAATTACTCCTCAAGTCTCGACCACGATCTAGCAACTATTGCAGACTCGCGAGACCCAGCAGCAAGAGCACGCGGTCGCCTTCAGGGCCCACAGGCACCACTTACAGTACACACACACCCCTGGAGGATTAACGCCCCCCCTACGGAGTACCCCCTGTAAAGCACCGTAACATCCTAGACAGGGCAAGCTTGAGCACGAACCAAAGTCACGGTACGGGAAACCGTGGGTATCGTCGACAGACACTGGTGTCGCCGCATTCTTATAGGAATATTATATATATATCTTGGGTGGCCATACCCTTCCTCCCACCATATCGTCACTTCTCCAGTATAAGCATTCTTCAGCAATCCAAAGCTCTCAAGCTCTCCCAGTCCCTTTCACAATGTCCACTGTTATCTCGGACAACGGACCTCGGGCTCACAGAGTCCGTCCGGCTGCCAAGGCTGGTATCGATATCAAACTCGACCAGCACTGGACCTCAAAGGCCTACACCTCAGGCTCAAAGGTCACAGGCAATGTCATCGTCAACACCCAGCGTGATGTTGCCTTTGACACCTTTGAGATCTTCTTCACAGGCACTGCCTACACACGCATTGACTTTGTCAGCCAATATTCCAGCGCCAACTACGCTGCGAGACCATTCATGAAGCTCCGCATGCCCCTGAACCCTTCAGATTTCCCCAGCACTGGTGTCTTTGAGGCTGGCCGCACATACACCATCCCATTCCACTTTGTTGTTCCCCATCAGCTCACTCTCAGCGCCTGCAACCACACAGTTGAGCATGAGGGCATCAGGGATCACCATCTCCAGCTCCCTCCCACTATGGGTTTCTGGGAGCGCAACGACCAGTCCCCCGACACAGCTCATATTGAGTATGGCGTCCGCGCTGTTGCCACACACAACGCCCCCGTTGAGGGCCGAACTACACCTCTTGATGGCTTCCACATGATCAAGGTTCTCCCCGCAGTCCCCGAGGATGCTCCTCTCGAGATCTGTGCCAAGGACGAGCGCTACTGTCTCTCCAAGACAAAGCCCATCCGCAAGAACCTCTTCTCCGCCAAGCAGGGCGAGCTGACCACCATGGCTTCTCAGCCCAGTGCTATCATGCTCTCTGGAAACTTCCTCAACGCCAGCGGCACCAACTTAAGAGTCAACCTCGAGTTCAAGTCCACTTCCAAGGACGTTACTCCCCCAAAGATCAATTCCGTCAGCGCCAAACTTCAATCGACCACCTTCTTCAGCAGCGCTCCCATGACCCAGCTACCCAACCTGGGCTCTCGTATCAAGCATCAGAGCACCCCTTCTCTCACATACTCCACCACCACACCCGTCCCCATGCGCCCTGACACCAAGTTGTTCTGGGAGGACGAGGCTCCTTCTTCACGACGGGATTCTGGCTACGACAGTGCTTTCTGGAACGAGGGAGAGTCTTCCGAGTCCGAGGAAGCCCAGCGCACCAAGAAGGCTAGCAAGTTCAACGTTCGCCGATACGCCACTCTCGATATCCCATTCAACCTGCCCACCAGCGCCAGCAAGCTCTTCCTACCAACCTTTTACTCCTGTATCAGCGCTCGCGCTTATATCGTCCACCTAACCCTTTCAGTTGGATCCATGAACACCAGCATCAACCTGGACGTCCCCGTTCAGATTGCCGTTGAGAACACCTACGACCAGATCGACGACGACGAGCTCCCTTCCTTCGATGCCGCCATCGCAGAGGCCGAGCAAGGCGATGTTGATGTTCACATGGCACCTCTCCTCATGCGTGAGGCACCATCCGCCCGATTCCAGAACCACAACATTCTCCCCAGTTACGAAGACATGCGAATGCGCCACCCAGTGGCAGCTGCATAAGAGATCTTAGCCTCTTTGCGCTACAAAACATTTACACACCAAAAACCTAATGGATATTAATGGAGGAGGATCTGTTTCCAAGAAAGAAGTTCTTATGATACCACGTTTTTCCAAAATAGAAAGAGGAGGAAACCGGCAACCTTTACGACTTTTTGTCTTTTTTATATCTTTTGCCAGATTAGATGCATCTTTCAGCGAGGAGTTTTTCGAGATTTCTTTTTTCAAAAACAATTCGAGATTGTCAAGGAAGGTTCCTGACATGGTTTTATTTTTGGAGTTTTAGAGGAAGGGTCTTTACCTTACCTAGACATTACAAGCATTATCATCGGGGGGGAAGCATTGGGATTACACAAAACAGGAATCAGGCACAGCATTCCTCAAGCGAGCTTTTACTATGTATTTACAGACGTGGCATCACCACTGCATACCTTTTTTGATCTAGAAGAATATGAATCTCTTCACAACACTCTATGAATAACTCACTGTGATACTACTTGGTCTTCTGATGTTTGGTATCTCTACATGAGAATTACCGGATTAAATCACACCACTATCAACTGACTCTCATTTGCCTCAAAAACACAAAGAGAAGTGGCCGGACACGCCGTCGGATGCTGAGCCACGTGGTACAATCGGCCGAAACCGCTAATGGCCGTGCTTCAGAACAATCGCGTTACATCCCGAACAGAAACCCTTCTGTCCCTTTTTCCCATGTTATTACCGTAGCACATCTCATGATCTTCTCTGTGCAGCGTCAAGGACATGGAATTGGGTTTGATTGGTTACAGTGGGGGCTGGACTCGGGATCGTGCATGACGGGACGGAGCGGGCTTTGTACAGGGATATGATTGGCTGGGTACGTAGTAATGAGCAGGATAATTGAGTGGAGGCTGGAATTGAAGTGTACTTGATGGATCTGTTTTGTATCCAGACCTGGTAAGTATATAGCCATGGTATTGCGTGTTTTACCATATAAATGACTATGGTTATGGCGGGGTTTTCATATCTAATATGCTAATAGAACATGGAATAAGATTCCGACGTTAACCAGATAATATGTAGATGTATCGATTATCAATAGATAATCAAGAAGTCAATGGATATATTCGTGTATTGCTCTAACGCACAATGTCCTAGCATGTCTTTTGCCAGCACTGCCTATTCATGTCAAGTCTTCTCGAATCTTAGATATCGTCTATAAGTCAATGGCCCATTCATAATAAGCTGTTCGGGATGCTGGATGACATGATTTGTCAATGAGAACTACCACCTGGAAAACTCCAAGTCAGAACTATGCTATCTATTGGAGCATCACAAATTAGGACGATGTAATGCTCGAGGCCCAATACCCCCAAAAAGAAGGTCACAGTAGGTCCTATCACTCTCTGGTACTGTCATAATGAGTAACTTGTTAGAGTTTGAAGGCGTTCATATGTACACAGCAAGCCAATATTTCACATCCAGGCGTGGTAAGCAGGTAAGATATCTATTCAGGAAAACATCGCCCAATTCAACTGTATTTGAATATCTTCCAATCCCTATAACATGTGGATATACATCAAAACGACGCCCAACAAGATCATGATATCTCAAACTCAGTCACATCTACACACCCACATCTTCTATTCCCCACAGCTCTAATCTTATAAAAGCACGTCCATATCCTCTAATCGTGCCACGAAATGTACAGCATAATACCAGCACCAACGGCAACGGCAGAGAACTGAACAATCATGTTCTTGAGCTCCTTGGCCTTGTTGGGGCCAGTCTCAAGAAGCTCAGGGATGACGGCAACAGTTCCGACGTAGAGGAATGTGCCGGCTGTGAAGGGAAGAAGCATATCACCCCAGGACTATTTCTGATTAGCAACTTGAAACTAAATAAAAGTGCTTTTGGACTTACCAGGCTAGTGCCCCAGATACCCTCGTGGCGACCCATGGGAGCGTCGCTGCTGCTGGGGCCACCAAACTCTTGCACGGCAATACCAATCAGAGTACCGAGAAGAGCTCCCAAGGCAGTGATGAATTGAGAGCCCATGGCAGCTCGCTTGGAAAACCCAGATTGGATGAGAAGGGCAAAATCGCCGACCTCGTGGGGGATCTCGTGGAAGAAGACGGCGACGGTGGTGGTAGCTCCAATAGTAGGAGAAGCGTAGAAGCTGGCAGACATGGCCAGGCCATCAGTGATGTTGTGGGTGAAGTCGGCGCTGTGTATGTTAGTTTGGTTCATAAAATGAATTCACAGGATCAACATACATGAGGTTCAAGTAGCCACCCATCTTGACGCTGGGGTTGATCTCCTTCTTGGGCTGCTCAACAGCATTGGAAACAACAGCACCCTTATCCTCAATGCCCTTCTTGCGAGACTTGACATCACCATCTGTAGCGTCCACACCTGAAGAGATAGCCTTATCCTCACTATGCGAATGGACGTGTGCGTCACCGTGTCCGTGAGAGTGATCATGTCCAGCTCCGCCAGTAGCAATGCGCAGACCCTTATCCATAGCAACAAAAGTCATGAAACCAATCAAGATACCCAATCCAAGAATAAGGTTGCGGTTAGGCTCGACAAGAACAAACTTGACAGCCTCGTCATGATCCTCACCAACAAAGATCTCGGGAAGCAGATGGAACAAAGTATCACCAAGAAGACCTCCAACGGCAAAAGCAACCATCACGGACAGAGAGGCAGGGTCGATGTTGGTCGGGCACAGAGCGAGGAGGAAGTTGGGCGGGCCGGAAATGTAGAGGGTCGCGAGGAGGGCGTTCACGGCGGGCGAACCAGGGAAGAGAACGGCGAAAAGGCGCGCAGTCATCGACGAGGGTGCAGCGGCGTGGTGAGCATGCTTGGCGGCGTTGAGTTGCTCGACAATGGGGCAGGTCTGGAGGAATTGATGTCAGCACCCGATGTTCCGAGGGAGAGAAGTTTTGTAATGTACCTGGAGCTGCGCGTCCAGCTCTTCAAGACTCATACTGTCGAGTTTGGCAGCGGCAACGGTATCCACATGCTCATGTTCATGGCCGGCATACGCAAGACCAACCAAGAGGGCGAGGCAGACAGCCGAGCAAAGGACGCTCTTGCGAGTGAGCGCCATGGTGTCTATATCTGTCCTTTAGAGTTCCGGGCAGATATGATAGAAAGTGTATATGAAAGGAGAGCAAAACAGATAGAAAAAACAAGGCAAAAGAACGTACGACCTTGCAGATAAGAGAAGGGTATGAGGGAATTGGACAGCCAAAGAAGACAACACAACTCAACTTGTGATGTTCAAGTTGAAGCTGAAGTTGCGGTTGAAGCTGAGAATGGGGATGGATTCCTAGTCCACAAACTACAGGGCCAGGGGGAGGGGCTTGAGAGGGATGCTAAGGGGTATCCAGCCAATGACGACGAAGCGCCCCGGGCTGACGGCTGAAGCATCCACTTTATGCAGGGGAGCTCAGAGCTATTGACGCCCTGTTAGATTAGATAGCTCGGACTTGGGAATGGGCCCGGGCTTTGGATGTTGTATCAATTGAGTGAGTGTTGGAGTCATATATGATTTCTTATTGAATGAATATAGCAGAGAACTTCAATTGTGAGTTTAATATGTTCTTTCCCATTTGTGATTGGGTCTTCTTTGAGCGGGTGAAAGTGAAAGGTCAATAAACGAGCATGGCAGTATTGAACCCTTATTTAAAGGTCACGCGAGGTCATTTAACTTCTCGCTTACAACTACATGAGACATTTCAAACGTCAGTATGTAATAAAACACATTCATTTTATCTTCGACATTCCATCGAAATTCAATGCATCGAGGTTCTTGATAATCATGTATTCATGTGCGCCGTTTTGTAGGTCCTTTCATATGCCCATTACCCAATCGTTATCTATATCCAAGTCATGAATTATATACAAGTCTCGCCATGCTTACAGCATAGCAGCAGCAAGAACAATGGCGACAGCAGCAGCTCCCATGGAGTTAAGCTGCTGAGCACCGTTGCCAGGCACAGGAGTAGCCGCTGAACCAGCACCACTGCCGGAGGTAGCAGAGGGAGTGGGCACGAGAGTGGTGGAAGTGCCACTTCCAACGGGAACAACAGGAGCAGTATCGTTCTTATGGTCCTGGGTCGCGAATGAAGGGCTCACGAAGCGGTGCTCAACGTTGCCAGATTGGTCGTTGCTACGGCTGACCAATGTGCCCTTCTTGCTCTTCTCGTCACAGCTGAGATCATACAGAGGCTTCTTAGTTAACTCGGAGCCGATGACGCCGAAGCTGGGGTTGGGGGTTGTAGGGCTGGAGTCTTGGAGTGTGTACCACCAGACGTTGATGTCTCCAAACATGGGGCAGCCGACATCCTCGTAGAATGTTCGGGCGTTCTCAGTTGAGGGAACGCCCTTGCCAACTGTCTTTCCGCTGACGGGCCATCCGGTCTCGGTGACCCAGATCTCCTTTCCTTTGGCAGCGGCCTTGACCTGGTTCCAGGCAGACTTGAACAGGTTTGCGCCCTCTGAGATGGGGTTGTTCTTGGTATCCTCGAAGTAAGGATAAGCATCCATACCGAGCCAGTCGCAGGCCTCGATCACAGCATTGTTGGATCCGTTGGCATAGGCGGTCCATGTGTCGACGTGACCGATGGGGACGGACTCCAGGCAAGTGCCTTTGATAGCTTCGCGAGTCTGCTTGATGTAATCGACAAGAACATCAGGGTTGGCACCAGGGTTCTCATTGGCAGCAATGCCAGTGGGTGAGATGCGGTAGAGATCCTCACTTCCGACAGAGATACCAGCGACAAGGTCATCGAGCTGACCGCAGTACTGCTCAGCAGTGTTCTTCAGAGCGGCAATCTCGTTAGCAAAACCATCACCAGAAGCCCAGAGACCGAAGAGAAGACTGGTCTTTGTCTTAATGGCAGCAGGAATAGCAGAGATGGGCTGGTTGGGTGTGCCGCCCTGAATCATTGTGTAGAGACGAGCGCTGGTGAAGGCACCGTCTGTACCCTCGAGGCCAGCTGCAGTGTTGAACTCGTTCTCGAAGTCCGCCTGGGCCTTAACGCTGCCATCGGTAAAGGTAGAACCGTAGTTGAAACCCTGGAACGCAGCGCTGGCAGAGCCTGCGGCGGCAGCCATAGTGAGAAGGCTGTTGATGGAAGGCATTATGTATGATGTGTGTGATGTGGTATCAAGGTAAACACAGATACAATAATGCGTTTATATATCCTGGGGACTACTAACGAGTGTATGTCCGAATGGAGAATGAAGAGTAAAGATACAAGAGAAGAAAAGGGCAAAGAAGGAATGATATGAGGATGGACGACAAGAAATGGAGAAAATGAATGTCTTAAGAATCTGAACCAGAACTAGATCGAAGCCTCATCGAAGAGGACGAGTTACTACGTACACATGCAGGAACACGCAAGCACGCACGAATCCGAACCAATTCAAAGCCCCGATCGAGGAAGTTTTTTCTCACTCAACAAGCTTTACATCTAGTGGTTACTTCAAGAATACTTACACATTCCGCCAGTCCAGTGAGTAAATCAGTGGCAACAGAAGTCCATCAAAAGTCCACCAACGTCGGTCCGCCAGGCGTTCTCAAAGTCATTGACTTTGAAAAGTCTAACACGCCACCCGCGGGATAAAAAGAGCGCTCTGGATGTGTCACTACCTATGCACTGTGTCTGACTGTGATTTGGGAATGGAGACAGCCAGTGTGAAGAAAGAATCGTCGTAAGCGTGGATGTTTTCTAGTTCGCCGTCGCCTCTTCGTTGACTTCTGTTGGAGACGCTATCAAAGTCAATCTAGCCTAGCTTGCCGATGGGCCGTTTGCCGTTGGTCAAAACTGGCGGAGACAAAGATGCGGTTGGAAGAGAAAACGGCTGTAGAGAAACAGAAGAAATTTGTTATGTTGAGGATAGGTTAGGAATGGAAGCTTACAGTACCCAGCAACCCCAGTTGTGATGTTATCCTAGTGATGAGACAGCTCAAAAATAGCAATGCCAATGCTTGTTACCCCGGGGTAGAGAATTCCGGGGAGCATATCCTTGTCTTGGATTTGATCAGGGCCAATTATCGCCATGGGCGCTTACAAGGTCGATCTTAAGATTTAGAAATGTAGCGGCAATGGATTGCCTCAAGGGAAGGCTTATGATTGTATCTAAAACAAAGAATTCCGAGAATACTCGTAGTTTGTAAGTGTCTAAAACACCCAGGACTAATAAGATGATCTGCACACTCTTTACATCCATGTGCTTTGACTGCCCTTCAGTCAATGGCCTGATGAGGCGTTAAAGAATTCCTCCAAATAGCTGAACTAAGACAAAAGTATCGACGAGCCATTTTCATCTGCTCGAGAGATCCACGGCCTCCAAACTCTGTTGAATCTGTGCGACATTTTCTGCTTTTCTAGCTTTGTATTCGTCATACGTGGGTCGCCTTGCAACGTGGACCGGTGATAATTACGACGCTGAGGAAGTTGATGATCCGATCTATTTCGGTAGTGGAGGTTTAAGTACTGCTTGGCTGCTGGAATATCTCGAGTGGAAAAGGGCCCGTAGATTCTAACATCGAATCCATTGAGTATATCTGTATGATATGGCCTGGTATATGGGAGACTGGGCATAATGCCTTTGACTCTGGCGCCACCAGGACTTGACGTCAAGTCAGATGGCAAACAACTGAGCGAATTGCGTAAGCATATTATACGAGTGATCTGCTGTGCACAGCATGTTTACCTTCGCCATAGTTGTTTCCCTGAGTTCTTGTTAAGTGCAACTGACATGAGTAGGACACCACCTGATGGTAAGGCATATCTGATTGAGAAATTTATTGAATTAACCTAATGTCATTATAAGTTATTCTAAATTATCCTGAGTCTTGGACTTCTTCCCTAAAATCATCATAAAATTCACAGGTTCAGTCCGCTTACACAAGCTCGTCTCGGGGATCACTTTGTCTGTCTCGTGGCCACTCAACACCAAACTGTCATGGCCAGCCAAGCCTCACCTGCAAACAAACCATTCAAAATAACACACAAAAAGAGCAAAAAGAACATTCGGAAGGCGAATGGGATTGCTCCCGCCAGGGCTTGAACCTGAGACCTTCGCATCACCAATTACTCGGTATGAAGTATTAGTACGACGCTCTAACCAACTGAGCTACGGAAGCCGACCGAATGATTGAGCGGATGACCCGCTGTTCGATGGAAAGCAGAGTTGGGAAATCAGAATAACAAGGTTAGACAAGAAGCACTCTGTACAAAACAGAGTGATGTATGAAGAGGAGCATTGTTTTGAGAACCCAGTCAGAGGCAGCGAGGCTTACAGTACCAGGTTTGGTATGGTATTGTCAGACACTTACATTCAACACAAATGCAAGTCCTGCATTATCATGAGGCGGTGACAAGCCTCACCCGCTTGTGGCTTATGCTTAATTCCTACAAAGATGCTGATATTCAGGGTCCATTCTCCCAATTGTCGACACGCGTCGTTAAAGATCCACCGGCAAATACAAATACAGATACAAATACCCACCGATATACGAGAAAAGAGGCCTCTTCACGAATAAACATAGAAACACATCCATGATTAAGAACAACCAAAAACCCCTGTCCAACCCGTCCGTTTCACACGCGTTCACTGTCGATGTGTCGAGTGGCTGACGTTTTCAACACCAACCACCCCCTGTTACCCTTTAGAACCTGTTTTCCCAGCCATGCAGCCCTTTAAGAAGCCAAGAAAAGAAACAACCCACAAAGAGCCCAACCCCTGTAAAAAAAAGGGTCAGTGACGCAAGCGCTCTATCTCTGATTGGGTGGTTTCGCATAGGGTCTTTGTTTGGGGTCATGATTTGCACGGCGATGCGCTCATACCGAGACAAGCTTGTTCTGGCGTTTATTGCTTGGTTTCTCGACTATCAAAGTCTTTTTTTCGTTTAGAGACTCTGGCTCTGGGCGCGAATCATACTTTGGCCGTGCGTTGTCTTTGCTTGCATCATTGGTTTCCGGGGTCTACACGTAGCTAGGTATATAGTCTTGGTGCACCACCCGCATAACGACCAGCTTGGTGTTTACTAGACATTCATTTGACTTGTTTACTTTAATACTCTCTGCAATTTTACTCGAGGATATACCATTTGTATCTGTGCAGTACCAAGGTACATCGTAGCCATGTTATCGAGGTTCTTCGTCTTCTTCCCCCTGGTGTTATCCATGGTGGGCTTTATCCTGTCCATGCTATGTCTTTTCGCTGGACACAAGGAAGGGTTTATGGAGGATTACTCTGTCGCACGCGTAAGTCCAAGTTGTTTGTATGCTCGTGCTGCAGTACTGACAACCTTAGCTCAACACTTCTATGATCGGCCATAACTTGCTCGACACCAATAGCAGCGCTTCCACCAACGATAACAACGAAGACGATGGCTTCTTTGATAAGGTCACCGACAAGTGGAACGAGGTTAAGGACGATGTCAAGGGAAAGATCAACGAGATCACCGGCGACGTTGCAGACAAGTTGGCAGACACCATTGGTGTCTCGGAGTGGTACTCTATTCATATCATGGCCACCTGCGATGGACAGTACAAGCCCAACGCTACAAACCCTGGCGCTGGCTACAACGTAACAAACTGCACCAACTCTGCACCAGAGAGTAAGTCCAACAACGCAGCATTATTGGTGACAATTACTAACTTCCACAGAACGATTCAACCTCACCGAGGTGCTCGACAAGCAACTGTCCGTTGGCCCCTTTGAGCTAAGCCTCGCTGATATCGACTGGCCCGACGACATCCAGGACTCCATCGACCTTCTCAACAGCGCTCTCCTCGCGACATTCATCCTGTACGTCCTGGCGGTTGGTTTCTCCGGCCTGGCCATGCTCGCCTGCATCGGCGCCTTCTTCCTCTTCTCTCGCCGCGGCGTCAACGCCGTCAACCTCGTCCTCTCCAGCCTGGCAGCCCTCGTCCTGCTCGTCTCCAGCATCCTCGTCACCATCGCGGGCAAGAAGGGCGTCAACAAGATCAACGACATCGGAGACAACGTTGGCGTCTCTGCGTCTCTGGGTAACAAGTTCCTTGCTTTGACGTGGGCTGCTGCTGCTGTTATGATTGCCGCCGCCGTCTACTGGTTTGTGCACTTGTGTCTCATGCGCCGTGAGAGAAAGAGGCAGTGGAAGCCTCGCAAGGGCAGCTACTAGATTTGATGGACGAGACTTATGATGATTAAGAACTGATGAACAGTGGATTTTGCCAAAGCTAGACTGGGTGCGATTATGATACCAGAGTGTTTTTACTTTCCTTTTGCGGTCAAACAGATGATTCCCTCCTTGGACCTTTTACTATAAGAGATTGGTACATATCTAGATATCAGATAGTAGTAATAAGATAGCTGGTCTATCTGACACTTTGCTTTGTCATGTGTGATACGGGTTTATCATAAGGTGCTGGATTTCGTAAACAAGTGTACTCTAACTCATTTGGCAAAAGGATGTTTGTATTCCCTATCATTTCGAGGGTGAGCCACGCTACATTAACACTATTGAGAGGATTCTTTGTAAAGCAATTAACTAAATTCAAAGGTCAGCGCTCATCTTAATGTGATGCCAGTTGTGTCCAAGTCATACTGATTACCCTGTAGACGAGACGGTGTAGAGCTCATGACGTCACAGTATCGACAGCCAACCGCGTGAAGCGCGTGCTATATCCGCCCTCGGGCCTTAATTCAGGCTGCCACGAGCAAGATCTCGGTCAACATACCACTGATCTCTTCGAGGCTCGCTATACACATACAGAACGCATCATTATCTACCTGCCATTAAAAAAACCCATGTCCTGGCTGTCTGGTCTTTGGAGAACATCACGCCCCAGCTATCGCAACATGCCCGACGAGGAGTCCGGCTCCGGCGAGTCAGAGTCGCTGCTTGGCCGAGGCCACAAGAAGGTTAAGCATTTCTGGGATGGCTTTGTCGACTTTGCATTTCAGGATGATATCCTCAAGATTGCCGTCGGTTTGATGTAAGAGGTCTCTCACATACGCGGTGACGGCAACTAACACGCTGCGTAGTCTTGCGGCTGCTTTCACCGACTTGGTCAAGTCTTTTGTGAGCGATGTACTCATGCCGCCTATCTCGATTCTCCTACCTCTCAACAGGAATATGGAGGAGAAGTTTGCTGTCCTGCAGAAGGGACCCAACTTTAACAAGACTACGGGTTATAACACCCTGCATCAGGCACAAGATGACGGTGCTGTTGTTTTGGCTTACGGGTGAGTAGCCGTAACAGCTCATAAAATCTGACTCACACTCACATCATATAGATCATTCATCAGCCAGATGATAGCGTTCCTCGTCCTGGGTATTGCCCTCTACGGTCTTGCGCACTTGTGGCAGCTTGCGTCGTCCGAACCCATCGTGAAGCACACCAAGAAGTGCAAGTACTGCAGACAGCGTATCAACGAGAAGGTGAGCTGAGATGATCTCAAGATAAAGCTAGCTGTGTACTAACGCTGTATAGTCTGTTCGCTGCATCCAGTGCACTAGCTGGCTTGATGGCAGAGAGGACCGCAACTGAATTGATGCCGAATGACTTGCATATACAGGATACCCCGTGTTTCCTGCCCCTTTGAGTTGCTGAAAGCGTTCTTAACAAATTGTCTTTGCTTTGTGCGATTTTGTTACATGGGTGTTGTTTACCGCGGCGAATAGACGATGCCATTTACTTGTGCTTTGCTATTAAGAAACAGCGTTGCTTAGGTTAGGTTGAATTCGTAGAAGAGTCTTGTTTTATTTTACGTAGAATTCACCCTTACGAGAACCTTTGCTTCATATCCAGTGACCTGCGTGGTTGACTATCATGATAGCTTATTAGGGTGAGTGGCGTCGATTACAGATACACTGATCTCTTATAAGTTACAAACTGGCTGTCGAGTTCAGCCTTATTATATGAATCGCATTCAAGGTCACCCACGACGATACATCCCAGCACCGAATCGAAATATTTTAATTAGACATCAATACTTGTAAACGCTTATCTAAACCATGATTCATCACCACCTGCTCACATCTACAGCAGCATAGCGGCACCACCAACAACAGCAGCCGCCGCAAGGATAACGTTCTGAGTTACCATGGGACCGGCAGCGTTGTCAGAGTGGACAGGAGTGGCAGCAGCATCAGACGAGGTCTCAGTAGCCTGAGCGCCAGTGGCCTTGGGCTTATCAGCAGAGGTAGCATCGGTGCCAGTGGGGGAAGCATCGCCGCCGCCGCTGAGCTTGTTGACACCAGCTGTGACGGTGATGGGGATGAGCATCGACTTGTAACCGCTTTCACTGGTGGCTGTTGAAGTAGAGCTGGTGATATCGGAGAGGACAGCAACTTGCTCGACAGTGCAGTAGGCCATATCCTTCTTGGGGTCCAGCTTGCAGCGCATGTCTTGCTTACTGTACGGTGTTAGATACTGCATATGTAAAAGTTGCGAGAACGGGTCACTTACATCTCACCACCATCGAATCCGTCAACATCGGGAGTCATGGTGTAGTGCATCTCCATAGTGGAGGGACCACCAACGACAGTGCTGGTGCCTTGGACACCACAGTCGCTGGAGTCGGTGCCAGCAGGACAGTGGATGGCAATAGTGGTCGCGCCGCCCTTGACAGCGACAACAGAGCCCTCGAGAGGCTGAGGATCGTACATGGGGAGGAGGAATTCAACGGTGGTTGTCTGGGCCGCGACGGTGGCGAGGACACCAGCGAGAAGAGCAAGAGATCGAGCCATTATGAATATAGTTACGGTGATGGATTAAAAGAGTGTCTGTGTATAAGCAACGAAGGAGTGTATTGGGTCGGGAGCGTTGAACGAGTGGAAGAAGAGATGATCGACTTTACTTCAAGAAACTGAATAAAAAGAAAATAAGGCGATCGGTCCCCTTTTGTTACAGCGACTGACCCTCCAAAGTCACCGCATCTTTGCAAATTGATTGAATCCTTCGGCGGCCGCTTAACGCTTTAACGACTAACGCTATGCTCGAATAAAACTCCCCGAGACCTTTTGGGTCGTGGAAAAAGGGGATTAAAACGGCACCCATGTTCCCGCCTCAGCACCCTATTCGGCGACTGCCTAATACTCTGAGCTAGTCTAAGTGCAATGCGACGTAGGTGCCTTGTAGGGCGGGATAAAATCGGAGAAGAGATAACGAGATATCTCGAAGTTGAATTGTTGGTGTTGAGGGAAGATGTTAGTGATAGGTATATTGAGGCTTAATATTGTGGGGAGAAGGCTTGGTACTTGTTGTTGGTTGTGAGTTTATGATGAATTTGGCGCCTGTCAAGCACAGAGGCCGTTGGGACTATTGATTCTTTTGCTGAAGCATTTATGGTTTTATGGGGGTGGCGTATTGCTAGACCCGTCTCAGGTCCTTGCTCTCGTACGAGTGAGGTTTAATAGGTCTAAGATAGACGAGATGAGATATATTGATTGCATAAAGCGGTAATAGCTGGTAATAACATCGAAGTATTGGATATTTGTAAAAATGTTTTTGAAATACCATATCTTGGGTAGTTATCCTACATTATATTACTAAGATAAAGTCAGGACCTTAAGAAGTCCAGTGCTTTTCACTATCAACAATAAAATTAATTCATAATATTCATATATACCTCTTCTATAATGATTATATAAATCGCGTACGGATAAGCTTCTTTCATCTAATACATTTCCACCCCTCGCATTCTGTGCCTGCCTAAAGCGCAATTTCAACAAGGAAGGCATACTCTGTACCATCCAGTTTACCTTCTTGTACTAATACACCATCTAATTATTTACACTACGAACAACCCCATTCTTTCAACAGCATAGGTGGCCCATTGATGCAGTCTGCCTTGCCTCTCATGCAGGACAACCAACCACGAGATGTGACATAGGCCGCGCCACAATGCAAGGCTCAATAACCGCCAAGTCAGGCTCTGATAGAGCATCTCTTTTGTATCTCTCGTTCCTCCGGTTTTTCTCTCATCATCACCATTATCCTCATCACCGGCAAGAACAGCAGCAACAATCATCGCCATGACTCGCTGGCACGTCACTTCTTGTACAGCACCTCAGGTCTATACCGGCCAGGACTCGATCCCTTACTGCAAAACTTGTGGCGCAACCGCGCATGAATCTCTAGCATCTTTGAAACAACAGGCTTCCAGTTCTAATTCTTTACCGGCTATTCCACCTAACGAACCCATGGGTCAGTTGAATCTTCGTTGGCCTCCAGGTGTTCCCTGGATAGATACTCCGGAAATTCATAAAGCACCTATGCATAAGCCAGCTCGGCGCAGACAGGCGCCAGCAGGTTGTGATTCAACCACGACTGACAAAGCCTCCACCAACGACTCTAACAGACCATCATTGAAGACTGCGAATACTATCTATGATCATTTGGAAAGCCAGCAATTCCGGTTGATAACTCTGGAGTTCAATAGGGACATAACATCTTCTGTGGTACGCTTGGAACTGGAAACTTATCCTATTGATAGATGTCCCGAGTACGAAACAATGTCGTACTCATGGGGAGGCGAGGATGGCAACTCCAGTCTGTGAGTACCTTGCCTAGGTATTCTCTCTAAAAACTATCCATATTAACCGCGATGAACAAAATCAGGTGTCAGCCAATATATATTGGCGACTTCTGGGATATTCTTCTCCAGACCCAAAACTGCTTCTCCCCATGCTCAGATATCTCAAACCCCATAGCGGACACCGAACCGTTTGGATTGACGCTGTCTGTATAAATCAAATAAATACTCACGAAAGAAATGAACAAGTACAGATGATGAGCCAGATATATTCACAATGCAACCAAATCTTGCTCTGGCTTGGCGCTGACCTCGTCTACCCAACCCCAGGCACTTATCCATCCCGTTTCCCTCTGCAAAACACCTCCTTGGATACAGAGATTAGTGTCGCTGGAAAGCCAACTACTCTAGAGAATATACTCAAACGCCGGTATTTTAGTAGGGTATGGGTTGTTCAAGAATTGCTCCTTGCCCCAAGGGTCATCATGCCTGTTGGAAATACTATATTCTTTGCACATCCTCGAACAGAACCTGGGTTTACGGAATCTAGTGACCATGGCTCTAGCAAAGCTTCTTCACAGATCCCATGGATGAAGCACATAACTCGAGGTAGAGTGGAAACTCGTGGTCTTTATCAAGTCGTGGGTCTACTCGGTACAAGTCAAGCGTCAGATGCCCGGGATAAAGTATTTGGTGTACTTGGTCTTTTGCCTAGTCACTCTGATCTGACAACACTCCGACCAGACTATTCTTTGTCACAGAATGGTGTCTTTACTGGCTTTGTCGCCCACAGTATTTTTGTCGAAGGCAATCATTTCCTGTTACACCAAGCATGTAGCATAGACGGTTCTCCCGACTACCCATCATGGGCGCCCAGCTACCACCTTTTGGAAACCTATTGGAACCATGTCTCGCACAAATCGCACACAGGCCATCCTAAGCAGGAAGATGCGGATCGTCATATATGTGCAACTGCTCTCAACATGCTCAGCGAAAGCTACTGTAACCTCACGAGAACGTATTGCAATGCTTGGCAGATATTAGCGTTCCGAAGTGTAAGCATTGGATGTGAGGTAGACCGAGTATCACGGCATCAGGATATATCTGGCCATGGCCTACATACTCGTGTTCACTCGGATACCGGACGACTGTCTATAAATTTGAAGAGGGTCTTTGCGATACACGAAGCCCCAGTACCTATCGATCTTCAGTCGCTGCAGGGATGTAGGGTTATATTGAAGATGAATGGATCTCTGTTAAATCCTTTGGTGTATCTCATAGGATCCAAGCCACTTCACACCATTGTCAAGGTAGGCGACGAGGTATGGATTCTAGAAACATCCGGTAACCCGAAGGTTTTTCTCATATTACGCAAAAATGGCGAGCCTCAAACGTTTCGCTTGGTTGCGACTTGTTATCATGTGTTTTGCGCCTTCTACGAACTAGTGCCAAGAGACCAGCCCTTGGTCTATGACAAAGGAGTCTATCGCATGGCCAGTTTGTGTCTCTCAATTCCCCATATACAAGCGATGATGCATTGGGATTATGAATATATTCAAATATGTTCAATGTGCAATGTCGTGTAAAAGGAATGAATAGAACTGCCTATCGACATTTTCTCCGTTTTATCTTGAGAGTCTCTAAGGAGGATGGCTACGAAGTGCGGAGACTACCCAGGAGATGGGAAAGCCTACCCGGAGGGTGGAAAGAGACCTATGTCTCATGCTTCGAACATGATGTTGAATCGTGGATAGACGGATACTATTGCCACGTCAGGATGCAGCAGGGCAGTGGGAGCCTCACACAGTTCGAGAGCATGGGCTGGGAAGTCGTCTTACGAGGAGAATCCCCTACTTTTAGGAGGGAGATACTACAGATCGAGAAAGAGTACGAAATGATGCTATCCTCGCCAGCAATCAACGAATACCTTGGAGTCTGTCTTTCGGTATGTCGAAGGACGTACGGGGATTTCGCACTTAGGGACATTGACATATTGATACAAGAAAGAGGGTACGGATATAAGGATGACGACAAAGGGGACAAAGACTGGGGCCGTTGGTTAGGCGTCGCCGATATAACTCTTGGGTACTTAGACGCTGATAAGTCCATGTTCAGCTCCAACCCCTACGTACCCAGCATCGCTGTAGATAGCCTTTTTCGAGATTTTGAACTAGATGGGAGTCAGTATCGAGTCACGATAGTATAGACTCAATTGTGAAAGGGAATTGCCTACAGGGATCTCTACTGGGGTATAAAATTGGGTCATCCTTGGCATTCACTTGTCCGTCTTGGCATATGATTTCAAACAAAAGCATGGTCTTGGCATGTCACGACAAATTTGTCCGTCTTACATTCGAGAAGCCGATATCCGGGAAAATATTTAAAGATGTAGGGATACATACGGATAGAAGTTTATTATTGGAGTGTTTCAATCTTTTTATACATCTCTTGATGTATCATCTACTCCTGCTGTTACCCTCCCATACATATCCATCCATCACCATCTTTTAGGTCTCAACCTCAACCTCGGCCGCCCAGACCTTGGCACTCTCCGCTGATGCTTGGCTCGCTTTTGGCCCCTCCCATCCCAGTTCCTTGATCAAGGAAGAGTGTCTGCAAAAAAGGAGCTGATAGAATGGTCGCCCGCGACTTTGACTTTCCAATCTCAACAGCAGTAAAACCCTTGTTTTTCGCAGCGCGTATCTTACTGTACCCGAGCACGATCGTCGCTCTCACCTCTCTCTGATTGGCTCCCGACTACTTTCTTCATCCCTGCGCGCAACGATTTTAGGTTTACCATGTACTCGGGTCTCACGTCGACTTGGCTGGCGTTGCTCGCTGTGAATAGCGTCGCATATGCTAGCGAGGAACCGCCTGCCGTGACGGCTGCGCCTATTTATCTGCCCTACTATGACGAGAAGTCTTGGTCGCTGGTGCGCGGTAGTGTTGTTTCAAGCGTAGGTTATCGCTGCTGTGAAACTCTGACGGGCACTAACGTTTACTAGAACGAGGAGGCTAAGGAGACGACATATACGATATTCTGTCCTGATACAGACAATGTGTATCCCCCAGAGTGTGATCTCTCCCTAGAGTTTCCGTTTATTATAGTCGAAGGTCCAGATACTGTTCGGTTTGAAGGCACGCATACCTCAACACTGTATGTACTCTTCTACTACAAACTACTCCCTAACTAACACACCCAGCACTGCAAACCTAGCATGCAACCTCCAAGGCACAACTAAAGCAACTTGCTCTGGCTACTCCAGCTTCAACAAAGGCTACAACGACGGCGTGCATACCGGTCCCACGGAAGTGACGTGGACGTCGACATTCACCGGGAAAGAGGTAGAATGGGGCGTCTTGACGATGGGCGCGTTGCCTCATGATCCAGATGTTGTTACTGCAGTTTCGGAAACGCCATCGGATTTTGTGTCGATGCCTATCGCAACGGATGGGAATAGCCCTGGGGCGAATTTATGTGTTGATAGAAGTGTTGCGATTCTGGCAGCTGCGTGTGCTTTGGTGGCTGGGCTTTGGTGATGGGGTTGTTAAGCTTGACGAGAATACGAATTATGATGGGTGTTTGGTGTTGGGTTAGCGAGCAATTGTTTTGTTTTTTGTTTAGTATATCTATTTAATCAGTATGACATATCTTCACTGTTTTGATGCGCTCACGGGCGTGTACTCTACGGATATATGCCAGCATGTTGCTCCTGTAAGGCTAGATTTAAGCCTAGTACAAAAATAGCGGATTGAGACACATTTTCTGTTATAGTTCTGTGAAAAAGTTGGCACAATGAGATAACTGGGAATGTACGAAGTTCTCCTCTGATACTAATACGATTTATAATGCTTTGAGGACTTTTAATAAATCCTCACAAGTTATATAATACATCATAACCTATTAAACTTGGATAAAGTCAAGAAGAGAGGAAATTATCGGACAAATGGTTACAACTTAACCAACAGAGCAGTCGGCTTTGATGATGATGGAAGTGTGCTTCGGAAGAGAGATCACGCAGTCGTCTACTGAACACCGTGACCTCATCTCATCGGTCGGGAACCTTCGACTGGTTGCTGAGAAAACGAAACTTAATTGAGATTTTCCATGAGCTCACTCTGCAACTTTATTTTGCGGCCCGATAACGAAACTCAGCGCGAAGTTCAAGATCTTCCACACAGGCGGGATGTGATATTGCGGAGTGCGTCAGCCCTAACCAGCCCGAGAAGTCTCTGACCGGACTGTTGATTATACTTTGCTCAAAGAATGAGAGCCAAATACTAATGGAAGAATCTAGAAGTGGTCGGTGGAAGAAAGTTCTTTCGTCGACTCTGTCCGGCGATATCAACACCATGGCCCTTTGAGCTACGGTTTTCATTAAATAACTGGTAATTCTATATGAACCGAAAAAGACATCATTCTTGTAACTCAATGAAGTAAACAGCATGCTGCTTTGCCTGTTTCTGACGTTCGTTGTCGTTAAACACCAAAAGGTTGGTGATGCGATATCATCGTGATATGTGTACATCAAATTCGTGATCATTCTTCAAAAGTTAACTGCCCGGGAGCTTGAGAGAGGAGGCAGTGTACGACTTCTCAAACCCCCGAGTAATTCCTCTATAGGACTTGAATGATATCAGAAGACCGCAAAAAGAAGACGACGCCGATCGGGTTCGAACCGATGCTCCCGAAGGAACTAGATTACTGAAATGAATTCAAGTCTAGCGCGATAGACCACTCCGCCACAGCGCCTAGTGTTTTTGATGCTGAAGTGACTTCAAAGTATGGTATATGTATCTTAAATATGTCTTATCTTCCAATACACGTAGCATATATCCTATAACCAACATGCTACTGTCCTATGGACTTGGGTTTATCAAACCAATTAAATATCCATTGGTTTCGACTGTCGTTGTGGCAGCACCTCTTGCTAGGTGTAAAAGCACACTTTTAGGGACTCCGCTTCGCAGCAGCACCTTTGCTTTTATGTTGAGCTCTGTCAATTAACAAGAAATGTAAAAGTATTGCATCCCTTTCATTGAAGACCCAAACGCCAAATGTTAGTATCACCACTCTACTTGGTTGATCGCTAACAATCCCAATTCGGCATGGTGTCGCTAATTTTAGCCCACTCCACAACCGTTGCGCGGCATGGCCCGAACCCTTGGTAGAATATCACTGTAGGAGGAAGTCACGAATCTCTTTCTTCCGTTGCCTCTGTGAGATTTCATCCCTTGGTATCATTGCATCCCGTTTACCTTTCGGTCGAATTTTATGTTGTTATTGTTGTCGATTTTAATAGCAGTATGGCCTGATGATTACGCGGCATTGGGAATGGAGGCAAAGCTTGTGAAATGGAGGAGCGAAGGGGCGGAAGTTTTTGGGAGACATGGCTACAAGCCGCGTCTCAAAGCACAGATTAGACCCAGATACCACGTTTAGGTTCATTGCTTGATATGCCGCAGTAGAGTGGTCTCCTTTCGTCCATAAGTATATTGACAGCTGAAATATGCGGAGTAAAATGGTAGATAAGGGAGACCAGACTATAGAGAAGTTGCCATGGATTCATGATAGAGTTACTGCCACTCCGGACAACACACAAATGAAGGCTGAAATAATCATGTCATGTTATACCTCAGCAAGCTCTGGTTGAGAGAAAGGAGTGACTAGGCCCTTAAGATGAGACAGTGGCACAGCTAATAACATTAACATCCTGCACCCCCTTCCCGCCATACCCCCCATTCTGCCACCTATAATTACCTTACTTTTAGAAGGAAAGGTAACGTTAAATTAATAATTTTATATATAAATAACGGTAGTTTAATTTGGCTAAAACTAAAATATATTTATAAAGGCCTCTTAACTACTAGTAATAACATTTATTAAGTTTTTTTAAAGGTTTAATATATTACGGTTTTATATAATAATTAGTATATTTTCTAATTGGAAGTAAGTTACTGTAATTTCTAGAATATAAATAAATTACTTATTAAAATTATAATTAATAGGCCTTTTTTTTATTACCTTATATAACTTTTTTTAATCCTTAAGATATATTATTTTAGCTATTTTCTTAATATTTATAATATTAAGGTAAGTTAATTACTTAGCGATTTAATTAATAAGGAGCTAGGTATAGTATTTAATTAGGCTAGAGACCTTTTTTATAATTTCTAGCTATATCTATACTTCTTAGCTATTTTTTAAAGTTATATAAAGCTTATTAATTAGTTTTTTTTACTTTATTAGGTTTATTAAAGGAGTTTTAGGTAAGGGAGGAAATGCTAGTTTTATAACTTTTTATAATAACTTATTAATATTAATAGGCTATATTTTTATACCCTAGAAGGTATATAAAATATTCCTTATAGTTATAGTCTTTTTATAGGCCTCTTTATAATATTATATAAAATATTATTTTTATATTAATAACCGGGCTTTAAAGGAAGTAAATTAGGAAGTTTTTTAATAAAAAAACTTTTTTAAAATTAAGAAAATATTAATATTAAGTAACTATATAATATATAATAAGTACTTTAAAAGATATACTAACTAGATTTTATTTAACTATATTAAAAATATAATTTCTATTATAATATAAATTATATAATTATTTAATATAAATATTCTTTACTAACCGGGTCTTAAATATATATTTAGAATAAAATTATTATAAAACTATAAAAAGAAAATATATAATATTAACTAGCCTTTCTTTAAATACTTAAATAACTAGTTAAGATAAAAAAGATTATTAAATTACTAACCTTAAAGGTTTTATTTTATAAAAATAATAAGTAATTTTATTAAAGTCCTTATTACTAAGATATACTTTAAAATAAAGACCTAAATATAGGAATCAAACTTAAATATAATAAAAATATATATATATAAGCTTTTATATACTTTTTTATACTTTATTTTTCCTTTAATAAGTCTATATTTATTAATATTATATAATATTAAAGGAAGAATATCTTTTTAATTAATTTAGTAGGTAAAAAGCCTATAAAAATAGTATAATATATTCTCTAAAGTTTTTTATATTTATATAGCTTTTACCGATTATAATAACTTTATTTTAATATTTTTATATTAATTAAAAAAGTAATAGATTTAATAATAATTAATAATAGGCTTTTAATTATTATAGTAAAAGATAAGCTTAGTAAATTTACGTATTTTATACTATAAAGAAGCCTAGTTAGTATTTTCTTTATTAAGAATCTAATTTATAAGGAATTCTTTTTACTTTAAATTAAGCTTTTAATATTTAATTTATATATTATAAGTATTAATACTATCTTTTTTACGGTTTTTTAAAGTCTTTTATAAAATAGTATACTTTTTAGCTATAGGTATTACTGGCTTTATTTTTACCTTTTTTAATATATAGAAAATTTAATATTTACGATCTTTACTTATTTCCTTATAAAATAAAGTTATTCCTAGCTTTATATAATAATAATTAATAATATTATAGTATACTGACCGGTTATTATAATCTATTAATAAAGTTAATAATAAGGTGGCGGAAGGGGGGGGGGGGGGGGGGTGGCGGAAAGAGGGGTTAGGATGTTAAGACCTAGACTCTGCTTACGGGCTTACAGTAAAGCTCAAATAGGACGACAATCCACGGCCATGCTCCGACAGAGTTCATATCCACATAAGAAGGCCGCATCTCCCCAAGTCCAAGGAACAAGACATGGAAAAGGAAATCTCGTGTCTTACAAGGACCGTACCTGCGCCATGGGGGAATGTGGAGGCTCCACATGCAAGACAAGAAGCTTGGCTTTGAGCTTCTTTTTGCCCTTGGGATTGACCCAGGTTCAGCACTGACCTCAGTGGGCGTGCAAAAGTTATGATAATTCAGTCTTTTGTAGGATCTTACATAAATATTCTATTACTATTTTAAAGTAACTATATTATCATTTATACTCCTAGTTGACCGGTTATGACAATTTATGCTTAGGAATATCTCATTTGCTTCTGCTGTTTCTGGCTTGTGAGCCTGGTCACCATGAATTCCCACGTGTTCTAATCACGACCAGCAAGGGGTTTTGTTTTTCTACTAGAAAATACGGCAAAGACGGAAACGTTACAGTCATGATCAGGCGAAAGAAACGTTCGGCGTGTTTCATGTTTCAACTTCTCCTTCTCTTGGGAGGGTGTGTTTCGTCAATGACAGTGAGTCGGTGATCAATGTCGCCCAAGCAAGGGCGGGGAGAAAAAGAAAGATTGCTGGGGGAGTGGGGGAAGTGGAGATGAGATGAGAAGTCTGGTTACATATACAGTAACGTTTTATGCACAGTTGACGGGCAAGGATAAGGATGCTTGTGTATCTTGAGGTGATAGTTACGCAGCATATTGCACTTACATCTTGTAAGTTTAGGCATGATATCAATGGCGGCATTTCAGACGCGTACACACAACACACAAACTCCCTGTCACGATCTTACCAAAAGGCTCCTAGTCAGGGCATTGCATATCGTGGCACCAAGCCTGTCTCTCCAACTCTAGACGCCTACCAATCCATCCCCTCCCCCGAGACATCTAAGCTTTAGTGGCGTTTTACCCCTGGATCCTTTTTCTTTTTTGGGTTTTCGCACCAGATTCGAATTGTTCAAGAGCCGCGTGCTGGTTGACTGATGGGCGATCATCTACCCGCGCGCTGACGCGAAACAAGCCGGTCCTTTCTGTAACACGATGTTTTGTTCTACTGGTGACTGGCCAAGAAACCGCGGCTGATCGTCGTAAACGTCAGGGGCTTTTGTGTACTTCGTTATGCCATGTCCGTCTGCGGGGGAGAGATTGTATTCACAGTTTTGGGGTACGGAGAGAAAGGTCATGATTCAACGGTTGGTTTGTCTGAGGCTCATGAGCAAAAAGGTCTCACAGTAGTACAGTAGTAATACTAGTCTTGGCTTACGAACCCGTAATCATTCGTCATTAACCATTCGTCGCCCAAGATAAATCCTCCCTGCTTGTCTAGACAGCATCTGAAAACAGTTCTGCCAGGGTATTAATACCCAGTCTAGTCCCCCATCGTCTGGACTAGCCCAGTCCAGCCCAAGCAAAAAAAAGAACGATCGAACGTCTTTAGAGCTTCTCAGCTTATTGCGTTCTCGTATTCCATTCTCTACTTTAGTCAAAAAGGTGTCGTGTTTAGGGCAGCCCTGTCCTCGTCTCACTCATTTTCTTCTTATCTTTTACTTTTCACGACGCCCGCAAATCGCTCGATTTTCTGTTTGAGTTTCTTCATTTTCGTGGCGGTTTTTGGTTGTACTTCATCACCATCCATTCATTTACCCGGATACCTCACACGACATCATTCGTTGGACTGCTGCTTCCATCTACACCAAACTCATATTCGTTTGGCTGGGTAACAGCTATCCAGAGATCCAAGCCCTGTCTACTACTATTTAAAACCTACGTCTTCCTGGAGAAGAAAAAGAAAAACATTCGCTGAGCGACACTTTTCAACACTTTAACACTCTTACATCGTCAACATTATCATAAACGATCACCGTTTATCATGAAGTTTTTAACCTGGGCCAGTTTGGCCTCCCTCGCCGTTGCTACCAAGACGGCACCCAGCTCTCTTGACATCAACAACCCCAGTACGTATCACCGCTTTCAGTTACTACTCCACGTCACTAACACGCTCAGAATCCATCAAGGATGTTTCTGGGACTCTCGCCTTTGACTCCATGTCCTACTACAGCGGCAACACATCCTCAGTCCCCAAGGATCTCGGTGATCTCCAGGATCCTTACTACTGGTGGGTAGCTGGTGCCCTCTGGGGCGTCATGCTCGATTACTACCACCTCACGGGAGACTACACCTACAACAACGAGATCATCAAGGCCCTTCTCAACCCCACGAACCTCGGTGCTGGTCACAACTACATGCCTGCTGAGCATGCCGACGAGGAGGGCAACGACGATCTCTTCTTCTGGGGCTCAGCTGTTCTCACCGCCGCTGAGCGAAACTTCCCTCAGCCCAACAAGAACCTCCCATCGTGGCTCGACATCGGCATCAACGTCTTCAACCAGCTTGTCAGTCGCTGGGACACAAAGGCTTGTGGTGGTGGTCTCTACTGGCAGATCTTGGAATCCAATTTCCATGGCATGACTTACAAGAACTCGGTCAGCAACGGCGGTTTCTTCCAGCTCGCCGCCCGTCTCGCCCGCATCACGGGTGAGCAGAAGTATCTCGACTGGGCCAACAAGATCTGGGACTGGTCGTGGCAAGTCAAGTTCGTCAACAACGAGAGCTATCGTGTCTACGACGGCGCCTCTGTGACGGATCAGTGTCAAAAGGTCACACCGCACGCTTTCAGCTACACCCAGGGCATCTACCTTTACGGTGCTGCCGTTCTTGCGAACCACACCCAGAAGCCAGAGTGGGTTGACCGTTCCCAGAAGCTTCTCGCCGGCACAGACTTGTACTTCACCCAGATGAGCAACTCCACCAACGTCATGTACGAGTCCGCCTGCGAGACGGTCATGACGTGCAATGCGGACATGTCCACCTTCAAGGGCTACCTGTCACGCTTCATGTACCTTTCCATCCAGATGCAGCCCGCACTGAAGGACCAAGTCCACTCCCGCATGATCCCGACGGTCAAGGCCGCCGTCCAAACTTGTGTTGGTGGCAAGACTGGTCGTGAGTGTGGTCAACGCTGGTGGGTTCCCGGCTTCGATGGAAACACTGGTCTCGGCCAGCAGATGTGTGCCCTCGAAGCCGTCCAGGGCTTGCTCCTTAACGAATCCCCTGCACCGCTCAAGGGCAAAGACGTCAAGGTCATCCGCAGCACCGACTGGGCTGCCATGGACAGAGACAAGGTCTCCATCAAGAGCACACCAACATCATCCAGCCCCGGCCCAACAGGCACGCAATCAACAGGAACTACTGACTCTCCAGCTCAGCCTTCCAAGAGCAAGGATGCTGCCAGTCTTTCCCGGGCTGATCTTGTCCTTACATCGTTCAGTGTGGGAAGTGTCCTGTTGTTCCTGGGCTTGGTCTAGACACAAAAGTTCTTGATTATTTTTTAGAATACAATGGATTAGAATAGGTTAGAACGGGATAGGCGTTTGGATCAGGCATACACGGTCTTGGGGGTTCATTTTTCGATATAAGACGCTCATGCCATGAACGTTGCTCTTTTAATTCCACGAGATTATGTCTAGATATTCTAGAATTAACCTAAAACGCCGTCGTTTTATCTTCCTTTATCCCCGATTAAGTGCTCTATTTCTATGATCCTCTAACCTCGGCCAACGTGGTCTTCAACGACTCCAGGAATCTTGTAACCTCTTCATCTGTACCAACTGTGATGCGTAGACATCCCAGACATCCGTGCTCTTTACCCCTGAACCGCACAACGACGCCCTTTCCCTCGGCAAGTATCTCGTAGACGGCCTGCGCCACGCTGTTGTCTGGTTCGCCTGCTGAGTTGAGTATCTCGTAGAGCAAGAAGTTACTCTCGGTGCCACCTCGTAGACGACCAACGCCGGGGATCTTGGGAAGCTCCTTGACAAGACGATCACGCGACTGGATTAGGCGAGCGCGGTGGTCTCGCATGATAGCAAGGCCTTTTTCAGACACTGCGTAGGACGCAAGGGCACTCGTAGGGCTGGAAATGTTGTAAGGGGCCTTGAGACTGTTGAGAAGTCGGGCGATAGGGGGTGAGGTGAAAGCAGCTCCAAGACGGATACCAGCCATGCCAAACGCCTTGGAAAGGGTCTGCATAACGACCAGATTAGGGAACTCGGTCACCCATTCGGCAAGAGAAGCATCATCGGGGGCAAAGTCGATGTATGCCTCGTCAAGAACAACGACTCCGTTCCATGATGGGTGGTCGAGAATTTGCTGGACATCAGACTTGGCGAGGACTGAGCCGGTAGGGTTACCAGGAGAGCAGAGGTAGACAAGCTTGATGTTGGGTTCGTTCGTCAAGGCATCTAGAACAGCTGGTACATCAATGCCAAACGTGGGAGCCTCCAGAAGAGGAACCTTGACAAGTGCGACATCGTTGACCTGCGCAGACACAGAGTACATGCCATACGTAGGCGGACATGTAAGAATGCGGTCCTTTCCGGGAACGCAGAAGCACCGCAGCAGAGCATCGATAGCCTCGTCACTTCCAACACCCACGAACAAATTCTCGGGCTTCAGCGTCTTGCTTGTATGGGCGTGGGTGTTGCGCAGCTCGCAAAGCAGCTGCTTCAAGGGCTCCTGGTGAGGATCAGGGTAGCGGTGCAGGCCGAGCAGATCGACGTCGACGCCATTGGCAGCTTGCTTGGCATCATCTGAGTTCAAAGAGGGGCCGTAGGCGTTTTCATTAGCATCGAGAAGGATGTTTGTGCCGTCGTCTTTGTAATCGCTGCATGATGGGTTAGTTATGTTATCTGCGTGGGATTGCGGGGGAGGGGCAACTTGCTCTCGGGCGCAGCGGTAGGGCTGGAGAGCCAGGATGTTTGGCCTTGCGCAGGCCTCGAGGTTGAAAGGTGCCATTTGGGGTGTTAATTGATGTGTTTTTGTGTGCAATTGGAGATTATAGAGGGTGATGCGTGGTTCTTTAAGGTCAGTGTTGAGATAGAGCACTTTCGGTAGCTGGGGCCGACGCCGGAGGGGCGAGTCATCGGCTTTTTTTGTGGGTCGGATATTGTATCATGGGAGTTGACCACTGGATGTATGAGATTTGAATGATAAGATTTGCTGTTTAGAATCTTGAGAAGCAATTGGCTGTGGATAGTTTATCTATGATGCCTGTAATATCACTTTCGGAGGAATAATTGAGTCAACGTGCACGTCTTCGTTTGTAAGTCACTTACAGATACTTCGACGCTACCCTGGAGACAAAGTCTAGAATACGCTCTCATCATTTAACAGCAACATGACGCAGCGAGATGACCATGTAATTGTGTGGCTGCATGTTTTTACTCTTGGTATTTTGGGTAACTTATCCAGAGTGTGTTCATCTGGAGTCATTTAACTGCGCAAGGTGATTGATGATTTGGTGTTGATTTGGTGTGAGTCCATTTAACTTCCTTGAAACACTGACGACAATTATTTTTCAAAGCCAATCCTGCTGTTTGTGAAACAACGGCCCAACCCTACTGTTCAATGATGGATGAGGGTATAGGAACCAAATACAGTTCAAAATATAGGTGTCAAATAAAGTGTCTAAGAGGAACCATAATATCTTGTAGCCAGCGGCCTAGACTGGGGTATACTTGCACCTCTTCACCACAAACCAATGCTTACAACATAGATGTAAAACCGAGCTCAACTTTCAATAACAAAGGTCGCGTGGCCCAATGGCAAGGCGTCTGACTACGAATCAGAAGATTCTGGGTTCGATCCCCAGCGTGATCATACTTTTTGACCTGAGACGGTGTTTAGAGGATGTCGATCCTCCAATGTGGGGGATGCTTCAAACTTTTTGGTCAACAGGAGGAACATCATCAAGAACAATTGACTTTGAGTCTGAATACGACTGATATCTGGCCTCAATGGATTGGGTTTGTTTGGTCATTAATAGTCTGCATAAACCACCCCAAAGAGACATACGTGATACGTGCTGTCTGTAAAGATTCTCATAGTGAAAAACTCTGTCTTTGAGGTTGCCCCACCCACTTACACGCACTCTCCCTGCAACCGTTCGAGAATTTCAAGAGGAATCTACCACTCATTTGTTAGAGTAGGTCAAAAATGGCAATTAGGTTCGATATGCAGCATCCTTTATCTTAAATTCGGAACTTTGGCTCGGGAAGTGGCTGTAGGCGGTTCACTACTCTCTGTCTCGTAGTAACAGGTATTGAGTCTGATTGGTTAGATAACACTCTTCGTTCTACGGATAATCCCCTGTAAATCATGGAGCGTTCAATCTAATTGACTGCTGTACGGCTTGATCTATCACTGTAAGAGATGAAGGCCTGGTTGGAGGCTTATTGTATATCAATTAGAAGCGAAATGGGCAAAAATAGATGATCACGCTGGGGATCGAACCCAGAATCTTCTGATTCGTAGTCAGACGCCTTGCCATTGGGCCACGCGACCTTGTTGTTGAATGATTCCTCGCTGTCGAATTGCTCTCCATGATTGTGGACGAGGTAGGCCAAGGGACATACTCGTCTATTGTATGCAGGCTTCAGACGTTACACATCAAAGCGGTTGGGTGCCCTGAGAAGATGGAGGTAAGCAAGAAGTTGATTATCTTCTTATCGAGCAATGACATCGATCTAATGCGAGGCCATACGAAGAAGTTGACCTCGAATGATTGGGCTCCAGAAAGATTATGAATAATTTGAAGGCGTAAGGACGGTTCAAGTTGCCTTTATGAAGATGCGATATTGCAGGGCGGTTGGCTGAGGACAGATATAGCTTTGCTGAATAAAGCTGATGCTGTTGAGTGATTGGATGAACAGTATTGGGGCAGACACTTAACTAAACGTTAGCTGAATCGTCCTATCTGCGATACGAATGTAGAGGATTGAGATCAGTAGAAACGGTGTAGTACCTAGTTAGCAGAGACTCATTAGTAGGGATTGACTGCTAAAGTATTGAGACGTCTGGTTTTCGTATGGCGATAGGGAGTACATCGGCTCTGAATCAATACTTACAGGTATTTCAGCTCGCCTACTTCAATATTTGTCTTATCCTAGCTGATGTTCCCTGAATGATCCTGGCTCATAACCCATTCATTTCCCGGAGGTCCTTGCTTGGCATGTTACCATAAGAACTGCCAGAAGTATCCAAGTCTGTATTCAGGTGGTTAGATTTACAACAAGTACATACAATTTAATTATACTTGACCAGTTTATAGAGTATACACAGCGTTGATATACTTTAATTACAGGTACCTAGGTTATGATACAGTAGCCGTTGATTTACAGGCTGTAACATTTGCCCCACCCAAGCACGTCTCAAGTCATCTCAACCTTAGCCTCTAGGTTTCATTCCTAATCCTGGAACTAACTGAACCGCGTTCGTACCAAGGGCCAAGCAACAAGCCCAGCCTCCCCCAATACTACGCCATACGCCATCTGACCCGACTTGTCCTGACCCGTCCTGACCCAACCTAACCTGTCACTCACCGAATCGACGAAACGATACGATACGAATATCCATTGTTCAACCTGATCCTGATCGACTGATTGGACGTGGTCTCCATTCGTGTTCCATCGCCAGCCAACGACAAGCCTGTTCTCGCTCACACACGCTCTGTCACACGCGGGCGCGCAAATCCCACTGTATTATTCTATCTGCCGCTGCTACCACAGCAGACCACAGGTGACAAGACAACCACTGCCCACCACGCGCTGCCGCTCGAAGCGCTGCACTGACGCCTTGACGCCCTGAAAGCGATAAACCAGCCCAAAACAATCCAACCCAACGCAGACCCAGACCCAGGTTACAGTCGCCGTCGCAGTCGCAGTCGCAGTCGCAGTCGACAGTCATGTACTCCGCCGGCTACGGCTTTGCCAACAATGCTGCTCCCTCCTTCAACAACCCTGCCCCACAGCAGCAGTCCGGAGCCCAGCCAGCCGCTCAGCAGATGATGTATAACCAGCAGCAGCAGTTCGCCGGTATGACGCCTCAGGGAGGCTTCAACCCTGGCGCAAACCCTCAAATGATGGGCGCTGGCCCTGGGGGCATGATGCCGAACCCAGGCATGCAGCATATGGCTGCCAATGGCCAGAGTACGTTACATTTCTTCAATTGCGCGCCGACTCCATATCGCATCTATCAAGACGCGCCGACCCCAAATCGCATCCGTCGAAAGGGGCCGGACCCCTCTTGCATCACCGAAATCGACGGTTTGAATATCTATGGTCCGGGGCAACTCTCACCGAGCGAGTTGCAAGACAGTCCACCGAACGAGTTGCAAGACAGTTCACCGAGCGAGTTGCAAGTTAGTTCGAGAGGCGATTCACCACTCATTCTCCGTTGCGGCCTTTGACAGCTAACGTAATGCGCACAGTGGCAGCATTTCAACAGCAATTCCCCGGTAACCCTTACGGTCAAGTCGTTTCCTCGTCGGTCGCCCCTCAGAACTTTGCGCCGAACTACATGATGGGAGGAGGCATGCAGGGCTTTCCGATGAATCAGGGCGGTATGCCCCAGAACCCTCAAATGATGCAGCGAATACAACAGCAACAGCAGCAACAGGCACAGCAGCAGGCCCAACAAGCCCAGCAAGCCCAACAGCAGCAACAGCAGCAGCAAGCCGCGAACCCGGCCGGCATGGGGCAGGTATCAACTCCTCAAAGACCACAGAGTGCCGCGCAAGGGACGCCGAACAACGCCTTAGCGTCGCAACAGGGCCAGTTCCCAACACCGCAACCTCAATCCCAAAGCCAGACACCGACGAACCAGCACACACCGCAGCTTCCTCAACAGCAGCAGCAGCAGCAGCAGCCTCTACAGCTACAGGGACAACCACAAGGGCAGGGGCAACAACAGCAGCCATCTGCTGCTTTGTCGACACCCCAGACGCCTACCTTTGCTCCGAATCAAGGACCAACCGTGAACGGTGGTCCAACAGCATCGGTCCCGCTAAGCCCGGGAACCGAAGCTCGAGATAAGGAGCGCTTTTCTCTATTGCTTGATATCAACCACGAACTACTCTACGAATCTATCCAAATCCAGGCCACTCAGCAGGAGCTTAAGAAGGAGAATGCTGCAGCTGGGAATCCAAGCGACAAGAAGCAGACGGAAGAGGAAACGCAGTTGCAGCAAGATTATCTTCAGTGAGTTACCCCATGAGGTGATACCACTGGGTATAACTAACAATCCATTAGATGTATGAGACGCTTACAAGGAAACTTGTCCTACATGGCAGCACTTGCAGACAGAAAGCCTGAGGTTAAAGTCCCACCCTGTCCGACATATCTTAGCGCACCGCCTCTGCATCTTTCAGCCAAACTTCGTGCCCCTGCTCTAGGGGGTCCTGAGGGATCGGAGAATAATATTGATCCAGTTACGGACCGGGAAGAACGAAACAACAGCATCAGAGATTTGTATTCAAGATTACAAGCCGCCTTTCCAGGTTTCGACCCATCCAAGGAGCCTGCATATCGTATGAATACTCAAGCTGGACAGAAGCCAGGCAACTTGATGGGAAACCAGGCCAGTCCAACAGGTCAAAGGACACCCAAGATTGGGAATATGGGGGCTCCCCCAATGCCTTAGTGAGGCGAATCACAGATTATAACCAGTTTAAAAGCTCGGCTTGTTCTGGGTGTACAAATGGCTTGGGGTTTTATAGACATTCAGACGGGAGTTCTTTCAATTATGATGAGTTGATCTGTTCGTGCGTCAATGAGTAGCATTTACATACTGTTTTACTATAGGGATATTGGCATGGCTTGAAGAGCTTGACAAAACAGCGGACTTGAAGCAGTCTTGTTAGAAGAAGAGTGTTACCCAAGGAGCGTTGTAAAAGGAGGATCGTATATCTAGGTACTTAGTGTTGGGTGTTTGACCCAGGGCGTTGAGGGAGAACTGGAACTGCTCTACAAAGACTAACGATGAATCAAAGATCTATCAAGATCGTTGCACATATGTGAAGGCTTGTTACGGCTCTAGTTGCTCGAACTCGATGTGAGGGTTATTCCGCTACACGAATGTCACATGCAAGTGTGAAAGATTTTATATTTTGCGGTTTAAGTTTCATGAATCCTGTCACTTTGTGACCCCCAATCCAGTAAGGGTATAAATGGAAATACTTTCCTCCTGGCCATCTTCTTTCTCCTAACATTGTAAGACAAAACATGCGTCGTACCACAAGCCTCATCCCGATGCACAAAATATTATTGAACCTGCATGACGGGTTTAGACGGTTCGACAGAGGCTAGAAGCTAAAAAGCCAATGTGGACAATCCAATCCACATTGCCTAGCTAAGCCAATCATGGCAAAGTGAGAGGTAAAAAAAATCTTTTTCTTCTTCTTATTCTTCTTCAGCAGTGGAGGTGGATGATGAACGGAAAGTGGGTTTTCCAGCATTTTAGCCTGTGATATTAGCAGCGCGCTTTTTTACATTTTCTCACTACCGCCCTGGGCTCGAGCTTTACTACGTAGTTAGTACTTGCATTGCATCCTGTTAAAGTCAAAAGTGCGGGTTGTGAGTGAGAAAAAAGAAAGGAAAATGGGTTTGCTGCGCGCTGACTGTGCTCTCACAGTAAGCCCTATGATTATGCTTACGGAGTGAGGCTCACGCACATGCTGCAGCTTCTGGAATGGTTCCCTACTGCATAATGACAGAGATTGCCATGTCTCTGGTGTTGCAGACTTTGTCATGACAACTCCATGCCATGCCATCCCATTCTCGCCGTTGCAGACGGTTCGTCCGTCACCGGAGTCGTTGTAACCTCCTCCACTAACTACCACTGTATTGCCTTGGCAGTATCGAGACTAATAGAAACAGTGAGGCTAAACCCTGACTGTGACCGCTGATCGAGAAAAAATCCACCCACGAGGCTCAAATCCAACCATTTTCTCATGGTCGATCGTCCATGATGAAAGGTTGTTACGCAGCTCGTGGAGTGGCTTTGAGAGGTTCGGCCAAGGCATGGCGGGGCATGTTTAGTGTCTTAGTGTCCCTGCAGCATTACTACGGCCCGCTGCAATTGGCCGCATTTGGGGAACCGGCACCAATTGGCCAATTAGAATTATTCCCAGCCCACAGCGGGGGAGCACCCTGCCACTGCTAAACCAAACAGCCCGGCCAGGCGATAAAAAAAAAAGTTTCAAAGAGGACCGCTTTCGTCAAGAGAACTTCTCTTCTTCTTCTTCCTCTCCTCCTCCCAAACCCTCGCTCTTCTCCAAGATCCTCTTCTCCCGCCAACTACCGTTGAGGCTGATGATTGCGAGGTAGCTTCTGACATTACCAGGGTAGCTCTGAAAACGAGTTAACTTTGCCGGCCTTGGCCAAGCTTGCAATCTCCCTGTCCTTGTCCTTGTCCCCGCGACGACACGACCCCTCTACCTCCGTCGTTTCGTGCCCCGCGCTTTTCTTTGGGTGCTTTGTTGATAAAGCCCAGCGCAGGAGCTTCTTCTGATTCTTTTGTTTGCTCAATTCCCACATCACATCCATAACAATGGCTTTGGTTCCTCTACCTCCGGCCTCGGCTCGCCAGGTTGGCTCCGAGGACGATGGCCTTGCCTGCCTCGAGCTTGAGGATGGCTCCTCTTTCCAGGGCTACAGCTTCGGTGCTCAGAAGAGCATGGCTGGAGAGCTGGTCTTCCAAACGGGTATGGTTGGTTACCCCGAGTCCGTGACAGATCCTTCGTATCGCGGCCAGATTCTCGTCATTACTTTCCCTCTTGTCGGAAACTATGGCGTTCCCTCGCGCGAGACTATGGATGAGCTCCTCGGCGACTTGCCTGCTCACTTCGAGTCCAGCGAGATCCACATCGCTGGTCTCGTTACCTCGTCCTATGCGGGCGAGGATTTCTCTCACTTCCTCGCTACATCTTCTCTCGGCACATGGCTGAAGGAGCAGGGTGTTCCCGCCATGTACGGCGTTGACACTCGTGCTCTTACCAAGAAGATCCGCGAGAAGGGTAGCATGCTGGGCAAGTTGCGCCTCGAGAACCGCGGCCTGACCAATGGCTCCGTCAACAGCCAGGGTGACGTTGCCTTGGCTGCTCTGCCCCTCGACCACTTTGAGCAGGTCGAATGGATCAACCCCAACACCAAGAACTTGGTTGAAGAAGGTGAGTTTTCCAGCGTTTTCGTACTTGGAGGCGCATGCTCATCATCTATGTAGTTTCCGTCAAGGAGCCTAAGCTCTATAAGCCACCCACGTCGGTCGCCCGTAAGCACCCGTCAGGGCGTACTATCCGTGTTCTGTGCCTCGATGTCGGTATGAAGTACAACCAGCTGAGGTGCTTCCTCAAGCGTGGTGTCGAGGTCCTTGTTTGCCCTTGGAACTACGACATCGCCGCCCACATTGACGAGTTCGACGGTCTTTTCCTCTCCAACGGTCCCGGTGACCCCGCCGTCCTCGGGGACACCATCAAGAACATCGCCTCCGTCCTCGAGAAGAACGAGATCCCCGTCTTCGGTATCTGCTTGGGACACCAGCTCCTCGCCCGAGCTTCTGGTGCCACTACCAAGAAGATGAAGTTCGGTAATCGTGGTCACAACATCCCTTGCACCAGCATGGTCACTGGCAAGTGTCACATCACTTCCCAGAACCACGGTTTCGCCGTCGACACTGACAGCCTTACCAACGGCTGGAAGGAGCTCTTCGTCAACGCCAACGATGGCAGCAACGAGGGTATCTACCACACTGAGAAGCCCTACTTCAGTGTGCAGTTCCACCCCGAGAGCACTCCCGGTCCTCGCGATACCGAGTTCCTCTTCGATGTCTTCATCAACACCATGGCCAACTGCGCTGAGAAGCCTGAGCTCCTCAAGACTCCTGTCCTCTTCCCTGGCGGTACCATTGAGGAGAACGAGGCCCTCCACCCCCGCGTCTCTGTTCGCAAGGTCCTGGTTCTCGGCAGTGGTGGTCTCAGCATTGGCCAGGCTGGTGAATTCGATTACTCTGGTAGTCAGGCTATCAAGGCTCTGAAGGAGGAGGGCATCTACACTGTCCTCATCAACCCCAACATTGCCACTATTCAGACCTCCAAGGGCTTGGCTGACAAGGTTTACTTCCTTCCTGTCAACGCTGATTTCGTCCGAAAGGTCATTCAGTACGAGCGCCCCGATGCCATCTATGTCACCTTCGGTGGACAAACCGCCCTTCAGGTTGGTATCCAGCTCAAGGATGAGTTTGAGTCCCTCGGTGTCAAGGTCCTTGGTACTCCCATCGACACCATCATCACCACAGAGGATCGTGAGCTCTTTGCCCGCAGCATGGAGTCCATTGGCGAGAAGTGTGCCAAGTCTGCTTCTGCCAACAACATCGATGAGGCCATGCATGTCGTCAAGGACATTGGCTTCCCTGTCATCGTGCGTGCTGCCTACGCCCTTGGTGGTCTCGGCAGTGGTTTCGCCAATGACGAAGACGAGCTTCTCGAACTCTGCAACAAGGCTTTCGCCGCCAGTCCTCAAGTTCTTATTGAGCGTAGTATGAAGGGCTGGAAGGAGATCGAGTACGAGGTTGTTCGTGATGCTCAGGACAACTGTATCACTGTTTGTAACATGGAGAACTTCGATCCCCTGGGTATCCATACTGGTGACTCTATTGTTGTCGCCCCCTCCCAGACCTTGTCCGACGAGGACTACAACATGCTGCGAACAACAGCTGTCAACGTCATTCGCCATCTCGGCGTCGTCGGAGAGTGTAACATTCAGTATGCCCTGAACCCCTTCTCCCGCGAGTACTGCATCATCGAGGTCAACGCCCGTCTGTCCCGATCCTCAGCTCTTGCTTCCAAGGCCACCGGTTACCCTCTGGCCTTTATCGCTGCTAAGCTTGGTCTCGGCATTCCTCTCAAGGAGATCAAGAACTCAGTCACCAAGTCCACTTGTGCTTGCTTCGAGCCTTCGCTTGATTACGTCGTGGTCAAGATGCCCCGATGGGATCTCAAGAAGTTCACCCGTGTGTCCACTCAACTTGGTTCTTCCATGAAGAGTGTGGGTGAAGTCATGAGCATCGGTCGATCGTTCGAGGAAGCCATTCAGAAGGCTATCCGAGCTATCGACTTCCACAACCTTGGTTTCAACGAGACTGAGGCCCTCATGAGCATTGAGGACGAGCTTCAAACCCCCTCTGATCAGCGTCTGTTCGCTATTGCCAACGCCATGCACGAGGGCTACACTGTCGACAAGATCTGGGAACTGACCAAGATCGACAAGTGGTTCCTTACCAAGCTCAAGGGCTTGAGTGACTTCGCCAAGCGAATGACCGGCTACAGCACCACTGATGTGACTGCCAGCCCCTCTATCCTTCTCCAGGCCAAGCGTCTCGGCTTCAGTGATCGTCAGCTCGCCAACTTCTGGAGCTCCAACGAGATTGCTGTCCGCCGCATGCGACTTGAGGCTGGCATTACACCTTTTGTCAAGCAGATCGATACCGTCGCCGCAGAGTTCCCTGCCTTCACCAACTACCTTTACATGACATACAACGCCTCCGAGCACGACGTCAGCTTTGATGATCACGGTGTCATGGTCCTGGGTTCTGGTGTCTACCGTATCGGTTCCTCAGTCGAGTTCGATTGGTGCTCAGTCCGAGCCATCCGAACCCTTCGTGCCACTGGTTTCAAGACTATCATGGTTAACTACAACCCTGAGACGGTCAGTACCGATTACGATGAAGCGGATAAGCTCTACTTTGAGAACATCAACCTGGAGACTATCCTCGATATCTACCAGCTTGAGAACTCGAGCGGTGTTTTGGGTGCCATGGGTGGTCAGACTCCCAACAACATTGCCCTACCCCTGCACCGTGCTGGTGTTAAGGTCCTTGGTACATCCCCTGAGATGATTGACAACGCTGAGAACCGATACAAGTTCTCTCGTATGCTGGATCGCATTGAGGTTGACCAGCCTACCTGGAAGGAGCTTACCAGCTTTGCTGAGGCCCAGGATTTCTGTAACACTGTTTCCTACCCTGTCCTGGTTCGACCTTCCTATGTTCTTTCCGGTGCCGCTATGAACACTGTCTACTCCGAGAAGGATCTCAAGAGCTACCTGGATCAGGCTGCCGAGGTTTCCCGAGAGCACCCTGTCGTCATCACCAAGTACATTGAGAATGCCAAGGAGATTGAGATGGACGCCGTTGCTAAGGACGGTAAGGTCATTGGTCACTTCATCTCTGAGCACGTCGAGAACGCTGGTGTTCACTCTGGTGATGCCACTCTCATCCTGCCCCCTCAGGATTTGGAGGCAACTACCATTCAGCGTATTGAGGAGGCTACCCGCAAGATTGGTGCTGCTCTCAACGTCACTGGTCCTTTCAACATTCAATTCATCGCCAAGGACAACGATATCAAGGTCATTGAGTGTAACGTTCGTGCCTCGCGTTCGTTCCCCTTCGTTTCCAAGGTCATGGGTGTTGACCTGATTGAGATGGCCACCAAGGCTATCATGGGCCAGCCCTTCCAGGCTTACCCTCCCACCGACCTTCCCCCCAACTGTGTCGGTGTCAAGGTGCCTCAGTTCAGTTTCTCCCGTCTCTCTGGCGCTGATCCCGTTCTGGGTGTTGAGATGGCCTCCACTGGTGAGGTTGCTTCCTTCGGTGTCGACAAGAACGAGGCCTACCTCAAGGCTTTGATGTCTACTGGCTTTAAGATTCCCAAGAAGAACATCCTCCTGTCCATTGGTTCTTACAAGGATAAGCGTGAGATGCTTCCTGCTGTGCAGAAGCTCGAGAAGATCGGCTACAAGCTGTTCGCCACCTCTGGTACTGCCGATTTCCTCCAGGAGCACGGTGTTCAGTGCCAGTACCTCGAGGTTCTTGGCAAGGAGGAGGACCGCAGCTCTGAGTTCTCGCTCACTCAGCATCTGGCCAAGAACACCATCGATCTGTACATCAACTTGCCTTCCAACAACAAGTACCGCCGTCCTGCCAACTACATGAGTAAGGGTTACCAGACTCGACGTATGGCTGTCGATTACCAGATTCCTCTCGTCACCAACGTCAAGAACGCCAAGATCCTCGTCGAGGCCATTGCCCGCCACTTCAAGCTTGAGGTCTCTAAGCGCGATTACCAGACCAGCCACCGAACTATTGTGCTGCCTGGTTTGATTAACATCGCTGCCTTCGTTCCTGGCATTGCTTCTGCCAACAACCAGGATCTCCAGACTGTGACCCAGGCTTCCATCTCGGCTGGTTTCAGCATGATCCGTGTTATGCCTCTGGGTGTTGACGGTGCCATCACTGATGCCATCACTCTCGGCACAGCTCAGCAGAACAGCCAACGAGGTGGTTACTGCGACTACAACTTCTCTGTGGCCGCTACCTCGGACAATGCCGACCAGATCAGCCACGTTACCGGCGAGGTTGGATCTCTCTTCATCCCCTTCAACCACCTGTCCGGCAACATTAGCAAGGTCGCTGCTGTCACTGCTCACTTTGACGCCTGGCCCGCACACAAGCCTATCGTCACCGACGCCAAGCTGACCGATCTGGCCTCTATCCTCCTGCTTGCCAGCCTTCATAGCCGTCGCATCCACGTTACTTCGGTTACCAACAAGGACGACATCAAGCTCATCGCACTCAGCAAGGCCAAGGGTCTCCAGGTTACCTGCGATGTGTCAATCTACTCGCTCTACCTTTCTCGTGACGAGTTCCCTGAGTGCGAGCGTCTTCCTACCGCCGCTGACCAGAAGGCTCTCTGGGCGCACATGTCTACCATTGATGTGTTCTCCATTGGCAGTCTCCCTTACCGCCTGGCTACTTCGCTCGGCCACAAGGGCGACCCTCACATGGGTATCTCTGATGCTCTTCCTCTGCTCCTGACTTCGGTTGCTGAGGGCCGTCTTACCGTCGATGACATCAAGGACCGCATGTACACCAACCCCATGGAGATCTTTGAGCTCCACGAGCAGTCCGGCACTACCATCGAGGCTGAGATTGACCGTCCTTACACTGTGGCTCCTGGTGAGTTCTGGTCTCCTTTCGAGGGTCGCCGCATGCGCGCCTCTATTCAGCGAGTCACTTTCCAGAACACCACCGTCTGCCTTGACGGTGAGGTTCTGCCTGTCTCGCCTCAGGGCAAGGACATGTCTTCGCACATTGCTCCTCCCATGTCGCCCCCTGTCAAGCCTACCACATCGATCGCTCAGGCCACCGATTCTCCTCAGGCCCGCCGAATGTCAATGCTTGGTGGTTTCCAGCCTTTGAACCGCCTTCGTGGTGTTGATTCTGGTGCTGCTCGCGACTCTACCGCTGTTACTGAGCTTGGCTCTGGACTGCAGATCCAGCCTATGGTCAGCTCTTCGCTCAAGCAGCTTTTGTCTCGGTCTTCGTCGTTCAAGAACACCCACGTTCTGTCCGTCAAGTCTTACAGCCGAGCTGATCTCCACCTTCTCTTCACTGTCGCCCAAGAGATGCGTCTTGGTGTTCAGCGTGAGGGTGTCTTGGACATTCTCCGAGGCCGCGTCCTGACCACGCTCTTCTACGAGCCCTCTACCCGCACCTCGGCTTCGTTCGATGCTGCTATGCAGCGTCTTGGTGGTCGCACCATTGCCATCTCCACCTCGCACTCTTCCGTTCAGAAGGGTGAGACCCTCCAGGATACCCTCCGTACCCTGGCTTGCTACGGTGATGCCGTTGTCCTCCGTCACCCTGAGGAGAGCAGCGTCCACGTTGCCGAGAAGTACAGTCCCGTACCTGTCATCAACGGTGGCAACGGCAGCAAGGAGCACCCCACACAGGCGTTCCTCGATCTCTTCACCATCCGTGAGGAGTTGGGTACTGTCCAGGGCTTGACCATCACCTTCATTGGTGATCTTCTCTACGGCCGACCTGTGCACTCTCTGGTGTACCTTCTCCGACACTACCACGTCCAGGTTCAGCTCGTTGCCCCTAAGGCACTGTCTCTGCCCGCCAAGGTCCGAGAGCAGCTCGTTGCTTCCGGTCAGCTTCTTTGCGAGTCTGAGACTCTTACTCCTGAGATTCTCGCTCGCAGTGATGTCCTGTACTGCACACGTGTGCAGCGGGAGCGCTTCCCCACCGAGGAGGAGTACCAGCAGGTCAAGAACTCTTACCGTGTGGACAACGCTTCGCTCAAGCATGCTAAGAGCTCTATGATTGTGATGCACCCTCTGCCCCGCAACGAGGAGGTCGCCGAGGAGGTTGACTTTGACCAGCGGGCGGCATACTTCCGACAGGTAAGCACTTCTCTTTATGTGCTGTTGACCACAATTGCTAACATGTTTTCTAGATGCGCTATGGCCTCTACTGCCGCATGGCTCTGTTGGCGTTGGTTATGGCTGATTCGTAGACCAAGGGAAGGGATATCGAAAAGTTGACACGATTTATTTTGTTTTGGGAGATTTGTAATATTTTGCTTGCTTTGGGCTAGAAAGCCGGATAGAAATTGGCGTGCGTTGTCAAGCATTCCAGGATGATGCCCGTGAAACGACTTTTGATGTTATAGAATGTGTAAACGCGACTCACGTCAATGCGTATGATTTAATGTATGTATGTATATCGTGTATGTACGTCGTATACGTACCGTATACGTTTATTTAATTTAATGTTTTATTTATATTATCTGTGTGTTCTGTGTTTTGTGTTCCGTGTGTTGCGTATCGTGACTGTTTCTTACTTTTGTTTCCCATAATGGCCTAAAAGGTTAATAAGTATATCAGAAACTACAACAGATTTGAAAGAACTTTAATAACAATATATAACTCGATCGCAAAGATCTGTAAGAGGTCTTCCAAATTGCTATACATTTCTATGTTCTTAGACCGACTAATACTTGGTTATCTTGCTGTAAGTCTCTAAGGTGTTGTACAACGTTACTCGCTTGTCCGCCCTTTTACATAAATTAAAGATCTATCCATTCTATTATGTTTATTCGCCCCCAACTACTGAAGCAAATACTATGAATATCTATTGTCTGTTGCATCCAAAAAGTGTAGCAACCCAAAAATTCAAAGATGTCATGACCCCACTAACGAACATCGGAAGCTTGCAGTACGTACCTCTTTTTCCCTCTTAAACATCCCATCTCATGCATGCCCTCAAGGTTTATCTGGTGAGTCAAAGTTCAATCGCATGATCTCAACAAAGGCCTCTCTCATATATTTAATCGATGCGTTGTCTAATACCTAATCTTGGTTCTAGATTCTTTTCCACTGCTAAAATGGCTCTCCATTCTGCTGATACTTCAAAGCTGATATGTATGTTTCTTCTTCCTCTTCTTTTACCCCTCCTCCCAAAACCGGCATAACCATCATCATATCATGACTCTTTTCTCTCACTCTTATGCTTTCATGAACTGACACTTCTTAGTCGCCCCCGCGGGCCATCAAGCCACGGGTCAGGCAGAGCAATTCACTAAGGGCACCCTCGTCCGCTCTCAGCTCAACCCTGACTCTCCCATCCCCCAATTCCACTCATGGTTCTCTCGCGCTCAAGAGAATGACTCTGGCGTTGAGCATCCAGAGTCATGTACTCTCTCCACGGCGTCTCTCCCCTCAGGCCGCATCTCCTCCCGCACAGTCTACCTCAAGGAGCTCGACACGCGCGGCTTTGTCATCTACACTAACCTGGGCACCTCGCGCAAGTCCGCCGACATAGCGACCAACCCGCGCGCGGCGATGCTCTTCTTCTGGGAGTCGCTGCAGCGCCAGGTCCACGTCGAAGGCCGTGTGGAGAGGATCTCGCGGGAGGAGAGCCAGAACTACTACGACACGCGCGCGCGGGGCAGCAGGATCGGTGCATGGGCTAGCAGACAGAGCCAAGTGCTCGAGCCGCAGGGTGAGGATGACGATGGGCGCAAGCAGCTCGAAGGATGGGTGAAGGAGGTTGAGCAGCGGTTTGAAGGCGAGGAGAAGATCCCTGTGCCTGAGTTCTGGGGCGGTCTACGAGTTATTCCTGATAGGATTGAGTTCTGGCAGGGGAGGGAGAGCAGACTTCACGATCGGTTTGTGTATGAGAGGGAGGAGGGGAGTGAGTCTGGGGAGTGGAAGTTGAAGAGGTTGAGCCCTTAAGGGGATGTGTAGGTGTGTGTAAGTCTACTCAATTATCTACTTAGCTTGATCGAAATAATACAAATCAAGAGGATAAATGTTCGGCTGTTTTGCGATGAGATTACGGATACATCACATTCAGATACAGATGTTGATAGGAGCAGCCTATTCTATACGTTCCTAGTCTTGTCTCGACCCAAGGCTAAGTTATCGAGCCGGCATCAATTGCCGATAACCAGGTCTAGGTCTAGCCTAATAATAATAATGACTGATCAAAGATAGACCACAAGCTCCAAGCTGCGGTGAGCTCTGAATGAGACGTCCAACGACAAGGTGGATCCTCATGAGGAATGCTGGCACTATTATCGCCTGATGCGCCAAGGAAGCGAAGGAACTTCCGGAACTAAGAGCCATTTATAGAACATTAAAAGTACGTAGTAATTGACTAGAATATACGGAAAGGGGTATGTGTAATCCTAGATCCAAATGCCCTGTCCGTTCCCATGCTTAAGCCTGTGCCCGTGCCCGTGCAATAAACTCGCTCATCCCTTGATAACAGGAACTCAATCTTCAGTACCAATGCAATTCCTCCATATATAGAACAATGCTTAATTCTTCCCTGCCGCCAATCGGGTCTCTGATTAGAAGGGCCTGATTCCCAAAACGACGCATGGCATGATGTATGTGTATCAAGCCGGATCAGGTCGAATCGAATCGCTATCAAATCAATCCATAAAAGTCGCTCAATGAGTTGGTATCCACGGTAACGCCTCGTTAATGCTCGAATGCCCAAAGTAATATATAAAAAAACGCCGTTTTTTCTTTTTCATACTCTCTTGCCTAGAAGTGGTTGAAGTAGTCGTTGCAGAGCCTCGACGGTTGCGGGGTAATTGCATGACTGGCCTCAGCCGTCGGAGTGTCGACTGGTGTAAGAGAGAGGCCTAATCCTAGAACTGCCGATCCAGAGCCGAGAGTCTTGGAGCGAGAGTGAGAAGGCACGTAGTGATTCATGTTATCGTCGCTCTCGTCATCGCTATCCATGGGCATGTACTCGTTGAACTCCCAGTCGGGCTGTTGAGCAGCGAGTTGCATGTCCACCATGGCATCTGTGAGGCAATCTTCCTCGTAGAGAGGCATGATGCGGTAGTTGAGATTCTCCATGATGCATCGCTCGGTGACATTGAGCTGCTGGTGAGACCACATGCCATGCCCCCATGCCTTGCAGTAGTATTGGGAAGACTCCTGGGGATCCTCTGTAAACTTGACAGCAATAACGAGAGCTGCTAGAATGATAAGTTCGGGATTGACTGAGTCGATGTGCAGCTGTTGTCGTTGAGGCATGATGGGCGTCGCAGGCAGGGTGTGTCGCTTAGACGCGGGGGAGAAGTAGTCGGACAGCAGAGGGCATGAGAGACGCCAGCGGCGGGCAAATCGGGAGTCGAGGCTGTCGAGGATGCATACTGCGAGAGCAACAGTCTCAATCGGGATATTCGCGCGGCTCAGGATGGCCTGAACAAGAGGAACTGATGCTGTGGCCAACGAGGCAGATGATGGGATGAGGTTGACAAGGTGTATGGCGGGGCCTGTAATCATGTTAGTAAAAGGCAAGATATTGATAGACAGATGCATGCATGGCATGACAGTAGACGTGAAACAACGTGATGGGATGTTGCAACATTGTGCATCCTCTGCTGCTCTGCTTTGCTCTGCTCTGCAATAGAACACACTTACCTCGGAGTCTAGGCACCAATGGCTCTCCATCGTCGAGTGTCGTTCGTGGTGACTGAGCTGCGGAAGAGTTACGCGAGCTTGGAGGTGGTGTAGGAAGGTTGGAGAGTGGTCGGTAGGTAAAGTAGCCTTCGAAGCGGCAGTTCTTGTCTTGGTCGGCCATGACGGGCTCGTCACCCAGCTTCATATCTCGGTTTATCGTTTCTGATTCGTTTAAGATGCAATGCTTCGTTGTCCAGTCCTCAGTTCTAAGCAGTACTGAAGGTCCTCTCTCATGTTTTGGCGGATGTATACGGATGTACGTATGAGTCTGCGTGCGCAAGACAAGTAGATAAATAAACTCGTCTGTCTACGGGATACTCTTGAATATATAAGAGAGATGTAATCACGCGAGCACAAATACGTCCAGCCACGCCTGCAGACAAAGTTTAAGATGTTGTAATGCAGCTGAGGATAGATGCAAGTTTGGGAGGGGGGGAAGAGCAAAGTTATATATCCCAAGCTGAGCCAAGTCACTTACGGACTACGGAGTACCTCCAGTAAATATAGAACCAAGGCCTAACTTAGGACAGGACAAGGGAGATGGGCCCGTTCACCGCGAGTAAGTAAGGCTGAGCAGTCTGCTAAACCAGGATCCCGCTCAAAACCAGACGGAATTAACCCCCAAGCAGTGCAGTTGTAGCGGTGGAGGGCCTGGAGAGCTAGGAGGCGGCTGGTAAGGTGTGGTGGATGTGGATGTCCAGCAGGAGCAAGCACCAGGACAGGGGGTAAAGGGAGGGGACCCAGGCACCTGAGCTAGCTTGGCTAAGTTACCGGCTTTATTCTTGCCAGCAAACGGCGGACCTTGTCCTAGTTTGGCTGCTTTGTTCGTCCTTGGATAAGTCTCATAAAAGAAACACTCTGAGCCTGAGCCTGAGCCTGAGCTTGGGCTCGATCTGAATCTTGATCTTGATCTTGAATCTTAACCTTGAGGCCGTTGCTGAGATATAAATACGGGATGTGGCGCTGTAGAGGTAACTCAAAGTCAGGCACCGCGTAGATCCCTCGTTTTCTCTGATTTGATGTCTGATATTTTTCTTGGCTTGGCTCAGTTTTTCGGGGCCGGCCGCACTACGTACCGTATTGGCGTAAGTTGATTATTTTTGGTGCACAAAAGTTGTTTTAAGGCACCATCCACAATCATAACAACTTTGGACTCCCCGGGGTGGCGTAGAGTGGATCGTTGGAAGAGTGGCGACTGGTTACTGTCTCGTACTTGAGCCTCTCTGTCCAGTGCCTTAAGCGTGCAATAAACAACACTTGCTGACTGTACCAAATATGTATAACACTGTAATGGCTGATCCAGCCCCAAGCTTGTGCTGAGAAAGTATTCTCAGCCAAGGCGTTTCGGGCTTCACAGCCCCTGAATAGATGGGTTTGGCTGCTTATGAAATGCCACATAATCCACCACAGCTGAAAGCCACAGTAGCTGTCACAGATGACGGATCGTTGGTCAATCTTGACTACCGTAAATGCTGTGCTCAAATCTTCCAGTGAGGTGGCTGAACACCAACTTGGTCAACTTCTGATAACTCAACGATACTCACGAATCTCCGTCATGCTTCAATAACAAGAAGTCAGGTCCGACGTCCTTGTCGCGTAGCTGACAACTAAATCAGGGAAGAGCTGCAATACGCGATCTGCAACAAATTGACTGCATAATGGCCAAAATGTATAGAGCCACAAGGTGGTCCATCCTTTAATAAGACGCGCATTGCGGCGCTATAGGTAGGCATCGATGCGCGGGTTTCGGTTCCTGACTAGTCGAAGAGACACAACTCATACGTCAACGGTGCGTGCTGTCCTTGATCGATCTTCCATTAGAACTCAATGAATGACGAAACCATCGTCTTTTATCCCACTTCCCTAGTGATGAAAAATCGCGGCCAAGGGCCTTCTTGAGCAATCAATCGTCATGAGGGAAATAAGGACCATCATTCGAAACAAAGATCATCCACACCAGCACACCCACTGATTAAACTCATGGATAGTGTCTCGGGAATCAGGTCTCATGAGCACCTCTGGATGGATGCATGCATGCACATGCACGCGCCCAACTGCCAACTGTGGAATGAGGGCACCGTGTGTGGTGAAGCGCGGGCCGAAGCTGGGCTGCTTTCAGTTCCCTTCATCATGATCGTGCGGTGGCAGTTCTCATGTCGGCTTTTGAACCTCCGGTAAACCTAATGTAATCAGCTCGTGTGTTGTGCCAAAAGCCAAACCTCTTCAGCTCGTCTTGAATTTGATCAACGATTGTTACGGCAGTGTCCCGTAAACAGATCTGGGAGGAGCAAGAAATACTACTGTGCCCTCGGTTCATCGTCGCTCCATCAATGTCATTCGCCCGAGACAGACGCCACGAACGAGCGTTTTCTTTTGCTGGGTCAATCGCAACACCCCATGCCGGCATATCGTAGCAATGTCACAGCACATGCCAGGTCTTGAGAGCCAGTAGCCAGTCCCACTCTGGTGCTCACATCATCACATCATGGGGAATTTTGCTTTTTCCTCCACAGCGGTTCTAGCATGTGCATGTTATGCACAACGGGCTTTGTCCTGCACAAAGTCGCGTGCTTCTCTACTAGAACCCAGGGGAGTTGGTCGACTGGTGGCTTGTGCCGAGCTCATCGCCGAGAGAAGACCCCTTTTTCTCCCTCACTTCGCTTGTTTGAGCATAGCCAACAATGGTGGGAGAAGATCGTCGTCATCCCTGAATACCCATGTCAGGGCTCGGGCTTGGCGCTGTCGTTAAGACTCCGTGAACTCTTAATTTCTCACACAATCTCAAATGTCGCAATAAACTTGAAGCAGCTGAGGCTGATTTGGGTCTGGAAGCTTTGATATTCGAGAGGCGACAGTTAGCCTAGTGGGCTTGATGTAGGTGATTAACACATCACTAGCGGCTGACAAGGAGTAAGATCCTCGACAAGAATTGGAGCTGCTAGAACTGCAATACTGGCATTTGCAAGGGACGGCTGGCGAGTGATCTGACAAAGATCTCCTCAGCCTCCGGCGGATGCCAGCTCGGTTTCATGTCAAGATTTCACCAAGTTAGGTAGTTATCGTGCTTGCAACTTCGCATCGCGCTCTTCTCTCAATCACCTATGTTCAATATTGTAGCTTGCAATTAGATTCAGAGACAGGGCACAACGTCAGCCAAGCTTCGTAGGATAACCGGTGTTATTCTAAGCTGGTTGCTAGACTTCACCCAGTCTTATAATCGCGAAATGACCGATTAGCCGCGTAAGGTCTAAAACCCTGGCTGTGCGCTAACTTTTTGATGTTGTCAACTTCATCTCACCGCTTGGGCAACCTCGGGCCGGTCACTTCGCTTCGAGATGGGACTTTGGTACATACCAGTCCCCGTGCCTGCATCAAGCATGTCGTATGGTGCATATGTTGAAGATTGAACAGGCTGCATAAGACGGATACCTGCGCAGATGAGCTGTGCTTATTGCTCAGCTGGATGCATGTGAAGTAAGATTGCAATATCCCGACTCTCAGGCTTCGAGAAGCACACTGCCCGCTTGTCCATGTTGTAGATGATGCATTTGGCGGCGCGCAGTGGATTTCCTAGCTTGCCGAGTCAGTTCGTGTACTTGGACCATAAGAGCTACCTGACCGCATGTCGTGGGTGCATGTTCAACTCTGTACGACGGGCTCTTTCAGGCAGGTGAAGAAAGACGCGGAATAGCTGCATTGATCCGATGTCTTTATCGGGCTTTTGGTTTTAAATGTTGCGGGGTCGTCGATCTGGTGGGTGATCCTTCTCCATCGATGTTACCAACCAAAGCGTGGGGTGCATCAACGGCGGATCACCTGGATCGGTTTTTGAGTGCATATGTTTTCTGCTATATTTGTTGGTTGATTGTGGGACGCTTTGTGCCAGTTGAACTTTCATACTCTCACAATACACAACACAGAACAAAGGGAGGATCAACGTACCAAGCACTGTGTGTGAGTTGTGAGGACAGTATTGATAGGAAGTACGTAGTGACCTTTTTCTGCATTGCTCACGATTAAGTACAGCTGCTTGAGGGTTGTGATGTGGTGCGTGGTCAGGCACAAATGCGAAATTGAGTATTTGGGGTGTTTTTGGGAATTGTGATGGTGTCTAGAAATGATGAACTGAAATAAAGGTCCAATATCTTCATATAATTATTTGCCTCAGGATGACTTGCCGCTTCGCTCAAGTTCGGGAAGGTGTCAGTCAGTATGCGCCTACCAACTCATATGTAAATCCGGCAGGTGGTCACAAGACATCGTACCCCCCAAATTTGAGCAATAATAACCTTGAATAAAAGGGTACCTACCTACCTCCTAAGACGCATAAGTGACAACCGAGAATCTCTTGATCTCTATCTACCCTGAACTCTGAAACCTGATAGTCATCACATTCCGAATTAGGTGCGGAAGCTCAGAAATAGGAAGTTCAATACTTTGAATACGCTGTTTACAGTATCACGCATCAATAACCTCATATGTATGCCGGAATATATGGGAGCGACTGTCTCGGAATATCCCAATCAGAGATTAATATTTCAATAATTCAAATCTTCTCAAACTGGAGCGTGACGTACTCACATTTGTTTATGGCATTTATACTCCGTATGGATATGATAGCTAATAGCAGTCAAGAGCTGGCAACCCTATACCCAGCTCACTCATACAATAGATTTATACTCAAAACAATATGATCAAAATTAAAACTATATCTATCACGTACTCTATGACTATATGTAGGGTCAATGAGTAGATATTTATTCCATGATTATGTCATGTTAAGCACAACGCCATACTAGAATGCCAATACGTGGTCAGCCTGACCATTCAAAGGGTCACGTTTGTGTCTCTGCTTCACACATGTTTCGCATGCCATTGAGCTTCATGCACAGTCTTTGACCCCCTCTCAACCATGATTGATTAATGTTCAAATACTTTCTACACCCTGTATAACAAAGAAAGTTCAAACAAAAAACTGTAGTAGATTCCCTGATTTTTCTTTGGTTGCATATACCCAGAACTTGGCTCAACTTTACGCCTCATTCCTCACCACACACGCCTCAAAATTACCTAATCCGATCCAACATTCAACCATCACCATCACCGCCATATCATTCCCCCCCAGCAACGAGACCACCAAACACCAAAAATACAAAATACAAATACACCCAGAATGAGCAGCCACGATGGTATTCCCTGGGCTGCTCACCTCCAGCGATAGAACCCCGTCGTTACGCTCCAAATCGAGCGACTCCGATCTTGTTCCCCTCCACCTCCAGCCCGAGTACATCTACGATGAGGCCCAGCTGCCCTGTCTCCCGCCCGAGAGGCCCGATCTCCGCGATCTAAACAACAGCCTCGAGGCTCTCGCCGCCGTGTTTCCCGATATCCAGATCGAAGTCTTCCGCGAGCTGCTGTCTAATTTTGACGGCGAGTCGCGCTTGGCTCTTGTTGCTGATGCTCTGCTCAAAAACAGGGTGACGTGGGTCAAAGGCCGCTGGAGGGTTCCCGACAAGGAAACGGCTGCAGCTCATTCCGAAGCGATACCAAAGACCGAGGTGTTCAAGAGCAAGGAGTACAAGAGAGCTGTGCAGAATCTGGCCTGGCACGAGTTTAAAGGGTTATCGCGATCTACCATAAACGCCGTTCTCGCGGAATCCAACTACTCCTACCTCGAAGCTCGACAGACCCTCGTTACGCTATCCTCCAAATCATGGCGTTTCACGATATCATCGCTTTTTTTTCGAAGGAAGCCTATCGCTACGGGCGAGGCAGAGAACCATCCGCTGGTATCATGGCGCTCAACCGGCCACGGCTCCATCGTTCCCACCATCCGAACAACAGGCAGTGCAGAGCTGGACCGTGAACTATACGATATCCTGGTGGTCCCCTTGAAAGAGAAGGACAGAAAGGATAGGGAAGGCAGAGACAGGGGCTTGGCTATGATCCTCAACAACGAAGAAGCGGAAAAAGCTGACGCAACACACGAGTGTGTATGCTGCTATATGTCAGCAGCCTTCGAAGAGTTCACCCACTGCAATCGCGAGGGCCATCTAGTCTGCTACCGGTGTGTACAGCACTCGATCAAAGAAGCCGTGTTTGGCCAGGGCTGGCAGAGCAGCATTAACCCAGAAACGGGAACGCTCAAATGCTTGTCCTCAGACGGGGATGGATGCCCAGGGCATATCCCGCCAGATCACATCCGCCTCGCCATGGACGAAGAGAAGATGGGCGCGGAAATCATGCATAGGCTTGATCGTCGACTTGCAGAACACAGCCTTTTGGCCTCGAATCTACCTCTAGTCCGATGTCCCTTCTGCGACTACGCCGAGATAGACGACATTTACACACCAGCTCATGAATCTGCTCTTCGTATCAAGTCAGATAGTATCTACAACCTATTCTTCCTCGCCCTCTGCATTGGAACACTTCCTTTCGTCTTCCCGTTCGTTCTCATATCCTCTTTTGTGTGCCTTCTTCTCAGCACACAACAATCCTTCGGCGACTACGTCTCTGTCGAGTGGTCCAAGGCCCTCAGCCGTCATCGCCGTCGGCGCCGAGGCGCCAAATTCACATGCCAGAGCCCTACCTGCGGCCGCATGTCGTGCCTCTCATGCCACAAGTCCTGGAAGGACATTCACGTGTGCAACGAATCCTCCCTCGTCGCACTACGCACACAAGTAGAGCAAGCCATGAGCATGGCCATCAAACGTGTTTGTCCCCGCTGTAACACTTCTTTCGTCAAGAATGCAGGCTGCAACAAGCTCACATGTCCCTGCGGTTACAAGATGTGCTATGTCTGCCGGGCCAACCTCACTGACGAGGGATATCGCCATTTCTGCGACCACTTCCGCCCAGAAGGCGACGCTACGCCCTGTCAGGAGTGTGATAGGTGCAACTTGTGGGAATCAGAGGACACAGATAAGGTCCTACAAGCTGCGCGTGAAGAGGCAGAGCGTAAGTGGAAGGACATGGAGAACCGTGAATTGTCGGGCACAGAGCGAGCGTTTCTAGAGACAGGCGTCGCGGCGAATAGGGCGGATATGAGCGTTGAGCGTGTGTTGTTCAGCGGGAGAATTCCCGCCCTTTCAGAGTTGTTCGATCTTATCGTGGAAACGGTGTTTGTTTAGGGACCTTGGCAGTTTTTCGATTAACGGCGTACGACAAGATGAAATAGGGAATCCTCATTCAATTTCCACATAAACTGGCTTCTCGGGATTGGCACGGGGCGTCTTGTGTTTATATAAATATTTTTTCTTTTTCTAAAGACGCTGGTATAAATTTGGCATATAAGATTGGGCAAAACAGGACATGATCCAAGATCACACCACTCAACTACAATACAAACATCATGATATTACACAAATACCCAATTTGCAAGAACTCCGTGAATCGTGCCGAATTTTGTTTAGAGCTTGCTCTTGCCATCAGTCCTAAGCTCGGCAGCGGCGCCAGCAATGGCGGGCTTGCCTGTCTCCTTGACCTTGGACTGGAAGATGATCTTGTTGCCTTCTCGCCACATCTCAGTGACAATGGTCTGGCCGGGAATGACGACACCAGCGAAGCGGACCTTGATGTTCTTGAAGGGACCGAATTTCTCATAGACGGCCTTTCCGGCAATGCCAAAGGAGCAAAGGCCGTGGAGAATGGGGGCCTTGAAACCACCGACCTTGGCAAAGGCAGGGTCGATGTGGAGAGGGCTATGAACGTTAGCTATGATCACAATGTGCAATGGTAGATAAGCTTACTTGTAGTCGCCGCTTAGGCGGTAGATAGCAGCCTGATCGTCCGAGGTAACCTCCTCAACGACAACATCAGGTGCGCGAGCAGGAGGCTTGTTGGCAGCGGTGGAAGCACCACGGTCCGCGCCACGCTTAGGACCACCCCAACCGCCTGCGCCACGAAGGAAGACGCTGGCCTCGTTGTAGAAGACGTCCTCACCAGTGTTGGCGTCAACAGTGGTGGTGGAAGACCTAGCAATTGAAGCATTGCCCTTATCAATGACCTCGAGAAGGCGACCTCGAGAAACCAGCCGAGCGTTTGTGGGGATAGGGAACTTGCGGATCTCGAGATATTGCTCTCCATGAAGCAACATCATAGGTGAAAAGTTTGGCACAATGTTGTCAAACTCGAAGGGCATCTCGGTGTTGAAGGGAGGGATGACACCGAAGGTGGGAATGACCTGGAAGTCGTCTGCACCCTCACTGTATATAATGTTAGTAACGTTATTGACAGTGGATAATTCATAACTTACAAGACATATTTGAGATCAGTGCGCTTGGCACCGACACCAAGGTTGTAGAGGATAACGTCTCGCTCCTCATACTTGAACTCGGTAGACTCACCCTCCTTCTTGATAGTCTCTTCGATGATCTTAGCGTGCTCGCTTTGACCAGATGACTCCTGAATCCTAGTTAGCGCCAATATTCAGATGTTCATACGTATAGCTTTCGAAACTTACCTTGGGCTTGCTTCGGTTCTCCATGTTGGCCATGATCTTCTCGATCGAGTCCTGAGACTTGGTGGGGTTGTCGGCACGGCCGTCAAAGGTGACAATAGGCTTCCAGTTCTTGAGAACCTCCTCGGGTGTGAGGGGAACGTCAACGGGGAAGCCGTGACCGCCAGTTCGCTGCCATCGAGTCTGGCCGCACCAACCGCTACCGACCTCATAGAGACCACCAGTAGGGTTAGGGCACTTGTCACTGCAGAGAGCAAGGACAAGAGGAGCAATGTAATCGGGCTTGAAAGCTTGAACCATCTCCTCGGGCATGATGGTAGCGGTCATGGCGGTACCAGCGTTGGGAGCAATGGTGTTGACATAGATACCGTACTTGTTACCCTCAAGAGCAAGGGCTCGAGAGAAACCAAGAATACCACATTTCTAAACTTGTCAGTAACTGTCACAATGCATATTTGATAGATAACTTACAGCAGCAGCATAGTTGGCCTGGCCAAAGTTGCCATAGATACCACTGGTAGAAGTGGTGTTTAGAACGCGACCGTACTTCTGCTTGAGGAAGTAAGGCCAAGCAGCCTTGGTGACCTTGTAGGTACCTCGGAGGTGCACATTCAGGACAGGGTCCCAGAGGTCGTCATTCATGTTGGAGAAGGCCTTGTCGCGGAGGATACCAGCATTGTTGACGACGATATCGACGCGGCCAAAGGCATCAATAGCAGCCTTGACGACCTTCTCACCGTCTTCGGCAGAGGCCTTGACACCAACAGCCTTACCGCCGAGCTTCTTGATCTCACCAACCACGCCCTCAGGGTCAGCAAGGTCGTTCACGACGACTGATGCGCCATGCTTGGCAAATGCCAAAGCGTAGATGCGACCAATACCAGCGCCACCACCGGTCACAAGAGCGACACGGCCAGTAAAGTCGAGCTTCTCGCCCTGCTCGGAAGGTCCCATCTTCATAGAGTCCTCAAGCAATGTGAGGAAATCGTTGGGGCCTGTGGGATATTGAGGGTTGGAGTAGTCAACGACCTTGTTCCAGTTCTTAATAATAGCTCCAGGGGTGTATGAGCTATCAGCCTTCAGAAGGAGGCCACTGGATCGCTCCCATCGGAGCTTGGCCACGTGGCCGCCGCCAACCTCAAAGATACCGCCGGTCTCCTCTGTGTTGTTCTTGTGAACCAAGACAGCAACCAGAGGCACGACCCATTCGGGCTTAAGATTGGCGAGCACATCGGGAGGCATGATAGTCTCGGTCATTCGGCTAGCAGCTGTATGAGGTTAGTATAAGCATGCGGCGGGAGCATCTCAATCACGACTTACCAACAGGGGCAATAACATTGGCAAGAATGCCGTACTTGATACCCTCTTTAGCAAGAGTCTCTGTGAAGCCAACCATGGCGAGCTTGGCAGCGGAGTAGTTGGTCTGGCCGAAGTTGCCAAAGAGGCCAGCGGCCGACGCAGTGTTGATGACGCGACCGTACTTTTGCTTGCGGAAATGAGGCCAAGCAGCGCGAGCGCACTTGTAGGAACCCTTGATGTGTACTTTGTAGATGAGATCCCAGTCCTCATCCTTCATGTTCTTGAAGCTAATATCTCGTAGGATACCAGCGTTGTTGATGAGGATATCGATTCGGCCGAAGGCTTGGATGGCGGTCTCAATGATGCGCTCGCCGTTCTCTACTGAATCGTAGTTCGCAACGGCCTTGCCGCCAGCGGCCTTAATCTCGTTGACGACAACATCGGCAGCCTGTCGCGATTCAAGTTAGCTCTATGCGCCTGCGCCTGAGGGAAGCTGATTGCGATTGTTGTTTCTATTTACCTTTGATGAGTTGCCCTCGCCCTTTGAGGTGACACCGAGATCGTTGACGACGACGCTGGCACCGCGTGAGCCAAAGAAAGTAGCATATGCCTTTCCAAGACCACCGCCAGCACCGGTGACGACAACAACCTGGCCGTCGTATCTCAACTGCTCCGCCATGATGGTGTGTTTATGATGCGATATGGGGTATAATTCAGTACGGGACACGCTCAATATGATGGAGTTTTAAAAAAGGACAAAAGACTAAAGAGTCAAGATGAGAGTGAGAGTGAGAGTGAGGATGAGGAAGAATTGGGAACAAAATATTCGGGGAGCGCAAGAAGGAGCTCTTAACAAGCTTGGGCCGGCTGGACTTGCAACTCAAATACGACCCGGGGGCACTTTCCGTACCTTGGGACCTAGGACCTTGTGAAGGGGGAAGCCTCGGCTTCTATGGGGTACCGAGGGGACTGGCTGCGGGGAATACGCTAGGCCGAGATTGGAAAGGGAACTGACTTCACATGTAAAGGGCTTGAAGATGGACGACGGCAGATGAGGTCATGCGTAGGGAATAGTTCATATCACATGCCTTTGAAGGCTGAGGTAGAGAAGCAATCATAAGCATAAGATCTGGGGTAGCCAACTAGTGATGCTTGTCAGATTGTCGAGTAACGTCTCTTGACTTGTCAAGGTGAAGTAGTGGTTGGTATACTTTGTAGAAGGGTGACATTATAATGCCACAACCTCTAGACTTTTCAAACATGAGAACGGATGAGTTTAATATTCTCCATAATATATATAGTGTTTCAGTCCTAATATCTCTATAACATCTCTAAACTACTCATCTTCCAAATCTGAAACCTATCAAATATTCTTGCCGACCTCCATTCCCGGCGCCCGGCTACGGAGATATCCCCACAAATTCTCTCTCTCTGCTCTACCTCCCCGCAAAACCAAACCAAGTACCAAGCCAAGCCTAGACCGGGCCACAAGCCTGGCCTCGGGGGGGGGGGGGGGGAATAAAATACCGGACATGAGATTTACTACGTATCAGACTATCAAGCTGGATTTTCTATTATAATTTTATAGAGAATATAAAAATAATACGTTCTTAGAAGAAGCTTTATTAATAATTATAACATATTTTAATACAAAGAAATAGATTTATATAATACTATCACACTTTATTAAAGATATCTTGATACACTCACTGCCGGTATTTTATTTCTCCACCTAGCCTGATTAACCCGGTACCGTCATAGTCTATCCAATTGTGAGTGTGCGACAGCGTGCTTCTCTAGTCTAAACTAGTGTCTTTGTGTGGCTCTCGGGCGTCGATTGCCCGACCAAGAACTGAAGTGAAGCAATTGAAACTGACAGGAACACGCTCACTCATTTTCTATGGCTGCGATACCACCACCGTACCCTCACCCGCATGCGCTCAATACCCTTCTAATAGCCTTATTGTTTTCCTTATCCTTATCTTTATCTTGAACTGAGCCAAATTCGCATCATGGCACCCCCACACTTCATTGATGATAAATCTGAGATTTGCCTCCCATTCATCCTCTCTCAGCTCAAACTCCATCGCGAAGAGTCTCCCGACCGCCCCTTTGTCATTGGTCTCAATGGCATTCAGGGCGCCGGAAAGTCTACCCTTGTCAAAACCCTGAGTAAGGCCCTTGAGGGTCAGAATGTACCGACTCTCGTCTGTAGCATAGACGAGTTCTACCTCACTCGTCAGGATCAGGTTGCCCTTGCTGAGTCTCACCCTGACAATGCCCTCATTCAGCATCGTGGAGAGCCTGGTTAGTAAACCCAACCAAACCAATGATCCTAGCAACTCTAACAACTTCAGGAACTCATGACCTGCCTCTTCTCAAAGCCTTCTTTGAGGCACTACTAAAAGGAGAACCTGCAAAGCTACCAAAATACGACAAGGCTATTAAAGGTGGCAAAGGCGATCGCCTTCCAGAGTCTGAATGGCTTCCTGTGAACCAGCCTGGTCAGCCCAAGATCCAGGCCATCATGTTTGAGGGATGGTGCGTAGGCTTCCGTCCATTAAGTCCTGAGGGAGTTGAGGAAAGGCTCAACATGCCCAACCGTACCCTGAAGCAACACAAACTTGAGCATCTCCTATTCGTTAATGAGAAGCTTTGCGAGTACAACAGCCTCACAGATACCTTTGATGCCTTCATCCAAATCGACGCAGAGGATCTTGGCTATGTGTATGGCTGGCGGTTGGAGCAAGAGAACCATCTGCGTGAGGAAAGGGGTGATCCAGAAGCGGGTATGACCTCGCAAGAAGTTGTCAAGTTTGTCGATGATTACTACCCTGCCTATGAGCTCTACACTGATAGATTGAGGAAGGGCGTCTTGGCCAATCGACCAGGCCATCAATTGAGGATGGTAGTTGGCCGCGACAGAAAAGTAAAACATGTTCGCCGCGTATGAAATTCAACTCAACTCTGACACAAACCAAAACACACCAATCTTCACACGACTAATGAACCACTCACGGCCCTGAACCGTTTTCATCAAAAAAATATTATAACAATCCCGTCGAAGATGTGACCCTCGTAGCGTTTCTATAAACTATTTCGTTGTAAGTGAACTCCATCTTGCTCTAGGTGCCTCGCAAACCGCTCGGACATCTTGCGCTCCCGATATCGAGTAAATCAGCCCCAACTCCAGCATAATGCAATCATGTCGGTCATAAAATTCATCTCTCGCAAAACGAACAATCCCGTCCATACGCCACGAATAATCTATGCGATCTTATCCTCCACCACTCGTTGACCATCCTGCTTCATCTTAGAGAGCTTTCGGTCAATAGACTGTGTCTTGAGACGGACAGCTTCCTCGCGATTGGCCGCTTCTTGCTCGAAATCCTGAATTATCCTACGCTTATTTCTCCTCGCTTCCATTAACCGCTGCATGATACCACTGAACTCACTGACGAACCATTCGCCAGATGTTTCCCAGTTCTCCATTGCCATGTTGGAGAATAGATCATGTTGTTCCTTCTCTCCGAGATGACGAAATTGGTCAAGTTTAGCATCCACATTGTCAGGATTGACTCCGGTACCCTTCTGCTCTTCTTTGGAAGGATCAAAGTCAAAAGGCTGCTGTCGAAGGGCGGTGAATGACATTGAGTTGAGAGCAATATCGTCATATTCTGGGCTCGGACGGCGTCTCTTCCTGTCCGATCGGTTTCTGTTTGGAACCGGATGCGTAACAGCTGGCATAGAGCTCTCCAGGAGAGTTCGCGGCATCACTGGCTTAGCTGCTGTAGGCCTAGGCGTTGTATGTTCCTCCTCCTGGGACAGAGATTCGTCATCTTCGTCATCCAAGTGATGCACAGCAGGTGCACGAGAGGTCCCGTTCATGTGATCTGCCTGCCATTGAATATTGCGACGCTTTGGGGATGAATTTCTAATCTGATTCGCGTCGTAGACTTCTGATCGGCCAGTATGTGACTTTCGAATCCTCACTTCACGTACAGGATGCTTGGGCTCGTGCCGTGCTGGTGAGTCGGGCCGAGTTCGCCCATGCTCGTAATGACCATTGGGTTTTCTGTGTCCAACAGTTACATTATCCTGGAAACCATCGCCCATGTGGTTGACATCGTGCCGCTGAGGTCGACTGACCACATTCATGCGAAGATCGTCTCCGACGGTAAACAAATCACTTGTTGGCGCAGGTCGCTGGAACTGATTGCGATCAGGGAGACGGTGTGACGGGATGGTCATCTTAAGATCGCGAGTCAACTCCGGCCCGAGCTTAACAGGTTCAGCGGGCTCGTTGCGTGGTGTTGTGAGACCGGATTCCATAAAGTTTTCGTCAAGTTGGGAGCCGGAAAAAATGTCTGGTCGGCGGTCACTCGAATTCGCTTTGGCCCGGCTATTAGGCGAAGATACCACCGAGATTTGTGGTGAATGATGTGGTGGTTGACTGAAAGGATGTGTTTGTCTTGGGGGCGCAGTGTTTCTACCACCGAGTCCTGTAATCTCCCGCGGATAGCTGGCAGGTCGAGGCATAGGAACTGGAGCAATGTTTTGAGGTGGCTCTACGCTCGTGGACTTGACTTCTGCTGGTTGAGTCTCGTTTGTTCTCGGGCCAGCATTGGCAAAAGCCAAGAGGCGTCCACCTTTATTCTTCAAACTCGGCGGCATCGTGTAGTTTCCTTGGGTCGAATTCGATATATTACGAAAGGGCTGGAGTGATGTTGGCGCGCTTCCCGTCACGCGATGGCCTTGCGGTTTCGAAGCAACGGGATCTTTCGTCGATCCGTAGTGTCGCATAGGTGAATTTTATTGCTGGCGAGTGAAAGGAAACATTTGCTCGAAAAAACAGTTCATCAAAAAGAACGAAAGAAAAATGAGGGTATTCGGAGGACTGAAGAGACTCGCTGATGAGGGTATCGTTGTTGACAAGTTGCGTTGCGCAAACTTGAATGTTGGTGACAAAATAAAGTCTGTTTAGAATTGGGCGCGGTTTCAACTTTACAAACACACCCAACCCCAACAGCAACAGGGGCGCGCCTGGGGAAAGAGCAATGCGCCTGTAGAGTCGCGACGTCAGGTGACGTTGGAGGGGAGCTTTATCCGTACTCTCAGTCTCAGTGGAGATCAACTCCATGGGTATCCCTTGCATCTAAGCTAAGACAACTTCCATTCACTTACGGATACACGAGCCTCAATCAGATTCTAGGGAGATATTGCATTGAAAACATCGACTGATAGGTTTGAGCCCGCTGTGAAACTGTAGTTGCATTGACATTGCTTCTACTCGCAACTTTAACCGCTTCGTTCAGGAGCATTCGGTTATGTTACAGCAAACTCACGACGAGTAGAATGACATCGAAGGATGAATCGCACGTCTTTGATTTTGGGCTAGTCCAGACTTTTACATGCATCTGAATATTGCCATGTAAAACAAAGATAGGAAGCTCCATGGGCTAATGTCAACAGCTCGGATACACCGTCGGCTGGTGCGAGCAATGCGTTATTACCAGTAACAACCACCATTCTCAAACCTCGGACTACCCAGCTGTGTATGTCGATTTACTGTACTCGGAATCTTTAGGAAGACATCCTGCTACCAGATCAGATACTGAATCACGTGAAATCTCAAGACATCTTCACGAACGGTTTAGTTATCGACGCCATCCACATATTCGGTCCGTCCGATGAACTCTCCTGGGGCGCCATGGCCTCCCCAACAACCCAGGGCCGCCCGAAAATTCTCACGGAGGCTTTTAATCCACGTGGAATGCTCGTGCTTAGGATTGATCTCGCTGAGACCGGTTGAGACGTATGATGATCAAACGAGGCTTGAGTCCATGGGGCGGAAGTCCCGTCGTCTTCGACCTCATGATTCTTTAAAAGAAGGAGATCAATCGTGTAACTATGGCTTTGCTCGATATCAAAATCAATCATAGTACATTGTTCATTACTCACTATGTATAATACTGCCCTATACTCCCTGCTGTGGTCCGCTTTAGCGACATCTTCCAACGCCTTGCCTGGACCTGTTGGTCCCAAAGCTCAGCACAAAGGACCATGCCCCGGAAACACACCGTCTACTCGAGATCAATGGTGTGGATATGACATACACAGCGATTACTACTCGGTTGTTCCTGATACGGGTGTGACAAGAGAGTACTGGCTTGAAATCAGTGAGATCACCTTTGCTCCTGATGGAGTTGAGAGATTCGCCCAAGCTATCAATGGGTCAATACCAGGTAGGTAGATTCCTCCTTGAAACGCCATTAATATACTAACATCCCAGGTCCAACAATGTTTGCTGATTGGGGCGACAACGTCATCGTCCATTTGACAAGCAACCTCAAAACGTCCACCAATGGTTCATCTTTCCACTTCCACGGCACTCATCAAAACTACACAAACCCTCAAGATGGTGTCGTGGCCATCACGCAATGTCCAACTGCCCCTGGCCACTCGATAACATACAAATGGCGAGCTACCCAATATGGCACCTCATGGTATCATTCGCACTTTGGTCTTCAGACTTATGACGGTGTCTATGGTGGCTTGATCATCCGTGGACCAGCAAGCGCCAACTACGATGAGGATGTTGGAACTATCATGCTCAGCGATTGGTCACACAAAACTGTGAATCAAATCCTTCCTCAAGTTCAGAGGGAAGGTCCCGCTTTGATGGATAATGTCCTCATCAACGGTACCAACGTGTATGGAAAAGAAGGCGAAAAGAACCAGACTGGCAAGAGATTCAAATTGAACTTTGAAGAGGGCAAGACATATCGTCTACGTCTCGTCAACACCGGTATCGATACTCTATATAAGTTCTCTATCGACCACCACACACTAAAGGTCATCGCCGTGGACTTTGTTTCCATCGAGCCATACGAGACCGACCACGTCAACCTCGCCATTGGTACGATCCCCTCACCTCTTTATCCTATATTCTCTAATAATTCTTAGGTGAACGTATGGATATACTAGTCAGTGCCAACCAGGCCTTGAAAGCATCCTCCTTTTGGCTCCGTGCCATCCCTCAGCTCGACTGCACCAGAAACGCCAATCCTGAGAATGCCCTTGGTATTGTATCTTACTCATCCAACAGCTCAACGCCTACTACCAAGGGATTGAAGTATGAGGACCACTGCCAAGATGAGCCTTTCGAAAGCTTAGTCCCTGTAGTTCCGCGTAACGTTGGGCCTCCAGACATGGAAGTCGTTGAGAACGCCAACCGCTCCTGGAACTCAGACGGCATCATCAAGTGGTCACTCAATAGCACTACCATGATCGCTGAATGGGATCACCCTTCTCTTCTCAAACTTGGCACAAACACCTCATTCACCGAGTCCAATGCAGTCATCCGTGTCCCGAAGAAGGATGCCTGGGTTTACCTTGCCATTGAGACGGAGTTAGACATTTCCCACCCAATTCACCTCCATGGCTTCGATTATCAGATTCTAGCTCAGGGCACTGGGCCGTACGGGCCCAATGTCACACTCAAAACAGACAATCCACCACGCCGTGACACTGCCCTCCTGCCCGCCAAGGGACATTTAGTCATTGCTTTCCTGACCGACAACCCTGGCGTGTGGCTCATGCATTGCCATATAGGATGGCACGCCGCTGAGGGCTTTTCGCTACAGTTTGTGGTACGGGAGGATGAAATCCCCGACCTAATATCGGAACAAGAACACAAGGACATTGAGGAGGGGTGCAAGGCATGGCATGATTTCTCTCATACGATGAAGATGGACCAAGACGATTCAGGAATTTAATGCTGAAGATGGCTCAAATTTAGACTAGATATATTATGCGTCAATTTCCATAGACACCTATAGTACCATAGACTAACTGAAGATCTTAAAAGGTGCCGGACCATCACATAACTCCCATGCTACACCCAGGGCAATTCTGCCTCGATGAAATTAGGGCCACATCGACCTGTCTAAATATGTTGCCAGTTCCCATCATTGCGAAGATTTCCCGTCCCAGTGTGTTCCTCGTACTCCGTCCCATTTCGTCAAAAAATCAGTAACCTCGTAGCTCGTAGGGTATCTAGACATGTTAGGGGATAAACACCATCATCGTCACCATAAACCCATCTCCAGTACTTTTCTCAACGCCATTTGTCTGGCATAATTACACTGATCTTCAGTCAGCCAAATCATTCATCCATCAGGTACTCCAGGAAGGACGAGCCTGGGTGGGATTCTCCACAGCAGGGGCAAATTCCCTCTTCGTCGCTGTCCCAATCGACGTCACTGATTTCGTAACCACTAAATCGTGAAAATTGAACCCAATCGCGCTTCTCGTTGTCACGCGATACGGGGACTCGCTTCCAGATGACTGATTCTTCGTCGCGGGTCGAAGGTGGGTGTCCTTCTTCGTTTGGTGCAGGAGGTAGTGCTCCGAGTCTAGCATGACTGTGAGAATGGCCGTGTACAGTATCAGAGTCGTTTTCACTATCTTCGTCTTCATTGTCCTTGGCCTTCCAAGCTCGGATCACCCTAGCGCACCATTTCTTTCCGGATAGAGGCTGAAGATCCTTGGAGTGTGCCATGTACGAAGCCGGGCCATCGAGGTACAAACCTTCGTCCTTGAGCATGCCACTCATTTCGGCAGAAGCCTTCATGCCAGTGTCATCAAAGGGCATACCTGTGACCTGGAGTTCATTCAGTGTGCAGCCAAGCTCATGGGAGCAAATGTCGTGTAGTTCGGACCCGGAAAATGGGAGAAGGGTGTCTGAGAAATTCACAAGGTCAACGCGTAGAGAAATAAGAGAGGGTAGCATTCGGGGTCGCGGCTGCTTCCTGTTTCGGTAACTCGGGTCGAAGGGCGCACGAAGTCCCTCGAGGAAGTCGACAATCTGGTTCCAGGTGTAGCACCGAAACCCTCCACGAATAAGGGGGGACTCGGTTGGACGCTGCTGGACCTTCAAAATATGGTCTTTTTTCAGATCGGAGTGATAGCAGCGATCAAGCTTATGTCGACGACGAGGTTGATCATCATAGTATCGTGCGATGACACGAAAGTTGACATGAGTGATACCTTGTCGAAATTTGGCGGGAAGATCGGCAAAGCTACGGACAGCTTGAGGAGTTGTGAAAGTAAAGTGGTTTGACTCCCACAGGTATCGGGTACCTTCGACATGAAGTGCTTTGCATGTGGCAAGGAAGTTGATTGCAATCTGGTTGCCCTGCGTTTTTTCCTTGTCCGACAGGTTTCCAGGTGTAAGGGGGGACAAGGGATCGACAATCGGTTCAGAGGATTTCATAGCAAACTTCAAAATACGGAGAATGACCTCCATAGGGAGATATGGGTGACCAAGCTCCTGGGCGGTCATGGAAGATCGGGTCTTACGCTTCAAAGGATTGGACTGCTGCATATGGCTCAGGGCGATGGGAGACCAGGAGATGCCATTGTCGCGCAGAATACGTTTCAACCTCATGTTCTCTTCTGTGAGAGACTGATTGGCACGGCGAAGAGGCTGGTTGAAGGCAGCCCTGGCCTGATCCTCCTTGTCTCTACACTCCCAGGGGAAAGCTGTCTAATAACGTGTCAGCCAGGTGGACGAGTAGTCGGTTTACAAGACACTCACCGCAGTAGGGTTTGACATGGTCACGATTGACTCGAGTAGTGAATGTACAAAACTCAGTATTTCAAACAGCGCCGTGTGAGCGGCTACAGATAGAGGTCAATGCTGGATGAAAGGAGACAAGCCACAAATGCGTTGATCGCTATGAGGTTGATTCGAAATTGTCAGCCTCTTGAGCCTGGTCTCGGAGGTACGGCCGCAAATGAGAATAAGGTAGTTGTGCGGTCTGATGACGATGAAAGAAGAGGAGAAGAGAGCAAGAGGACTAAAGTGAAGAAGAGGAAGTATTTAAATTGGACAAGTTGTGTCAATGTATAATAAATTGGCTGCACTCCAGTTGCGCCAGGAATGAATCAACCTTTGTCGTTTCTTTTGCTTTGATGCGGAAAGAAAACGACTAGGGTAAGTTTGAGTGAAAGTGAGCAGAGAGTTAAGGTGGGAAGGTGCAAGAGTATGTTCTTTGCTTGTCCCGCGGCAGGCACAAGTGTATCGTTGGCAGCGGCAGCAGTAGCAGCAGCAAAGGCGCGATGCCTCCAGTGTCGCTTTGTGTTGGTTCCCTGATTGCGAAACCGTTCTAGGTGAAGGGGAATGACAAGCAAAGGAGAAGATGAGGGCTGGTGTTGCACGAATTGCGAATTGCTAGGCAAGGTCGTCGGTTGGTACCTGAGGACTGAGGTTGTCGAAGTCGGGTCGGGTGGGGTGAAGACTCCCTAAAGTCTGCTGTTCTCCTTCCCCACGGTATGCTTGTGTGACGTTATGAGCTCGGTTTGGGGAAGGCACGCACGCACTGGACGAGAGAATTAAGGCAAGCACCGCGGGGCAAGAGGACGAAATGCTGGACGTTGCACTTGCCTTTGCCGCCGACTGAAGTTTTCCAAAAGTGGCAGACACATGCGATCGAGATCCCGGAAAGGCCGTAAAAGGAGTTTCTAGACGGAGACAAACCTCAGGAAATGACAGTGCCTTTTGGTGTCATCAAACATTTGCTTGTCATTGATGGTGAACGAAAACGCATTGGGATAAGCAGACAGGCCGGCCAGTGATGGAAGGGACGGCGGCCCGTAGGTCACTTTCACCGGGTGTGAATCCTTAGCACTCACTCACCGGGCGGCGGCATCAAGCTGATGGACACAGCACTTTGCAAGCCCAAGCGTAAATTGAACACTCATCGGTAAGGCAGAAAGCTTGTCTGGCGACGGCCTTGACGGCGTTTACTGAGGGCTGAAAGTGTTTGTCCGCAACTTGTGATCATAATCAGTATTTCATGTTTCAGGGGCACAACAAAAGTTTAGGATAGGTAGCCGCAAGAAAATGAGACAGGAATCATGTGACTGATGAAAGACGAGCCGGTCAAGGTTCATGTAATGAGGCCAGTCTTGTGAATCGATGATAGCCGTCAATAACGATCGACCTACCCTGGCGCGATCTCCAGCATAGTAACCCCTGCACTATAGAAGTTGTGAGACTAATTATTGGTTCCGTTGTTTATTTTGGATCTTCGCTCTGGCTACAGCTACACCCATTTTGGCCCAGGGACCCTTAGCTGGAGCTCTGCTGGGTGTCATAAAACGTTGTAGATGAGAGATCCAGCAGAAATCGTCTATTTACTTGTAGCATTTACCTCTAGACAAACACGGGTAAAAGACACAGGTACTGTCTATTATACTAAGTTAATGCATCCATAGCACCCTTTGCATTGGCCTGAAAGCATTAGTTTAGATGATTCAACAGCTAATCGAAGTTATCTTGGTTGAGCAGTCACGTATGGTGTTTTCCTACACCCCCTACACAAGCATCGAGCAGCTCTTTGCACAGGTACATCCTATTATTCCGATTTAAGAAAACATTTACTGCTTTACATCAAGGGCTCCGTGGGTTCGATATGTTATCAGTATGGTCAAGTCAGTATTGGTTGATTGTAAGTTGACATACATACTTCCATGTTAGTGCTTGGCCAACAAACAACCTCTTCCGATCTTTCATGAGGCACCCACCTGGTGGAAGCGCTCTGACGTTCCGAGGTGCAAATTACCGCCTGGCTTTCCGTGATCAACTTCTAGACCCCCTAAAGAAAAGCCATTGCAATCTTTGATTGGTAGGAAATCGCGATACTCAACAGAACAGCTTTCCGCGTCCCTCCTGCGGCTGCGTGACGTCACCATTCACTGTTGCTCGGTCTCAAACACCCCACTACGCCGACTATCATCTCAACATCGATGATGAAATAGCTACGAAGGTGCCATGTTTGACCTGCCTGCACGCATATGTAAGCAACCAGCTCTTTCCCGAGTAGTATATAACTCTACTGGGTAAGCTGCAAGCTTCACACTTGAGCTCTGCTCTATCTTATCTCCAAACATCTGCAAACAAAACACCATCACTCCCATCACATACCACACATAGCAAAATGTCTTTCTCCAACGCTAACACCGGCGATGCCCCTGCCGACCCTTACAAGCAGGCCAACTCTGAGGAGGTCCCCCTCCAGACCAAGATCGAGGATCTCGTCAACTTCATCCAGAAGGAGAAGTTTGGTATGATGACCACTCGCGGTTCAGGTTCCGGTAACCTTGTCTCTCGCTGCATGGCGCTGGCTGCCACCGTATGCGTTACCTCTATCCTTGTTTCTTATCATGTCTGACCTTTTCTTAGGAGACCGGAGGCATTGACCTTCTCTTCCACACCAACACCGAGTCTGGCAAGACCGACGACCTCGATGCTGACCCTCATGTCAACATTTCCTTCATCAATGCCTCTGGAGAGTGGGCTTCTATTGCTGGCAATGCCAGCATTAGCACAGATCGCAGCCTAGTTGCTAAGCACTACACCCCAACCCTCAAGGCTTGGCTCGGTGATCTCGGCGACGGTGTCCACGACGGCTCCGAGAAGGACCCTCGTATTGGCATCATCCGCGTCAAGGCTGTCTCATCCACATACTCACTCGTTTCCAAGAACTTGTTGAGTCGTGCTGCCGACATCGCCTCAAGCACCATCACTGGCAAGCCTGCTTCGCCCAACACTTTGAGGGAGATTTCGGAGGGAGATGTGCGCTCGTGGCGCGCTTCGCGAGAGTAATGGTCTGAATAATATAAATCTCGCTTGTACCATAGGACTTTTTATCAAAGGCGATACGAATTCATGAAATATTAGCACCGATTCAAAGCTGCTTTCCATACTCGGCATTCCATAGCCTCTCAAATTTCTCCTTGTCAACCGCAAATTGTCGAACGTAGTCAAGCTCCAACTCGTGTGTCCTTCGGCCAAGAAGAACGAGACTGTGCAGGGGGGCCCCAAGCTCCTCATCTGTAGAGCAAAGCTCTTCTAATGTCCCGGCCACAAACTTTTCCGTCTTACCTCCTACACGCGCGGCACCAATAGCCAAGCTGTCCTTGGTATAGACACCCTCCTTTCGCTCGTCCTCAATCTCCAGCATCTGCTGTGCACACTGACCAACAGTCATGTAGCGAGGGGGCTCGTACACCAAGCGACCGCGAGCCATGTTCTCGAGACTTTGCTCCTTGACCTTAATGTCTACCAGAACTAATGTGTGGAGTCCAATCTGACGGTTTTCCTTTATACGATCGTAGAACGAGGCCGGCTTCCATGAGTCTGTGAAGAAGACCATGGACACAGTCTGGCCAAAGTTGTACAGTTGGAGACCACAGGCACCGATACCGGACATGATGGAGGCGTTGGGAACGGTTCGGACGGGGATCTCGAGCTCTCGTGCACGAAGAACGAGGTCAGTGTGTGTGGTCGCACTTAATCATGTCAGTATAAGATAATTATCATCGGGGCTGCAATTCATACCCAAAGGGGTCTCCAACAACAAGAAATGCCACATCCTCGTTCTGCGCATTTCGGAGAATCTCATCGCTGTTTGACTCGACCATCTCACGGTCAGCTACAGTGATAGAGCGTCCATAGTAAGATTCCTGGTACAAGTCAGCGTTGGGAATAGTGTAAGAGGACATCGTTGGGCGCATACCAAAACAGATTGCTCAACGAGTAGGATGCTGGTGTAAGCCTCAAGATAAACTCTGGAAGCCTTCTTGACGACCTCAAGGCCTTTGACAGTGATATCTGTCTCGTCTGAGAGACCAAGTCCTACGAGGTACAACATGATGATCCGTTTCACGTAGTAGTATTGCCGTGGTGTCTTTGGGTGAAAAATTGTCCCTGGATTGCGACTCAAAAAAAGGTGCCCCGCGGCGGGGTACTTTTAGCGCTCAATGTCTGTGACCTCATGCTAAACATCCCTGTTACTCTCAAGCAATTGCTTCGTGATTTTGATGTGGAGATCAGATAAATATGAAAGGTATGGGAGTTTATATCAACATAGTTGCGTAGGGCTACTAAGGAAGATGAGATTTTATACTCCAGATAATTGAATGGTCCTTAAAGTTTTCTTATAATTTACCCAAGATAATGAATTAGTTACTGCAACCCTGTGCTCCTAATCGTGAAAGCTATCTATTAAGCTCTTGTTTGGGTTAGACCCGGTGGGAATATCTGATCACTCCTCAACTTTTTAGCATTCATGATCCTAGAGCCAACCTGGACCTTTTCGCGTTTCTCTCAATTTATCCTCACCACATCACACACAATGTCCGATTCAAAGAAAGACGGCGCTTACGGCGGCGCGCCATCAGGGGATACCGATTTCCGAAAAACTTGGGACCTCGACGAATATGCCGCCAAAGCTAAGGAGCGCGAATCAAAGGAGAAGGAAGAGTCCAAGGCGCGTTACGAAGCCAAGCTCGCAGGCAAGAAATACCACAAGCCAATGACTGGCGACGAGACATATACATCGGCGAGAAGAAACGTTATAGATCTTACCCAACAAATCGGAAAAACACAGCTTGTCCCAGGAGGTGCGGGCGTGGGCAAGCGTGGTCGCGGAGCTGGTTTTTACTGTGAACCTTGCGACCTCACATTCAAAGACAATAAACAATACATCGAGCATCTCAACACACCACAACATTTGATAAATACCGGCCAGACGACAGAGGTCAAGCGCGCGACAGCGGAGGAGGTCCATGAGCGCATCGCGTACTACATCCGGCGGCGGGACGAACTAGAGAAGGAGAAGCAGACCAGTTTGCACGAGCGGCTACAGCTACGGGAAGAGGAGGCTGAAAAGGAGGCAGAGGAGCGACGGCAGAAGAAAAGAGAAGAAGTCGAGAAAAAGAGGATGAAGAAGGAGGAGGCGGTCAAGGTGAAAACCGAGTATGGAGAGGACGTGCGAGTTGAGGGTGAGCATGATGAGGATGATATGATGGCGTCGATGGGATTTACTGGATTTGGAGGTGCGAAAAAGTGATGGATATCTGAGTTATTTAATGATACCCCGTGCTCTACATGGTTTTGTACGAAGAGTTATGGTCTTGTATGGGTTGAGAGTGCTAGAGACTACCCATGGACAATATAGAATACAGCAAACGTCGGTCTGGCTTTGATGCAAGAGAAGCCTGCCATTAAGGTGAGAGTAATGGGAAAACCAGGAGAACGACCGTAGGAGATCTAAACATCATTCACCATATATTAGACCAAACAAACGTGAATCATGGTATTCAGTGCCTTATGACTGTGTTCTAGAATTGCTTCATAGGTAGCATCGCGTTTCCTTCTCAAACAGCAGACGCAGAGGCGGGGCCGTTTCTTAGTACGCCTCGACTCCCCCACCATCCGACTCTATCCACCAGAGCATCCCAGCATTGCATCCCACCATTACAGACTGATCTTGCATATGTATATAATCCTGCCATTACTTCTCTTACTCCAAAGAGTCTCTTCACAAGCCCATACCCAGATTCATCCCCTCGGCACAACGATATAATGGCTGCAAGTTCTGCCCCAGCAGCTTCGCTATTGAAGCGACAGCTCAAAGAGATGCAGGCTGGTAAGGATATTCCTGGCATCTCATGCGGCCTCGTCAATGACAACAACATTTTCGAGTGGGAAGTTATGCTCATGATTAGCGATGACTGCAAGTACTACGGCGGTAAGGCCCTACCAATCCCCTCATGATCTCCCCTCATGATGCTGACCTCTTCTTCTAGGAGGCAACTTTCGAGCCCGTCTATCGTTCCCGCCGAGCTATCCTCACATGCCTCCCTCTCTTACCTTCCAGGACCCGATTCCCTTCCACCCAAACATCTACGAGAACGGCAAGCTGTGCATCTCCATCCTCCATCCTCCCGAGGAAGACGAGTACGGCTACGAAGCTGCTTCCGAACGCTGGAGTCCTGTCCAGACGCCTGAGACGATTCTGCTCAGCACTATCAGTCTCTTCCACAGCCCCAACGACGAGAGCCCTGCCAACGTCGAGGCTGCGCGCATGCTGCGTGAGGAGAGAGAGGGCAAGCACAAGGATTTCCGAAGACGTTGCAGGAAGTGCGTGAGGGAGAGCTTGGGAGAGGATTAGAAGTTCTGGAGCGAGGTCGTTATATATAGTAGTATGGGATGTCATGGGAGTAGGAAGCATGATCAGATTGGCGTTGGGAGGTCGGAAAAGCCACGACGGCCATCATCAGCTTTTTAAGCGGAGTCATGGAGCCTTTATCGTGTTTTGAATCATCATGAGAGCCAGTGTCCTTTTTGTTCCAGTCTCATCTTAAGTACTACTTGGTCTTTGGCACCTCGTGTTGATTGCAGTATCTAAGTGCTTTCTTCGTCCACAAGCCCAATGACTTTTCCAACTACACGATCCCATTCTTGATCCCATCTCAAGGCACCTTCACTAACGGCACCCTTCTTCAAATGAGCCAGCTCTTCTTGTCCAGAAAATCCTAGCAGTCGCATGAGAATGTCCGCCAACTCGGACGAGGTTTCGAAACCGCAGCCATTTTGCCCTTCCTTAACAAGTTCGCTGAAGCTCTCAAAAGCTGCGTAGGCCGCAACAGGAAGACCCGCGCCAAACATGTCTACCACCTTCATGGGAAGATCAACGCCTGAACTAGACTTGTGCAGCGAAATACCGAGGTCTGCTGAAGCAAGGAGTGAGGCGTAATCCCTTGTGGAGAGCCAAGCTGTTATGACACGGACACCCGGGAGTTTTCCTTCTTCTTGGAGCGTTTGTATTCGCTCCAGGTAATGTTCCTTCTGTGGTCCCTTTCCAGTAATGATAGCGAGAATGGGCAATGCCTCCTGTGAGCTGGCATGGGACACCAGAGCATCGAGAAGCAGGCCGAAATCCTCGTCTGGAGTCCACGAAGTGCTGCTGACAATCAGACGAACTGCGCCGTCTACAATATCTTTAGCAATGTCCTTGGTCTCTGGAAGTCGAGACAAAAACGCTAAGCGCTCTGCATTTGAGAGAATAGGTTGGAAAACCTCCGCGGGTCGGTCGTGCAGCGTGTAGACAGGACGTTTTACGCTGAAAGGCTTCACCTTTAGCTGGCGGGCCATAGCATCGGTGACGGCGAGGTTGACGTCTCCCAAATAACGCCCAAAGCTAGTTTCGTACCAACGATACACGGGGACCAGTGGCTTATAATACCACTTGTTCTGTGCAAGAATGGTGTAGCCATAGTTGTGCCAGTCTACTACGAGCTTGCTGCCTCGGAAGAGGGAGACCATGAGGGCAACATGGAATGTGGGAATTGATGGAGGGTTCTTGAGAACATTAGTTATCATAAATCATCAAGATGATGGCGATCAGTATATCAACTTACCTGGATGATAATCCATTTAGCAGCAGGGGCTTCATACATCAAAGTATGGAATAAACCCCAGAACTGCCAAAGGACCTTGAGAGGAATATTGAGAAAGAATGGTAAAGTCTCCCATTGGAGCACTTCTGGCTGCGGTGGGAGCGCATACATAGTGACCCGAGGGTTCCCAATTAGATCTGGGTGTCTTGCGGTTTCTATCGAGTATTAGCCTTTGGACGAAAATAGGGGAGACTGAGGCAATGAATGACCTTTGTAACCCACGATATCGACATTTCGACCATGCTTGGCAACACTCAAGGCATGGTATTGCATGCGAGGACTGCGACCGACATCGCCAACGACAAGAACCTGAATGTGATCATCCTGAGGCTTCTCAGCTGGCTTGTAGCGAGTAGGGATGAAGTCGGCGAGACCACGTATCAGCCATACTAAAGCGACACAGCTGATGCCGCCAGCAATGACGGAGACAATGAAAGCTGCTGACATGATGAGAAGGAATCGACAATCATAGCATGGCGTCCAGACTAGTTCTTTGGTGGTGCTCTGTATGCCGAAAGTTACTGGGTTTGTGTTGGTGGTTTGCTTGTTGGCCAAGGCCACCTTGCACTGATTGGATCGTATCTGAAGTTCCACAGGCGCGCACAGATACAGTAAAGGCCAGCTAGGAGCTCAGGACCTTACCTTAACGACTCCTCGTTAATTAATGGCAGGGACAAAAAGTGCACCAATAACGAGACGAAACGATCTCGATCTTGAAAGCAGATCCTAGAAGATGATCAAACCTAAGATGTTGATGGGGTAATTGAGACGAGGAGGAAACTGCTCTGTGGGAATCACCAACTTAATTCATAGCCTTTTTCAACCATTCCATACTCAAACTTACAATCAGAAGATGCATTGTTTAAACTTTCGATACGTACCAATTTACCACTGCAAGCCTTTGTTCCTGCATGACGGATGCAAGAGCCAAGATAACAAAGTAACAAACTCCCGTCTCAATCTACCATAAACGTCACAGCTTACGTTTCTCTCTCTCATGCAAAGCAAAGAGATAGGAGATTATCACATCCATCACACATTTGAGATGAAGCTCAGGGGTCAACGTGCAACGCTGTTGCGGGGTGTCAAGGCGCCAGGCCCATAAAGCAACGCTAGAGGGTCAATGCCACTAACTTTTAGCGGACAAGCACACCGCATGCAGGGGGGCAGACCAACCTTTTCAGCGCTCAGCCAGTCAAAGCTTGCCTCTTCCCAGTAACCCCCGGCCAAGCTACAGGGCCATCAAGACCAATCCATGATCAGTTATCAGAGGATCAGGAAGGAGCCTAAGAGTCAAGTGACTCCAGAGATGGCAATGGATCAAATCTCGGTGAATAGAAAGCCAAAGACCTCAGCAGGTCTTGTTTGAGCCAACCTTAAATCAACTCTTCAGCAAACTCAAAACTGACCACCGAGTCAGGAACTTTTCTTCGCCCTGAGTTTTATCCATCTTCAGTTTAGGCCTCAAACTCAACTCTCTCTTGAGTCGTCGATCGCTGCTCATTCGGGTTGTCTGTCACCTCTAGCTCCACGTGCTGGAGTCTCCTATCTCTAGCCCGCCACAACCACGGCTCTTTCACGCCTCCCGCGTCCGCCGCTGAAAAGGATCCGTGACGTCCCACGATCTCTTGTTCCTTTCTCTTGCCCTTTTGTTCCCCCTGTAATCTATAACCGGCACGACAGAGTTATTTGCGACGCGACCGTTTCACAATAGCAATTTCCCTTTCGACTGATGACGTTGCGATTGGTCCTTGTGGAGGTGTAAGGACTCCCTCTCAACTCGCGAACACCTGCGCCGATATCCCATCACCGCCCTCATCGAGCCACTCTTTTCGACTTGTAGCAACATCGAACTTGGATTGAGCACCAAGTCGATTGCAGATTCAGAATGGCCTCCTCATACGCCCTCCCAACGTCCTCTTTACCGCATGCGCATCAAAACCATATGCATTCTCATGCACGAAGTCAATCCCAATCGTCATTGAACAACATTAGACGACAATCAACTTTCTCCAACGGGAGTCTTCCATCAGTACCTGACGAGGACCATAACCACGACCGTAGCCACGACCACGACCATGGGAACGGGAACTATACCGCACACTCACACAACCCTAGTGTCCACAAACATGGACACAGACGCTCCCGCATGTCCAACACAAGTGTATCCATGGCTCGCGAGAAGCCCTTTCCAGCACCATTGAACACCCTGGAAGGTTGGACAGAAGAGAGAACGCCGGGAGGCAAGAGTGTTATTACACCGGGTCCCGAGTCTGCCAACATGAGCTACTCTCCTCCCGATTATCCTCACGACCCTCATGACGACCATCACGATCATTCGCACGGCCATTCACACTCTCACGATCATTCACACACACATACTCATGACCACGCTCACAGTCATGACCATGACCATCATGGCCATTCGCATTCACACGACGACAAGAGCGCCAAAAGATCTTTATTTACCAGAATGATACTACCATATACAGCAAATCTTCCCATTTTGAACGCAATTCTAATTGAGAAGGACTCTAGGCGCATTTTCTACTTTATGGCGTACGTAACCACTTGCCCCTGTACTGGAATGTCAGCTAATTCGGATTGTCATTCAGACTTAACTTTTCATTCATGGCTGTTCAAGCATTCTACGGTTATGTCACGGATTCGCTTGGTCTACTGAGCGACAGTATTCATATGTTCTTTGATTGCGTGGCGCTTATGGTGGGCTTATTAGCTGCTGTGTTGAGCAAGTGGCCTCGAAGCCAACGATTTCCGTATGGCTTTGGCAAAATTGAGACATTGAGTGGATTCGCCAATGGCATTCTTCTAATGTAAGTAACTTTCAGGACGTCTGCAGGTACGGTGCTAACTGTTGTGTGCAGGCTACTCAGTGTGGAAATTGCCTTTGAGGCGTTTGAACGGCTATGGGAGGGCACGCAGACGAAGCGATTGGGCGAGCTTTTCGTTGTCAGCACTCTGGGTCTGCTTGTCAATCTAGTTGGAATGATGGCATTTGGCCACCATCACCACGGACACGATCATGGACACGACCATGGGCATTCTCATGGCGACGACCATGGTCACGGCCACTCGCACGGTGGTAATGACTGCCATGGTCACGACAACGAGAACATGCACGGTATTTACCTGCATATTCTTGCAGATACCCTGGGTAGTGTTTCGGTTATTGTTTCAACAATACTAACGAGTTTCTGGGGGTGGGCTGGATGGGATCCGCTCGCGTCGTGCTTTATCGCTATTCTGATCTTCCTCTCATCTAAGCCACTCGTTTACTCGTCTGCGAAACGACTCTTGCTTAGCATTCCTGAAGATACCGAGTACAACTTGCGAAACAGTCTCGGTGGTATTTTGAACCAGAGAGGAGTAGTGGGCTATTCCTCACCCAAGTTTTGGCGAGACGATCACAGCGCGAGCCCGACCGGAGGGAAGTTGCTGGGCGTTGTTCACGTTATGGCAGCGCGAGGAGCTCCATTGGAGGACGTTCGAGATCGAGTACGCGAATATCTCTTGAGAGAAGGGGCGGACGTTGTGGTACAAGTTGAGCGGGAGGGAGATAATAACTGTTGGTGCAGCAGAAGGGCTGTTCCAGCACCACCAGCAACACCGACATTGGCATCAGCGAAGGCAATTTAGAAGAGAAGTTTGTTGTTACAGTCAGGCGAGTCGGAGTTTAAAGCTGGGATAGAAGAGGTGTTTGAGAGGCTATTAGAGGGGGAGTATGGTGAAGAAAAGAAGCATTGTCGTAAATCTCGGCACACGAGTTACTTGCGTCAAAGAGGGGCAGCCGATTGTTGGGATACATGAAGGTGTATATCTCGAGATAGCAGAGGGCTTCAGAGATCATGTCAGGGTCTCAACAACGTCACGAAGTGGAGGGCATTAATGTTTCTTGGGCTTGGGGTTTCTAACAAGGAACAAAGCTGACAATTCTGGTCATGGGATATTTGGAGGATCACATGTATTATTACTAGGCATTATTCTTCGCATGACTCCTGGCAGGTAGTTTAGAAGTTGGGCTGTAGAGTAGAAAGAGGAGGGTGTATATCCAGCAATAAAGAAGGATCCAATGGCTATTTTCTGACGACTTACTCCATCTAGGCTTGTTTTCATTGCTTGTGATGAGGCCATGTCTAGTGATAGATGTCATGGTATAAGCCAGAGTTATTTTACATGTGATAATGATGTTTGTTAAAGTGATGGAGACTGTGGGGCTCTTTCTCCAACAGAGGCAGTAATTATTATTATGGTCTAGCACGATCAGATCTAAACAAGATCTTGTGTATGACCTCACTGAGCCCTGGATATGCAAGTCCCCTAAACCCGACTCAATTCCGCCTGGCCGGGCTGTTGCTAACAACACATTACTGAATGTATTTCCTCTGCAATTCTGTACCTGAGAGATCAACCACGCTTACCTACTTCCCGGTTGAAAAAGACCCGCGTTAAACCCCACGACTTCGGTTCATTGCATGTGGGGAAGATGAGACTCATGATGCACCCCGCGGGCCGAAGCCGAGGCAACAAAAAAAGAGAAGAGCCGGGGTTCGGGGGTTGGTGGTCGGTTGAAGGTAGATTTATTCCCATTTTCGGTATCATTGCCCCGGAAGACCGAGGGGAAGAAATTGGAGAAGTGAATTTTGTAAATAGGAGCTATTTTGAAAAAGAATGAATTGCTTGAACAGAATAGAAGACTTCTTCTTTACTGGTTCAACTGCTGTATGTATCCGTAGGTAGCTGGAACAAAGCACAGACGGGGACGGGAAGCTCCCTGGAAGAAGCGTCTCATTTGAGGTCCATGGCAATCGAATAGAAGTACAAAAACAACGCCCAGTGACGTACTGTGTTGCTTTTCTTATAATGCATTTCCTCTCTGCATTTTGCGCTTCTTCTTCATCTTCTCATTCTTTGTAAATTTATTATAATCCTTAGAGTCCTACAGGAGAGTATAAGAGCTTATAGAAGATCCCTACCTACGTAGCTACCTCTACCTCTACCCCCCTCCCCTCGGCCGAAAGCACCCCACATACTCTCCTCCACATTCCACTTTCTATATTCCGAGGTTCTTTCAGAGACTACCTACGCATTCAGTCACAACCAAATTTATACCCTTTCCTCTACCTCTCTTACATCTTCTACTCTCCTTTCCTCTTCTCAGCCATTCTCTTCCTCCCTAACCGCCCATAATGTCCTCCGCCGACGCCCCAGACTCCGCCATCGAGGCTCGTGTCGCCGACAAGCTCAAGAACCTCGCGCCCACTCCTGAGCCCAAGGACGACTCCAAGGCTGGCGCATCCTCAGCCCTCGGCCAACAGCTTCGCTCTTTCGCGGCAGGTGGTTTCGGTGGTCTTTGCGCTGTTGTCGTGGGCCATCCTTTCGACCTGGTCAAAGTCCGTCTACAAACCGCCGAGCGAGGCGTTTACTCCTCCGCTGTTGATGTGGTGCGCAAGAGCATTGCTCGTGATGGTTTGAGACGAGGCCTTTACGCTGGCGTGAGCGCTCCTCTCGTCGGCGTCACCCCCATGTGTATGTTTTGCCTCGCCCTCATCCTCGTGCTTCTAAGCTAATTCTGCGATAGTCGCTGTCTCTTTCTGGGGTTACGACCTCGGCAAGCAAATCGTCCGTGGGGTTGGCGAAGTCCCCGCTGAGGGCCTCTCGATCGCCCAGATCTCAACCGCCGGTTTCATCTCCGCCATTCCCATGACGGCCATCACCGCCCCCTTCGAGCGCATCAAGGTCATCCTGCAGGTCCAGGGCCAGAAGCAGCTTGCCCCTGGCGAGAAGCCCAAGTACAACGGCGGCGTCGACGTTGTCCGCCAGCTGTACAAGGAGGGTGGAATCCGCAGTGTCTTCCGCGGCAGCGCCGCTACCCTCGCCCGTGACGGACCTGGTTCCGCTGCCTACTTCGCCGCCTACGAGTACATCAAGCGCAAGATGACGCCTGTTGATCCTATCACTGGAAAGCCCAGCGGCCAGCTCAGTCTCACAGCTATCACATGCGCCGGAGCAGCTGCCGGAGTCGCAATGTGGATCCCCGTCTTCCCCATCGACACCGTCAAGTCCCGCCTTCAAACCTCAGAGGGCAACGTCACTGTCGGCAGCATTGTTCGCGAGCTGTACGGCAAGGGCGGCGTCAAGGCCTTCTTCCCTGGTTTCGGTCCCGCTCTTGCTCGTGCCGTGCCCGCCAATGCCGCAACTTTCCTAGGTGTTGAGCTGGCTCATCAGGCCATGAACAAGGCTTTCAACTAAATGATAAAGGAGCAAAGCGAGAACTACAAGGCAATACGGGCATATAGGAAAAGCTGTCTTTGGGTATTTTCGGGATTTCGATACGAATTATTGACTGCTGGGTGAGATCACAACGGATGAATGGCGTTGGTTGGTGGGCTTGAAATGACTTGTATTTCTTCATCCATGAGTTGAGTGGGTGCACGTTTGAAGCAATATTGAGCGCTTGAGCATACCCTTTGTTTTTATTACATAGACCATGAGCAGTTCAGTCTTGTCATCGACTCTGCCATAGTGCATAGATGAAATCCAAAACTCATCACATTTTACAAACACTGGGTTTATACGTCTCGAAACTACTCTAGTTCGGCTGGTGTGATGTTTGACTGAATATTTTACCTCACTTCACAGGCTAGAACTGGCAAATTACTATACTATGTATAGTAAGCAGTACAGGCCACAGGGATCATGAATTTCCGATTCTATATGCCAAGCCTGGTAGGTTTGGCTATGTATGTCTACGAGGTTGTCCAAAGGGTAGGTCGTTTTGTCAGAACTTGTTCCACATTGCTCACGAACCAAATATTGGATATAAAATAGATGAGATGTTCATTGATTTCCTGAGCAATCTTCGCCCTTGAGTGGCTACTGGGATTTAAAGACCTGGTACAACATTGTGCCATTCCTTTCCCGTACCAGGATACACTGCTACCATTTGCGCCTGGAAAGAAACCCACATACAAAAGTCCGACAAAACAAAATAATCAGAAAGCACAAAGTTCAAAGCTCAGAGCAACTTAGCGAAATATGTCAGGACTTTGTAAGGCCACCTGTTGCATAGATATCAATCCCAATGCCATTGCATTTGGCAAGCCATTTGTTGCTGTTTCCTTCTTCATGAGTGGATGGATGTCCCGCCTTTTCGCCGATGCTATGAGTAAAGAGACAGACCTGTCTGTCATCCAGTAGATAATAATTGGCCAACCAGAAGCAGTGCGCGCTAAGACAGTAATAAAAGGAGAAGGTATGTGAAATATGCGCACGAATGCTCAGAAGGAGAGAAGATTTTGGTTGTCCTATCAAAGGATAAATATAGAGTAGGGTATCATAATATGATGAGAGCATGAAGCTAAGCACGCTCGGTGGTCGTCCAACGTCGTTTAGAAAGGCTCATATCACGGAACCGCTCGGCCTCGCCAGGAGGTCGAGGAAGACCCCAAAGCCCGCCGAGGCCATCTCCAAGCTGTCCAATCTCGAGCTCCTCGGCGGGGTTGTCGAATTCGTGTATAACGTCGGTCATGATTCGGATAGGAGCTGACAAGATAGGGCCTCGAGGTGTGGCCTTGGGGGTAGTCTCTCCACTGGAGGGAAACGAGAACGAGCTCAGAGAAGAGATCGCTGCTGGCGGCAAGCTCATAGACATAGAATTGCTCGAGTTGAGCTCGAAACGGGGGAACGAGGATGACTGGGTGGAACTGTACGAGGTAGACATGGTAGAAGTGGTGGAAGAGGTGGTTGGGGTCTGAATCTTGTCTTTCTTGTTTTCCTGGTCATCTTTAAAGCGGCCGAAATTGGGTAGCACGTTATCGAAATCTTCCTTGTCAGAAGCATCATCACTGCCGTCGTCCATCAGCCTAAGAGACGAGGGACCAGGTGTCCATAAACCGAATGAGGGACTGCTGGTGCTCGGCGAGTTGCTCCTTGAGCCTTTTTCACCTGTTGCTGTGGTAAGAGATGGTCCACGGCCAAGGGGCCGCTGGGAGGCCGAAGTTCGTCGTATTGATGACCCCAAAGCTGCACTGGCAGAATTGCTACGGCTGCCCATGGGAACGATGGGGTCTGAATAAACGAAAGAGCCCATAAGTGGGCCAAGGACTTCAGTACTACTAATGCTGGGGTTTCGTCCACGAATGGCAGGGAAACCATCAGCTGAGGTTGATCGGGCCGAGATCGGAGTCGAAGTTGTTGAGCGCAAATGCTCAGTGCTTGCCGACATGCGAATGTCGTACATTTGGTGAGGTGATACATGCGGCTCAGCGTTCGTCGCTTCGCTTGCTGATGCAGCCAGGATAGTGTTGTAATCAGCATCTGGTTTTCGTACTGCCATAGTGATGGAGGCGATTCCAACGTCCATAAGGACAGGCTGATGAGTGATCGCACCGATCAAAGCGTTGCAGCCGGCGCCATGAGAAACAAGAATAACAACAGTCTCAACATCTTCGTCCTCGGAAAGAGATGATTCGTCATCAGAGCCATCCTGTGATGCTCCAGCAGCATGTGTCACCATCTGTTCAGGCGCATCAGTCGTGGCGTACCAATCCACCATTTTCTTGAGGCCTCGTCTGAATCTCTTGTGCATGTCTGTCCAATCCTCTCCAAGCTGGCCCCCGTCTCCAAAGTCCAACGGGGCTCTCATGGAATCCCATTGGTAATCCACCACGACGCACTCATCACGCGCATGGGCCACGAATCCGTCGGGGATCCGTCCGGAGCTCGAGATGGCGTAGTTGGGCTTTGGGATTTTATAGCCCTTCTTTTCCATCTGGCTAGCTAGCTGCCCCGTTACAACCGCAGCCATGGCTGAGCCCGAGGCGCCTTCCGCCGCAGAAACCGACCTCATAGGTCCTAGAGACGGGCTGGCAGCGGGCGAACCATTCCATAGAGAAGCATTAGACCCTCGGTGAGGCATAGGAGCGGGCGGGGGTGCAGATGTGAGTGCACTATAGTCTTCGCGCCTCAGCAGCTCAGCCTTTGCGCTTCCGAGCATGAGAGCCGAGCCAGGCGGCGGAGTAATTTGCTCGAAGTATTCGGGCGACAGCCATTCTCCGAGAAAAGAATCGAGACGTAGTACCGTTGACAGGAAGTGTTTTGGCGGAGCCGTCGCGGACACAAAAATGTCATTTGGACGGTAGGGTGATTCGTGGGGGGTCTGGGCAAGACCAGAGCTGATGCCGATCGACGTTTGAGCGCATCGTAGAAAAGGGGAACTGTGAATGACGACTTTGAATCGTCGGCGCTTCTTTGTAGTTTTTGAACTTGATTCGTAGTCGTCTTTGGCTTGTTCGAGGATGCTGGAAATCTGATTACCAACTGCCCTGGCTTGGAGCCAGCCGCCGTAAGTTAGAGGAGGGTCGTAAGGTGTCGGGGAGGAAAGATGCCATTTTTTGTCGGCGGCGTCGAGACGGTTGCCGTGCCTAGATTAGATGTTAGTTTTTGCCTTTGAAAGTCTGTGTCTGTTCTGCTGCCATGCGACTTGCAGACGTCGCGCTAGGCTTCGCGATGTGATTGCAAGGACGCATCATGATCATGACGACAGGGGTCTGGGAATAATAGCTGAAAACGTACCTGACGACAAATATGTAGGCCGGCGTACGGCCCATTGTAACGGTGTCTACAAGACCAAAGGTACAAGAGTCTCAGAAGAGCCAAAACAGTAAAAACCTTTAGAGTTGAAGAATAACAATAATAAGAAAAGTAAGATAGTGAGTGACAGTTGCTTTGGTGGAGGAGTAAGGTTGGACTGAAAGTCTGAACCGAATAAGAGAAGCTAAGGGGGCAGGGTAGTCAAATACCCCAGCACGTCGCACAGGTATCTGGAGCTTGTGCAGGGTATTAGAACACCTACTCCACTATAAAGCCGACGGGACTAGGCAGCTCCAGGGCAAACCTGGATGGAGGGTTTGCACTGAAAGTGGTGACGGGACGGGGACCGATTTAGGTAGTCTCTGGCGTTGTTTTGGGGGCGTGTATTCTGTAGGTATTGTGTATTACCACTTGGGGGATCTAGTACAGTACAGTACATAGTACAGTGGCTCAGAAAGCCTCAGATCAAGGCACATGAGACAATACACCCATAGCAAAGCAAAAGCAGGTGGCTCAGATTGGCTCTGGTTTTGGCGTTGGCGTTCAGCAGGTGACCAGGGGATGGTAAGTTTACTCCTTTGCTAGGTAGTCAATGTCGTACGGCAACTATCAACTAACGTTAGACCTGAGATGAAGGTAGAGTAAAGCAGGGTCCTTATTAACGTCAAGGTGAGAGAGAGAAGTTACGGGCGCAGCGTCGGCAGCGCAATACACACCGTGTCACCCCCGGACAAGATGAGATATGAGATGATGTGGAAAGTTAAGGAGGTGGTGTTTCGATTTTTGTTTGGTGGTCGGGCGTTTATTGGAAGCTTTGGTATTTGTTTAGACCAGATACAGACAAAGGAGGAGAAATGAGAGAGAAACAAGGTGAGACTACCCAAGGAGACAAGATGGGACAGGTGATGATGGCTACTTTTAGCAACCAAAACCTCAAACAAGACGAAAACACAACACGCTTACACACTCACACACCTTACCTTACTTTTCCCTCACCTTTATTTTTTAATGCAGACCTGGAGAGGGGGTGGTGCAATGAGTGTTACGAAAAGAGTCAGCAGGGTTTGGGGAGAATAACCTCCATAGGTACTAGTTAGGTAGTTGACCAAGACAGGCCAGGCCATGCATGTAAGTAACAATATTTACGACAGCCAGTCAAGCCATGGAAGCAAGAAAATAAATAACTTTGTTCGGCATTAGAAAAAAACGGGTTCAATGCTACCAATGTCAAAGTGGGCTCTGTAAATGCGTTGGAATCGTCAGATAATCAGAATCACGATGTTGTACGGAGTACAGTTGGTACCTACAGCACAGTAGCACAGTAACAGTGTAGTAGTCACAGTAGTACAGTAGTACAGTAGTAGTACAGTAGTGCATATTGCAGCTGGAGGTTTGGGGGTTCTGTTCCATTTGAGGGGACCTTGGGGGCTCACAGCCATGATACATACATCATTATATCGTGATTTTATCTCGACCCCAGGTTTTCCCCTCAGTTTCTCTCCACGAACAGGTGATGCTGGAGTTCTCTTACTAATTTGATTGTCTTGATGTGAGGTTGCGAACGCGTACTCACGATAACTCTTTTAATTGGGTGTCTTGACTCTCGGCCTCACAGCTTCATCTGGTGCACCCCGTGGCCCTCTCTACGGGATACCATTGCTCACCTCAACCTCGGGCCAAGAGTCAGAACCTACCAACGAAATCGTCGCTACAGGCCTATGGAGTACATTCAGCTACCGTTCGGCACTGCCTGTAATACCTCTCTCTCTCTCTCTCTCTCTCTCTCTCTCTCTCTCTCTCTCTCTCTCTCTCTCTCTCCACTGGAGGAACTGTACCGCACATTCAGTCCATGATCCTTGCCCTGTCGATGCATGGGCTGTAATAGCGGCTATTAACAAGACACATGCCAGGTGGATCCATACGCCATTTCAAAACACGACTCACGATAAAATAGAATATTTCATGTGATTGTACTCCGTACCGTACCTTTTCCGTCTCCGATTCCGGCGCCTAACTATCCGTTGCTTGCAGTTTCACTAGAAAGTAGAAGCTTTTTTTCCTTTTCTTTTCTGTTCACCTGATGATTTACATGTACGGCTGAGCTTTACTTGAGTCGCGGTGCACGTGGTCTAATAAATCCACCTAACAGCAAGTTTACCCATCTCATGCAATGGCTGTCTCTGTTCACATGATCAAGACTCTTCCTTTCAACCTTTCCCATCCTCCCCACCACTGCTAAATTTTTACTTGGCCGCTGCAGTCGAGTTGAAGTCCCTCACCATCGTCATGGTGGAGTCGTGTAGTCGTGGAGTCGCTGCAGGGTCCTCTTTTTCTTCCATGGATTCTTTTACAACGTCCCCTCTTCCATGCAGCTACGCGACGCTACTGTACGTGACTTGACTTACTAATTGCAGATTTGGTCTTTCTTTCCCGTTATCGATCGTGTCGAAAATTCGATTCTCATCATGACCTCGGATGAGGAGCAACAAGAGGGGTTATGGGTCCTTTGGCCGGCATATCCGTTCTAAACATAAACCAAATGATACAGGCCAAGGTAGAAACGACGTGAATATCGATATTTGCCGGTAAGAGTGCAACAATGGGTGACTGTGCATCCAGCATATACCTGATGTCCATAGGTAGTAGCCGATAGTAGCAAACCCACAATATCGTGAACAACCTCAGTTCGATGTACCTCGTTGTTGCCATTGTGCTACTGTATCTTTACGCTCTTTTTCAAGACTATAAGCCCATGAGATTAATAAAGAAATACAACCAGCCCATTAGTTGCAGATTTTCATGTTATGAAATTGACGTGCAACTCTGGCGAGAGAGCTATGTTCTAACGCAAGATCAATACAACGAATGTCATGCTGCCCCCTCTTTGTCGTTCATCAGAAAGACCCCCAAGAGCATTGGTATATCTGAAATTCTACCGAATCACATATCTGCGGCCAGAATATTCACGGGCCAGCCACGTCCAACATCGAAGCATATCTCACTTGTAATCGAACCATGTCAGATGCCCTCATCAAACAAACACGACGCCAACAAATCTTAAACCCCAACCGTTTCCTATCCCCCGGTCTTGGAAAATACGAACAATTCGATCAGTTCTTCGTCAACATGTAAGGCGATCTGATCTAAACGAGTGAAGTCACTTACTCACTTAGAGAGGTGACTGTATTGGGAGATTGTTAGTGCTCCCAATCTGTACAAGCGCCAGGGGCCGTGACATCGGACCCCAGACGCCGAAAACTCCGGGTCCAGATGTGGTAAGATGCCGATTATGAGTTGAACAGTAATGCTCCGTGTTCCCTCTGTTTGGTGACGTTGATCCGAAAAGGGATATCATCCATCAGTGGATGGAATTCAAACATCGTCGCCGCTGTATAGATTTGTAAGCCTGAGGGAGCATCTCTCAGCAACCTCACTTCAACTGCTGGTGGCCAGTGGACATGCTGAAGACTGCATTTGGCCTATAAACACCGTTCATTACTCAACTTCGCTCCCTTGTCCACCAATTCGCTTCATCGCACCGCATCCCCCGCCATGAAACTCTCTAACCTCCGATTCCACGCCCTCGTGGCAGCGACTCTGTTCGCGGCGATCGCTTTTGCCGAGCATACCAGCAACTGGGCTGTTCTCGTCTGCACGTCGCGGTTCTGGTTCAACTACCGCCATCTCGCCAATGTCCTCTCCATGTACCGAACCGTCAAGCGTCTGGGTATCCCCGACTCTCAGATCATCCTCATGCTTCCCGATGACATGGCTTGCAACCCCCGCAACGCCTTCCCCGGAACCGTCTACAGTAACTCTGATCGCGCCGTTGATCTCTACGGCGACAACATCGAGGTGGACTACCGTGGCTACGAGGTCACCGTCGAGAACTTTATCCGACTGCTAACGGATCGCGTCGGTGCCGAGATGCCTCGAAGCAAGCGCCTGCTTACCGACGATCGAAGCAACATTCTGGTGTACATGACTGGTCACGGTGGAAATGAGTTCCTGAAGTTCCAGGATGCCGAAGAGATAGGCGCATTCGATCTTGCGAACGCATTCGAGGAGATGTGGGAGAAGAAGAGGTTGGTGATACATTCCCTTCTGACTACTCACCAAGTGCTAACCCTTTCTAGATATCATGAGATCCTCTTCATGATCGATACTTGTCAAGCGAATACCATGTACAGCAGACTTTACTCTCCCAACATTATCGCCACCGGTTCCTCCAAGCTCGACCAGTCCTCCTACTCACACCACGCCGACAACGATGTTGGAGTCGCCGTCATTGACCGATACACATATTACAACTTGGAATTCCTCGAGAATAACGTCAAGGATTTAAACAGCCAGAAGACAGTCGGCGAACTGTTTGACAGTTACGACTATAGCAAGATTCACTCTCACGCCGGTGTACGATACGACCTCTTCCCTGGTGGCGAAGAAAACGCCCGCAGCCGTCTGATTACCGACTTTTTCGGCAATATCCAGAACGTCGAAGTTGATCGCAGTGGTAACTTGACACTCGAGGAAGACCTTCTCGCGCTCAGCAAGAAGATTGCTGTGCTGCAGCAAAAGGAGGCAGAGGCGGCCAAGGCGACTGTCCAAGAGAAGGAGTCCGCCAAAGCACCGGCTAGTGCCCCAACTGAGGCTGCCAGAAAGATCCAAAAGGCCAAGGCTTTGACCGACGACAACTGGTGGACCAAAAAGGTTGTTGGTGCCACGGCGCTCACAGGTTGTGGTCTTCTCTGGGCTCTGGGGTCTTTCCTGGAGGGTTAAGTTATAGTAAATCTACGAATCTTGTTAGTTATACATTCATGACACCTTATAAATAAGGAGAATGGCGTCTTTAAATGGGCTTGATATACTCATGGTTCTAAAACTAAAATAAACATATCTCATATAACTCTCGAGCAGAATAGATACGTGTGAAGGGCTTTCAACCTTAGGCTGTTAAGTATCGACCTTCAGCTTGAAAATAGTTCTCTAGGCCATAATTAGAACACTTTGATCACGAACTTGGCTGTAACTACGAGACGATAGTCATCTTGCTTCTGTTGGTGAGGGTGTCCAGGATGCCTTAGTCAGCAACTTTTTGGTGTTGAACTCTTCACCTAAATCTTTGGTCAAAACCTCAGTTCTGCCATGCCACAGTCCCTCAATCGATAAAAGAGTTATTAAGTCTCGATGAGTATCCTCGCGGTTATAAGTTTATGATCTTAACAGCGGTCGTTTTTTACCACCAGTTCTCTAGCTGTCAAGATGGATAAATCCAAGGTGAGATCAATATCAACAATCATGGGAGCACTCATGATGAGTAGCTGAATAGCCATGAAAACAGCAAACCGAGATACTACACGCTCGTGCTGCCCGGCGATGCAAAATTGATAGAGAGAATATTTCTTTCTTACTAACGAACTGAATATCTAGACACGACCCCTCAAATCAATCCATCTTAAGTCGCGTCCACTTACAACACATGCTCTCGCATGGTCTTGCGACGCTGAGCTTGCAGTTGCTACAGATGACACCATCTACATATTTCTCCCGGAGTACCCAAGGACCAGCGGCCCTGATGATGGCGCAGAAGACGACGAACTGCAGAGCCAGTACACGCTATCGTACCGGGCCTCAGGCTTGATCCGTCCAGACCCAACATTGAATGCGCAACTGTGTTCCTTCTCCGGTATAAGAGTAGCGGGTCCACCAGCCAACGATGAGAATTGGTTTCCTGGGGTGGGAAGCGGACTCGTCACGGGCTCAGGTGCTCCAATATGTCAGATTGTGAGGCTCGAATGGTCGCCGAATGGACTTGGATGTAACCTGAGGCCTATCCTAACAGCGCTGTCAACGAGTGGTTGTATTTACGCTGTGGGCGAGCACATTGACCGGCAGTCTGCCATGATTTCAGGGATGCGAACCAGGGGTTTCAAAGCATGGAAGACACTTTGGGGTCTAGGGGCACAGCTTCCACTACCCGATCCCAACGAGGAGGATGGTTATCGGAACATGATTGAGCGAATACAGTCTTTCTCATGGGCCAAAGAAGTGGGTGCAGGCAGGGGTCTACTGGCATACTGCAACGACGTGGAAGAAGTGGCTATTATGGCAGTACAACTCTTCTCTCGGCCTAAGGAGGATGAACCTTCGAGCGAAGAGACTGTATGGGACATTCGGGAGGTTTCACGATTCGATGGGAGGGGAAGACACACTAAAGAAGACGTAAGATGCTCTCATCACAACTTTGGATAGCTGTTAACTTGGAACAGGCCTTGGATATAACAGATCCAGACTACGTCCCTCACGGGAGTGCCTTTTCACTAAAATGGAGTCCCTGGCTAAATTTCGAAGGCAAACAAATAGCTATACTGGCATACTTGGCAAAGAACCATGTTGGATTTCGAAAAGTCACTATCGTGGGGGAATGGGATAGGGGTCAACGTCCAAATATCGAAGTCGAAAAGGCTGATATGACAGCTATCTGTATGTTTCTGTCAACAGACTCATACATCGAGTGGGAAGACCAGGTATGGCAAATCCCATCTTTTATTTACTTATTTCTAACCTCGTTCAAGATTGTATATGACGATGATAAGCCTATAGCTCGGGGCGTGATCGCTACACCGTTCGACGTGAAACCATTCCAGGTTTCATTTCTGGACTGTGATAGTGAACCGGCTGGTGCTCACTATACTTGGGAGTGCTCAACAACTTATTCCAAAGAGGGCGAATTAGTCTCCTCCAACCCTATCTCTGGTGAGTGCTCTTGAAATGGCTATAAAGGAGTATGGCTAACAATCTCTAGGACTCATGATTCACGACCAAGGCGCAACAACAACAGGACCAGTTCCCTACTACTCTATAGTCAGATTGTCGGCCATGGTGCGCAACCAGGATTGGTTTCAGACAAATCTTCCTGACGACGAGGCCGCTGTGCCCAAATGGGCAGCAAGAATCCGGAGACACACCACGAGACTCGTCCCAAGATCCGTTGCTCTGGAAGGTCTAGATTCAGATTCAGATGACTCAGAAGACGATTTTATGGATGAGGATACCACGCAACTGCAGGTTCCCGAATCGAGATATCGCATCTGGGGTCTGGCGCATTCACCCGGTGGTGGCACAACAGCTGTTCTTGTATCACGATACAGCACTCAACATCCGGAGAGAAGAGCTCTCTGCAAACTCATGTTCTCGAGAAGAGATGAAGAGCGTGGAGCTGAGGGGGGCACAGTTGTACCATCAAAACGGTTGACAACTGAAGGGCAGGTCTGGGAGTGGATGTACGGGAACGGTCCCGAAGTACTTGGCACGACGATAACGAGCAAGATATCGCCAGAGCTCCACAACTCACCGTTAAGAGAGCAGTTCAGAAGCATCGCAGCGAATCAACAATGTGTGTTTTGCGACATGGCACTGCACTTGGAAGAGGATGAAGCGAAGTGTGAGAACGGACACTTATTCGGTAAGCTGAGCATCGTCTGTCTATGCTATGTAGTTATGCTAACACCTCTGGACAGCACGATGTGCATCAACAGGACTGGCCATCATGGCCCCAGACATATCAAGAATCTGCGCCGTGTGCGAGCTGCGATGTCTCAAGGTGGCGGAGTTAACCCGTGTTGCGGAGGAGCATTTTGGGTCAGGAACGAGAGTTGAGTCTTCGGATGAGGTTTGTGGTGGGTGTGCCGGTAAGTTTGTGGCCTGAGCAAGAAGATAATTAGAGTTGAGGGAGTTTATATCACCTCGATAATTGCCCGACAAGTAAGGTGTTATGCGGCAACGCAGCCAATCATTCAGCCTTTCCACATCGCTTTTGAATTCAAGTTGGCGATGCTTTTATTTAAACGCTGATCATTGTGTGTGTGTTGGAATTATAAAGTCTCTGAAATGGAATACAGTTGCAGCACAAAACTTAGACAAGATAACATAGGGCAGGGCAGGGCAATCAACATAACCTTAACTATAACTTGCCTCTATTTTCACATTCGTTTCCCTTTCTTCTCTTCTCCTTTCTACTTCAAACATGAGCTTCCTTCCTTTATCCATCCTCTGCAATCTCAACCTCTCTCATCTTCAGTAAACGTCAACTTACAAGGGACCAATCCTCTGGCTTGTTCTCACTTATACCTACACCATGGCGAATATACATTCTGCCGCTGTCTTTGTGGTAGACACTTCAGACTTTGAATTGTAAGTATGATACTAAATCATGGTACAGATTTGAATATCTTGATATACTAACGCACCCTTTTACAGAGCCATCTCTTCGAAGCCCTTCGTCTTCGTCGTCGGCCTTGAACGTAAAGAGTATCATATTCACCCACACTTGATCACCAGACTATCTCCAGCTCTCGACGTTCTCATCAACGGAAAATTGAGAGAAGCCCAGGAGGGTCGTATTGAGTGGCCAGATCTGGACGTCGAAAGCTTTGTCCGCTTGGCCAAGTTCGCCTACTATGCTAACTACGATGAGCCAGATCCTGTCTTGTCAGGGGCGCCTCCTGCGTCCCTCACGACGCCTAAAGTGACCGCCGCCACGGAGAGTCTTCTGTGGGTCATGAGAGCTTGGAATAGTTCCCGTAGAGATCCCGTCAGTGACAAGGATGATTCAGATGCCTCGGACGGCACGATGGACTCTTCCGGTACCGATAGCGACAGCGACGACGATACTGATGACGATACTCCACCACGTATCAATAAACTTCTCTTCTCAAGACCATCCAAGGATACATACGCTTTAGAGCACAGCCGAGAATGGGAGGAGCTCCGTGGACCATCCATAACTACGTGGATGGCTTTCTACGACGCGTGGCTGGAGCATGGAGGCCCAGTGCGGTGTTGTGCCCCGTCAAGACACTTTCAGACACATGTCCACAGTCGAGGGCATATATATCAGGAGTGCGCAGTTCCGGTACGGATGCAGTCTTCATGGCAAAGGACATACGAGCTCATGAAAGACTTCTCCCACTGTCCTTCCGATAACTACTATTCAAAAGAGCAGGCAGAAATTTGGTCATCGGCGACCAAGGGACGGCCGAACCGTGACCCCAATATGTCGTTTCTGCCTATCTTCCTCGCCCACGTCCGTCTCTACATCCTGGCGGACAAATACGACGTCCAAGAACTCCGCCGCATCTCATTGTTCCGCCTCCGTCTCCTACTGCGAGGTGTTATTCTTTTCCGGAAGCGAATTCTCGATCTTGTGACCGTCGTGGATGAGATATTCGCAAATACCCTTGAAGGAGACGAAGCACGAGAAGTCATTGTCAAGTACTTTGCTTGCTATATCGAAGTCATGCGCGATGCCCCAGAGGTTACGGAGCTGCTTCACGATGGTGGTGACTTTGCTGTTGCATTGGTCGAACATATGACTCAGCGTTTGTAGACAAAGGAAGACTGCCCGCGGGAAGAGAATGTGGGAGGAACAAACGTCTTCAGCTTTGGGGGCGGTTTGTTGAGTGACTTTTTATTAAGTTAGGTTACTTAGAAATCGAGACATGTGAGCTCATATACTGTTTCCTTACGTCCCAGTTCGAAAGACATCTTCAAGAATAGATGGTCCACTGCCAGATTCCAGCTAATATAAATCATCAGTTGTATGAATATAGCACAATATATCGACGTGCACCATTCAATAACATTCATCATAACCACACACTCATCACGGTGAAAAGTATAAAGGGGGGGCAATGAAAATTGTGTCATCGAGGAATAATTTCATTTCCTATCTTTCATCTTAAGTCTTCAAATCCTAGCTGCTATTGGTGACGAATCACTCAGCAAGCTCTCCTTCTCATCTCCATCCAACGACCTCGAACCAGCCACAGGAGGCAGAAATGATATTTGAAAAGAACAAACGCAAACGTAGATACACATTAGCGACTAGCGCAACTCCTCCATTGAGAGGAAGAGATGATCCCGAGGCAAGACGTCGCAACCTGTATGCGCGTCCCCTTTCAGCATTAAGTGACCGAGAAACACTACTCGTGAGGTCGCCCTGGCACAGGTAGAGATGGCATGCCATTATACAATGGCGGGCTGACGACCGCCGGAGATACATAAACTTTATATGAACGTGAAACAGAAAAAAAGGGCTCAGAAAATAGCCACATAAATGGGGGAAATTGGGTAAAGTGGGTGAAAAAGAAGTTTTGAAAGTAATGTTAAATCATCCACTGGAAGAGTAAAGAATCGTGAGCAGACCATAACGCTCCGGGCCTCTCCATGGTATCGCAGAACGCCATTCCTTTTAATCCTGTTTCATACAGCGCCATCCACAACTGTGGGCTACTTAATACGCCTGGCCAGGCACGGGCTTCCTGCTGAGGGAGCCCGATGCTGCGTGTCCTGGTCGAGGATCTTGGGAAGGATTCATAGGGCTGGGTCCAGGAGGGTTGTTCCGTCGGTTCGTCCCATTAGGACTTTGCGAACGGTCACCGGCAGGCGATTGAGATCGAGGACCAGGAGACTGTGATCGAGGACCAGGGCTCATTGAACGACCCTGAGGTTGTCCCTGAAAAGGTCCAGGGGACTGGCCACGTGGGCCAGGGCTCATCGGACGGCCCTGCGGACGGCCAGGAGGTCCCATTGGAGGTCCCATAGGCGACTGAGGACGGTTGCCATTAGGAGTCATGGGTCCTGGTCCTCGAGGAGGTCCACCGGCCTTACCGGGAGGGCCTGGGCGAGGACCAGCTTGGGCAGGGCGAGGACCAGCTTGGGCAGGGCGAGGCTTAACAGGGCGGGTCGATAAGCAGGTTCGGGGAACAACACCTTGTCGCGAACGGTCAAGTCTAATGCAGAGTGCCTGTCATATCGTTAGAATGAGTTTGGTTCAAATACGATATTGATTAACTTACCCAGCCATCATCATATTCGTGGAGGAGTCGCACGAGATCACCAGCCCTCAGCTCCAATTCATCATCCATGGTAGGCTTGAAGTCAAGCTGCACACGATGAACAGCCGAGTTAGCAGGCCCTCCAGCGGCTGCAATGGCAGCAGCACCAGCTGAGGGGGCTTCAAATGTACCAGGCGTAATTGGAGAGTTGCTATATTCGGTACCGGCAGGGCTAGCAGGAATGGTTGACATTGGAGCGTTGGGAATGGTCAAGTCAAGCTCCTGAGGACCAACTCTACGGATCGACGTCTTACGAGCAACCAGGGAACCTGCATCTCCGGCAGCAACAGCAGGTCCGTTGGCAGTCAAAGGATCATTGGAAGGTGATTGGGGCGAAACAGGAGCAGTGGCAGCAGGGAAAGCGGCAGCGGCAGCGACAGCGATAGTCGACTTTTCGGACATAGGACTAGGAGTCATCCTGTGGACAGAAGCAGTCTCCTCGTTAATAGGTGATGGGACACGTTCAGCCTGTGTGCCGAAGGGGTTGGCGGGATCGATACTTTGAGCTGTAGATGGACGTTCCCAGGCACTACCTCCAGGGGTTCGGGGAGATAGGGGACCATTGGCGGCTGAGGGGGCAGAAGCAGCGGGAACAACAAGACCTAGGGCAGCGCCCTTGCTCGTGCGCTTCTGATTGTCGAGGCCGTTCCAGTTGGGGAGGAACTGGGTTACAGGTCGCAGACTGACACGAGGAGCCTTTGCGGGGGTGGTAGAGGCTGTCTCGACTGGTTCGGGGCTCATAGAACGACGCACAGCAGCCGCAGCAACCATAGGCGCACCGCCGTTACCAGCCATTGGGCCATGGAGCTTCTCGTCGTCGTTCTCAAGCCTTTCCATCTCAGCCTGCTTACGGCGCTTGGCGAAGATAAAGTAGACCAGGAGTCCCATGGCGAGCAGCCCACCCAAAACACCAAATGCGATTCCAGCCTTAGCTCCAGCGCTCGTGGAACCACTGTCTTCCGGAACAGCACTCGAGCTGGAGCTGGGAAGGCTTGAGGCCCCAGACATGTCGGCAATTCCATCGATGGTTGTCGAGGCAGATGCTGCGCCAGTGGCCTTGGCCAGAATGGAGTCGATAGACTGGCTGTCAACTGGATCTCGGATAACAGAGGGAACGCTAGTCGGGTCGTCGCTACTGGTGATTTGAGGGCGAGTTCTCGTGGGCTTGGCTGTCGAACTCTCCTTGTCCTCTGTTGTAGTAGCGTTATCTTTGTCTTCTTCGGCTTTGCTGCGAGACTTTGCTTCTTCAGCAGCCTTCTTCTTGGCAGCCTCTTCCTCGGCAGCTTTCTTCTCTTTCTCTTCCTCCTCCTTTTCTTTCTTTGCCTCTTCCTCAGCGGCCTTCTTCTTCTCCGCTGCTTCCTCTGCTTCTTCTTCCTCCTCCCTGTCGGACTCTTCTTGAGCCTTCTTCTTGGCCGCTTCTGCCTTCTCCCTGGCTTCTTCGGCTTCCTTCTGCTTCTCTTCAGCTTCTTGCTTCTTCTTGTCGTCCTCCTCGTCTTCGTCGTCGTCGTTGGATTCCTTTGATGAGCCTGTTTCTTTAGGCTCGTGGCCTACTGTCTTGTAGCCACCAATTGCTCCCTCAAATGTTGCCTCAACCGTTTTAAAAACGGTCTTTACTGCTTCTATATGGAGTTAGCCAAATATAAGTCAAAAAGAGTAAAAGACACAATAATGGTTGACTTTGAATTTGACTTCGACATGTATGAAAATAAAATAAAACTCACGTGGTTCTCTCTTCTCGACATGGCGCTTCTCAGAATCGGAAGCATCAATCTCATGTGCGATGTTACCAAACCCAAATAGCGCATCGGCTCTCCGATGCACGTGCATGTGCTGGAGATGCATTTTAACGGTGTCAGTGAGGTGATATTAAAATTTAATCAAATGGCGAAGTCGGAGAGACAAGCAGGCGGGTGTTTGTCGTCTAACGGAGATATATCGTCTTTTTTGGCGTGCAAAGTCGCGGGGCTGGAAGGTGAGGCGCCTGGAATGAAGGGCGTTGCAGTGGAGGGCGGGAAACAAAGAATGTATTTCGTAGGGGTTTCGAGACCGATATGTCTCTGTTCGGGTGACGGCGGTGATGTCTCAGATGGAAACGGTGTGGGAGTGCGTCGTTAACGAAAGTGGTGTAAAAGCGCAAGTTCAACTGCTACAGCGTAAAACGTAGGATGTTGTTGGACCAGCTGCCAAACGAGTGGTTGTAATGGGTGATGTGTAAAGTGTGAAGTAAAAGCAATAAATGAATATTATCGCTCTGGTAACAAACAGCACACGGCAGCAGTCTTGCAAAAACGCGCCTAGGCAGTGAAAACGAATGGACGAACTGAACTCGACACGGGCTGCAGCAGAAAAGCGTAGCGACCGTGAAAAGAAGCAATTCTAGAAATGACCTATTTCGAGGGTGTGAAAGAGCGTTGAGAGAAACGGTGGAGAGGAGGAAAAGGCGGGAGAGGGTGAAGATGAGAAGAGAGTCCGGAGTATTCAGCAAAGGGACAAGGGGGGGGGAAGAGTCAGAAGCGGACGGGAGTGCAGCTTCCAAGGTTGCTGGGCAAGGTCCCCGGACTTTCCATTGAGTTACAGGACCTACTAATGTTTGATAGGGCGTAGCGAGTCCCGAGCTAAGAGCAATCCCAGCGGGTGCAGAGCTGAACCTGGTAGCCTAGCAGTGGCACGGCATTGTAGGACGTTGTATCTCAAGGTATTCTTTAGGGTGTTAGATTGAAAGGCAGGCATTTATGGTGCGTGTTTCATCTTTGACTGGCTTTACAATACACAGAAGTACAAACTCACATTGGCCTCGGTCCTTATTTAATTGAATGCTACCTCTGTACTCTGTCCAGTACAACGGTCTGCCCGTGCTGGGTTCACCAGATGAGGCAAACCAAACCAAACACGCAGTGAAGTGGACTCTAGGTCGTAAGTCATTGATTGCCTGTGCACAGAAAGGTGCAGCGCACAAGATGGCCTCGAACTGAGCTATAGTTATTACGTATATCGTATTCCAAATTTAAACTGCCACTTGTGCAGCCATCTCAATAGTCGTGCCATATCGCCCACCTATTGAACCATCTGTTAGACCAAGAAATGAGGCGGCTGGCAGCCCCCCTGTTCCCACTAATCGACTCCATCAGGTGCTGTGCTTTGCATAATAAATAACGATCAGCAGAGGAACCCGGGGCCAAGACATCGAGTGAGCGATTTGAGGCTCGGAGGGGATCAAGAAGGAAAGAGAGAGAAAAACACGCTTCGAGGAAGTGTAGCGAGCGAGCCTCAATCCCTGTATCTACCTGGTTGTGATGAGGTTCCCAGTAGCCAGGGGTAAGCGCGTTGATGGAGCTTAGCGTTAGGGGTGGCTTGACCCACTGACGCCAAATTCCAGGAACCGGAGTTTACTGATTGGTTGTTAGAGACCCATCAAATCTGCCTAGCCAGGAACCGCTGAGACGCCAGCCAATGCCCGGGGCTCCAGACGCTGAGGACTCCATGCCCCTGGGCGCCTGGCTTGAGGTGCGTCGCTGCGTTACTGAGGTGGCTTGAAAGCTCCAATCCATTTCCAACGTCTCCTAACCAATGTTGGATTGAGCCTACGCGAATAGTCCCATTTCATTAAATTATCCCACACTTTCATCATTTGTCCTTCTCCTTTCCTTGGACGCTTTATCGAATGTTGTCTGTCAGTGTAACGTCGTCCTTTGATTCGCTTTTGGACTGATGGGCCACGCTTTGACAGTCAAGGTGGGTAACTATGATGCATCGGAGTCACTCAGGTACGGAGTATGCCCGGAGTACGGGCTATTCTGGTACGGATGTACAAAGCACGAAGATGGTGTTGTTATTCTTGGCATCAACAACCCTTTTTACGATAATTTAGTCAATTACTGGACCTGCAGTCTTGGCCCCGTCGTTGAAGATGTGGTAACAATATGTTTTGTGACAAGATCTTGTCCCCAGTTTAATACCCATCCCGAGAGATTAAAAGAAACAAACTCCTCTTTTCTCTGGTTATGCCTCTCCACTTTGGCCGCTTAACCACGCATTGACTCAATCGGTTGAAACGACTGGAGGTGATATGCACAATTGTACAATGCTCCGAGCCTAGGTAGGCCATCTCCTTTTATCCACATCTTTCTGAAGTATAATGAACTCTAAGCTTCTAGCATAACTGCATAAATAGAAAGACACCATGAACTACGGACGGATAGACGTGGTTCGATGACAGCATAACTAATAATCTTATATCCACTAAATAAGACCTTCTCAAAGCCAATCTCCAACACAAGGAAATTAATTAATGAGGTTACATCTGGCCAACATCACGAGTTTCATCTTCTCCTCGGTGTCTTCTCTTTGTTGACACAAACAAACAATCACCACCTCAACAGCAACATTGATCATTCTTGGTGTGAACTGTGATCTACCGTGTTCACCTGAAGCCCCGTTCCTCAGCCTCAGCTTCGGCTCCAGACTCCAGACACCAGTGTTTCGGGGTCCATGGCTTTGTCTCTCTGAGAAACGCCTATGCGAAGTATCTTGGCATTCGTCATCCTTTACATTTTCGCCTATTATCAATTAAGATTCCCGATAAACTGCGGAATTGAAATGCCATGACGCTCATTTCGGTTCTGTTTCGAGATCCTTGGTGCGCTCACTGATCACCTGCTGTTAATCGTGCAATCTTTCTGGAGAAACTCGGGCCTAAAGAACTAGTCTGTTTTCGTCACTATTTCCGTAATTCGAGGTTACAAGTGTGGCTGGTTTGAGATGGTCGATTTCAGGGATTGTGATCGCCAATGTCTTAGACCTGGCATTCCTCAGTCGCCTAACAGATGTCTCACTATGTAGCTAGGAATATGGATGCTTTCTGACATCAGGAGGGGCTTTTCTTCGTTTGCCATTAAAACTGCATTCCTAACATCATGATGTCGCTGTCATGTTGTAGGTAGACCCTTCGAGTAAAACCCCCTGGACCCTTTAAAAGTTAATGACGTGCCTAAGCAGCAGAATAAACTGATGCCGCTCGTACTGCCAAAAGTTGGTCGTCCTTCAGGTTTGTTCTGGGCTAACACGAAGTTTGGTTGCACTTAAGAATCGAGTATTGCCATATGTCTCTTTATGTGTATGTAGTGTATATGTAGATGGTGAATAGACGGCAGTCCGTTCATGCCTGAATCCAAACCACTTAGTTGTTCAACGGATGTCTTTTCGCAGTAATCAATACAAGACCAGGCAAACGCTCGCTCTGCCAAGTCAATGCTCCGGGTATAATGCATCGCCTTCACAATCCAGGCTCCCATCTCTTGCCCTACTCACATGGAATCCTCCATCTGTCGACTCCTCGCCTTGTTCCAGTTGTCCTTATCCGACTTGCCGCCTTGACTCTCAAGGCCCATTCCCCTCTCCACCCACTCCTTACTCTCCATGTGTCGCAATCGACTGAGCGCTCGAGCAAATGCAAAAGCTTCTTCGGAGCCAGCAAACAAGTTTGAGTCCTTAAGCTTATTGACGTTATGCACCAGGTCATGGTTTTCAGCAGCTTTCTCGGCATGCTCGTGCTTCACACCCTGCTTCATGAGGCTTTCAGCGATCTCGTCACGGGAGACAAAGAGCTCTGATAGGGGCTTTTCTGTAGTAAGAACGAGCTTGGCGTTGCCCTCGTAGACAACGTCAATGAACGTGATGAAACGCCGGGCAAGATCTCGTTGTTGATGGGTCATTGCGGGGATATCGGTAACGATGAAAGCTTCATAGGCGCGTACCAGCTCGATAAAGTCGGCAGCGGATTTCGGTTGTCGGATCAGCTCATCAAATGTAAACCACGCTGCCCGTCCGCTAACTCGTGGAACATAGATTTCACGACCCCAAACTGATTGTACCTCAGGGCGAGGCTCGGGCTGTTCAGGGTCGCCAAGGTACCGGAACCATTTCTCTGCATGGGCCTGGGCATTGCTGTCGAGTGGTGTGTGGTAAACATCGGACGGTGGTCTAGGGATCTTTCGGTAATCCGTAGGGGAGTCGAGGTTGATGACATGCAGACGGTTCTTGAGGAGTTCGATGGCAGGGATAAAAGACTCTCGCTGGATGCCGTTCTTATATAGCTCATCGGGTTGTCTGTTGGAGGTTGTTACGAGAACAACACCGTGGGACATGAGAGATTCGAGCAGTCTGAAAACTGTCAGCCTTGCGCAACTGCTTTGCGAAAGGATGCGCTTACCTTCGCAGAATCATGGCATCTGCCACATCTGTGCACTGAAACTCGTCGAAGCAGAGAACGTTTCCCTGCTGAGCGATATCGGCCGCGATGTATGGCACACCATCAATATCAATACCGTGCTCCATTTTGAACCTATGCAATCGCTTGTGTACGTCTTGCATGAAATTGTTAAAGTGAATGCGACTTTTCGACTTGACTGATGGGGGTAGGGTGTCGTATAGCAAGTCCATCAGCATGGTCTTGCCGCAGCCAACGTCGCCGTGTAGATAGAGGCCTTTTGGGAGGTCGCTGGGGATATCCTTGATAGCAGGCTTGCTGCTGCCTCCGCTAAAAAGCGACGAGAATATGGACTTCTTTGTAGGTTTTAGAGATTCGATGCTGGGATGCTCAACAGGAGGGGCGTCGTATCGTTCCAACTCATGATATAAGTTTTGGAAATTCTGGATGATTCCTTGCCCTCTGTTAGTACTCTTTTACATGTCTCGGTGCCTTTTCCCAATGATTCTCACCCCTTTGATGCTCGTCATTTCGCAACCTGCCTGCTGCAACTCTTCTGTCATACTCCGGAATTGGACCTCCGCCATGAGCAGGCTTGGCGTCGACTACCGTCGCCATTGATCGAGAACGGGTGGGACATGATGTTGATAGTTTTGCGCCTTGGATCGCGAATTCTGGTTGTGTTTTGCGGTAACATGAGCCTGTTCTCCAGGCTTGTGGCGCTGCGCTTGTCCGAATGGACCTCGCACATCTGCCGCCATCCGTCAAAGGCCTTACAGTCCGAGGATAGCGCAAAGCGGCACTGCACCTTAGTGCGCCGCGCATATTGATCGCTTGTATGTCGTAGAAGTCGGCCTGAAATCGCTTGCGACCGTTGACTAGTAGGTTTTGTTCCAAAATCACTCGGCTGTGCGCATGTAAATCGTGGAGGGGGGTCGCGAATCCGGTATTCAAAGTGACGAAGGTGTGGGCCGGATTTAGAATTGGAGCCCGGTATTGCTTGTTCCTAGACCCGAACCCTGCCGATATTCCCGTCCCTTAGTTTAAGCGGTGCAGCGTAACGTTGCCGAGGTTCCCTAACGGCGCCTGTTGGTTATGGGATCATCTAAACTAACCTACCCTAACTAGATGAACATAACAGAACTTGGTTGGCAATTCTTTACGGTCAGGTGTCTACAATTTCACATAATAACCACGATAATTTCGCAAAGCCTTCGCACATACGGCTCTAGGTTTTTTTCTTAACTTATTCAGACACTAGCTTTGTGTGCATTGGCGAAGTTGACAAAGAGTCTTGCTGACATGCCCCTATATAAAACGGGAACTTGAAAGTCGAAACAGTTTTCTACCAGAACAAAAAGCATGTGAGAATCACTTCTAGGTTTCGTTCCTGTATATTCCCTAATGTTCAGAGCGTGTAATATCTAAAAAGCCCATGCAGGACTGACGCAATAAATCTATATATCGGATCCATTTGAATAACTCCCGCTACTTTAAAGTCCAGTTTCCTTAATTATGATATCATGAATTTCATACCGTATTTTGACGTCTCCCAGATCATATCATCTAAGCCATAACAAGGGCAAGGCCAATGACAGCAATAATGCCAGCAAAAGGAGCGCCAAGAGCACGGGCAGCATTATCGTCGCCGTCCTTACCACCCGAGGACTTGCCAGAGCTCTTATCGTCTGAGTCGGCGTCATCAGAGTCTACAAGCTCACCACCAAAGATCTTCTTGCCAGGGTTGACACCCGAGCTGAGTTCAGACGCACGCTTCTTGTAGTCGTCGAGGGTCTTCTTGGAGTCTGGGTTGATGATGCCAACCATCCCCTTGGCACACTCGTTATCCTGAGAGGAGTAGAATGGGGTAGGGTCGGTGTCGTTGACAGTGACCTGGAAGACCTTGTCCTAGAGAAGGTGTCAGATGATGTGTGTGTGTATGCCCAGAGAAGTACAACTTACGGCAGATCCGCTATCGGTAGGAAGGAAACCGGAGAAGAAACCAGTGCCGAGTTCGAGGGGAGAGCATGGGTAGCGGTAGTCGCCAGCAACGACACTGTGGTTCTTGGGCTCGAAGTGGAATTCCAGAACATCGCCCTTCTCAGCCTCAATCTCCTCGGGGTCAAACTTATTATCGCTTGTCGCAGTAATCTTGATGGTCTTGGCGCTGGCTAGATAGGCCAGAGCGGCTGAAACGAAGATGGTCTTGAGAGAAGGCATATTGGCAAGTGAAGTTGTTTGACTGAGACTAGACTTGTATTGGTATGGTAGATATGGACACTGAGTTCCAAGTAAGAGACAAGTTGAATATTATGTTCTAGAGAAAGAAAAAGGCTACGAGCAAGCATATAAAAAAGGTGAAGATCAGGCCAAGAGTCTCGTGTGTTGCCCAGCAGCGCCTTATATCAGGGCAGTTTTTCCGCATCACTCCATGCATGGGCCTGCTCGGCTGATACAATGACCTCATTGCCTACCTAACATAGATGCCAAGATGGTATTTTAACCAAGGAGAGTAAAGGATTCACTGCCGAAATATTTATTCCGCTGAAGCCCCTGTTTACTTGTGAAACCCCAGCAACCAGAAATGCAAGGGCTTTTGGCTACCCTAGAGCGACACGACAAGCACTTAGCTTTACGAGATGTACGAAAATGAAGTTTAATTCAACCATAATTTTTCACTATCTGAATCTCTTGAATGATGTGAGTGGAAGCTGTGATGGAAAATGAGACAGGTCTTGAAAGCAAAACAGGACTACACATTGTTCTGTCTCGGGTGGTGATGTGTGAGTGAACCTTGATACCAACAACCAGCACTGCGGAGAATAGCTGAGACTAATTTGACTTGAGCGCCGGGCATTAAAAAGACGGTGTATTGATCCTTGCTGATGATCCGTCAGGTGTATCAAATACGGTTCGCATTATTATTACTCTATCCTGTTCGAATATACACGAAAGAAATGGAACATCCTGTATACCAGTGCAACTGATGTTAATCACCCGGATAACCTGCACCTACTACGTAGTAGACTACCAGAAAACAACCCGCCAACGGGTACGGATAATGACTCCAGTATTCTCAACGTCTCTTAGTGTAACGGTGGCATCAATTCAAAACTCTGTCCTCTCACAGTGATAGAAAGCTTATTTTTCTTGAATAGCTCACTCCTTGCGTCCCACGACTCAGTTTTCCGAACCAACTACCGGGTTTTCATACTGGATTACGGAACGCCGGTGCCAATAAACCGGAATGACCCACTATTTGATTCCGGCTCCGATGGAGGGATCCTCACGGGCCGAAAAGAGTTGACCTTCCCCGGCTGTAGGGTCGTAGGCTATCTCCAGAAGCTAGAGTTAATTAGGTCGCTCGGCCGAAAGGTAGCCCAAGGGCCAAGGATAAGGAGCTGGCTTGGAATGAGCTAGAAACACGCTGGAGCCTTTCATAAAAAACTTTAACTCCGGGAAGAAGATTGGGCTAACGCAGCACCTTAACGTCACCTAACGAGGGGAAAGACATGCCTATTTACTCGGGTTTTAACACTTGGAAAACAACGCAAAGTTCGTCAAGTCAGTTCCGTATACTTCGTACAGTGGTCTGCAACTGCTTATTTCCTCGACGGTCAATATGCTCCTGGACTTGATTTATCATTTTGTTTGGGGAACAGTAATAGTTTCCTGCAAGTATTTCAATTTTAGGAAATACTGAACTGAACTCCCTAATAATGGTATGTCACTCTAATTTCCTAGCATCCCCACATACTTCGGCCGCCTCATTTCGAAGCAGAGACGTAATAGAATGAAGGACGAATTAACGAAGAAGAGAAAGACTCAATAGCGTTATGACACAGCGTGTTCGATGTCAGTTTCTATTACCACATAAATAAAGAAGCAATATTGTGCCTACGAACCAGAAAAATACCCTTGAGCCTGGATTGTGAACTGGAGTTGGAGGCTAGCTAACATAAAGGCCGGACATTACAGGACTTGAGGATCGACAGACCAGTAGACTAGCGAAACACTAATTAGGTACTGCTAAAAAGTATGTACTATGCACTGATTAAGGCTTATGAATCCTGAGGTGAAGGTACGATGGCTGGCATACGAAGCTTCCATAACGAAACGTTGGAAGCATCGGAAGGTGATGTTCTATGTAAGACAAGCTTGTTCATCAAATGATAGCAGTAATAACAATGAACACTGAAGCTCAAACGATCGTTTCTTCCTCTTCGTCTGAACAATCGAACAATGATGGCTACTTTTCATATACTTAAAAGTCCTTGTTCAAAGCCAACCTTTGTAAACTATTGACCCTTGTCAACTTTTCCTCGAATTTTACCAACAACATCGAGATCGAAGGAACCGCTACATTCCAGAACACTAGCAAGACACTTACACAAACTCAAGATCCATGTCTTCAGAGCATTACAAACAGCCTCAAAAGAGGTATCTCAGAACTAGAGCCAACAAACAGTCTTCAACTGTCCACCAGAAAAAAGCAGATACAGTATTGAATCCGATTTCACTGATCAGGTCCAAGATTCTACCAAGATTCTCCTCGTGGTTTCAGCCCCATCGATGCTACGACCCGAAAGAATCTTTCTTCCCCTTCCCCAAGGTTACATTCCTCGTTGATGAACCAATGAAACTGGAGTGCCAGATATGCCGGCAGGTCAGCTGTCAGATCAAGTCAGATGCAGAGCCGCTTGACGAGAGTACGTTTAGTCTATTGCCATGTGGACACGCTGCTTGTTTACATTGCCTTGATAAGTGGTTCGAGAATCAGGACACGTGCCCCTTCTGCCGAGTCGATCTGACATATCCCGGATGCAGTCACAAAGTTCCGGCGAGGCTATTGACAAGAGAGGGGCTTCACCTCCTACCAAGAACATTGCCAGACCAGGGCTACATCCCAACTCTTTGTGCACGGTGTCTCAAGAAAATATTGTTAACCAAGGCAGAAGACAGATTCCGACAGGCCACGCAAGAGTTCCAGGCAGCAAGACTGCGCCTCCACCGTACTCAAGCAGTCGCTGATGAGGTAATTATGTTAGCCAAAAGAGAGGAGCTTGAGACGGTGCTTCGAGACGAAGTCTACTTCAAGCAGCTAAGCACGTGGCTTACAAGCTGGTAAAGTTTAGTCTATCGCGCAATATCATGACTCGTGCCACAGTATTCGGTAGGGTAGGTTGGGGGGGAGAGAGAGTCTGTAAGATGTCATGTAAGGATTGTCCGCAGGATAGGTCAAAGTAGACGATACTTAGCACACAGTATCGGATACCAACCCGTCATCGACACTTGAGTCAAGAAGAACAAGGATATACAGGGGTAAAAAGCGCCGAACGAAGTGAAAACTGGTAAACACGAGCTGCATGGTGTTGTTGTTGGGGAAGCTGTTCCAGTACGGTTTTTTTTTTTAAACCCCTTGACCACCTGAGTCGTGCATCGGACGTGGACGCAATGTACGCGCATACGTGAGACATTAAAGATCTAGAGAAAGAAAGAAAGAAAGAAAGAAAAAAAATTAAAAATTCTCGAAATAAATCTCCGAGGCTTCATGATGACGGGCCGACAGTTCCAGCTCCTGTGGTCGATCTAGGGTGCATGAGAAGAGCCTCTTGGCCTCTGACCCCTGGCTATCTTACTTGAGTCGGTGCCGGTATCCACATCTAATCCCGTCCAAATGCGGTCAACTGACTCGGGGCATTCTGATTGGAAGCGGATGTTACTTGGATGTCTGATAAATTGCTTTGTTATAGAAATCAATGTCTTGTCAGTTAGATGATTCGAGGGAGGGCATTCCGGGTGTTTGGCAGGACATGGAAACTGGAAGAATGGATCGTAGGGAGGGAGGAGGGATAGCTAAGGGGATGCCGACAAGAGGTGAATGGATACCCGGCGGGAGAGGGGCGCAGGACGGACCCGCTTTCAACGGCAGCTCCGTGAACCGGGGCGGACAATAGCGGGCCTCGGAAATCGGAGGACGAGAGACTCTAATATTACAGGATATTAGTTATAATGTCATTACTCTTCCTGAGACTCTGTTTGTATTTTGTGTTACCCAAAGCTGCATCTCAAGAAGAGTTTTCAGCTGGGTTGGCTATTCAATATTCTCTTTGTTCTTTATTGGTGACCCATGGTTATACGCCTGCCCGAGACTTCTCGGTCGGATAGTTGGAACATCACACAGATAGATGGATGGCTAGAGATCTCCTTTCTTTTTCGATGGGTGTGAAGTAGCTCTAATCGTTGCATAAGCGGTCTGGGTAGATGAAAACACTCCGGTGCCCCCGCTACCATCACCATGGAACCGGGTGGCATACTCATGCCAGGAGCATGTGAATGACACATCATATAAACTGCCAAGGTAGCTGAATATGAATGATATGAGGTGAGGCTTCTAGAAATGAATTCCGGTGGCATGATACTACATGTTTCGGCAAACTAACTAACGTCGGCCAACGAATTGGTGATGAAATCGCGCTTTACTTGGTTTGATAACTTCGTCTGTTAGCAACAGTACGTTTAAAACACATATGTTTTACTGAATTATACCAAGCCGTGATACGATATAGCAGCTACTCATGTGTTTAATTCGTTACGTGTAATGCCACTACAACTCCAATAGGCGGCTGACGACAGAAACTCCCAGTGTCTTAGTACCTACGTAGTAAATTACATAAACCAAAACGGTCGGGATTTGCCGAGGTGGAGACATGGTCTGGATCTAAGCCCTTCAGCCACATTTTGAGCGTTGAGTTCCAAACCCTTGGAACAGCCCTTGGTGCCTCCTTCCCTGCGAAGATCGAGATTCGGAAGGTCGCCAGATTTGGGGAATGGCAGGCACATGACGATATTCCCAACCGGCTGCTCCAGTGCTCCCCCCCCCCCCCCCCGGCTCCGAATTTACAGGAAGTGTCGATCGCCTGCCTGCTCCCTACTGTAATGCACCTGCCTTATTGTGGCCAGTAACACACCTAGACATGGAACCTACCTAAGTTAGGTACGCAACTCAACCTTGACACATCCCTCAGCTTCTATTCATGAACTTTTTTCTTCTTTCTTTTTTCCCGCCTCTCATGAACCGCATTGCTCCATTGCGCCTCTACCCCTTGTCCTGCTGGGCTTGAGTTGGCTTCTTAGCTGCTTGGCTACTGGCCATTGCTGGTGCCGCTGCTACTGTTTGCACGCGAGCAAATGACTCCTCAGCTGCTTTCCTCCTGCAGGTATTAATCGAATGAATGGTAAATTTATAGTACGTTACACTACAAGGATGTTTCCTCTCCAACAAAGATCCGCTTGGCGATTCTAGGCTTTACGATCTGTCTCGGCTCATCATTAGTCCCAGAGTCTGGACATTGGTTTGCCGTCGAACCCTGTTCTCTTCGCATTTGCGCCCGTACATACCGCCCATGTTACCGCACCGGGCTGCCTCTCCAACCGCGTCACCAGTCGAATCTAATCATCACCGCCTGTTCAATTCATGCTTGGCCGTTGGTATCGGGTCCAAGTTTCACGCCGTGGGACCTTAGTTGCGATTCGGACAGCACCGGCTATAGTGTTGAGCCACCAGTAGAAACACCTTGAACGGCGATACGTACCTATATCTGGATCTGCTTTATTAGACGGCCTAGAAGGACCGTGCATTGCTAGCGTCATCTGGCTTCGGATCCTGACTTCCTACAATAACTCCCCTTAGAAGGCCTGTTCTATCTCGAAAAAAAGAAACGAACGGCGTCCGGCAAGCCATCTAACAAAGCTTAGCCTTTCCTGGTAGCTGGGTAGCTGGGGAATGGTGTACACCCTAGGGGTCCTTGCTACCTCGACCAGAGAGAATGTCTGTCAGCAGGCTGATCAGGACGTAGTCGCAGCAACCCTAAGGTGAGAAGCGCCTATAGACGAGCTGCGTTCTGGAGGATGTGCACAACTCAAAAGCCCCTACCCCTTCTCCAGCGCGGTTCTCTCTTCTACAGGACTGTTCGCGCCGCTCTATTGCTTTGGGAGGGCTTGATACTTTCTTCTGTCCCAATCCTCTGCGACTGAATTTCAAGGATGCGTGTTTATGAGCGCGTGGCTCAGTGATCTCCATATAATACACCCTGTCTGACTTACATTCACCTAGTCGCCACAAGGGGGCAACAACGGCTCACGCACGCCAGCCGGCCTTTTCTGCAGCGAGCTTCGAAAGTGGGTGTGATGTATCGTCTGTTAGCCATACGGTCCATGCCCTCGGGGCTTCTGCACTTGCAGTCACCGAATTATGTCGTCGTCGTCGTCAATGGGTTTATGCCCATCCATCGAATCATTGACATCAACAAAGAACTCTGCAGTTCCGAGCCTCCGTCATTTCAGCTCTATCTCCGCTTCCAGTGAACTCAAAATATTCTCAGCCACTGCTTCCAAGGGACACGATCCCTGGGCTTGGGCAGCTTGCAGTCCCCAGATACATACATGATACAGTATGGGCATCCCTTCCCGTTGGATCAATTGCAGCTCGAAGCTGTTCAATGAAATATCGTTTTATGCTTCTCGATACAGTTTAGCACATCACAACTAGACCTCGAAAGCTGAAGTATACGTGCCTTACTAATAAGACACCTTTCTGTTGGTACTTTTACACACCCCGGCCACGAAACCTGAGCGTAACTTCGCTCGCCTCCTACAAGTTAATGTGATATTGGGTGAGGATGAGAGCGAGCAATTCAAAGGTCGCCGTTTCAGCGGCCGAGTGTGGCTCGTTACCATTTTCCACATATCGAGTTGGTGGCGCGCTGCTCATCCGCCTGGTCTTGATTCTCTACTACTAGTTTTACAACCGACCGACCGGCTCTTTGTCTGCTGCAGATTACTACCTGCCTCACGCCAGGGCCGCAGCTAGCTGGTGAGTTTTGATTGTAGCGCAGCCCTGCAGCTTTTTCACAGTGAAATAGACTGGCACTTGCATCGACTGGTGTCATTTCTCCCGCGCCGGCTCCGTCGTCGTCGTCCCAATAGGGCTGCCCCGTCCGGTGATGGGGTTCTCCGGGTCCTGGATCATTGCACATGTATCTGATACATCCTTCCTCCGTACTAGAGTACTGTATAGAGGCACCCAATCCCTCTCTCCTTTCTCCGACTCCATGAAAGACTTGCCGCTGTGGCTGATCCTCCATGCGGCGGACCCTTTTGTGAGCTTATCGTCTTAGTTTGCTTGAGATTGGATGCCGACATGCTAAGTCTTCATAAATACCCTGGTATATGTCACCGCCGGTGCCCCATCCATCTTTTCGATAAAGGGAAAGCGTCATTCTATTACACCTGGCTGCTTCTCATTTAAAACTACTCCAGCTTCATCCAACTTGCTCTTGCACACTATCTTGTGTTCTTTTCACTGACGTGGACTGGGGTCAGTCGAGCAACACCACGAATTTCTTCCAAGCCGTTGTTACGAGAGTCGCGATAACATAGATGCCCGGCTCTTGTCGCAAACCGACAAGTTTCGTTTTACCAAGTCACCAAGACGGCTAAATGTCAACGCCAGCAGTATGTAGCTTGCTCTTTCTTCTATCCTCAAACCCCTTCACGTTCCTTGTTCCTAATATGGACACCTTATTGTCTAGCAAAAGGCAAATCTTGCCCGGATCAGAGATAATCAGAGAAGATCCCGGGCCCGCAGAAGAGAGTATCTACAAGAGCTCGAACAACGACTGCGGGTGTATGAGCTCCAAGGTGTCGAGGCCTCTTCAGAGGTGCAACATGCCGCACGCAGGGTCGCCGAAGAAAACAGACAACTCCGTGGTCTCCTTAACCGGCATGGCATCGGAGACGATTACATATCCAGCTATCTGAACTCCGCGACGGCAGCGCAAACGGACCCGACAGTAATTTCTCACTTTACCTCGAGCATTCCAAGCGACAACGTGCAATCTCTCCAGCAGGTTATAGCTCCTAGAAGACCTACTGCTCTCGAAACCAGCGTATCTTATGCTGTTCCCCCACAAGAGAGCCGTGAGCCATCTATAGCCAGTGGTTCTACAAGCAGTTCTTCCATATGGGAGGCTGGCCAGCCTATCCCGCCTGGCTCAGCATATGCTCGGCCACTCCCATCTAACGTCCCTACGCCTGTGCCAAGACAGTCGATAACCTCCTCAATGCACCCACAGCAATACAGCTCGCATATGTTCTCTGACCCTCAAGTTTCGCGGACTGAAGGCTACCACACGATCGCCACCCCGGGAGCCTTGATGGAGGACCCTCGCCGACATAGCTATTCTGTAGGATCCGTACCCGGGGATGTGTCGTCGACGATGGGCTACAGTATTCCCATGAATTCTTTTCACAACCCCGTGGGACAAGGTGGTGGCCCTTCGGGGCCTTGTTGACTGGATGGACAATCTGCGGAGAGCTTTCGCCTGACCCAATGGACTTCGTTACCCATGGTGGCCTCAAACTATTCTGACAGTCGAATTGCAAGAACATGCAGAAATAGCTTCGCATCGAAACTTCATGTCCGAAATCAAACGGAGTCGAATTGATTGTTGCAAATACGCTTTCGATATACACCGATGAACCCGCCGATGTACTTTGATGGCATTGGTATCTGGCCAACCAACCGACAAGGAGTTCCGAAAGCTATGATTACTTCGATGCAACACGTATGGATCGAGCCCGGCAGCCTGCAGAGATAGATGTCTTGGTGCTTGGAGATTTGTTCATCCATCAAACCCCCACCACAAGTTTACGAATATCAGCCTGCGAACAAAACCCATCTTGGATCACGCGGTATTGTTCGTACATCTTTGTGCTTAATGAACAAAGATTTACTTTGAATTACCATTTGAGAACTGCTGAAGCACAAGGCCGAACTCGAACATTTACGGCGATCAATCGAACGGCAAGCATGAAAGAACAATAAAGCTTTGACAACAAGTTTCCTAGTGTCATTATTCATAGGGCGTTAAGGAGAAAACGATACCGACATATACATACCACGCCTCGTATCAAGAACTACTTCAAAGCCACCCCGAGACGATTTGCGACGATCCGTTCTACAGTCCATCGACCAATACAAGTGTTTAATCTCAGAGACAACATGATGCTTGCTACTAATACTGAAAGACCAATGTGGACATGGCCGCAGTTGTCCATGCAGGATATACCAGGATCACTTCTACACGAGCAGCTACTCGAACAAGCGATTGAGAACAGTCTGAATTGTGCAGTTCATCCGAGTTACAAAAGCGTCCCTACGACCCAATCGAACCCTTTTATGGATGGCTCAAGTCTTGCCTCAGATGAGGAAGTTGGAAACATAAACAAATTCCCCGGGAATCGAAAACTGAGCATTATCTTGATTCCGGCGATCAAGAGCTCACCACAAATCAACCTTCTCATAGCAAGCCCGAGTTCAGTCCAGTCATATCACCAACCTCTGAAGAAGGATCGACGCAAACTACACACAACATGGGTTCGCAAACTGAGAAGAAGAGTCGATTGCCAGTCGCCAAGGAGTGTGATGCAACCCTCGCAGGAGAGACTGATAGTATCAACCGAGGACGCACAGGTCGATTCATCCAAGCACTGTCTGATCGGTTCTCAAGCAAAAGAAGAAGTCCGCACTCTCCAGGCCAGCAGAAAGAGAAAGAGGGAGGAACAAGAGAGCTCGCTGCACCTAGACCAGCCCCCGGCGAAACGTCGCTACGTGATCACAGAGGAAGAGAGTCAGCCAGACATCGTAAGAAACCCCCGTTTATGAAAATGATGAAAGGCGCTGACATGTTGATGAAGTCTGAGAAGATTATAGACAAGCAGATTGGCGACCCGACCTCGAAAGCTTCGATACTTCCACAAGCCAGCTCATCTGCATCTGCCACAGCCCATAGTTCGGGTAAACCTAGCACTTTCAGCATCGACGACATCAACACTGGGGCTACGATTCTTACTCTCATTACCGAAATTTGCAATAACGCCGATAGAAAATTCTCTAGGTTGGAGCAACTCGACCTGCTTGATCTATTCAAACAGATGCCGGACCTCATGACTCGTGAACAGCGTTTGTCAGGGGATTCTCGTAAGATGGCGAACGATTTCGTGTCCACCGTCTATCAAAGTTGTGGAGCCGCCAATTGGGGCGAGATCGAAACCTTTGATGATTTGAAACTAAAGTTGGAGGCGCTGACGAAGTTTGATAGCCGTGCGGAAGCGTCACCAAGGCAAGAAGGACATATTATTGTTTTGTGAGCTGGTCCGTGAACAGGTTTGGTCTTCCAGAACAATCTAGAGCTGATTGAACTACTTTCATTGGGTTTCTGGGCATTTAGATGGCGTTCCAGGACGATACCCCCTTTACACAGGTAGTTGGTGCAAAAAAGCGAATCTTGAATTTAATCGAACTCCGTACCCTATTCGTAACCCTTTGCAAACCCAGTGAATTCCATGATACACAACACGCCTTGAATCTAGCAAACATGAATTAGTTGATGCTGAAGAGATGTCCAATCACAAGAAGTAGTCCGCAACTGGCTTCTTAGCAGGCATTCCTCGTGAATCTTGCGGTGCAGCTTGGAAGACTCTGTATCGCCGTGCAGGTCCACTCCTGGGTGGTATGCTGCCATCCATTATAGCTCCAGCACCACCATCGCTTCTGCCAACATCACCATTGCTGCGAGCAAAGAGGCCTGTGCCAGACTCATCCTCTGAGAGTTCAAGAACTGCGGCAACATTGCCGCAGCGATAACAGTAGTTTGGAGCAGACCAAACGGTAACGATAGAAGCATCAAACATTTCCTTGAAACCCTCCATGACAAGCTGATGTGCACGTGCAATGAGGCTGAGGTCGTTGCGGTGGTTGAAGACTTTGACAATATCCGCGCCGAAAAGGAAGCCTGCACCTCGCGGTGAGAGACCCCAGCCATCGATTTCATCCGGGTCAGACCAGAGAAGATCGCACATGGCGCCCTCGTGAGGCACTTCTTGTTTGCGATCTATCAGACGAATCTTATCCACTGTGTCGACCAGGGGACTCAAGCCGCCATGAACGCAGAGCACTGCTCCGGCTGGATTTCCGACGGTACCACCGCTGGACCCCGAGGCGCCTGAGCCAGGGGGGCCTGTCCTGTCCATTGCTGTCCCACCTGGGCTTTGGACCTGCTCTTGCGCACCATCCCCTTGCCGGCGTCGGGGGAATCGGCTCATGATGGAGCCGTTCTGGTCGCAAACCTCGATCTCGGTCTCGTCGTCGACAGGTTCCACGCCGGGCGACATGGTGTTAGAAGCACCCAGCACAATGGCACCAAGGGCTAGGTAATCAAATACATCGCAGCAATACCGCCATACATTGGCACTGCCGTATTTTCGTATGCATTCATCGTAGAAACCGTAGACTGTGGTGATCTGGCGCGACTCGTGATTGCCGCGAATCAGCGTCATTCTGTCGGGGTATCGAACTTTTAAGCATAGTAGTAGCAGAAAAGATTCAAGTGAGTAGAAACCACGGTCGACAAAATCGCCTGTGGAATTTTGTCAGAAAGGAGTGGTTGCGAAACCGGATGGAAGACTGGCCGTACCCATGAATAAGTAATTCGTATCCGGAACATCGCCTCCAACCCTGAAGAGTTCCATCAAGTCGTGGAATTGACCATGGATATCACCGCATATCTGATAGACGACATCAGCCATTGTTGATCCGGTAGACGCTCTCACTTGGGTTTGGCGCATACCGTTACCGGTGCTGAAACAGTAACAACGTTACCCTCCTCTATCAAAAGTTCTCTTGCTTTGTGGCAAAGCTCACGGACTTGGGCCTCTGGAATCGGTCGGCATGCGCGCAGCTGCGCAATGGCTCTGAATCCAAAACATTAGCTTGGAGAATCTGGTGATTGGCGGTGGAAATCCAGGCCTCACCTGTCAAGATCACTCATGTTGTAAGAGCAGGTATGCCAGGCTTGCGGGTGGGGGTATTGCGCTGACTATGATGTTGTCTTAAGCGGTGTCGAATCAGATAATCATAACATGTCGCAATGAACCAAGTTTAGGTATACAAACTGGTACTAAAGAAATAAAGGCGGGGATAAAGTAGAAAGCCGGTCGCGTGTGTTGGAGATGTATTTGGAGATTTCGCGATTCCGCGCTGATTAAGGTAGTGACGCTCTTCGTCTCATGTGGAGTAGAACCCTTGCAGCCCCACCAAACTGGTCAGATCTCGGATTTATATATAACCGTAGCCGAAAGCACTCCCCTTCAGCCGGTAGCCAATGAGAACCACACCATAACTCAGGTTTGGGAGTCGCTTCGTGATTTCTGGATCACCTCCACAAATCGCTCGATACCACCGGCTTGTCGACTTGGTCAGCGCCTGTCGGGAGGACGATGCTACGGTCATTATGTGAGTTCAATGGCATCTTGGATTTGTTGAAAAGCCCGCTGACGGCCAATTGAGACCTTTAGAGTCCTTCACCAAACGACCTTCTGTGGAACCAGGATCATGCCACCACTCCTCCATCCGAAATCGCGAATGACGTCGTCGCTCTTCGCAACGACAGTCGCCGCCTGCTTCCTCGTTGTCACGATTCCGCATCTGCTCCCTTGCCCTGTACCACGAGCCCGATTTGCCGATGGAGATGTTATGGTGGACGAGAATGGCCGACGACTAAGATGGAAGAGGAAGGATACCAACCCAAGAGTCGAAGATGGAATCGTTCAGTTCAACGATTTGACGACCGAAGAGACCGAGAGTGCACAGGACAGAGCGAAGAGGGAGTGCCCGTTACCGAAGCCGGGAGGTATGCTAGGCGAGTGGTTGGGATTCCACAAGGGCGACAACGAGACTGGACGATGATGGACGCCGCATTCGTTCGACATATTTAACCGCAAAGAGTCGAACAGGACTCAATCCATCGATGTTTATTTTTGGTATCAGATGCCAGATACAGTTCATCGCAAAGCGACTACTCCCGCTCATCACTCTCCTAGCAACTTGACGTGAACATCAGTTGCTACTAGCTACAACACTGCAAAACGCCAGAAAGACAACTGAGGCATCCCGGAAGACGGCAACAACATTTGAAGAGAAAAGGCTCAGTTTTATAGAGGGCCGAACTATTCCTCTACGAATTCTTAAGGCCCTAGAGGTCAACATTGCTGAGTCATAACTCAGCTGTATAGTTAGTTATATCCAGCTTTAAGCTGCAAACAAAATAAAGAAAGAAGACCGTGTTTTGAAATAATAGTCTGGGCGATCATATCATGATTTTTTATTAGTGAATCAGTACCTAGTCTAAGTCACCTAAGTCTTGGAGACTCAAGTTACAACCCAAACGGAAACGGGATGGTTTGGTTTCAGATGGAACTACTCCGTATCTCCCAATAGTCAGCGCCTGTAGAGTTAGCGATAGGTTTCGTCAACCTTAATTGGATGTCTTCTCTTCGACTTTTTGATAGGGGCATATAATTGTGCCGTGGATAATTCCCGGCCATAGTTACCTATGAAACAGCACTATTGGCATACGAAGAGCAATGCATACATGAAAGAAACCAGCCATACCTAACGGAAAGTTCTATTTCTTCTTGCCCCCCCCCCCCCCCCCCCCCCCCCCCCCCCCCCCCCCCCCCCTATAGGATACCTCGAGGCATCGGGTTTAGGCATATTCGAATGCGAACATTCAATTGGAACAGGTTCGAATATCGTTTGTTAGTTACGGTAGTTATGCTATGTCATTGAATTAAGCTAAGCGCTTGCTACTACGTAGTCCGTATGTTTGAGTTGAGAGCTGGCCCGGGAATACCTATTCCCAGTCTGTCGATTGCGGTTATGCATGGTAATGTGGAGCCAAGCCATCCAGGATCGGAGAATTCAAGAAAGTGATAACCTACTAATCTAAGCTAAATTGTTGGAATTTGTACAGTACTTGTACGGCGGTTGGGCATACCCAACTCCGTTTGGGAGACTTGAAACATCCATACTACGTAGATCTCGACAGCTAACGTTAACTTAGAGGGTATCCGTACGGAGCACGGATACGAAACTCCAGAATTCTGATACAACCATATTCGTATCTGCGGAGCCTCAGGACAGACTGTCGCGTGACATTAATTAAACGCTTGGATTTATTCTGAAATAACGTTAGAATGTTACAGGCCAGACACGGTAACATAAACCCTATTCCTCCGTGCCTGAGGGAGGATCTGCGCCGCTGCAAGGAGGCAGCCAGCAGCAAGTTATTGATTAAGCTTATCCTAGATTTCAACAATTTCGTCAAATCCTCTATGGGTAAGAGATACTAAATGATACCTAAATCTGGACATGTAATTGCACTTTGAACAAGCCTCGGTAGATTAGGAGAAGTATTCGTATAATTAACTTGTTAGATACTCGAGAAGGTTTGGATTGAACAATTCTACTTGAATTGCATGGGGTGTTGGTATGCAATGGTTACTAACGGTACATAGCCTAGGCACTCTGGGCACGACTGGGGTCAGCAGGGGTTGGTACGATGATGACAGAATAAGCCCGAGGTGAAAGGGAACAAAGAAAGAGTGAAAGAAGGTGGACAATTATTATGGACATTTATTATTAGATACTCGTGATACGTCGGGTCGAGTAACTTGCATTGGGCTCCCATGATTTCATCCCACATGACGGAGACGGGAGTGAACTGGAGCTCAAAAACCTGTACACGGGCAGTCGCTGGCTGGAAACGGTAGCGGCTAGGTACCTCCCCAAAGAAGCCTTGGCAGGGAATAATGACGCTTTTAGCGCTTGCAGAGCCCAGCAGGTAATCTCACTCGCTAACGGTCAATGGATGACGGCTGGGGCTGGGGCACGCAGCGCTGCACAGACCAGGCGCGTCCAAACGCCCGTCAAAAGATGCTTGTGCCCAGGAGCCAGGTTTTGATGGGAGCTGGCTGACCTGAACCTCATATCCCTAATTTACCTAGTATCCGTACCTCTCGACTCAGTACCCTCTACCTAACTTCTGTGCTGTTGTCTTTGCGTGGACGAATACTGTGATTTACATTGGACTCAGCCGTTGACGGCCCTCGATTTTTACTACCGAGACATAGAGCATCTTTGTATTACCACTACAGCTTGTCATCTGGCGCCCCTGTGCCGCGCCTGTTTTCCCCCCCAACTCATCCTCGCGTTCGCCGGTTCAGCCGTGCTTCGACAAATCGATTGCCATGCCAGTTTGTCCCGAGTGCGCTCTGCGATCGCCCTCGCCGGCTTCAACTTCCGGCTGAAGACCCAAATCTCGAGCGATCTTTTGACTTTATTATCGTTGCTGCTGCGAATAAGTCATGTATTCTCCCTCCCCCCCGAGAACTGGTACTGGCAGCGGCACACATTACGACTCTCCACGCACTTATGACTCTGGACATACGCTGAGCAGCTCTGTTGCGACTAAAGCTGCCCGTCTGCGTCCCCCTCGATCCCTTCCACGTGAGCAACCAATATTATTCTCTTTCGAATTTTATGAACTGTGGTAGCTAACTCTGAGTAGCCTGGATCGATTCTTTCGACGACAAACAAGGCTCAGTAAGTGAGGACCAACTACGACTCCTACGGCCTCCCACGCGCGCCGTTCCACCGCAACATAACTCGTCGCCCAGCGACCCTCAAAGACGAATTTCAAAAGATGGTTTCGTCGATCCACACGACCCCCTCGTCGGCCTAAGCCAGGAAACGAGGGGCAAGATTCCTCATTTTATGCGTTACGGGCGCGCTTCGATGCGTGGTAGGAAATGGGACCATCTGAGATCCGCAGAGCCTGTCATTGTGCCGGGACATAAACCAGCCTTGACCTCGCAACCTAGTATCGCCTGGCAAGACTTTGTGCATTCATCCGCTTGGGGCCGCATGACCAACGAGGACTCCAAGGTTGAGGACATCGAAGCCCTGCACGATCTGCAACCAAACTTTAACACGCCAGCACGTCACCCCTACAACGCCCAAGATGCTAAGATATCACGGAAGAAGAGGTCGCTTGCTCCATACAAACGTATATGGTATATGGCTATTCGACATTCTCTTGCACCTTTAATGTTCAGATTAAGCGTCATGGTTACCTCTATTATTGCCCTTGCTATTGCGGCGAGGATCCACCAACTTGAAGACGTCGATAGTACCGATTCTGCCGAGGAGACCCAGTCGGTGGTCGCCGTTGCTGTAGACTGTGTGGCCATACCGTATATTGGCTACATGATCTGGGACGAATACACAGGCAAGCCTCTGGGTCTACGATCGGTGGCCTCCAAAATATCCTTGGTTTTGCTGGATCTGTTTTTCATTATTTTCAAGTCTGCGAGCACAGCACTCGCATTCGAGAGCCTTGTCTATCACAACCTGTCCGATCCCGCCGTGCGGAATTTGTCCAAAGCTCTGGCAGCATTTATGCTGACAGGGTTAATTGCCTGGTCTATGAACTTTGCAGTCAATATCTTCCGTACGGTGGAGCGTCTCGGAGGAGGTGAAGATGACGGCATACATGGACACAGTTAAGGATTGGTGCAATTGGCTGGGCTTGGGAGTTATGGTATACCCCTTTGAGCAGGGAGTGTTTATGGCATGGATTCTTGGCATATATGGATTGGGATATTGACATTGACATTGATACCACGGTAGACCGTGCTTAGCGTTCATTGCTGCTCTTGTTTTCTCTTTTGTTGTTATCACAAAGTCACAAACGATGACTGCACACTACTATACCACACCGCACATGTGCATTTCTTAGAGTTTAAGGATACCTCTGGCAAGAGGAATGAACGAACGAACAAACGAACGAACGGGTGTCAAACTAAACCGTGCGTGTATGATGAAACGTCCAGTGATGTGACCGTGGCTTTTGCCTCTTGAAGAACACTATTTTGGCCTCGGGCTGTTTCACCATCCATCATGGTGTGGCGTTTCATTTAAAGTCTGTTCTCTGTCGATATCCTCAAAATGAATAATAAGCTTTTAGGCTTCCAACTCGTCACTGACCCAGGCCCCGCCTGCCATCGGAGACAACCCGGCCCCAGCCAGCCAGCCTAGGGCGGTAAGCGGCGGCAGAGCAACTCACTAATCCCTTTTTAGCGAGAGCCCACTACTGCCGCGCTGTTGCGGCCTTGCCTCAGCAGTCAACGCCTTTGCCTGGTCTTATCCATACCTACCTTATCCATTCCCAGCTGCGGTCTGACCTCCAGCTAGACTACTGCCTGATCCTCCCATTCTCGTGCACTGCATTTATTTGACCGTGGAAGAATAACCATCGTTCAACAGGTTTTCTTTTCTTTTCTTTTTTGATGACTCACGTGGTCTGGGATGACTTAAGTTTATGACTTGCAGTTTGCTTTTGTTCCCAGAACTCTCCAAAACTCTCCGGCCGACCCTTACCTTACTTTCATCCGAAATCGCCTCCAGTCTTAGTCGTACCTGAGTAGCTCAATCTCAACCTCGACAACATCGCCCCGTCAAACACTTTTGCCAAGCCTCTCCTTCTCACCACCGCCTGGCTCTTTCACGCTCCGGCTATAGCTCCACGGCTTGTACTCCCACCAGCCAAACCGACTCCAGCGACCCTGACGACATCGCGTCGAACCCCTCGATACCGACCCCGCCTCCATCATCAACGCATCCTTTGAATCGCCATCCACATTCGCCAGTTCGCGCATGATGGCCGCAAAGATGGGTGCTCCGAGTCAGATGCCTCCCATACCTAACAGGGAGGATATCGGAGCGACGTGAGTTGCTTCCTCGTGAACGTCCGGCATACGGAAGCTGACATGAACAGATGGACATATCTACAAGCTGGAATCTCACGCGTCATGAACGATCTGGAGCAGGGTATCGACATGCAAATGTACATGGGCGTTTACACGTGAGTAACATCTCGCATTATCTCATATCATATCAGGGTCATCACTAACACGTTGCAGAGCTGTCCATAACTTCTGCACATCGCAAAAGGCCATCGGCATGCACGGGCCTGCGATGCATTCTAACCATCGAGGAGGTAAGCCAGCCCTGCATATCACATTTGTGGCCAACTCAGCTAATCCTGCGGTAGCACATCTCCTTGGCGAGGAGCTGTATAACAAGCTAATCGATTATCTCAAGCAACATCTCGACGACCTTGTGACCCAGAGCAAGGCGCATACTGACGAGGCGCTGCTCGCATTCTACATCAAGGAATGGGGACGATACACAGTCGCTGCCAAGTACATTCATCATCTGTTTCGGTACCTCAACAGGCACTGGGTCAAGCGTGAAATTGATGAAGGTAAGAAGAATATCTACGACGTGTATACACTCCACCTTGTGCAATGGCGTAAGGAGCTTTTTGAAAAAGTCAGCACCAAAGTAATGGATGCTGTTCTCAAACTCGTCGAGAAGCAAAGGAATGGTGAGACTATTGAACATAGCCAGATCAAGCAGGTCGTGGATTCCTTTGTTTCATTAGGACTCGACGAAGCAGATCCCTCCAAGTCCACCCTCGACGTTTACCGCTTCCACTTCGAACGCCCTTTCCTCACTGCCACAAAGGAATTTTACCTAGCCGAGTCTAAGCAATTTGTTGCCGAGAACAGCGTCGTGGAGTACATGAAGAAGGCAGAGACTCGACTATCCGAAGAAGAAGAGCGCGTTCGCATGTACCTTCATCAGGACATTGCCATTCCTCTCAAAAAGACTTGCAACCAGGCCCTCATTGCCGACCATTCAGCTCTTCTTCGTGAAGAGTTCCAAGTGCTCCTTGATAACGACCGAGAAGAGGATATGGCTAGAATGTATAACCTACTTTCTAGAATCCCGGATGGGCTAGACCCCCTCCGAGCGCGTTTCGAGACACATGTAAGGAAGGCTGGCCTGGCTGCTGTGCAGAAGGTCCAATCTTCCGAGGGTGACAAGCTGGAGCCGAAAGTCTACGTGGATGCTTTGCTCGAGATCCACACGCAGTACCAGGGTTTGGTAAAGAGAGCTTTCAACGACGAACCCGAGTTCACGCGATCACTTGACAACGCCTGCAGAGAATTTGTCAACCGGAACGAAGTTTGCAAAGCTGGATCCAACAAGTCACCGGAGCTCCTGGCCAAGTACACAGATGTCCTTCTCCGAAAGAGTAGCACTAGTATTGAAGAGGCTGAACTGGAGCGTACCCTTAGCCACATTATGACAGTGTTCAAGTACATTGAAGATAAGGATGTCTTCCAGAAATTCTACTCCAGAATGCTCGCCCGACGCTTGGTGCACAGCAATTCGTCATCTGACGATGCCGAGACTAGCATGATTAGCAAACTGAAGGAGGCTTGCGGTTTCGAGTACACCAACAAGCTTCAGCGTATGTTCCAAGATATGCAAATCTCAAAGGACCTGAACAAAGAATTCCGCGACCACCTGGAGGGCGTCGAATACACACAGGCGGTTGATTCCAACTTCTCTATTCTAGGAACTGGTTTCTGGCCATTGACGGCGCCGAGTACTGACTTTAACCCGCCACCGGAGATCGCGGCTGAGATTGAGCGTTTCATCCGATTTTACAAACACAAGCATGAAGGTCGTAAGCTTACGTGGCTGTGGCATCTTTGCAAGGGCGAGATCAAGGCCGGCTACTGCAAGGCTAGCAAAACGCCTTACACCTTCCAGGTCTCTATCTACCAGATGGCCATTCTCCTCCTTTTCAACGAGAAGGATACTTACAGCTATGAGGATATGCTAAGCGCTACCCAACTTAGCAAGGAAGTGTTGGACCAGGCCCTTGCTGTTATCCTAAAGGCCAAGGTGCTTATCATGTCAGGAGCAGCTGGTGAGAAGCCCGGAGCAGGCAAGACTTTCAAGCTCAACTACGACTTCAAGAGCAAGAAAATCCGAGTGAACCTGAACCTCGGTGGTATAAAGGAGGCCAAGCAAGAGGAGGCCGAGACCAACAAGACGATTGAGGAAGACCGAAAACTGGTTCTTCAGGTATGTATCATGGATCCTCATTCTGATCAATAGCGCAATGACTAACCGGCCTGCAGTCCGCAATTGTGCGAATCATGAAGGCACGAAAGAAGATGAAGCACACACAGCTAGTCAGTGAGACTATCAACCAAATCCGCTCTCGTTTTGTTCCCAAGGTTGGCGACATCAAGAAGTGCATAGAAATTTTACTAGACAAGGAGTACCTGGAGCGTCTGGATGACGACGAGTTAGGATACCTAGCTTAAGTTTCAAACTCTACGCCTCGGTTTGAGGCCAAGGGGTGCACTGCACCTCATCCTCTTGTTTTATCACCACCCCCACGCTCACCTTCTTATGTACTTCCTCGACACATGATTAACCACACGGGAATCTCGGCGGCCACGAGCGACTTTCTTTTCTTTATTATTTCCTTGGGCGGCTGGGGAGAGAGGCTATGACAGGCATAGGCGACGAGGACATGGGTTTGATAAACATTAGATGGTCAGCACTTTGAGCCTAGAAATAAGATGCTATGGCTTTTCTGACGATCCTATCCGACGTCAGTATCATATGCTTTCCTCCAACTTATTCATTCTTCACGTTTTGAGGGTTTCGATGATGACTTGGAACAGGGAGCAAGGAGCAGGGAGCCGGGTTGTTTTGCAGGTATAGTTTCAAAATGGCTATGTAGAATGGGCGGGCTACATTGAAGAAAGAGAGACTCTCTAGAAAGGTCCTCACAGGCGTGTGGCATCTGACTAGAAAGAATAGTCTTGTTCTAAAAACTACAGACAACTCTAATTTCCCCATTCTTGAATCGTACGTAGGCCTTTTTGAAATGTTAATTACAACTATGCTATGCTATACTGGGTGATGTATATATTCAGTACGCTCAAATCACCCACTTTGGTCATCATGTGTATACCCATGAGACGGCCGTTCCATAACCCAATCCTCGCTCCCCCTATCAAACTCGTCATTCCTTAGTCGTTACACTATTACCCTCTAAATGAGGGTTCACGCCAGGCAATTTGTCCTTCGAACCAACGACTTCCTCTGTTTGGAATCCGTCGTCTTCCTTTTCCTTTACCCTTTCCTTTTCTTCTTCTTTTTCCTTTTGCTTCTCCTTTTCAGGTACTGGTGGGCCAGGTAGCGGCTTGTTGGTTCCTGACGTTGGCCGGCTTCTTGGCTCGCTAGCTCCAGACAGTATGCTCTCACTGAAGCTTGCACCTCTGTCGTGTCTCGAGGTTGCGTCCTCTGAGCTGCCGCCTCGAGATGCGGGATTGCTTATCATCTGGTAGTCTCTTTCAATGGGGCTGCTTGCAGCAGAGTCATCGTTGGACTTCTCATTCTTGGGAGTTGCTTTGCGACCCCAGCCACCACCCCAACCACTTGTCCGACGTTTCTCGCCAGCCCAGGCTGCCCAGCTACCGATATAAGAGCCCGCTCGGGCACCAGCTGATGATCCTGTTTGTCCAGTCTTCGCAGCATCGTAACCAGCCGGTTGACTGGATCCATTTGTTGGCGATGCCATGCGCGCTTCTTCGGCACGACGTCTTTGAGCTTCCCGTAAAGCTTCCATATCGGCATATAGCTTGTTGAGGACGAAGGACGCCTTTTCACGCCCAGCGGCGAGGTTTCTGCCGAGAACTTCTTTGCCCTGCGCAAAACGCTCGTCTAGATGCAACTCTTTCACTTGCTCCGCGATCCGGCGCTGAACATCCTCCATATTGAGACCGCCAGCGCAAGGATGTCGAGGGTCAACAATGTCGAAAAGGTGAGAGTCAGTGTTTGCGTTCCACATGCGATAGTTCTCGGTGCGTTTCCAGGCCTCTACCCACTCGTAGCCAAAGTCGGCAACAGGGTCACCGTCAACCTCGGGAAGTATGGCCTTCGGATTATTGGGATTTGAGGTGAGGTAGTTGTGATATTTCACAGAAGATATGAGAGCCAGAATGTACTCTTCAAACTGGAGTCTAATGAACTCCTCGCTCCCGACGTACTTTAATGTCTTGGGACGGTTGGGGTTGGCTTCATCCCATGTTTCATTGATCTCATGGGTCAAGTAGTCTATCCACCTCCTGTCGGCAGCTGTGAGGGTTAAAGCGTTTCTGAGCGATTGAGAGTTGATGACAACCGAGTCTTCGTCCAAGTTGATAAGGATATCACTGTAACGGTCCTTCTGCTGGAGTAGGAGTGAGTTTGTGCTGCCGACGATGTAAGACTTTGTGCCAAAGTCGGCAAGGATATCGAGTTGTTGCAGAGGAGTGTAAGGTCCGAATAAGCTGCCCTATTAAGATGTTGGTCATCAATTCGGTCAATTCGGCATGCCAAGACTGCTTACCTTGCCAAATATCTGGAGAGGAAGACCCATATAGCAGAGCAGAGAGTTGCGATCACTAGTCCGCAAACTGGTAGGCTTTGACAGGCTCGTCTCGTAACTGTTTAGTTCTGGGTCTGCGCTGTCCTGCAGGTTGCGAATGAGGCCGGGTATCAGGGACAAAAGAGAAAATTGCATCATGCACAACCTATCACACCTCGAGCCAAAGAAGAGCATCTAGTCAAGTCAGTCAAAGAGCTGCATCAAGTGCATATTCATCGCGACTCTCACCTTTGGCTGGAGGAGACAGCACTTCAACAGAACCAATGTTTGCCATTTGTACTCGTGAATCAACTCCCGAAGGCTCATACCGAGGTATTGATCCCGGTCCACCTGGTCGTTGAGCAAACCCTTGATTTTCTCGTCCGCCAGGCTCTCCTGAAATCTACGGAGGATCTCGACGTCGGTGAACTCGCGCTGGGCAAACCAGGCCTGGGTCACGATACTCAGGCGTTCGCGAAGCATGCCAAAGAACTGGGGGCTATCGGCGATGACCACAACGGCCTTCTGGACAGTGGATCGTGTAACATCGGCCGGGCGGTTGATGAGCTGTGTTGAGTCGAGCTGTCGAGTGCACGAAATTCCAAAAAGTGACGTAGCGGGCTTCGTCTCTGTCTCTGGGCGTAGCAGGGTAAAGTATGAGAAGTCCTCCTCAGATCTGCACAATAGTCTCAGCACTGTCAATGACGACCCGTCGCCTGCTCAGGAGAAGGAACCGACGACAAACAGATACAGATATAGGGCGAACTCACGCATGCGCGCCATCACTCAAGGCCATGAAAGGTAATAAAGACCATCCGTAGTCGGCTGCGGGATCACCACCCTCTTCCGCCCCAAACCAATTCTCTACCTCTGGACCTCTCGCATGATGGAAACCGACAACAGTGACGAGCGGGATGAAGTCAGGCTTGGCAGCTGATGCAGGCGATGAGGGTAGAATGGGCGACAGGATGGGTTTGAGGTCATCGTTGAACTCTGGCGCGCCAAGACCGCTAGGAGGAGATTCGTCGGAGCTCATTGTTTGACGGGGGGTTTGTGAGGTTGTATGCTAGAAGCCGGCCATGCAGAAAATATCCAAGAAAGGGGTTGTCTGGTAGCAATCTGTTTGTGTCTCGGTATCGTTACCGTTTGGGGGGGCTGATCGATAGACGTTTGTAAAGATTCGTTGGCGCGATAAGGGGGCTTTGATTTGGCCTGCTTGACTCGAGCTCCGAGGTTAGGGATATTGAAGACAAGTCCGCGTAGGACGTCGAGGCGCCCGGATATTGGTAGTTTGGGTGTTGATTATGCGGATCGTTTAGCGATTATGAAGTTATCGGTATAGAGAATTTGGTGAGTTGGTCGAGGAATGGCCATGTATACGTCGTAGCTCGCAAGTGTCAATGAAGGTTCCAAAGTCGCATACGGTTTCAAGGGTGCCCCTCGACAAATGCAGTATCGAGACCAAGCCAAGCCCAGGGCAGATAAGATAAAGGTGACGTGACCCTAGTACGTTCTTACTCTGTTGAGTCGTGAGTATAGGTAAGCTCCACGTAGATATGTTGATGCTCGTAACAGGTCAGATGAAGTGTAGAAATTGTCGAGAGGACTAGAAAGTGAGCTTGAATCAAGGACAAAGCCAAGTCTGACTCTAGGTGAGGTAGTTAGTCTATTGATTACCTAGGTATGACGGGAGGGGCAGAACTGAAATGAAATCACCAATTAACATTAAATGCACGTCCCCCTTTCGAGACCAAGAACAATCAATGCTTTGACTCAATGATTGATTAACTACGGAGTAGGTATTTAATTAGCTGATATGCACGTTGCTAATTTATCTCCGCCTTTTCAGACTCCATGTCGTGTTAGATACATTACCAGCTTCGGCAGTTATAACGACTTGTTTTTTTAAGTTGAATACCTGAGCTAATAAAAAAATTATACTCCCTACACACATACCGGTAATCTATTGTATCTCACCGTTGCTTTGTAGATAGATATACGGAGTACGGCCGTTTAACTAATCCGTGCCAACCCTGAACCTAAAAAGGTAATACATATTCCCGTCATGCCAATACCCAATACTATACTATAGGCAGTCAACCAAGTTGTCTTTTCAGCTCTCAGTGCGCCGCATTCATTCCTGCTTCTGCATCCATACCTATCTTCCATGTACGAATACAGGCAGGATATCTACTAAAGCTACCATACCAGGATATGACTAGTTCCAGTCACCCATGTCCCTCTACTAAGGCAGGTCGACGTGTCTTGCATATCGACGCGACACACAGCGCTGAGCCTCCAGCTTCGCTTTGCTTTGCTTTGGTCAGCCTACCAAGCGATTACTGATACATGCTCCAACCATAAAGATTGATTCCTTTCAAGACTTGAGCCATCATCCCTTGAGACTTGACATCGAGCAAATTCCAGGGCGCAGCGCAAAGGCTTTTCCGGAAGAACAACCGAACACACCCCACAACTCCTCACTAAGAGACTCCCTTGATAACGCCAGACAGGAATCTGACGTAGCAGTCTCATGCATTGGGACTACAATATACCAAAAATGCCTACCTACACCATATTATTACCCCGTGGTCTCGGCCAGGCTGCTCAATCTAAAGCTATGCCATACCTCTGCTAGTATATCGTTATGATCACGTCATCCGTTGCAGCATATATCGCCTCAATTGGCACTTTCCGATATAATCAGTTCCCTGGCCAGATCAATCCTGCTATATACCTACCTACCTAGGTACTTCTTCATCTGGCCAGAGCACGTTCGCATGTTTTATCAGTGACTTTGGTATCCGTAGTTTTCAAGAGATAAAGATAAATTGATCCATTAGATATCAAGAGTTTAAGACAATGGCATGGCTATTCCTTGTCTGGAGCTGAACGCGCCCGCCACCAGTAACTCAGCATGGCCAACAGGAATGTAAAGACACAATAGACCAAGCTCCAGTTCATCAATCTCTCTCAATGCATGGTTCCACAAATGTGGCGTGTAAGAAATATTATTAGAGAATGGATATGGTTTCCCCGAGTAAACGTTGTTAATAAACAGTTGCGCAACGTCAGAACTTATATAGAACCTCAACCTACATAGTCCATGAACGATACTGGAGCATTTAACCCAATGAATCATCAGTAGGTTTCTGCAATAATTCCACTACGGCTTTCGTTAGAGAAACATGTACATATAACTACGCACCTCCGACCTTACCATGCAGTGGCTTATCCGCAGGTAGGTACCTACTAGGTACCTCTACCTATTCGTGATGTCGTGACGGACAGTACGTACCTGCCGAATTCTATTGTGGCTGAAACCAACACCTGGAAATAAAAATGAAAGCGCCCTTCGCTTTTTCCTTCTTCGGTTTCCACTGTTGAGCACCGAACTGAGGCCAAGATTGAGGTTGCGTTAACGGCATCACATAATATCATAGACCCTGAAAGAAGATGCAACAACATAATGGCGCTAGTTCGAGATTAGAGAAGTAATTTCACCATTCCCATCCGTGTCACCATGTCTGTCAGCGTGAAGCCTGATCATCCCTGATGTACTTGATAAAACCATGTAGTATGTTGTAAAGGTGCTTTTGTTGTTCTACCAATTCTGGAGACCGTATCTGTACTCTGGCCATGATACTTCACAAGCGTCTTTATTCCAATGTTTTGGGTCTGTACAGGGAAGCGGAAGGGAAAGAAGGAATATGCCGATCGTGCAGGCACAAAGAAAAGCTCAGATTGCCCTAATGATCAGACGTCAACTCTCTACAGAGCAATCATTAATTGATTAGAACACATGTTTCTTTGAACATGCCTAGCTTGGTGGTAAATCATGTGGGTAGAAGTTCCTTTGGAAGCCCCCAAGGGGCCGGCATCTGTGTTTTTGTAATATTGACTCCCTGTATGGATACCACAAGCATACTGTAAATTGAAGCATGGATCAGTCAAGTCGTATTTCTGCCAAGCCGTACGCAATGGTGCGTGGTTTTTTAAGGTAAGGCTTATGTATTTTGAAAATGGCAGCCTGGCTCGGTGAGAGAGGTGGGAAGGGTTTGGAGGACTGCGAAGCGTTTCTGCAGGTAACAACCAATGCAGCATGGTTTGGTACATGTAATAGCATGGGTGTAAACAGTTACTACCAATTTGGTAGCAGCACTAATACTCCACTTTGTCTCCAGGAATTTCAACGGAACCCCTGTATCATTGACCTGGTTTTGTCTTTGTGGTTATACATACTTCGATCCGAGGAAATCGACGTCTTGAAAGCCCCAGTCCAACTCTCGAGTCGATCCGCTGATGCAGTATGAAAGTAACAATGGAAGACTGTACTATAGTGTATCAGACAAGCCCCGACGCATGTCGACCTCCCCAAGTCATGTGAGGAATGCGGATAAACCGCCCCCAACCTTGTTAGATCTCGCTACAGGCAGCGCCCTCAGCGACGAGCCTTGGGACCCAGATTGGGCGAGCGTTAATATTAGCTAAGACAGCTCGGGAAGCATGGGGAGCCGCGGTCCCTACAGGGGGATGTCGGTCGAAGAAGTTAAATTCCATGAGCAGAGGGGCTGACTAGTTGGCTAGCTGGCTGAGAGGGCTGTTGTATGCGGGCGGTAAAACAATCTCCCCACCAGACCCGCCATTCCATCTTGACCTCAAGAGGGAGATTGTCGGCAGTACAGATATCTGTCTATGTAATGCGCAGCAAATGCCCATTATCTTGTTCATATATTGGGGAGGGAGAAGACTCGGTTTTTGTACCCTGCATAGTACTTAGGAAGGCTTCTTGATGTTGCTTTTGTGAATATTGCGCAGCACAAGCTTTGCAATCAAAGGCGATCTTGCCAAGCTTCGACGAATGGGGGTTTAAGACACACTGACAAAAGATGCGCTTCCAGCACGCCGATCAGTGCCTGAAGGACTGCGCAAGGGGGGGTCGCGGCTGAAGGGACGCCTAATTCGCAGGAGAATGCGGACATTTCGGGAATCTGTGTTGCGCACAAGTTGAACCGAAGTAAACTACGGATATAACATCCACCATTGAGCAAAGGTCGAGAAGTTGCCGATGCTAATTGCCTCTTCTGGTGCCTTCTTGTTAATCGTGACAAGGATGAGCTGGAGACATCGCAAGTCTATATCACATCGAGTTGATAATGTAGTAACATGGTTTAATAATAGATTCTTTGTCGGGTAAGAAAGGTAATCCAAGCTAACAGCGAGCTTGACTTGATAGACCAAGCACCACAACCATGTACTGGAAATAATAACAGTATACCTCCAACTGTCTGATCCAGTACAAGATCGATCTGTATCCGTGTTCATATTAAGAAACAGGCCCAGATTTAACTAAAGCCAGAAACAACTTCAGGGAAGTCCCGATGGGACGGTTCAATAACACGGTACGAGCGCAATACAAATCGTGACTTCGCCAACACGGCACGGCTGGCGGATGAGCGAAAGCGAAAAGCCCAGCGACGATGGGCCACGTTGTTTTGACCCGAGAATCTGACCGGCCCAGACCAAACTGTGGGTGAATGATAGTAGTATATTGTGTAATGCAGTACGGAACCGGGACCAGACTGTGTGTGTTTCACGCCTCAGGTCTCGAGTACTTCGTATTTGATCATGTTTTAGTTGGGCCTTGGGCTTTTTGATATGTAAAGTCTCGAAGCCCAGACACAGTCAGATGTCAGATACTCGGAAAGCGGCGGCAATCAATTTAGATGTCGAGAAGCTGGAGCCTGCAGGTTTACGAACTGCATATGCTATGCAATTGGCATAGGGCTCCCTTCTTCAAGGGTGTTATTTGATGCAGAAATGAATTGGATTCGATGTGGGTGTGGAACTGGGCGGATAATGATAATTAGGTGTTGGATCTCAGCGGAGAATAGCGCTGAGTTGCGCCTGCACGGCTACGGAAACATCCAATCCCTTGCCATTGCATTGTAATGCCAGCTAAAGGTAGGCAGGTTCTCATTCCCTGTCTCCTTCTCGAATTGAACTCCGTAGGTATACGTGGAAAGAACGGTAGAGTCGAATTGAATTGGATCGAACTGAACTGACCTGACTTGAATTGAATTGAATTGGCAGGTGCAGCACGTACCTATCGACTTATACTTTTTTTGTACTTACTACTTAAGGTACTAAGTGATTAACTCCGTCGTAAATACCCGGGCGCATGCCTTAGTACCTACTAACCTACTAAGGTACCTAGTACCTTACCTAGTACTCAGTACTACTAAGTTTATCCCGTACCAGGTAGGCAAGGAGGTGCCCTGGGTTTCCAGTTTATCAGCAATACCTACCTACTATGTACATGTCGTTTCACCACCTTCACCATCGTTATCCATCATCCCATTTATCCCCTCTCTGTAGAAACGTTCTCCTAGGGTCAGCTCCCATTATCACGTTTCACTCTGGGGTAAGACGCGACTACTTTGGGTTACTTCTGCTTGCATTACCCATCTCTCCAGCTACATGTACTGAGATCGTTACCAATTGATAAACTCCCAAGATCGACTCTTCCACGAACGGTCAAAGTCTCTCTATAACCAACGATATCCGGCTGTGTTGGGTGTCTTCTGATTCGTACCCCTTGCCCCAGTTAGTTTACCTTCTAGTTGCTTTGGCTTTGACTTTGGCTTTGGCTGCATACGCCCCTTCGACCCGGCCATACCCATTGGCTTCTCCCCAAGTCTCAAGCCCAAGCCCCAAGGCTCTCTAAATTCTCTCATCTCCAACCGCTTGTCACTGGTTCGTCTGGCTCACACACCCCTGCGCTCACTCCCTTCTCCACCGTCGGCTCTGACGCCAATTGGCGCTGTCCTCCGCCGACTTTGTCTCGTCATCGTCGAGGTTCCCTGGTGCCTTTGTACCTTTAGTCTCGCCCGCTCGCCCTGCCTCCGCGAAGCTCCCCCAGTACTGACTGTTCCGTAGCTGGGTACAGCCGACCATTTGTAGCGACAAGGTTCATCCATCCATCTCTCTCTCGTCTACCCACCGCCAAACATTCTCCTTCCAGCCTCGACGCTCCAAGGCATATCCCGCCCGATTTCCTCTCACCATCTTTTCAACCCTTTTGGCTCGATCGCCCGTCTTCGACACACCATATTAAGGATATTTTCCCAAGGTTTCGAATCTTGTTCGCTATACCTCACTCACCACGACCTAATCTCCCCGACCTCTCCGTTTCCCTTTGCCGCGTCCGATCGTCGTTCAGCTCGCCAGCTTCTTACCACACCCATTCATCCATCCTTCAACCATTATCAATTGCCAGATCTCGAATTGAAGCCGCGAACCGGAATTAGAGCTACGAAAGCCCTCGCAACTATTGAACTTTCCAGCATCCCCATATTATTCGACACCGCTTACTCTCATAAGCTGTCGCGACCGTCATGCACTTTTAAAAAGACGCACCATATACGCATCACGAATCGAATCCACTACCGAAGGCACCGTTCATTTCGATACGCCAAGGGCCTTTCCCAGGCCGCTTTTTGAGCTGTGAAAATGGGCGCGTGCATGAGCTCAAGCAATGAGGAGGTGGATCAGAAGAAAAAGAGCCAGGCCATCGATAAAGTTCTCGAAGAAGATTCGAAACGATTGCGGAAGGAATGCAAAATTCTGCTGCTAGGTAAGGGTGCTTTGGTGGCAGGTGGCGCCTGCGTTATAGATTTGATGATTAATTGTGATCGCAGGTTCTGGAGAGAGTGGCAAGTCAACGATTGTCAAACAGATGAAAATCATTCACTTGAAGGGTTACTCAGAAGATGAGCTATTCAACTACCGACCGACGGTTTTTAAGAACCTTGTCGAATGCGCCAAGGCTGTGATTATGGCTATGCAACAATTCGATATTGAGCCCCAAAACGAAGAGAACAAGGCATATGCCGAATTCCTCTTGGATTATCAAGCCGAATCTGGTCCTCAAGCGCATATCGATTCCAAAGTCGGTGCCGCGGTGCAATCCCTGTGGGACGATCCAGCAAAAGATCTACTTATGGAGCATCAGACGGAGTTTTACCTCATGGACTCGGCGGAATAGTAAGTTGTGGATTATTATCCATCGAGTGAACTGTCTCTGACGTGTATTGATACAGTTTCTTTCAGGAGGCAATGCGAATAGTGGCCTCCGATTACTTACCAAACGAAATGGATGTGCTCCGAGCGCGAACAAAGACAACAGGCATATATGAGACAAGATTTCAGATGGGCCAATTAAGCATCCAGTAAGATTATGCGACGCCTCCACTATGCGCAAGCTTCAACTAACATTGATGCAGTATGTTCGATGTAGGTGGCCAGCGAAGCGAGAGGAAGAAGTGGATTCATTGCTTCGAGAACGTGACATCAATCATTTTCTGTGTGGCATTGAGTGAATACGATCAAGTTCTGCTCGAGGAAAGCAGCCAAGTATGTTGCAAAGTTTTTGGTTGTTCTATCGAGGTATATACTAACATTGAAATCAGAACCGAATGATGGAAAGTTTACTGCTTTTCGACTCGGTCGTCAATTCACGGTGGTTTATGCGTACGAGTATCATCTTGTTTCTCAACAAGGTTGATATCTTCAAGCAAAAGCTGAGTAGGTCTCCGCTGGGCAATTACTTCCCAGACTACTCAGGTGGCAACGACGTCAACAAGGCAGCCAAGTATCTACTCTGGCGATTTAACCAAGTTAACCGGGCGCATTTAAATCTTTATCCCCAGTAAGTTTAGTCCTAGATAATCCAGCGAGTCCACTGAAACGCTGACATGCCATACAGCTTGACACAAGCGACAGACACGTCGAACATCCGACTCGTTTTTGCAGCAGTCAAAGAGACTATCTTGAACAATGCCCTTAAGGATTCGGGCATTCTCTGATAGTTAAGCACTGCTTACTTTGATTTTAATCATGATGTTAGGACGAGGAACTGGTGACTAGCGTCAAGAGCATTTTGTGGAGTTTGGAGTATGGACCAGGACGAACTCGATCTTATAATGTCCTTGCTTTATTTATTTTCTATTTTGCTTTTTTCTTCTATATTCGACACGACGACTTTGCTTCAAGCACTCCCGTACGATAGCGCCTCAGCTGCCACCGAGCTCTTCTCTAATAACGATTTCTTCGACGAATTGCGATCACTTGAACAACCCGCAGCAGACAGACCTCGGCGACAATGATCGAGGAGAAGAGTACACTCACTTGGTGTTGATCCATGGCTATATATCTAGCCTGACACTTGCTCCGGGCTACTTGGGCAACCAGACGTCACGGAGGTCAGAGTTCAGGATGGGGTCTGGTGATTTGAGGCTTGGTTGGAGCTTTGTACGAAACGAAATGGACGGGGCAGGACGGGGCGGGCCGGGGCGGGAGTCATGAAGCGGTTCGGATTGCGGTCGCGGCACTGCTTAGCGAAATATTCTGGTTACAATGGTTAGGGAGAAAATCCCAGATGGTGGAGTAAGCGAAGACATGCTGCTAGTCACATTCCTATGGCTTTTTGTCGGTTTTAGAGATGGGGAGAAGCAGGCGTATGGTTTCCGTTTCTAGGGAGAGCGGTGTTTATGGAGCTGGCTGGGACCGCAACTGGAAGTCGGTCTGGGCTGACATGCTATGGATTGCTGCATTTTCCCAGGGTATATATGTAGCTCTCGTTTTGAACGAGACGAATTGATGATATTCAGGGCACATGGACGGTTTTGACAGTCTCCTTTTGGTACGGAGGCAGCCGCCAAAAGTTCTTGCCTGCCAAGAGGGATCAGTAACTACCCCTGTAAGCCCCGATAGGGGTCGGCTATACGATTTATATAGGAAATTACTATACGTGATTTTTTTCCTATTTCTTACCTCTCTTAAAATGCTAACTGATATTACGACTCAAGCTTTAGTAATAATATTAAAAATACCTACTAGGATAGCGAAAATAACTATTAAAATTAATTAAATAATAAATATTTCCCTTTATATAATAAATACTATATATATATAAGTAATATAATAAGGCTTTAAGCTAAATAAGAGACCGTTATACCTATTTAATATATTCCTTAAAGATATACCTCGCTTAGGGCGGCCTTTTATATATATAGAAAAGAATAGTAATCTAGTTATTATAAAGGTTAGTAAGGATTAATTTAGTAAGGAAAAGACCGCTAATAGTATTACCTAGGAAATTAGTACTTAAGGAAATAAAATATTAACTATAATAATTAGGAGAATCCTTAAGGTAGCTAGATTTAGGAAAATAAAGTTAATAAGGAAGCCTAGTTTAATATTAAAGATATATAAAGAATGCCTTACTTAGTATATTACCTACTGCAATTAGACTATTAAAGATTAAAAAGTGGTTATTTAGTTAGATAAGATTTCTATTATTTTTCTTTATTAACGTAAGGGCTACTATATTTAGCGGTAAGTAAATAAATAAGTCTTTTATAGCTATATTTATAAAAGGTAAAAAGGCTTTAACGAATTTATATTCTAGGCTGCCTTTTTCTATAATAAAAAGGGTCTTTATTATTACTAATCTTTAAAAACCGTAAAAGAGAAGGCTATTATAAAAAAAGCTCTTAATAACCTTAATAAAGAGCTTAAGTTAATAGTAAAAATATAGTAAGAATTAAAAATAGGTATATAAAGACTAGGGCTTTATAACCTACCGGGTAAGAAGCCTATATAAAGGTAGAAAAAGGAGACCAGTAAGTTAATAAGGGAGGGAAAAGAAGGTATTAACTAATAGTATTATTAATAAACTATTTTTCTTTTAAAGTTTCTTCCTTTTATAAAGGAATATATAAAAGAAAAAGTAGATATTATTATATAAGAAGATAGAGCTCCTACTTATAAATACTACGTATAGTAATAAGTATATAACTTCTATGCGGTTTAGTAACTTCTTTAGTATTTAAATTTACCTAATTTAAATGTAATTAAGCTAGTATGGCCATAGATAAAGAGGAATATAATAAGGAAAGGCATACTAAAGAATAGAAGTAAAGCTATTTATAAATAGGAGGTAACTTAAAAGGAGCTTCTATAAAAGAAGATATAGGCATGGATAGAGAGAATTCCAGTATATATCTATAAAATTATTAATATTAAAGGAGGGAATAAGTATATTAAAGGCAGGGATTATTCCTTATAAAATTAACCCTTTTAGATCTAGCGGTACTATTTCCCCACTTTTGTGGTTTTAACGTAGGTAAGAACTTTTGGCGGCTGCCTCCGTACAGGATGGGTATATAATGAGAAAAGGCGTTAAACGACGAGCCATTTACAAAGACGAATATGAGACACCCAAGGGATGACTCGACGATATATCCTAGTCAGCTATGCGAGCTATCTGATGAGTTCAGCGTTAACACACATACATCACTTGTAAGCACGCAAGGCAGTTGGCATGTGAACAAATATAGCTCGAGGATCTACGAAACGGGTCGTTATTGTTCTGATACCAAAGGTCACAGATGCATAAACTAGTGATATTATAAACTTTAAAGAAGCCGGCGTTTTGTGACAGGTTTTGTGCCAGGAACTGAACTTGATACGTCCCGTACCTTGAATTAAATCTACGTTAGTGGATTGGGTGAGGAAAGGGGCTGAACGTGGCTTGGAGCTTTGACCTCGAGCCATGAGGCGATCGACGAGCTAGTCCAGTAAGTAATAAGGGCCAATTCCAATGAGCTACGCACATCCATCATGACTACTTGGTACGGTTCATGGATACCTTTGCCTCACGATATAGTCTTATCGGCAAACATGGCAGGGGACTGGTATTGTGTAGGCATAGCATTCTGTCAATAACACCGGTATATGCGACTACTAAATCCAATAAATGACTATACGTCCTAGACACCAATTTTCATGCTCCAGATCGAGCATGCGCAGCAGAAGCAACATCATATACCCTGGGTAGCATGCACAGATAAGGTAAGGTAAGGTAATGGGCACATGCAGAAGCATAACGAATCAGACTCTTTAGCAATCTCAGACCACATTAACGTCTTTGACAGGACCCATCTCGGCGTTATCCACGCGGGGTCTACGGATACGCACCCAGACCTAATACTAGACGCTTGAAACTCGGACCACAATGCCAAGGGTATTGGATTGAGCCATTCGCAAAGGCAATGGCGAGGTGTTATCCCAAATTATCCTACGTTCCCAATGGCTTGGTCGCCAGAGGGGATCTTGCAGGTGAGTGACTGGTTCCAAGCAGTAATTACCTCTTTGGAACGCATCGTGTTGCTTGGGGAGACGATATGGGCTGTTGAAGACATTTGACACGACCTCGGCCTAGGGTAGCAAGCCGGTGAGGTTCAATGTTGTTGGGGATGCATTTCTCGAGACGGCTTTGTGTCGCTTGGAAGCTATGGAGTATGGGCTCGGCGTTACCGGGCAGCTATACTCTTAGTTAGATTTGAGACCATGACCGGGTATGAGTATCGTGTAACTGCCCCGAGTTCATCTTACCTGGAAAAGGTGCCATGCATGTCCAAGGTAAACTGTGTACGATGAACGTCCCAACCCCGCATTCAAGAAACTGCACTAAAGTGAGCTTGCGTATGAGAGCGGGTCTGTCCTGTTTAAGTGTGCTGAGTTGCTTTGACGATGAAGTTCAAAATATGGGTTGGATTTGCAGCAACTGGCATGAGAAGATGGGGGAACCATCAATTGGCAGAAACAGTCGACAGATTCAATGATGGAATGAGGCTCTCAGTCCGGACGTATGATATGATTAGAGGAAAAATGGATTTATTGAGAACTGTCTGTATCTACCATATACTAATACCATTGTCTGGGTAGGTACTTGGGTAGCATTATGCCGTGCTACCTCAGAAAGCTAAGCGTGTACAGTAGCAGTCCTAAGAGCAATTGGTTTGCTTGTGACACTGGATGCACCGCATGTTCTTCAAAAAGAGGTGTGCGTCGACAATGTCGTCATACTACAGAGTGGTTGCTGCGGGGGAGGGGAATCATGCCGTCGGTTGGTGATGGTATGCAACCGAGTTGTTGTGGTAAAGCAAGCACACAAGAGGACAAGAAAGATTGGATTTGGGTCAAAACGAGTTAGATCTTGCTGCTAAGTTAGTCAAGCAGCTTAAGTGCGCTAATTAGAGCTGTTGCTCTGTTGTATTGTCTAGGTTATTTTGCGTATGCCCTGAGGTTGTCATGATGGTTGGGGATGGGGCCATGGGTGGAGGAGACAGGACTAGGAAGCTCCCTCCTTCCCACCATCCAACAACCAACATCCCACATCAAACACCCACCGACACCTTCCCTGGCTAGAGGTAGGTAACTACCTACCTAGCTACCTTACTAACCGACCTACCGTAGGTATGTAAGCTCGCTGCAGCTCATCTCAGCTCCCCTCAGTATATCTATTAACCTGCCGTGAGCTACCTTACCTACTACTTTACTATCTTTCTCTCCTCCCTCTTCTCCCTTTTCCCAATCTCTTTATCCTCGTCCAACTTTTCCATATTCGTCTTACAGCATCAATTTGTCAATTGACACTCACAAACTCTCCTCATCTTTATTCCCTCTCTTTTACCCTTGTCAATCCCATCCCCCATATATCTTTTGTAAACTCCACTGAGCTCCCCCTGCTCTCTCCAAGCTCCCGCCTTCTCCGGATCCGCATGAGCTAAACAACCTCTCCAGGCGGCTCCATCCATCCAAAGTGTCTGCCAAGCGAAGTCAACGGACAGTCACGGCATTGATAATCAAGGCATATTGAACTTGCGGGCTCTCCTTTTGCATATAAAACAATTCATCTGCCCACTACTCGAGTCTCTACACTATTGGAACCCTGAGCCTCCGCGATAAAAAGCAGGGCACGCAACGAGCTACCGCATCTTTACCTTGCACCTTGGTCCCCGCTCCCCCACCCGAAAGCTGTAGCACCGCTCGTGTCTCTAGCCAGTCGTCTTATCTGACGTACAGTACTCGTTCGGTGGCATCAGCAAACCTAGAGGTAGGTGATCTGATCTGATTCTGATTCTCGCCTCTCACACAGACAAGGGGTCTGTTAAAGGCGGTTAAGTACTTAACTGCTGCGAGGACGCGCACCCGTTTCGAAAGCCCTCTTCTCTCTTTTTCCGTTCCTCACTTCTCTCCCTTGCCTCACCACTCAACTAATAAGACCGTGGACAGAAGCAATGGCGTCCGAACAGCAGCGTTTGCCCACCCGTGAGAGGCGCCCCTCCACGTCGGCCCCGATTGTCGATATTCAGGGTGCTGTTGGCCCCGCAGGCATCTCTCGCCCTAAACACACCCGAACTGCCACTGGCTTCGGGCCTGGTGAAATCAAGAGCTTTGAGGGTATGTTCACTCAATGGACCAGCCCCGTGTATTCCTTTTCTTTTTGAATGGCTTATTTCCGGTTGGTTCAATTGACCGATCTTTCTTATTCCAAGCCTTCTTCCCCACCCTGTTCAAAATAATCTACTCAAGAATCCACACTTACACCACTTGACAGCCTCAATTCCCGAACCTCAGCGCGAAGCCTGGAAGCGCAACCAGTCTAAGGGCTTTACTGGCAAAGATGGCTTCCAACAGGAGGTTGTACGTCATGTCGAGACCACCCTCGCTCGCTCTGTTTTCAATTGTGACGAGCATGCAGCCTACTCTGCGACAAGTCTGGCTTTCCGCGACCGCTTGATTCTTGACTGGAACAGGACTCAACAAAGACAAACCTACCGCGATTCCAAGCGCGTCTACTACTTCAGTCTTGAGTTCTTGATGGGTCGTGCTCTTGACAACGCTATGCTCAATGTGGGTCAGAAGGATACGGCAAAGGGTGAGCAGATCCAGAAGCCTACTGATAATTCTTATGCTAATACAATTAACTAGCTGGTCTTGCTGACCTCGGCTTCCGAATTGAGGATATCATCACTCAAGAGAACGATGCTGCACTGGGCAACGGTGGTCTTGGCCGACTTGCTGCTTGTTTCCTTGACAGTCTGGCCTCCCTCAACTACCCTGCTTGGGGTTACGGTCTTCGATATCGATATGGTATTTTCAAGCAGGAAATTGTAGACGGATACCAGGTCGAGGTGCCTGATTACTGGCTTGATTTTAACCCCTGGGAGTTCCCTCGGCACGACGTTACTGTCGATGTAAGTTGCAAACAGCCAAATTAGTGAGGCATGACTAACCAGGTTGCAGATTCAATTCTTTGGACATGCTAGAAAGACGACGGATGAGAATGGAAAGACCGTTGCCATCTGGGAGGGTGGTGAGATTGTTCAGGCTGTCGCCTATGATGTCCCAATCCCCGGTTATGATACACCCACAACCAACAACCTGCGACTCTGGTCCAGTAAAGCATCGGGCGGAGAGTTTGATTTCCAAAAATTCAACAATGGCGATTACGAAAGTTCGGTTGCTGATCAACAGCGGGCTGAGACCATCAGTGCTGTGTTGTACCCCAACGACAATCTGGAACGCGGAAAAGAGCTTCGTCTGAAGCAGCAGTACTTCTGGGTTGCTGCCTCCCTTTATGATATTGTTCGCCGCTTCAAGAAGTCCAACCGCCCCTGGAAGGAGTTCCCCGAGCAGGTCGCCATCCAACTCAATGACACCCATCCTACACTTGCCATTGTTGAGTTGCAGCGAATTCTCATCGATATTGAACACTTAGAATGGGATGCGGCTTGGGATATCGTTGTAAACACTGTGAGGATCTCTGAGTAACATTTGCTGCTTCATCTAACGTTCTTTAGTTCGGTTACACCAACCACACCGTCCTGCCCGAAGCCCTGGAGAAGTGGCCCGTTGGTCTGATCCAGCACCTTCTGCCCCGACATCTGCAGATTATCTACGACATTAACCTGTTTTTCCTCCAGAAGGTCGAGAAGGCTTTCCCTAATGACCGAGACATCCTGGGCAGAGTTTCTATCATTGAGGAGTCTCAGACAAAGATGGTGCGCATGGCGTTCCTGGCAATTGTTGGGTCGCATAAGGTCAATGGTGTTGCTGAGTTGCACTCGGATCTCATCAAGACCACTATCTTCAAGGACTTTGTCGAGATCTACGGTCCCGACAAGTTCACCAATGTGACCAACGGAATCACTCCTCGCCGCTGGCTCCACCAGGCCAACCCTCGTCTCTCGGAGCTCATCGCTTCCAAGGTCGGGGGTAATGGCTTCCTCAAGGACCTCACCAATTTGAACAAGCTTGAGAAGTATGCTGAGGACAAGGAATTCCGTAAGGAATGGTCCGAGATCAAGTATGCCAACAAAGTCCGACTTGCCAAGCTCATCAAGTCGGCTGTCGGCGTCACTGTGAACCCCTCGGCTTTGTTCGATGTTCAGGTCAAGCGAATCCACGAGTACAAGCGTCAACAGCTCAACATCTTTGGCGTCATCCACCGATACCTCTACCTAAAGTCACTCGCCCCTGAGGAACGCAAGAAGGTTGTCCCTCGTGTCTCGATCTTCGGAGGAAAGGCTGCGCCCGGCTACTGGATGGCGAAGCAGATTATTCATCTGGTCAACGCCGTGGGCTCTGTGGTGAATAACGACAAGGACATTGGCGATCTCCTGAAGGTTATCTTCCTGCCCGACTACAACGTCAGCAAGGCTGAGATCATCACCCCTGCCTCGGATCTCAGTGAACACATTTCCACTGCCGGCACTGAGTAAGTCAGCATCTACATTTGAAGGAGCAATTAGCTAACATAAATGACAGGGCATCCGGAACCAGTAACATGAAGTTTGTTTTGAATGGTGGTCTCATCATTGGTACTTGCGACGGTGCCAACGTAAGTAACACTGGGTGCGCTGTATGAGTTTCTTGCTAACTAAAAACAGATCGAAATCACTCGTGAGATTGGCGAGAGCAACATCTTCCTGTTCGGTAACCTCGCCGAGGACGTCGAGGATCTCCGACACAACCACCAGTACGGTTCGCACGAGATCGACCCTGATCTGCAGAAAGTGTTCGTCGAGATTGAGAAGGGCACCTTCGGTTCGGTTCATGACTTTAGTGCTCTGGTTGCAGCAGTCCGTGACCACGGCGATTACTACTTGGTGTCTGATGACTTCCACAGCTACAACGAGACTCACAAGCTTGTGGATGAGGCGTACCAGAACCAGGAGGAATGGATCAAGAAGACGATTACCTCTGTTGCCCGTATGGGATTCTTCAGCAGTGACCGATGCATAGATGAGTATGCCGAGAGTATCTGGAACGCAGAGCCTCTTGTCGTCAATGACTAGATCATGAGATAACAGGTTATGATATGGGGTAGACACGGATGGGCATGTGGATAGACTCACAGCGGCTGGGTTGTCAAGATGGATGAGGAGTATAGAAGAGAAGGGAGAGTGCAGACTGATGGCATGCGATTGGCGGGGGAGAATGACTTCAAATAGTGAGGCTCATGACAAGAGACAAGAGTGGACAATAGATAGGCTTTCTCCTTAGTAATGAAACGGTCATGACATATCCTAGTACTTAAGTTCCTCGGGCGAGTTGGCGCCCGCCGTGCGTGGGTAGGTGCTATTCCCCGATCCTACGAGCTAACCCTGTGCGTTACGGTTATGCTGTTGTAATTGATGGAAGGACTCGATGCACCCAATGCATATCATCACCATAGCATAACCATAGTGTAAATGAATCAATGGCTAGACTGCCTGGAAGTTATGGGGGTACTGGATGTAATGTTAGGTAGTTTAGATGCAGTAGAGTACTTGATACAAGCACACATAAAGGGGTCGAGTTCAGTTGACGGTGTGGTACCCTGGACCACACCTATGGTAAGGCAGGGATGATGTCAGAAGAAGTAGGCCCATGAGCCTCAGGTAGGTAGACAAGGACACGAGTGCGGATGTAGTAACAACCCAATATAGTAACTTAGTGGACCGTCAACGTTCGGTACCGACCAGCTGGAACAGTTGGGACGGGTGTTCCCTTGATTGCTCGCCCCTACGAAGATCAAAGATCAAGATGCGCGTTTATGGGGCGTGATTCGGAAACCATTTGATGCGGAGAAGAAACCGAGGATTCTATGGATGCCGATCAAATGGTCTCGACCCAGAGAGGCATGGTCGATCTGGGGCGGGAGAGGCTGCTAGGTTAGGGGAAGATGAAAGATGATTCTAAGATGCGAAAGGGATGGAAGATGGAAGATGGAAGATGGAGGATGGATGGATGGTAAAGGAAGAAGGGTGACGGGTGATGGAGGGGATCGACAGGGCACGCTCGTATCGTGAGGCCAGGGTTCAACGTTCAACGGCGGTGATCTTAGATTAGAAGAATCGGGGATTTGTTACGGAGTATCGGTACTTCTGATATACTATAATGAAGTTGGAATTGTGTCGGTGAGAGCCATCATGACAAGACACTCGCTCGTATCGTCATGAGTTCTCACCGCGACTGCATAACATGCGGTTAATGAGGGATAACGGCAGTGACATTCATTCCTAGCACCCAGACACCCAAAGACGAAGCATTGATATGTACATGAATCGCCGACAGGAGGGCATCAACCTTTTCCTTTTGGTGGAGTGAGGCTTACGGTCAAGACAACGTGGGGTCTCAGCGAAAGAAAGCCTGAAAGTCTCTACGGAGTACGGCCCAAAAGGTAAAGGATGACGTCTATAGTTTTTTATTTTATTTTTTCTAAACATGAGTTGCCTGTAAAAAACTTGGATAATGAATTATTAGTTGCAGCGTCGCAGCGCGTGATGGGAAAAATTCCGAAGTGAAGTGAATTGGATTGAATTGATAGGTACTCCACTCCCGAGACTATTCGGGAGAATGTTCGATCGGTGCATCAATTTCACGATGGGCGGGTTGCATCGTTGAGCATGACGTATCGAGGCTGGAAGTACCGTTAAGGTGTAGATTGGGTGTAGAGGTACCAATAAGTGAGTGCTTGGGGTCGGGAGACAGGGATAGGTAGGGACAGGGGCAGGGAATGGAATGGATCCTGCCTGGCGCCGTTGGAAGGGGAAGAAAAAAAGAAACGAAGAAAAGAAAAGAAAGCCATTTTTTGAAAAGGTGCCCAAGCGTGCATCGTGCATCGTGCATTGGGCGTGCGCTGTCAGAAACAGGGGTAAGACAGTGGAGGCTGAATTGACGTCATATTTGAGAAATGACCTGAGCCACAAGAAACTGAAGTTGAATACCTACCTATAACACGGTGCAGTTCAATGCAGAATGCAGGTTTCTAAGGACACAGGACAAGCAAGGGCTTGAAACAGGAAAGGAGAAAGGAGAAAGGCGTGGAGAAAAGCATGAATACTTTGCCTAGGTAGCTACCTAGCTAATTATGATGATGATAAGTTGTAATATGTGTGATAGATAATATCATATTGAACGAATCGTATTGCTACTGCAAGAGTTGAGGATGCAGAAACTTGCAGTGCTCTATATTCATGAATATGGATTCTATTCATGGCAGCTATCACATGAGATGCACAAAGATCTAGCGACATATTGACTAATAAAAAGCATCATCATCTATAGAATTGACTTGACGGCAGTACACTGTTGATTTGCATCCCCGTGATAATGCACTTGTACAGAATCCCATCAACAGGATCAAGAGACAGACATGCATGGCGAGAACAATGACAATTGCGTATCCGTATAATATTCCCACAGCATTTCTCAGGGACCAATCTCAGCTTCCCGCATTGCTTGGAGAGAAACTCAATCTCCTTTCCTTTGTATGAATCTAAAGTGTAACCTTGATATCCACCACGACTAAGAGATCTCGATCCCGTTTATGGATACTCCGTACTTTGAGCAAGGTACTACGGAGTAAGGCTATGGGATTAGGTAGCCTGTAGTACCTAGACTTTAGTTGTAAATAGATACCTAGATATAGTAGGTAAGGTTAAGAAATAAGATCAGTGGATGACAGCAAACAAACAGTAACAAGGGCAAGCTTGGAAAGGGCCTTTATTAATAATCTGCCCATGGAAGGAGGGTTCCTACCTACGGAATAGAGAGACGGGATCTAACGTTACCTACCTTAGGTAAATGTAGGCATGATGGCCTGGAGGTAGTCGAGATTCCATCCTTCTGTGTCCCCCTACAAGGTACCTAAAGTCCGGGCACGCCTATTAACCTAGCGCCCTAGAGGCTACTTACCTACTAGCTACCTTCCATACTGTACCTATCCAATTCCATGCTGCAGCGCCTAGCCTTAGACCCCAGGGCTCTATGTCCCCTCCCCCTCCATCCTCCTCCTCCCCCAAGGGCACCCCCCCACCCCCCACCATGGAAGAAAACCGGCGGCCCTCCGTTCATACAATCCAATGATGAGATACCTCCACTATCTACAGTACCTACTACCTACCTCTAACCAACCTCACCCGTGGGAACGGAACGGAACCTAGGTACTTCATTACTAACCTACCGTACCCTTACCTAGGTACCTCTAGTACCTTATTCAATCCATACCCGTATCATACCCATATCTTGTCTTGTCTTGTCATGTATATATGTACTTGTACCCTCCCATCCCAGACACAGACGCTGAACTCGATTTGTTGTTGAATTCTCGCTTTTCACTCCTCTTCAATTTACAACCGTCCTCCTTCCTCACTCCTCCTCCCTCGCTCTCACTTGATCGTCTTTGTCCACGCGCGCTTTGCGACACCTCCAACCCCTACCTAGCACAACGATCGACACTTAGCCGACTGAACAGGAAGCAACTTTGATTCGAAACGAGTCTCGCAATCGAAACCGGACAATAGGTAAGCTTCTTTAACAACCCAGAATATACCCCGGAGTTTCCCCCGACACAGAATTTGGACTCTATGCTGTTCCCCTGTTCATGCTGCGCAAGCAATGGGTTGTTCGGTTCGACGTCTGGAGTTTGGCAGCGCAATGTTGGCAGCAGAGCAGACTACCAATTAACTATTGGGGTACGATGGCGTCAAGGGCACCTCATCTTATGGGGCTCGTCTTATTTGGACCCCACTGCTGAGGCTGCGGATGGGGACTGAAGGGAAAAGAACCGGACTTTGCCTTGTCTGCAGGCGGTGTCCAAGCCGCCAGGCCAGTGTTGTCCTGGTCTACTCCATACTGGCACAGGCACAGGCACAGGCACAGAGTGATACCGGACTGGGCGCTGTATCTGGAGTTTCCAGCGCGGGACACTCTCCCGTCAGTCTCAGACTCCAAGTCGTCACGCCCGCTTTGCCCGTCCGGAGTTGCTGCCCCTCACCAGTCGCAGGCCTGCCCGAGTTTGCAAGACAGCTCAGGGAGCGTTTACGATTCAGCAGCGCTTGTACTCTAACTAGTGCCTGTTTTTTCGTCTCTTCCCTTGTGAATCTGCCGAGCATTGGCTTTTTTGGGTGGCAATCTTAACATGTGCATTTGTTAACTGACCGACTTGAGCCTTTTTTCTTTCTGGTTGCTATTGGCAGTCGCTAACACTTCAGTGATTGATAGTCAGACACGTCGCTCTCGCCTACGTTACCTACCCCGCCTATTCGCACTTGTCAACGACGCTTTAATACCATCAAGGGGAAAAAAAGACGACCAAAGACGAGACAACAACGAAACCTGACGATCGATCAATCAATCAATCAATCAATCAATCAGTCAGTCACTGTGGGACGAAAGCATTTGGTGATTTAGGCCATCAAACGATTAAACCAAACACACGCTACTTGTCCAGTGCAAATCTCGCGCGCCTTCTTCCCGGCCCCCCGCTCGACACGCTCTCCTCATCGACATCGAAACCTGTATCGCTTTTTTTACTGCTACCCCCGGTCACGGTCATCGTCTTTTGCTCGATCGTCGATTTCCCATTCACCTGACCCATTATCGGTCCATCCCATTCCCATTTCCATCCCCAGCAGCCCATCCAATCCAGCAGCTCAACTCAACTCGACTCAAACTTGTCTCAACCACTAGACTACTTACTTTTCTGGTCTACTTTATCTCGCACCGCACGTCAGGACCAACGAACAGCCCTGACATTACGATCCTAGACGATTACGTCTGTGCCCCGCCCGCCTGCCATCATCTGTACCTCATCTCAGTATTCTGTTCCTCGTTTTTGCAACTAGGAAACTCTTCACCTTTCATTCCTCCCCTCAACCCTCAACCCTCACCCTCAAATCCTCCGCTCAGATCATCACACCTTCACCATGGCCGAATTCGTACGCGCCCAGATCTTCGGCACCACATTCGAGATCACCTCGAGGTGAGTTAAACATGCTTTTCGAAGCTCCTCGGCCATCCTTCGATTGCAATACTGATTTATTTTGCGCACAGATACTCCGATCTCCAGCCTGTTGGTATGGGAGCTTTTGGTCTCGTTTGGTATGTCCGCTCGACCGTTCCACCTATCTCTGCGCATTGTGACTGACTTAGACCTCGCAACAGCTCTGCCCGGGATCAACTCACCAACCAAAATGTCGCCGTCAAGAAGATCATGAAGCCTTTCAGCACACCTGTCCTCGCCAAGCGCACATACCGTGAGCTCAAGCTACTCAAGCATCTGAGGCACGAAAACGTGAGCGCCAACCCCTCCATCCTCAAACCCTGCGCAGCCTGCCGTGGGACGCGTCGATCTATGGCATGCCTACAACGCTTCGCTCGAACTCGTCTCGACTTTGAGCGACAGTGAACTACTTGTTGCTAATTCGATTCCTTATTAGGTTATTTCCCTCAGCGATATCTTTATTTCTCCCCTGGAAGATATGTACGTTACCCAGCTACTACGGGCTCTGTCTGCCCCTCCCCCGCCTCTTTCCCCGCGTTCTTGCGCTGACTGCATCGCAGCTATTTTGTCACAGAGCTCCTCGGTACCGATCTTCACCGATTATTGACCTCGCGCCCTCTTGAGAAGCAGTTCATCCAGTACTTCCTGTACCAAATTATGGTATGTTCAACCATACCCTAGACAGGGATGGCCCCGCGTTCCGAGGCCAAATTTGCTGACTTCTTTTCACCTTTAGCGTGGTCTCAAGTACGTGCACTCGGCCGGCGTTGTTCACCGCGATCTCAAGCCCAGCAACATCCTCGTCAACGAAAACTGCGATCTTAAGATTTGCGACTTTGGTCTTGCACGAATCCAGGACCCTCAGATGACCGGTTATGTCTCTACACGATACTACCGAGCCCCCGAGATTATGCTCACTTGGCAAAAATATGATATTGAAGTTGATATCTGGAGTGCTGGCTGCATCTTTGCTGAGATGCTCGAGGGCAAGCCTCTGTTCCCCGGAAAGGATCACGTCAACCAATTCTCCATCATCACTGAGCTTTTGGGCACCCCCCCTGATGATGTTATCAACACCATTGCTAGCGAGAACGTGAGTTACTTGGCACCCACAATGTTCCGTTCCTGCATGGACTCTTCGTGCTAACTATACGTAGACTCTCCGGTTCGTCAAGTCGCTACCTAAGCGTGAGCGACAACCTCTTCGCAACAAGTTCAAGAATGCGGATGACTCGGGTATGTTGACCGATCGTTCCACTGGTCGAAGAGGATTGTAGCTAACAAAAGTTACAGCTATTGACCTTCTCGAACGCATGCTTGTCTTTGACCCCAAGAAGCGCATAACTGCTACTGAGGCCCTTGCTCACGACTACCTTTCTCCCTACCACGACCCCACAGATGAGCCTGTGGCCGAGGAGAAGTTCGACTGGAGCTTCAACGACGCTGACCTGCCCGTTGATACATGGAAGATCATGATGTAAGTCAAGCGGTACATAACGTGTTGCACAAGCTAACTAAGACAACGCAGGTACTCGGAAATACTTGACTACCATAATGTTGAGGCCGGTGTTACCAACATGGAGGATCAATTCAACGGACAATAGACGGAAGATGTGGTTAATAAAGGAGGAAAGATGCTACCAGCGCATTTTACACTTGAGGAAGAAGCAGACCAAGCCACAGTGCCGATGATACCACGAAATTCAACGCATACGCCCATGATCCGTCCATCCTACCACATTCACACTATTTCGTGCCAACATGAACAAGGTGCTCAGAGAAGCAACAAGACATGAAGAAGGACGAACGGCGAGAAAACCGTCGCAAGAGAACCAGCATGTACATGCAGAGACACGAACGCACGTCTGGCGTTGGGGAGATACGGGAAAGAATATTGGAATTGATTGACCACGGCATGTTTTGAAACAGTTACCTCTGTGAGGCAAATGTTTTCTTGTCTTCTGGTAGAGGGGAGCTTCTTTTGATTTTTATTATTTTATTCTATCATCGTTACATGCCTGTTGCCTTTCCCCACATATATGATTTCTTTCTATGTCCTCTCGGTTCAAGCAAGGATGCAGCGGGGCATGAAAATACACGACGCACAAAGGCTTTTCTTTTTTAAGTTACAAATGTCTTCTACTTCTCATATATCTGGGGCTTCCGGAGTACTTGACTAAACTATAGAGCTTGTGAACGAACTAGTTGTGATCAGTTAGGGGCCGCATCGCTGCCTTGGAATGGCCATGATGAAAGACAATCCACTTGTCCAGAAGCGTTTTCGTGAAAACCAAGCAGAGGCTGCGAAATCAAGCTTAAATGCTTTCTTTATTGCTCTTCAAGTGTTATTGAACACATGTTGCAAGATCCGGTTCTTCTATACGTGACTAGCTTTCCATGCATTTTGTTCTCACACCACCGGCATCAGATATAACCATTCTGTGAATACATTCTTATATCATGCCCTCTATCTCATTAGCCGAGGAATTCAGTTGGAGCTCTCCGTGTCAAGTAAAGCCTGTAAATCGTCCATTTCACCACTGTGATAGATCATGTCGTAAAATTGGCCTCGATTGTTGTACAAATCTCGTGGCGAGCCGTATCTATAGCAGGAAATTGTTAGCAGCTAATCTTGGAGGAATTTCAAGCTCGCGGATGATTTACTCAAGTACACGTCCTGCACTCATGACCACGACTGTGTCATAATCAATGATTGTACGTAGACGATGTGCAATCGTTACTAATGTGCGATCTCCTCCAGCAGCCTCTAGCTCCCGCCGTAAAACAGTCTGAATGCCTCGGTCTGTCTCATAGTCCATGCTTGCTGTGGCTTCATCAAGAAGCATTAATTTGCTTTGACGTATGAGGGCACGACATAGTGAAAGAACTTGCCGTTGGCCGTGGGAGAAATTTTCGCCACGAGCATCAACGCTTGTTGTCAAATTCACAGTGTTATGCTCATCGTCAGACGGACGCATGTCGTTGTCACTATCGTCAGAAGCTTGAGAAGAGAACGAAGCAATCCCTTTGCAATTGCCGAGAGCTTTGTCGAGAACTTCTTTAGAGACTCGACCACCAGGATCAAGATTCGATTCAACAGTGCCATTGAACAGCACAGCCTCTTGTGGAATGATTGTGAGGCTCTCACGGAGACGGTGCCGGGGAACTTTTGTGATGTCAAGGCCATCGTACAAAATCTCGCCTGAAACAACATGTGTGAAGCGTAGTAGGGAAAGAACTAGCTGAGAAGGAGGATGGTGATTAGTGTCACTTCCTAGCTATTGATGAAAGGCGACTGATGCTTACCGTACTCTTGCCCGACCCTGTCCGTCCCACTACAGCCACGCGTGCACCAGCTTTGAACTTGAGGTTCACATCGGTGAGGATGTTGGGTCCATCAGGATCGTACCGAATTGTAACATTTCGAAACTCGATCTCGCCAGATCGAGGCCAGTTCTCGGGGATTATATTGGAGGGGTCATCTGCATATTCTCCCTCCTCTGGGTACGCTTTATCGTCTTTCTCCTCGGATTCCAACTTGACATACTCCTTTACTCGGTGGAACTGAAATCGGGATTAGCAGGAGCCCAGCAGATGGTAAAGGTTGTACTCACACTCTGCATCTCTACTTCCAGATCATTCATAGCTCGTACCAGTAATAGAATCGTTTGGCTGAGGCCATTGGCGTTGGTAAGGGAGAAACCGACGAGCCCTGCAGCTACGACACCAGTCTGTGACACTGCAATTATGCCTGCCGATAGACTGACCAAAGCTGTCACAAAATCCACACGCACAGCCACCCAACGGTTGGAGTTGAAGCTAGTCTCCGACGAAGCTGACCATGTGCGCAACCTAGCGGCCAGCTCTTCCCGGAACGTCGCTGCCATACCACTCCTAGCCCGAATGACAGGAAGTCCTGCCAGTGTATCGGCAAACTGAGAGAAAACAGGCGACTGAGCAGAAGAGGTAAGCCTCTTGACTACGACAGCAGTTCTCGTGTATGCCTCGCCAATTAGAACACCGAACAAACAAGTGAAAAGTGCCGGTATCATAAAGATCGGCATAATGCTACTGACAGCACCAATGCGGAAGAGCATCAAGAGAATTGTGTCGAGCATCATACGCAGCATGGTACCTATCGTTCCATCAAGAGATGCTATATCACTTGAGAAGCGGTTGGTGATGCGCCCAATCGGGATATGTTTAAACCACGAAAGGGAGACACGCATGATGGCGCGAATAAAGTCATTGTGTAATCGTCTGGCAGCGTTCCAGGCCCCCCATTCAAACATTATGATGGCTAGAAAATAGCTTCCAATCTCCAAGAGTGTGAGCCCTGCAAATATTCCCATGTAATAAGGGATGTCGACATGAGCCTGGTGGTTGTATGCCTCGACCCAGACGGAAAGCCATAGAGTACCCAAAAACGCGAAAATGTTGGCAGCAAGCAAAAGGGCGAGACAAGTCACAACGAATACAGGATGCCCGAAATAGTTCATGTACTGTAAGACTGTTGATACTGTTAGTAGCGTCTCAAAATGTCAAGGGATTGCTTACAGGTCAAACGGCCAACTTTTCCAGAAGCCTTCATTTCCTGGCTGACAACGTCTTTCAGGTATTTCTCTTCCAAGGTTTTGTTTGCGTTATTCAAATCGTCGCCGCTAGGTTGTGTGTCCTGAGTTATAGTATCGGGTTCTTCACTTGCGTCATCATCTCCCCCCAGGACTTGAGCAATGGCAATTGGCTTACGAATAACACCGATTTGGGGTTCTGCCGACTCGATCTGGCCCTTCTCCAATACAACAGAAAGGTCTGCTTGCTCAGAAATCCAGGGAAGATTGGTTACAAGCACAGTTGTCCTTCCACTAAGAAGATCAGTGCAAAAGCAGTGTTTCCAGACGCCAGCAGCCGTTTTAGCATCGAGAGCAGCAAAGATGTCATCCAGCAACAACAGAGGTGCTTTGGAGTATAAAGCTCTTGCGAGAGCGACACGAGCTTTCTGTCCTCCTGAAAGGGAAGTGCCATTTTCACCTACCGTGGTCATATCCCTAGCCGGCAGTTCCTTAAAATCTTCCCATAGGCAACATGCTTCGATAATTTGGTGGTAGCGCAGTTTCTCCATTGGGCTGCCAAAGACTATGTTGGCTTGGATACTTTCGTTCTGTAGCCAGACTGACTGGGAAGCATATGCTACGTCTTCCGGCCTGGTTACAGTACCGCTCTCTAGGTAGGTTTCACCAAGTATAGACAACAGCAGGGTGGTTTTGCCACTACCACTTGGGCCGCCAATGATGTTCAGGCCTCCCTGAGCGAAATAGAGAGTGATATTTTCCAATGTGAATGTTGCCGCCTTCGTCTTCCGGAATGAAGCACTGTCGATGCGAAGCGGTCCCACGGGGTAACGAGAAACAGGTACTGTATTCTCAAAGTACTTGTCGAGTCGGGCAACTGACACCATGGCGCTCGCGAAATTCCTGCCGAAGGCACTAGCTTGCATGATATTTCTGCGAACGTTCTTGACGAGGAAGATGGTAGTAAAAGCAGTTGCGGCATCGAGTCGGCGTTTTGAGAGGCCGACGTATAAGCCGAACATCACGAGAAGCGACAAATAAGGAACAATCTGCATGACTTGGTTCAACGAGGCTTGTATCATAGAAGTCCTCCAGAGTTCCTTTTGCTCAGCAGAACGTGCGTCGATGATCTTTTCCGTGATAGGTTCTTCCCATGCGAAATACTTGATGGCGCGGAGAGAAGCAAGATACTCTGTCACCAAGGACATGCGCGAATCTTGAGCCTTTCTAACCCGACGCTGTGAGTAAAACATCAACCGCCCAAGCCATACTGTAAGAGGGGTGGCCAGAAATAGAATGGCATTTCCTACCAAGGATGCCCATCCCATCATTCTGTACATGCCAATAAGAGATATGACAGTCCCGACGGGAGTACCGACAGTGGCTTGAATAATGTCTCTCGACCTGTAGATAGCATCTATATCAGAAGCCATGAGATTAGCCAGGCGTCCTGCCGACGTGCTCTTGGCGGCCGCCTGGCCTTTCGGGTTGCCAGACGTTTTGCCTCCCGACTGCAGCTCGAATGGATCTTCTTCCATCTCCATCGAATCCAGGGCAGTGTAATACAGCTCTTGCGTCAAGGCAGATTTAATGCGCACCACGAGTCTGGTGGAGGTAAATACGTACTGCTGGAAGGCAATGGTGCGTGACAGTGGGCCGATGAACATCAGGAATAACCAAAGCCATGGTTTATAGATGGCGCCACAAGGATCAGCAAGATACTCGAGCAGCTTAAACATGCCGTAAGGGGCTACGTTCTCGACTGTATACGCTGCGGCAACCCAGGATGTCATTAGGAGTAGCTCGCGCTTCTGGAATCGAAGGACCGTAAAAAGAGTATTTTTCGAGATTGAGCGAGCCTCTTGAACACGGCGTAGAAGATATATTGGCTCATCATACCATGCTATCTTCGGTATATCAGCCATGTCAAGTCTCCGCTTAATACCCTTCCAGATGACTGGTGTTAGCCAGTTATAGGTACAGTAGTAAGTGAACCAACTGCATGTCTCTTCAGGAGCTGGTTTATTCTGGTCGTAGCCAGGAATATCAAGATCAATCTGTACTGGTGTCCACTCTCTTGGAGTGATAGCTGCAATGACAGATGCAGTTGCGATAGCAACCATGCCCGCCGAGGTACTGGTATCGTGGAGACACCTGGTACCTGTCTGTATGCAAGGTAAGGTGTGACCAGCAATGAGGATAACCATGATAGCTGCGAGCACAAAGTTGATTTGATGCAACGCTACATGACGCCACTGAAGATGGTTGAATAGGCGCAGCAGACCGACAGTGAACGTATATATAACGGAAACGATGTTGATCCAATGCAGTTGATCTTGAGTGTAAGCAATCGTGATAAATACAACGGCAGTAAGTCTTGCCACCTGGGAGGGAAGTTCAAACGACCAACGGATCTTGGCAGCTTTGAATCGATAAGTAGACTCCTGTCGATGTATTCGGCTTAATCGATAAATGAGCTGAAGAAGTGACAACACGAGTACAACAGCCTGTGGTATTCCAGACTGAGCAATTTGTGACACATGATGGATCCATGAAACTTGAGACAACGACATGGTGCTTTGATATACGCTAGAGGGTCAGTATTAGACAGAATAGTCAGTGTGACTTTAAAACACACCTAGTCAAGTTAGAAGACTGTGGTATCAAGATGGACTGATTTTTATCGTATGGAGAGAAATCGAACCCGCCAAAGCGGTGAATTGTGATGTCCATGATGTCGACATAGACATCAGTAACGTAAAGTCTCAGAAGAGAAGCGAGGCAAAAGCAGAAGCAAGACACAAGAACGATTCGTGGCCTCCAAAACACAGTGAATGATGTTTCGTCGCTGTGGCCCTCACCTCATCGTCACAACCGGGATAAATGAATGTGAAAGAAGTAAGAAGTGAGAAGTGAACTAGGTAGGAGGTAGCAAGCACGTTATCAGTTGAAGTTGGGACCAAAGTCATGATCAATGAATGGCTGGGGGCGATTGGGCAGGTGGAGCATCCACATCTCCTGTCCCCATCACAACTGCCCGAACATCGGGGAGCGGAATAAGCGTTGCAGGGCGCTCTAGCGCTGGACGTTAGCGGATTAGCTGTTTGGTGGGGCGCACCTCCGATGTTTTCAGTGGGTGACCGGCCTGAACGCCGGCCTCGCCAAACCGTTCCGGCCCGTGGGGTGTTAACGTCTTGGGCTGAAAACTGGGGCATCCAAGGAGTAACTTTCTGGTTATTTGGGATAGCGACAGGCATTGAAAGACATTCAGTGCATAATCGTTTGACCGCCTTGAGCCTCCCCAGGTAGTCTATGCAGTGATACTGACCGGGTTCGGTTATCTTATTGCCCCCTCCGTTTTCTCATTGCCGCGGTGAACAGAGAGAACAGGGCATGGCTGCATTGGCCGCTTTATCCCTAGGATGGTAGGATGGTACTCCGTATATCAGCTAAACATGCCGTTGCAGGTTGGAAGCGTCTTTGTGCAGCACGACCAGGCATCTAGCTGGATAGATCTCCGCGGCAGATGCTTCATTCCGCTGTTTTTTCTGTGGCACTGCTGCATCGGCCCTGGGATATAACCCCATTTTCTTCTACTTATTGTCTAATACGCCGGGAGACCCAAGGTCGCGGATCAAAAGCAAATGCCGAAAGACTTACGGTAAACTCGCCGCTCGGCAAGACAAGCAACTTGATGGGAGGTGAAGAGAGCTAACATTAGATTTGTCTTACTCTCAACACAGACGCTTACGGATAGAGAAGACCTTGTAAGTATTACTGCAACAGAAGAGGCAATGAAGCCGTAAGAAAAAGACAATCAACCACACACCAGCATTACTATAGATATGATGTTGAAAACAATTCAAAAAGAATGAATTCGTTACTTAGAAACACAGACCAACACCAATATTATTTGCTTGAAGTTGTGATTAAATATATGTGACTCAGGAGATGAACTATATAGTCGTACATAGTGGCGATCCCAGCAGAATCAACCTCAGGATTCCGAAAAACGTCCGGGTGTGCTGGCGCAATGGTAGCGCGTAGTCCTCCTAAGACTAAGGTTCAGGGTTCGAGTCCCTGGTATATCGAACGCTATCCTTTTTTTTGTTTTGTTTTTCTAACAACTGTCGTAACTATCTCATCATGTTCGGCTTGGTGTTTCACTTTTACGGCCGTCCGTGAGAGAACCGGGAATGGCCGCATGCGGCCGTTGCTCAGATAGATAAAAAGCACTCAATGTACCCCATCCAGCTCCATCGGCGCCCTCATATACTACATGAGCTGCACTCATGAACAAGCAGTTACGCATGATCTTGTAAACGGTTACGCCAATGTCACATCTCAGTTCTACTCTTAGGCTCATGACCCAAGCAAACGGCCGTGGCATAATTCCCATCATGGCTAATCGACACCAGCGCACTTGTATCCTCCGCGTCTTCCTCGCCGCTCCTTATCCGCGCAATTGGCGGTCCACTGCCTAAAGTCTCACCCTCAACGGGCCTTCTCTCAATCATCACATCGTGAAATGTCAAGCGACGATGTGGGTGTGCTTTTATGGCAGCCTCCTTCGCCGCGAACCTATAGGTAGCTAGAATCAGCGACCATGCTATGATATCCAGGAAAGATCGCACCTTCCTGCAACAAATGCAGCGCAACTCCACATCTCCGGATACTTTGCCGCAAGTTGTTCGTACGACTGGTGAGTTCCAACGACGTACGGCGTCTTCACCTTGTTGAGGATGTTCAGACGTGCATCCTTTCTTGCTAGCTCTTCGGAAGATAAAATCCTTTTTACAAAGCGTATACCTCGTCGACTGTCCAGAATGCAAAATATGCGGGATATCTTGCAGGTATCGATCCCAACATTGAGAGGAAAAGGAAACGCCTGCAAGGGCTTCATCATAACTCTGTTAATAGACGTTGTGGATGTACCTATGTATAATTATGTGACAGCCCAAAGATCGTACCTCGCTCATTCTCTCCAGCCGCTAGTGTCGGCAACTTATCGGTCACGCCCCACCTGTAGCTACGTCATGGAGCATATATCTCAAGGATTATGTCACAGGGTAAAGTTTCCTAGCATAGGTACCAAAACAGAATGAAAAAAAGCCTTCAATTGCTACCTAATAGTTAGGCCATCAAGCAAACTGCAATGAATGTATGTAGCAGGATCAACATATATCTTGATAAACCTTCAACGCCATATTCTCTCATTACTCCGCATTCGATATAGTTGCCGAATGATGCAACATAGACCGGCTAAGAACATGGACACAAGACAAGCAACAGTCAAAATAACTTGAGTTGCAAACAATGTGATGCTGTGACGGGTGGATGGACCAAGCAACTAAAGACAACACCGCTCCCCAGCAGCAATGGTCTTCAAAAAATTGAGAAATTTTAGTTGTCAGCAAGGAGAGGAGCACGCTCATTGTCAGCAGGTGCGCTGCGCCAGTTGACCTCCCGACCAGTGGCGGCAGGGACTGCCACAACGACAGTGGCGACGAAAAGCAGAGACATGATGATGAAGGCAAAGATCCATTGGAAGGCAATCACCTGGTGAAGGAACTGGGAGACTCCAATCGCGGCAGCAAAGACGCTAAGCGAGAAGCCCATAGTGTAATCCTGTATTTTGTCAGTGTGACGCGCCACTTTGGTGGGGTAAGTCAACATACCTTGTAGACGACGATGAAGAAGAGTCCGTAAGCGAGAATGGACCAGATGAAGATATTTCCAAAGATACGGGGAATCAGATGATGAGGGTGGGGGATCATCAGAGCACCGTTCCAATAAATTGCGACAAAGGTCCAGGCCAGGGGCGCAGACACAACAGGCGTATGAATAAATCGAGGGTACGTGTTGTGGCGGAAGTAAAGCGAGGAGAGGTTGATGAAGTTGAGCACCAGGATAACCTCGGCCCAGTGAAAGTGCGAGCGGACAAAGAGCATGACAAATGCGAAATGGAAGAGGTTGTTGAAGATGAAGTGGCTTCCAACGCTAGCGGCAGCGTGAACGATATCCGAGTTGCTCGAGAAGAGCTGGCCAATGTAACCAGCCTGGAGAATGAACAGGACAATCCTGGGGATCATTAGCATACGAGAGAGCAACTGGTAAAAGATGGACGAACCAGTAGATGGAAGTGATGATTGGGTTCAGAGTGAAAGCAGTGCGGTACATGTGGTTCTGCTCCCAGATCTTTCGGTTCCGCGTGTGGCCATCATCGGGACGGTGGAGGGTGTAATAGACGGTGACAACGAGCGACAGGATCCAGGTGAAAAGGGTGAGGATCTTGTAGGTAAGGATTGTACCATTGGTGTGGGAATCCCTCTTCACAAAGGGATTGTCTATAGAGAGGGTTAGTTGTGATGGATTAGACAAAGAGGGTAAAAACAGGGCATACATTGCTGCCAGTTCGCCATGATGAAGTACTATATGACCCGAGGTCAAATCGAAGCTGTTGTTCGACTAAACTACCTGGGACGAGGTGCGCAGTAGGAATAAAAGTAGAAATGTGAGTGGGTGCTGAAGAAGTTGCGTCGGTGGGAAGAAGGGAGAGGGGAGAGGGGAAGAGGGAAGTATTTAAAAGCATGAATTCATCGAAACCGTGACCGTGACTACCTCCCTAAGGTACTGAGCAGCAATCAGGTAGAACTTGAGAACTGCACGGCCAGTGCTAGGTACTTGCCTACCTCTATGCGGGGAAGCAGGCTAGGGAGGAGGGGGGCTCGAGGAGTAACAGCCACACTCAAGGATCTAATCCATGCCGTGGATGAATCAATGTCACACCACGCGCGATGCGATGTAAAGCTAAGTGCCTCCTATCAATATGCAGTAGGTATGCCCTGCTTTTTGTCTTTAGGTAGGTAGTGTCTTAGTTTCCTTCCCGCCACTAAGGTACAGTACTTAACATGTCACTTTCGAATGAGACATTCGTTCAAGGGGCTGTTCAGCATACCTAACTGACTGGTTGCACAAGTGAGAATATTGGAGGCTGCTTGGAGTAAGACCCACGCCAAAGGATTTGATCGACCTCTGCGGCGGGCATGACTGCCTCTTCTCACTCTTCACAGCCTCGGACCACGCTTGGATCCATGGTCTTGTCTTGTCTTGTTCCGCATCTTTGATGCTGCCTTGCTAGACCAGATGACCTCGCCGAGAAGGCGCTAAGTAATGGATCAGCCAAAAAAGACTACCGGGGATTAAATGTGAGTCGAGCTTTGATTGGTTTCGAGCCTCTTGAAGCTGGAGCCCATCACGATTCTGGGGCGTGATGGTGTGGTAGCGATGGAAAAGTACATGCTGCAAGTGAATACGTAACTGTACGAGGGGAATGTTTCCACTGCGTTTGGCATCGGTTATATAGTACCTAGGTAAGTACCTGCACCAGTTCTATCTTGGGACTGATGCGGTCCTGGTTTCCTTGAATACATCGTAATTATTGTGTACCTACCTAGGTACTAGTACTAAGTTATTCATCAACAGATCTCAAGACATGGGTCAAGGCCAAGTTACAAAACCACAGCAGTGGATCTTATGCCCGGAGGTATGTCCTGTACGTGGACAAGGGGCTGTTCTTCAATAGGTACCTAAGTAATTACCTAGGTACTGCTAAGTGCAGCATGCACGGACATGCACTCGAGCTGACAGGGAAGACAGACAGATTTCTAGCTTGTGATTCGCCATGAAAGAGCACCCCACAAATGACGACAACATTGACCTGAGCTCCTGCCTTTATTGAGCGGCTCACAGCGGGACAGCAGTACGTGGGTGCTGGGTAGCATGGAGGAGGTACACTCCGTACTCTACATGGTACTATTCTATAAACATAAATAAAAACTCGCAAACTCAGAAGGTACCGTGGTCAATCCTCCAAAGCACTAAGTACCTATCATAAAGAACTTTCAATCAGCATCAGATGGCCATCTGTTACACTGAGTGTAGAACAGAGTGGCCTGGCTGGGTAGAAGACAAACTGAACTGGCTGGGCAAGGTGCCTACCAAGGTAAGATACCTAGTAGGCAGGGGCATTAGGCATTGCATTGTCCTCGTAGTAGCAGTAGTAGCAACTGCTCTTGCTCATCGAGATTCTTCCCATTCATCGGTAGGTACTTCTCGAGCCACGGGGACTGCCTTAGTAGGTAGTACCTACCGTATCTCTTCGCTCATACCTGCCTTGGGTAGGTAGATTTCTCAATGGCTTCCATATCAATTCCTCCCCTTGATCTAACGTTTCCATCTACCAACCAACTTTCCCCTAACGATACGTTGACACTTGCCCATCTGCTTTCTCATCTAATGGATGGATTTAAAGCAACCTCCCATACCCCCGTTCTACCTTCTTTGCGAGTCTCCAGGCATGTATCATATCGTGTTTCAATGTACCACCATCAATGGATCGCTAATGGATCGCCAATCGAGCGCCAATATCGACTGCCCCCATGCTCGCAATCCCACTTCTGGCTACGCGACACAATTGTGCTCATAGCCTTTGGATACGTCACTGAGATACTTATCCAAGTGCAGTACTGGCAACGTTTATCCCCTGGTGGAGCATTTGGCGATGTCAGATCTCTCATAAAGGAAGCTGAACTTTCCTCTCTCAGCCTTGAGACAAATCAGTTGCTCAATAAAAGTCCTTTCAAAGCCGTGACTAAGTAAGTGGTCAAATAGATGAGCTGCCAGCATTATGACAGCAGCATCTTCTCTTCAGTCCTGTGTTTGTTCCATTAGCTTCGGCAAAGACTGCACATTTCGGTCCTTAATTCGACCAGTGCGGCAACATAATGTATCGAATTATCTGCAATCGCATTAAACACCGCATGTTGCTTTCGATCACTGCTCCCCATTTCAAACCATCTGGTCTCTGGAATTCTGCGTCTGTAGAAGGGTTGAATCACGGCCGGAATCTCCCTGATTGACAAAACAGCTTGTCACCAGCATCCTTCCACTTCTCGAAGCTCGCCTCCCGCCTCGCCCGTCTCCTCTCGACAGAATCTGCGTGATAACGAGGAGACTGACACTCTCCCGACGTTTCCTTGAGGTTTGCATTTAGGTTTTGCTTATCGCTCCTGTAACTGCTGCCCAGTTGCACAACGACAGAATAATTTGTTGGGTCGTCGGCAAGACCCTTGTGTGCTTGCTCGCCGCTCGAATGGACGTTGTAGCCTGACCAGTACGATTGACGGCTATCTCGAGAGTCGGTATTGACCTGTGTGGGCTCTTTCTTTTCTTGAGTATCGTACAGGCCGGCAACCTGAGAATCCTGAATCGGTTCGTACACATTGGGTATCCGTGGATATTCGCTGGGCTCCACCCACGAATTATAGAAATCGTCCGACATTAGGTTATGATGGTGATATGGTGCTAATGAAGTCTGCATAGTGTGTTGACGATGGGAAGGTAACAGACGATGAAGGCGAAGTCGAGAGCCAAAGTCTTTAAAGCAACCAAAGACTAGACGTCGACACGTTGAAGGAAAATCAGCCGTTCATGTAAATGCACACTCGCCCAAAGCTCACGCGGATCTTGCAACATCATGACCAGATTGGGGGCGTGTCACGCCAATATTGACCAACTACAGGCCAGAGTAAAACAAACACGTACCCGATTTCGTGATGATATGCCAGGGCGGGCCTCAAAAAGCGGCGGCTATCGGGTCCCCAGTTGGGTTGGGTGCCGTTGGGCTACGGGGTAATGCAATCCAAACTCTTTCGCAATGACTTTGGAATTTCCATCTTTTTTTCTGGGTAGTGGCCCGGCCGAGGCTGTGCTGCAATATGCTTGTCATCTGGGCCTTTGCTGAGACATGGCTACGAGATTGTCCGCCAACTTGGTTCGCTGGTCCAATGCATGCACAGCCATCATCACGACCAATCAGAAAGAGATGGATATTCCTGCGATCTTGAAATTACAACTGGAGCAAATCACACTCAGCGCATCCACCCGAGCCTGGCAACAATATGTAAGGCAGCGGCATCATCTGCCTTGTCCTTGTATAAATAAGGCGCTCCCCAAGGCAATCTAGGAATTACGGCAATGCATATCACGTTCAACTAAGAGTTTGAAAGTGCAAAATGCTGCCCATAAAAGAGACAGAGCGTCGCCTTTAGTGGGAGACTCTTAGTTCCACCCAACATTCTGCAACTTGAAATACATCCCACTCCAAGCCTTTTACATACCAAGTAGGAACCATGGAGTTTAGGGAAAGGTCCTATTCGAGGGGAACAGACGACAAACACTCTAGACCTACAACACGCATGAACGATGAAACTTGGGATAAGTTCAAGACCCTGCTCTGTGGTCTGTACAGGAACTATCCTTTGAGTATTGTCATGAATTTTATGGAGAAAGAATATGGCATCAGTCAAAGGTATGGCCACCGAGTATGATCCGTCGTACCTCTCAGTATTTGACTGACTCTTTGTATTTGAATAGCAAGCGACAATATGGTTACCGTTTCGAAAAGTGGGGAGTGAGGAAGTATAATGCGGGCGATAGGAAGGCTCCTCTCATTTCTCTATCACCTACCAGCATTCACGGGGGAACAAACTTTACTGATATCGGGGCTGATTTCGATCAGGAACCTCACTCCTTCAGTCCACACCCCTTGCTCGATCTCCCTGACATGGACGCCATAATGACTACCCCTGGTTCGGATAACATGGACTATGAGGCAGCAGAACTTCTCATACAGTACCCGTGGACGACCGGATCAGCTGAAGAAGCAAACAAGCTTGCTGCAGACTTTTTAGCCGCTATGCTTGACGATAAGAATGCCTTCGCCTTGTACTCAAGACTCCATAGCAACTTATGGAGCAACAGTCAGTCTTCTCTCAAAACCAGGGAATTCATTGCTATCTCTTGTGCCCGAGTTGCTGGTAAACCAGATAATGCTCGCAGCGCCAGGGAACTTCTTGAACGGGAGTGGCCCCAGACATCGGAGGCGGGAAGATCAGAGTCCCAATTTGTATTGTCTATGCTCAAAGCATATGTAGGCAGCCACCAGGAAGACTCTGATGAATCAACTTTCATCAATCAAGTCAACCACAATGTCAGGCAAGTCATCAGTGATGACGGATCTCTGCTGAGAATTCCACACAAATACTCAGCCATCGATCTTGTAACATTTTTCTTCCTGAATTATGGCTTTGAGATCTATGATAATGGCTTTGAAAAGTCTAACCCTCCAAACGTCATGACAGAGCACCTCTTGAATGAATTCATCAAGAGACAACCTTTCATGGAGACCCTTCGTCACGATGATCCATCTCCTCTACGTCGCTGCGTTGAGTGGTGTGAGGAGCAGCTCGGGCTCAACCATCCCGTGGCTCTACGAGACACTCTAGTACAGCCCAGTCCCGATATGCGTTGCTGGTGGCACAATATTCGAATATTCTGCACACTTTGGGGAGTCATGACACAGTTGGTCCGGGCGAATCGCGCCCCTGACTGGTACATACAATGCGAGTCAGCTTTTGGTATCCCTCCATCGGAACTTCTTGTAACCCTGTCCTGGATGATTCGTGCTGAGACAACTACTGTCGGCGAAATCAATTCGGATGCTGACTTACTCGAGCATGCTGCTGATGGCGCTAACAATCTCCTGGAGCTTGATGATTCCAAGCTCTGGATAACTTTCCTCGACAAATTCACGTGGATGAATGAACTAGTCAGTCCAGGAGAGGACGAAAAGTCCTTCGAGACTCTCGTCCAAGACCAACTGCGCAAGTATGTCTCCGAGGTGCTTAGAATTCAGCTGCCATATCAAGCAGGCGACCAACTCACGAGTGTCCCAGGCGCGGACTTCTGTGGTCTCACACAAACGGCTGGGTGGTTTTGACATGCCATCTCAGAGGGTCTTTTCTTTTTAGATAGCTGTTTGCCCATCTCATCTTATCAAACGGTTACTCCTTTTAACTCACTTTGTACTCTTTGCTTTCCATCTCCCCCTTAGTTGGACGTTGAAGTACGGGCCATATTCAGGGCATCAAAGCATGATAAAGCCAGTATAATTCTCATATTGAATGTCAAAGGACATTCAGGCACAGTCAATAGATAAACAAACCCAGTCTATGTGATGTAGGGGTATAGGCAACAATGATCCACCACAGTATCGACCACTCTCAACACAACCCATGCTGAATACCACATTGATGAATAAAATAAAACCAACAGAAGAACCTTCAAGCCCTTTACAACACAGAAATGAATGCGCAAGCATTAATACAATTAGTCAAAATAACGTCACATCTTTCCTTTTTTCTTCTTCTTTTCCATAACGCAGTTTTGCGTTAACCTTTTCATACTTCCGTCACTAGCTGCTCCCCTTCGTCGAGAAGTTCGGTAACCTTGCGCACGTTTCCAATCAGGCTTTGGCCAAGACCGCCAAGAAGAAGTTTCTCGGCATTTGCAGGGAGACCGAGATACGTAGGCGGCTCACGCTCGGGCAGGTGATGAATCCATGCGTTGAAGTCCTGGAAACTGGTACCAGATGGCACAACAAGGCCACCGTCAGGTCCGTCAACGAGTTTGTGATCAACTTCGTAAGCGGCGGGAGTCAGGAATGAAGAGACGAGTTGAGAGAGAAGTCTGAAATCCCCTTCGTCGTCAATCTTACCACCATACGTTTCGGTTACCATGTAGCGAAGCATATCCCAAGGGATATTCTGAGGAGCAATATTGGTCCTGTTGCCAGCCACACCGTCAATCCAAGTATCGACGATGAAAGCAGAGCATTCGTACTATGATGTGTTAGCCAAGGAGCCTGGTGGTGGTTCAAGATAGAACTACTTACATCGCTATCATTAAATTCCCAGAATCCCTTCCAGCCCAAATTGGGCGCGTACCTCAATCGCTCCTGCACAACAGCGTGCAAGAAAGACAGCAGGAGGTAAAGCCGTGTTCTCTCTACAGGGCTCTTAGTGGCTCGCGTGGAGAGAGATGACATAGAGTCCTTCATGTTGGCTCTGACGCCGGCAGGCTGCTCGTACATCAAGACACGAGAGGCTCGGAGCAAGTTGACTGGAATCTTGAGACTTGACTCCATGGACAGGAATAGGCGGAAGTCTTTGTGGGGGTTGAGTGATTCCATGCGCTTCTCCAAGCTCTGCAACCATGTAGGGGCCAAGTGAACGTTTTTGACCAAGACCCATGAGCCTGTCTGGGCGGCGTTGCTGATCGCCTTGTCGGCACTGGCGAGTCCTTCGTTGGATCCCATAGCAATGTTGGTACATTTGACGCGCATTCTCTCAACCAGGTTGTCCACCTTGTAGCTGGCGTCGAAACCAGGGCTGGATACCAAAGAGATTGGCAGAGTGGCAGACACTTGGGTAACCGTCTCCTTCAGGTCCTCAACAACGTCGAAGATACCTGAGCCGAAGACTTGGTTGACGAAACGCTCTGCCGCAGGTACAAATCGGTCCATGCGGAAAAGCTTTACAAGCAAGAGGGACAGGAGTGCTTGGTCCATAGGTTCAGTCTCATCGTCCCATATTTGTGGTACAACATTCTCAGCCAACTCTTCTGTGAAGAACTTATCCCAATCTTCCGCAGAGATGGCATCAACCTTCTCCTTGAGCACGCTGATCTTCTTGGCCTGAGCAAAAGCGTCATCTCTGTCATTTGGATTCGATGAAAGATCTCTGCCTTGTACACGGTTGTCGAGGATGACATCGATCAAAGTCTTGTCCATCTTGTAGGGTGAGGCTTGTGCAAGGAGCATTCCGAGGGTGACACGATCTTTTTGGAGCAGACCCAAAGCAGTCCGCTTGAATGTATTGACAAAGAGATCTTTAACAATCACATCACGTCGGATATTGTGGTCAGTCTGACCAGCCAGGTTCTTGTTGCCGTGGAGTACCGACTGGAAAATGTCGAGGAAGTACTGGAGCGAAAACTGGTAGAAGTGGTTGAGGTAATGCAGTTGCTCAAGAACAGCAAAGACAGCACTGCAAGATCGGGCAATGATGCTGTACTGCTGTGTAATCTCCTCAACCTCCGCCATGACACCTTCAGTGTTACTCATCTTGCCAGAAATCTCACCAGCCTCTGTCTTGAGAGTCTCGAGTGTCTCAATGACGTTGTCATCATCAAGAATGTTGCCACGAGACTCGTTGAGGGCTTGCAGCAGCCGCTTCTCCAATTGCCGCAGATGGACTTTGAACTCTCCCTGCAGCTTGATGAGGTTCGAGCGTCGTTCGTCGACGTCAGGGCGCTCAGATTTGAGGACATCGTTGAGAGACTGTGTCTGCAGACTACTCTGAGTCACAGTAAAATTGACAAACGTGGTTCGACTGCAGATATCAGGAGCAAAAGTCGCTGACGGGTCACGAGTGGACAGGTAGATTTTGAAAGCTGGTGAGAAATCGATCTCCTGCTTGCCCAGTTGAATGAGAACACGGCCACCGGTCTTCTGATATTCCTTGTTCAGAACGTGGTTGAGGATCGGATCCAAGTGTTCAGCGTCCTGGATGAGGATGGGGTTTCCAAATCGCAGAGAACTCTCAAGCTGCTTGGTGAAGGTGTCATCCAAGAAACTCGTCACTGTTAGGCGGCGATCCTTGCACTCTCTTTGCAGGAACTCCGTGACTCGCCCAGAGGGGTCGATGATGAGGGGGTAACGGTTGAAGCGCTTGAGAATAATCGCGTTCTCTGTGCACAGGTCGTCGACTGGGAGAGTATTCTCTTGCCAGCCCAGACGTTCATCTGCAGTCGACAGATATTCCGTCATGGGGTTGGTCGACTTATACTGAATACCAGAAAGGTGAAGCTGATGGAACCAATCATCCATCATAGACTTTCGGAAAGTCTGGTCATAGAGACCACTATAGGCCAAGAAGGCAGCAGCAACGAGAACATCTCCAACAAGAGTGCTGATTTGGATCTCAAAAGACTTACTGCCCTCTTCCCAACGAACTCGCTCCGAAGACAGACTGTCAAGAAGGCGGACGCTGCGATCGACCTTGAACTGGACCTTGGACATCTCGGCCTTGATAGCTTGCGTCTCACTGATGAGCGCAGCATATTCGGTCTTGTAGGTGTTGATGCTGGCCTCCAACTCCGCGATGTTGTTTTGCACGGCCTGTGCATCAGCCTTCGTTTGAAGTGCTTGTTCCTCCAAATTGTCCACCTCGATCTTAAGGGGACCAACACGGTCGAGGATGTCGAAGTAATTGACCTGAGCACAAACCCATTGGACCAGAGGACCGCAAGCCTTTGAGGCACGGTTGACCTTCTCAAATGTGAATTCGGGATTGGACAAGAAATCGTTGCGCATCTTGTTTCTAAGAGACTTGGTCATTTGCTTGCCGTTGTCGAACATCAGAATGCTGGCAATAAAGTCGTCTTTTCGTACAATACCTTGGACGGCCTTCCAGTCGTTGATCTTGTGGCCGAGCAGGGTACAGACAGCATCCATAGCAAGTCGGACACCCTGAGGTGGATTACCCATAGACCTGACTTCGGTCAAGTGTTGACGCTTGATGTTGCTGACACTGGCCTTTGCTTCCTCAACCGCAGGTTCGGCCTTGGCGAGGTCCTCCAATACAACCTGCTTTCGCGTAGCCACCTCCACTTCCTGCTTATCCAAAGCAGCCTGTATCTCCAGCGAAGTACTCTTCCTCTGCTCTGCTTCACGCTGATCGGCCACCATGCGCTGCAGCTTCTCGTTCGCCTCCATATCCTTCTGCTCCAGCTGCTTTTTCTTCTCCGCCAGGCTCACTCGAAGATCTCGGACCTTGTCAACGGTGTCTCTCAGTTTCTCCAAACCCACATTCAGATGCCGTTGTTGCTCTTCAAGATCTTCTCGCTTCTCGTTGTAAAGCTTGACATATTGAGCAACGAAATCGAGGAAGTGGCGAGGGGTCAAGAAGGTAACCTTGCCCTGCTGCTTGAGCAATTTCTCGTTGTATCGCTGTAGAGAGTAGTGAATGTAGACCATTGAGTTAACAACAGTCTCGCGATGTGATGGTGGTAGTTGCAACCCGCGATATGCCACAGGTACAGTGTTGGGACATTCGAAGTTACTTCTGTCCAGGTCGATAGAATGAGTCAGTTCATGGCCAACCTGGAAGAGTGCCTGATCAGACCAGTCACCAAACCAGTTGAGAACACAACGATTGAACAAAGCGGGACTAGTTGCGGCCTTGGAAGAGAGGCCATCCTCAGGCGGGTTCATGGTAAAGACCACGTGCAGGTTTTTGACGATTTGCTGCGTGAACCACTTGTACAACTCTTCGGGGGAGTCAAGGTGCAAGTTTTGTCGTTGGGCACCCTCCTTACATGCTGTCATGAGAGCAGCATACTCGTCACCCTCGAAAAGACCAGGGACCTCAGCGTTGGCGAGCAGTGTGTTCATTCTCTCAAGGAAGCCTGAATCCAACACGTTTGACTCGTCCATAATGAAGCAAATCTTCTCGCCCTTACAGCCACATCGTCGGAGAACATCTCGAAGATCGTCGTCAAAGTCCTCGGCAGAATACTTGCCATGTACCTTGATCTGGAAAACTTTGAGGCCGTTCATCCAGGCCACAAATCGTGACAGGGTGGTCTTGCCACTACCACTGACGCCGATCAAGATGAGATGACCCTGGGGTTGTCGGAAGACACGATCAATACGCAGCACGTGCTCCAACACATCATTAAATAGAATGAGCGGAACATCAACCTCCTCCTCGCAGAAAGTTTTCAATCTTGCCTTGACAAAGTCTCTCAGCTGCTCACGGTCGACAGGAACGTAGTTCTTTGACAGCCAGTTAGAGAACAGGATGGGTCCGCCAAGTGCCTTTTCCTCATCAATATTGGGGAAATATTGAAGAGCAATGCGGCGCACAGCCTCGTCAGTCCACTGCCGCTCGTCCTCAGCAACGAGACGATCCTGGAAAAGGCGTAGAGCTTCGTGAGCCCAGATTCGAATCAGACCCTCGATGGACAAAGCCTCCAGAGGTCGAATGGCCTCGTAAACACCACGAGCCCATCGCGTCAGCTCACGGGGACTGTACACATAGTGGGGCTGGATTTTTGGCGTAAATCTCTGCTGAGATTCAAGGTAGAAACGAACCATGGCATGCGTAAGAGCCTCGGCGTATCCTCGTAGAGACGGGATGATTTTGAGAACAGCAGAGTTGAAGGTGCCGTAAATCTGGTTGAGTGACAGTTCGCCAGGGTAGTCAACCATGATAAGAGGGGCGTGTCGAAGGAATCGAGCACCCATTGGGGTACGCCCAGCATCAGTGGGAGGGTTGCAAGCACCGACAAATTGAATGCGATCCAGTGTAACCCATGATTTATCGGACGTTCGCCAGAAGCCGTTATGTTCAACCATTTGGCGCAGGAATGAAATAGCACGCTGGGTTCCGTACTTGTCTGGTGCAGGCAAGTTGATCTCATCACAGAAAACAACAAGCCATCGACCAATTTGTGTCGGCGAGAGCATCACGCCGTTCAAGGTCTTCTTGTATTCACAGTACTGCTCAAATGTCTTGATGAGGAGATCGGGAGTTGTTGCGCTTGAGAAGTTCAGACCTACAACCTCCATGTTTGGCAGTTTGCGGAGTGCACTGAACAAAGTCATAGTTTTACCTGAACCAGGAGGACCACAAAGAAGGAGAGGCTTATGCTCGGCAAGCCATGAGTAGAGAACATCTTCGTGGCGAACAGTATCCAGAGTAGGGATAACAACATCAGTCTGAGTGATGGAATGAGTGTTGACCTCCATGGTAGGCACCTGGTTCTGCCAGGGGGTCCACTCAGACTTGGGCAGAGTCACATCAAAATCGATAAGTGAACTTGTGCCGTCAAGGGGAGGAGAGCCAAAGTTGGCCAAGGCGCAAAGTTCATCGCCGAATGTCTTTCTATCGTTGAGAGGGCAGTCGCCTGTCAGTGCCCAGACAAGGGCCAAGAGAAGCTTCTTCGAGATAAAGGACTCGATTTGTTCAGACTCGAGTGGGAAATCAGAATGCTGCCCATTGTACTCAATAGCATCCCGCACTGCTTTGTTGAGTAGTGAGAAGAGGGTTGTGAGCACGCGAGCGACAGTAAACTCCATGATGTGATTGTAAGCCTCGGCTCGCTTGAGAGCGTTTAGGATGAAGTCCTCTTCGCTCAGGTAGATGCGAAGCAATGCAGCAAATTCGCCTTGAACAGCCAGCGTCTTGGCAGGGTTCTGACCAGTAGCGACGCTGTCTTCGTCCAAGTCCTCGAAAGGAACGCTGCTGAGAGTCGACAGATAGTTCTCGACCAACATATTGGGTGACACGGTATCCTCACTGAACCAAACCATACCACAACGACTGACGGTAGCGAGTGTGGCATACTTAAGCGTCTCGACTTCAAACATGATTCGGACGTTGGCTGGCAAGTTAAGACGTTCACCATTGGGAAGCGTGAGCAGCTTGTTGTCATCGAGTACACTGTTCAAGTTCTCAACCCATTCAGGATCGACATCACCATCAAAGACGATCCAATGTCGCTTGGAGTCCTCGCCACGGAGGTTATCAACAATTTTGCGGAGGATGCTGGTGAAAAGACCATCGGTCCATTCACGAGTGGTTGAGTCGAGGTTTCCGTACAGGGCTTCCTTGGACATGACCTTCGAGTCGATGACATGTGAGACACCCTCAACACCTTCAACCTTCTGCATGGCATCAAGCAAAAGTCTCCAAGCCGCAGATTTACCAGAGCCAGAGTTACCAACCATCATGACACCATGATGAATCTTCTGAATCTGGTATAGCTGCAGAACCTTGGTCATCCAGAGTTCGTTCACGACAAGATGGCGCTCGGCAGCTAGGGTCCGGATCGCATCCTCCAGTGCCTCAAGGTTGGCGGGGACATATTGCACGCCGGGGAAGCAATCGGCTTCAATGGTCATCATAATATCGACGTCGGACTTGATCAGCTTGGGTGCAATTGTTTCTCGGATACTTTGCACAATGATCTCAGGCTCAACAACGTCTTCAGCGCCGAGACTACCATCACCCAAACGAGCACGCTTCAGACCTCCAGAACTGACCAAGACACTCTTCAGGGCACGCAGGCCGAAATCGTAGTGAGCTTGCTTAGATAGCTTGCCAGAGCACTGGTCGAAGAAGGGAACTGTGTGCTTGGAGAGTTGCTTGGCTTGGTTGAAACCCTGGGAGTAAAGCATAACCTCGGCGATAAGCTCCTTGTCCGGCTTAGACATGGCCACGCTGCGGAAAAGCTTCTTCAAGTTGTCGGGCAGGTTGGAACGGCCGGCATAGCCAGGGTTCATGGTAATAAAGATACCAGTGTTTTCGTTGACGTGAAGTTGACGACCGACCAACTCAATTTGCGACTGGTCATCCTCGACACCTTGCTTAAGACCCAGCTGGATATTTTGGATTTGCTGCGAAACAGCGGACAAGATTCGCTCCTCCAGACGGTTGAACTCGTCGAAACAGCCCCAAGCGCCAACCTGGCAGATACCGAGGAAAATGCGGCCCATGGCTTGGAAATCGAAGGTGTCGTCACAGCAGAAGACAAGAGTAAACCTACCAAGCTGCACACCAAGTGCTTTGACTGACTCTGTCTTGCCTGTACCAGCAGGTCCGTAAGGAGAACCACCAAGACGCTGGCACAAAGCTTGGGTGAGGGTAAGGAAACAACGATCAGTAAGCGGGGTGCGAACAAGTCGTTCTGGGACTCCCAAATACTCAAAGCCATAGTTGAGTTTGGCATTCGCCATCTTGATGTAAAGGCGGTCAAGAAACTCGCCCTCTGGGTTATAGATATAACGCATTTGCAGCTGCCAAAGATAATGTCCTGTGGAATTGGCATTGGCGTTGATAAGCTTCTCGATGGTGTCACGCTGGTGGACGCATTCGGTAATCAGCTGTTCGCACTTCTTCCTCAGAATGACCTCGAGTTCTCCAAGGACAGTGTCGGCAAGTACACGAAGGACTTCTACCTCGCGCTCAAAGAGCATCTTCAAAGTGTCACCACCAGCGGCAAGTGATTGGTCTACGGCTGTCGTCCAAGCAGCCTGGGTAGCGAGAACGACAATCTGACTGGGGTAGGCGTTCATGAACGCGTTCAAGGCATCACGATCGATCGTCTCTGACTCAAAGATAGGGGTGTAGTGGTCAACAGCCTCTGCGAGGAGCTCGGCAAGGGTTGACTTCATGCCGCCTTCCAAGAGAGCCAACCAATCGTTGATCTTTGGTGTTTTCGCCAGAGAAATTTCCTTCTTCAGCCGAACAGCTTCGCCCTCCTTGGAAGTGAAGCCAGAAATGACGGTCTCGTCGTCCATAATGAGACCTGATAGACCTGCAAACATTTTCTTGAAGTGCTTGGCAATACGCAGTGTGTCGTTGCTATTACCAATCATCTCGAGTAGATCTTCGTCGCCTACGAAGTAAAATCGCGGGAAAGAAACACGCTCCTTCTCTAGGTACTCACCCAGAGCCTTCTGGATCTTGTTAAGCATTTCAGCGAGTCGCTCCAACGACTTCTGCACGTTGGGTATGTTGAGAACTTCCAAAACATATGGGGTTTTGTTTGCCTTCTTCATGACAGCCAAGAACTCGCTGTTGATGTTCTGGAAACGTCCTGACTCGATAGGCAAGAGATGCTTGATATCAGCATTACCAGTGAAGACACCCTCGAGGTAAACCCACTGACGCTGAACATCAATCCAAACATCGAAAAGCACATGGACGCGGTTAAGTTTGTCCTCCCAAGACACTGCTTCTTCTTCAAACTCTTTGTAGTAAGGAGAGTGTTTCATAGCCTGAAGTGAGTTCAAGTTTTCACTGCACTTTGCGAAGAGGTCATCCCAACCGCGAATGAGACGGATTTTGTTCTGATAGCCGACCATCTCAAGAGCATAGTTTTGCCACGTCTCGCGTACTTGCTTCAAGAACTCCTCCAGAGCCATCTCGCCTTGAGCTTGAGCGATGATGTCTTTCACGATGATTTCAGTGGCGACCAGGTTGAGATCCCAAACATCACCAAGGGTCATAGAGCTAGGCGAAAATCGTTTTTGTGGCTTGATTTGTTTATAGATCTTGACCCAATGGCGCTCACGAATGGCATCAGACTTCAGGTCAGAGAGAATAGGATTGACCTTGAGAAAGCCACGCAGAATACCTTGGACGTGCTCAAAAGCAGCATATTGACGCATTCTGCTGGGCATGTCCTTGGTACTTTTGATGAGATCATCAACCTTGGAACGAATCTTTCGTGGCTGAACAGCAGTCCAGAGAATATCACGCGTCTCATTAAGGCTGGCCCAGATAGTGGAGAGATTTGACCAAACAGATTGGAAATCCCGAACCTCCTCAAGTGTGGACTCGAGAGAATTATCAAGACTGGCGGGGATATCCAATGCCTCCTTAGCCTTCACCACCATTTGGGCATCATCCTGCAACTTTGAGATGCGAGCTTCGAAAGATGTCAAGGTTGCAGAAGCAACATCAGGTTGAATGGTTCCAGAGACTGGTTTCTCCTCGTTCCATTGAGCGGCGATTTCCGCGATTCGCTCACTAACCAGTTTATCTTCGGCGGTAATCTTGGCTCGTAGTGCGTCACTCTGATCTTGGACAATCCTTGACTTCTTCTCGAGGATTTCCTTCAATGCCTCCCACTGACTGTCGATCTGCTCGATATGCAGCCAATCATTAGGGAACTGGTATCGCTGTCTCACCAGCATGGATTGTCCCTGGCGGAACATATCGATCTCAGGGGCCCATGTCTTGACGTTGCGCTTGCAGCTCTGAACAACGGTGATGAACTGGACAGCCTGTGCAGTCGATGAAGCGTCGGAGCTTTGGCTTTCGAGATGCTTGCGTGCCTTCTCTATCTCTGCATTAATGTCACGCATACGGTTGCCAAGACGGCTAGCGAACTTCATCAGGATCTCATGCTGCCATTGATCATACTTCGCATTGACCTTGGTCTGTACTTGGTCATAATCAATGGTGAGATGACCGAACTCGCGGCTGACCTCCTGTGTATCAAATGTTGACCGATTTTTGCGGAGATCCTGAAGAAGCTGCAACCATCGGGGAAGAGGTTCGCCAAGAGCATCATAAACTTGCTCAGACTGAAGATCCCAAAGTGACTGGAATTGGAGCCATTTGTCAACATACGTGCTAATCTCCTGGAGCTTCTTTTCAACGGAGATATAAACACGCTGTAACAGTCCGGCGCATTCAGTAGGAAGGTCGGTAAATCGAAGCTCATCGTTGGCGGTAGTTGTAAGGGTCATCTGATAGCGAGTAGCCTTGATCTTGCGAAGATTGCAAACGATCCCAAGCCACTCATGAAGGTGGAGGAACCAGCTTGCACGAGCGAATTCCAGAGGGGGGTCGAGATAGATAACTTGATTGCGCATAACCACTTCGAGGACAAGTCGCTTCATGGTTGGACTTTCTGGTTTAGTCTCGTCGTTGTGTGTCTTTCTGCGCGTCTCCTCCTCGGGGGTTTCATCCTCGAAGGCAGTAATCCAAGAGTGAACTGCACTTTGGAGGCGTGTGAGAAGGATAGATTGAATCTTGGCGTTCAGCTCGCGAACCCAAAAGTCCAGATTTACATATTGTTCCAAATTTAGCTGATCAACAGCCGATTGGATCGTATCCAAGCGGCTATGGAATGCGGCTTCATCGTAAGAGCAGGTGCTGAGGTCCTTCAGGGCCTGTTCAACGGTAGTGTGGATGAAGTTCAAAGAGACGGCTTTTTGCTGAAGAACAGACACAGCTGATGCAAACCCACGGATAAACATGCCATGCTTGCTTTCAGTATTCTTAGCCAGTCCAAAGTCGGCTCCTCCAGGTAACAAGGGCCGGGTTTGTCTGTTTTCAGAGTAGAATAACTCGTGCGAATTGATGAAAGACTCCCATCGAAGTGGCACACCCTCGCCGATCAACCTATATACTTCGTTCCGGTATCCATTGAGAAGTACAGATTCCTCTCCCATCACTGAAATTTGACGAAGGGTCTGAGAAAGAGTTCTCACACTCTCCATTAAGCTGACAGCATAGGGGTAGACCCGCTTCGCATCCTTGGACACAGTCGTGACAGCATGGGGTACTGAATATGACTGCCACGTGAGATTGCGGGTTTCCTTGAACAGAGTGATAACTTGAGGATCGAAGTTGACCGCGAGTTCGAGAATACCACCGGCAGATCTTATACGAGCAATATCAAACAATTGTCCAGAGATAGATATTTTGCGTCGTCCAACGTCGTTGAGCCATGCGTCATAGATTCGGCTAGTATCAAGCTTCTGTTTAAAGAGCTCACTCTCCTCCTGAAGCTTGTGACCTTCAGCATGCAGAGTCCAGTCAGGACCAAGGACAGCCTCAACCTTTCGCATGTATCCGTCCAGTTGGAACTCGATCTGGCGTGCCCAGATGATAGCACCTGAGACAGGGGGGAGATCACGAAGCTGCGCCATAGCGTGGGTCTCTGAATGGCCATATTGTTGCTTGAACCGCTCGTGCAGACCATTGATCGCTTGCTTGACATGGTCCATCAACTGGTTTTGGTACTCCTGAATGGCGCCACGAATCTTCGGGCGCACGAAAAGGGCATTGAACTTGGAGAAGACTCGGAACATCTCGTTCGCGGTCTTGGCGGTAGCCAGTCGCTCTCGGAGTCTGCTGATGATGGAGTTTTCTACACGGGTCGTACGCTCGTTGTAGAGGTTCTCGGCTCGTACCCATCGTTCCTTGCCCTGATCCGTAACATCCAGAAGGTCAACATTCTGAAGAGCCTCCCAAGCCTGCTTGACCTCCTCAACAGCATCAACGTTGCCAATCTCTTCAACAATGATACCGTTAGATTCAGTAGTCTCAGTAACGCCAGGAATAGTTGCCTGAGGACCGAGAACAGTGACGATTGTGCGCTGAAGCTGCTCATGGTTGTCGCGGAAGGTGCTGACATATTTGATTCTCGCCTCAAGTTCGGAGTGCTTCTTGACGATCTTGATAGGAATAAACTTTTCGTTGCGGCGTCGAGTCACCTCGCGGGCTACATTAGTAAATTCCTTCACATTCTCCTCCCAGGTCTGGAAAATCTGATCACATGTTTGCATGATGTTCTTGAATTGCTGGTAATCCAGATTGACCAGCTCGGTACCTGACAAAAGTCTGTGAAGCACATCATCGAGATCAGCTGAGATTGCTTCAACAAGTGGAAGAGCCCGGCGAATAGGATAAGGGCAGATTCTTAGCTTCTTGTTCAGGTGGCCAAATATTTGCTGAACGGCCTCCTCAACCTTGGATAAAGAAGTAGCAGACAGCAACTCATCGAGAGGAAAGTCGCGCATAAGCTGGTTGTACTTCTGCACCTTGTCCATAGCCTCCTTCAAGCCCGTATCCGCAGTGAAACTCACGGTAGCCTGGAAACGTTTTGCATGCTTAAGAATCTCCAGCGTCAAGAGCACACCCTCGCTACGGAGTTGCCCTTCAATACCCTCCAGAGCTGACTCCATAGACAGCCAAAAGTTGACCTCTTGACTCGCAGTGCTAAACTCCTGGTTTGTGTTTGAGGAAGGGTCTTTGGTTAACTTGGTGATTCCTTGGATAGACTTGATCCAAGTGTTGACGTTTGCTTGCAATCGGTTGAGGAAAGTACTGTCTTGAAGGAGATTCTGAGGGATTCCTTCGATGGACGGTCGGTTGTTGTGCGCCTCAGCTTCCTCAAGGACGTTCTGCACAATAGAGTGGAATGTAAGCGAGATCTCGGGAATATCGACGTTTTGCTGAAGATGCAGCAAGCTAAGTTCCAAGTCGTTCAGTCGCTTTTTCGTCACAGGAATTCCCGTCTTCGCATCGACATCAGCTCGCCCCCTCGACCCATTGGCCAATTGTTGGCTCTTAGTGTTGGCATCAAAGTATGGCACCAAAGCAAGGTGGACCTGGGAGTGAAGGACCTCCCATGGGGAGAGTACCGACACTTGATCTCCAACTCCAGCGTTAAGAGATGCAGGACCAGGCAGATTAGTAATAAATATTTGAGATGTAAGAGGTCGACTAGGGTCTATAGGCTGGGGAGACTTGATGAGGACGAGAGAAGCGACGGTCGTTGGGGAGGATGAGATCTCGGTGGACAAGGTGTAGTTATACGAAGCGGGTGCTATGCACATGTTAGCTAAACAACTATGCGCAATCTTGAGACCTAACGAACCGGCAGGGTCGATCCCAGGCTCTACCGCAGAAGAGCTCGCAAAGTCCTTTTGGATATAGAGCACGTTCTGGGTATCGCTCACGAAACGAGTGCAGCGTGAAATAGTCTCACTATAGCGAGACTTGTGCAGCAAACTTCCCACCTGTTGGAGTTCATCGCGTGTAGCGCCGAGGGCTACCTGACAGACGGAAGCAAGATGTTCGATAACGCGTTCCAGTTCGATGGTAGGGAAAGGCGGAGCAGCAGTGACGCCGTTGGCGGAAGCTCCAGGGCTCGGCGCGACGGGCGAAGTGACCTCCATATTAGTTGGAGGAGTATCGAAAGAATAGAATTATGACTAGTCTAGCAGCACCCAGTCATTTCCAAGTCGTCGGTTCGCTATGGTTGAGGGATGCAATCGAAGAGGATGAATGTGGCGGACGAGCGAGCTTCGGGTTGGGCGCAATAGCTTGGTAACAAGTCAGATATTAAAACAGCTTTAGCAAAATCGAAGAGACGATCTCAAAGACTAAGGAGCGTGGGTTTAACGATCTAGCAAGATGAAGTCGCAGAAATGATGTGAAGTATCCAGCGACAAGTCGGGGTTTGGTGGAATAAGATGAAGTTGAGCCATCCAGGAGTAGGTTGTTGACTTTCGATAAGGGCACCTTACACCTCAGCTTTCTTTGGTTCTGCCGAATTTACTGTACGCGACTAGACCCAGGGGCAGCCCCTGTCGCGACCACTGATAGCTAACGTTACCTAATTGGGCAAAATGGATGTGTCGGGAGCCTATTGGCGGGTCCTCCAAGAGTCCCCTCCACAATTAGGTCCAAGCCACCTAAAACAGTCGCCCACACAGTGGACACATCCGTTACAGTCAGTTTCTAGCCACTGCAGATTGATGGAGTGGGGCATCTAGCATGTCCATAAAACGACTCTTTACGATATTTAATTGGCCAAAAGGCTCCAAACAAGGGGCTCCCGTCCCTCTTTCTCCCCACGCCGGGTCCTGTCAGCATGGTGCTCTCCCGCAGGGGCCCGGGCTGCATGTTCACACACCAAATGATATGAAGTGTTGGGTTGCACATTCTAGTGGGGGACAAAAGAAATGACGGTACCCCCGTTTTCTCACCAAAATCGCTATTATTTAACAAATTTATTATAAAATGGATAAAATAGCTATTAAATTAAACTAAATTATATAATATCATTTAATAGAGATAGTATATAGTAATAAGGTTATAAAATATTTAAGTATTTTTAAAGTATTTTATATCTAGCTTTCAAGTCTTAATTATTTACCCCGAAAGTTTAAATAGAGATTTCTCTATTAAAATAGAATAAAAGCTATAAGATATATATATTATTATAAATTAGAAGCCTTGAAAGCGCTATTTAATAATATTTATTATAGATTTTATTTAATTAATTATAATTATCTTTTAGATAGGAAGAAAACCCCTTCAATTGTCATTTCTTGTGTCCCCCGGAGGACATTGTATGGATGATATGCCTGGACTACGCTGCCTAATATGGCAAAGAATGTTGATGTCATAGTCGACGTGCTTGAAGCCAGTATAAAGGTTGCCACAGATAGCCCTCATAGGGCAAGCTATAACGCTCAAATACCTACTATACAGTACCTAGAGTAGCTATAAGTCGAAGAATAACTAGGTACAGTCGAAAGATTATCGTGCCCCTATCATGATCAAGTTATAAGCCAGTATCTGTAAGTGGATACCCAATAGTCAACTCTACTGTAAACTTTGCGGGAGCTCTTAAACCTTGGCAACATTCGTAAGGCAACCGATGCGGTAACGAGTTTAGGGCTGACTTGTGATTTATGACTGAATTCAAGAAATGAGCTATCAGTAACATACTATCATGTTTATATGTCACCTACGCCAGTTTCTCCATCCAGTCTGATATATATCGCCTTACAGATTCAATGTCAGCTGCACAATCAAATAACCTCAACTGTGTCCTGTGTTATCGCCATATATATCGCTGCAAATGTGCAAAGTGCATGAACTTCTGACGTGCAAAAACAAAGATGAATCATTATCTTGAACCATGCTCCAAATCAACACATGCCGCCCGATTTCAACTTCAACCAAATAATTCCAAAACCCAATCTCATCAATGAATACATACATGCCAAAAGACTACCCATCAAACGCCTGTGTGATCCACAACTACCCAACAAGCTTATTTCCATGCAAGATAAAGACCAGCCAATGCACCCAGTATAGGCAGAGGTTAGGCCTGAGGTTGGCTGGCCCCATTGGCATTGCTTCCTGCCAGTCGCTGTCGCTGGAACATAACTCGCTCGTTGCAGATGTCTATAAACTCTTCGAATTTCTTGATGGTGACATCTTTCTCTTCAAGTTTTGTCTTGAGCTCGCTGATCTCTTTGTCTTTTTCTTCTTCCATTTTTTGCATATCTTCCCTTACCTTGGCAATTTCGCGCCTTAATTCGGCACGTATCCGATCTTCGGGTGACTGGTGAGGTTTGCTATATATAGCTGGCCTGTTCTCTGCCAGATCCGTGGCAACCTTTTGGGGGTTGCGATTGATAGCCGCACGAGCATTGTATATGTCGCGTGGCAGAAGGTGACAGTCCGGGTTTTCGGTCTGCAGTATCTGCAGCGTCTCCGAGACGCCAGCGCCTGCTCATTGCAGTTAGTATGGAATCAGTTCCTTTGGTCGATGAACTCACCATTTTCCTTGAGCTGCTTCACAGCGGCAACCATCTTACTATCAAGCTTACGTGCCGCCGGGTGATGCGATGGGCTCTCACTTGGCCCATGGTTATGCTGGAGATGAGAAGGATCCGGACGGTATCGAATCGTCCACTGTGTACGCTGCTCTATAGCAAAAAACCCAAATGGGCAATCACACTTTCGGGAAGAAGTCTTTCGCTTTCGGCACTCAGGGCTCACACGACTGGGTGGCTTACCAGCGCGATCACAAACGAACAGCACCTTCTTTAATCCAGGTACCGTCTTCTTCGAGCGTCCGATGACAATAGCATAACCGACAGACGTACAATATCGAAGAACAGCCTTCTGGACAGCCTCGAGAGTGGGATAGCTTCCTCCCTCCGGGGGTGGTGACATCATCTCTCCCAATGGTTGCGAGGGGATGTAGTTAGGATCTGCCAGCATCTTCATATCCAAACCCCCAGCCTCCTCACCATTTGCATGACTATCAACGTCCATCGATTCATCTCCGTTGGTATCTTGCTTCTGTTGCTGTGGCTGGACCTGCGGTTGCGGGACCGGCTCTGCAGGAAGGGGCTGTTGTTTTTGCTGTTGTTGAGCCTGCTGCTGAGCCTGTTGTTGGACCTGCTGAGCCTGTTGCGCCTGTTGAGCCTGCTGAGCCTGTTGCGCCTGTTGCGCCTGTTGCGCCTGTTGGGCTTGCTGGGCTTGCTGGGCTTGCTGAATTTGCTGCTGCTGGGCCTGTTGGTCGCGTTGCTGTTCTCGTTGTTGCTCACGTTGCTTCTGCTGTTTCTGTTGCCGGGGTGGTGGCGGCTGCTGGAGTGACTGGGCCCTCGGCTGTTCATGCTGCTGTGGGTGCTGAAGCTGCTGCTGCTCCTGTTGAGGGGTGCGAAGCTGTTGTTGTTGCTGCTGAGAGTGTAGCTGCTGCTGCTGTTGTTGTTGTTGTTGATGCTGCTGCGGGTGAACTTGTTGGTGCGCCTGTTGTTGGTGATGCTGCTGTTGCTGTTGTTGCAGCTGCTGTTGCTGAAGCTGCTGCTGGTGTTGCTGCTGCTGAAGTTGCTGCTGCTGTTGCAAATGATGCTGCTGTTGTTGTTGTTGCAGCTGTTGCTGAAGCTGCTGGTGCGTCTGAGCCTGTTGCTGACTGGGCTGCTGGGGCAGCGGAGGCGAAGGGGCCTGGGATTTCACCTGAACCTGACCAAGCTTCGGCGTTGGCTGAGCTTGTTGGGATTGGGGCCGCTGCTGAGGGGACTGCTGAGCATGGTGCTGGTGGAGAGTTTGTCGAGGCTGATTCAGAGGATGAGAAGGATGAGTCAGGTGCTGAGGGTGCATCTGCTGTTGCTGCTGGGGATGGTGTAGCTGATTAGGCATAACCTGTCCCAAAGTAGGAAACATCATCTGAGAGCGTGATTGCGGTACACCCCGCGTGCTAGACACGTCGAGCGGACTAGGCACCGCACTAGACATGTGTGAGGTGGAAGAACGCGACGAGCCATTGGAAAGACTACCATTCACGTGCGTCGGGTTTGAGAAGAGATGCTGAGGGTATCCAGTAGGCGGTTGTTGGGGCTGATATGCCTGTGTCTGATATGGAGACGCGGCATGAGGCGCGGGGGATTGTTTGCTCTGCTGGCCTGGGTGAGGAGGAGGATACGGGTTCCGACGAATACTGGCCTGGGGGAAGTTAAGGCCAGTATGATTGTTGGATCCTGGACGCAGACTCGACATGTCGCCCGGTCAGGCCCGGCAGTAGGGCCGGCGTATAGACGCGGAGGTTTGGATGTGACGAGTTGAGCCCCAAGACTATAAAGTCAATGGGTGCGACGGATATGTTGTTGTCGCGGTTCGATCGCGACAAGGGAGCAGAGTAGGCGACGTGACGTGACGTGACTCGAGGGGCCGAGTTGGGTCGAGTCGAGTGTGTGATATTGATCTTGGTGACGTGACTATCACGATGCTCTTGACGAGGTTGTCGTCGCCGTCGGCTGTGGTTTCGCTCCTCCGGATGGTGTCGTGGCCCCGTTGCCGATGCCGAATGCCGTGACAATGGCCGGTGGCGGTGACGGTGAGCGAAGCACGAACGAAGCCGCCGTGACGTTGAATATCGCCGGGCGCGAGGTGCTGATACGGAGCGGAGCGCGGTGGTGTGCGGTGCGGTGCGGTGCAGTGTAGTTCAGATTGCGGAGCGTGTGTATGAAGCAAACCCTGGGACCCAGGATCTTTGGGGGTGTCGATAATGAAGCTGGGTTGGGCTGGACTTTGGGGGAGGAGGAGGAGGCGTGGAGTTGCGGTTTATGCAGAGGCGTGGACAAAATTATGGAGATGGTAAAAATTTGGCCTGTGTCTGCCTGTTTGCCTGGCGTGACTAAGGCTGGTGGAAAGAGAAAGGCAACGGCGGGGGGGTAAGAACAATGAGAACTGGATGAGTAAAATGCAAAACTGACAGGGGAGGGGCGAAGGGGAAAACAAGGACCCGGGGGAGAAATGGACGGACAGATGTGAGAGGGGAGGTGCGAGGGAAGAGTAAGAAATGGAAAAAAAAAAGAAAAAAGGTGGGAGGGCAAGAGCAAAAAGGGTGCAGTGCAGCAAGCAGATGGACAGACACGCCTCTTCTATCACTACAGACCAGCACTGTATTGAGGCGTACTGTACTGCACTGTCTGTGCCTGAGCTTGAACTTGAGCTCAAGGCGTTTGTCTGAGGTGGAAGATTAGGTTGGAGCGAGGCCAAACACTTTTGAAGACAGGCAGAGCAGCCGTCAATTCACAGAGAAAGTTGGCGTTGAAACTTGGAAGGCGGAAGGATGGGAGTGAAATGATGACGGGGGAGGGGGGAGCGGAGGTGCGAAGGGAGAGAGGGAGTGGCAGGTGCAAATGCTGGCACTGGCGTAGACGGACGCAGGTGCAAGGCGTGTCCTCTCTGCTATACGTAGGTAGGTACCTAGGTAGTATGGAGGTTTCTAGTTGTTGTTGTGGGGGATCTCTTCAGCCGGCGTGGCGTTAGGCGTTAGGCGTCAGTGACCTGGCCCAGTAATTGGCTGTAGGCCACTGTCGTTCTAGACGCTGCCGCCTTTGGATTGTGCATCTACGGCTTCGGCACTTGAAGTCTCAGAGGGTTTATTACCTACCTAGTACGGAGGCAGGCGTCAAAAGTTCTTGCTCAAGAGAACTTACGCCACAAATGGCTACCCTTGTCAGATACTCTGAGGTACAAGAGTGTCTAAAGACCTACAGAGGGATAGCCTTCTATAAGCCCTATAGCCCAGAGGCCTTAGAGAGTTCTGACCAGTATATTATAGTGGCTCTATCTCTATAGCGAAATAATGATCAGCGGCTCATCTTACCGCTAAAGTACCCCTTGTACCTGTGGCTGGTAAGCGATATAGCCACAGTTCTGTTGAGTAAGAACTTTTGACGGCTACCTCCGTAGTATGGGACGATTTGATTGACTCTGCGGATACGGAAAATGGGTTCTTTTAATCTGCCTACCTTAGTACCTACCTAGGTACTAGCTTGATTATCAGCTGGCATAGATAGTCCCCCAATCCCGTTGTATAAACTGTAAAACCCGGTAGAGTGTCTTTCTTTAGACTCTAACTGCCAATCAGGTGAATTTCAACTTTTTGCGCCGTATGTTTTCAAACTCAGCAAAGCACTATAATCTTATTTGGAAAACACAATTATAGGCGCCAAAACGGGCTGCTTGTACGGATACCCGAAAGCATAAGTATTAATGACAGAATCTCGAGACCTTGCCTACCCTGGATGTCTTCACCTACCACACAAAATATGGAGATGCTTCTCTCGTATTTTCACTTTATCTAGGTACTAACTTTTACCACGTCACACGTGACTCTTCTCTTTTTTATTTAGTAACCAACTATAATATCAACTCTTAGTATGACAAGAAACTTTGCCCGGACATTCCGTTCACTCAAAGGCTTATCCAGAATCGGGGTGTCGAGTCTCAATGTAGTCATAGCGTCACCATCTCTCGAAATAACGTTGCCCGATTCGTATAGCTCACCTATCATCAACTGAGGTTAGGAGGTGGACCAAAGCCATTGATTGATTTGTAAGTTAATTTGTTCGCTGAATGTTACCCAAGCCAGACCATAGCAAAGTCCGGATGTTAATAGATAGGTATGATGTTGTTGCGAACTTTAACGGATTGGTTATTGTGCTATCTGGATTGTGCATAATGCGTCTAATTGTGTTAAAAATCACTGTATTGTCCATATGACACAACCCAGTTATTACCTTTTTAAAGTTATATATTATATCAAATACTGTCACCGACATTTGTTTCATGCAGGGTCCAATGACTCCGAGTAAACGTGACATTAAAACTCCATGTATTTCATGCACATGTGGGCATAGACATCATTGTTATTCCCAATTGGTCGGGTAGCCTGCCAGAGACTATCACACATTATTCCATGATGACATCTCTCCAAAAACAAACACTCTAGTGTCGCTATTCAACCCAAACGCCATATCCGCTTTGTCTATAATTAATGAGAAAGAGGGTCAAGAAAAGAAGGTACAAGAGTTCCGTGACAAGTCTTCTGCGGTACCTTTTGGGGCCCACACTCGGCCAGTAAATCCCAACAGCACCTCATAGTTGCGCCCAGAACACAATTACCAATCACTCAATCTTTCTTCGCTTACTAGATCGCAATTTGATATCTTGACCTTCAAGGAAATGGCCCTTCTCGATCATGTGCTGCCGTAGATTATCTGGCCTGTTCTTATACTGGCTTGTGCATCCAGGGTATTCACAACGGTAGATGGCTGGAGGATTTTGCGAGTGCTGTAGTTTTATGTGCTTAGCCATGCTGCCGTTGAACCATCGAGGGTCGCCCTCGGGCGTGTATCCACATAACTTGCAGCTACTGTTCGACTTGATTTTCGCTGCTGAGGACAAAGATGTTGCTGGAGCAGATGAGGGTGGTGAGCTCGCTGCCGTTGAAGGCTCCCGTACTGAACTGGTATCTGCAGGCGTAGGAAGTGGTGGAGGGTTCAAGATGTAAGGATCTATGGTAGCTGGCAGTCCTGTGACGTTCACAGGCTGCCCAGCGTCGAACGGATCCGGCTGGCCGAAGTTGAAAGGGTTCGGCGTCATTGCGTTGAAGAATTCATCGAGTTCGTCAAGCTCATTGTGCACTGAGTTCACTGGAGCTCCGGTGCCTTGTACGGACTGAACACTTGGCAGTCGTAGCGTTGCACCGATTATCATATTGATAAGCTCCACGCTGTGGCGGTAGTAGGTAGGCCGAGGGTTACCGCCCAGCACATTCGCGTAGCATAAAGAATCCATCTGGTCTCTGACATGGCTAACATAGCTGTCAAAGTAGACATCTGGAGGCAGGCACAACTAGAATGAATTGGTTAGTCGGTTACCAACTTGTAGCTGGGACTGCTGTACTCACTTTTCCGGACTCCATAAGCTCAAGTTCTAAGCGCCGGAATGACATGTAGCCAGAGTTGACACGATGGACGAGGCCATCTAGGCTAGCTGCAAAGGATGGATAACGAACGTAGTGTTGGAAGTTGTGCTTAAGCATAGTATTTATAGCGATCGCCTGTGATGAGTCTCCATGTGTTTCCATTGATGGGGCATGAAGATGCTCCATGTATAGATTGGACGACTGAATCTCCCCATCTTCCACCACATTGATGACAGCATACTCCAGTTGATCAAGGAAGTACTTGGAAAGGAATGCCAGTGAGTCGGTGTCGGACTTGGACAGATCTGAAGATTCCTGTTCCTTCCCCTTCAAGCTTGATGTCCGAGACATGGACGATGATGTCTTGGCTCGCACAAGGCTGACAACGTCGGCCTTGGTCATGGCGGCGGGTTTCCAGAGAGTGTCGACAATTTGTATATACAGCTGGCGTTCTTGTCTTGAGAACAGTGTGCTGTATGACATTGCTTGTCCAAAGAGATCCGCTGACCGGTTGGCAGCATCTCGTTCATGAATGATAAGGGAGAAACAGTAGGCAAAGTGTACGAAGCAAAGGACTTTGATGGGAATAGTTGGATGACGACCCTCAACGAGATCAACAAGAGTTTGGAGGCCATTTTCAGAGATGGTTTGAGTCGAGAGTGCCCTAAGTTGTGAGACAAGGTGGTTCTTGTTCATTTGGTGAAGCTTGTTCATGGAGTCAGCAACATGCATCTGGAGAGTACTCCATGCTGTACCGATCACGGTCCGAGGGTTGTGATAGGAGCCAACCATCGGTTGCGGTAAAGCGGAAGACGTGGATTGCGGCATTGTGGCATTATTGTTTGTGAGGGCCAGATTGGAATCGAGATCAAAGTCGGCAGGGAGGGGAGAGTCGTTCAAGGTGAAGATGGGCTGGTTAAGGACAAGGGAGTCCCGGAGGGAGTCGTCGGCAGGCAAGGCACCAAGCATTGGGAGGTCTGTGGGGAGCTCAGCCGGGTGGGAGTCATAGGGCAAGCCTGCTTCGTTGTCGAACGAGTCCCAACCCTTGGCTGCGGGTGCCTTGTGGGATATGGCGAACGAGTTTGTCCTGAGGAGGCCTCCTGGGCTTCCGAAGTCGTTACCAGGTGATGTGAAGCTGGAGTCAAAGACTGGTACACTTGCCCACTGGTCTGAGAACGTTGAGATGGGGGAGATGTTATAGCTTTCTCTGCTAAAGGTAGTATCTGTGGTGTTTGTGCTCGAGGTGGAGTTTGTGCTGGCTGTAGAGCGAACTGAGGTGCTGGGGGCCACTTGGCCGGTACTCCGCCTCTTCTGCTCTCTTCGGTACTCTTCTAGACCTGTTGTATAAAGCTGAAGGGCAGGACGCTCTGAAGTTGTATTACAGCCTGGGTCGACGAGATTCACAGGAGCAACAGTGCCTGGCGGCAACATGGAATCGAGGGGTTCGCTGAGGGCTGCGCCTGATTCGAGCTCTGCGGGGCGAGCAGGCAGATTTTGGTTATTGGTAGGCAGCGATGACATGAAGGGTGTAGGCATGGGTATGGGCACAGCCATATCCATATCCATATCCATATCCATGGAGATGGAGATGGGGGCCGGATTGGTTTCTGCCTCGTTTTCATTCTCGCGCTCCAGGATAGAATGCAAGGCTATACCACTAGAGCCGATCTCGTGGATCTCGTTCGATTGCAATTCAAGCTCGTGAGGGGCAACAACCAGATCATAGCTGGGTGGTGCCTCGGAGTCACTGAGGTCGAAGTCAAGATCGAGGTCCTGTAGAGGGGTTGAGTTCTTGGCTTTGTGGCCTAGGGAATTGAAGAAGCTTTTGGCCATGGACAGTATCTTTTTCCTTCTTGAAGGATGGCCCAGGCACCGCTTGCACTTGGAATCGTTGAAGCGTTCGGATTTTCCACACTCGTAGCACCAATACTCACTCGCGGAGAGCCAACTGCATGAGTAGAGATGCTGGAGCATGAGTTCATGGTTGGCAAATCGTTTGCGGCAGCGTAGCATGGGGCATTCCAGCTTCTCCTGGGGAGTCATCCTATCGCATCCATTTCGTTTGACTGCAGTCCAGACGATGAATCGATGAAGAGCACAGTCGTCGCTCGAAGTATCACGGGTTCTATCGCATCAATGAGCTGGGGGAGGCTTGAAGAGATGGATAGAATAAAATATTTTGTCTTACACGCAAGAGTTTGATGTTGCCTCACTGACGTCTGATACGATTGAAGAAGCAGCAGAAGAGGAGGAGGAGGATGATGATGAGGATTCGGTACTTGACCGTCGAAGACTTATACGATGACTGGGGTTTCGAGTGAGCCGACGTAGGGCTGAAGATCCCGAGCCAGTGTTTGCCCCATCCAGGGACAAACGCTTTTTTGACTCCATCACGAGCCTAACGAGTGATCGGCTGTTTTGAAGTGATTCCGCAATGTCTGTAGTGGATAGGAAGGTTAATTTTGGTTGACTGGTTGACTGATTGCGCTGCTGTGAGTGGCAGTCAATCTAAGCAAACCTCCTGGGAATAGGTACTCCAAGAACCAAAGAAGCAAGGGTGGCAATGAGGAATAGACGAGATGAGAAATGTAGCAATCCTAAAAAAGACCAGACGTTCATTAAACGCCACCCATAGTCAATATAGGATCTTTCTATTTTGTCATATCACCGCTAAAAGATGGATTCAAGAGCTGGGAGGCAGCTCGAAAGATGCTGTCCTAGGGCGAATATGACCAGAGGGTGTAGGACTCTCGGGGCCTGGGCTAGGACTTGGACTAGGAGAGCTTGGAGCTTAGAGCTTGGAGGGAGCTTGGAGTTCGGTCGAGGTGAAAAGGGTTTAGTTTGATATCGGATTGGACCCATCCATCCATCCAATGGAAGCAATCGAGAGAGCCTTGCAGTCATATCAGTGGGGCTTGGGGCCTGAGGCCTGAGGCTTAGAGCTTTATGTCCGGGGGTGGTCGATCTGCTAAAACATGATTACCTACCTACGGAGTATCCGTACCTACTAGGTACCTAGGTACTAAGGTATTTGATAGATGGCCCCGGACTTTGACTGCTCATGCATTTCTTTGTAAAGAAGAGAAAACTCTCGTCTGGTTCCTTCCAGTTCCAGGGCATTTCTTATTGCTGTGCCTGGAGAAATGGAGTACCTACCAATCCCCCTTCATTCACAATCCAGGGACCCAAACAAGGCAGAGCAGTCAGTCTAAAGGGGAAGAAAGTCCTCCGCAGAAGAGAACAAAATCAGCCTCGCACTGCTCACTCAAAATGGATTTGAAATACTACAAAGCCACCCCATCCCACCCCGTCCCATTCCCCGCCTGTCCGGCCATTCATCCTTGTAGCTTACCTACTGTTGGTTGGCCAGAGGAAGTACGGAGTACCTATCTTGTAGGTAGGCAGCGAGGCGAACACAGCTTCGGGCCCCCAAAGTCCCAAAGTGCCCTAGAGGCTAGCACTGGCTGTCTGTAGGAAGCTGAGCTGACATCCCGTCCCTAATAATCATGCTATGACGACAGATGTTCCAAATGCTTTTTGTATTCTCCGAGTTTAAGTGACTGTGACTGGTGAGTGGTTTTGACACACCCTAGCAGAACCCCTCCCCGACGTTAACTCCCCATTGTTTGATTGCGTCACGCCATCACTTCTTTGTGTAACCTAGGGTAACCTCCATGAAGTCGACTTACATCTTGCGCCAATATCAGAATTTTCTTCTTATTAATGACCATGCGATGTTGGATTCACCAGTGTTATATATGACAGCTAAGGCTTGACCGTTACAGTCTGTGGCTTATGAACGGCTTCAACGCAACCGTCAATGTAAACAGCCCCATTTATCAAAAGCCAAGGGAGCCACCACCATTCGCAGCCCACTCCTCTCTTCTCCTTTATAGGCAATGAGTGACATGCTCTTGGGGGAACATGCAGGAACACCAAAATGCCCTTGGCCTGGTACAGGGTATGCCGGTGGCTTGCATAAGGCTGACCAGCACACTTGGACCTTGAATTGTACCTTACACAAACCATGACCACCTATGAAACAATGCGAATCTAGACTCGCCTGCGTCTTACTCCAATTGCTTGCCTCTCTTCATTGGTTACTGGTATCGATCAGTGCATTTATTTGATACATATTTTTTTTTTCGACAAAAGAACAAGGAGCTCGCTGGTTGCTCCGGTCAGGCTATGCTATATCCATAACATTTAAAATATGAACAATCTAGAGTTCCTGCGATCGTGCCTCCTCACTGGCCGATCTGGCAGGTTTGCTCTTCTTCTCCACAACCCCCTTCAGTACTCGTAGCTTTTCCTCTGTAACTCGAATCGCCTCTTCCACCTCCCTTTCACCCATTCGAGTCGCGCGCAAGTTTTCTTCCACCGTCTTTGGCTCCATTGCTCTCTTGCGCACACCGGCGTTGTCGCTATGTAGGCGGTCCATTCCAACACGCTCCTCCAGCCAGTCCCAAAGCTCGCTGTCCTCCCGCCGCCACATCTCCTCGTAGGCGGCAATTCTGTCGGGGCGGTACACGCCCCCAAGTTCGTGTCCGTATGGAGCATTTCTGCTAGGGGTGAAACCAAAGCCAAACCACGTGGCAACCAGCAACCCCACCAGGAGTCCATACATAACGTTGCCCGTAATAAGAGGTTGAATGATGTCGCCGATTGGTTCCAAGATCCCCCGTACCGGCTCTAGGATTCCCCAGCTCTGTTGAACAGGACGCTTGGGTGCAGTATTGATCTCGACCACACCTGCATTGGATTGCGATGGCTTAGCCTTCTTGCCCTTCTTTTTCCCTCCCTTGAGTGCAATGCCTGACGGTACCACACCTTGTGGCTTGGATGATACTGCTGCCTTGATAGCTGCGAACAAGTCCTTGCCATATGTAGTCTGCCCATCAGTTGCACCTTTTTCAATCGGACCTGCATTACGTTAGCAACTGCTTCCAAGTAAAAAGTAGGTAAGTCTTTCGCTTACCTTTCAGCCAGCTCTTGCCAGACCATTCGATTGTACAGTTCATTTGCACTCTGGTAGAGTTATTCTCTGCCCACGAGAGGCAGTATCTGGTCTTGACGGCGAATACGTTTCCGCTTGGCACATCTGGTGTCTGAGTTGAGCATGTCATGTTCACCGACTTCTCGAGATCCAGCGTCTCCAGCGTCTCAGAGGTAATAGTCTTGGTCTGCCTCGGCCCAATTGATGCATACAGTGGCTTGATGTATGTGATTGTGCGCGTCCTGTTATCCAAGGTGAGACCCTTCTTGTCGTCTAGGTGCAGCTCCAAGCACTTTTGCTCCCCTGATAGCCAGTTGGACATGAAGGCAACGGAAGCCGGGCCAAACATAAGGTTGTACACCTTGCCTAGTGGTGCTGGGATAATGTCATCTCCAACCACTCTGTCGTAGTGCAACGCGGAATCGCCGCAATCAGTGGGTGCATGCGCAGCTGGACCTGGGAAGTCTGTAGAGCTCCCGGAAGCGGCTGGTGTTTCTTCGGGCACAGATCCACCTGGGAGTGCTACTCCCGATGCTTTCCTTGAGGCGGTCTTGTCAACCTCGGCCTCTGTGCCGTTAGTCTCAGTAGCCATGCTGGCATTGTGCATCTCCTCATGAACATCCTCATCGTAGTACTCCTCTTCATCGTCATCATCGCTGTCGTCTTCTGTCTCTGAACCCTCCTGAACCTCGTCCTCAGCAGCAGGCTCAGCATCCACCTTTTCTGTCTTGTCACCACCAGTACCCTCCAGTCTAACCCCGTTCAGCGTACTCTTAAGAGTAGGATGTCCCAATTTCCATATGTTGACGATCAAATCGTAGGTGGCATCTCGGCTGGTGAAACTGGCAAAGATATGCTTGGCGTGCAGGGTTGAAATCATGAGACCATTCTTGAACAGGAGCGCAGTGCTCCTTTTCTCAACAGACACTATCTCATCAAAGCTCATAACAAGAGTTGTGGTCCAACCAAAAATGTTGCTGCTGAAGCAAAGATGACCTTCTGAGACATAGAGTCGGCCATGCGCGAGAATCTCTCTCTGCAAAGCACAACTGTAATCTTCAATAAGATAATCATCATCTGGCACACTCTTGAACAAATCATGAAAGTCACGGTTTCGCTTCTTACTGGCAATGGCAAATCCTGTAAGCTTGGGGACGCTCAGATTTGGATGCGCCAGCGAGCTGTTAGCGGCAGCAATTGCAGCACCTATGGTGGTACCAGTGGTGACAGAACTTCCACGTTTTCTGTGACTTTGTTTGAGAGCACTTCGGAGACTCGATGTTCGCTGCACACCATTTTCCTTATTCGCATTGTCTGGGGGAGGCGGCGTGCGTTCACGGCTCACAGGCTCGTAAAGTGAGCGCGGACGGCTCGCCGGCTCCTCCGGACCAAAGTCTACAGGACTGATGGGAGAATCAACAGGGGCAGACTCGGACCGAGCGCGTGTATCAATGTCGGGAAACCTGGCGGCGATTGGTGATGTAACGAGACTAGGAGCTTCAGCAAGGCCGAGCTGGCTGAGACTCAGTTCACCTGCACCGATAGTCGATACTGCAGACTTTCTATTTTCCTTCTTGTCCGCCATCTCTGCAGTGGGGGTAGGCTCAGCGTCGTCTTCGGTATCGTTGAGCTCGGTCGGGTCCTGTATGTTTTGTGACACACTTCGATTCTTGTTTCCACCGATGTTTAGACTGGTGTTGCTTAAAGTATTGGCAGCGTTTTGGGCAGCCGATATCATAGACGAGAAGAAACCACCGGAAGGGTTCGGGTTTGCGTTGGGGGTTGCTTCACCACTCTCTTGAGTTGGTGTCAGCGGTGCAGAAACAAAGTTAGATAGTTTGCTTGGGCCGATGTTTGCTGAATTGGATCGACTTCTTCTGTTCGCGCTCATGTTTTGCGAGGAAGGACGGCCATTTGAGCCCGGATTAGTTCCCGGACTGCCCCAGATTGATCGCCTCTCGGGAGACGACTGACCGGATCTGTTGGTACGCTCGGTAGGTGTAGGTGGGGTGTTTACTATGATCGGGGCAGGTTTGTCACCACTTGGAGGAGTTCGAGGAGGGACGTTGGTGTCAACCTTCGGCTGAACTCTCGCTCGCTTCTCAGGTGAAGCAATCTTAGCTGCAGCTGGTGGTTCGAGAACGGGAAAAGTCTGGGCAGGTCCAGGCTCCGCGGAGAGAATGGGCCGTTGATGGTCGAGCGTCTCAGACGATGGTTGGGGTTCACTCGATGGTCGACGTTCAGGGCTAGAACTATTACCAGAACTCTTTTTGGGTCTGAAAATTCCTTTCAGTTTGCCAGCTGGGGAAGGTGAGCGGCGAGCGGCGCTTTGGGGAGGAACCAAGCCCGTCTTACTCCGGCCAATCCGGGTATCTTTTGAATCAATCGAATCGGATATCGTTTGTGGATAAGTGGACGACTTTGACGCACTACTATTGGAGTCGAGGTCGGAAGTTGCAGGCTGAGATTCAGGTAGGTATTTGGCTTGTACGACGGAAGAATTTGTTGTCAGATGACCAATTTGCGAAGGATAAGTCGAGAAGGGCGGCGGATGTCGAGAGTTGGATCTAAAGAGTGACGATGGTTCCAGTTAGAGCGATGAGACGCAGAGAGCACAGACGGTGACCACGATAAGTGGAGTTTGGTAGGGAGTGGGCACAGGGAATACGGCAGTAGGTGTGCCAAGGCAGTTGAACACAATAGCAAATAGAAGCGAAACAAAATAATGAATGGGAAGAAGGCTGATTGTAAATAGATGAAGCATGTAGGTGAAAACGCAAGGCAGAGAGTACCCGACAACAATGGACGATCAGAGCGCCGTGTGGAGCCTGGGCATTCATCTTCCATCGTTTTAGTGCAAGAGCTTCTGGTTCCCCCTAAGCATGGATGATGGGATGTCATGTCGCAGAACGCCGGCCGAGGGGTCTCAGCCTCGCAGCTGTTCCCGCGCAACAAACAGGACACAAAACAGTCTGGAACTTTGACGATCGTTGCCGCCAAGCCAAGCAAATTGGTGACGATGACGATAATAAAGAAGACGTTGAAAATGGAACCAAACAGAAAATAATAAAGAAGGTTCAAGTTTAACTCACGATTCATTCCCATCAGACTCGTAGGAGTGCTGACTCTGGCTTGTGCCCTCATCCTCGTCGCCCGCGACATGCCCAGAGCGCGTACCGTCGCTCTCTAAAGTTTCGCGACTGGATTGCGAATGTGCAAAGACACTTGAATCATCTTGGGACAGCCCTGCTAATTCTCGATCCTGTTTTCTTCGAAGTCGCTTAGAAGATATTGACTTTGGCAGCAGCTTATTCAAACCAGTGCTGTTGCTGTTATCCAGAGTTGTTGCCATGATGGCAGATTCGGTCGCAGTCGTACTGCCCTTGGACCCTATTTCCGCCTCTTGTGATAAGGATCGAATAGGATGTGAGAGATCAAGCTGTTGTTCAGGTGTTCGGGAGGCGTTGATGGGATCGTTGTGACGGGCAATATTGAGGAACGTAGGTGTTGATTGTGGAACTCGAGAAATGTATGACGATATCGAAGAGCCGTACTACTGAACAAGAAAATATGGAAATGCGATACTTGAAGTGTGGTCCAATCGATAGAGGTCGAAAATATATCGAGAGAACTTGGTTAAGGTCTTGTAGTAGAAGCCGGCGGCTAGAAGCTGGAAGCTGGAAGACGATCAATCCATGGACAAGACAGTTGACGTCGTTGGTTTGTTTTAACGTTAGCTCCAGGCAAGAGATAAAATAGTGGTTAATGGTGACGGGGGGGCCACGCCAAGTTGGGTCAAGTGCTTGATTTGGTCTCTGTAGAATTCCTCACTCAATTGGCCCGATCACAAATTCAACCGCATGCGTGGTTTTTCAATCTATCAGCAGGGAGGGGAGTATTTAACCGTGGCTTTCTTGAGGAAGGATGGTCTAATAAGTCACAGCCGTCAGCTCGCATCTGCAGGCTCGCAAATCCGTTATTCGCTTTCTGACTTTCTTAACCAGCCAACCACCTTGTACCTTGTACCAGGAGGAAGTTCTAATTGAGTTAACCGATCAACGTTACCCGCGTACACATGTTATTAACGAAACCCCTGGATTATATCCGCTCAGCGGACCAGGGAGGCACTGAGGGCGCCAATAGTGAGTGGCATGCTGGGCTGGTGGGGGGTTGGGTCAGACTGACCCTTGCTGAAGCTCTTACCAAACAATGGGGTTTAGTTTGAGGTTGGTCTAGAAGTGAACTCCATGGCGCAGCAATCAGAACCCCTTATACGGAGACGGAGGATGGAGCAGGAGGATACGAAAGAAGAGGAAGCTTCGGCTACGTACAGAATACTAGTCTAGGGACGGATACAGGATCTGTTGAGGAGCGAGATGAGATTGTGCAACCGAGAATACCTAAATTGCGCGTCCTTTCCATGTGAATATAGAAGTGGATTTATTAGACACCTCTTTTCATCCGTGCGGAGTACAAAGTCTAGCTGGTGATTCGGGATGGCCCGCTGACTTGGTCCAAACCCAGAAGCTAGGTACAGAGTACCTTGATCATCGTTGGCAATTAGGTATTTGCACTGCATTACCGGCCTGTCCCCGAGCCATGATCACAGTTAAACTCACACCAGCATCTAAAGTATCAACCTACCTTAATACCTAGAATAACCTCTAATTCGAAACTAATAGATTGATATCATCTCTATGTAGTTGCTGTATCAAAAAGAGGTTTTATCTTGTTTTATAAGTAAGGCTTCGTAGTTAATGATGAATACCTAACAGTGCGGGTACGGATATTAAGTCCATGCTTTAGGGTAATTATCAGTCTCATCATATGTACCCCAGATAACTATGGTTACAGTGCCAAGGTCTTTGACATCTAATTTCTATTATATGCATATCTTCAGAGTTAATAAAAATCTTGATACCAAGAAATGCACCTACATGCCTTGGAGACGAACATTCATGATTCATAGTTATTCTCCACTGTATCGTCACGCTGTTTATGTAGATCAAGGTTCTCAATCACTATCTTTTTTAACCCCACCAAATGCTCAAGTGATCACAGCTTCTTCCGAGCCTAGTTCATCATTCAGTGAGATGTATCTGTGAATAATTAATCCATTACCTCAGAAGTGAAGCATGGCTCGCACTTTTCACGTTACATCCAGCTATTAGGAGGAGGAAAAAGAGGGTTGACTTACAGATTCTCGGAATCTATCAGAAAAGTACTTCACTCCCACATATTTCTATGGCTATTTCAACTTAGGTAGGTACCGTTTACAAAGTCAAGGTACTAACCTACTCAAATTAACTGGTCTTGTGCTCCCCCCCACAATTGATCTCGTCACGTTACGTTACGATAGCGACACTTCAATATCTAACTCCTCAAGTACAACAGCAAACATATACTCGCTGAAGCAAACAATCCCTCGATCCGAGATTACCGCGTATGGAATAATGGACTCGTCGCCGCTTGTAAAAGCCCACGACCATGTGCGCGCCGCTGGTGTCGCTCACCACTCGTCCGATAGCACTGTCGCAATCACTGAGCATACTCAAGCCGCCGGCGAGTTCGCCAACGCTGCCAGGTCGACCTCGAGTGTCGAAGCCCTCCGAACCCTTAAACTCCTGGAGGAGCACCACCGGAAGATCGCAGAGATTTTGAAGCGCCCGGCGGAGCCCACCTCACAGGTCAACGAGTCTGACCTCAATGAAAAGGATTCGCCCGATAAGGCGAATACCTACTCTCAAGATGCACACGATAAGAGAGAGAACCGAGAAGACTCTGCGACATCCAAGAAGATAGCTCCTCCTACTCAACGGCGATACGCTCACCGCGAGATGTCATCATCCATTGCCAGCAACCTGGCTACTGCTCGTGGCATTCGGTCAAAGTATAGAGGACAGCCTCTTGCGCCGAGTGTTTCCAACGATCAAGCACCGGGAAACTTAGACGCAGTATCCCACCCGCGAGGGACAAAGACCCAAATGCAGAACATTATCGACCATCAGCCTGGTAAACCGACCTGGGTTCCTCCGGTTCCTGCGCCCACAAGGTCCGACAGCTATAGCAAGGGCTCATCTTCTCCACGATCCGATACAGTACCAGCCGCGGTAGCCAACGAGGATGGAGGGTATGCCCGCTTCTACAGCTCTTTTGGAAGTCTCATCAACAAGATCTCGGCACCTCTGGCTTTTGCTGGATTGCCGCTAATCCAAGAGGAATCTGCTGTTTCAGAAACCCCAGATTCTCCAGAAATGTCACCCCGACGAAGTCATCTCAAGGCGTCCCCTTCGAAAATATTGGAACCAGATCTTACCAAAATATACTCCAAGGCAACCATGCAGGCTCTGGTTCGCGATGGGCACGGTCCCAACGATTCTTTCTATGTAGTGCCCAGTACTGGCCATACCATGTCTTATGCAAACATCCTAAGCTTTGCTGAGAAGGAGAAGAGGAGACTTGGAGCCTCTTCACATAGTGATTTTCTAGATGTTCCAGACGAAGAAGATGATGACTTTGTGGATGCTCGGGAAGCACCATCACTCTCACCTGGAGCCAAACGTCGTATCGGCCGCGCGCGCACTGACAAGGAACTCAGCAACACCATCGAAGAACTATATACTGAAAACAAATCTCTTAAAGACATGATAGACAAGCTGACGAAGCGCCTTACCGCCTTTGAAACCAGCGCCCAGACTTCTGCCATGGCCCTCGCCGAGAGTTACCGTCTCATGCGCCCCGGATCTCCCTCTGCCTCACCATACCCCAACAAGGTCGCCGATGAAACGTTGCGACGCAAGAACCAAGAAATGGAAGAACAGCTCGCTGCAGTTACGAAACAAATGGAACGGCTGGAGAAGGATAATCGTAAAATGCAAAAGGTTTTGGATAAGTATCGTGAGAAGTGGGAAACGCTGAAGGCTGGAGCGAAAGCTCGAAGGGAGGCTCAAGGGGCGGGTGAGAGTGTAGATGATGCTTCAGCAGTTGGGTAGAAGTGATTATATACTGAGGATGTTATTCATGCGGTCATTCATTGTAAGTAGTTTGATAACGCTCGTTTCCGTATAGCTATAAATCTCTGTCAAACCCGATAGATGGATTCTTCCTCATCACATCCTAGGAGTTCCACCAGAAACTCACACTGAAGCTCACGCTTAGACTCCTCACATAATGCCACCAACCGATAGGAATAACCAATGTATCTCCAGGTTCAAGCACACACTCCCAGTATTCGACACTCTCAAGTTCTTCTCTCATCTTCTTCAAATCTTCATCGGTTATGTCCTCAGGCTTCTCGTCCCATCCCTCCAGCACGCCCACATCCAGTCCACTCGTATTACTCATATCGACGCCATGTTCCGGTGCCCTTCGGCGCATTGCATGTGTTGCGCGTGGGGGATATAAGCGGATATACTTTGTGCCAACGACCTGGCAGAGCAAGTTATGATAACCGTCTGTATGAAGAGGCGTGATTGTAAGCGCAGGACCGAACCAGGCGTTGAGCTGGGGCATGTCGACAGGCGGCTGGTTCAGAGAAGGGGTTGTTGGATGAGGTGGGACATCAACCCAGCAAAAATCTGGGATGCATATATCGTTACGAAGAGAAGGGATCTGTTGGAAAAGGTTGTGTTGGGCAAGATAGCCAGTTTCGCCCGTAGAAGAACAGTCTCCTTCAACATACCGATTGAGAAAGTCGCGGAACTGTATCAGCTCTTGTCCCCAACCTTCATCGACATAGCTTCGACCAATCTCCACCGGCACCAGACGTCGTCCTCCAAAGGTTTTGGAGAGGAGATATTCGGGATTCTTCCATGGACGATCTGTGAGGGCGGGCCACCCTCGGATCAGATCTAAAAAGACAATAGGTCGAGGCTCTTCGCTGTTACTGTTCATGTAGTCTTCGAATTGTGTGATTGTCCAGCCAGAATATCGTGGACACTTTCTTCCGGGTGAGAGCCCAGGCCGCCCATAGGGTTCAAGACTCGAAAAGCCACGCTCTGGTGAACCATCGTGTCTCCTGCGTTTAGCTGGTCTCTCGTGCTGCTCAGTTGAAGCCCATGATTCTTCAAGGTGCTGTAATGTCTCCTCGAGCCACTGCTGTCGTCCTCCACCACCAGCTGTTATGAGGGCTCTGTCGAGCTTCTCAACGACAATATCCAGTACATCCTCCGAGAGAACTTCACCGCTGGAAAGGGGTTGTAGGATGAGGCGGAAGGAGTCAAGTATACAAGCATCGGTGTATGTCTGACGCCATATGAGAGGAAGAAGATCGTAGCGGTAGGCGTAGAATTTGGACGAGGAAATGGAGATCAAATCTGCTATTCGCCTCTGAAGCAGGTCTTTGCTGAATGTGCGCGTATCATTGTTTGAGATCAAATGTTCGTGGAAGGCAATCAAAATTCGAGCTTGCCTAGCAAGAAGCTGTATCATGGCATTCACCGAAGGGTCGGCGCCCGGGTCAGGATTCCGCTTGTAGTTGGGAGATGTCCCATCAAAGATCTCATAGTCTTTAACGTCAATACTCGGAGTATTCAAGGACCCGCCAGGTTTCGTTCCCGATGATTCAACGAGCGCTCGGGTTATATCAAGATATCTGATGAGAACTTGCTCATATGCTGCTGACGCCATGTCTCGGGCGAATGATGGAATATCGAACAAAATGTGAGTAGGTAGATGCGAACGACTCGACAACAGGAAGAAATATTAGGCTCTTGATTCTCTGCCTTGTGTTTGTACCAATGTGGGGTCTTTGACTCATGATGGTGTTGAAGCACAGATTTCGAGATTTTGCTCTTAAACGTTCGACTCAATAACTGGCGGGTAGATCCAACACGACGAGGTTAAATCCGCCCACATCGCCATACGCACTTACTTTCAATCGCCATATAATGGGATAAAGATATACGCATTGTTCATATCGTGAGCCTTTCGTGACGTGCTCTCATAGACTGGAACCTTGAATCACCCGACTCAGTCTCATTATATAAACTATGTACGTGTATAGTAGATTTACAGTACAGCTTGTGAAGCGTTTCTCATGATTCGAATCGTCATGAGTGGATTTCATTATTTTACAGATTACACACGTATATCTTAGCTTGTCCATACGCCAACGACACCGTCTCTTCTGCCTTCAACAAGATATCCATCTCTTACACGTACACGCTCCACGATGGCTGGTGTCTTGCCTTCCTCGGCAGCGGTGATACCCGCGCCGCATTCCCATTGTCGTCCCTCAACCTTGTCGTATACCTTGACAACGTCCTCGCCTGCTGCGCTGACAATTCGTCGAGCGTCAAACATCATGTCTGTGATAGGGTTATCGTATGCATATGCGTCGTAAATAGATCCCGTTCTTAGATCCCAAATCTGTCGCTGTTAGCCAAGACTGTTCTTGAAGATTTCATCCATAATTGAGAACTTACTCTGATGCTTCTATCCACGCTTCCTGTCACCAGATGCACGTCGTCGAACTGGAGGCATGTTACTGCACCAGTGTGGCCTACCAGACTGCGATGGACCTGTCCGCTTCGCAGATCCCACAGACGCACCATGCCGTCCGCAGTACCACACGCAAGGGCTGTTTCAAAAACCTGCAAAGCACCAACAAAGTCGGCAGAGCTACTTTGAGATCGTCCAGTGGGTCGCCATGTGCTGTCTGTCGTTGTCATACTTGCTGCTGCTGCCCACATGACATCCAATGTTTGCACGCAACGGCCCTTCTCAAGATCCCAATGGCGAATAGTCTTGTCTGCAGAACCGGAAACCATGACATCGCCTCGGAAATGAAGGGCCGTAATCTCGTCAACATGCGATTCCAAGGTGTATAGAGCGCAATCAGCCATGCTGCCTGGTGGGGGTTCAAGGTGGTTGTCCGTTCCAAAAGCAATAGCATCCTCGTCGTCGTCTTTCCCAAGACCGCCGTGAGGGTCGTAGTGAGCCTTACTGAGATCCCAGAGTCGAATAGTCGCATCCATAGAACCCGTTGCCAGAATGTTATCCTCAACCTGCAACGCGCGTACCGACGCAGTGTGACCTTCCATATAACCCATACATCTACCAGCATTGAGATCCCATACTCGAACTGTGTCATCCAGTGCAGCAGTAACCATTGTGCCAAACGGAGCGTCAAAATCAATAGCCGTGATAGTATCTTTGTGTGCTCGGAGCTCGCGAATGGCGGTACCAGGCTCGAAATGCTCGTGAAGAATGGGCATGGATTTCTTACGATGAACCTTTTTCGTTTTCCGGGGGGTACTACTTGCTTCTGAGGCGGGAATCTTTTCGTATACAGACTGGGACATAAACTCGTGATCGTGATCATCAGCATCGCCAACTAGATCTTGCTCGTCTTGGGTCCGTGTGTTTCGTTCGATCTCCTCAGCCTCATCAACCAGCACCTGGGCCTCGTCAACTCGAATTTCCATCTCGGAAACTTGTCATGTTAGTGGAACTCTCTTTAGAAAATTGGCACGGCACATACTGTCATGCTCCAGCATAGCCTCATCCTGCTCCAGTCCAGCTAGCCTGTCCAGAATGATTCTTCGCATGCCATGAAGATTGGCAATTTTGTTATCGATTTCTCGAATTTCATAACTCGCCATACTCTTACGGGTGCCTAATAATCCAAACTCGTGCATCATGGCAGCCTTTTCTTTTTTCAACTGCGTCAGCTTTTTAGGGCTTCCTGGTGTCCCGTCCGAATCTTCCAGCATCTTGCGACCTCGGGAGACTCGTCGCTGGAACTTTTTGCCTTCATCGGTCAATTCAGGGAAACTGGCCTGGAAGCCTTGGAACAGCGAGTATGGGTTCTCATGCTCTGGAATATTGGCAAGAAGCTCATCGGGAAGGTATGTCAAGGCGCGATGCTGAATCTCGTGCGTCGAAAGTCTGGAGCGCATGAGATCGGTTGGGGTTGTCCTCGCCATCGCAAACATACTGCGCTGGACCGTCGGCCGCTTCATCTGCTTGTGGACCTCGGCCATGGCGGTTTGATAGTGGTGAGCCGTGGCTTCGGCATTGGGACCGATCAAATGAGTAGCTGTAGTTGTAACCTTTCGACTGAAAGCCTCGAGTCCGCGCGTCTACCCAAGAAGGATTGAGGTTAGCGATTTGCGGTCCATGTGAGACAATGGATCTCGAGTATCTACACACCGACACAATGGACTGGTCGTCATCTCCGCCTTCGTCGAAGCCATAGTGAGCCTCTTGGTTCGCCATGGCCTAGCTCCTGCCCGGAGGTGCAGAAGCGGAAGAGAAACGGAGGGCTTTTGAGCCAATGATTGGATTGACGTCGAAGAATGGCGCTGAGACTTCGAAGGGGAAAAGGATCAAAATATTTGGCAGCTCACGAGGAGTTTATCATGACGCGCGCCGGGATAACCTTGGTTATGGTGGTGGAGGGCAAAAAGACCCGACCAGGCTTGGGCCTGGGCTTGCGAGGAGGCTTCTGATCCGAGACGCTAATTGTGGACAGGAGCAGATCGAGGTGCCTCTGCAATTGGTTCCCGTCCTGCGACAGCTTTGCCGCAGCGTTGGAATTGCTGCGAATGATGACTGTAGGCTGCGAGGACAGTGGCGTACGGGTGAAGCTATGCCCTGTAAAGTGAAATGGATTTGATGTTCATAGGTTAATATCTAAGAGGTACCTTTAAGGTTGCGTGCGGCTTTATGCTGGTGACGCCTGGGCAAGATCTCCGGGCTGCCGTCCTGAGCTTCCATTCCTGTTGGGTTCCAGCAACTACCTAGTACCTACTAAAGCTTACCCCTCCACGAGCACTTAACTTATCCCCCTCCTCCCACTAGATCCACTGGCCTGTACGAATACTCTGTGTAGTATTTTTCTTGTCGCAAGAAGTGGGAGTGCAAGGGAAGTAAGTGCCGGCTCTAGTTCCGCTCACGCCCTGCACCAACCACTGACCACACAACATTTACTTCCAATTACAGGTGGGAGTCTTCAGTAATTAACGTTGCTGGTCTTTCTGTACCCGCTTTCTGCTAACCCTTTGAATACATTGGGTTTTAATACGACTCATTACGTTCATGATATATACTTACCACGACCAAGTACATGTGCAAGCTTGAATCTCATTGCCTTTGGACTTCCCTGCATCCTTCCTCAGTTCGTTTCGGATACCTACTCATAAGCTTAAAGCACCATCTCCTCAGTGTCCAATTCTTGTGACCAGAACCGAGATGGATACTGTTATCAACATGGCCGATGCCGCACACGCACTGGATCTTGCTCGAATCCGGTTCCAGCTTATGTACGAGCTGCCCCAGTTCTCTACAACATCTAGGACTCGGCTTTGAGGGTTGTCACTAACAATGGTAGCCGTCTCGAGGACACAATCACCTTCCATCTTATCGAGAGAGTGCAGTTTGCATTGAATGGTGTAAGTGGGATACGTGAACCTCTCATGCAAACCCCGGTCCTGCCGACCAAGATACCAGACGGCATACTACAGACAATTAATCACGGAACTATTCTAGACCATCTATGTTCCTGGAGCTGTCGAACTGCCTGAGGCCAACTTGAGCTTCCTCGACTGGTACTTTCGAGAGCAGGAGAAATTGCAGTCCCTCATCCGACGCTTCGAATCCCCCGACGAATACCCCTTCTTCCCCGATGCTCTGCAGAAGCCAATCCTCAAGCCTCTCAACTATCCCCGGATCCTGCATGAGAACGATGTCAATGTGAACGACAAGATCAAGGAGTTCTACACGGAAAAGTTCCTCCCCGCAGTGTGCCCCGATTTCGGCCGCGAGGAGCGGGGTGAGTCCGAAGAGAATTACGGCTCGACCGCAACTTGCGATATTGCTTGTCTACAAGCTCTTTCACGGCGTATTCATTTCGGAAAGTTCGTCGCCGAGTCCAAGTTCCGATCCGACGAGGAGACATACATCCGTCTTATCAAGGCAGAGGATCGGGAGGGCATCGCGGAATCTATCACCAATGCGGCTGTGGAGAAGAAGGTTCTCGAGCGACTACGACTAAAGGCTTTGACTTACGGTAAGGATCCATCTATCCCTGACGGCACCGATGGAGCGGCAAAGATCGATGTCGATGCTGTCGTTTCAATGTACAAAGATTTTGTTATCCCATTGACCAAGGAGGTGGAGGTGGAATACTTGATGCAGAGGCTAGAACCCGGCGCCTGATTTTCATCTATTGCGCAGCACTTAAATATTTATTAACGGCCTTGACCGCCCCTGGAAACTTGTTCGCTTCGATGAGGATCATGTGTCCATGCGCCTTGACGCCCAATTCTTGGAACGCTCGCTTGCTGTCTGCCGCCGACTCATCCTCTTTTGTGTAGTTGAAGTTTCCATGCGCAACCGCATGCTTGTGCAGCACCTCATCCTCCATGTGGAAATAGTACATGCCAGCCTCCTCCTTTGCCTTTTTGCGCTTCTGGTTCTCGACATCTAGCTTGGACTCGAGCTCCTGGTATGTCTTGGACAAGATCAGGTAATGAGAGAAATCGTAAGGCTCCTTATCCTCGACGGCCGCCTCCACCTCATCGATAAGCATCGAGTAAAGCGGTGGCGCCAGCTCGGAAGGCATGTTGATGAGACGTTCGGAGAACACGAGTCCCACATGCTTGCCAGTGTTGAGCACATCGGCAACGGGTGCCAAGGACGAGTTGGCCTGCGCCTTATCCACCAGGTACTTGATGATGTCCTTCATAGGCTCCTTGTCTTGATGGACAGCCGTGTTTAGCACAGTGAGCAGAGCGTAGGCATCGTTAGCCTTTCCGTCTACCTTGATAGTAGAGCCAATGGTGGGTTGTGAGAGAATGAGATCGGAGAGGGCAGACATGTTGAAGAGGTTTGCATCGACGTCGAATAGTTGTCGCAGGAGCGTCTTGGTTCCGTGAAAGTCGACCTCGGGGTCAAAGTTAAACCACTCAAAATCGACATTAACCATATCGAAATCCTAGTAATTATAGTCAGTAGGATGCGCACGCAAATTGGCAAACTTTACCCACCTCGTCGTCGGAGCTGTCCTCGACCATCTTGTCAACGTCGGCAGGTGGGACCTCCCTGCCCTCTTCGCGCGCTCGCTTCTTGCCCATTTTGTATGATTGTCGGGTTTGAGTCGAGATGCGAGGTAATACAGTAGCTAAGAGAGTTATTTGAAGTCACCGGCGCAAAGAAAGATTTAATAGCAGATTAAGTTGGCGAGAGAATCAAATCTCAAATTCCTTCACCAGTGATATCAAGCCAAAACATTTTGCGCCCCTCACTAACTCTATTCGGGCCCTGATAAGATAAGGTAAGAAGCTGGACGGAGTCACGGACCAATGTCGTGGGTCTAAGCTCTCCCCTCGGCCCAGACGGGAACGGGTCTGGAGGGCCTTTCAAGGAAGGAAGGAAGGAAGAAAGGGAAGGGGTCAGTGGTAGCCTGAGGGCGACCGCTTTAAGAGCAACCTGCGCTCTACAATACGACAGTGTAAGTCGATTTACTGGAAATAGTTTCATTTATTTTCCCTCTACGTACTACAAGAAGAACTACACATGCGAGCGTGTGGTTTTTATCGCTGTCTATTCAACGTAATGACCATTGTCCAACCTCTTGCTCTCTAATATTTGGTAGAGCTCAGTTCGATTGCCTCTATCTTACCTACTCCACCCCCAGTCGTGCTCCGCCGTCCGTCCCTGCCGACCACCGACCACCGCTTGGACAAGCGCGCGCAACTAAACGCAACGTCATTCCTCCAGCTTCCTTCTCCCATCAACAACCGTTCACACGACACAGTCGCCATATTCCACCCTTAATATCCCCGCCGCGATGGACTACAGCTCGACAATTCACGACGTCGAGGATCCCGCAGGCGATTCACCCTGGGGCAACTCCCCCGTGTCGTCTCCATCGCGAAACAACATTGCGGCCTTCAATCCCGCCTCACCTGATGCTCCTCCTCCCTTTCGCTACAACAACCAGCCCTCGAATGGCCTACCTCAGGACCAGTCTACACCCCAGCCAGAAGAATTTCAGCGCCCGGATACTGCGACTACGACATCTGGCACTGAAGATGACACTGAGGCCTCGGGGACACTGAACCCTACAGAGGCGCAGTCGCAGTCGACAGCCGTCGAACCGTCAGCCGGGGAGGATGGGAGAGCCCCAGCGCAGAGCCATCAACACGGTCAAACCGGTGCTCCAGCTTCGCAGCCTGGATACGAGCAACCTCCTCAAAAACCAGCTGGGCCTCAGTACCGACTTCAGGCCAAAATTACAGGGCTCGAACGCACCGGCAAGAAAGATCCCATTCTACGGTTCGATGTTCACGTACGATACCCTCATGTCCCTTTGACCCCCCCCACAATGGGCTAACAAGCCACAGACAAACATTCCCCGCTTTCGAACAACTCAATTTCGCGACGTTCGTCGCCTACATTCCGAGTTTGTCAAGCTTGCGGATCATTTGATATCTGCGAACCCCGAAGTCTTTGTTCCTGCGGTTCCTCCGCCTCTGACCTCCGCCGGTGCTGGTACAGATGAAGATGAGATCCGCGTTAAGGCGCTGATGCAGCGATGGCTGAACTACGTTTGCAGCAACGACATTTTGATGCGGGATGACGAGATGGTTCTCTTTGTGGAGAGCGATTTTGGTTACAGTCCTATGGTCAAGAAAAAGCAGCCCGCAACAGGTGTGCGCAGAAAGATCCTGAAGCAGTTTGCTCCTCCCCCTGATGATACCCCTGAGCTCGCGGATGCGCGACCAACTGTTAAGCTCTTTTACCTCGGTAGCATGGATGCTGGCCACAAGGTTGACAAGCTGGTCAAGGCCCGGAGAGGTAAGCTGCTTCCAGATCGTACAAATATAACATGTTAAATGTCTCTAGGTCTCGGTCTTAGTGAGGCCGATTATGGTGCTAAACTCACAAGTATGCATGTCCAGGAACCCCATCCCGGTTTGGCCAATGCCTATCGAAAGCTCGGAAAAGTCGTCCAAACCGTTGGCGATTACCATGCCGCCCAAGCAACAGCCGAGGCCACAACCATTGGCGACCCATTCCAGTATCATTCCCAAGACGCTTTCATCGTCAAGGAATCGCTCACCAACCGCCAGATCCTCATCCGTGAATTCTTGCAAGCACAGGAAGCTACCCGTAGCAAACTCAATGCAGCGGACCGCCTGAAGGCCAGCTCAAGTGTTCGCCGTGAAAAGGTGGATGAGGCCATCACAGCATTGGATGATGCTCGCCAACACGAAACTTACTTGTACAATAAGACCAACCGTGTTACCCAGAACCTGGTTCAAGAGCGTCGCAAATGGTTCTCGAGAACCTCGGCTGACCTCCGCCTGAGCATTAGGGAATACGTGCTCCGGGAAATCGAAGCTGAGAGGCGAACTCTAGCCGTGCTTGAGACGGTCCGTCCTGATATTCGATCAATTGATGCTTCAGGCGGTTTGAGCCGATTAGGCCGTGAGGCGCACCCAACTGTGCGTCGCACGAGTCTTGCAGCCAGCCAAGGTCCCAAGGGTGACTCTTGGAGCGGTGTTCCTCGCCGTTCAGACGCCACGGGCCGCAGCGTGTCGGGCAGCCTTATCAGTAAGGTGTCAGAGGAGGGTGAGAGTGAAGAGAGCAGCGAGACGGCACAAGCGACTGGTCGTACTGGCCTCAAAGGTGTTAACGAGGAGGATGACGAGGATCGCGTGGATGCGAGGAATGCCGCAAGTCGGCTGGCAGCTAGCACTTTCTAAGCTGCCTTGGCTAAGAAGTGTAGATGTGTGGATGGATGATGAACAAGAGGCTTGCATCAGATTCCCTCCTCTTTTATTGATAGCATTACTCTGAGCCTGATGTCATACGTAAAACTATTATGATCTATCTTTGCTCCTACGACCTTCTACTTCGAATGTATAGGGCCTCATAAACTATACCAAACCCCATGGCGTGCCCCGAAGAACCTTGCCCTATCATGTTGAGAATGCCACTGTCATGTTCGTGAGCCGCTATCACCTATCATTCATCATCCGATCTTCGGCGTGATAGGCGGTGTATATGGGTGGTAGCCTGCGAGAAAGATGGCATGGCTTCCAACTCCTGACTGTGGAGGTCGGGAGGATACGACGCAATGGTGATACTCCAGGTCAGAGTCGTGGCTGAGAACCTATCACAATGAGGTTTATCATCAAGTGATGGTCGAGTAATACTTTCGTTCTTGGCATGAATCTATGTGTCCTGTCGAGACATGATGTCAAAAGATAAAGAAATTTGAATTAATTGGACATGTACAACTGGAGTTGAACTTCGGTCTGGATAGCTCCAACCTTGATCCTGACCGAGGCCAAGCCGCAGAACAACCTTGCAACAGCCGTACAGTGAGAGCGGTTCAGGTCGCAACTGGAAGTAGTGCAATAGTCTTGCACCTCTGCATTTATGTTGGAGTCCACTGTGCACATATGCTGTGCGACTTCAAAAAGTTGGGAGGTATGGCGCAAGCCTTGACACCCCAGTGATATTTTTTCATCGATCTTGCAGGATCAAAGTTGCAAATTGCAAGTAATGAACCCAATCATTATTGGCGAGCGTGAAGCAAATTGCGTACGAGTGATTATTTGGCTACCTGGACTTATGTTAGTTCAAACCAATTACACGACGCCTTTAATCAAAACGGATTGTCTGGTCATGATATCCTATCGGATACTATTCAAAAGCACATGTCTAAGTGGTTGGCTGTATCAGTAATATCTGATTGGACATCGACGTGAATGATGATCTCGTTGAAGGGTTCCGAATGGACTTCAAGCAAGGGTAATCGAAGCCAGATTTGAGGTGCAAGGAAGAGCTGCAGCAACCAATGCTCTGCTCAATTATATTTTACACCATACTCCACAGAGTACTCATAGCATGATCTGTTTTGTGTTGCATTATTCGGCTGTTTTCGAAACCACGCTTCTCTCGAGTTAACTACCCCATTCAAAGATCTGTTCCCTCATGTCGCTGGATGAAGCATGAGTTGAATGTGTCGAGTATGTAGCATTTGCAACGCCAAGTAGCGGTCTGTTAGGAATAGGCTCATTTTACCACCTGGCTGTTTGTTATACGTAGCAGTATTTTTTTTTTACATGACTGCGGCATACATTACTTTGTAGTAGTAGCGAATGTAATGCTGACCGTTGAGGAGAATAATTTGCCGAGTCATGTCCTGGATCGTGGCTCTTATATCTATCACGGAAGTGACGGGATCGTCTTCCAACTTGGCAGCTCGATTTGAGATTCGAAACTATTCCCGTGCTGATTTAAGCATCAACTCGGGGTTTCTTTTCTTTGAGAAGAGCCTGAATGAGATTAGCCAGCCTATATCATTGGATGATATTTTAACCGCGATTGACAGTTATCTGGACTTGGGGGTACGGATAGAATTGAGGTGGTCCACCAAATTTTGTCTTTTCATATCCAGGGGTTGGGACGAAGTAGTGAAACCCAAGGTGCATGCAATCTCGTCATTTCTGCATCTTGGAAGTCACCAACTTTTGGGATGCTGTGGTAGCCAAAATAGCCTCATTAGGCCAATCACGGAAGCTGATCTCTGTGATCTTAGAGTTTGTCCGAGCAATGAACTATATGGTCTCGAAGTCAGCCGCAGCGTCGGCACTTGTGCCGTAGGCTTTGAATTAATTATCCAGCTGAAGTTTGCGGCAAGGGCTTAGACGAGCTGCATTCTAGAAGGCTTCCCAAAACCTGAACGCTGTATCCGCAAAGTGGTCCTTATCCGTAGATAGTCCTGATAGGCCGTCATGCAAGCTTTGGCCAAAGTTTGCCTTGGATGCAAGAAGATGGAGGTGCAGGCATAGTGTGCTGGCCTTGCAAACTTTCATGTCGCAAGGTTGTTGACATGCCGATGATTCAGGCATAATCGCTGCAATTGCTGTCAACATAGCAATCTTGTACAATGCATATTGTTCCCCGTAGAAGAGGAGGTACACTAGAGTCAGAAACAACATTGGAGATTATCAGAGCTCGTCCATCACGAGACAACAAACAGATCGCCGAAGGGAGAACAACCGAGAGGACAGCAGATGCAATCATACCCCATCCCCGCGAAATGGAGGGGCTGGACCATGGGGTCTGGGGTCTGAGCCTACCCTACTATGATGACCCTTGCAATTGTGAGGGTCAACGGGCAGTGGAGTTGACCTCCAATGAAGGCTAATCAAGGACCGAATTGAAAGACGTTATTCTCTCGCGTGGTTAAGGTTGGGTTCTTAGAAGTTGGAGCCTTGATAAGGAGCTGCAGCTAGAGATGGGATAAGTGGAGGCGATGAGCGGGCAGACGCATCTAGATAACAAGAGCATTAGTTAAGTCTTTTGCAAGAGAACGATTATTGATCATCGCCATATTATGTACGGTATCTGAGGATCGTGTCTTTTCTTGCAAAGATCCGTCAAAAGAAGATACTGTTTCTAGCGAGTGATGGATGTAGCAGAGCAAAAGAAGCGTTAGGGAAATATCCGCACTTGATCTGGATGGATGGTGTTAACTGAGATATGGTGCCTCACAGTTAAGTAGGTAGGATGGAGTGGATGTGCCCCGATTGGTGACAGATGCCTACCTCACAGTTGGCAAGGACGAGTGCAGGATGCATGCAGAAGATGCAGGACTGAGCAAGGTTCGTAGGTAGTAAGTAGGTAAGTAGTTACTGCCTTGCGTACCTTGGTAGATACATACAATATCAACGGAAAGAGCCGAGACCAATGAGCACCTTTATCATCACATTTGTGTCTTTTATAATTATTTGACATGTCTTCTTTTCTCTTTGTTCTCCTGAATCTATTGGAAGCTTCCCGTTGCGGAATCAGGCACATACCCGCTTCATCCCCCTTCCCCCCAGTTTGAGGCAAGTCTGTCTATTATCTACTTGGCTCAGCTGCATCTTGTGATATGCGGTTTGCGACTTGCGGCTGATAACAAATCGTTATTCATTAGTTTGGTACTCCGTACATGTGATATAATTATAACATTCACACACATCTTCATCGACATCTACTGCAGGATACCGCCATTTCCCGACTTAATTTGATCGTTAGCTTAACATGTGGTTCCCGAGGTCAAACAAACCACCAAGCAACCTAGTAAGACAGAGTTCAGCGTTCCCTCCTACCTGGACGCACAACTCGGCTATCACGTCTTCACAACCTCACTCACCGCGATCTCGGGCGGATTAGGGGCCACACCACGATCCTGCCTGTGCATGGCTACATGACTCACGGTCCACCTGGCCGTCTTCCGTCGCAGATACGTGCAGTACCATCGACGGCATATTTGTCGTCACAAACGATGATCTTGTTTCCTCGTTGCAGCGGGCGTCAGTTGCGGCCGGCAACGCCAAGATATCAATACTTTATTAGGCCGTGGCACTCAAACATAGAATGCAATGCTGCATTCTGGCAGCACCCCTCCACCGTCAGACACAGTATGTAACAAGCTTGTCTCCTGGCCTTGACAATATGCGCCAAACTACGGATAGCGTTAAACGTTTCTGAGTTACCAGGAAACCCCCGGGGAGTTGACGCCGCTATGAGACCCTTGATAGCGTGTCCTGCAAACAAGCATTAGGGCACTCAGTACTCCGTAACGCCCCATCTGTGCATGCGAAACGCCCGCCTCAAGCAAACCTATACGCGCAATATCCACCAATTCCGCTCTTGTGGTCCGGCCTCGGCCCAGGCACTGTTGCACATTTTGCTCGTTAGGGCAACAAGGGCCATACGTCTACCGATACGCCACTGCCATTGTCCTAGGCCCTGCAGCTAGTCTGCGACATGACAACGCCAAACGGAAGCTCTGTGTTTTCTGCCGATAGCTTGTTGATCCCTGACTGGGTCCCTTCTTCCCAATACAAACGCCTCTACGGAGTAGGCAGTAGTCCACCTTGGCATTGGGTAATTCTACGATGAGCGCACGCCCTTACTCCTTGCTGGCTTGCTCTTGATTTGGACTTCTCTGGTCATATACTCCGGAGCTTGCTGGTGAGGAGTGCTATCTACATAAGGAGTGGGAACCCATCCCTTTTGGTTTACTTCTCCAAGTTCTAAAGAGACATAAAGCCTTGAATTCGTTTACCTGCCCAAACTGGCTCAAGTTTGACAACAAAAAGCCCTGAATTCAACGTTTCATATCTTTCTATCTTTCACACACCACTCTGTTTAAGTACTTGGCACTTGTAGCACCTCCACGAACCATCCCTGGGTCCTTACCCCCACGCACTGGTCAATTCCCACGTTTTTACTCTCTCCACCAGCCAATCCGCTTAGCTGTGTTTGCCCCAAACGGCAACTGGTCAAGCCATAGACCAACCTCAAGTCTCCATATTCATCAATCCCACCTTTATCCCACGCTTCAAGCGGAATTCTTCGATAGACTATGGCTCCAGCTGCTACGGGAGAGATCGCGCCAATGCATCTACCCGTTGGTCCCTCGAAGCCATTAAACATCAGTGCCTCTGTCTTACATGGTCCACGCGATCTGCGGCTGGTAAGTCTATCATAATCACGATCTCGGCTACTGCTGATCTAGCCCCGACCTAAACATTTAGCTGACTTATTTGTGTGCTAGGAAACAAGAACCATCGAGGGTCCGGCAACGGGTGAGCTTCAAATCGCTGTGAAAGCAACTGGCATCTGCGGCTCAGACGTTTCCTACTATAAGAAGTTTGCCAACGGCGATCTTTGTGCTTGTCAACCACTATCATTGGGCCACGAATCTTCTGGTGAAGTTGTTGCCATCGGCTCTCAAGTGAATGGCTTCAAGTTAGGAGACCGGGTTGCACTGGAGGTGGGCGTTGCTTGTGGAAACTGTGTCACTTGCCGCAAGGGTCGGTACAACTTGTGTAAAAAGTTGCGTTTCCGAAGCAGTGCCAAAACCTACCCTCATTATCAAGGCACATTGCAGGAGAGAATTAACCATCCCGCGGTTTGGTGCCATAAGTAAGTTTCCCTTGATTGTTGTATAAGCATTGGTTTCTAATGGGAACAGGCTCCCGGACAACGTTTCTTATGACGCCGCTGCTCTTCTTGAGCCCTTGTCCGTGGCTATCCACGCGGTCAACCGTGCTAGACCGGAGCCTGGCTCAACTGCTCTTATTATCGGAGCCGGTACAGTTGGATTGTTGACCGCCGCAATGGCTCGCCAATCGGGCTGTACCTCAGTCACAATAACCGACATCGATGCTGGTCGTGTTAACTATGCTGTAAGCCGAGGATTCGCAACACATGGATTCGTCACTCCTTTGTCGCGTCTGAACTCATCAAACTACTCTTCTGGAATCTCCACTCCCGATACTGGTGCTATAACTCCGGCGAGTACCTTCTCAACAGCAAGCCGCTTCGACGGAGCCAAATCCCTGGCTGCAGATATCCTTGCATCATCCAACCCGGCAGGTGCATTCGTGCTTGAAGAGGACGAAGACGGTGTAGATGTTACTTTCGAATGCACCGGAAAGGAGGTCTGTATGCACACAGGCTTGTATGCTACCAAAGCTGGTGGTAAACTCATAATGGTGGGTATGGGGACTCCTGTTCAGACTCTTCCTCTGTCAGTGGCCCACCTCCGTGAGATCGATATCCTGGGCGTTTTCCGCTATTCCAACACCTACCCTACGGGAATCCGAATTTTGTGTTCTCAGGCCGCAAAGCCTTCAGGATGTGGCCTACCCTCGCTGGATGATATGGTAACCCACCGATTCAAGGGTCTTGACAAGGCGCAGAGTGCTTTTGAGTTGGCAACACGCACCAGCGATGATGAGGGCAATCTAGTATTGAAGATTGTGATTGAGGCATGATGTACTTCACGCCGATGAAATTCTTCGATACACCACGATAGTCACATAGATATTTAGGGAGTTATGGTTTCCCACGGGATGTTTCCCAAGGCGTGTTAATAGGAGCTGGGCTTTGATGAAGACCCTTGCCAGTTGGATTGCAAGATTGAACCAAAGTTGTCTTTGCTCGACAACAATCCTGACAGCTTTTACATTTATGATAATGGAAAGCAAACGAATCACGTTGAAAACTAGTTGTATATATGGAATACGATAAAATAGACATGCAAGGCTTCGGTGCTATCAGTTATAGCACCTCTCAATAGGCCATGGCAAAGATGTGTAAAGATGAATGCAGTTTAGTCGGAAGCATGGTATAAATGTCAATAGTATTTATCATGCATTCGTGTTGGTAATCTACCTGAAACACCTAACGCCGGGCTGAAATGCTTCAAGCAAAATCATCGTGATCGTAGCCCAGTCCTGAGTTCTCCAACGTCTATATCTAGTTCTTTTTACATCAGGAGATCTCCGGCTCCGCGGATGTTGTAAGCAGAGGGGGCAATCGGGATATCCTGACCAGGCCCCGGCATGGCACCACGACGATTTGAGGCCTTTGCGGTTTCAACGACATGAAATTTCCTGCCCACGTCGCGGGCCTGGCCGAGATTCTGCACGATACCATTAAGGAGTCTCACGAGGTTGACATCGTTGGCCTCATGGAGCATCTCACGATCGAAAGAGGCCCTGTCTGAAGGAATGACAAGGTCCAGGCGACTGACAAGGGCTTGAATCTTCCGAAGCACAGTCACAGATGGAATAGTATTATCGGCATCCATACTACTGGGGTCAAATGAGTTAGGATCAAGGTATGCGGGGGGTAGTCGCTCGAGATATGTTGTGAGAAGGTTAATTCGAGACTGGAGCATCTTGATAGCATTTGCCTTTGCGGTGAGGGCAGCAATCATTTCGTCCTCTTCAGGCGTCAGAGTGATTTCTTCCTCCTGGACGCTGTCCTTCGTGTTGTCTTCGTCTTGGCTCTCGACCAGCCGGCGCTTGCCCTTGCCGTTGGACTCAATTGACAGAGAGGGTTTGTCATCCTTGGGGGCAGCGGCAGTGGCATTTCCTCCTGAAGCCGCAACGTAGTTCATGCTGATCATCTCGGTTTCGTCGGTCTCGACAGAGTAAGGCAGCTCTCTGAACTTGAGCTTAAGCAGGGGCTCCCCATCGCCCATCTTCTTGTCCTCGCCATCGTTGTCGGCCTTGGGGTCGTCGACCTCGTAGTTGCTTTCGTAGATGGTGAGGGGAAGCTTGCCACCGACGGAGTGGTCAACGACCTGTTCGGGATGAAAGCCGAGTAGTAAAGCTGACTCGTTCCAACCTGTGAGAATCTGGTTGTGAATGGGCAGGATGGTTGGAGTAGGGCCTGAAGACGGGAGAAGGGTGTACCAGCCGACGAGGTCAAGTTGCCTATCTTTGTGGACAGTGGTCACTAGTATACGGTCAGTGAAAGAAGCGCAAAGCGCACACAAGGTAACTGACTCTGCTCCAACCGTGCACCAAACCGGTCTGCATCCAGTAGGTATCCGCCTTGGGCACTGGGCTCTTGGCGGGTATGGGCTTCAAAAGCATGCTCGATTGTGATCTCGCGGCCATTCTGCTGGCCCAACAAGACGCCGATGATAGGACCTGCCTGAGAACGGAGAGTGTGTCGGGTTATGTATTCGGATATGGTGAGGAGGACGAGAGGATGAAGGACGGCCTGAAGCTCGGAACTCTTCTGGGTAGAGAGAAGAGGATTGGTGGGGGCCAAGGCAGCCATGATGAGACGTGAGAGCTGAAACAGAGAGTAAAGAAGAGAGATGAAGGGACGAGTAGAGGTTGCGGATCTGGCGTGAGGTTCGAGTTCGAGTTCGAGTTCGAAACTGGTCGTGCTGAAATTGTGTGGTGTGGGCTAGCAAGGTGAGCTTTTAAGATTAGTTGTGCTAATGAAGCTCTCGTTAGCTTGGCCGAGGCGGCGTGAGTGATGATGGAATTGAGTTGGAGATGGTTCTAGGCATGGGGGAATAACGATGCCCCGCGTTTAGTTTAGCTTGCTGTTAGCTCAGTTGATTGGCGCTAGGCTCTAGCCCAAAGAGCATAAGGAGAAGTACAACAATTCGCCAACTCCCCCAGTTAGTTTTAAGATGATAGGTAAAAAGAAGTTAGGAACTTATCAGGATAATAAGGATAATAATTGATGGGAAATATCCCGGTAAAGATAATTATTCATATCATCCTTATGTATCTCCTCCTCCTACTTCTCCTCTTCCATTATCGTCATCATTGCCGTCGTTGAGAGAAAGCTCCCTATGGCTGGGCCAGGCAGTAATGAGGAGTTTTCACAGTCCTTTTGCCTATACTACTTGAGAGATTCATCCCTCTTATCTTTTCGAATAGTCTTCTGCTTTCAACCAAAACATGCGACGACTTCTACTTTTATAGCTGGTCTCTTCGGCGAGTCACGCCTCACTTTATGGCATTGAGCCTTTATCTGTCCCTCTTCGCGATATTTAAGTTCTTCCCAATATTAAAGTATTTCCTTCTAATTAAGATCCACGCAAATGTCAGATCGTGGGAGCAGGGTATTATAGATAGTAATGACTTGGGCGGACATGAGCTTACTAGAATTTATACCTGGCCATCTAGCACTACCTCACCCACTTTGAATATAAGTCGAATAGCTAGTTCAAACAAGGCTATCTACTAACTTTATTTTCTCGGCGACTACTATATTGGCTTCGTGAACAGGGTCGAAATTCAGCCGCCTTAGACGTAGAGCCGGTAGGATAGTCGAGAGCTTGAACTTTCTCTTCAACTCCATGCTCTTCGTAAGCGGAATTTGTCCAACCATGAGTCGACGATTTGAGGCCAGTTGAGCCCATTGCCGTATCGCTTTTTCCTCCAAAGTAAATCTTTCGTCAGTGCATCGCCATGTGATTAAGACTCTGGAGTAATCTAGGGTGCACCGGAACAAACATCCAAATCCATCGCTAGCATCCCATAATTCCAGAGTCTGCAGCGCAGGTAAGTGCTTTGCTGCTTCACCAATGAAGCACAAACACATTGTCACTGCTTCTTGATGCGATCTGTGAGAAAGGTACCTTGTCCTGAAGGCTAGGTTCTGAAGCTTGGAGTCCTCGCGCCTATCGCCTTGCATCAATTCAGCGAAAAACGAAAGCCGATCGGTAAACTTGTCATGTGGGAAGCAGAGCTGGGTAAAGTTATGACAAGCATTGGCCAAGAGCTTCGATAATGGAGCTCCTCCATTGTGGGAAGGATCGGAAACATATCGACCATAATCTCTGTGTATGTGGAAGACAAAATGCTGGAGACTGGCTGGGAACGCCGGCATCAAACCCCCACGGAAATCTAGTCTCAGTCGTTGGTTGTAACAATTCGGCTTGTGTTTAATACGATTTAGGTTGAACGTACCATTTATGGAAGTTTTCTCTTGTTCCTCCGTCCACCCTTTCCATCTCACAAAATAGAATGATTCCAAAGCTACGAAGCATTCGCGAAACAGCGTGGTGAGGGGTTTCGTCGCGATACTCTTTCGGGAATCCCAACGTAGAATCAAGTGCTTAACAACAGGGGTCTTTGGGAGATTGCGTATTGTTTTCGAGCAGAAATGTTGCTTCTTCACCAGTGATGGCTTCAACTCGAGCGGCGTGCCATGGAGCCGTTTCATCAGGCCCATAGTATCCAAAGAGCGTTGTGCAGCTCTGACTGACGTATATCGTACTCTGTTTCTCCTGCAAAACTTCAAGAACGTAGTCGACAGCTGTGGGTCGTCCTTAAACCGGAGTGGGTAGTCGTCGTAAAGCTGGATTAGGTTGCCGTGGAATTGCTGGTCACTGGGTGAGTGTGCACGAATCTCAAGTGTGAGCCCTCCACTATGGCCCTCCCAAGAAGATAGTGTCTTGAGGAGAACTGCCATAGCTTGCGTAAACGTCCTGTTGTTCCTGTCCCCAAGTCATCAGCGGTGTCTTAAGCTGGGAGAAAATGGTGTTTCTAACTGAGTAACGGTCGTTGCACTTTCTGGTTTGTCTGCTATACGCCGGGTATATGTTGCAAGTTTGATAGTAAGCAACACATTAGCTATATAATTCAACCTGATAACGTTCTTACCCAGAACGGTTCTGGAAAAAGTATACAAATCAGTCGCTTCCAGATCCATGCGTCGAAAGGTTTCTCTCTCGAAAAACTCTTGCCATTCTTTGGACACGGTGGTTAATAAAGATGCTCGAGGGAATCCGCGGTCGATGATGGTTTCTTTGAGTCGATATTGAGGGATGATACATCGTAGAACTAGGAGACGAATCTCTGGAGGCAATGATCTCCAAGAGGACGCCATGATGAGTGATGTAGTGTGCGCAGATGGAACTTCTATGCGATCATAAAATCTACCGCCATCTTGAGAGGCGAACACGGGACATTTTATGCGTACGGCTGTGTGATCTACGTGTTCACTTGTTCAGAGTTTAGTTGCCGTGTGCGACTTCTGCTGCCTTAATCATAATGATTTTTGACCTTGGAAGGGGCTATTTTTATTGTTGATATCATTGAGAGATTTGGAAAGCCTAGGTTTGATAAAGTTAAAGGTTAAATCGAAAAAAAGAAGAACACGGAACATTTACTCCAGGCTTCAAGCATCAGGCGTAGTAAGATAAAAGTACCTAGTTGCGAACTTCTCTTTTAAAGTTTACTTGCCGTGTTATCGCTTATCACCTATCACCTATCACTTGTTTCGAACATTGACGTGACCTCGCTTGGTGGGCGGATTCATGCCTGTCCAGTGTCTCCAGAACTAGGTATCCTTTACTTGCACTTGCGCTTGTGTCTGTGCTGAGTCTTGTTGCAGCTTGGATCATCAGGAGTCGAGATGTAATGCACTTGATACACGACGTCCTTTGTCCAAAACAGGCCCATGGTTGCAGGTCCTGGTCGGACATCCAACGTCGACAGCGGCACAAACCCTATACTTTGACTGTTTTGGTTTCCATTGTTTTGGTCTGTTTTGTTAACACCTACCACCCTCAATCAACTCAATTCAACAAACCTAAAATCTTGGATGATAACATTCATACTAAAAACCTTCTTTCATTATTAACCCAGAACGAAGCCTTTTAGAGCAATTGGAGCTTGTCGAACCATCTCCACCCTTCGGTCCCTTCTTAGGCCGTTCGAGGTAAGATATGCAAATGCAATAATATAATATAATATAATGTAATGTAATGCAAGTGGTGCAAGCAGGCATTTTGGCTTTAGTTTTTGGCTTTGCCTTTGGCTTTGACTTTCTCTCATACCTACGATGGGGTCGTTTTCTCCATTGTTTCTTTCCTTACATACCCGAGTCTCACCTCTTTCTCTTTCTCACTCTCTCCGTACTTTCCCCCCTTGTCTTGTCCTCAATTCCATCCTTGTAGTTTCCCCTCCTCTTCTTTATTCCCCCTCATTGGTTTTGCCTGTTCCATTCTCATAGACTTACTGCATCTATCCTCTTTAATTCCTGTTTCGTATTCTTTCTCATCCTTCAGCTTCCATTTTCTCTCCCCTTCGTCTTTGCCCCTCCTTCTTCTTCGGTTGGCTTTGACTGGCTGGACCACCCTGCATCTTTTTCCGGCAGACATCAAAGACTCATCTGATCTCAAATAGAACCCGATCTCTCTTATCTGCTTTCCAATCTCGAATATTCAACTTCCATCTCCAACTTTTGGCCTCTCTAAACTGCAACCTCATATTTGTCTCACTTGGACACCATCTCATCCTCACTCGATCTATTGCGCCTATCCCAGTTGACAAACTTGCATCATGATCGCCGCCTTTGGTCAAGGTTCGGACAAGATCGTCCACATATCGACGGCTTCGCACCATTTAAACATTACAACACCCAACGTTACTTTCTATCTGCAACAACCCACAGCACGCACTCCAATGGCCATGACCTCTCGCAGTGGGAAGCGTCCACATTGCGATAGCATTGATAGCGACTCGTCGGTACCAACCAAAAAGTACAAGCAAGCGACTTCTTTCACGTCCGACACCTCAACGACTTCCACAGCTAGTGTTCCTTCTATCGGGCTGGACTATTCTTCACTACAAACACCACTCTGCATCGACACTCTCTTGCCGGCTTTTAGGAACGTGCAATACGACCGTCCCGCCTATCGATCAATATCACCACAACCGCCATCACCCAGATCGCATTGATCGTTGCATTATGGAAGATGTCATATTGAAGATAGAAGATCATCGCCAGCATTCTGTTTTGTTGTTCAAAAATTGGATATCATCTTGCATTCCCCAGCAACGGAGCTGAGGACAGATTTGTTTTACTGCAGTCTAGATCGAGAATGATTCCCTTTCGTTTTGTTTTTTATACGTGGAAATACGAATATGTCGGATCTGGATCCGAGCATCTTGACTGCGCAATCACTCCAAATTGGAGAATTGGTCGGGCTATCTCACTGCCGGGGTTATGGTATCATAGAGCGGAGGATTCACAGAGGCACACAATACTCTGGTACATGTTTAGACGATCAGGGTATTGGTGATGGAAGGCTTGAGAGACACGAGTTTAATTTATTAATGGCCGATGTACATAGGTACTATATGGAAACCCAATACCCTCCCAGTTATCGTTACAGTCAACGCCGGACTTCCCTCATTATCGTTGTGAATCATTCCCGGTTGTATCTCCAGCTCAATCCATTTCCCACCACATTACATCCTCCTCTTGGTAGGGCACGCTGATCTCAAAGTTTCGCTCCATCGTAGTCATGGAATTCTCCATGACAAGCAGTTCCACACGTGCCATGGCTTTTCCGTTACCCGTTCGTTTGGCCGCCATGTATTGCGCCATGAGCTCGGCGTGCCGACATTCGTATTCCTGCCGGACGCGGCGCCTCCGGGCCGCCGGATCGCACGCGGCACACGTGTCGTTGAGGTGTTGGAATTTTATGTCGGGCGTGCATGGTCGAGATTTTGAGCGGGAGCGCATGCCACATGTTGTGACACAGTTTGTGAAGGCGTGGCCGCAGGCCATCGTTGTCTTGATGTTTGTGCACATAGCCGATTGGGATTGAGTTTAAGGAACGCTCAATAGTAGTTTCTCGTCTTATATAAATGCAGTTGCGTGGAAACTGGGCATCAATGGTGTCTGTAAAAGAGCTTAAAACATGTATATGATTATTTGTCGTCGTGACCTTGATTGTGGGCGAACCCACACATTAAAGGTTGAAATCTACAAGTCCAAAGATGATGAGATCAGAAAGACACCAATATCCAAGAATTGCTAGCCTTGTGCCTTCTTTTTGATACTTTTCAAAATCGTAGAGATGGGTCCCCTGTCCAAAGTGTACGTGGTGGATGTCGCATGATGATCACGGCACCGATAGGCTTCACCGCTATGCTACGCCTCACAAGAGGGATAAAAAAGTCGATCAAAAGATGATAACTTGAAGGTGGTGATGGTAGATATACGGTGAGACATTACACCAGCTAATCGGGTCACATCCGAGTCGTGATATCCATGAATTTGAACATGAGGCTATGCCTGTAATTATTATTATTCTACATCATGTAGTCTAAGGTTCGCCATTTTATATACATAATACAGAATGAGAGGAGTTTCAATAACACTTTCCTGAGCTGTCTAAATGCTGACAGGGGTTTCCCATTGCTTTTCCATCATGAACCCTCCGACTTCTGCTCCGTATGGGTGTTGCCAGCCTCTGGTGACGACTCAGTCTTGGGCTTGATGCTCCTCCATTCCACACACAGAGCGCACATGAGCTGGACCAGGGCTAGGGCCAGGCTGACGAAGAATATTCGTGTAATGGCATAGTTATAGGCACCTGTGACCCTGGGCATATACTCTGATGGCACCACCTTATGCATATCTGTAGCACCAGTGTCGACAACGGTCTGAGGGTCAAGGCCTGGGATACCAGACAGACGCTCCATCAAACGTCCATTGAGAATACTTTGCCCGACAGAAACGAAGATGGAACCACCGAGCTGCTGAGCAAAGAAGGTGATAGAGACACCGATAGGAACGTCCTCCTTGGGAAGTGTTGTTTGGACAGCGAGGCCAGAGGCCTGCATTCCAAGACCGAGGCCAAAACCAACCAGAAATTGGTAGGCAATCCAATGCGACGAGCCCGTGTCTGGCTTAAAAGTGGTCAAGAGTCCCTGGCCGATAGCCAGGACACATGGGCATATTATCATGGTAGGGACATAATAGCCAATGCGCTGGGTAGCAGCAGCAGAGAGAATACTAGCAACCACAAGACTCAGGACAAGAGGGATGGTGTAGATGCCAGAGTCCACTGGGCTGACACCCTTGGTAGTTTGGACTGAATATTTGTCAGTACAGATGTTAGGATATGAAAAAAGCGGGAGAAACCTACACCACAGGGGGATATAGTAAACGACAAGCATCATGCCACCGCCAGCAAAGAATGTATACCATGCGCATGCCAACATAGTCCGTTGAGTGATGACCTTGACAGGGATAGTCGCAGTCTTGGGCATTTTGACCTGGACTATGGCAAATGCAATGAGTGTGAGCCCAAAGATCACGAGGAGAAGTATAATTCGCCAACTCCCCCAAGAGTAGGTCGAGCCACCCCATTGAAGCGCGAGGATAAGACAGACCATGGATGGAACGAAGAAGAATGTACCGAGCGGGTCGAGGCGAGTGATATGCTCGAGAGCAGGAACAGATTCATGCTTCTTCTCCGAGACCTTAAGGAAGAAGAACAAGAAGACGGAGGCAGCAGCTCCGATAGGGAGGTTCATATAGAAGCACCATCTCCAAGTGGCATGCTGGGTGAAGACTCCGCCGAGGAGGGGACCAACAACCGATGATATGCCAAATACCATGCCAAACATCGCTGTGGAAACGTTAACCATTACTCTTGCAGTCAAGCTGGAGGGAAGGGACACAAACATTGAAAAATAGGTCGTTTATGTAGCGGAACCATAGGGATTATAGCCATCATTGAGCCAGTCATGATTCCAGCTGAACCTATACCAGCAATTGCCCGTCCTACTATGAAGGCGACAGAGTTGGGAGCAGCACCACAAATAGTAGAACCGATCTCGAAAAGCAAAATACAGGTAAGAAATGTCTTTCGCAAGTCGTAGAAGCGGTATATACGACCGAAGATGAGCTGAAAGGCAGCCGTGGTGAGCATATACGCAGAGCCATACCAACCAATGTCGCCGAGGCTCTGGAAGTCGTTTGTGATTTGGGGGATGGCAGTAGCAATGATGGTACGATCGAGGGCGATGAGAAACATGGAAGCAAGTACAGAGAGGATAATGAGCCAAAACTTGAGCGTCTTTGGCTTGTAGTTGTCCAAAGCCTCCTTATCAAGGGCTGGGTGTTGGGGGCCAGGAGATTCAACTCGGGAGCTATTTGAGGGTTCTTGTTGAGTTTCTGGATATGACTGAGATTTCTCGCCTTGTGAAGATTGCCCAAGATTCGAGTCAAAAGGAGTATGAGGCTCAGATGATGAGAGTGAGTTGAGTGATTTGCGATCGGGAAGATGCGAGTCTGTCTTGTCAGGGGGGGACGACATAGTTGAAGATGATGAGCGATGACCTGGTGGAAAGATGACGACAAGTTAGGAAGAGCGGTGATTATTAGTATCAACCAGAGGAGTATGTCAATATAGAGCAAAGTGAAGCCATTGTTGCACTGGAGATTGTCCCTGATATATATCTAACTAGACTCTACTACATAGTCCACTGCGAGGTAATCATCGGACAGATCGAGAACCGAGCTATACAGCAACTGAAACTAGCGGCAAGACCTAAGAGAGAGAATTTGCTCGTAGAAATTGCATTCTCGGACAGCATTTCACTGAGTAGGTAGAAAGCACAATCCCTCCCGAGAGAAGTGGTTTGATAGGCAGTGAACAAGGCCCCGAGCTGAAGCAATACGTGGTAGGTCGGATCCGGGCAGAACTAAGCTATACCCTTTGGGGACATGTAAGAACCGAGCCCTCAGGCACTTTCCCGGCGTCCCCCTCCTCGGGACCGACGGGCAGGAACCACCTAACTTACTATCTTCAACACTTGCACCTTCTATCTTCTATTGCCCGAGGAGTCTTTTTGTCTTGTTGTCTTTTCGCTGCAATTATATTCCTGCCCTTCCATTTTGTTTACCTGTTGACTTCCACATCCTTGGTTCACTCGTGCACTTGCAGTATATGCCTCTGTCCTTTGATAGCAAATCAACAGATCATCAGCACAGTGTCAAAAGAAAGGAATAAGCTAAATAGCTCGGCCAAGAGCAGTAAAGCTCCCGTCCCGCACCCTCGGGCCCGAGTCCATCCATCCATCAATCACAAACACAACCAGGCCAGACCAGGTCAGACCAGACACTTACATACAGTCTTGGTCTCACACTACGGATATTTACGCGAGGAGAGGGGAGAAACTGACGACGCATTTGCTCCTTTGCATGCAGACTTGTCACTGGCCACAAGCCGTTGGACTGTGGTCCCAGGTTTCTGACTCTTATCCCTACAGCACATCTCAAGGTTGAAAGGGACTTGCAGCTCAGCTCTCAGCTGCACCGAGCCCTCTCAAATTCTGAACAGACGCCTCTTTTGGGCCCTATCCTATCCCCGCCCTTCCATTCGGCGCCACTTCTTTGCAGCTGTGCCATAGCTGTAGGCTGTACGGATAGCTATAGGCACGGGCTCAAACTGTCAGTAATCAGCTACCGACTATCAGCACCCACTCCGGGCCCGATACCTCCTTCGCCCGGTGCCGTCATACTCCGGGATACGGAATACCCACTCAATCGGACCCAAAACAGCCGATCCTTTGTTACACGGCTCTTTAGTCGCCCGGCCGTTTGATATCGCTTGGCCATGCCCTATCCGAATGGCATACCCGGCGTCCCCGACCCAACCCCGCAGCAGCTTCAAGCACAACAATTCCAAGCACAACAACTTCAGGATCCTTCAGCCATCAAGTTAACTCGAGGCACCAGCTGCGTACTATGCCAGCAGCGAAAGGTCCGATGCGACAAGAACAAGCCATGTGCCAACTGTGTCAAAGCAAAGGTAGAATGCCGTGTTATCCCCCCTCAGCCACCTCGTCGGCGCAAGAAGCGGCTCCAGGAGAAGGACTTGATTGATCGCCTTAAGAAATATGAAACCCTTCTGGCTGAGCATGGAGTCAAAGTCGATGCCATCGGCCATGAGCTGAGACCTGATGGCCCCCCAGGCGAGGACGTCGATGAGCTTGAGAACGATTTCGAAGGTCTTAAGACAACCCCTGAAGCGAGCTCATCCCCTGCACCATCCAATGCAGAACAACGGTACGCATCATGCAGACCAGATTTAACCTTATCCTTCGAGTCACTGTTGCTTACCCTCTTACAGGACTGGTGGTGGGGCATGGTTTTCTTATCACAAAGAAGTATCTTACCAACTTCACCTTCATCAACCAGTATAGCAATCTAACGTCTTATGTAGTTTAGAGCAAGTGAACATATGCTCCAGGATTCATCTGACGAAGAACCTGAAGTGGGTTCCACCATTCATCGCGCATTTGATCGTATGTTTGCTACGGATGGCTTCCCCTTCATTATCGGGGCTACCCCTGGTCCTCTTGCCAACCTCCATCCCTCCACGATACACATCTTTCAGCTATGGCAAATATACATTGACAACATAAACCCGCTACTCAAAATTACGCATGTCCCTACCGTCCAAGGACAGATCATCGAGGCAAGCTCTGATATTGAAAATGCGCCAAAGAACATTGAGGCTCTTATGTTCGCCATGTATCTGATGGCAATCACGTCACTTGAGGATGCCGATGTCTACAGAAGGTTCCACGAGCCCAAAAAGGAGCTCTTGGCGAGATATCATGCTGGTACTCAACAAGCGCTCACACAAGCTGGGTTCATGCGAGTCAACGACCCTATTCTCCTACAGGCCTACATCCTGTACCTAGTAAGTTTACCCCGAGCCCAATGTTCGCGTTGTAGTCTGCTTACCTGTGCCAAGTTTGCTGTTCGGTGGTTCGTTGATCCTCGACAAGTATTCTGTCTCATCGGATTGGCTGTTCGTATTGCCCAACGAATGGGCCTTCACCGCGATCCAGCACAATTCGGTTTACCACCCTTCGAAGTCGAGCAGCGTCGCCGGCTGTGGTGGACACTTGTGGGATATGATCGGCGATTGGGAGAGATGGCAGGATCAACAGTTACTGCTCTTTCAACCGGCGGTGATTGTAAAATCCCAATGAACGTCAATGACTCAGACTTGCACATCGACGGTAAAGAGTTTCCCACACCACACTCTGGGCCGACCGAGATGTTATTCTCTCTGACAAGAGTTGAGCTCGCCATGGCTGTTTCAAGCGACAGTAACCGCGACAGTTACAAGATGAACAATCCAGACAAGAGTCCTGGCGGGACTCCTGCTTCAAGAAATCAAGCTACAATCCGTCTTGCTGGCCAGGATAGCCCTATCTACACCTTGGAGGGCTACTGTGCGCACATGGAGGGCACATATCTCAGCCAATGCGACCCCAAGATCCCCCTGCACTTTTTTACTCTCACAATGACTCGACAAGCCATGTGCAAGATGCGCATCATCAGTTTTCTTGTTCGCATGCATAGCAACGACGACAATCTTCCGCTCAAGGATGTTGAAAAGGATAGCCTTTTCCTACAAGCCACTCAAATGATCGAGTACGACAATATTGTCCAGTCCTCTGAGTCCCTACGTCCCTTCAAATGGTATTCCATGCATCACTTCCCTTTTCCCGCCTACATGTTTCTTGTCCAGGAGCTACGCCACCGTGTCGCTGGTCCAATGGTGGAGCGGGCATGGGACGCTATAGAGCGGAACCACGACCTACGTGGTCTTCTCAACAACTACCACAACCCTATGCACGTCGCATTTGGCGGCCACTTCATCAAAGCTTGGGATGCTCACGAAGCTGCCATGATTGCTGCTGGCAGGCAAGTCCGCAGACCGGCGTTTCTGGAACCATTGCGTGAGCGTGTAGCCGCTCGTCGCCGAGCAAAGCGTGAGAACCGTCCCGATCCCAACCTTTCCCGACCTCAAATTGGCGTCCCGCGGTCTCAGGTCACAACGCCCTCCTCCACAGGGTTTGCCCCTTCTGTTGGCCACACAACCCCCGGGACTGTGCATCACGGGCAGCGTGCAAACTCAGGCTCCGTTGCCTCTTCAAGTGACGAGCCTGGCGAGATGGACTGGACCTTCATGATGTCCGGTTACAACGACACCGCCAGCTTTACCCCAATGGGAGGTTTCGGAAGCTTCAGTGGCGGCTTTGGGGGAGGCATGCCCGGTATGCCACCTGGGATGGGAGGTACCGGGCGTGGGCCTCCGGGGGTGCCCCCAGGAGGTCCTATGTTCGGTGGAAACTAGAAAAACGAGCACAACTGCGATGTGATACGATGTATGAGCGTCCTTTTTGTTCCAGTTGTTTTGCTTTTTCCAGGGAGAATATGAAACCTTATCCTTGGATCTGTTTGTTTGTAAACCTGGGCAGGGTACATGAAGTTGTGTCTAGAGTCTTGACCAATTTTTAAAAATTCCGGAAGTCATAGCATAAGACCATACGCAGATGCGGAATGATGAGCATGTATATATCTGTGTTATGATTTATATATGATCGACCTCTACACAATAGAAATGTATAACTTCGGATTAATTGCACCTAGTCGGAAGTTCGGGATGTCTAGATACAATCTATAAATTTAGTAACCTGTACTTGAGACTTATCAAGAATATTTATTCATGTCCAACATGAGAAGAATCCCAGATGCGGTATTTACATCGAACATTTGAAGTCAATAGATAGGGGTGCAAAATGTCTAAGAGGCGGAGTATCGTAGATCGCTCAGAAAGATGCGCCAATATCGTTCATCCCCAGAGCACTGGGATATCATGTGCAGGTTGCCGAGTTGTCCTTCAAGGATGACCCGGCTTCGTACCCTAGTCTTTCTTCACAAAGGCTGGAAGTCGAGTCGGCATTTGGGGATAGCTCAGATAGCTAGCTAGGAATCTGCAGATCCTCCTCGTCGTGTCACGCAGCCGTTCTAGCAGCCTAGTTCGTTATCTAACCTAGCTAACATGAGCCGCAGCGGGCTGATCAGTCAATGGTATATGGCGGGTCACTGTTTGTCTTGTGTTGTGTTTCCATAACTTGAGAGCACAATGCGAGCCAGGCGAAGCAATATCAAGCCCCATGTCACCCCAATCGACAGGACTAAATTGTCCGACAACGGTTGGCTGGTGTTACACAACCCAAGCGATGGCACAAGCATCATGCATGCTGACAATTACTGAACCAGTTTTCGGTGGAAATTCGCCAGCATGGCCGAACTTTTGAGAATTGAACCATTTTGACGGAGCCCCCCACGTTCTTTTAGTGTCACAGTGGCTTCTGTGCCCAACAATCAACCCAGTCAAGTTGTGCGTGGATGCGCGTATTGTTGAGGGCTTCGAAAACGCTGTGCCCAAGCTCATATGCCTCCTCCTCTGTGAGTCCCATGATATCTGGGCGACCCAGCATGGCCGTCACCCATTCTTCGAGGATACTCTGAGTGAATATACCCATCTCTCGCATTTTGGCTTCTTGGTGCCATCGCCCGACAGGGGTGTATGAGTGTCGCTCATTGACATTGACAAAACCAACAGCTTCCAGTGTCTCGGCGATCTGAAAAGGAAACCGCAGATTCCAACCATACAGTGCAGTAAAAGGTCCCTCTACGAGTCGGTAGAATTTGTTCATGGGATGGTCATCCCCAGCAGTGTCGTCAACAGAAAACACAAACGGTACAATCTCGTGTATCTCAATCCAGGCGCCTGGTCTCAGTTTCCTAGAAGCGTTCGATGAGTTGATGTGACGACAAAGTTTGCGGCGGTCCAGCTTACTCAAAGGCTCTTTCTAACAGCTGCCTTGGTTTCCGCAAAGTTTGCAACAAGGCCCTAACATGAATTAAGTCTGCATTGGCGTAAATGCTTGTCCAAGGGCGGTTTTCGTCCTCTAGATCTTCTACCCGAAACTCAACATTTGGAGGAGTCCAATGCGGTTGGATGGGCGATAGGTCCGTTCCAATGACACGCGCGCTGGGGAAGTTTTCTGCGACTGAGATGGGTTCAGTGTCAGCTCGAGAGAGGTTTGTTCAAAAGCGAAGGACCAACCATCTTGTGCCCACATGCCAACACCGGTACCGAGATCAACAATCTTTTGTGGATTATCCCCGATTGGTGCCAGGAATAGCTTACCATCCATCAGGTAATCCAGATACAGCTTGTGCTTCAGACCTTCACGAACCTGCTCAGCATCATCATTCGGCAAGCCATAACGACCACGCAGAAAGCCTTGATACCGCCTGATAGGTCAACATGTCGGCAACAAGTCATAATAAAGAGCTGATAACTTACCTTCCGTGCTCGTACGAATAGAGTTCCCTCGTGTTGACCGATGTAAATTCAGAGGTAGCTAAAGAATCTCCGTAGTCTGATGTTGGGTCCTCTTCAGGGTCATTATGATCCATTGCTAGTGAGCGTCTGCTTCGACTTTGTTCTGGGTGACTGTGCTGGGGACGAAACAATTATGATGAGAGATGAATATTATTTGACGTGAATACATGAGCACGCCACGGACCTCGATACTCAAGTGAGTGGGAAACAGTAACCTAAGGGGAGGGCAATATGATGGACGGTGGTGGGTCAAGCCTATATGCCGGTGACCGAAACCTGGTCCCGAGGGAAGGGTACGTGTGCCGCAGGGGAACTTTGCCTGTATTTTGGATGCAGATAGCGCTATGATATATGACAGGGAGAGCCCAATGTAGCAAACATGCGAATGGCGGTTCAAAAAGATACTATGTGGTACCTCGCGCCTAGCTGGGTGTGATGATAGGGTGCAGTGTAGTTGAACAAGCCGTTGTTCAAGACCCGGCAAACTGGACTGTGTAGAGGAGGCTAGTAGCAATTACTCGCGTCTAACCAATACGAAGACAGCACACTCAACAGCCATTCCCAGCGGAACGGAAGGGAGGGAGGGAGGGAGGGTAGGCGGCGCAGGAAGACCCAGAAGTCTCCCAGAGGACCGGTAACTTGGTAACAATCAAGACGGTCGGTGCGGGATGGCCCCAAGCCGTCGGTACAGAGCGAAACTCTTTCCACACAATGATCGGCGGCCGTAATGCGACCCAATTGTGACGTGGTCAAGCCGAAGAGCTCGTAAGCTTAGAACAGCCAACGTGGAAACAAGGTAATGAACGATGCAGCAAGAATACGGTAGCTAACACGAAGAGGGTCGCAACGAAGAAATGGGATCTCAGTGGCAGCCTGAATCTGAGTCTGAGTCGTCAAGGATGAAACTTGTGGTCAGTTGTCCCACCACGGATGGGAGCTGTTCTTGTAGTTCAAAGCTTAGCGGCAATTTGGCCAATTCGATACAGTGGCCGGTCATGCCATTCTCTGGTCAACTTGTCTCCGTAATGCGTTGATTTACGCAGCTTAAGCAGAGCAAGCAAGCAACGAGCGAGGACTGTGTTAATAATTACCAATTTGGCCGCTACACAGCAGGTGGGCCAAATGAAAGGACCAGTCTCCATTTCTTTGGTGCCCTCACTTCGGAGCCGAGGACGGAGGACTAATAAATTGCCAGTACACTCCGTTCCGTGATAATCGGCTTAGTCGCTAACAATTAATTATTCCATGGAGCATCAAGACTGGCTAGAATACGGGCCGCAATACCATATTTGCCGTATTCCACCAAACCGTTGAGCTCCGATCTTAATCGCGGGGGCAAGCAACATGCCGTCTCCGATAAATCCATCAACTGGGGTTCGTTGGGCCCGTACGGAAGCTCAAGTGTATACCTTTGCCAGGGCTTGTTCTTCTCCCAGTGAAGCAAAGCCAGAGGTGCTTTTGGCGTAAGTTATCGTCCATGTAATATTGCTGTGCCTTGCCAAGCCTTAGGTCACCTCATCGAGCAAGGAAAATGAGTGCAAGTCTTCGGATAAGTGATCTGAGATATCCGGCCTCGTTTGATCAGTTCGCGATTTGTGGTTCATGATTTGCAAATGACCCCGTTTCGCCGTTCCGAACAGGCTTAATGGCCGTTTGGTTTCATTGAGGCAACTCGAAAGCTATTCTGATCAGAGTTGTAAGAAAATTCAAAAAGTTTCTCGTCGAGGAAGACAGAAGACAGAAGACAGAAGACAGAAGACAGAAGACAGAAGACAGAAGGTAGAAGAGGCTGAGGAAGCAGACGGATAAACAGGGGTGAGCAACATGGAACGGCACCTTCCTAAGCGTGCCATATGTAACGTTAGGTATCCATATGTTTAACCTTGACAGGTGCGTCCCAGTTAACCTGGAAGTTGATAAATCCACTATAGGTAGTACCTAGCATGATGGGAAGGTACCTATCCTAGGACGGGCGGTCTCTCTTCTCGTTACAGTTCTTGTCTCATAGGTACCTAGTCGATTGCATTTTGGTGTTAAATCGAGTACCGAGAAGGGAAGGAGGGGCAGACGCTCCTATGTATGAGCTGAGGTGCTTCCTCGTTGTTAGCCAATTTAATCTACTAGCGGGAAAGCGCGTCATTAAGTCAAGTCGCGTCGCCAAAAACACGTCCCCCAGATTTGGATTTGAATTTCAATTCAACGTCTGAGCAACGCACCCCGTCCATTACAACTGGACTCACGCATACCGATCGACACGATACAACATAACGATAACGTCGTATACTTTTACGCTTCGAGTGTTTTTCTTCATTTGTTACGTTAATTGTGTGTTGTGCTTTCAATTAGGCCTTTTATTGTACCATATATTTTCGATTTTTCGACCTTGCCCTCCCCTGGCTATCTATCTACCTACTTTACGCGGCTCCTCGATACTCGCGTTTCGACCACTCGTACCCCTCGACTATTCGACCTCGATCCAAGTTCCGTCGATTATACGCTCATGAAACCTGCAGCATACTGTCATAGCGATCGCACCGCTGTTAGATCTTCGCCGTCATGTATCTTCCACGAGCGTTGATCTCGAAATTATACACCCATCTCCAGCAGACACGACACCCACTTTCACCACCTGTACTTATACTTGTTGCTCTCGAACCCGACGCTCTTTGTGCTTGCAGAATCCTCACTCGACTACTCAAACATGATTACATTCCCCACAAGATCCAACCCGTTGCTGGGTATACCGATCTCGAGAAAGCAGGTCGGGAACTGGTCATGCCTATGATGGAGTCCCAGGGAGGCAGTGGTGGTGTTGTCGTATGCCTTGGCGTAGGAGGTATGGTCGATTTAGGACCACTCCTGGGGCTTGAGCCTGAGGGTGATGATGCCCCTTATAGTGGCGTCGAGGTTTGGGTCATGGATGCTCACCGGCCCTGGAATCTTGGTAACGTTTTCGGTGGCTTTCCCCTTGATCCTGCAACTGAGGTTTCCCCTTCGTATCAATCAAGGAGTCCTGCGGGAGTCGATGGGGGCAAGATCACCCGGGTATTCAATCCTGGTAAAGGCGGTATCATTGTCTTCGATGATGGTGACATCGATGAAGATATGGAGACCGAACGCAACGCGTACCTCGCCTTGATAGACATGCCTGATGTTGATGACGATGGTGACGATCTTGGAGACACCGACGACGAAGATGAAGACGAGAATGTTGAAAATACCACCCAGGAACCGGCGCACGCGGGTCAAAAAAGAAAAAGCTGGTCAGATGCAGAGGATGACAGCGATGATGATAGACCTCGGCAACGTCGGAGAAGTAACTCAGTATGTATTTTCAGCTACTTTGCGTTGTATGCAACTGACATTCGATGCAGTCCAGCTCTATTCCGGAATCACCACGACGCCCACAACAAAGAGGGCTCATCTCTTTACAACAACTTGATCTTGGGCTATCAAGCGATCCAGTCGAGCCCCCCTCTGGAGCACAACTGCCTACAGGTCCGTCTGCACGCGCACTACGAAGACGACTACTACGAATGCGAGAAAAGAATGAAGCCATTCTGCAGCAATATTACAAGATTGGATCCTCATTTTCTGAACCGTTGTCATCGATGATGTACTCACTTGCTTCCGAGCTGGGTAGGGAAGACAACGACCTGCTATGGCTAACGATAGTGGGGGTCACGTCAATGGAGCTGTATGGTCGTTCATCAGCAGGCATCTCTGCACCTATCCGGCAAAGCGATAAGAATCGCCCAACAGGTTGGTTAGGAATCAGGGGAACCAGAATACGACAGCTACTTCGTGACGAGGTTAGACGATTGAACCCACCAGAAATCACAAACGGGCGTGTCGCTGTGGAAAATACAGGTGTAATTCCTACTACAGCAAGGAATCCAGAAGACACGGGAATTCGCCTATCCCCTGAACCCAGATTTCTGCTCATTCGGCACTGGAGCCTCTACGACAGCATGCTGCACTCACCATATCTCTTTTCTCGTCTCAAGACGTGGAGTGAAACAGGAATCAAGAGACTACATAAGCTACTTGCAAAGATGGGAGTCAGCTTAGCTCAGTGCAAACAGAGCTATACTCATATGGACATGATGCTGAAGCGGGAGCTTAGAGCAAAACTACTGAAATACGGTTCGCTTTACAACCTTGATGAGATGGTACCATCAGTCGATACGGATGGCAAAGACCGTGGTGGTGCAAAAGATGGATGGGGTTTTGTTCGCAGTTGGGGATGGCGAGCAACATTGAGTGCCCAGGATGTGGGTGTCGTTATTGGTGCACTCCTGGAAGTGGGCAAGCATGCTCAGAACACAGACTCAGCTGTAGCTGCAAGTCAGTCTACTCGAGATGTTGAGGAAGAGGTCGATTTTGCAGCTCAGGGACAGGAATGGATCGAGAGGTTCTGGGAGGCATACGATGCGCTTGAAAAGTAAGTACCTGTCTATTCTCGGGTTCCTGTCACAGCCGCTGACTCTGATGATAGCATCGACGCATTGAAGGCCGGTCTTCCAACTGCTCAGTTTCTCCACCGAGCAATCTACCGGACAGGAACATCTCTCATCAACAAGAAGCAAATAAAACACCTTCGGGCGTTTCGCATGTGTGTTGTGAAGGAGGGCCCCGATGTGTCGCTTTTCACTCATCCCGCAGCTCTCACCAAGTTATCACTCTGGATAGGCGAAGCCCTTGCAGAACAAGAGAGGGAAGCTCACGGCAAGTTATCTCATGGCGGCCGTGGTACACCTCTTGTTGTTGCTGGCCTCAATGAGAAACGCGGTGTGTATATCGTGGTGGGCACTGGTGGAGGAGGAGGCCCAGACACGACTCTCCTCGATAGAGAAGCCGCCAAACAACAGAAAGCAGAAAGAGAAGCAAGGCTCAAGAAGAAAGACGAATCACGATTAGCGAAGCAAAAGGTCAGAGAGGATAAGCGTGCAGCCCGACGAGACGCGGGTGGCGACGAGGACGAACTGGAAACGGAATCAGAGGACTCGGATAGCTCGGGTTCTGACGCATCAGATGACGAAGATGTCGAGCGCGAAAAGGGCTATGGTCTGAACAAGTTTGGTATTGCATTTCAAGAGGTGGTGTCAGAAACGAACACGCGGGTGCGGATCGATAGCTTCGAGCATTGTGTGGTTGAGGTGAAGAAGGAAGATCTTGGTGGATTCCTCGAAAGCCTGAGTATGAAGGTTGTTGTGGGTTGAAGTTGGCAGGTAATGGCATGAGCGGTCTATAACTGTAATGATTGTATACACGGGTGTCGTTCGGGGTGTCGTTGGGGGAGATACAGGCGAGGGGGGTTATTCGCAGTCTTCAATTGGATATCTTCCAAGGTGGCGGACGGACAGGAGTAAGGAGGCATCATGATTTGGGACAGATAGCATGCATGGGTTGGAACTATGGTTAAGATACCTCAAACCAAGGCTTACTTAGCTTGGGAATATTTGTTAAGTACTAAATAGTTGAATTTTGATGTTTTGTTATGAGAATCGTGGCAGTGATTTGAACAGCCTAGAGGTATATATCCAGTTGATGCGTGAGGTGAGGCCTCTGACAAGTGAAAGTAATATTGGATACCAATCTGAGCTAAGTGGTGCTAGTTAAACCTGAGAAGCGTTTTAAATATGATAGGCAGCAACGGATGGATATACAATGGTCAACTGCAATGTCTGATATGATGCCATAACAGGTCCAGACCCTTCCCTGGATATCACGGAACCAAAGAAGGCATAGTTGGAGGCAACGTCGGGGGGTTTGTTAAACACAGGCAGGGGTCATGTCGCATGTCATTGAGAGCTTCTGCTTGGAAGCTAGTGAGCTAGCATTGATAAGGTGAGCAGGCCAGGCGTCGAGGTGGGCGCAGCACAAGAAAAAGCTTATTGACGATAGAGTGGTTAGGCTCCGACTTGGCACAGATGCTCTCTTTCGACGTGACACATGATCGCCAAAGATCAGGTTCACTTAGTAAGTACTAACGTTAGGTAACCTACTAAATTTAGGTACTTACAAAAAGTACTGATTGTTAAGACGGGGAGCGATAGTCTATTCAACGTCGAGTTCGCAGAGTTCAGAGATAAATCTTACAGCAGTTGAAAATATAAGGAAACAACAATATCCACCCAAATCAAACTATTATTCTGGAATAAAGACCTACCACATAAGAAATACAATTCCATGATTTGAGTGCCAGCACAGCCACAGATCTGCTCGCCACACTTGGAGAAATCGAAAAAGACACAGCCCCCCTCCAGATCGTTGCTGTGACTACAGTGATGCGACATTTGAAAGAGGCAGCTGATTTCGGTGCCTTGATCGGGCTACTCCGTAGTAATCCGTAGGGGCCGGGGAATTGTAGCATTGTGGTTTCGAGACAGGTCACTGAAGGTGTGTACAACTTTGATATGTTTCGATTTCACCACTGGGAGCATAGTATGGTTGGTACGTCTGTTGGGTTCTCATTCGTCATTGGGACTAGAAGAGAAAGAGAGAGAGCAAAAAGAAAGATTTCCGCCAGGTTGTGGAAGCAAAACATCGCTTACCAATTGGCTGGATGGATGGCATCACTGACCATTTGCAGGCTACAGCGGGGTTCCTAACCTGGAGTTTAGAACCCCGCCCCCACTATACGTAAACCGGACACTGCACTGAGACCCCTAAGGATCTACTGGAGAATGCGCTGGAAGGCTGGGCCATTGGCCACTCTAGCCACTCTAACGCCTGCGGAGCTGTTGCCATGTTGGAGCCTATGGATCCATGTGGGAAGCTAGTTCTTGAGGAAGGTGTCTCTCTCGCCCTCGTGCTCCTTCCCAGTCTGACAATGGGCTCCTCGCAGTCTCGCACATGTATCAAGGTTAGTAGGTAGCGGCCTCCACTTCCACGACGTAGTTGTTCCATCTCCTCTTGTCAACTACCTCACCTCTTTGACCTTGCTTTGCTCTGCTCTAAAGTACTTGTACTGTCTGTACTGCATAGCTGTTCTTTTTCTCTCTTCCTCCCCTTGCAACAACTTGAACCTCTGTTTTCTCACCAAATTTCGAATATCATCCCTACTTATAACTGTCGCACGACCTTGAGAGCTTGATAGCCTTCCCCTCATTAAGCGCCTCGCTTCCCTACGTTTCCGCGCTCGCGAGCCCGACGTAACCTACTTCACTCTCAATTATCAGTTATCGACAACATCTATATCGCCTATCCACCCCGATCCCTCCCCCTGATAAACGATCTTTCAAAAGACCGAGCTCATCCTTATTCCTGGCGACTCCGCTCTACGATCCCGCGTTTCTGTCGAGATAAGAGTTATCCCTAGACGTCCAAGTCTTTTTCGACCATCGCGCAATTCGCGCTCTCTTCTTTTTCCGCCGATAAGAACCCTAAACCTGAGACGCTATGGGTAAATCGTAAGTCAATCCCTAACTCGTTTCTGTCTTCTTTGAGGCATCGCTTTATATCATTCTTTTGCTCTCTGCCGCTTCCATCCCCTTGGGTGACGGTGCGTCACTTGCACCCAGAATCTCATCGGGCGCAAGCGCATTTGTCAACCTCGGGTCCCCGCGGAAGCTAGCAAACGACGTCATTATACCTTGGGACCAACCGCATCGTCATGCTCAGCGCTGTTACTAATCTTCACTGTGCTTTTCTAGACAGTCCAAACTCTCGCAAGATCAGCTCCTCGAGCTTCAAAAGTCGACCCATTTCGACAAGAAGGAGCTGCAGCAATGGTACAAGGGTAAGTCTTTATCAGCCATGTGGTCCCCTACTTGATCTACACTGCCTACGCATCACAAGTCAACACTACTTCGTCCTATGAGAATGGTTATCTAATATCAATGCTAGGTTTCCTCAAGGACTGCCCGTCAGGTACACTCACCAAGGAGGAATTCCAAAAGATCTACAGACAATTTTTCCCGTTCGGAGATCCGAGCTCGTTTGCCGACTATGTATTCAACGTTTTTGATAGCGATAAGTCGGGAACTATCGACTTTAAAGAATTCATTTGCGCCCTGAGTGTTACTAGCAGAGGCAAGATGGAAGACAAGCTGGACTGGGCTTTCCAGTTATACGACATCGACGGTGACGGAAAGATTAGTTACGACGAGATGCTTAAGATTGTCGAAGCTATCTACAAGATGGTGAGTCCTGATTCAATACTCTGGGGCAGATTCATACTCTCAGAGCATCCCCTCAGATGAGCGTGACAGAACAAACCCTTGCTAACCGTGTATAGGTCGGTTCCATGGTCAAACTACCCGAAGACGAAGATACCCCCGAGAAGCGAGTGAAGAAGATCTTCCGCATGATGGACAAGGACGAAAACGGCAGTCTAGACATGGAAGAGTTCAAGGAGGGTAGCAAACGGGACGAGACCATTGTCTCAGCGCTATCCCTCTACGACGGTTTGGTGTAGGAAGAGCAAGATCTCACCAGAGCCATGAACAGAACACGAGCGATATCAGAAGAGAAAGAGAAACAATACGAATGAAAATAAGGACCCATGGGTGCCACGTTTGGCCAGGAGTGTGAGGAGCTTTTGTCTTTTTGCTTTTCCTGCTTACCCTCAAACCAATGGCGCACACAGCACGACCTCTTGTTTTGCGAGGGGTTGTGGAGAGGTCTATGATTATGGAATAAACCGCTGTGCAACTGTTTGAACTAGGCGTTTTTATTCATTCTTATCGTGAAAATCTTTGATGGAATTCAAGCCTTCATGGGAGAGAGAGGGATGCTCAGATGAGAAGGTTAGTCCTGGAGACGTACGTATTTGTCTCCGCTTTGCTTTGTCTTGAATAGTGTGACCTGAGGCCCTCGCTCGTTTTGATTAGAGATATGGGCTAAGTTGGCTTCCTGAGAAATTTATTGCCTTACGACCATATATATTTCTTCTCGTGATTACGTGCTTAAATGATGTATTCAATCCTGAAGTATAGGTAGGTATGTAGGTACTAGGTAGGTAGTGATGGAAACGTGAGATCCACTTACTTAGAGCTCCTACACTCGGTTGAGTTAGTGTTATATGGATACCTTCTCTCCATATATCAAAGAAACGTTTTCAACGACATAACTTTTGAACACCATAAAAATACGGAGTACTCAAACCATATCCCCTCCCTATTTTGTTGCCTTTGAACTCTCTATTTTCTCACTTATTTTCTCACTATGGAATCTTTTGGCGATATCCTGTCAAATCTCGAGCCAGAAGTGGAAGACGCTGAAGAAGGTAGACCAAGCTTACAGAATCCCTCACGCCCAAACACATCTCACTAATACGGATAGAAACGTTCATGCTCTACTCCCAGTCTATCCCTTCTATGAGTCTCGGCTTCGTTGATGCTCATGCCTCTTCGGTTGACGTCTCGGTTGGTGACCGGGACTACACTATTTACCAGTCTCCCACTGTCCTTTCCTCTTCACGATCGGGCGGCACAACTGGCGCCAGTGAGCTTCCTTTCTCTTCCACGTTCTATACCAAGAACACACTGACATAAGATATATAGTCATATGGAAGATAGCTCCTAGCTTCGCCACGTGGCTCGCCTCTCCCTCTAACCCAATCCTCACCACTTCTATCCTTACAAGGGCCTCTGTCCTCGAGCTTGGCTGTGGTATCTCCCCCCTGAGTGCCCTAGCCCTCGGTCCACGCGTAGCTCGATACGTGCTGACCGATCAGTCTTACGTCCAGCGCCTCGTCCAGCGTAATCTCGACGAGAACGTTCCTCTGGCGTTTCGTTCGGGGACGTCTGCGTCAGTAACAGGTGGCCGAGGCAGGAAAAAGAAAAATGCTCATACTCATGCTCATGGTCAAGGTCAAGGCACAAATCAATCAAACATCCGCTTTACAACGCTAGATTGGGAGACGGACGAGGTAACGCCTTCTCTCACTGGCTCTGGCGAGGCTCGTAGCTTCGATGCTGTCGTTGCTTGTGACTGTGTGTACAACTACGCTCTCGTGGAGCCCTTTGTTCAGGCATGTGCGGACGCATGTCGTCTACGACTCTCGGATACTGATCTTGCAGATGATGATGAGAGACGGCCGTGTATCTGTGTCATTGGGCAACAACTTCGCAGTGACGAAGTCTTTGAGTCGTGGCTCAAAGCATTCACAGCCTTGTTCTGCGTCTGGAGAGTTTCTGATAATGCATTACCTGAAGAACTACGGCCTTCAGCAGGCTTTGTCGTGCATGTTGGTATCCTTCGAGATGAGCTGATAAGAAATGAATGACTTGGCTAGTACGTTCACTCAGGTCTGCTGTCTCAAAGGGTTCACAGTGTTGAGTTTCGCTATACGGTGTTATATATCACACAAATGCGTGCTCGTTATCATTTCAATACTATCAACTATAGTTGTGTTGATTTATGACCTTCTGGAGAGTACCCATACGATACCAACTCCAAATTTTGGTGTTTTCCTTCCACCAATATGGCTCAAGTCCAGCAATCCTTTTTGTTAACCGACCCAAGCAAAGATTCAAACAACAGAAACCAAATGCTAATCATCATAAGCCCATATACCATATTCACTTCGCCATAAAATTCATTCCAACATCTGTTTGATCAGTTCCTTAGATTACCACTCGAGGGGTTCTTTCTTCTCCTCGCCACGATTTGTCTTAGGAACAGGCACAGCCTTGGCAGCCAGTCTGCCACTCTTCCCAGGGCGCTTCAGGTAGCCAGTGCCATCGAGCCAGGGAGTGTTTTCTGTCATGCGTCGCTCGAACTCGGCGATCTTGTCATCCTGCTGCATGGTCAGGCCAATGTCGTCAAGACCGTTGACCAAGCAGTGCTTGCGGAACTCCTCAACATCAAACGAGCAAATAGTCTCGCCAGCCTCGTTCTTGATCAGCTGGTTGGGCAGGTCAACCTCAATCTCGCGGTTGGCGCGAGCCTCGGCGGCAATAGCATCGAGGTCGTTCTTGTCATCGATCCTAATAGGAAGCATGCCATTCTTAAAAGTGTTGTTGAAGAAGATATCAGCAAAAGAGGGGGCAATGATACACTTGATGCCGAAGTCAAGGAGGGCCCAGGGGGCGTGTTCTCGAGAACTACCGCATCCAAAGTTGGGCCCAGTAACGACCAGAGTCTTGGTGTTTCGGAAAGGCTCTTGGTTCAAAACAAAGTCTGGGTTGTCGGATCCGTCTTCCTTGTATCGGAGTTCGTAGAACAGAGCATTGCCAAGACCCGTTCGCTTGATGGTCTTGAGGAACTGCTTGGGGATAATGGCATCGGTGTCGACGTTGGAACGGTCCAGGGCAGCGGCGGTACCCTTCCAGACAGTAAACTTTGGCAGACCGGAACCAGAACCGCCAACACTAGCCAGTGTGTTGGTGTGGGGTTGAGAATCCTGGGGCTGATCACCGATCAATTCTCTCTCCTCGGAGTCTTCTTTGACTCGTTCGTCCACATGAGGCTCCTCGGCGGGAAGTTCACGGGCCTTGAAAGCAGACTGATGGGTGTAGTGCGATAGCTTACGCACATCGGCAAGCTTGCCAACGAGAGCAGCAGCAGCAGCCATAACAGGGGACATCAGATGGGTTCGGCTAAGAGCACCCTGTCGGCCCTCGAAGTTTCGGTTAGATGTACTGGCACATCGCTCCTTGGGGGCCAGAATATCAGGGTTCATGCCCAGGCACATACTACAACCGGCCTCTCGCCACTCAAAACCGGCGTCGACAAAGATCTGGTCAAGTCCCTCCTCCTCAGCCTGAGCCTTGACGAGACCAGAGCCGGGGACGACCATGGCGCGCTTGATGTTGTCAGCAATCTTTCGTCCCTTGACGACATTGGCGGCGGCTCGCAGATCCTCAATCCGAGCATTGGTGCACGATCCAATGAACACCTTGTCGACAGGAATGTCCTCCATGGGCGTTCCAGCAGTCAGACCCATATACTCAAGCATTCGACGGCCGGCAGCCTTCTTGCTCTCGGTGCTGAAGGTTTCAGGATCTGGAACACATCCAGTAATAGGAACGACATCCTCGGGGCTAGTTCCCCAAGTAAGAGTAGGAATGATATCCTTGCCGTCGATGAAGACATCGATATCGTACTTGGCTCCGGGGTCAGACTGGAGGGACTTCCAATAGGCAACAGCCTTATCCCAAGTCTCAGAACCATACTTGGGGGCCAGGGGGCGGCCCTTGAGATATTCAAAGGTGATGTCATCAGGAGCAACCATGCCAGCACGGGCACCGCCCTCGATGGACATGTTGCAGATGGACATACGAGCCTCCATGCTCAGGTTACGGATGACAGATCCACAGAACTCAATGACTGCGCCGGTACCTCCAGCAGTACCGATCTTGCCGATGGCGTGAAGGACGACGTCCTTGGAGCTGACACCAGGGGCCAGCTCACCGTCGACCTGTATTCTCATGTTCTTGCTGCGCTTGGTGATAAGGCATTGAGTAGCAAGGACATGCTCGACCTCACTGGTACCGATACCGAAGGCCAGGGCACCGAAGGCGCCATGTGTCGAAGTGTGGCTGTCACCGCACACGACGGTGGTTCCGGGGAGAGTGAATCCTTGTTCGGGGCCGATGATATGGACAATTCCTTGTCGCTTGTCTCCGAGGCCGAAATATGTGACACCAAACTTCTTAACATTCTCCTCGAGAGTGACACACTGTGTTCGTGAATCATCTTCCTCGATAAACGAAGCAATGTCCTTCAGGGCTTTGCGGGAAGTGGTGGGGACGTTCTGCAGGGACCAGGGTTAACCAAATTCGTTGAAAGCAGCAATTTATAGATTGGCAAAGAGATCCAGATAAAATAGTAAAACATACATGATCAGTGGTGGCCAGAGTACAATCCGGTCTTCGTACTTTACGGCCTGCATTCTCAAGACCCTCGAAAGCTTGCTGTTGGCGATTTCGTCAGTGGATGCCCGGAAACAAGGTCGATCTTTTGGCGGGGAGTTAAAACTTACTGGTGATGTCACTTCGTGGACCAGGTGTCGGTCTTTGGGCCAAGCTTTGTCAGTTCGATCCTCACAAGCATGATTGAACGCACAAACCACATACCAATATAGAGGAGAATTGTGCCATCGAGCTTCTCGTCGACAATGTGTGCGGAGAAGACCTTGTCGTAGAGTGTTTGAGGAGTACCCACGGGAGCAGGCATTTTGACAGCTGAATCGCACTCGGCGAAGAATCCGCTTATAAGTATTTGGGCTTGAGTATATGAGGAGATGGGCGGATGACAGATAAACCAAGAACTTGTGGTGGAAAGGGAGGGTGAGAGAGGTTAAGAAGTAGAAGAAGGAACCCTGAAAGTTTCTACTTCGCAAAAGGTAAAAAGATGGGGTTAAGCTAAAATGTTATAGCAGCTGAAGGGGAAGAAAACAGGAATTGGTCTGGATATGAAAAGAAGGCGCACTCCCTTTGGATTTATTAACAAATTTCATCAGTGCCCCCCTCCTGCCCAATTCCACGAGCTTCATAGAATTGGCAGGAAGGCGCCGATGATCGGAGGGGTCCGTTTCGCGGCATCAGCAATTGGAGCTCAGCAAGAGGCCAGAGCCCCAGGACGGGCGCCAGCGCGGGGTAGATCCACATCTCGTACCTACACTGATTGCTAAATAACAGCTTCTCATTGGCCGTTGCCTCACTGTTCCAGTTCTGCCAACCGATCGCCGCTTTTCCAACCTCCGATGCCAAAATTCCAGGGCCTCCGATTTGCATCTAGTCTTGCCTGTTCCCTAGCCTCCACGGATCTATCCTGGTCTAATTACGACATAATTTGACTTGCATAGCTCAATGCCGAATTTTGCACGTCTACTGTTCAACGTTACGTTGGCTAATAGTATGAATCGTAACTGTAAGTCTGGGACTAATTTCGAGAGACATTGAACCAGGCCTGAACTATCAACATCATCAGCGCCCCGGGGGGGATGTGCATGCATGTACTATCGTCTATTGATTCTGTGCCATAAAACATATTATCTATTTTTATATCCACCGTCCTCCGCATCCGCCATCGGCTTACGGCTTACGGCTTGCCCCGGGATATCAAACCATTCCCCTTCTGCCCCGCCATCCATACAGTGGACATTGTCTGCACTCGCCGGCACCGGCCCTTTCCCGTGTATCCGCCCCGGCCGTTGTCTAATCGTACACTCCGGTCAAGCTCCGTCTGAACATCAATAATGCCTTATCAACCAAACAATCCCATTCCTCATCAATGCAGTCCATTGACATGACTGCTAACTCCATGCTCCATACCAAAATCATCGAAAAGACGATGAACAGAGGTAATGAGAGACACACGGCCCCAAGATTGGTCTGTTCGTTGTCTTCTTGGTCGGCATGTCTCCAACTCCAATGCGAGGAAGACCTGATGCTGAAGACAGGTTTCACCGTGTCCCAATACCATCTCAAGAAATGCATGCTGTACCCTGTGATTGTACATAGAAACTCCTTGATCGCGTCCCACAGTCCTCCTGTTTTACCCTGTCGAATCGTGTTATTGGAAAGATCTGCGATGCCGTCTTCGGCGTTCCGACGTGTTGGAAGACTGCCTGGCACGTGCGTCCCCGGATGGGTTGTTTGGTTTTGGGGCTCGATAGGATGTATATGAGATAGAAGTTGAACGTTGCTCAAATGAGCCTTGTCCTTCTGTGGGATTTCTTTCTTTTTCTCCTCCATCTTGGCCCTGTCGACTTCCCTTGTGGATATGGATATTGACAAACTGCTGCATCGGTGCTGTGCTACTGGCACCTCTGTGTATAGTCCTACACCGCTGTATACTTCCATCTGTGGTCGTTCTTTCACTAGCACCTGGCAACTTTCCAACATAGTATCGGTCGCTTGAATCTCGTTCAAGGACATCAATTTCGGCAATGTACTCGGTCCACGATTCTTCTGGGAGGCTTCCGAGCTGTTTGGAGTTGTGCCAAAGTTTCTTAGGTTGTGGATCACCCGGTTGAGTCTGCGCCTGCGCTGAATATCCCCTTGACTTTCCTAGAGTCTTTTCGAAGGGGATGATGATGTTGTCTGAGCGAAGCCAGTAGTGATGGTGGTGTTTGTGGATGCACATGCCACCTTGACTTCGTCCCTGCTCGTGTTGTCTGGTTTCGCGTTCTGTAGCCAATTCTGGTTGTTGCCGCGAGCTTGGATCTCTAGCGCTGGCCGGCGTAGCTGATCGTTTCCCAGGAATTTCTCTTCCACTGTCTCTTTGTTGGCTTGAGTCTCTTGGGTTGTTTTGGACGGGTTTTGCAATCCCAGTTTGATTGTCGTTTCGCCCATGGGAGACGGGAGAGCGGTGAGGGTATATCGAGTCGCTGACCGCCCTGTCTCTTTCTGATGCACTAAGTCGACTTTGACCCCAGCTCGGCGCCGCTGTAGAAGTAGAACTGTTGGTGACGGGTCTGAGCTGTTCAGTGCCTGTTCCTCCAAGGGCGTATGTATCTCTAAGCTTCCCATCAGATGCGGGCTCTATACGCGTCTTGTCGGGACTTGGTGGTATTTCCAGTCTGGGGTATGCTGGTACTCGTTTCCGAGGAAACTTGCCACGGTTGGTTCCGATATGGTCGGGGGGGTAATGGATCTCCCGCGGCTGGTCACCGAACCGTGCATGCAATTTTCTTGGGATATCTTGTGGCAACTTGCTGTCGCAAGGTCGCTCTTTCCTGTTGTTTGGCTGGCACTGGGGTTTACTGTTGAGGGGCCTGTGATCATCAGAGGATCTAGCAAAGACCGGTTGTTGGTTGAGATCCGAGTTACTGTTGTTCCTCCTGGCTCTGTTTCCTCCATCAGGTTCTTGTCTAAAAAAGGTTCATGACTTGGTTTTTGATCCGTCCTGTCTCTCGAGGCTGCGCTGCTGGCCTGGATTTCTTGGACTGCTTGCGGATCTTTTGTCACCAGCAGGGCGGTTTGTGCCTGCGCATCACCTGCTAGGGGGTCAGGAGTAGGATCTGCCAGCAAGTCTCTGCCTAGCCTAAACTCATCCGGGCTGGGGAAGTTTATGTCATTCTCAAAGAGCTCCAATGCTGCGGGGGATAGATTCGCGAAGCTACGCCGGTGAGGAGTCCTGATAACTGTGTCAGATGAATTGGAGGTTTCGCTTGAGTGTGCGCCAGGCGAAGAGACTGCATAAAACGAAGGATGCTCCGATTTCGAATGGCCAAGTGGAGGGCTCAAGTCTATGAGTTTCTCCTGCTCCTCCATGTCGTGGTTGCGACGAGACTATCGCCCTAGGAGACAAGATTAGTGGACATTGCTGAGGGAAAAGAAGGCATGTACTGACTTGATAATGCCGAGGTGCTTCTGTGCGATTGGGCAATGGGGCTTAAATCAGGCTCTTGCACCGATGACCACTGATGCGTGCCCTTTCGCCATTTGCCAGTGGCGGAAGCTGCCAACCCCTTTTCCGTTCTCTCTAGATCTCGCAATTTCTTGACGTCGTGATCGAGATGAATCTTGACTATTTCAATCTCTGCTTCTTTTCTTTCGGCAGCAGATGATGCGTGCCTGGCCTGAGCCTCGAGTTTCTTCAGCTTTTGTTCTGTCTTGACGCTCAAGATGCTCTCTCCGCTGTCTGATGTAACATCTAGAACGCCAGTCTGTGGGTTGATGCCTTGGACACCAAGATAGTCCCCGCTCTCTCTCAAACTGTTCCGTTCTTCTCGCGCCTTTCTCTTCGCTTTTTTCTTGGCCTCAATAACTTCTAGTACACCCTGTGGTTCGTGCATGACTGCGGCAAAAGACTGAGCTCTGGTTCTGCGCCTCATTTCTTCTTTTTCTTTTCCTTTCTCTTTGCTATTCCCCTTCATGGATTCTGAACCTCCACTAATGTCCTTCTGATCACGCTTCTTGCCTATCCTTAGAGGCCCAAAGTCGTGCCATCTGCGATGAATAGGTAGTGGCTTGTGATATGCCCTGCTTTTCTCTTTCGAAGAAGGCCTTTGATCTGGCAATTCTTTACTGAGGTTTTTGGGTGTATTCCAATCCATTAGTCGATCTGATCCATCTGTTTTGCTCCGTCGACCTTGAAGATTCGTAACATGAAGTTGCCTTCCTGGTAGAGATAAACTTGGGGGCGTTCGACTGCCTGGTTTGTCTTGAGGTTGTGACAGCTGCATACCATCCATGTCTCTATTTTCCCAATACCCGGAGTCCCTCAACGTCCCTCCTCTTTCCGGCCGATGCCGCGGAAGCTTGTTCTTGAACCACTCTCCTATATCCCCCAAGGTCACGCTTCGGGCCGGCTGCTCTCTCTCGTCAACCAATTCACCAACGTCACCTAACGTGAGCCTTCGGTTGATGTTATGTGAATCATGAGGAAGTTTTCGTGTCTGTGTAAGTTGTAATTGGTAATCAGAGACTGCTGTGTGGCGGCGGAGAGACGACCAATGCTGTTGATCAGGCATCTTGATTGAGTATGGTTGGAACTGATGTCTTGTAAGCGGTGGCTTAACTTTCGATTCGTATCGCTATAGGTTTGGTACTTAAAGGTCTATGAGAAAATATACAAGGAATGGCATTGTAGAAGTCTAAGTTCTTCATCAGAAGGAAGTGGTTCATCATCAAATTAAGTACATCCTTAGTTTCGTTATGGGGCAGGACCTGCAACTGCCGTTGAGATACCATGTAATGGGGTTTGAGGGAAGTCACCAAATATATGTACGCCCCGTAGTCGAATCGGAGCTTCCGTGGATATCACTCGATGGGTGTCCTCACAGGGGTGTGGTTACAGAGGACCATTACAAACTATAGAACATGTGGAAATCGATTGGGGGGGGGGGGGGGGGGGGGGCAATATTCACGATGGAGATAGGGTAGAGACAGCTGGGGTATTTTCTCAGTCCTATTCAGGCGCCAAACCTCAACGCCAATATGTGCTATCTGGGATCATAAGAATCTGTTCTGGCCCGGGTGTACTAGATAGGTATGTAATAAACAAGAAAGAAAGAGATAGAAACAGGGAGGCTACCACCGTGGACGCCGGTTTTCCGAGGGTGCTTGTTGCCGGCCTAAACCAGCAAAGAGGTTACCGCCACCATTGAGTTTTGAACCTCCAGCTGTCAACCGACGATTCTCTACTTGTTTGGATGGGGTTCCAGCCCCCCAGTTTCGCTGCTCATATGCCGCCATCTCTCGAGAGTTACGCGGAGATGCCGCTTCCTGGTTATGCAGTTCATTCAAGCTTGTAGCCTTCTTGAGGGGCGACTTATTATGAGTATGTATGCCCATGTTGCCACCAAAATTAACCCCCTGGACACCTGACGATGTACCAGTCGAGGTATAGCCTGCTGGCAGACTATTGCGAGGCACAGTGCTTCTTTGGTTGGTAGAGGGTCTAAAGGCTTCCGAGCGTCTGGTTGCTGTAGGGGGTGTGAAAATGTGTGGCTTCATGACATTGTTTGAGGTTGGCGTGAGAGATCGCTCCTCAGGGGTATCAGAGGCTCCAGTGTATGGATTGGAGTGAGTCTGGAAACCGTGGCGGATCTGGACCGTAGGAGTGCCCTTTTGCACGAATTCCTGATAATCGCTGGGCTGGTCCATAGAGAACTGCGTGCCAATATCGCGGACTGTAGGGTGGAGACGAGGATGAACAAATTTGGTGTCGTACTCCTTCATCACTTGCTCCTGAATGACGGCCTTATCCTTCGCTTGTTGCGCAAATCGAGAGCAGAAGAAGAGAAGCTGGGCAGAGACAAGAATCTGCAGAAGCAGTGTGTTCAATACCGTTACACTTGGTCGGGGGTCCAGAGGCGCCAGAGGAAGGAAAATCATATAGACCAGAACATGCCCAGGTCCGAAGAGACATGCAAGGCGCAATGAAACTGGGAGAGGGTCCCAGACTGAGAGCTCCCAAACATCTGATGCCTTATCAGGATGAGCTCGCGACTCAGCAGATTCTGGCGTTATCAGACTCGCGAGGTAGCTCAGAGGTGTCGAAGGAGATGCGCTAGACTGGTTGACCTTCACACGTCGAGCGGAAGGGGTTGAGATTGGCTTATCAACCTTGGCAAGGAAGAGTCGGTACTTGCGAGTTCGAGTAATCGTGTAGAACGCGTTGGTAAAGGAGAACATGGCCAAGATCCAAACCAAAGGAGAGACCTGCACGACATCATGAGATTAGTCGCTAGTTCACCCACCAGAAATCACCCAAGAAGCATGAAACTTACGAAGAATGTTAGCCAGCCAGAACTGGTCTCGTCACTGAAAACGTCATCACTTTTGGTGGACGACGATGAATTGGCACGAGCAAGCAGAAACAAAAAGTTCATGACCAGGCCCATTTGCGTTCCTGCGGTGGCCGAATCCCAATCTCTCGTCTCGAGCTCTTCCGATAACCAGAGCAAAAAGTCCATTGGGTTCATGGCAGCCATGATGCGCTCAGAGAGCGGCTGCTGGCGAACAAGGCGTGGCATTTCAAGGAAATATTTATTCTTCGCTTTCAAATGTCGATGTTCGCGATCGCAATACTCCAAGAAGGGTCGCAGAGTGATGGAAAGACGTCAAAGAAAGAAATGGGTCGGCTTGACCAGATATTGTTTACTTTGAGATTCCTGTTGCTGAGGTCCATGCCAATTCTTTGTTCACTAGTACCTGCCTACTAGCTGACCAGTAGGGGCATAGTGAAGGCTGCAGCACCCACCGCGGGGATGGTCAGAGCTTCGTCAGGACAGTCAGTTCAGAGCGGAGCCTCAGGCGCCCGACCTCCTGCACAGTAGGTACTAAGGTACCTGGGTAGTTGTAGCTGTTACATGTTACAACCAACCTAGCGCTTCCAACTCTGACGAGAGGAGCAAGTCAACAAACAAGTCTATATTCACCAAGTATGACTTCGCAGGCAGACTACAAAGATCGCCAGTTTCTGGCCGTTATCGGAGATGAAGTATGTGACGATGGGAAGGCCCTTTGCTTGACGCTTTGCGCTGACGTAGCTCTGATCTAGGACTCTGTAACAGGTCTGCTTCTTGCAGGTATTGGAGTGAGTATCTCTGAGCCATTGCGCTTCGTCTATGCAAAAGCTGACCTTGCGCGATAGCACGTCTCTACTGGCGCCGATGCTCAAAAGAACTTCCTTGTTGTAGACGGCAAAACCGACACATCTGCCATTGAGGCAGCCTTCGACCGATTTACAGAGGAACGAAAAGATATTGGCATCGTTCTCATCAACCAACATGTCAGGCCCTCGCCCAATATCTCCGTGTGTACATATTAACCGTATCTCAGATCGCCGATCGAATCCGACATCGTGTTGATACCTATACTGCGGCTTTCCCTGCCGTATTGGAGATTCCAAGCAAAGACCACCCCTACGACCCCGAGAAGGACAGTGTATTGCGACGAGTGCGACGTCTGTTTGGAGAGTAGAGAAACATCGGTTTCTGGGCGCAGGGACTTGTTTCGGGATAATGGAGCGAGCAGAGTACCGAGGCGACGATTGGTCTGACGGTATATGACTCGCAGGCTGGTTATGCGCTTTTTTTCAGCTTTAACAGTTATGTTAGACGATTCTTATAGAATCCTACGAGGTGGAATTACAATGCAATGGACTCGTTTATCAAATATGCTAAATAGATTCTAAAGCCGCTGCAGGACGCTCAACTTGAGCATGAAATTCGCCAATCCAAAACCTAGAAACCCACGAGAACGTGCCCAACAGGAACAGTAAGTCATGCCGTCATTCGTATGTTGTGTGTGTGTGTGTGTGCCGCAATTCAGTTACAGGTCGCTTCCGAAGAAGCTCCTGCTGCTTCGGGAGAAGGCGACAGTCGCAGTCAAGCAAGTTATCTGAACGTCGTCGACAGTGAAGACATCGGCCAACACAGTGTACTTGCCCTGCGCAGGGTTAGCCACATAAACAGAGTAGAGAGGGGAATGGCCACGTACAGGAGGAATCTCAGCAGGAAGGTCAACACTCTTGGTGACCTCGACTATACCAGCCTCAACAGGACATTTGAGATCAACATTGCCGATTTGCTCGCAGAGGTCGGCCTTGGTGCTAATAAGACGGATCAGACCGTACTTGACAGTTAGAAGAACATAGGCGCCTTCCTCAATCTTCTGCTTGACCGATCCCTTGGCCTTGATCAAGAGTTCCTGGCCACTATCAATATGTTAGTACCGTGTCATGGGTTCTAGAAACACTGAGCGGGGTAGCCATACGCCTTGGGAGGGTTGGGAGCCAAGTCAACGCTATCAATCTTGATAAGGTCGGCAGAGTGGTCTCCAGGGCAAAGCTCAAGAGGAGAGTCGCCAGGAATCTTCAAGTCGTCGCTGATGGTGACATCGGAAGTCTTGCCATTGAGAACGCTGAAGGCCGCCGCCGGTGCCAAGCAGGCAGTCAGGCAGGCGGTAACGGTAGAGAATCTCATCGCGCGAAGTTGTAGCGCGGGTTGGGGAGGCTGTGGATGTTGTTTTTTCGTCTGGGAAAATGAGATGCAGCAGTCGGTAGTGATGATGAGAGTTGCGCGAAGTGATGAGAGGTCGTTATCAGAGCAGAACGGTGGATGGCGAGTGGCTTAGTGTTGACTGCGTCATGAGACTGGTGCTCCACTTATTGATGTAACCGCGGGACAAGAATGGCTGGGGATTGATGCCTTACCGCCTTGCAGTCCGCAATTGTAGTGGCGGACCGCATCCGAGTGCACTAATAAGCTACGTACCTTACCTTATCAAGGAGTTTGAGTCTGGAACTATTGAGGAGCTATGCGTGTCAGGTCAAGGGAGTCAGTCGCAAAGATGGTTATATCGTGATCCTCGCATTACTCGTCGATTAGGCCTGAAGTTTTAGATACCAGCCACATTTATTAAACTGAGATGCTCAGCAACGAGTTCTCGCCTGTATATTTTTGCCACTGACACCTATGGACCTGCATCGTGGTGGTAACATGGGTAGCTCTTCTCTTATGCACGTTCCTGCCTCTAGGCTCTAGAGCAGACAGAAGCAAGGCTTGTTATTCAAGGTTGCCTGGGCAGTGGAGAATCATGCCTGAGGCAGTCATCGTGCAATTGTGCGTGCACGGGCCATGCAAATGCTTCTATATATTGCAGAGCTTCCTCCCAAATCTTTTTGAACTCTTCATACTTACCTTGTTCCAAGGAAGCCAGCTCAAGAATTGGCTTCCTTAGCATGGAAGGCCTGCATTGCACATCGCGGAGTCGTTTCCATGCTCTATTGCCTTTCGAGGCCATAGGGGGCAGAATTTTTGATATCGTACTTTCATTGTGATCTGCTGCTTGCGGCGGGCATGAAGAAGGATTGTTTGGGACTAGACAGCGCTGAATGACTGGAACCGGCGCTAGAGTGCTATGGGCTTGCGGAACTGTTAGAAGGGATCCAGGTTTGTGCGCGCATGGAAATTGGAATTGATAGTCTCGTTTTGACGACGCTGGAATAGTGGTGAGACAACAGCTCTCGACGATACTTGAACGGTGGATCCGAGTTGTAGAGACTGGTTACGCTTTTGATGTTATTGGCTCAAGACGTGTAGCTCGGCGTGTCGTCGATGGCATTTGCATGTTCTGAACAATGCACATTTCCATGCTTATCCCTGCTTAGGTACAAGTCGATCTTCGTCACGGACCATTGCACTGTACAGCATACTACGTACGCGTTTCTCGTACATCATCCTGCCCCGCCTCCTACAACTCACTTATCCTGACACGGCCCCTCGGTGCAAAAAGGTTCCATTCCATGATGGAGGAACAAAGCTGAGCAACCACGCGTTTCGGCATGCTCGTCAGCTAACCAGCGTGGAACCTACAACCAGACTCGATATCCATCCGGGAAAAACAAAAGCAGGGTAGAAGCGCGAAGCTTAATGCAACATGGACAGCTATACTGCAGTAGCAGATGTTACTTCGTAGTGTACGTAGTAGCACACGGATGTCATGTGTACGAAGACCACTTCCATGCCCTGGTCAGCCAAGCATCAGTGCGAATACGGGTAACGGCGCGAGACAGATACGAGACGATGGTGATGAGAGACTGTCGCACGCCTGTATTGACGTTGAGGTTTTTAAGCAGGCTCAATAATTAGGAGCACTGCTCATCCTCAGTTTTTGCAACCTCCGCAGACCATCACTTGATCACGAGATGTGGTACTGTATCGTGCTGTGCCCATGATGATGACGCGACCAAAGTCACAATTATCACGCCGCCAACTGTCAGCCTGCACCACACTCTCACGTCCCTTCATGGAATCTTATTATCTCTTTCACTGGTTTCGAACGCAATGCTTTTGCGCATCCCGACATGATTGGCTTGAACCCCCCATGTGCCGAAAGACGCGATTGCTCCCTTGCCAAACAAGCCAATCAAGGCCAGCAGGGATATGCCGCCCTACCGCGATGCAGCGGCCGGACACAGTACAAACTATCGCAAACTGTGCTAGAAAAGCCAGGTCCTGTGGACTGAGAGGTTGATTAATCCGACGATGGCAGGGTTGAAAGAAAAACCTTGGAACACATATTTGATCTATATTGATAATCGTTCTTGGTTGTGACTCCGATGAGCATAATGCACATACCATCACACTGCTGAAGAGCCAAGCTCTCATATGGCCTTCTAGTTTTTTCAATCAAGCAATAATGAAGCTATCCATAGCCCGGTGAGCATGGCATGAATACCATAGCCATTATTCCCCCACGCGCTTCCTTTGGTGGCCTCGGGTTTGTTTTGATTGATTCACTTGGCTAGGCTGGCTGACTTCCTTCGTTTCACCATACACAACTTGCTTTGTGGCGGGTGCCAAATTTCAAACACCTCCACCTTAATCCACCATCAACCCACCAATAGTAGTCTGCATTTCGAAGCAACAATGTCCGCCATCAGTCTTCGGTGGCCTTGGAAGTGTTCAGGCTACGTGCCTGATTCTCTGAAAGTGGTCGTCGTCATTTTGCCTTTGAAAATCTTGTGAAGCCCCCTCCCGACTTCTTCATACCGAACTGCTCGACTCCTAGTGTCAGTTTACCAAGTGCAAGAGACTTGCAGGACTCGAAAGACATGGTCGTCTATTATTTGGCTTTGTTTTTCTCTCTCTTGTCCTTGCTATTCCTTCTCGAGTCTCGACAACCTCACTCATTTCACTAATTATTGTGAGCCGAGCCCCTGGCTGGTCGCTCACGCCAACAAAAACCCGCCGTACGCAATTTCCAGCAGAAACCCTCTCCCCCATCTTCCCTCCGCTCCTGAGCTTCCCTCCCCCCTCCCCCTCCCAGTGCTCGCTCAGCGCTCAGCTGCAGCGGCACAATGTCATTCACTCTTAGTGCCTCAGGCCAAGAAAGCGTCCTTCGCGTCCCTGCTTGCTGCACTAAGATTTCTCCTTATCCACCACCAGTCAACGTTTGGCTTAGCGCCAGACTTTTTGACCTTGTCTCGTCCCTTCTCTTCCATGTCTGTCTCTGTCTTGTCTTTTCTTTGGGGGGGGGGGACCACTGAAAGTGTCCCCCTTCCTCTCCCGTACACCACTTGTCTGTCGTTTTCTCAAGACTCCCGTCCAATCCAGCCCAGAAGCATCAGAAGAATGAGAAGAACCAGAGGCACCTCAGCATAGGTGACCAAGACCAACAAAAAAAAAATCATGCCCCGCCCCCTGGCTCGGGTATTCATTTTTCTTCTTGGTACCCTCTGCTGTTATCTCTACTTCTGAGTGCTGAGAATTGAATGTGAGTTGCTAACCTAGAAAATCAGACGGCAAGGGCGAGCAAAGTGCCGCTTACCTCTGAGTACCAAGGGTACGTATCTTTTTTTACTCTTCACCTGCCCGGGCTGCTCTCACTGGGCTGGTCTTCCAGGCTGGAGGTGCCTCCCCCTCTTAGCCAACTGGAACTGGAAATGGAACCCCCAGGCAGGTCCCAGGTCGGGTACCGCACTTGTCTTGAAGCACACCCGGTCTTGTCGCTCCTCCCCATCCTCTTTCTTCCCATCACCCACCCTTCTTCGTGCAGTCCACGATCTTCAATCCTCACCTCCCGGTATTTCTCATGCTTCAAGCGCTTCTTCTGTCCAGATTGTGTTTGAGTAGTCTCAAATCTTATTTCCTTTATACTTTCACTTTACTTTTCGCCTCGTTGCACCCATAGCAATCGCCCCCTGCGCTCGACACCTCGACCTTGCTCATCTCGACCCTGCCGTGTTCGATCACAACGAGTTTTGCGAAAACACAACCGACCGACTGTGTCCTCAACATACCCTCGATCCGTGTCTACGCCCCATATTCTGACTCTACCTGTCGACCTGATCACCGGTGTCGACTTCGTTTCTCCTGTTGTCGCGCCGCTGGCCTCCCACCCTACACGTCGACGCCTCAATTACTCTCGAGTCCCTTCCTCGACGATTGCGAATTTTGACAACTGGTGTACGATTCGACCTTGCTCTGCCGCATGAGACTTCTATCGGTTCATCTAGTTCGCGATTCCTCCTTACGGTCACCCCGACGCGCCATCTGAACGGCGTCGTCATGCTCCCAAGACCACGACAATAGACAAGACACATACCTTCTCTGGCGTTTGCTGCACTGTCTATACCAAAGATTATGACCGACAAGCCAGCACTCTTGTCCACGCAGTCCGCGGCTCCTAGTCAGATCGCTACCCTCCTTCCGTCGGTCGCAACCCTTCAAGATGAAGGCGCTCGACCGATCGAGGGAGCGGAAGAACCATACACAATCAAGTGTATCTGTAACTTCTCTGATGATGATGGAAACACGATTTACTGCGAGACATGTGATACATGGCAACACATCCTCTGTTTCTACCCCGATAATCGAGAGGAAGCTGTTCGCGAAGACTTTGCCCACTCATGTGCAGAATGCAAACCACGTCCTTTTGATCTTCAAAAGGCTGTCGAGCGCATGGTTCGTCTCAAGAATGAACCACCAGGCGATGAGCGTACTGACAAACGAACGAAACGACCTCCTGCGAAAAACCACAAGAAGAGGTCGAAGCCTACGGACCTGCCCCTAAACGGTCATGCAAGCCCTCAAGAAAACGGGAAGCACGTCCACACTGGAGATTATCCCAATCCTCCAAAGAGGGCGAAACATCGCTCGTCACAATCTGTCAGTTCTCAGGCTCCTAAGCGGAGTCCTTCCTATGGAAACGGCCGATCAAATACTGCCCACCCTCCCAGCCCTGCAACCACCCCACCCGACCTTCCTGAAGATTTTCAAATCCACCAATATTCACAAGGCTTCTACGACTTGTACAATGCAAGAGATGTCCCCGACTCACACAACAATGCCTTTGCAAGTCTTGCCATTCCTACGGCACTATCTCGCTGGCTTCGCGACCCCAATACGATGAGGAGTGAAGTTGGCAGAAGGCCTTCGGAAGTTTTCCAAAAAGCACCAGTCGATCTTCAAGCAAACAAGCCTAAGCTCGAAGTCAGCGATGCTACACGAACACTGGAGAATGGCAAAGCGCTAAGATGGAGATATCTCAACTCCAAGACACCAATTGAAAAGGATGTGCCCCTCGTTGAGTTGAATGGGGAAATTGGTTTCCAAAAAGACTACTCAACGGACCCTGCAAATCTATGGGCCGATCTTTCCTCACCCCTTCCGTTCGTGTTTTTCCACCCCGTCTTGCCTTTATACATCGACACTCGACAGGAAGGCTCACTTGCCCGGTATGTACGCCGAAGCTGCAAGCCTAATGCTCAGCTGGACACATATCTTTCTGACGAAAACGAATACCATTTCTGGATTGTCAGTGACAGGTATATATCTGAGAGAGAACAAATCACTCTTCCTTGGGACTTCCGTTTGGAAAAGAGTGTAGATGCTCGTTGGCGAAACCTTCTTGGTCTTAGTGACGATGACTCCAGTATTGCAGAGACCCCAGTGGACGAAACAGAGTACACAGCGATATCGAATTGGATGAACCGGATTCTTTCTGAGTACGGCGGTTGCGCATGCGACCTGGATAACAACTGTGCGTTCGCAAGATTTCATCGCCAGTATCTCTTTGGCAGGTCTCAATCTCGTGGTTCAACAAAGAAGAGACCAAGAAAGCCCAAGATACACGCCATCTCTCCAACGAGTACAGGCCCTCAGACTAACACCAGTCGAGCTACAAGCGAAGGTCATGTTGACGATGGCGCAGAACACGACACTGTATCACAATCTGGTTCGCTCCGAAGCAAACCTCCTAGTCGCGATCTTACTCCTCTTCGGCAAGGCTCCTTCGACCAGTTGGGCATCTTGACTGAACCAACAGATCGGGACAAGAGAAAGGTTGCCATGGTGGAGGATACATTCCGTCGGATGGAGCAGCAGCAACCACCAAGGAAAAAGAAGCGTGTATCTGATGGCACTGCCTCCAACTCTTCAAAACCAAAACAACGCAATGGCTCAGTTGCATCTCACGGCAATTATGTCGACGCCGGCACATGCAGGAGTAATTCTGGATCTCCAGCTAGCTCTTCACCGCAAATTCCGCAAAGACCCTGTATATCTAATCCAGATCCTGCAGCTGCCCGGTCACGGCAGTCATCTGTCAACACCATACCGGTCTACTGCGATGCTGCGGTACAAACAGACCCAGTTGAAGGTGCCTGGTTCAGCGAGCCCCATCAATCGCCCCGCCCAAAGAAGCGAATTATTCCTCTTTCCAAACGTCTACTGAACAACCGCCACAGAGTACGAACAGATGATGAGGTTCTTCGCAGGCGGTCTTCCCTGAGCCAAGCGTCTAACAGTACTGCAATGGAGGTCGAATCACCTTTGGAACACGCACCAACAATCAAGCGATCAGAGTCAGAATTACCGCCTTTGCTCGCTACGGCTGGCGACATTCCCATGGCAGATGCCTCATCTCCCATTCTGGGATCTGCTGCCAGTGATACGTCCTCAAAACCGAAGACTCCAGATCTTCGTGTTCAACTGCCTCCTGTGCCTGCTTTCGACAGTACAGGGTTGGGGATTCACAATGGCACAGCTCACCAGTCTGGCATCACTGCTCACTCGCCTCTGTCAGGTCCAATGCCAAGCCCATGCGTTTCTCATGCTATGAACGGCATTGGCGCCCATCACAGTCCTGCGAAAAAGAAGCTTAGCCTCAGCGACTACACTAAGAGCAGGATGAACAAGGCAGCCGGTAAGACTGCTGGGGGCCACGCCATCCTCAAACCTTCGATTTCCAGCCCCGAGGACACAAAAGTCGATATAATCGTCGATTCATCGGTGATGGAAAAGAGCACCGAGAGCATCATGATGACCCCCGTCGCTGCTGCCAACGGTTCACTGTAGTACGATGAAGTGTGTATGTTTAATGTCATCACTATTTCAAGATTTTCTTTGTTTTTCTGTTTTCCAGGGATGACGGAATTAAAAGCCTGGAGTTCTTTCATTCTTGTACACTGGCTGGTACGTCAGTGGTTACCCCGATGGTTTGGCGTTTGGGAGGTTCTAGGAATACGGATGATGGGCTTGATGGGACCTACCAGCAAATCCTGGCATCAAAATGCAGTAACGGCGCAGTGGGATTGGTGCTTGGGGATCAAAATGATTCCTCCTAGGGGTTAGATGAAAGGTCAACCAGAAGTGTTATGTGGCTTTTGTTAGGATCTCTTTTTTTTCTTTACCGATGTGAATGTTGAAGAAGCTTGATCATGGAAAGCAACAGGCGGAAGAGAAATATCGAGTAAGGTCTTATTAACAAAAGGCGCTTGAGGACTCGTTTTATGTACTATAATTATAGGCGTCACCTCACACGTATGGGCCTGCATGTACTCGTCCTAGGTATGAAGTACTGCCAGAAATGATGGGAACACACCCCTTTTGAAAGATGTATCATTATTTGCAACCCCTATTCAGCTCGTGCTACATTTTATGTATCTAAGAAACTGTGATACCAAGGCCCAACGAGTCTTGCTCAATGATGGAAACTTCGAGATTGTTTTTCTTCATCTCACTATTGCCTAGCTTTGAATCCGGTTCTTCAACACGAGTTCCTCTCAATTCAATACTGTGCCGTTGTCCCCCAGTTGTCTTCCTTAAAAACCAACAATGCTAGACGGTGCCTCACAAATAAACCAAAGAGCCCAACAACAAGTTGGAGCATGGTTACCTCGAAAGCCAACCGATCTTCACGAAGAGGCCCACGCCAAACGAGCCAGAGGTTGAGGATGGTGAAATTGCTTGTCTCCACAAACTGGCCCTTTTCATCGGTAGTTACTTTTGCTAGTCGTAGCTTGTCGAGGATACGAAGACCTTGGGCGACCAGAGGGTGCGGCTGACGTTCAGGGGACCATGGAGTTACAGAAGGCTCGAGGAGACCGGTCCGAGCATTGAAATGCGGAAGTCGGTGGCGAGGGCACGGAATCAAGCCGAAGACTTGAGGGCATGAATAGAGAAAGTTGAATATTTGAGGAACAAGGAGGAGTCCAAGCGTCTTTGAAAAGTGGCCGAGGATACCGACAACGGCGAATACCATGCCCGAGAAGTAGCAGTACGTGTCGCCAACAAAGACCTTGGCCGGGTACCAGTTGTGAAGGAGCAGGGCGCAAGAGACCCCGAGCCATGGGAGTAGAAAGTAGAGTGAGAATAAGTGGGAGTCGGTGGCAGGATGAGGATAGGGCGTGAGTAGGTACAAGCAATCGTTCAGGATGAGGAGGAGTGCGATGACGACGCATTGCGAGACCTCAATGCCGTTGATGCCCGCGAGCATATTGATGCTCTGGGGACAGAACATGGCAATACAGGCCATGTATACATAGTAGAGAGCGCCCAAGTCGAAGAGCTCGCCGAGATAAGGTTGCAGCTGGAGAGGCAGGACAATAGACGTAACGTCAAAGTCGACAAAGTAAACGACGAGAAGGGGGATCGAGGCGAGACCGGGAATCCACCATTTGTGTCGCCAACGAATGTCAAAGAGGTCATCGCCAATACCAAGAAGAGCAATTGTCTGCAGGGAGATGATGGCGCTTAAGAAAGAAGCGAGCTATTCAAGTCAGCAAATTATCAGAAATCATAAGACGTTTTGTTCAACTAGATTCTTGCGCACCTTGTTATGAGGAAAGCGATGTAGCAAACGCCCTTGGTTGATATTCTGAGACTCAAGCTCAACGACGACATCTCGATTTCCGCCGCCACTGGTAGCCGCAACAATATCCTTGTAGAAGGGAAAGGGGATGAACACGATGACGGTGAGGAGATAGACGGCAGCGCACACAGCGCCCATGCACTCTGGAATCTCAGTACGTTGCAGCTTGCTCATGTCCCGACCGCGGAAGCCAGCGCGCATAAACGTAGGGCCTAGCCAGCGTATCATGGAGTAGCAAAGCGCAAAGCCGAGGATAGAGAGCGCAAGAGATGCAATGAGGGGTTCCCCATTGCCACGGAGGGTGTTCGCGAGGATGGCGAGGCCAACGCCTGAGAGGGTTGTGAGAGTGATCGTCTCAGGATAAGAGAGCGATGTTGTCACCGAGACAGCCATGGTGATGGGGAGATGAGTGTATACTAGATGGCGCGGGGTGAAAAAAGAGGGCGCATCATGAACAATATGATCGCGATGATGGCCAGTGAAAGAGATCACCTGCAGTTGATTGTCACTAGAACAAAAAGTAGGCCAAGGATTGTTGCAACACAAGGCGAGAGTTTGGTGACGTGAGGTGAGGCTTTGGTGAGGTTTTGGTGACACGTTGTTACACTGCGGAACACGGCCGGGATGTGGAGTGAAATACGCGGAAACACGTGCAACGAGACGAAGATGAAATGGATTGAATTGGGATGAACAAAATGAGATTCATGCCTCAATATTATCTTTAGGCTTTCGTGGGTACAATTTTACTTTACTTTAGAGTTGGAACATACATCCATGTCGCCCTGTCTTGCAAGAGTCAATACCCCCAATTAAACCCCTAATTACCTTTACAGAGCCATGTCACAGAGGCAAGTCAATCAATCACTCACGAGTCACAATCTAAATGCCATTGCCAATTCAGTTCATTCGCCTCTGGGGGTATATCGCTGTCGTTTCTAACTAACTGTTATGCAAAATGTTCCTGGCGACAGACAGGACTGTAACCCGAACTTCCTATTCAGTCCCAAAATTCAAAAAGACGCCTGTTTCCATTTTTGTCCTAGTTGTTGGGTATCTCTTGTTCTATGCGTAATAGTCTTTAAATCTCTTTGACAAACCCTACTTCAACCAAACTGTCAGGGTCAACGTTCAGGTTGGCGACTTTAGTTCGTGTATTCTCACGAACCCATAAGAACGCCTCCAGGGCGACCCGACGGAAAATGTTGGGAAGCCCTTTCTTTTTCTCTTTTTGCACACGCATCGTCTGTTTACCCATGAGGTAGACAGTTTGTGCTTCTTCTGCAGTCCGTAGCGCTTCAAATTCGCCCCGGAACTCTGGCGGCATATCGTTCTCGTCGGGTGGGAAAGGGCCTCTTGTGATAAAGGTCATCAACTCATTAACAATAAGTGGGGCCAGGTTCGGTGTGAGAATATCGTCCATATAACCATGCCGCAGCACAATTCGATAGCACGACGGGATCTTCGTCGTAACACGCGAAATGACAAACCGTTGATCAGACGGCACTGTGGGTTGAGAAAGTGGGCGCATGTGGAAGAAAACAATGACCTGCGGCCGCGTCTGAAACTTTCGTATGAACTGTGTGAACACCTTGGGAATATGGTCGCCACTACCACCAACTTTGTCAAAGAATATTCCAAGGCCTGGGGCAACCATCACTTGGCCACCCCCAAACTCGGGTGAAAGCCTCAGCCGTATTGAGCGGACTGAGCCATCACTCGTCATGCCTCTGGCAATAGAGTTGTTCCGCGAGGTGCTTCGTGACGACATTAGGAATTCTGAAGGGTCCAGGACATCTTTCTGCTCTGCCTCCCATTGTTGCTCTTTACCCCATCGCCAAAGCATGACGAACGTGCTGAGAATAAATGAAAGAACTAACGCGAACCAACCACCATCCGGTACCTTGTTCATAGCTGCGCTGAGATAGATACCGTCGAGAAGAATGAATACTAGGAACCCGAAAAGGACGACAATAGATGATATTCGCCAGATGATGAGTGCCACCAAAGACACCATACAAGTCGTGATAAAGGTAACGATGATGACACATGCGCCATAAGCATGACCCAAACTCGTCGTCTATCAGAGCCCAAGTTAGAAATGTACCAATCCAATGCTACCCAACAGGTCAACTTACATTATTATAGACAGCCGTTACCACAACGGTCCCGATCATAAGTAGCCAGTTCGCAAGCGGCATGTAAATCTGGTCATGGAATCGACGGCTGGTGTGTACCGTCTTGATGTGAGGGAAGTAACTGAGCCTCATCAACTGTGAGATGAGCTGGAACGAGCTGGTAATCAAGGCCTGGCTAGCAACAACAGCGGCAAGCACTGCAATGATGATGCTAAAGTAGAGCGTGCTTTCGGGGACGGTACGGAAAAAAGGGTTTGTGAATGCCAATTCAGTCTCATCATGTGAAATGAAGGCAGCTTGGCCACAGTATGTTATCAACAAACATGGAAACACCAAAACCAGCCAGGAGAGTTGTATGGCTCGCTGTCCAAAAGCACCGAGATCCGCAAAGAGTGATTCGACACCTGTAAATGCGAGAAGCAACCCACCAAGTGATTTCCAGCCGTGCGACTCGTTTCTGATCAAGTATGTGAAGGCGTAATGTGGACTGAACGCTTTCAGCACGGTATGATCGTACAAGACCAGGTTGTAGATACTAATGGAGAAGTTGTAGAGAAGCCAGACCACAACCACAGGAGCAAAAGAGGTACCAATCTTGGATGTGCCAAAGAACTGCAACCCAAAAAGCGCGACGAGAATCGCACACGAGATACCTACAATAGCAGGCCTTCCCAAGTCAGGCCTGATGACCTGAATTCCCTGAACCGCGCCCAGTACGGACTGGGCTGGTGTTAGTATGCTGTCCGCCACCACCATGGATACTCCCAAAACCCCAACAATCTTGAGGACGTTCTGTGCAACGCGACTTCTTTCTAGAAAGTCTCGGGCCATTCTTCCAGCTGGTGCCAATTCAGCACCCGTCTCGCGGTCCAGTCGCACGACGATTCTCTCAGGGCCGTTGGGGTCAACACGGGCGATATTGGCGTATCGGGACAGGAGCGAGTACAGGGCGAACGTGCCTCCTTGTCCATCATCGTCGGCTGACAACACGATGAAGCAATATTTAACCGTCACGATAAGGGTGAGGGACCAGATAATTATTGAGAGGGCGCCCACAAGGTCGTGCCATGACGGCTGTTCGCTAAACGTCGAGCTGAAAACATAAAGAGGACTGGTTCCGATGTCTCCGTAAACAACACCGGTACTTTGCCAGGCGAGCCATAATAACAAAAGGCCCTTGTACGTCTTTTCAAGTTTTCAAGTCAGAACCTGGTCCATGATGTCGCACATTTCCGTCGCACCGGTACCTACCTGCTTATTTTCGCGACACAAATCCTCGTGTTCGATTCGTTGAGCTTTTTCCTGGTCATGAAGGTCGCGGGCCTCAGGATCAGCAGGGGCAGCGTCTTCGCTTTCCTCGGTGGCCGCGTTGACCCAGGCTTCTATTCTCTGGTTGCGGGCATTGTAAGAGATCATTTCGATCTTGAGTTGATAGGGTCACTCAGTGACACTGAATCCAGGTCCAGAAGCTAAGGAACAAAACCTTGGGGCTCAGGCTTATATACTGAATACTCTGACAGCCATGCACTGACTAGGATGGAATAAAATGACGAGCCTAACCGAAGACTAGAATGCAATGCCTGCGCTAAACCTGGGCCTGGCTTCCTGGTCCACCCACTCTGCCAACAGCCACAATTCTAGTCAACGGCGACCGTCTTGACTGCCAAGCATCATGAACAAGTTTTGGCAGACCTGATAGGTCACTGCGTAACCAGGCAGAGGCGCACTCGCTGCAGAAGGCACAGTCAGTACCTGAGTACCTACTGAGAATAAGCACCTGTCTGCGGACCTGGGGGCTGTGCAGTTGAGTCCACAGAGGAAACCCAAGCGTCTTAGCGTCTCAGCTCTTTAACTACGAATGCAACAAGGTCTTTGAACTCCCATGGGGCAATGATTGCCCCATCTCGACTATCCCCGCACTTTCTGACACCTAGATTGGAGGGAGAGGGGAGCCTTAGCGGGTGTGTTGGTGATCTTGAGATGCTATTGGACTGCCACAGCCAAAGTGACCGCCAGGGAGCCCTCCCCTTGACACCTTTCTCGAATGTTTTGACTCAGTGAGAGTACGTAGTACGGATACAGTACAGTAGCATCTCGGCCGCATCTCTGGGTAGAGCCGTCCTGCCGTCCTGCAGGTGAGGGGAAATGGGTCCTTGGCCTCCACTGTTTCTTAACAAGAGTCTTGGCTGCTTATTCTCTGCATATGCAACATTGGAGAAGGGTCTTTTCTCGGTCGTCCGAGGCCAACCAAGAAGGTTGACCGATTATTTCCGTGCGACGTTCGAGTCAGCTTTCTGCGTATCCGTACATTCAAACAAACCCTGAAAGTCCCCGTCAGTTGACTCTCTTCCTTTGGACCTTGGCTGTAAGCCCACGTGATTGCTTGAGAGGTCTTGGTCCCTTGGGAATCTTACGTTGATAGTGTGATTGTGCCCTCTGTGATGCCGGGCCAAGACACCTCGTATGTGAAGGTGGATGTGTATTTGTACGTAAAACTTGCACATTGCGACGTGCAGCCAAAGTTCCATTATCTCGTCAGAGGAAAGTGGGTGCGTGCGCCGAGGCGTGCTTTCCTCTCAAAGCTACTTGCATCAACAATGGAGTTCGTGGTTGAGGCAGTTAGTTACGACTCCGACAGTTTCACTAGAGTAACCACAACGGCTAGTTAGATACCACATAAACTTGCAATCCACATATTTGAGCCGATCGCGGGCTAATAGCCTAGGCATCGGGGGCTCAGGGATTTGGGGTTGCATATGTGGCTCAACTCGGTAATATTCAAATCATGGCCCCTCTATTAATGTTAGGCACATTATAAGCCAATTACTCATGATACCACTATGGTCACGACCAGTCAGTTCATGGAAGCTTCCCGCCAAAAAAGGCTGGAGTAACCGACTTCATAGTAAACTCAAACGACCGCGAACGATCTCGTGCTCATCACCATTCTTTGTTAGGCATACAGCAATCAGGTGCACAGCCCGAATGTGCGCTGCGTCATAAAGTACTGCCAAGATGGTATCCAAGAGGAACATGCATTTATCAGATATCTCGGCGCATATCTTCACACTGGTCGGCTTTACCTAAGATAACATGTTCCGTGCACTATGCCACTCGGTGTCAAGGTAAATCCCGAACTAGGGGAAAAGGTCGTGATTTTTTTATGCCAAGGTCTCCGCAGTTTTGATGCGGTCAGGGAAGCAGCTACGCCAATATGTATGGTTATGAACCAATCCCAGGTCGGGGGTTTTTTTTTTTTTTCATAAACAAGTTGCTCCATCGTCGGACCTATCAAGTTAAGGGCTTGGCCGAAAGACATACACTAGAGCCTCGTGTAAGACTGATATAATCGAGCACGATGTTCTTGTGGTAAAGGTTCTCCAACCGGAGGCTCATGGTCGGTGGGTACATGAGCATACATTGCCAAGTCATTTTCGGCTGTATCATGCAGGAATATATTACCGTCAAGAAACGCCAAGAATTTGATTTCAAATGTGATGCCTTAGACCAAATCCCATGTAACAAGGTACGACCAGCCCATTGCGCATCTGCCGAACTTGGCGAGAAATTCTTTGCCTGTGACTCCCCTCGCGTCCTCACGATCTCCGAACTTCGTCAGGACAAGTAATCGCACCGACTTACCCCGAGGACCCAGGTCTCTTGCATCAACATCCAGCCAGTACCAGAATCCGTTTGTTTCCAGGGGTATCATCTCTTCCTTCTGGCCTTCACCTCGAGGGAGGCAGAGGAGCACCAAACGCTCCTTGCCACCACATTTTTCTTTTGTCCAATGCTCGCATACCTTGGAGTACTGGAAACGAACAACCTCTCCGCTATCGATGGAGATATGGCGTTGCCTAGGCTCTATACTGGAATCGGCGATGCCTTCTTCAGCTGTGGTGGAACACGTAGCGTGGGGCTCGCCATCAATTCCTCCTGTGTAGTAGGTTGCCCATGTTACAGGCTGACCGTCAGCCCGGAACTGATGTCGTGAGTCAGCTGGGAAATGTCTGAGTCCAAAATCCTCATTGGCATTCGTAAATTGTAAAGGCGAGAACTTGGCCTCGTAATCCTGCCCGCTGAGATGGCCAGCGCCCCAACAAGCGTCCAGAAGTTTCCAGTCACCGCCGTCAATTCGCACCGCGTTCCAGGCGTGTCCATCTGGCTTCGCTGGAGGAGGGCGCTCACCCTTCTTGAGTGGAGTATGGCCATAGCCCTTTCCGTGGCCAGTAACAACCACACACTCAAGGCCAGCTCTGTTGGCAATAGCTTTGTAGGTCTCGGCATAACCTGCGCATACAGCTCTCCCGGTAAAAATGGTGTCTTCCGCTGTCATATGCCTTATGTTGTTGCCGAAGAACGCAGCAACATCATAGTTAATGTTATAATGGAACCAGGTAAAGATTGCCCGCGCCTTGTCCGTATATGAGGGGAAAGGGTCACAAAGCACTTGTGCCAGGTAACCAACAGGGTCGTTTCTTGGCACCGATGTTCGAGGATACTGCGCAGCAACGGCATCAGGGCCGCTCCAATCTCGGCATATTAGACATCCATATACTGGCGCCGCTGGGGCGCTGGTCTGCGTCTCGAAAGCTTCAATCTGAGCGACTGAAGGTCGAGAAGCGAGTGGCACAGGGGGTGGCTCGTCTCCTGACTGTGACTGTGGATGGCTTGAGACTGTTGGCCGGGTGGGTAGTGTTGGTCGGACGTCTTCAGTCTTGTCTTTGTTATTAAATCCGAGGATCATCGGTGCCCTGACTTTCGTGTTCCCTGATGGCCTGGACGGTATTCTCCTGGGTTGAGATGCCACTTCTGGTTCAGGGGTAGAATTTGCTTGTGGTTTTGCCGGGCGCGAAGGTAGCCTTGGTGGGAGGCAAGGTCGAGCTGGGGGTGCAGGTTCAATAGCAAGTGGTGGCGGTTGTGGTGATGGCGGAGCACGACTAGGCCTCCTTGCCTCCTTCGCTGCGGTTTCTTTCTCTCTTCTCGAGGGCGGGAGCTTTGGAAGGCTCGAGGGATCATAAGCCGGGGGCACCTTGTAACCTGGACCATCTGAGTTGATGCTGGTCACTGACGAAGGAGGCCTACCCGCAGACAAGGTAGATATCGCAGAATTCTGAGATCTTTCAGACGAACCAGAACTACGCCTCACCATCAGACTGGATTGGGTCGAGGTGCGCCTTGGTGGTAAGGTCGGCGTAGACTGCATAGACGGGGTCCGGCTTGGAAGCGGAGGCGGGGCTCGCTGTTGGACGCCATTATTCTGACCACTTTGAGCAGCGAGCTGTGGTGTCGATGCCTTTCTCATAGGACGGGGGGGGGACGGCTGGGTTATTTTGCGACAAACTTGGAGTGGTCGAAATAATGGGCACCGTTTGGCTTCTGGCTTCAATGGCTGGACGGCCAGGAGGTGGAGGTGGAGGGGGTCTTTTGCGAGGTCCCGCGCCTGGACTTGGAGTCGGGGTTTGCGCTCCAGTGAAACTCTTTTGTTTGTTGAGAGCTGCAATACGCTCAGCCAAAGTATTGAACTGAGGCTCTTCTGTGTCGGCCATTTCGGGTTTCTGATGAGAGGTATTAATACGTTCTATAATGGGCGGGCGATGGAAATGGGCTTAGATACGAAAATGTCTTCGGATTGAGCAAATGCGACTGACTATAAGACTCGGCAATGCTACAGCGAAGTAGATAGCGACAGAAGTGACAAAGGCCAATTTCAAGTACAAAACAAGAACGAAAGTAACAACGGAGAATGAGAAGGAGAAAAGGGATAAATAAGGACGAAGATGAAAGCGAAAAAGAAAAGACTCGGCAGAATAGTTACAGTATAAATTTCTCTGGGCACTCAGGTCAGCCTAAGCCAGTTAATGAAACAAGATGACTGTAGGGGCTAAACACAGCCCTGTGAGTGGAACCTCGAGTAATACGAGCCGCAGTTTAGAGGGCGGGGAAGCAAGCAGGAAGGGGGAAAGACGGAGGGACCGTCAGTGGAGGCCGTTCAATTCAACTACCTTAGTACCTAGTGCCTTAACGTTTCATGATGTTCTAGAGCCATACACTCATTTATGGCCATGATGGTAGCGACAAACATGCCATATAAGGGTTGGGGTTCTTTTCTACTTGTTCGTATAATTAGGTATCTTCTTGTTGGTTCTGTCATTGCCTTCATCATGGCTTATATAACGCAGCCTGACTTTCAGGCCCGTGGCGACTTGGCTCTCGGCAATTCTGTGCCTAGACCCAAGCACGACCTACAGTGATCGTAAGCAATCCAGATTTCTGCCCCTTTACTTTCCCAGCAGCCACGCGATAGGAGGACAGAGGGGTAAAGGGCCATTATTTTACGAGAGCATCATTCCATTTACGTTTTTACTGTTGTATTTTGTCATGACACATGATGGCTAAATACTACCGTTGTGTAACAGGTATCTAGGGCCTAGCTGAATGAATGTAATAGCCAGATTGCACTGCCAATAGTGCCTGAAATATACACTGAAGTACTTTAAGCATCAATGCTTGAAATCAATGAATAAATTAGTAACGAAGTACTATCTTGGAAACCATTATATTCGCATATGTATCCGATTAGCGGCGGACCATTCCTAATTATAAGACAAAATGAACCCCCGACGAGCCATGGAAATCAGATCCCACGTGCAGGGGGGGCATCTTTAGAAAGGCAGATGGACGCTATTAAGCGACTAGCCTAGTGCATTATGTACAGTACCGAACCGCCGGGATGATCTAGATACAGGTAGGTAAGGCACCTAAGCTTGTATTTATAGGGTAGCTGGGGTCGAATTGAAGAGTGATATAATATAATCACGTCGTGACTCACACTTCAACCTCCGAGAACTACAGTCAATATGAGATAGATAACCACTCCTTATAAGAAATGGGCTGATTACGCCAAATCGATTAGCCTATCAAGATTCAGAGCCTGCAATCCGTTGGAAAAGATGGCTAGCCCACCCAATATCACATCTACCTCATTTCTAATGTCCACTGTTTGGTGATTAAGCTCTCGGGACTCATGAACGAGAGTTCCAGCAAGTCCAGCGTTGCCACGTGTTATCAGGATGAAAATGCAGCAAAAGTCTGTGATTAATTGTCTTTAAAGTCACGAAGTATTTAGGCACCTGTGGTACCCTGTGGCAGATGATGGATGCATGGCCTCGTTGTGAAAGCTCTTCATCATAACACATAGGAGAACAAGCACTCAGTAGTGAAAAGGAACAAGGGCTTTAATGATTGAGTTAAAGATTATCTCTTGGTTTCATGTTATATATTCGAATTCATGATTTACTGAGTACCCAGGTAGGCAGGTATTATGCGGCTGATTTATACAATGTGTATTGAAACAGATAGTAAGATGCTGTTACTGCTACCACATTGCACTAGTAGATACTTCTAAGCATAAGTACATGTTGTATATCTATATTATGGGTGGCTTTGACTCAGAGAATCATCTTTTGAAATTGGACTTTTTGCCTCCCTAGTCACAATAACATATTAAAAAAAGAAGACACACCAGTGCCGTCCATCTTTAAACAGCCTCTTGACAGCCACCGCACTAAGGCATTTTCGAATTAGCATTAAACCACCTACCTAGGCGGATCCCGGCTGGGAATCGTTGATCCGCCCCACAACAGGCGCTACCTGTAACCAACCGACGTCAATAAAACAACCTAACCTTGTACCAACTGCCAACCGCGACGACCCCGACCACGACCCCAAGCGGCAGGCGGCTTTGCGACTTGACTTAGTTGCTTCTCCTCCATCCTTGCCTCGTTTTTTGGTTTCGCTTCTGACTTAACCAGAATTACGTATTCATCCCACAAGCATCTTCACCTACCGGTCATCAGTATTTGCTTCGTCATCTCCTGGGCCCCGGTTTATAGCCTCCTATCTAGCTCCTGCTGATCGACGCTACCCATTCGAGCCCATCTTACATCGGCGCATTTGCATCTATTCATATGTGCTCTCATCGCATCGCATACAAATAACCCCGGCCGCATCGCGAGACATATACCCATTGCATCGTGCGCATCGACACTGGGCTTATACTGCTCGGGAGCTACACCATCTACTCCACCATCCGCCTGTTCGCTTTTTACTGCTCTCCGTCTCTCTCCGTCTCTCTCTTCTTCGTCGAGACTGCCTGGTTGCCACGCTGCCCCCGCTCGTTCATCATGGCTGCGGAGGCTGCCAGCAACGAGGCCAGCACCTCTCCCAAGCGGAAGCTTACATTTCTCGATCTTCCGCATGAGACTCAACAGGGTATATTGTCTCATGTTCGTATTTGACCTGGTGTTGCTTTGTATTCTGCTAACACTCTCGCAGTGTTCTCAATCCGAGCTGATCTGCTGTGCTCTCGTCTCTCGACACTTTCATGAGCTTGCAGCAGCGTTTTTGTATCGCAGCTTTAACATCCTCTTCCCCGATGACGATGATGTGCGGTTCGAATCCCCAATAGATGGTCTTGCGGGTGGCCTTGATACCTTTACCACGAGCGATTACAACTATGCGAAGCATCTAAGAGAATTGTCTATGGATACAGTCAGTACTGGTATCAAAGCCGAACATGCATACAAACCGTATCTATACAGCACAAGTTGTGGCAAATTTCTCAATACTTTGCTCTATCTGACCCTCAAGAAAGCCACATCACTTGAGACTTTCAGGTGCGTTTCGTAGCAGGCTGTATGTGGTTTATCCGAAGCCTCTGGTGCTAATCATGCTATTAGGTGGAACATCAGAGTTGAGCTCAGCAGGCCTGTTTATCGTGAGCTGCATGAAATCGAAACATTGACGAAATTGCATATTCGTCTACAAGCTGGCGACACTTATTACACCACTCCCCCTCCTCTGCCACTGAGTATTGACAATCTGCCTCCAGCTCCAACACATTGGTCAGACATCCCCCCTCCTCCTCCTCCTGGACCACCTCCACCAGTATTCTCGGCTTCTCTGGCCGGTGCTATGACATCTCTGCCAGTTCTCACATCACCTCCTCCTTTACTCCCATCCTCGAAACAGTTCTCCAAGTCAAAGACAGGTAAACGGGATTCTACGGCTCACGATCCCGCGACACTTTCGGGGTTCAAGAAGCTGAAAAGCCTGTCTGTTCTTGATATCGATAATGTGGAACTGGTTCCGGAGCTCAAGACTTGTGTCCGTAATTCTTCCGCTACTCTCACCGAACTGCACCTTTCTCTATCCGATTCTCTCGCACTACAGGCTAGACGACCACCACCAGACTCTGACCCGGACGATTCCGATGTTGACGATGAGTTTCAAGTGGTGCCTGTTTCTCAGAGCACCAGTTTCGATGCTAGTGTTCCCGCTAAGACATTTCGCTCTCAGGAGGAGCGTAAACTTCAGGAGAGCATTCTAGGGAGGATATTCGACGTTGAGCCTTTCATTGTCAAGAAGCCTGCACTTAACCAGAGTCCTCGCGAAGCAGCGACGAGTCAAGTTGAAGGACAGGAAGATCAGAACAACGATATCTCAGAAGATCCCGGCGAGGAGTTTATATCATCCCTTCACAACGCATCCACGAAGTTGATGTTACAAGTCAATGGCACTCGCGAACCCTCTCCAGCACAACAAGAGACTCTGGATATGATTGTGAAAGCAGCAAAAAAATACCTGGAGTCTAAGCACTCCTCTCAACAACCGGATGATGCATCTGCAAGCGCTTCCGCTTTGCATAAGGACAGCGAAGATCAGCAAATTGGTGAGAGCAGCACAACTGACACAGCGCCGGCGGAGACAACAAGTTTACTTTCACGAACTAAGAACAGGGATTCGAGCGACGATGCGTCACCAGACGATATCGAAATTGAGCACATGGGCACGGTAGATGACCTGGAATTGGATTCGGACGAGCAACAAACCAAGGAGGCGGAAGTTAAGGAATCTCAGATGTCGGAAGCAGAGTGTTCCTCTGACATGGATCCGAAGGATACAGTTGCGAAGTCCGCCACGAGCCCTGGGCTGAACAAGATCGACGTAAACCTTGATGCGCAGAGAGTGAACTATGAGTCACTGTTTTCAAACCTGCAGCACTTACAGAACGAGAACGATGCGTCCATCCAGAAAATCAAAGCAATATCTGTTCAGGATAGTTCCGATGACGTCGATCAGTTTAGTAACTCGGTTAATCAACTCAAAAAGCTGAGCCAACAAGCTGAACGTATCCGGGATGCGATCCGAACTACCCACATCGAAATGAAACACATTGAGAAACAAGTCTTTCACGATTCTAACGACAAGACTGAAGAAAAGTCACGACGTTCCATCGATGACTATATCCGAAACACAAGGGGCATTTCACTTGAAACACTAAGCATTCATCTAATCCCCGTCAAGGCTTCTGTTCTGTCGAGGGCGATTGACTTGAGCTGCCTCAAGAGCCTTACCTTGCTCAATGTGGGTAATCAAGGGCCAATCTGGACATTACTTTCGAAAGAGAACACAGCCTCCCCGCTAGCGCTACGTAGTGTCTTCACTGATAACGTCTCTATTGGATTCTTGAACTGCATGTCACAGCTCAAAGAATTGCACGACTTGTTTCTATTGGAACGAAGTGCTAAGCATAAGCCCGAGAGTTTTGCCCCGCGGACTGCTGTCACAATTGACCAGATTCGTCGACTAGTTCTCAAAAAGCATATGCACACCCTTAAAAGATTGATGATCAAGGACGAATCGAACAGTAGCGGGTGGGATGCAAACCAGAAGGCGATGATACTCATCTGCAACCGTGGTGTTCAGCTGGAGGAGCTAGCTCTCAGTATGAACATCCACGCAGTGGTAAGTTCGACTCTGCTGTTACGGGATATCGCTAATCGTGGCAACAGCACGCTTTCATGCAATATTTTGCTGGTCTGGTCAATCTTCGTGCTATTAATGTGCTTCGATTTAGGAACAACGACACCTGTATCTGGGTCATGCGAGAGATTCTCAACTTTATCGTTGATAACCTATCTCATCATCCCGAGCTGAAACTGGAGTGGATCGCCATGGAGGATGATCGACTTGATCGCGTCATCCGCCCTACAGATATTCCTGATGAAGGAGAGAAAAGACGTAGCAAAGGCAAAGAAAAGGCCACTGTGAACCACCACCATAACAATAGCAATCTTCCGATGCTTCCATCCTGGGGTTCGGATAGCGATAGTGAGGAGGATGACGACGATGCCTCGAACTGTGGAAAGAGACTTCGACTTCAAACCGTGGGTGTCCTCCAGTTCTATGAGGTCTGGGGTGTCAAGATCTTTGACAAGGAAGTTCGATCCGGTCGACTTTGAGGTCATAAGGAGTTTTCTACCTTTGGAGCGTAGTTTGTTTTGATACAGTGGTTGTTCACGGTAGAAAGAAGGCGCACATGGCTCCCCGGCATTAGGCCTGTGTTTGGATCAGCCTAGAGTGGTTGGGACAAAAGGGTGCACATCAAGGTTCTTAGATGTGAACACTAGCCCGTATGTAATTTACAAAGCGTCGTTTTCATTATTGGACTCTGTCGATGACAAGTGTTAATTCTGATTTTTCATATGGGACGAGATACCCCTATTACCCAGTCATAGATGGATGAACCTGTCGAGAGGGCATGATATGGTTCAACAACCTAGTCTTTTTCGTATTTCTCAATTCCTTCAATGTCTGCAATGCCTATACCACTACCATGTACATCCTCGCATGACTTAGATGTGTATCTACTAGGTATGTTGTATTTCTGATTGTTACATACAACAGCACGGTTTACCAGGGACACCATTCACGCTGAAGTATATCTTGCGACTAAACGTGTAGCGCGCTTATAGGTAACTGAGCAGTTTGTGATATACGAAACGACACGGCTCTAATACAACAGCTCTCTAGGGTAGTAATCACCACCAACTTGAATGACCCCTCCCCCCTATCTGAGTCTACACCCAATGAATACTTGAACCTCATGATATTTGTCGAAACCATCATGCATAGTCCCCATCAGGAGCTGCAGAACTACGTATAAAGGATATTTATCCATCCCTGGTTATAATCATGAGATTAGAGTAGTAATTCTTGGATTTTGGACTATAGTGTTACTGTGTCATATAGCTAGCTCTTGCATCAATCGCCAATTCTCGTCATCAGTTTTCAGACCCATATCAAGAGCAACTCCGTAACTTAATCATTTCGCCGTGCCTGAATCTAGGTTTGGTACAATTTACAAGTACACTACCCTGAAAAAAAAAAGGAAATCGCGTATAAACCCGGGGGTGAGAGAGCTGGTATCTAAACTAAAAGATGTGTATTTACAGCCTGGAGATGATGGCGGCTGCGTACTCGTTGGTCTTGGCCTTGCCGCCGAGATCGCCAGTCAGGGCCTTACCCTCAGCGAGGGTATCAAAGATGGCGGACTCAATTCGGAGAGCGTGGTCGTTGAGACCCATGTGTCGAAGCATCATAATGGAGCTGAGGAGGAGGGCAGTAGGGTTGGCGAGGTTCTTGCCAGCAATATCGGGAGCGGAACCGTGGACGGCCTCGAAGATGGAGCACTCGTCACCGATGTTGCCGGAGGGAGTAAGACCCAGACCACCAATCAGACCGGCGCACATATCGGAGAGAATGTCACCGTAAAGGTTGGGCATGACAAGGACCTTGTCGTTGTAGGGGACAGGGTCAGTGACCATCTTGAGGCAACTGTTGTCGAGGAGCTCGGCGTCAAACTCAATGCCGGGGAAGTCCTTGGCGACCTCCTGAGCAACCTTGAGGAAAAGACCGTCGGAGAGCTTCATGATAGTGGCCTTGTGAACGACGCGGACCTTCTTGCGGCCAATGGCCTCGGCGTGCTGGAAAGCGAATCGGAGGACACGCTCGGAAGCCTCACGGGTGATGAGCTTGATGCTCTGGACGACGCCATCGACAACGATATGCTCAATGCCGGAGTATTCACCCTCGGTGTTCTCTCGGATCAGGACGGTGTTGACGTTGTCGTAGGGGGTCTCGTAGCCAGCGACGGAGCGGCAGGGTCGCAGGTTGGCGAAGAGGTTGAAGGTTCGTCGGAGGGTGAGGTTAAGAGAGACGTGACCCTTACCAATGGGGGTCTGGGACGAGATGTTAGTCATTGGACCAGCATGTATGCGAAGGGTTCGAGCTCATATTGACGTACAGCAAGGGGACCCTTGAGGGCAATCTTGTTCTTCTTGATGTTGTCAATGGCAGCATCGGGGATAGCAGTCTTGCCGTCCTTGATGATAGGAGTGACGTCGACAGGCTCCCAAGCAATGGGGGTCTGGAGAGCATTGTGTTAGTATAAGCGTCTTTCGGTACGGCTCTTATAAGTGGGCGGCGAGTTGTCATGACGAACCTTGGCGGCGGCGAAGATGTCCTTGACGGACTGAGCGATCTCAGGGCCGATACCGTCACCCTCGATCAAGCTGACCAGGAAGTTACCCTACGCAATTTGTTAGCGGTGCGTCAATTGCAATTGAGGCTATAGCGACAGCTAAGCAGAGCAGAGCATCGTGTCGTGTCGTGACTGAGCTATTTTATCTCGGCACCATGCTCGGCCCAGCCGAGCGCTAGGATCGCCCATAAGCTGTGTGTTATGAGGGAGCGCAAAACGTACCTTGGCATCCTTGGTACCGTTGTACTTAGCAACTCGGTCGCCAGAGGTCGAGTAACATCGGTTCTGTAAGGAAAATGTGAGCGAATGTTGGTGTTGTGCCCAAAGTAGCTGTGACAAATTTGGGCAGGTTGCGGTGGTGATCTCATACCAGGAAGATGGCGGCGCGGGGAGTAGCAGTGCGCAGGGCTTGCCTGGAAGCGGGAGTTCGGAGAGCTCGAATGGCCAGCATTTTGAAGATGAGCGATCAGAGAGACTACCTTGATACAGCTTAAGGAGAAGTAAGAATAAGGCAAGGCAAGGGGAGGGAGGTTTGAAGAGAGGAGAGGGTATAATGTGAGAAGCGTGACGACAGGAAATAGAAAAAGAGGAAAGAATAACTCTGGTCAAGAAAACAACCTTTACCCAACCCAACCCCAAACCAAAAACCAAACCAAGCCAAACCAGATCCAATCCGAATGGCCAATGTTGCTTTCATGGCAGTTGAGCCACACATTGACAGCCCGAACAGGCCCACTACTCACTGGAAACCACGGGCAATAGTGGGTGTACCAAGGTATTTGTGCCTTTTAGATCCACTATCCTCCACTTTTTCGCGTCTTTTCCAGAGGTTCCAGTCGGCTACAGCCTCGTATCCCGCGCGGACTTCCGCTTGTCAGTTTTTTTTTCCATCTCCTCTGGCTCGCATTTCAAGATCCTGCTCCGAGCAACGAGGGGCCGGTGGGCATCCGCAATTAGTGATAGCAATCACGGCTTTAACTTACCTATTTCGTGTTCCTCTGTACAAGCCACAGGAACGTCACAAATTGAACCTGACAATGACAATGGAAGCATACCAATATTTGACAATTGCGCCACAGCTCGAAAGCGCCACATTAAAACCCCCCACAGTTCAATTGAAATTCAGCCACAACAGGTGCTTGAGCAGCTGCATATACCTTAGGTAAGAGGTACCTAGCTTCCGGCTCATACCTAGTACCTAGCATCAGATCTCTAAACAAGTGCCATTTACACCAATGCGCCCAGTAGGATAGGCTTGTATACCACATTGCGCAGCTTCAGCCAGAATCACAAATACATTTTCTCCGTTCCGCGAAAGAATTCTCCGCGACTTTGTCGCGCGACAACCCGGTGTACATTCATTCGACCCATCGAGTATGCGACCGATCCCCTGATTGTCCTACCATTAGGCCACCATCACCAACACAATGGCCGATACCGAACGAACGATCCTTGACTTCTACCAGATTCCTACGCTTTATCCTACAGAGTGGCCGGCGGAGAAAGATCTGGAAGACCTTGACGAAGATGAAGAAGGGGGGAAAGGCGCTGCATTGAAACGGAGACAATCTCGCTACCAGGCGCTTGAAAGGGCCGTGAGCCAACGGAAGAGCAACATTCCCAGAGAGGATGACCAAGGAGGTGTTGGCAATATAGTGCAGAAGGATGAGCCCGACCCGTTAGGAACTACAGACAGCGTTGTCAGAACCCTCAAGCATCTTGGCCTGCCCCTCCAAGATGACCACCGACTACGTATGTCCCCGCATCATGACTACCTATACGTTGAAGGCATGGGCTGACTGAACATGACTCTATCAGGCAATCGATTTCTTCTTTCTTCGACAACCTTCTCGCCAGCTTTGTTTCTCTCCCAAATGCACGCTACCGCCGACACTCGGAGTCTACTCACTGGCCTTGATGTCCTTTCACAGTCCATCGATCAGAAGTCCGCCTCACTCAAGGTTCTTGTTGAGACCAACTTTGAAAGATTTGTGAAAGCCAAAGCAACTATAGATAATGTCTATAAAGAGATGAAATATCGCGGGGCTGAACCACCCGATCCAAACAATCCAGGCCCTTCTAATGCAGCTCAGCGTCGTAGCTTTCGGAATAGTGTCGTCGGTGGTGCTGGCTTAGGAATTAACAATCCCCTGACATCTCCTACCACTGATACGCGTAAGAAGAACGCGTTGACCAAGGAGAGCGAGTATGGTGTTCTGGGTATCAAAGGCCCTCTATTAGAGGTATCGGCAAAGGCCGAAGATGTTTGGGGACCTGCCCTGGGAGGAAGGGAAAAGGAGGAAAACCTCAAAACCGTTTCCAACCATCTAACTAGATTCAAAGACTACGTGGAGTTAAGCACCGCATTGGCTGACAGTATCAAACGAAAGGACTACGAATCGTTGGTCGACGAGTTCGGCAGGGCCAGAAAGATTGCAGACGAAGCGCGACAGCTCACCGAAGACATAGGGGATGAGACCCCAACAGAACCACAGCTCTACCAGTTGTTGATAGCAGGTCGCATGTGGCATGACGTGGATCAGCAGATCCGCTCTTTCAAACGCGATATTTGGAAAAGGCTGGTTACTCTGCATACAGCGTCCAAGGCAGATGGTGCAACAGGTCGTTCCCAGGATCAGCATATGGAGCTCATTGGGTTGCTCTTGGAGCTTGGCGCCGACGACAACCCGATATGGGTATGGCTTTTGAGTCGATACGATCATCTCAAAGGCAAAATCCAATCGACCGCAGACCGCTCAAAGGTTGAGATCGAGGTGCTTCGTCGCAGGCTGGCCAGCAACGATAAGCCAAACCCGAACATAATTGCCGCGCATCTTCGATCCCTGGGACGACCAGTAGTTGAGGACAAGCCCCAGACATTTGATTCCCCTGAGGTTGTCGAGCTTTGGGAGAAGATGCTGTTATTTCTCCACAGTCTTTTGTCAGGTGAAGGCATCCTGGGCGAAGTAATAGAATTCTGGCAGACAGTACAAGGGTTCATAAACGGTTCTGCCCAGGCTGCCCTTCCTGTAGGATATCGTGGCGAGTCTCGGCATCATCATGAGTTATCACTGCAGAGTATTGCAGAATTACGAAAGGGAGCCGTGGAATTGGTGGACTTGCTTCGAGAGCACGCCTACTCTTTCTTTGTGGACGTGCCTCCCGAAGATGTATCACTGCTGTTTTCGCCGCTTCCTACTACGCCCGCCCCGACGACGCCTCAGTCTGGCTCTCTGGTCTCACCACGAGACCCACGCTTCAATTTCGACCCTAACAATATGCCTCCTCCCTCACCCAAGAGAGGAGAGGTCTGGGAGAAGCTAGCGTTTTGGCCCCCATGGTCCAACTCTATTAGCGGCGTACACTATCTGTCCAAGATGCTGACTTTAGTTGGTGCTGGAGCGGGTGACCTGGCGTGCATTGAGCCAATCGAATCAGGCGAAGGCCAGGTTATCGATCGTCTCAGGAGTCTTGTTGGAGGCTCCCGAGAGCGCTGCGTTACAGCATTATGTGCTGCCTGGAACCGGGATGCTGAGAATATTAAGTATGTCGAGGACTGGCAACGCTCGGTTGAGATGGGTGACGTGACGCGTATGCCGTCTAGTTTCGCTGCCTTTGAGGGGGCAGTTTTGTCGGGCATGCAAAAGATTCTCTATATCCCTGATGCTATGTCAAGGTCAGGTTCGGGAGATATTGTCTTGCCGCCCCCAACCAAACTTCTTCAGATGGTTCGCAGCCAATATGTCACTACCTTGTACAAGGCCTTGAGTGGCATGGTCGAGAATGCCGAGCGATCTTTAAAGAAGACCGAGGACGACTGGTCAATAGACAGCGAGGGATCGCTTGCATCAGCCGCAGCGCCTAGTATGGCAGGCAAGGGAGCGTTGGACTCAGGAGACAGGGTGAGTTTCTTATCACTAGTTCAAGTGCCCTTTTTATTATTACCATACTGACAAGCTTATGCAGAATATCCGTATGCTTATGACATTAAGTAACCTTTCCTCACTGCGGTCGCAAGTGGTGCCAAGTCTCAACTTACAGTTCGAAAATGCTTTTTCTGTCAAGTTGACAGATGAATCCAAGAAGATTCGCGAAGTTTTGGGCCAAATCCATGACCGGCTGTTTCAGTCTTACACAAAGCAATCGATTGAGAGACTTCGCGACGTCATCCAATCTGGTATCTCAGCTCCTGGTTGGGCTCCCGGTCAAGGGCAACGCACGCAAGCCGCCAAACCATACGTCTACGAGGCCCTGCTCACTCTTGTTCTCGTTCATTCTCAGGTCTCTACTACAGCGCCGGCTCTTACTGTTGAGGTCCTGTCTTTCCTCCTCGAGCAAACATCTGTCCAGCTCCTAGAAGCTTTCCGACGACGCCCACGCTATACCCTCGAAGCTCTGATGCAGGCGACACTCGACGTTGAGTTCGTCGCCCAAACCCTCAGCCACTACACTTCGGAACGGGCTTCGGAGCTTCAGAGCCAGATCTACCAAGAACTCGATGCGCGGACAGATAACGAAGCACGCGCGCGTCTCCAGGGTGAGCTATCTGACATGCGCAACGTCCTCAAGCGACTGAGGGAGGCAAGCAAAAATGAATTCGCTTGCTTCAAGAAGCCAAAGAGGCCTGGCCATGGCCCTAGCAGGAATAACAGCGGTCTCTCTGGCATCTCAGTCTAGAAGGCTCTGGAGCCGCGTACTTCCAGCACGGCAAGCAAGCAAGAGAGGGAATATGATAGCACTACTACATCAATGGACTCTAGAGGTTAGAACGGTTTCGGGGGCGAATGGCCTGCCGCATTTGTGGATATATAGAAGCAAAAACCAATGATGAAGCGAAGTGATCATGATGGACTTTTCTGTTGCCACTCCATTCAACCTCTGAACTCTCCTCTCCAGTGTCAAGAAAACCCCGAGGTATCTCATCTTTTGTCTATGCCATAAACGCCTGATCTGGACCACAACCCCTCATTTCTGCCCTGTTTTCTTTTTTGTGTTTTCTCCGCCCTTCCATCAAGTCTTTGGCCATAACGTCCCATGGCTAATCATATACATGCGTCGTGGTATCAAAATTCATTTGCTTTTTCCGTCCAGTCATTAGCCATTAAAGGTTTAGAATCAACATCATTTCCCCCATATTTGCAGTTGCTGAGTACACTGTTGTTTTGAGGTGCGAACAAGAGCTGCTTGCATCGACCTATTGAGATTGTTCAGGGTATGTTTGTGACGAGAAGATGAGAGCAGAACATCATCTCAAGAGATCGAGAGTCCGCTGGAGAGAACGGAGAGCCCTCTTGTCGAGCAAGGATGTTATCATCTGCAATAATCATTAGTATAAGGCCCAGGGATGGTATCAGGGCAAAGATACTAACAGTCTAGATCAATGTTTTGAAAATAGGCGCCCACTACAGGATCTTGCTCCGATGTGATCAGTTTGCCTGTCTCACCGCGAAGTGTTTGTGGCAATGCCTTTCGGATCGCCAGGAGCATCTTGAGCAGCCCCGCTAGGTTGCCACCCTGCTGTGTGAAGACACCAGGATCTCGTTCTAAAGGCCACCCAGGGCGGAGATGATCTTGTTCCCACGCCTTGAAAGCCCAGGTCGATTTCTCAAGACAATTGAGGAAGATGACGGCTGTCAGGTACATCTTGAAGTTGACCTTGACTTTGCTATCCTGAAGTACACGGTGCATACCACTCAGCAGTGCCTTGGACGTGTTGTTGGCCTTTCGTTCAGCTGCCGCGTTCAGCTGCATGCAAAGAGTTGTGTAGATGTCGGCGTCATTCTCGCTTTTGGCCTCCTGAATGCGTCTGGGTTCTTCGTTCTTGTTGGCTGGTCGCTCAATAACGTTCCACTGTCTCTCGCGGTCGATGCTCTCTACAAGACCCCATAGCTCGAGGGATTTTCTGAGCAGGTCGTCTTCCGCCTCTTGCAATTGCTGAAGCGCAAGATCTAGAGTGACGCGCATGAATTTTGAGGGTTCCCTATCAATGAAAAGCTGGAAGACATCGCGCATGTATGTCTCCACCTTGCCCGGCACATCTTCCTTGTCCTGGTCGATCATGATGACCTGGAAGAATGAATCCTTGCTTCCTCGACTTTCTGCTAACGACTCACTAGGTTCCAGCAGAGCAACCAATGCCTCGAGAACAATGACTTTGCCTGTCTCGGGGAAGTGCGAGACTTCTATCATGGTACCATCGTGTGTCATGTTCAGCTGATTTTTCAAAAGGTTTATCCGGTTCTGGGATAGCACAACCTGTACTCCAGCCGAGTATAAATCGAGCTGCTCCTGGAGCCTTGTCCGTACGCAACCAGTTCTCCATACCCTGGGCGCTAGTACCTTTCGGCAAGTATCACAAGGCGTTCCCTTACCACAGTTCTTACGAAGGATTCTGCACCTAATACAAGCGCCAATCTTGCGGACCTCCTGAACTTCCTTGCGGCGCGCAGCACTGAAGCGGGATCGAGCGTGGCGGGGCCGCCCATTGAGTTGCCCGTCGCTTGTATCCATCCGGATACCACCTCTGTTCATTTGGATGGCTGGCGAAGGGTGCTCGTGCATAAGGGAAACTGGCGGAGCCGTCGCCAAGTATGTCATCTCGCCCCAAGGTTGCGAAATTCCATTATCGGGAGCCGTGACCGCGCTAGGTGAGGTTTCCATTGCAGCCGGGATGTCCATAGGAGGTGGTGGTGTCGGGGTACCACCATTTTCGTTGACGAGCTGTGGATCAAGGAGAGACGGGTTGAGCCTGGCAGTAGCAGCAACAGCCACTGATATGTTCGAGACATCGGGTGAAGCAACACTGTTTGGCAGCAATGCTTGAAGTCGCTCTTCGGGTGATAGCTCGTCTCCAGGGAGCGATTGTTGAATCACGCCTTGTAAATATTATTAGTATTTTCACATCACTTGAAGCTCGGATGACATACCCCTGGTTCCGTGCTGAGGCCGGGTCTCGTAGCTCACAGGAGGGTTATCAAGAGTGAACTGTTCGTGAAGCTCAAAACGATCTGTGACATGTTGAGCATCGGCTGGGTCGACGCTGGCTTGAACGCTCTGGGCACGGTTATTCTCATTAAGATCGACCTGCCGCGATGCTTCGGCGAGCGTCTCGAGGGCGCTCCATCCTTGTGGGAGGTTGGGGACGTCTACAGGCTGTCCGTTCGGCTGCGCTTCAGGGGGCGGTCGTTCGACAGGTGCTCGGGCATTTGTGATGCCATGGAGTTCAAGGCAAGCTCGCATACGATCAGATTCGTTGATGGCGGGACATTTCTTGGTGATATGGGTGGTCAGGCTGTCTATCCTGCCTTTCGGAAAGTTCTCACCGCATTGCTTGCACGTGTGCGGATAGCGGTTGCTGTTGTCGTTGAGCTTGGGGCCCCGGACGAAGTACTCAAGGATGAGGGGATTGGGCTTGCGGCCCATTGCGCGCTCCGAAGCGTCGTAAGCGCCTCACCCGCAACCGTATCCGTCAGGGTGTTGAGTGCGCTGATTCCACCAAATACCAACACTGGAAGTCCAGAAGACCTCGGAGTAAATGCAGGATTGAGAGCGTAGGGCTGGGATTTGGTGATGGGATTGTGCCGTGGCAGTGATTCTGCCTTTCCAGACCGACAAATTTCTTACACCGCCTGTAGTGTCGGACTTGTGGTTTATCCGACCCGGATGCTGATCTGTGCGCAAGCTATAGGTCGAAATCCTCCGAAGTTGAGTTTACGTCCATAGATAGTAAGAGCTCACTACCTATTGCTCGCTAAGAATGGATCCCATGGCGGGGGAGTCAAAGTCTACTAAATAAAAAAAAGTTGCACCCCGCGCGCTCCAGATATATTTTTAAGACCTTATCCGAGCACATACAAGGGTGCAAATTACCATTGACATTGGCTCCTCACAGTCGCGCATTATAAACATTCAATTCAAAATGAAGAACATTCAGCGCCTTGAGCTGCCAGCTGCCGCTGATATGCACGTCCATTTGCGTCAGAGCGAGTTGATGGACCTGGTGGTTCCTACTGTTCAACAGGGTGGAGTTGATACGGTATTCGTGTATGAATTCAGTGTCCTAGAGCAAATCGAATATACAAAGGCTAATAAAATGCAATAGTATGCCTAATCTTGTATGTTTTCTGTTGTGATTGCTGTGTGTTTGAACACGGAGAAGGTCTGAATGCGTTGATTTATCAAATAACTGACCTACCTGATTTGCATGTAGCTCCCTCCTCTCACTTCTGTCCAGCAGGTATGTACCTTGTAATTTAAATTTAAATTTGTCCAAGCACTTAAATAAACCAAAACTAACACCGTTTTTGCTACTAGGTGCTTGGTTACAAGTCCAAACTGACTACCATCACTCAAGATGTCAACTTCCTCATGTCACTCTATGTCAGTCCACCCCCACCCTATACATGACCCGTCTCTAACTCGTATAAGCTTCACCCTTCAGTGACTCCTGAAGTAATTGCTCAAGCTGCTAAGGCCGGTATTACGGGTGTCAAGTTGTATCCTCAGGGTATGTTTGATCGTCCCACTTTCCAAGCATGAAGCACTTACACGATGTAGGTGTTACCACCAACTCAGAGAGTGGTGTTTCTGATATTACGGCATTCTATGATACCTTCGCTGCCATGGAGAAGCATGGAATTGGTAAGTATATTCAACTCCGCATTATACATGGCCAAAACTCATGCTTATATTCCCAGTCTTGAACATTCACGGCGAGGCCCTTGAGTCTCTTGCGCCAGCCGACACAACCTTGGAAGAAGCGTTCCTCCCTACCCTGAAGCAGCTCCACGATCGATTCCCACAGCTGCGTATTGTGGTATGTCTGTGCCAATGATGCAGTATCAATGACACGAGAGCTAATTTATGCATTGAAGCTTGAGCATTGTACCACTGCCGCTGCTGTGGAGGCTGTCAAAGCCTGTGGCCCTACTGTTGGTGGTATGACCTCCCAGCCCGCATTGTGACAGCGAATAGCTCACACTGACCTCCCACGCAGCGACTATCACTGCTCATCATCTTTATCTCACTTCCAGTGAGGCCTGCTGCGACCCTTTTGCTTTCTGCAAGCCAATTCCCAAGAAGCCTACCGATAGAGATGCCCTTGTCAAGGCTGTAGTTAGCGGCAACTCCAAGTTCTTCTTGTAAGTCGTTGAGACCCCCTTACCGCTGTACTACCATAGTTCATGGTACTAACATGCTATAGTGGAAGTGACAGTGCCCCTCATCCTCTGCAGTCCAAGACCTCCGCAGAAAAGGGTAAGGCGCCTGCGGGTGTCTTCACCCAGCCTTATGTGGTGCAACTTGTCCTTCTTGGTCTTGAGGAGGCCATCGAACGTGGCGTCATCACGGAAGATGAAGTCACACAAGAGAAGCTCGAGAGCTTCCTTAGCCGCAACGGACGCCGCTTTTATAAGCTGCCCGAAACTTCTGACAAAAAGATAATCTTGGAGAGGAAGGGCGAAAAGATTCCTACGAGTGTCAAGAGTGCCAATGGAAAGTCCGAGGTCGGTATCTCTAGACATGGTGCTGAAGTTTTCAGCTTGACCTGGGCTTAACTCGTGATTGTCGATTACGAATGGAGGTGAGGTATAGAGGATGTGTAGAACCATAGACTTGTAGGTCTAAGAAGGAAAGCATTTCTTTCGACCAAATAAGTCTATGCTATCCACGAGCGATGGGAATTTGATCAATAATTCAGGCCAATAAAAGAGTAGATATGTATCCGGACAACCATAACTCCATGCTATGCTCTCGAAGTCCGAACGCAACTTAAACAGAGTGGATACAGTTTAAAAAAGCAGCACAACTATCTAGATTCTTCATCACCTCCCCAAACATTGCGGAACTCATCCTCATCTACTCCGTAATTTGGAGAACGATATGAGCCAACAGGGGACTGCGGTTGATCTTGATCGTTGTTGCCAATAGCTTCAGTTTCGTCGTTCCTGGGACTTTCCTGTCCATCCCGCCCACCAACTTGAGCACTTTCCACAGAAGCAGGAGGCTCCTTGTCTAGAGCCAACGCACGAGGATTTGGCTCTGCGTGCTTCACGACCTTCTTAGACTTCTTTTTCTTCTTGATCAGGACGACAGGCTCGGGTTGAGTTTCGGGTTGAGTTTCGGGCTGAGGTGTGCGTGAGGGCGCATGTGCTCTGCTCTTTTGCTTGCCTTTATTGTTTGAAGGAGGGTACTCTGTCGCCGGTGACCTCACCGACGGACTAGCGTAAGCAGGAGAGCGCGTACCAAAGCTTCCAGGGGAACGATATCGCTCTCTCAGTGGCTCACTTGCTGTGATAACAGGGTACTACGATTCGTTAGATAAAAATATTCATTTGAAGCCGAGTTCACTCACATTCCAATCGCCGTATTCCAGTTGGCGCGCTTGTTCGTACAGACGATCTTCATCAGCGTCTATTTCCGGCTCATCAAAAGTGTTGTGTGTGTTTTCATTGATCTGATCAGGTCGGTTGTCACTTGATTCACCGTTTCCTCGAAGAAGAGGCGTTGTCGAGTTGACTTCTCCTGGCTTTGGAAGCCAGTACTTCCCCTTTCCGCCACGCTCGTATCGCATACCCTCCTTGAGTCTCGCGAGACGAGATTTGGAATCTTCGTGAGCCATCACCTTGTCGCCAGAGTCAAAGATTCTGTAACCGTAGGTGTCTCCTCGGAAAGTTAGTTTCGAGTCTTCGATGAGGTCCCTCACCCCAAAGGCATCCTTGAAGGCATGCCTTAAGGGCATACGCGCAGATAGAATGCTGTTATCGGCGAAATCATGCCATGAAAAAGCATACCAATGGGCTACTGCGAAGATGGGCATCTCCACACATATTAGAGCGTCCTGAATAGCTGCTGCCAAGTTGTCTGAGGTGTATCCCTCAACATTATCGGGAATCGCACCCAGGAACACCAAGATTGACAAGAAGAAACCTTGCCAATATGATGCAAAAATGATGAGCTTGATGCATAGGAATTTGGGAACAGGTCTGAAAGGTTTCAGATCTTGGTTCATACAAACCCAGAAAAGGCCGAGCGCATATAAACTAACAGTGACGCTAATGTTGTACACAATACCACTCCAAAGGTAGCCTGAGGTGAGGCCGATATAGCCTTCCTGATAGGTTCCGGTCGCTTTCATGATGATAGCAGATAAAGCAAGAATGGGCTTTAGCCAAGCGTACTGAAGGATCCCGCGCTTGATGGATAAGAACGTATGAGGATCCGAAATATCGACTTTGGGAAGGACATGGTTGAGGGGCCAAAGATGGTGTACTGGAGCTCGGCCGTGTGTCATGATAATGAGAGACCGCTCACCACTAAGGTAGTTGATGAGAAGCTGGAAGAAGGTATAGATTGTAAAAGCTTCGTATATGTCGCGGACTGGATCGAGGAACGCGGCAGCTTTCAAAGAGACCATGCTAATCCATGACGCGATCGAGTATATGGGAACCATGACGAGGATTCTAACGACATATCGTTGTAGAAGAGGCTTGCGATAGTTTTTGGCTTGTAACAGTATTGAGCTGTGACCTATGATTAGTTATGCGCATCACCATGAGAGGCATGAAGTGAATAGAGCATACATGACAGAAAGTATTATCGCAATCACGGAAGCAAAGCCAGCAACCACCGTGGTGGCGTAGGTGAGCTTCTGACCGGTGCCGCCATCTGACGTTATCTCGACGTAGTTCGCCATTGCTACACGAAGATCGCGGCTCGTCGAGGTTGAAAGTGGGTATAGAAGCAATAGCTGGAGTGTCTTAGGACATGACTGAAGGATTGCGCAAGTTCTGGACGACGGGGATGTCGCTGGCAAAAGGTGACTAAAGACACGATATGCGAAAGTGAGTGTTGAGAGTACTCAAATCGCCCCGATGACGACACTGGAAGCCTTGGGAAGAGTTAGTTGTCGCCTGGCCATGAAGTTGCGAATCAAGCTTGGTATTAAACCTCTGCCTAGGTATGCTGGGGGCAGATGATGTATTCGCTGCTTTGAGTGTGGTAGGTAGATACGTAACAGTGTGTCAGGAATGATAGCTCCGGGACGGCGTATTGTTCATGCGCACTCATGGACGCCTGCCCTTTTGAAGACCCTTTATTGAGACTAGCCGTTTAAGCTTGGTAAATTAATACGTAGGAATCAGTTAAATGAAACCATTGGTCGGGGCATTAAGTGATCGTATTTCATGTGTAGGAATATGATTAGTGGACATAAGGTATTCACTGCGAAGTCGGGTCCTTTACCCGAAACATCTGCAAGTCTTCCATGGCAAATGCAGAGCCTCACTTATCAGTCTGGGCCAGCCAAGATCCAATATTAGGATGAACGATAGGTACCTACCTACTAACCTACGGATACTAACCTAGGTACCTTAGTATGTAAGCTTTCCAGTGATATGCGGGTATGGATGGAACGAGGCGCTTTAGCAGGCGGGACGCTAGAATCTTAATCTCAACCACTGAAGCGAGGCCATGGACAGTGGCTCCGCTATCCTGCATCCGCTACGTGACAGGGGATACACATTAACCTTATGAGATGCGGTCCCGTCGCGAACTTTCAAGATTGGATGACCTGACTGTCTAACGCATGCAGCTCCTGACCGACTCAACATCAACAAGCCAATTTTTTACTCGACAACTTACTCATGGCGCTCTGGACAACATCCTAACAGATACAGTTTGCGAACCGATAGTCGCTGGAATTATAATGCGACGCACCTCTCTATCTTCGAGTAGAGTTCCCTGAGCTCCGTCGAACCCATCCCAACATGAATATCACCATGCTGGACTTCGATCATGCGGCTGCCTTTGCAGCTAGGGCTGTTGAGGAGAACCCTCAATTCAATTAGTATGATTCTCTCTAGCATTCTTCATATTTCGCTCACATCTGACTGGAGTAATTCAATAGCAAATTCCTCATCTTTATGGCCTTGTGCTGTGTCCTAGCTATCTTCTTCCTCCTCTATTTCAACCGAGTCTTTGCGTCGATCATAACCTATGCTCTCCGAGCTTATACATGGCACCACTACCGAGTCTACATAGATGTGAATGCCATACAGATATCACTCCTCGGTGGCAGAGTCTTCTTTACAGGGTTGCGATATCACGGCGAGAACGAAACGTTTATGGTCCAGCATGGCTACATAACATGGCGATATTGGCTTCGGCGAGTTCGGGATGCAGACATCATCGATGATCGACGATCTAAAAAACCCTCCACAGACGCTACGCCGACTAGCAACATAAAGAACTCGGATCTTCCATGCCGCATTCAGGTGGATCTCATTGGTTTGGAATGGTTCGTGTACAACCGTAGCCCAGCATATGATGGTATATTGGCGGGACTTACTGAGACTGTTGAGCCGGAGTTGCGCTCGAGTGGAGTATCAGAAAAGGAAGAGGCAAATGTACGGTCCCGAGGGCACAAAAAAGAGAAGGATTCCTCGACCGGCGACGAGAAAGGGGCAGAGGCGAAGCAGGAGTTCAGTGAGCGAGCAAAACACATGTTCCGGCGCACGACAACAGGCTTTGGAAGCGGTGGAGATGATGAGAATACCAAAACCGATAAACCCGAGCTACCCTTCATGCTTCGACTACTTCCTGTACACATCCGATGCCAAAAAGCTGCCGCGGTTATAGGCAATGAGAACACGAAGGCTATCCTGGTTGCTAAAGCCGACTCCCTAGACGTGGAAGTGGACGCTTCGGAAACTAGCACACCCGATCCATATCGACAAACTTTCAAGGTTCAGTTCCAACACCCGGTTATTGAGATGAAGGAGAACGAGGATTTCAAGGAGGATCAGGTTACTCGGGCGACAAGGGATCGCGACAACACTCAGAGTCAGGAGGTAGCATCTAAGCGATCGCTATTTCGTCACCATCGTCGGAAAGCTGTTAATTCGTTGCGGAACTTGGTTCCTTACTGGCGACGTTCCGTTGAATCCTTCTCGACGGATTCACGGACTGCCATGAATACCGCCACGTCGCAAGTTCCTGGGGCGAATCAATGGCAGGGTTTGACTCGATATTTGGATGATCGTGATAGAGACGATAGAGCTCGTTGGGCATCTGTCGAATACGCTGCCGTGCCAACCATTCTTGACAGCCCCGAAGCTGTACTCACAGTATTCTGGGATGCGGTAGGAAAGGTTCCAGATCAAAGTCGTTATGGGGGCACAAAGGCATTTCCATTCAGTATTAATGGAGACGAACCTCCTGCATGGGGTATGTCATTTTCCATTAAAGGAGGCACGATGAATTATGGCCCTTGGGCAGATCGCCAAAGGGCGGATCTGCAGCGATTCTTCTTCCCTTCGCTCTGCAAGGATGCTACACCAGCCAAGCCATTAAAGCCAGGAGACTGGAGAGTTGCCACGACGTTCCAGCTTTATATCGAGATGGACGATGCAGTCACGTTGAGAGTGCCCGTCAGGGAAGAGTCCAAGAACTGGCGTTGGCGTGGCAAAGAGCCTCCGATGCGGCACGCGAAACCTCCCACCAAACGAAAGCAAAGAAACAGAGCCAAGAAAAACAATAAAGGAGACGCTACCCAAGAACGGCCAGGGGGGTGGCTGGAAGTGAAGCTTCCGGCTAACTCTTCAGTCAAGTTCAACATGGACATGTTGGCTAGCTCTACGGGCTATACATCCAAACTTGATGTTGATTTGCCAGGTTCTGAGCTTTGGAGTAGCGTGAACCACGATCTCTTGTGGCGATCTGGTGCTCAGAGGATATCGTGTGACATGTCGAACCCACTATCATGGAACTCGCTCAGGAACTGGTACTTCAACATTACCAGCTCGAAGATGGAGCTTTTCATGCTGAGAGATCACATCTTCCTCATCACAGATTTGGTTGACGACTGGACTACTGGACCACCTGCCGACTATCTGGTTTTTGTGCCCTTCAAGTATCATCTCAACCTTAACCTGAAATCTTTACAGGTTTATCTTAACGTTAACGAAGCCAACATTATTGATAAAGCGACGGTCATCGAAGACAACACTTATCTCATTCTTTCCAGCTCTTGCTTAACCGCCGAGTCATGCATCCCTGCCGACACCTTTCGACCGAGCAAGAATGCCATCCCTTTTGATGTTCGTGCTGACCAGTTGGATATGGCGCTTCAAGTCCCTCTGTGGAATACACAGGCTGCATTCCTCTCTTCCAAGCAATTGGGCCACATCGAAGGTCTTGTGATAGATGGAAGCTACAATTACAATGCCACAACATCGACAGCGAATACGGATACTCTGATCCTCAATGTTCGTGGTCAATCGCCTTACATATATCTATACGGGTTCCTCGTCCGATATGTTATTCTACTCAAAGACAACTACTTCGGAGAGTTCGTACATTTCAGGACGCTGGATGAATACCAAAATCAGCTGCAGTTGAAGAAGAAGAATCCAGATGCGGATGTGGTGACACAGCCTCCTCCTAAGAAATCTAACGATATGGATGTTATTCTTGGGGTGCGGATTGAAGATCTTAAAATGATGCTCCCAACGAATCTTTACTCGGCCGAGCGCTATGTTGAGGGCGAGCTGGCCAGTATCTCTGTTGACTTACGATTTACCAACTATTTCATGGAAGTTGAGGTGGAGGTCAGCCCCGTGAGTTTGTCACTAGGATGCAGTGAGGGTGCTATGGATTCACCTGGCATGTCTTCGTCGAACACCCAGCTCTTCATTGACGGTCTACGGATATTCGGCCACAAACTCTTTGGACTTCCACCCTCTGAGCCGGCCTATGTCTGTAACTGGGATGTCGCTGTAGGTAGTATCGCGGGAGAGTGCACATCCGAATTTCTCGTCGCGGTTGCAAAGGGTGGCAAAGCCCTGGCCTTTTGTTTTGATGACGTTGAGAATGCACTTGTGCCATACTCATCGCTCGTCTTCTACGACGTCACATTTGCTCGAGTTGCTGTGGAATCCATTCAAGTTTGGCTACATGTCGACGAAGCTGCTTTCCTTGTGTCAACGGATGCTATCGATGTATCCTTCAATGATTGGGCGAGATCTCATTATTCAAAACGTGCGGACATTGTTGTACCGAACATCCAAGTTTCATGCGTCAATGCAGAGTCAGCAGGAAGACAAAAGTCCAGATATCAACACCCTATGGAAACAGATGCCCATTTTCAAACAACCATTCGCCTCGCTGTTATTGGACGCAAGTTCAAATTCAGTGAAGAGAGAAGGATCCAGCAGGAACTGGTTCAGAGGGAAGATCAGCGTACACACCGAGCCAACTTCCTCATCTTGCCGCAATATGTGGATGAGCTTGTGCCTGAGCTGGTGGACCCTCCAGCTCAATGCGCACCTCAGCCGCCTCAACCAGCCCTAGGATTGACCGACGAGATGGACAATGTTTCGCGCAGGACGATAGCCTCACGTCAGTCGCGTGGCTTGAGTCGCAAATCCTCATTCCTTTCCCTTGCCGAATCTAGCAGTGGCAGCGTTGTGCTTGGACAGAGTCAACACAGGGCTCGATCTAGATCCAAACAGCAGGACTTCCTAGGAGTTAGGTCCTCTCTAGCAGATAAGCGTCAATCTTTACGATCAAAAGGTTCATTTGGATCTCATCGCTCATTCAACGACTATGCTACTAAGGACGGCGTTGCTCATTCTTCGGTGGCATTTTCCAGTCAATATGTTTCGCCTCAGTTTCCACTTCATGGGTTGCGGCCAAATACTCATGAAGTACCTTTCCCGAGTATTGAAGAAGGTGAGGAAGATGACGGATTCGACACGATTAGCATAGGACTGGATGATATCGACCCTAATGGTTTGGGCGAGGATTATCCTTATATGAGCGCTATAGTCGAGTTTCCATCTGGCATGTCTGCTTTCGTTAACCCGTCGGCATTGCGTTACGCTGCCTCTTTACTTGACGCTTTGCAACCGAACGAACCAGAAGACTTGTTAGACGTCTTTCAGGTTGATGCCATGACCCAAATCTTCGATCTTCAAAAAGAACGAGAAACAAAAGGTCAAATCAAAGACTTTATGGTTCGGATACCAAATGCTTCATTTCGACTTCTCAACTCAACTGGCGAAGATCCTTCTGGGTATGCTCAGGAGGAGCAGGATCAATACGATCTCACTATTTCGAAGGTGTCCCTGATGACGCGGACTACCACCAACTGGGATGACCCCTTTCGAGAGGAGACACGGCATTCACGCACATCGCTTCAGCTGCGCCTAGGCTCAGCAGAAGTTTCTGCATCCGAACGCAAACCGTCTTTCCAAGAACCCCAGCCTGCTGTGATGGCACAGATCGAGGATGTGACTGTATCCATAGGCGAGAAAGATGTTAGGTTCATCGATGCAGATATTGGGTCTGTTGTTGGAAGTACTGCTTCAGGCAAGATAGAGTATCTTGCTTCTCTCATCCATCGCACTGGCCTCGTTGCGTCCGAGCTTGGACATGTTTTCTCGGAAACGCTAGCGAAGCATGACAATCGTCACAAGTATTTTACATACCTCCTTCTTGAACAGGGCGAGCCAATCAACGACCCATCCTTTCTGGTCCGGCCTTCTGCTGTGCTTCGATCCGCAGACGACCATCTCCGAACATCTGATTCTTGGAAATTGGCCATGCGACTTCGTCAGATTTGGACCGCCATGGAGCCACAATCGAAGTCTCAAATCATTCAGCGGTGCTTCAATGCTACTCCTGACATCCCAGCGGATGCTACAAACTATGTAGTGGCCGCATTAGAGAAGTGGCGCGGCTGGGACATGGAGGATTTGACAAGTGCATTCCTCTTGACCAACGTCTTTGGGCAACTCCAGAACACAAACGTAGCCTCTGATCAGCTCCCTCTTCTTGGTGCTTGCAGACTTGCGGAGCTACAGCTTGTTCTTGACCCCGGACCAAAACAGAACAAAATCGGCTTTATCGATCTTGCTGCGAGAATTGACCAGCAAATGCATGAGGTCGAATCCGTAGGCGAGGCACCTGGTGCCCCTTTTACAACTTTGAACATTTCATGTGCAGAGGCTGGAGTCAACCTAAACTGGGAATTATGTGAGCTCGCTGAAGAAGTTTTACAACTTTACAGTAAAAACCAGAGCCAAACCCAACCGTCGGCAGTTATCCCAAAACCCCAACGCCCGGCAAATTCCAATCCCTCTTCTTGGCCTCCTATTCATATGGTAATGGAGTTGACGAAAGGAGCAATTGAACTCGAGACTATCAATCTCAAGGCAAGGACGTTAAGTCACGGATTAAAACTGTCTTTACTTCACCAGTCTAGCCTAGATGCCTCGAGTGCTATGAGCCTCATGCTTAATTGCAACGCTATCACTTCGGCGATTCACAGCAACTCCCATTCCCTTAGCATGATGCAGTTGAAATACCCAAGCATATTCATATCTCATGAGCTACAAAAGACCGAAACCACATCAAACCACGTAATCAAAGCCAGCGCGGGCAGTCGAAACCTGACTTTTGCGGTAAAGGAAGATCTTATTGGGCTTATGGAAGTATTCGATCGCCTCCTCAGCGATGAGATCCAGACGGTCTACGGCTTGAAAACTCAGCTTGCCAGTTTGTCGAAGCCCAAGCCTGACGACCAACAAAGGAAGATTTCGGATCGCCTCTCAAGCGTGAAATTCAATCTTGCCATGTTCTTGGATGAATACAGCATCACTATACCTTGCCTCCAGTCTCTTACATATAAAATCACCGGAACTGTGGCTCGAGCAGCGGCTGCTGCTAATTTCGGAAAAGAAATCATCTTCGACTTCGATGTCAAGGAGAACTATCACGAAATGCAGATCAACGTGAGGAACAAGCCTCGAAGCATTTCTCTCTTCCAAATCCCCCCAACCAATGGTCGCATTACAAGTCACATGGGTCAGACAGAGCATCAAATCAACGTTCTCTCTTCTTTGGAAATTGTTCAGTTAGACGCATCTGCTGTCTACAGTCTCCTCGCCGCGCTTAATAGGCCCCAGATATCAAGTGCTGTCCAAGAGTTGCAGCAGCAAACCAAGATGATTGAGGATAGAATTACCGAGATCTTTGGCTCAGAGGACAATGGAACTCCCAAAGCAGCGTCTGGCCCTCCCCGGCCAGATCACGCGAGCTTAAGAATCGTGTACAACGTTCATCTGACGTTAGCTGGCCTCCAAGTTTTTGCTAAGACGTCCCTCAAGTCGGAGGCCGAGCCAATGGCCCAAGTGCTGTTCTCTTTAGACAGAGCCCATTTACACGTGTCCAACCGACACGAAGCACATGGCCCTGTTCTCAAATATCCGGAGATTCATCTCAACTTGAGTCATATTGGTCTTGACATTCGTAGAGGTCGCGAGGGCTCTATGCGATCTTGTGGAAATTTGGGTGTTGGTGTGGAGGTGTCCGCTAGCTCGAGTCTGGCTGAGGATGGAAAAGAAGACTGGGCATTTAACTTCACGAGTGATGACTTTGAGTGTAACCTGGCCCCCGAAACCATCTCGACCGTTGTTGACGTTCTTGGTTACATGGGAGAGAAGATCAAAGATCTCGATACTTCTCACGAATTGGATTACCTGAGAAAACTAAGACAATCAAAACCCAAGATCACCATCAATGGCGACGAAGATCCGGAAGAAGTCGACATCATCGACTCGGTTCTTGCGTCTGTGCAATATCAATTTGAGCTCAGGAACATTCGTGTCCGGTGGAGTGTTGCAGACAGCGTTACCGAGGAGTCAAGTTCGAAGGAGGATCTTGTCTTGTCTGTCAAACTTTTCGAGTTTGGTACAAGAACCAGACGATCTGCCCGCCTGTCGATTGAGAATTTCCAGATTCAGATGGTACCACTTGGTGGGGACATAAATGTTCGTTCACTTCACTCGGCACTATTGCCCGTGATCACATTTAATATTGCATACATGTCGACTGCGTCTGCGCGAAGGATGGCGTTCCAAGCTGTTGGCGAATCTTTAGACCTCCGATTGACGTCTGCATTCATCGTGCCGGCTGCTCATTTGGCTGAATCGATCACGCTGTCGCTGAACAACATTGCGCAAGCATCAACGCAATGGAACACTGCGGTCACACCTGAGAAGAAGTCAAACGAAGAACCAAAGTCACAGCCTCAGCGAAGCATCTTTGGAAACAAAAGATTGGAAAGTCTCCTCATCGATGCAGACTTTGCAGGTGCAGTTGTCTACATCGCTAGCAAGAGATCATTGGACACTTCAGCAAAAACCTTTGGACGCCATTCACTCGCTGGCAAATATGGCCAATTCAACAGTGATGATTCGGGAAGTGGAACTGTTCTACGCAGTCCTGGCCTGGCTTGGAAGATTGAATATCGCGACGATGCTCAAGACGACCCATCTCTTTATGGAGAGATCAAGGTTGATGCCTCCAGCAACATTCTGTACCCTTCGGTTGTACCACTGGTTATGGACATGTTATCAAGTGTGAAGCAGGTTGTCAAGGATGATGAGGAAAGCGAGCTGTCGAATGAGAAGGAAAAATCCAAGCCTCCCCCCAACAAGTCTGTAGAAGGTGATAATATCATCACTGCGGACCCGAGTGCTTTGTTGGGTCGCCTCAAACTCAACCTTGGCCTGAGGATTTGCAGACAAGAGTTTTCTTTGAGCTGCCAACCCATTGCCCGTGTGGCCGCCACAGCATGCTTTGACAACATCTACTTTACTGTCAATACGGTCAGATCCCTTGAGCAAGGAAACTTCTTCGCGATTTCAGGAGATTTTACCAAGCTGCATGCTTCGGTCCAGCACGTGTATTCACGCGAGTCAACTGCAAGCTTCGAGCTTGATTCCATCACTTTGTCGTTCATGAACAGCAAGCATGTGAGCGGCACCAGCGGAGTGTCCGCCATCATCAATGTGAGCCCTATGGCAGTGTCTATCAACGCCAAGCAAGCACAAGATTTCTTGCTGTTCCGTGAGATCTGGTACCCAAGCGAGCTGCGTTTCGCCACTGCGGTTCCAGTTGCGAAGATGCCGACTGAAACTTCTCAGAGTGGGCATCTCGTGCAACGATATCAACAAGTCGCAGCAACTGCAGCGTTCCCATGGACAGCGACCATCTCAATTGCCGCTTTGGATGTTACCATCGATCTCGGACAAGCCATCGGCAAATCTGCCTTTGCTATCAAGAAGTTTTGGGTATCGTCTAAAAAGACTTCGGATTGGGAGCAAAACCTGTGTCTTGGTTTTGACAAGATTGGAGTTGACTGTACAGGGCGACTGAGCGGGTTCGTCGCTCTGCAGGATTTCCGTCTTCGCACCTCTATCCAGTGGCCGAAGCGAGAGGAGGCTCTCAACGAAACACCCATGATTCAAGCGTCGATAAGTTTTAACGCATTCCGGGTCAAGGCCGCTTTTGACTACCAGGCCTTCCTGGTTGCCGACATTACATCACTCGAATTTCTCATGTACAACGTACGTGAATCTCGTGATGGTAGTGGAGATAGATTGGTCGCCATATTTGATGGCGACTCGGTCCAAATCTTTGGAACGACAACCTCAGCAGCTCAAGGTATAGCATTATGGCAAGCTTTCCAAAAACTGATACAAGAAAGGCGAGAGAGCTTCCAAAGTTCATTGAAGGAGATTGAGAAGTTCATGAAGCGGAGGTCAATGTCAACGTCTCGAAGCATAGCGCCTCAAACCGACCCGACACCAAAGTTAAAGGAAGAGGACACACTTTCAAAGTCACCAATTTCACTTGACACAGACGTCGTGGTGACACTCAAGGCACTGAATTTGGGCGTTTTCCCCAGTACGTTTTCGGACCACCAAGTGTTCAAGGTGGAGGCTCTCAACGCATATGCCCGTTTTGCTGCTAGCATGGAGCAGAGACGCATCCATAGTATACTGAGGATGACCCTGGGTCAGCTTCGAATCGGTCTTGCAGGAGTTCGCAACGTAGAAGCGCCCAAGACTTTGAGTGAGATTTCTGTCGACGATGTGGTTCAACGCGCAACAGGGTCGAGAGGAGGTACCATCCTCAATGTTCCCCAGGTCTCCGCAGTGATGGAGACATGGCAGAAGCCGCGAGCAAACGAGATCAGCTACATTTTCAAGAGTGCATTCGAAGGGAAGGTGGAAGTAGGATGGAATTTCTCGCGTGTGAGCTACATTCGTGGCATGTTTGCCAATCATGCGAAGGCACTTGAGCAGGTCTGGGGCAAGGAACTACCGCTTACTGCAGTCAAGATCAGAGGAGTACCGGGAGCAGGAGAGACCGACGGCGAACAGCAAAAGATCACGGCTGAAATCGACGTTCCCGTGTCAAAGTATGACTATGTGGCCTTGGAGCCGCCCATCATCGAGACACCACAGCTCCGCGATATGGGTGAAGCCACGCCGCCACTGGAATGGATTGGTCTTCACCGTGATCGACTGCCGAACTTGACGCATCAGATTGTCATTGTAGCACTGCTGGAGTTGGCCGGCGAGGTGGAAGATGCATATGCCCGCATCTTGGGTTCGTCGTGAAATCGGTCATCATGATGGCGAAGAATAGTATATTTGAGTAACTGAGCGGCGAGTGAGTCATTCGGCAATAGTAAGCAGAGCATGATGAGCAAGCGAGGCGTTTTGGAACACGGTTATTACATCACGGGTTTGTTTCGGGAAGTTTGCTTGGGAATAGGTGCATAGATCTTAATGCCCATGGAAGCAATTTAATGTTAGTTAAATTTTTTGGCTACCGGCATGATAATAAACACAGTTTGCTAGTAAATAAGTATCAACTGATCTAGCTTGTCACTGAATCAAGATGAGTCTAATTGCACGTAGAAGAAAAAATGGGCATGTTTAAGACTGGTGCGAGATCAAACAGCCTTTATCACGCCAAGAGTGATGCAAAGGTATTTGTGTCCAACAGAGCAGGTCGAATTTGTTGCGGTATTTTTGTTGCCTTTTTTGTAATTCTTCGCAGCATAAAGGGTGTCACTGTAACATCTTTTGAGAAGGTCTGCAGTCTGATATCAAATCCAACATAGTCTAGAATTTCCATGTGTTCCCATTGGGTACCTCGAGTTCAGACGGAGCTGACGGTCTCAAAAGCCGGAAGAGCTTGTGAAATCCTCCAATGGAAAGCTCCATAGGAAGCTCTTACGAGGAATCAGCCTTTGCCTGGTGGTCTGAGGTTGCCAGGTGATGGATGATAGGCGCGGACGGTACAAGAGAGGATCTACCAAGAAAGTATCGACATGGGCAATCTCCACTGAAGAAGTACAAGGACAAGATGGTTGCGGATTGTACAGTGTCAGTTAGTTAGTACCTTAGTACCTAGTACTACGTAGGTACGCATCGTCTAATGCTATGGTAGGTACTAAGGTTAGGTAGGTAGGCTGTTGTTAGGGGCGAAGCGGGGTGTTTTGTTTTGTGTGGGAGAGCTCTCCTCAGCTCAAGCTACAGCCCACTTCGGATATTTGCAACCTAAAGTGGTTACATGAAGAAAAAGAAAGAGAGGGAAAAAAAGATGGAGAGCAGTCAAAGGTGAAGCACCAAAAAGAGAGACAACAACTTGAGAAGAGCATTTGTCCCATATTGGAAGCATATGCATAACTGCTGCACACAGACAGCTTGCACATAATACATGCACGTCATAGAGAGTCGCTCATCACCAACTTGAGCGCACAGTACCTACGGTAGAGGCTAGAGGAGGGGAAAGACAGAAAAGACTTCCATGGTTTCAAAGCTGGGTCCAAGCCTAGGACAAGGGCAAGGACAAGGACAATCCCCCTCCATCCATGTTTGAATGTCGTGGATAAATTGTGAGTGCCTGCTTGTTTTTGGTGGACAAAGCCTTTCTGCTCATATAGGGCCTAACACCAGAGATGAATGATTTCTTGATTGAGACGGCGAAGACTCATATTATTGTGATATCAATAATTAACATCCATCATGAGACCATAAACGTCAAGGAGGGGGAGGGGGAGGGGCACATTTCTCGGTGGGTGACTAAGCTACCCGAAAGGTAACTCTCTGCAAATCCAATCCAATGCCCGGGCAGGGTTGCTGCCCTCGACGATGAATTTTGTCTTTGTGCGGCAAAGTGGCAATTGTACCTATGCTCAGCAGGCCACCTCGAGCTTTTAGCGGACTCATCGGCCTCCAAGAGGGCCTGGAGCGTCTGTTCCTTCAGCGGCTTGCAGAAAACATGGAGCTGCTTTCTCGTTTTGCCCCGCCAAAAACTCGTCGAAAAAGCCCACCATCCAGTGTCCACTGCCCAAATTTTTTCTCACCCTGGCCTCTCTGTCTCTCTAGTGGGTACCCTGCCCCCCCGCTCAGTGGGTGCAAGGTGGGCTGGTGCTCGTAGCCGTAGCCGTAGGCGTCTCGCGTCTCGCCGAATGAATCTTCGAGCCCAAAGCCCAAACCAAAACCGAACCTTACCTCTCTCCTCCCCTTCCCTTTTACCTTACTCCTCCCCGCTCAGATTTTTCTCTTCCTTTTTTCCCTCCTCCAAATCTTCTTTCGCCAAAAGGGACGCATAAAGAGTGACAGTGGTTCTTTTTCGGAACTGTCTCTCTTACATCGTCACTTGAATCGTTGCCATCTTCTCGACGGCAATCGCTTCTTGCTTCTTCCCTTTTTTCTGCGGCTCAGATCGCGGGGTGAAAACTTCAACCCCGCTCTGTTCCCACATTCACAACTTCGACTTTGACAAACACACATAGTCAGGTTATCCAGACAATACCGCCAAGATGGTTAAGTGAGTAGCATATATCATTATCACCGAGACATCATCATCATCATCAACATCACCACCATTACTGCTATCAGATTCTCTACATCAGCATCACCATATCCCCCCTTCCAGCTTCAATCTACCCCGCTCGGATTTAAGCCACACTTCCTCCATGACCATGAGCTGACCGCGATGCCTTCACCACAAATAGCTTCACGATCGACGAGATCCGTAAGCTTATGGACAAGCCTACCAATGTCCGTAACATGTCCGTTATTGCCCACGTCGACCACGGCAAGTCTACCCTGACCGACTCTCTTCTCGCCAAGGCTGGTATCATTTCTACTGCCAAGGCTGGAGATGCCCGAGCCACCGATACGCGTGCCGACGAACAGGAGCGTGGTATCACCATCAAGTCCACTGCCATCTCTCTGTACGGTCAGCTTGGTGACGATGACGATGTTGCCGACATTGTTGGCCAGAAGACCGACGGAAAGGACTTCTTGATCAACCTCATTGACTCTCCCGGTCACGTTGATTTCTCTTCCGAAGTTACTGCTGCTCTCCGTGTCACTGATGGTGCCCTCGTTGTCGTCGACACCGTCGAGGGTGTCTGTGTCCAGACCGAGACTGTCCTGCGACAGGCCCTTGGTGAGCGCATCAAGCCCGTCATCATCATCAACAAGGTCGACCGTGCTCTTCTCGAGCTTCAGGTCTCCAAGGAGGATCTGTACCAGTCCTTCTCCCGAACCATTGAGTCTGTCAACGTTATCATCTCTACCTACCTTGACAAGTCCATTGGTGACATCCAGGTCTACCCCGACAAGGGTACCGTTGCCTTCGGTTCCGGTCTGCACGGCTGGGCTTTCACCATCCGCCAGTTCGCTGTCCGATACGCCAAGAAGTTCGGTGTTGACAAGAACAAGATGATGGAGCGTCTCTGGGGCGACAACTACTTCAACCCCAAGACCAAGAAGTGGACCAAGAACGGTACCTACGAGGGTAAGCAGCTCGAGCGTGCCTTCAACCAGTTCATCCTCGACCCCATCTTCAAGATCTTCGCTTCCGTCATGAACTTCAAGAAGGACGAGGTTACCACTCTCCTCGAGAAGCTCGACCTCAAGCTCAACGCTGAGGACCGTGAGAAGGAGGGCAAGCAGCTCCTCAAGGCTGTCATGCGAACTTTCCTTCCCGCTGCCGACTCTCTCCTCGAGATGATGATTCTCCACCTTCCTTCTCCCCAGACTGCCCAGCGATACCGTGTTGAGACTCTCTATGAGGGTCCCGCTGACGACGAGGCCGCCATTGGTATCCGTGACTGTGACCCCAAGGGTCCCCTCATGCTTTACGTCTCCAAGATGGTGCCTACCTCCGACAAGGGTCGATTCTACGCCTTCGGTCGTGTCTTCTCCGGTACCGTCCGATCCGGTCTCAAGGTCCGCATCCAGGGCCCCAACTACATCCCTGGAAAGAAGGACGATCTCTTCATCAAGGCTATCCAGCGTACCGTCCTGATGATGGGTGGCAAGGTCGAGCCCATCGACGACATGCCTGCCGGTAACATTGTCGGTCTGGTCGGTATTGATCAGTTCCTTCTCAAGTCTGGTACCCTCACCACCAGCGAGACCGCCCACAACCTCAAGGTTATGAAGTTCTCCGTCTCCCCCGTCGTCCAGCGTTCCGTTCAGGTCAAGAACGCCCAGGATCTCCCCAAGCTTGTTGAGGGTCTCAAGCGTCTCTCCAAGTCCGATCCTTGTGTCCTGACCATGACCTCCGAGTCCGGTGAGCACGTTGTCGCCGGTGCCGGTGAGCTGCATCTCGAGATTTGCCTCAAGGATCTTGAGGAGGATCACGCCGGTGTTCCCCTGATCATCTCCGACCCCGTCGTCCAGTACCGTGAGACCGTTACTGCCAAGTCCAGCATCACTGCTCTGTCCAAGTCCCCCAACAAGCACAACCGTCTGTACATGGTTGCTGAGCCCATTGAGGAGGAGCTTGCTCTTGCCATCGAGGGTGGCAAGGTCAGCGCCCGTGACGATTTCAAGGCTCGTGCCCGTGTCCTTGCCGACGACTTCGGCTGGGATGTCACCGACGCCCGAAAGATCTGGACCTTCGGTCCCGACGGCACTGGTGCTAACCTGTTGGTTGACCAGACCAAGGCTGTCCAGTACCTCAACGAAATCAAGGATTCCGTTGTCTCCGGTTTCCAGTGGGCTACCCGTGAGGGTCCCGTTGCTGAGGAGCCCATGCGAGCTTGCCGCTTCAACGTCCTCGACGTTACCCTCCACGCTGATGCCATTCACCGTGGTGGTGGTCAGATCATCCCCACTGCCCGCCGTGTCCTGTACGCTGCCGCTCTTCTCGCCGAGCCCGCTCTCATGGAGCCCGTCTACCTCGTCGAGATCCAGGTCCCCGAGAACGCCATGGGTGGTGTTTACGGTGTCCTTACCCGACGACGTGGTCACGTCTTCGCCGAGGAGCAGCGACCTGGTACTCCTCTGTTCAACATCAAGGCCTACCTCCCCATTCTCGAGTCTTTCGGCTTCAACGGAGATCTCCGACAGGCCACTTCCGGACAGGCTTTCCCCCAGTCTGTCTTCGACCACTGGCAGATTCTCCCCGGTGGCTCTCCTCTCGACTCCACCACCAAGGTCGGACAGGTCGTCACCACCATGCGAAAGCGCAAGGGTGTCAAGGAGATCGTCCCTGGTGTCGAGAACGTAAGTGTAACCCCAGTCACGATTGACGAGACAGATTTGCTAACCCGTGATGACAGTACTACGACAAGCTATAAACGGCTTTTTTTTAATGTGCCGAACGAACCACGAAGCGTGCCGCAAAGGACACGCAAGATTAATCGGCTGGTAACGAAGATTTGGGATGCATGTCAAATCCCATGGAGGATCTCCTTCATTATACCAGGAGGGTCATGCTAAGCGAAGGCCAAAAGAAAAAGTCGAGTGGTCGGTTTGAAGCTGAATGTCAAGGAGAAGCTCAATCCGACTTTTATGTAGTTATGTCGTATCTGATGAGTTGAAACACGTTAGATTGAAGTTCATATGATAATGTGTCTTTTGCATTTCGTGAAGTTTAGAATGAAATTGTGGACTTCGTGCTTGGTTTTCTCTATTGCAAGGCCCACGACCAGGCCACTTCTCAGGCTCATGAACCGTGTGGATTTACAGACAATTGATCTTTGACAGGATAGATGAAACAGTAGGCAAGGTCAAAGTGTCACGACCAGGCCACTTCTCAGGCTCATGAACCGTGTGGATTTACAGACAATTGATCTTTGACAGGATAGATGAAACAGTAGGCAAGGTCAAAGTGTAGCTTCAAGAAGCTCAAGAAGTAACTTGTAGGTAAGTATAGTATGAGCAATACCTGGCTTCGACTTGCAAAGCAAACACATAAATGTCGCATACACGCACTCTCTCACTCACCCATTCACGCAATTTACTCGCTCTTTAACTATCTAATTCCTATACTTTGATTGTCGAGCATTGACACTTAAGAGTTGTTGTCCTTGACTTGACCTTGAACTGTCCAGGGTCTAAATATTTATTGACCTGTGACGACACGAGCCCCCAGTCGCCGAGAACCCAAAAAAATCAGCTTTCAGCTCCAACCTCGCAACATCAACAAGACTCAGGACTATCAGACTCTGCCACTCCTTTCTGGGCGCATTTTGGGCGAATATCCTCGACAAATTAGTCACGTCGCTTGAATCATGCTGTTCCCCGAAGAAGATGCGCCTCTGCTCAAGGCTTGGATCGTCAAGCGCATCGAAAACACGTGCGTTATCCTGTTGCTCGAGCAATACTCAATTAAAGACTGCGCTAACATGTATGGAATAGCTCTGATGCCGATGCCGATGTCCTCGCAGACTATGTCATTGCTCTTCTCAAACACGATGGCAACGCAGACGCGGTGCGGAAGCTATGCGAACAAGAGATCCCGGACTTTTTAAGTGAAGGTGCGCATTGTTGCTTTGCTTTTGGGCATGATTCGCGATTTCTTGACGACAGAAACTGACCACACAATCCAATGAACGCAGATCCCAAGGCTTTTCTCGACGACGTATTCCAAACCATCGCATACAGATCCTACCTCCCGGGTGCTCCCCCAGCTCCAAAGATTGGTGCCGAGCCAGAAACAATACAGCCATCTATAACTGAGAGCGCATTACCAAATGGCTCAAGAAAGAGAGGCTTCTACGATCTCGATGAACACGACAACCAAGATGGATTCGACTCTTTCAACCGAGACGGACGCGCACAGAAGCAGGCCCGTCGCGGTGGGCGCGGAGGTCGGGGCGACGATGTACGGGGAGGGCGACCTGGTGGACTCATGCACAATCTCCCTCAACGACCGGACATGCCGTTCGATCCTCAGGTCATGGAAGCATTTCTACAGATGGGCTCTATGGGGATGCCCTACCCAGGCATCTCTAACTTTCCGCAGCAGAGTTTTGGTGGTGGCAGAAATCAGGCACGGAAAAGAGGTCGATGCCGTGATTTCGACACCAAGGGGTTCTGTTCACGCGGAAGTACATGTCCGTATGACCATGGTAACGAGTCAATATTCGTTCCCCCTGGTACTGAGGGTAAGTTCATTAGCTGATATCATGCGCCATGTGCCCATTTTTCTAATCAAGCTTCTCAAGAATACGATCCAAACGACCCGTTCTCCATGTTAGCAAACGCGCCAAATTCCATGAATCCGTGGGCGTTCCCCCCTGATGCTGGCCGTGGAGGACGAGGAGGCCGTCGCAACCGTGGCTCTAAGAAGGGCGGTGCGCGCGCGCCCTTTTCTGCTGATGGGCCTAACCATGACCGTACAAAGAGTACAATCGTCATCGAAAACATTCCCGAGGAGAGCTTCAGCGAGGAACAGGTACGGGAGTTTTTCTCTCAGTTTGGTAATATTCAAGAGATATCGATGCAGCCATACAAGCATCTTGCGATTGTCAAGTACGACAAGTGGGGGTCGGCAAATGCTGCATATCAGTCGCCCAAGGTGATATTCGACAATCGATTCGTCAAGGTCTTTTGGTACAAAGACAAAATCGATACATTACCAGCATCCGCTCCTTTACAGGGGGGTAATTGGACTGGTGACCCAATGGCGACAGAAGATGAGGATCTTGAACCAGAGATTGACATGGAGGAATTCCAGCGGAAACAAGAAGAGGAACAAAAAAAGCATCAGGAGCGCGAAGCCAAGCGCGCAGAGATTGAGCAGAAGCGCCAAGACATAGAAAAGCAGCAACAGGAACTCCTCGCCCGCCATCGCGAAGAGAACGAGAGGCTTCAGGCGAGACTTGCCAGTCAAAAAGGCCGAGACGGAGACGGAAATTCGTCAGGGACAAACATGCTACGAGCTAAGCTGGCGGCTCTTGAGCAAGAGGCTAAGATGCTTGGTCTCGATCCCAACGCTGAAGAGGAAACGAGCTCATTTTGGCCCCCTCGAGGCGGATACCGTGGCCGAGGGGGATTTCGCGGTCGAGGTGCCGCGCCACGAGGAAGAGGAAGCTTCAGAGGTCGTGGAGGGGGCGGGGGGAATATGCACGCTGCATATGCTCAGTACTCGATCGACAACCGACCCAAGAAGATTGCTATCACAGGTGTGGACTTCACGGCGCCTGAAAAGGATGAGTCGCTGCGCCATTTCCTCCTAGTAAGCTCTCCCCTTTCTTCCTATCACATATGACATTGCTAAAAGTGCGAACAGAACCTTGGCGAATTCGAGTCCGTTGATACAGCCCATGAAACCACGCACGTCTCATTCCAAGATCGCAAGACGGCAGAGAGGTTCTACTATAGTCTACACGGTAAAGAATTGCCTGGTGTCGAAGGTCGCCTAGACCTTGCATGGGTGAACACGCCACTGCCACCTGTCAAAACCAATAGTCATCAGGATACTTCTCGCGATGGTGGTGAGGATAAGGAGGACGATGCCATGGCGGGTTTCGATGATCAGCCCAGACGGGAAAGGAGCGCCGAACCGCAGCAAGAGGATAGAGCAGTGAATATGGATTATGAGGTGGCAGAAGAGGATACCTGGTGATGCAGGGAGATCTTGGTCTACAGTAGGTTAAGGGGCAGAAAGCTTCTGTTTTGTATGAGCCAGTCAGTCTGATATCTGGATAGAGATGAGTGGCAATAAGGGCACTCTGGACATGACGAGCATGATGGCCACTTATCAAGTTACTGCTGCACCGTCACATAATGAAGGAATGGCACTCAAAAGATCTAGTATCATCGTAACCCAATATAGGGGCTAGATATTCATTCAGTCAATTGTCGGCTCCAACACAAGCAATGCTAGGTTGTTGGTTCAGGCCATCCTATATCCAAATTGTATTCTTAAATCTTCTTTGTGCCCTTGTCCACCACTCTCTTCATACTCCTCTCCACTCTTGGGAAAGGAAGAGAGTAAAGAAAGAAACAAAAAGAAAAAAACACTCAAGTCATTCATGCATTCATCCATCCTTAAGGCCTTGCTGGCGGGGTATCGTTGAGATATAGAACAAGCAAAGCAAGCCCCCAAAACATAAAGTCGTCTGCGCCCGCCTGTTGATTTTGTTTGTATCGTGCGCCTTTTTAAAATGCTGCCCCCGTATCCCTGGTATCTTTTTGTTGAAAAAGACACCTTAGTGATGCTATAATACCCAAACCCGAAAACATAACAAAGAGAAAAAAAAATGAAAATAAAGACAACGCAGTCGGTCGTTAACGTTAGATGGGCACAGTAATACCCGATGATGCTTTTGGTCGCTCTGGAAAGATGGCAGAGGTTTTCTGTAGGTCAGATAATGCCGACAATCTGCTACATCGGAATACTGTGTGTATGCATCTAGTTAGCCACTGCGGCAGCTGCAGTACCGTTGGAAGCGGGTTCGGAGTCGATAGTGCCATTGTTTGTAGCCTTTGACAAGGGAGTAGCAGGAGTAGTCAGGCCCTTCACTTCGAGGCCCTTGAGAAGCTCAAAGATGGTCTTATTGTCGTGGAAATCATTGTTCACTGTCAATTGTTAGCACCCTTCCAAACTTCCGTTACAATATAGGATTACTCACCAATGTTGACGAGATACCAATCGTTCATGACTCCCTCGAGCAGGGCTCGACTGGGAGAGGTGATATCGTAACAATGGGCCCAATCGACACCGAGACGGAATGCCTCGTCCTTCCATGCGAGGAAACTAATGCTCTCAACGATAGTAGGCTGCACAATTTCCTTTCCAGGGAAAACACCCCAAGTGACAGCGTTGGGGCCGTCGGACGTTACGTTAGATCGGAGCTCACCATCCTTGGTAACAGCGTAGTATGTTAGGTCAGGGTGACTCTCAATACGGCCGATCATCTCGTCAAAGACATCAGGGTGCACCAGCAGCTCCAGGTATGACTTCTGGTAGACATAACCGTTATCGGGGCCCCAGCCATGTACAGGGTGTGAAGACTTGACACCGTTAACAGCAGGCTGCGAGTTCACGGTCAACAGTCCACGTTTGTTCAACTCGATGAGTCCATCTCGGATCTCATCAGCTTCGGAAGTGAGAGGTGCCTCACTCCACGGCAAAGATTCGGCCTTGTTCTCCAGATAACGGACGAAAAGTTGTGCAATGTCCTGGATGGTTTGTGGTTCTCCCCACTTCTTGCGATTCGCCTCGTTGGTGCCGGTCAGCCCAATGCCGTAAGCGTCCAACTCTCCGAAGGCAGGAGAACGAGAATCACCCCATCGACCGTTAGGGAACTCGTCCCAGTCTTGTGTGCGGATAACATATGATTTATTACGGTTTCTCCAGAAGATAGGTCGGACATCTTCTTCGCGGCGTCTGAGTCCCTTGGACTGCTTCCAAGGGAGAGCTTGCTGGAGAGGGCGCTCAGCGGAAGGAGCCCAGGCGAGTTCCTCGAGCAACATACGGGTGGCCTGGGCGAGGTTCATGGTATAGAAGTGAAGGTGATGGATACCATTGGCGAGCAATTTCCTGCACATATCGGCGACCAGTGTCTTTCCAATGTTTCGGACGGCAACATCATCGTTCTTGACGGGCTCAAGTGCGTCAAGCCACTCCTGGGGGATTTTGGCCTGCATGTGGTTGGCTCGTCGCAGGAAGCTGGCGTATGTGGCAATGGGCATGATACCGGGAAGTATAGGAATGGTGACACCACGTTCACGAACACGCTTCACCCAGCGAATGAAATTGTCGGCGTCGTAGAACATCTGTGTGACAATAAAAGTAGCACCCATATCAACCTTCTCCTTGAGGTGGTCGAGTAGCTCGTCCTCGTTCTTGTTGTCGTCGGAGCCTTCCGGATAGCCTGCAACGCCAATGTCAAAGTGATTGCCATATGTATCGCGGATATGCTTGACAAGATCACGAGCATACTGGAAGCCTCCATCGGCTGCAGTCCACTTATCCTGGGCTCGGGGGGGGTCACCACGAAGGGCCAGAATGTTGGTGCAGCCGGCCTTGTATGCCTTTAGAAGAGCATCGTTAACCTTCTCGACACCCATGTCAGTGCAAGTCAGATGCATGCAAGTTTCAAGGCCATAGACAGCCTGAGCCTGAAGAACCATCTCGCAAGTGAGCTCAGCAATGCGGCCACCAGCACCCCATGTAATATCGATAAATTTGGGACCGAGGTTGTACATGCGATCCATACGATCGTAAAGATTCTGAACACCTTGGGCGGTCTTGGGAGGAAAATACTCGAAAGAGAAGGAGGGCTGCCCACTCCTCTCCGCCTCGCTAAGCATGTCCTTGATATGCATAATGAAGGTAATATATGGAAAACCGTTCTGCTAAATGAGCTCGATCCAATACCCGTGGGTTATCCTTAGACAAGGAATAAGGTGAAAGTCGTCAATAAAGAAAAGTCGTAGGGCGATAGTCGTGGCGGGTCGAAACCTGTATCGGAAGAGCGGGAGCGAGTACGGGGAGATGTGGGGGAGGGGACGTGCGATGGCAACTATGACAAGGAAGCTGTGTTAACGATGGGAAGTTCAAACAGGAGGCATTGCTGTGGTCTTTGTGGTAAACTAACGTACAATTTATTGCTTGGGGCTCTCTTTTGTTCTTTTGCGCTGCAACTCCAGACGAGGGGTAGAAACGATGATCTTTCGTTCAATTGATCTTTCGAATTACCTCTCTCAATCCGTTGGACGAGAAGCAGCAGCAGGTGGCTGTAGAACAAGGAACACCGTATCACACAACTGGACCGGTGATTGTATTATAGGAACTGCACAACAAAATGCACAAAGGATATATCGAGGGAGATGAAGCAGGAAGAAGAGGTAGAAGAAGGAAAGGAAAGGAAAGAGAGAAAGAAAGACGCAACTTCCGGTGAGAAAAGCGTCCCACGTCGTTCCTTCAGTTTGTTTGGGAAATTTCTCTCCTCTCCCCCGCCTACGGCCGCTCAAACTGCCCCTCCTTCCTCCAGAACTCCCAGTGGGGTTCCGTTTCTACCTCCGATGTGAGATTCTGCGTCGGTGATTGGTTAGGTGCGGGTGAGTTCCTTTGACTGCAGCGCCGTTCCCGGGCACCGGAGGCCGAAAGGCTCAGGGGAGCTCGTGGTTGAACGACGCTAAAAGTGTCCGGGGTGTGAGCTTACTTGCCATCCCAGGCACCTCCAACTAAAATCGGTGAAATTTTTCTAATTGAAGAGCACATCATCGTTAGTAGAAGAGTCATGGATCGTTCTTTGGCTACGTCCTAATTTACGTAGGGCAAGCCGTTAGATGTGAAAAACAATCCGGCCAATTCCTAACAATCCCAACTCTATTAAGCATTCCTAAAAGAGCAGCATGCGCTCTCGTCTGCGCTTCTGTTCATCGGTCAGAAACAAACGTAGCATCTGTCATGCCGAACCCTGCAAACTACAGGCTTTGATGACTTCCGAATGGCTCATGCAGTGTAAAGCATCCTACACTAAGCCACTTTCTCACTCCTACTACGTACTGGCAACCACCGTTTTCTAAACCGCCCTGTCGATGATCTCTCCTTACCCCCAAAGGTCCCCTGCCGTGGAGCAAGGGTCTAGTGGCTACACCAATCACCGGTCGAGTACTCTTTGACCCTCCATTATGACGCGGGGCCGAAGCTGCCAAGTTACCCTGAACTCTCCCAAATCTTTGACCTTGAGATTTGATGCGTATTCGGATAGGTACTATTATGGGAGATAAACAGCCAGCTGGTTGTCCGTTCCTATTAACACTATGCTATTAGCTAAATACCGCTATAAACCCAGTTTTCGCTTGGAAGTAATCAGTAATTATCACAGTTAGCATGAAGACAATATATAAATTGTATTATTAAACTCGCTTATACTGCCTATGTAATTTTCTCGAAGCATTTAGTCAGAATAATTTCAAATACATGCTTTTATATGTTCCACTCTACAGACGAGGTCGTCGACAAAATCGATAACGTGTAAAGGTATTTTACGTTCAACATTGAGATTTATTCCCTCAGGCTGATGATGCTACACTGATTCCCGGTGACGAACTAGAACCTGGACTCGCGCTAGAACTTCCACTCTTTAGAAGCAACGGCGGTGCTCCTCTTGCTCTTCGCCATCGATTGCTCGTATCGATAATAGTGCTATCGAACAACCACCACCACCTCTCAAACGCAACCTGCCCCAGCTCCCAGTTCCCTGGGTCATACGGGTCTTCGCCGTAGATGCGAACTCCCTCAGCAGTATCTTCCAAGTCATAGGCAAAGTTCACACAGGCCAAGCTGCCCTGCGCTCGCGGCGGCCTCAACTCGTCAGGCAATGATGTAATCAAGATAACACGCTCCCGGACAGCTGGCCATGGCAGCACATCAAACACTGGATGGTGTGGTATGTCCACTTGCGACTGCGTCGGCTGCCATGCTGGAGGGAGCAGAGATGCTGGTGTTGCGGTGCCCGTGTTGAAGGCTGAGTTCCCGCCGAGGTCCCAGAGACCTTGCTTACAGTTTAGGCGATCAGCGATGCGCAGGACGGCCTTGAGTAACGTGAGTTGGAGAACCGGTAAGTGGTAACTATCAGGGAAGCCTTGCTCTGTCGACGACGAAGGAGAATTGATAAATGAAGCTGTGTCGACGAACATGGCCAAATCGCATCCATCAAAGTCTGCTGGTGGGTCGTTGGCAGTCCACGCTGCTGCTTCACTTCCAGTATGGTCTTTCGGTAGAGGAATCGGAAGTGTGTCGTAATTTGGTAGAACCGATGCAAGGGTCATGTCTGGGAGAGGACTCCGAGATGCCATGGTGAGATCGAGCCCGGCCAGGATGTCGGCATCTGTAGTCATGACTGAGAAAGACGTGTTTCTAATTGGGTCGGTGAACTGCGTATTGCTGGGCAGAATAGGAAGCTCAATAACATCATCTGTCGATAGCTGGCTCTCCGTAGCTCTGTCCGTTTTTGCCGGAGAGCTGGAGCTCTGAGACCCAGGCTCATCATCGCTAGGCTGAGTGGCTGACTTGGCTTTGAGACGATTCAACCGTTTCTTCTCACCTGCAACACTGTTAGAACCAAATGTTTTTTGCCAATTTTGTTAGAAAACAGGAACTTACGATATCTACGCTGCGCCAAAACATTCAAAACTCGCTTCCTCTCAGCAGCATCTTGGTCAATGTCAGGAACATCAAGAGACGGTGGTTGCTTATACGCTCGTTGGCGTGTCCGAGGGCGATTAGGTAAGATAGTAGTTGCTTCCGTCATGTTGCGGCTATGGGCTGATTGTAGAGAGGTCAATTTGAATACCTACCTAGTGAGCTATCTCATTTATTTCCGTTCGGGAGGGTAAACAGACGAGAAGTTTCTCTATCAGAGCGTGGTAGAAATCCATCTCTTTTCAACCATAACGGAAGGACTTGGTGCTCTCCACCTAGCATAACGCGTATTAATAACGTAGCTTGTGCACTGTATCAGCATAACGGATAGCAGGCACATTGTTGCTGGGTAATAAAGTCGGCCAGCTCCGGTATTTTCCATCTACGCCAGCCACTAGGGGCGATATGGACTGTGCGTACAAGACTGTGTAATTGTCATCCTGTGACCTCAACATGTGTATATGTGTTTTTATCAGTCGTCTGATAACAAAGTTGGTGACCCTGTTAGTGAATCAGATATATTTCCTCGTAATATTTGAGGTGTCGATCTCACGATTGTATTTGGTGCGTTTCGGATTTTTCCTCTGTAGTGATGACCGTAATCAGTTATTTGTCTCGGGTTGACTCTGGTAAGATAAGAGCACATACTTAACAGCTTACGATCATCGCTTTGACTTGGCGTGATTTCTGTGAGGAGAAAGGGAACAGAAGAAAAAAGCCGACGAGGAGCGAGGGCTGTTCCCTTTGTATGGGGTTGTGATATGAGCATCCACTCCAACATAACGTTGAAACATAATGCAAAAGATAAATCAACCAGCAACCCCTATGCGCTCGTTCCATGTAAGTGAACGAATACGTTGTGATTAAAAAAGACCAGTGGCAGTTCAGTCAGATTCGTAGACTCTATATCAATCCCGCCAGTGTAAAGGCTTCATTTCCCTCAATCCAATTTATCACATCTCCAGCTATGTCTGGTGTTGGCTAAATGAGAGCAACAAACCAAATAGCCTGTCCTGATAGTACCCGTTCCTTGAAACAGTCATCACTTTTGTCTTTATTGGTTGTAAGATATCAGTACTAAACTGACCTAATAGGATTTCTATCGTCTTTCCATCGCTATGCATCATATGTTACCTCTTCTAAACATGCTGCGTCATTGTCAAACCAGAGCTGACCGCCTTAGATTTTGCGTCGAATAGTAACATATATCATTTACGAAATCTCCCAAATGCGGTATCGGGATAGCCTTATCGAATAATAGCTTGTTATTGCACTTATTTGTACCCGGCTCCATTGTCACAACAAGCCCGGAAGATCACCAAGATTGAGTGATGGACATAAAAGTGAGCAGATGGCATGTTTGCTTTGTAGCATATGCTTCGCGGTAGCGGCAGTGACTTCGGGACATGCAAGAGCTGGTGGACGTTGTACGACGAGGTCATCGCCATGGGTATACGATGAGTCTGCCTCATAGAATCATGTTGTGTACCCGAAGAAAGCGTCTCTTGATACTCTTAGAAGCGGTCTAGGCTCATAGAAACCCTCTTGAACTGACCGAATCCGCTCCCTCTTGCATTAGCTCCGAAGGCCAAGAAGTTGCCTGACCTCGTGGTGAGATGGACAGTCCGGAGCAGGAGTTCCAGGTCAAATGCTTGGTTGTATCGTAAAGAAAAGTATCACATTGACGTCCGTATATGCTAAGTTCCAACCAACAAGGTTAGGTACCTAGTAATTGTGTATACGGGATGTGTCGCCCATGTCCACTGTGAGAAGGACGAAGGAGGAGAATTGCCTGTTTAGGAAACCATTGTGGAGTTGCCGCCGCCAGTCTCAGTTGCCAGTCCCGACTTCCGGGTCGGTCGATACTCGAAGCCGATTACTTTGAATGGTGGCTATAGCCGAGTTTGCAACAATGCTTTTGGTTATGAAATCCAAAATAACTGCAGAACTCCCCATGCCAGATTGGATCATGTTATGATATCGAAACTCAGAATTCCCGTTGTGTTGGTAGCCATTTACGTCAGGCCAGGCCGATCGGTGATGCACGTTGGGCGATCCAGCGGCTTCACGCGTTGCATCCCGTACTGTACTCATACTTATTCGTAAAAACACACAGACTTGGATCTTTTCGACAAGCTACAGTCGGCAGTGTAATTAAAAGTATATCTCGTGATGTAATGCACAACGTGGGAAGTCCGATAGAAGCGAGACTGCTACTCTAAATCTGAGCCATTCCATATAACCGGTTGAGCAGCAGACACGAGAGTTGCACAAATCATCTCAGGCCGGTAATACCGTTGATATAAACACACGGATACGGAGTAGCTCCAGTCTAGGCCTAACTATTTCGTGAGGCTTTGTTTACTACCAATGATATCTGTAAGCCATCTGCAGGTCTACACCAATTCTTGGGCACCAGATGGGCCGAATTACGGGTATGTATGACCTCAGTGGCCTTTTTTCAAAGGGGGTTTATTCTGGGCTGACTACCAACATAGTCAGAGAAGAGAATCGCAATGGCGGCCCATTGCCGGTCGGAGCTGATGCGCGACCCTTGATTTTACGGCAGAGGTGAAGTGTGGTGCAGTAGCAACGTATTAGCTGTAGCCATCACAAGGCGGCCCCGCGTCATACGTAACTGTTAGCTACTGTGTTGTTACAGATGAGAAGTGTAAGCCATAAGTCATGAGGCGTGCGTAACAAACATTGATATAAAAGAATGTTCAAGCCCGAGGTCTAAGCTGCCGTTGAATTGAAAAAAGAAAAACCCAACTGCCATCCTACGTATACAACAACTTCTTAGTCTTTGTCAGAATCAATCATCAGGATGAAGTCTTCCATTGCTTTTGTCATTTCGTCCCTGTTTGCTACGCAATGTCTCTCTGCCTCTGTTGACATGTGGTCTTCACCCCTCACAGATCGAAGTGCACCTGTCTTCGAGTCCATTGAACCCGATGTCATCAAGGCTCGTCTTGGTACCACGCCAAAGGAGAACGGCGCGGGAGATAGACAGCCTGGGGCGGTATGAACAAATTGTTTCTGTATCCCTACAAGATCACTAGACTAACAATATTTGTCTTAATCTTAGGTCTACTTCTGCCGTGAGGAGAATTGGGGACCTCCATGCTTTGCTTACCACCCCAAGCTTGAATACTACTGCAATGAACTAGGTCCTCAACTCAGTGGCCATGTCGGTTCTGTCTTTGTCGACCCTGAGATTATTTGCCGTTTGGCTACGTATGTTATCCCTACGGCGCTGAATAGTCAGTCACTGACAAACATGTCAGTATTGGCCGTCAACAATGCTCCCCGATCAAGTTCTTTGCCTGGCCTGAAACTCAGAAAGGCTGGCCAGATCTCTTCCACCAAGACTTACCTCAAGGTGGTAAGCTTGGTTTTGTGACGACTCACTTCACCTGCGCCAAGTGCACCAATTGTGTTCGAGATCCAAAATAGAGGTAAACTTATCGTGCGGGTGTTGATGCATAAAACAGCCCTTATGGAGGGACAAATGGTATTTTCAAGCTTGATGAGAGAACGGGAGAAACTATTATGCTCTTACTATAAACTATCACATAATTCATGAATAGGTAATCCTTCATCATCAAACCTGTGCAAAGATGCTACCGCATTTCTAATCCATTTGTCCTATGATCTACGTTAAATGTACTTCTTATACTCAAATAGCATCATGTCTTCCATCGAATTGGAAGGCTTCCGTAGCTCAGTTGGTTAGAGCGTCGTACTAATACTTCATACCGAGTAATTGGTGATGCGAAGGTCTCAGGTTCAAGCCCTGGCGGGAGCAATCCCAATGCCCTCCGGTTCGCATTTTTGCCCTCAAGGAATGGGCAGTTCTTTTCAATTCCCCTTACCAAACAAACAAGGGTTGGCGATGTCTTCCTTTTTGTGTTTTCCACGCTCAATGAGTATTCGTACTGTGTCGATGTAATAATTCAGAAATGAAGTCAGGTTAGAGGCCAAATGATGATCAGTTCTTCGCTCTTGCCTGGCCAGGTGGGTAGCAAAATAACCGGCACACCGAAGCTCTTTATCATATAAAGTTAGGTATAAAGACAAAATAAACTCGTCGGACTTATAGAGAATCTTGACTAAACCTTTCTGTCAATTCGACCTGGTGTGCGACCCACCTGCCTCGCCGTGGTTGAGGTCTGGATTGGGAAAGTAGTAGGCATGCATGCAGGGGCATCTATCTATCTACTTGCCTTTCCAGCAGTTGTTTGTAATCGCTCATTCTTCAACATCCATCTTTCAAACTCGGTATTCTATCGGCCATTTTCATATCCCATCAGCATTTAGATCCATTTTCAATCAAGCTGACAAAGTTTTCTGTCTTCACCATGAATCCCAACTTCTCCCTCCCAATGCGGCCTCATCCTCGCACACGTTCAACTGAGGATGCTCGAGATTCCCACGATAGCCAAGCCGCCTCCAATCCACAGCAGAGCGAACTCAAAGTCCGCAAGCGAGCTTCTACCTTTCGGCAGAAACTCGAGAATCTGGAGAACGTCAGACCAACAGCATCTTAGCAAGATGGTTCTCTATCAAGATACAAAGCGTCCTCTCCTGAGACGGCCATAGATGCACAGCAGTCAAAACCCAAGACTGCTAGACAAGATGCTTTCCTACAGAATGGAACTCTCATACCGATCGTGGCACATGATCATCTTCGTGAGAAAGCACAGCTGCACGACTCATCCGATGACCGTACTGTCAAACTGTCGACATCTGGAGTTATCGCAAAGCAGACGAGTCTTCTTGAAATGGTCAGAGAGAATCTTAGACACGTGAGGTCTCAAACGCCCTCCCCCGAGCTTAAATACGAAGGTGTAAGAAGCACATCTTCATCCTACCCAGAACAGGGTATGAGATCTCCCAGCACGCCGTCGCCAGACTTGGATGTTCGCATTGCAAAGATCGACCTTGGTGATTTGACCAGGTACAGTCGCACCTATGATCGTCTGTCGGCTCTGCGCTCTTCTTCAAGTTCTTCTGGTGCCAGAAGGATTATGAGCCAAGGAAGCACTCATCGGGCACTGACGGATGCTGCAGCAGCCTTCGGGCAACTGCACCGCTTTCCAACCCCTTCGTATCATCGTTTCGAAATTGTGTCGAGCTCTGAAGACTTGACGGCACATGCTTTGGCTCCGCAAAACAGCATAGCTAGCCAGACATCATTAAAAGATACTATCGAGTGCATCGAGACACATGGACCGACAAGAGTGAAAGCTCAGGCCCAACTTGGGAATCAGACAGACGAATCACATCCAGACAGTCCTCGTCCATCAATTAAGCCACCCAAAGTGGCCGGAACCCCGAAAAGAAAAGCTTCTAGCATCTCCCTTCGGGGCTTGACAGCTGGCGTAAAACGGTCTCGTGTCGAGCTTGAGAAGCTCGCATACAATGTTTGCCATACCGGCTGTTACAAGCTCCGCCAGGTTCGTGAGAGCATCAAACGCCAACGCAAAGAACAAAAGAAACAGTACTCGGCATGGAAGTCGTTGCGACGACAACTCAAGCCAGGGGACGCCATCAAGGGCAAACATGAGAAAGGATTTGCGTCGTTTTCGATCGATAAAAGTCGGCATGGAAATGAATCTTGGTGGAAAGCAGGCGTGGAAAAGTACCGTGCTCCCAAGTGGATGCAATTCGGAAAATAGATTGGCTTGATTTGTCGTAGAGAGGAGCCAGTCTCAGTTTAGTATTGATGAGTATCAGCAAGCAATACAAACTGCATGTAGTCTAATGAATCGAAGAGTTTGAGTCTTGTACCAACTTGCATTGCATGAAAACCATCCCTGAGGTACACAGCCGCTAAGAACTATTATGAACGCTTTATAACATGTACCGAAAGGGAACTGTTGATGTTTTCCGTCTTCCACGTCCAACTAGACCTTCCTCTTCTACTTCATCACCCCCATCCAGACGCTCATCTTCAGCCCGATCAAATTTGCGGTTCTGATACGTGAGGTAGAATCGAAGCGCATACGCCAAAATGGAAACAAGGAGCATAGCAACCGCACAGGTACTCATCCCTGGCGCGTAGTAAGGGGCATCACGATCCGGGTACAGCCTCGTTCCCACGAGCGGCCCGCATTGGCCAACGACTTGGAGGAGCGCGAAACCACCACCCTGGCGGCTCTGACTGGCCTGGTTGTTGATACTCCATGTGATGATAAGAGTGACGACGTTGAAGAAACCTATTGCGGCGGGGTAGACGGCCATATAACGGATGAAATTAGGTAGACTTAGAGGTTTGGCCAGCGCAAGAACTGCATAGCCACTGGAGGAAGCGAGCGCGTGGAAGATTATAGGAACTGTGCGCGCTTGCAGACGATCAGACATGTGCGCTGTGAAAAGAACGATGATGAAAGCAGCCAGATAGGGGGGAGCACTAAGGGCTTGGGAAGTAAGAGTATCATGCCCCATCTCAGTAAGGATCTTTGGCAGGAAGACGGGGAGTGATGAGTAGGCCATGTTGGTGAGGAAGAACATGGTGGCAGTCATCCAAGCGACAGGGTCACGGAATATGGCCAGGACATCGTGTCCCTTTAGACCGGATGAAGGTTTGTCGTTTGTAGATGTGGATTGCTCACTGCGAAGACGTAGACGCGCGACCTTTTTCTCACGCTTGGTTAGATACGATGCTGTTTGAGGAGAGTCCGGGATGACGTTCCAGGCGATTACGGAAGCAATTACAGAGGGGAACCCCTCGATAATGAATAGGAGACGCCAGGGTGCGATAGGGCCAAGTTGGGCAAACTTGATAATGAGCCAGGCGAGCGTTGAGGCAAATGTCGTGGCCAGGGGAGCCGCTAGATACATGGGTAAGTTTTATCTCTGTTCAGTCATGAGAGACGTTTACATACCAGATATGAAAATAGCAGTTCGAAAGGCAAGTTCCTCACGCTTGAAAAAGAAGCTCATGTAAAACGGAATACCTGTAAATCCAGCCTCTCCGATTCCAAGAACAGCGCGTAACGCAATGAGCATGGGATAAGATGTAGCGACCGCCTGTAGAGAGGCCATGAGACCCCAGGTCAGGACCACCATAGACACAAAAATGTGCGCGGGGATGATTTTCCACAAAAGCGACATCCATTCAAATGCGATGTATGTGATGTAAAAGGCCGTCAGAGCCCATTGGTACCATCCATCATGAGGTGGATCAGACTGAAGGTCCTCATCCATGCCTGCTATGCGAGCATTGCCGATATCTATATCACGGTCAGTCAATGTTATTGAGTGTAAGAAAAAAGATGCCCGTACTTGATCGGTCGACAAAGCTCAGCATGTAAAGAAGAGCAACGAACAGAACAAGTTTGCGATCGAACTTCCGCCGGACCGCGCGCTCTTCATCTGGTGTATAAAGTTGAAAGCTCGCCACGGATCCAGGGCTTCGCGAACGGCCTGCTATAAGGGAATGCTCTACATCGTCGTCATCATCAACATCACCAACAGCTTCAGCATCCCACATCGCCCTGCCGTTTCGGTCTCTACTTGCATCCCTCTCGCGCAGCTCGTACACCTCGCTCCCGCTCCCGCTCCCGCTCCCGCTCCCGCTTCCGACGGCCGACCGGAGATCCTCATCGTCGCTGTCGTCAAGGGACAATTCGGAGCCCGTCTGCGCAAAGGCCTCGACCGATGCGCTGGGCCCGAGTTCGGATCTTCGGTGGGCCATTTGGAGTTGAGGTGAGATCGAAGGATTGGGCTCTGGAGTTGATGGAGACCAGGGACAGAAGCTGGATCGGACCCGGAGCTTGAGACTGGGGGCGTTTCGGTCGTTGGAACGGGTCTAGAAAGGTAAAAGTCAGTTGGAAGCCATCAGGTAAGCCATCCAATCCGTATCAAGAATTGCATCCTCGTTTGTTAGAAGAAACTTAAGTTGAAAAATGGTTGGGTATGCCAAGTTGATGTTGGTAGATATATTGATTGAGTCGATCAAGTTCATGGCAAGCTGTCTGCGTTACACGTGACGTGCTTTAACTCCTTACATGGCCATGGTATGGAAAGAGCTTCAACCTCACCTACAACCTCGGATAATACCGGTGCCTCAACATGTCCCATTTTGGCCATCATAAAATATAGCAAGCGTGGTCTTATACTCTCAGGGAAATTCTAATACATCGCGTAGCCAATTCTCTTGTTTGCTCTTTCATCATGGCCATTGATCATAGATAGACATTACAAGTTATGAAGCTCCGCAGCCTTTCTCCATAAATTCGACAGCTACCCCTGTCCCTAGGTAGTAAATCGCTACAAAGTAAATTAGACCCTTCTATCCGTATCATATCTTTCCAACTCCCTCGATTCATACTGCGATAGCTGTTCCCAATTAACGATGCGTCGTCCCCTTGGCCAGAGATGGCCTCCTGAATAGTCTTTTAAACCCTTCAGCTACCGAATGGCTTCGCCCGATTCGATGTTTAGGATTCTTGCCACCTTCATGTGTAAGCCCATCACTATGCTGAGTAGACACACTAGCCTGCCGACTTTGCTCTGTGGTTGGAGGGGGTTGCGGCACCCTCATTCTGACTTCTCCTGCTATATCTGGTGGCGCACTTGGTTCTGACTTGACACCCCAGTCATAGTTTGAAGCCACAGATGGTGTAGGTTCCAATGTCACTTCTTCGCTTTCCAATTCCTGTAAAGACCTCGGTATCTCATACTGATACGGCATCGATAACGTTCGAGAATTGGGCTTTGATGATTTTCCTTTTTCGGGCGCTGTTTGCGGTCTTCTCTCTGAACCTACCCTCTTCACAGTTGAACCTCCTCGTTGTATAGCTCGAGGTTTTGGTGGGGTGGGTGGACGGACGGGAGTCTTTGCCTCAGGTTCGGGCGGTAGAGGCAACTTCGAAAGTCGTATGGATTTTGGCGCGCTTTTTGGTATACGAGATCCTGGGGACTTTTGTGTAGATGGCTGTGTCGTTGGGTTTTCTGGGGGGCTTTTCAAAGTGTAATCGGGAGTTTCTCGTTGAGAAACCTTTCGCACTGGAATACTTCTTGGAATACTCCTTGGCAGGCTTGAAACCGGACTTTTCGCTTCTTTTGTTTTGTTTGGCTCCAGGACTGGAGCATCTCCGATGCTTGGTGCTGTCGGTGTTGACGGTGACTGCTGTTCTGAAATTGTTTGACCACCTTCGTATAAGACACCAGAACTTGGCTGCTCTAGACGTGCAGGATTCGGTGATATTAATAATGGAGAAGCATGCGGTACTATCTCTTCAAATCTGGGCATTGATGGTCCAAAGGTCTTGGGGTTAGGAGGGTACCCTGTCGATGGCGATGGTGTCTGAGGGGGTATGGTATCTTTGGGCAAATGGAATGTTGTCGCTAACCGGCCTTTTGATTGCATCAGGGATGGAACGAACGAAAGTGACGTTTCTTCATTGTGATATGTACTCGATCCAGAAGATTCGAGTGGTGATTCGGATGATAAGGGCCATGATGGCTCTGAAGGTTTCACGCTCTCATCTTTGTTGGGAACACTGGGTCCTGATGAATCGAAATCAGAAACCCCCGAAGTTGACAGATCAGGTGAGAATGGCGGGATGAATTCCTCAGGATCATATAGTTCTGGGGCCGGTAGCTGTCGTTTCAGAGGTTTGGGTGTTGGGGGTGTCGAGGATTTAGACGTAACGAGCTCCTCGGGCTTGAGTGGCTGTATCATATCTGGCACCTCCTTTATCGAACTTGGTACGAGTGGTTGCTCTCTGACGAAATCTCGTAGCTCAGCTTTTCGCTCCCCATATTCAGAATAAAGCCCTGATGCTGTTGAGGTTGAATACCGTGTGTTCTCGGACTGAAGAAGCGGCAATTCAACGTCCGGCGTACCCAATCCTAGTCCGTCATCGAACGACTCCTTTCGAGACCAAGCTGATGATGCAGTATATATGGATGCCCTGTTTGGGTCCAATTCGCTAGGGAGCAGTGGTGCGTCAATATCCGGAGTCTCTCGTCTTGTTGCAGCACCAGACGACCCATCCTGGGACCAGACTGTTGATGCGGTAAGTACTGACGCCCTACTCGGATCTGGTTGGGGTTGAAGTGGTATATCGAAATCGGGCAACTCTCGTGAAAGCGGCCTTGGGGTGGAAGCACCGTCGGATCCATCCAGTATATCTTCTAGTATGGTAAGGGCATCATCTTGGTCTTCCTTTCCTGAGCTTGCTTCATCGTATTCGGACGGCGATTCCGATGGTGAGTCAGAGAATCCTTCCAAAATTCCTCTCCCTCGGCGTGTGCGCACCCATGTTTGTGCTGCATCTCTTATCTGTTCATACCCAACTTCTTTCTCTTCTTCATCACTCTTACCAGGAACTTCCCTCACTTCATCGCCACATACGACAATATACCATCGCACAGGCTCCCCCTTCTGCAACTCGTCCCTTAATTTCACGATCCACCCATCGTCGCCCGCCATCTTTTCGTAGTACTTGGCCATCTGACCCGCTACATCCACACTCAGATCGATTCTCACCGCATGGTCAGCCACATAAGCATACGGTCTACATGCTGTTGCCATATCATCCACATCGTACTCTTCTAGAAGCCTAACCGGGGACCACGAATGCATAAGAACGACATCGTCGGTTTCGTGTACACGTGATGAAGGGAGAGCATGATCGTCATCAACATGGTCGAACTTTTGCTCGATTTGGCCATTTTTAACAATGCTGACACTGGCTTGCGTCGGCGTTGTCGGCGGGCTGAGCTCAGGTAGAAAGTCGTACTTGGCGTGCAACTGATCAAGGACGCAATACGATGTCGCAGGCGCAAGTAGCCAGTTTGGAGCAGCGTCTTCGAGGTCATTGAGGATGACAAAAATACGGATATCTCGGCGATGCCATCGGAAACCGTGGCATAGGTAAGTCGGCATTGAGTTGTTGTGAAATTGTTGTGAAATTGTTGTGAGGCGAAGTAAGGCGATAAGACGAGAGAGAGGCTGCGAGTTGTAAGCGATCAATTGAACTGAATCGATTGATTACCTCACCCAAACGTCAGTCGAATGCGCCTTTCTCTCGAAGACGTCGAAGTCTATTCGGGCCAAGCTTCAATGAGCAGCCTGTGAAGCCTCCAACATCTCGGTATCGACGGCTAAGAATGACGCGTGGTTGTGATCGTTGAAAGGTGAAAATCATGGAACGGGAAGGAATTGAGATGCGTTGCTTCCGTTCCTGAAGTTCCGCGCCAACTTAACTTACCTACCTAGGTAACTTACCTTTACCTCAGGTATTTTTTTGGGTAACTGTTGCCTACTGCATCTCACTGCATCGCACCTTACTTAGAAGAGTGCTAGACGAAGGTACGAGCAGGCACGCCCAACGTCAGAATCAAGCCCAGTGCCGTCTTTGGACGACGCCCCCACAACTAACTAAACGGTAGTCACTCTTCATTGTCCGCATGCGACTTGGACAGCATGTGAATCACCGTTTCCATGCTTTGTTCTAGGCCTTTGGACTGAGACATTATCTCGCTTACGGCTTGACAAGTGCTATTGTCAATTATCATCACAGGGAGGCCTTTTGGCGGAAGTGTTGGAACAAAATGTCAGCCTTGTCAAACTATCCAAATTTCTGTGTTACCCATATTCTAGTCTTGATATATCCTCCGCTAAAGCCAACATCGCGTTATTGTGTATCCAATCCATCCAATACTACCATTTTGCTCTATTGTCTGTCTAATCATCGTCAATACACCTCTTGAATGGTATAAAGCGGTCCCTAGTTCTTGAACTCTGTCATATCTAGGCTAACGCCCCCAGCGTCCTGTAGCCCTTCCATAGTAACTCCTTCAAAGTCTTGGGCATCAAATTCGAAATTCATGTCTTGCAGAATGTTGTTTACATCCTCATCTGATAGGTTGAGATCCATATTGCTGGGTATCGCGGGCGCATTCGCAAGCGCATCCTGGGCAGGGGCAGTATGAGGCACCCTCTTGGCCACCATGTCCTTGAATTTGTTCAGCAAGTCGATATCGTCGGCTGGTGTAATATGTGAATCGAGAATACGTCGTGCTCGTGTCTGCAACATGGCATCTGAGGGCATAGATGCCTTGCAGGCTACATGATCCTCGACGTAGCTGATAAGGCCACGCTCCAACTCTCGTGAGCAGAAAACCTCAGCTGGTCGCGCAGCCTCCGATGTGAGCTTCTCAATATAGCTGTTTGCGATGACTGCTGGTAGGGATTTAGCGCCTTGACCCATGGGTACCTGAGCGTCTGCAGGGAAGGGTCCGAGCGACGCCTTAGGGCAAGCATATGGCGGCGCAAATCCTGAACCGCCTGACTCGAGAGCCCAGCCATCGGTTATGGGGAGACCGGGTCCCTCCGTCTTGAGGATACCAGCATCTCTCTTAAACCTTTGTAACCACTCTGCGTTATCTGCAGCAGTCTGGTTCCAAGGGTCGTCACTACAACATTGTTAGCCTGTGGTTCGGCAATCTGTCGTTTCAATGAACTTACTCGTCATAAAGGATCCAGCGTGCTTGGTGCTGGAGTTCCAGATCGCTAGGTACATGACGGTTAGGGTTGTTGACCGACATAGTACCAGCTACCCATCGCTTGAGCTCCTTAGCCAGTCGACGATAGCAGTTAGCATCGTTGAGGAAGTATGGCCCAAGGTAGTTTCCACTACTTATGTCAAGCATATCATCACCTCCCAGTGACATGGGACATCCAGATAGCAACGTTGCAGCATCGGTGGTCGCAGTTCCACAAACTGTCGAGTCAGTGCTGGCTTGAAGGGAAAAGGCCGGTGAGTTCTTGCTGGCTGCGGGATGTCTGTTCTTGAAATCCTCGAGCCACGATCCGTTGTCTGCCGCGGTTTGGTTCCATCCGTCGTCGAACTCATAAATAATGATACGAGCTTGTCGCTGAAGGTCTTCATCGGTAGGCTCTACGCCCGTAGATCGTTGTAGCATGAGATAGTCCCTCAACTCACGCTCAAGGCGCGAGTAGCTGTGGATGGTCGAGTCGATAGATGAAGGGTCGGTCGATCGGCAGATATGGTCCACCACATCTTCGCTTCGTGGCAAGTGTGCACGTCGACGGAAAGGAGCGAGCCAGTTCGTGGATGACGTAGCAAGGCGAATAAGCCAGTTAGCGATGGCTTCTGATGGGTGTGTCGATACTTCTTCCACCCGGCCAACGATGTGACAGGCCTCTTCCTGAAGCTCATCGTCCATCGCTGTTAGGCCCAGTAGTCTCTTGGCCTTGACAAACTCTTGAAGTTGTACCTCCATGGGGCACTCCTCGAACAAGTTGTCCTTGCCGTTAATTTTGAGAGATGCCAGCCTGTTTTCAGCAGCACCACGTAAGGGACCGAATCTCGCCTTTTGCTGGAGCGTGTCTGAGCTCATGATAATATCACGAAGCCAGGATGGACGCGTTGCAATACCTTGAAGGGACAACAATTCGCTGGCGTAAATAATACGACAACCTTCCACCATCATTTCCTCATCGCTCGGGAGTCGTCCATGCTGATCCTTGTAGTTCCGCGTGAAAAAAGCCATTTCCAACTTAATCAGCTCGTAGGCATTACGAGGTGATTCTGGCGGGGAATGAGTGGCTACGTATGGTAACGGGGATGTGCGTTCATGATGAATAAGATCTATTTCAAAAGTTAGACGTTGGCAACTTGTCTACAGGATACTGCAGAGGTCTCATACATGGAGGCATAGAGTTCTCGACCATTTCGAGTACAGGGTTATCGAAACCCCAGTCACCCTTCCAGTCCGCCATGGAATAACCCGTCTTGAAATGCTCTGCCAAATGATCGACACGGATAGTCCATGTATCCATTACGATACCACAGAAACCACACCGGGACCGAATCTCGGGCGTAGCCACCTTCCACGAGTTCATAGACCAATCCTGAAACTTGATATTATGAACCAAACGCAAGTGTTGGTTAAGATGATCTTTCCTGTAGAAAGTTCGTTCTGCTGGGGTGCGCTCTTGACAGGCAGAGTGGTTATGGCCTTCGATGTGCGCATCATCTGGGTTGGCCTCGCCACAAAAGGCACAGGACAAAATGCCCGTTTCGGGATTGACAGCCTTTGGGCCTTGGGGAGAGCACACCCACCGCTCAAGTGAGAGATGTAGTGATTTTTCGTGCCGCTGCCAGTCGTGCTTAGTTCGGAAAGTCTCGGTACAGAATGTACACTGGAAAGTCTTGAGAGGAACTGCTAGACTCGTCTTTTCTTTGCCTACTTTCGCCGAAGCTCTTCGTCGGCGGCGGCGGCGGCCATGGCTGTTGAATGGGGCTGAGCCGAATGATCCCCATGAGTTGCGGGATCCGTGTGAAAAGGCCGATCCATGGGAGCCGTTGCTTGAGTGCGAAGTTCCTAAACTGCTCACTGACGACTGATTGCAGAGAGATTTACTTGAGCCATCGTCGGCATAACTTAAACTGAAGGGGCTATCAAGTCCTGACGACATTCCAGAGGATGATGCGGTAACGGCGCGCGCAATAGCGCTGACGGACGCAGGTTCGTTCTCGGGGGGCGAGTGCTCCCAACGCTGCAGTGGGTTCATGGCCTCAAGAGCTGGTGTTCCTCGGCGTTGAGGAATATCCATAGGGCCTGACCATGAGCTGGTGTAGTGGGGTGATGTTGAGCGAGGAGGTTGAACCTTGCCACGTCGACGGGCATTCGCAAGCCAATTTGTGATTTGTGTTTTGTTCAGGCCGGTTTGGCGCTGCAGCATCTCTTTTTCTTCATCGCTAGGATAAGGATGGCGGTTGTGAGTCGAAAGCCAGTTCTTAAGAATGCGAACAGACTCCCGAGAGAATCGAGCTCCAATCTTGGGAAGAGGTGCGGCCTTGTTGTATGTCTCTCCCACGCTAGCCAGATCACTAACTGAGGCGTTGCGAGAAGCATTACGAGAGGACTGACAAGAGTCATCCTGGGTGTCCTCCTGGAGGGTGTTGGACAATGGAGGACCCGATGCTAGGAAAGGGTTGATGTCAAAAGGTGCAACTGAGGAGTTGGCATTGGTAGCGTTCGGGGCAACAGCAAAGCTACAATCGACCTTCAAGGCGACACAGGTTGTACAATAATCTTTGTACATACCCTCTCGAATCTTTTTACAAGAGAAGCCGGCCATAGAACAGTTGACACAAGGTGATGGCGGCGTGTCCCACTGAAATTGACTGGAGATATCATCGGCGGTTGTGGTGAAATCCATTGCGGGAGCAGGCATATCTGGCAAAGGAAAGTTGTTGTCTGAGAAGTGCTGGAGGGCGCAAAAGCTAAAGTCGTCTTCACTGACATTCCCAAGAACAAGATCAATGTTCTCGTTGTCAGCTGCCAGACCGACAAGGGTGTTGTCACCCTGGGGGTATTGAAAGGCGTCAATGGCCTTGTCCCAGTTGACAAACTGCTCCATCTCGTCGAAGTTGGTCATGATGCAAAAGGCCAATTGCTGATGCGGAGCAGAGATGTCAATTCAAAGTCGATGGAAAGGCGCGCGCGAAGATGACAACCATGAGTCGAATGGAGTTATGTGAATGTCAGTCAACCCAGTCCCACTTGAGCCGCCTAACAAGTGATTGCTGAACTAGGTTAAAACGGTTAATCTTGAAAATGAAGAGAAAGGAACAAGGCTCATAAGTTGAGGATAGTCCCCGAGTTTTGTTCAAGTTGACAAGTTTTGCTGAGCTCGGCGGACGGTCTGTCTAAGAGACAGCATCGAAAGAGTCAGCAGTCTCCATCCCCCCCAGAATGTGAACGTAGCTAAAATTCTGGTGGAGTTGGATTGTCGACTGTCGGCCAGCCACACCAACCAGTTGAACGAGTCTAGCCAGAATGTCAAGTCCTGGTGCGCCCTTCAATTGACAGACAAGGATCCTTTGGATCAATGGGCCCACACACACAGGCTGTGGAGTGACCGTGTCGTACACACTGTAGCATGGCTATGTCGTCTTTAAATTGCGTGACCATGTCGAGAATTGGCCAATCACCGTTTCCACCATACAGTGTCAAATGAAAGGGAAGAGGCCCATGCTGGGCGCATTTTGTGCTCCGCTTCTCGTTATTCGCAAGGCGTACGGATAAACATCCATGCAGATGCGTCCCGCTAGATCCTCAATTATCAGACCCGACACCGGCTTTTGCATCAATCTTTGTCGTATAGTAAAGATCATTTGTAGCTTTCAAGTAATGGAGATCTCTGAAAGAAGTTACAATCGCGCGAAGTCGGGCCTATGAGTCCGAAAGAGGGACTCTAGATTTACGCTTCCCCAGATGATATGTGTGGGGTTGATTGAGCACGTCCTCATCAGCATTGAAATCCACCGTATTCTGATCGATTGATATGTTCCGTATCTTCCACACTTTGGGAAACTGCTGGAACGTTCTAAAACCCGTCATTCGGGAAGAAAATAGAGACCCTGCTAGCATATCATGGGACTTGTTGCCGTCGGTATGGCACTGTAAGATTTTAGGATCAGCCACCGACACACCGCGTCGTCCTCGACTATGGAGTATGGATGTAGCAAATCGCAGATCGGTCGTGGTCTGGGTCTGACGCATTGGTAAGCAAACGAGTTGAATGATGTCTTTTTGTTTTGTGTGTTGCGATTGATATGAGCAAGATTTGGTTCTCCTAGCTCTACTTGCCCTGGTACAGATTCTGGGGTTGGCCGATTAAGAACAAGTTTGGGGAAAGCGCCATTGGAGAACACATGGATTGGCTCGGCGAACCTGCTTGCCGCGCCTGTTCAGCGGAAATGGAGCGGAAATCGGCTGAGCGGCTGAGCGGCGGAGTCTCCGGGCATGACCCACCCCGGGATCCACGATCACGGAACCCAAGAAGAGGGTGCTGTTCGGTGCCGACTATTCTTGAACGCTGGAGAGAAAGAAAAGGCTAGGAGATGACTACCTAGTTTCTGGTGCATCAGTAGATACAGTCCGTCTAGTATGTCAAGCTCAATAAACACGTCTAGCCCTACCGGCGCTCTGCACTCCGTTATCACAGCAACCCTCCCTCCATCTCTGACCATACCCGGCCCGGAGACAGCACTTACGGGCAATTTGTTTGGCTAAATTTTAACCTAAGCTTATATCCACGGCAAGATCCGAACTAGTTCATTGGATAAGACTCACAGTTTGCGGTAAAGTGTCTCCTTGTAGATAGGTAGCCTGAGGTAAGAGGCAGCGATTTCTGCAATATCCCTCTCTGTGTTCATGTTTGTGTCTCTGAGCATGTCGACATCCAAATGGAATCAGCTGCTTGCTGTTCGAATATATTGTTCACGACACTTTCCGTCGTATGTGATATTGTACCTTTAGCATGCCCTTATACCGGTGTTTTGAGTCTACCTTTCTCGTTTTGACTTATAACCTTATGTTCTCGTTCCTGAATAGTATCAGATAGGGGTAAATGGATGGGACAGCCAACAGGGCCCGATAGCTTAGGATCACTTAGTGATAACACTCGTTGGTCATATAAGCTATTCGATTGTAACAAGGAGTGTATCCGTACTGTGGTCGTCGAATAGCCTTGTCGCACATGCCTCCCATTGGCGACTGCTATATTGTGCTGATAGTCTGTCGATGAAGATGCAACGAGGCCATACCACTACTAAAACCGCACCTATATAATTACATGTATATGTACCCAATACGTTTTGCCAATCATTTACTGATACCATGCGGATGTTGAAAGTGGTTCTGGAAGCTCAATCGAGGGATGGCTTGATGTGCTTGTAGTTGACAGCGAAAAGAAGAGGCCTGGTTGGAACACTACTCACAAAGGGTGTTTAAACGGTGGAGATTAAGCTTGTGGGAATAAGACTCCCATGACTGTAAAATACCAATCATTACCAAGGTCAGGAGTTGGGCCATATTCTTTTGTAGACTAAACTCAGGCAATGCAATCTTGTGGATGCGTATAACACAACCATGATCCCTAACAGCTAAAACCTATAGTTGATAATGTTGCATTGACAACATCACAGTCCATCAAGTAAGTAGTTAATTCTTTACCTCTGCTACATATACATTACTAAGGGCTCACTCCGCCGTGTCTTCGTTTCGATGACTGTACGGAATACCTTCGGTTGGTTTAGGAGATCTTGATAACAAGCATCTGGCCAAGATATTGACCCTGAAAACTTACTCACTTTAACAATCATCTACACTTCTCGGGTTCTCGGCACATCTCATCAATTCTCCTGAGGATTCTTTGCTGGTTTGGAAAGAACAGTAGATGGCATCGATATAAGGAAAGCCACGACACCTTCTCCCAGCGTAAACAGTTACGTTTGGGTCCTCACCCCAACATCTCAAGTGACGATTATGTGAACCTCTCTTGACACGTTACCTTAATTTACCATGTTTAGTAAATCTGATTTCTTCTCAACTCCACCAAATTCTCTTGCAGCAAAGCCCTTCGCCGTGCTTGGAATCGTAGCGTTACATTCGCATGGATCAGCCGTGCTGGCAGCCGCCTTTGTATTTCCTGAACTAAAGCCATCTTTACTGCAGTCGCTACATGACACATTTTTGTGTCATGTAGTTATTTGTGGTGTGATGCCACTTGATACCTCGCGGATTGTTGGTCTCAAGCCAGGTTACTGAGCAGCAGGCTTGGTGGGCACGGCGCATTTGTGATTGTCTACTGCATTAAAACAATTTGTGGTAGAACCTTCACTTGAGGGCCCTTTACAAGATGATCTGATCCCTGAAGGGCTCTGGAGATGTTGTTAAAAAATGCGTAATCTTTACCGAGGCTCTCGTCATGGTAAATAAATCAAAGAGGAAGCGGAAGTAGGCTCAAAACTGATACTTGATCAAGTTGTCAACTCTTAGTCGCTCAATGCGACACCGCATTCTCTTTTTTTGGGCTCATATAAGCTATCTTGCGAAGATCGAGCCTGATCCTGTCTATATATGCATTTATCATATCGTTAAACAATGTGCTTTTCAGAGATATTTTGGTCTCACCGGCTCCAGCCAGTGGTCCTGTATAGTCCTTCCAATTGCTTCCTGGGAGAGAAAAAGAATGTCCACCACGTACGTAGGTAAAGAAATACGCCTTTTGACGGCAACACCCCCGATTCCGCGAACCAAACCCCAATCGAAGAAGCTGTGTATGCTGTGAATTCCAAAAGCGCCGGTCCCTGGCTCGCCTTTCGCCTACGAACATTTCGTATTGTAGTTACCCCTTGTTGACCACGTAGCCCTTCATAAGTCGTTTATTATCCATCGTGGATCCTAATCATTAATCATGTCCAAGCTCTTGCAATTCTCGCTCTTTGGCGGCGAGCATTTCCCGCATCCTGTCTGTTTCGCGTTGTAAAGCAGCTCGACGCTCAGCCTTTAGCCTCTCGCCCTCGAAATCGCGTGGTCCAACAACCGGAGTATTGTCACGATTGGAAAAGGCACTGGGACTAGGAGCTGACGCAGTAGTACTGCCAGGAGATCGCAGCGGGGGTAAGGAGTAATCGCCGTCGTCGCTTCCGGTCCCTATGTTGGGAGGGGCGCCAGCTGAGGTCGAGGGGTTGAGTATCGATTTGAGGTTGATTGAAGATATCCGTTTTGAGCTCTCATGTGGAGGCTCTTGCGAGGCAAATGCTTCGCTTTCCGTGGTCGAGAAGGATCGTTTTCGCGTTGGCGAGAGAAACGAGGCCGGGGATAAAGATGTCTTCCTATCATTATTCGACGCCATTGATGCCATAGGAGCCAGTCGATTATCGTCATTCAGAGACCCTGTATAGTGACGTGGATTGTTTGACTGGTGGTACGCGGCAAGGTCAGACGTTGAGGGTAATGGAGATATCGTTCTACCAGGTCGTATAACTGGTAGCGGTTCGATCGTGAGCGGATGATCTGGACGACGGCGAAGGCCAAGGTTGACAGAACCATCCTCGTTCATCGACCCTCTTTCAGCTTTCGAATCATACTGGCTCTGTTGTTCCGCGGATTCCATTGCATCCTCCATTTCTTCATCCTGCGAGGCGGGAATGATTCGCTTTCGTCTCTTGATCGTTGATTTCTTCATGGTCATCGGTCGGTGGACGCCATGAAGCTTATAGTACAGCCCTACGATTATTAGCAACCAAAGACAGAAGCACTGGAAGACTGTACTCACCACAAGCGTTGCAGATAGTATGACCACTCTCGTCACGCCTCCACAGTGGTGTGATGGTTGTGCCACAATTTTGGCACGCAATCACAACCGTAGCATTCGAATTCTGCTGGCTTTGCATAGCATTAACATCCAACGGTACTGGCTCTGGTTTTGTGCTTTCACTTCGGCTTTGACAGCTCTGTCGCTTCTGGGTCCCACCGAGGTTGGCACTCTTGGAAACACGATTGTTATAAGCTGGGCAACCGTTACAGCCTTCCGCGCCACCTGTTCCATTGCAGCGACCACCACCAGGACAAGTTCCTCCGGGGGTTTGATCAGCGGAAACGTATGTCGCATTTGACGCTGCTTTCGAAGGAGTATCTACAGCAGGCTTGGGCGCAGCAGTTCGAGGGGGCTCTGCAGGTACAACATTCGGTGGCCGCTTGAGACTAGTAGGTCGGGAGGCATTCCTGGCTTTCTGATAGAGACCACAGGCGTTGCAGATTGTGGCACCTTGAGGCGATCTCCTCCATAAAGGTGTTCGGGTGGTTCCACAATTACTACATCGACATGAATATAAAGACATGGATAGGAAGAAAGATGTCAAGACTCACCTGCAGACTTGTCCTTGGCTACCATTGGGAGGCGGACTTGCTTTTGAGCCATGATCTGATCGGGGACTCTGTTGTTGTGACATAATACCAGGAGTTGGACTCGTTTTAGAGCCGGACGGGCTTCCGCTTAGTCTCCGGCGATTGTCGCGGCTGTCTTGGCCAGAAGGAAGTCTGGTTCGTTCTTGAGAGGAGGCGGCTGAATTGTCGCCTTGCTTCGAAGACATAGGTCTTGATGGCAGGGCAGTCCGTACCGAACCCGCCTCGCGCTGATGGCTGTACAGCGCCGCCGGCTGGGGATCTTGGCTCATGCCCAGAGGTAGAGCTAATATAGTTGACAGAACGAATACCGCAATGGCTTGTGGCGAATCGAGGGGAGTTGATGTTTCGAGATAAAAGGGGACGTATCAGTTACAGTTTGCAGACCATAACATGCATTGGCGTCGATATTCGATGTCGAAATATCGAGAAGTAAGGTTTGAATCTTGTATAAGTTGAGGATGATTAAGATAAAATTGGGCAGCGGAAACGAAAGTCGTTGCTTTACACGAGTCGTAATCGGCTGCGGCGGATTGATAAGTCGTTTCGAATCGGCCAAGGAGGCAAATCCAAAGACGCCGGGACCGGGTTCCGCAACTACGAGTCCGTAAACACCGAAGCGAACCAAACAAAGTATGACTGCCTCGTCCCGATGCGAGACGTAAGCCGGTGCTTTTCAAAAAGGGGGTACCTAGCAAAAGGCCTGGGCTACAGTCAAGTGAAATGTATCGTCAAGTTGCCAGTTCGCTGGTGGGCAGACCAGTCGCTTAGATCGTCAGGGTGCCAAAAGACGTAGACTACACGGAGCAGGCAGCTGACCTATCAAACAAGGCCAATTGAAGGCTGGAACGAAAAGACAGGCAAATAGGTATTGGTCAGATGACAGCTAGAGATGTCAAATAGTGACGCGACAGTAACCGAACACTTGGGACCCAAACGTCCAAAGAAGGAGGAGGAAAAGGCGAGGAGCGTGGGGAGAGAAAGGGACAAGGATGTGTAGTACGGTAGAGAGTCTCTAGGTACTAATCTGTAGAGTGCCCGTCAGGTAGGTAGGCGAAAGGGAAGGGAAGGGAATAAGCAGGTGTACAAGACAATAAAGTTGATCGACCAAAAGGCGGGCGCAGGGACGATCAATCTGCGACTAGGCAATGACAGATGAGATGTTGGTAAGACAACGACCGTCGACAGCAGAAGCGGCGCAGGACGAAGCGCAAACAGCCGCTGGCTCAGCCCAGATTTGAAGGTAAAAGGGTGTGCTTGGCGAGTAGCAGGGGAGGGTCTTTTGATGAATGAATGGGCTCTTGCGTGTGCGGCACCACCAGGCTGGGACTGTGGAAGGTGAGGTGACCGAGCAAGACCAGGGTATGATATGTGTGTGTGCGCGCGTAAGGCAGATCGATAACCCAAGACGCAATGAGACGGCAGATGGCGGTGGAGGAAGGACGGTGACCCCGGGAGAAAGATGATAGTTAAGGTGGGGGGGGAGGATGAATCAGTGCGAGACTCTCTCACTGTGAGAGTAAGAGAGAGAGAGAAGAGAGAGAGAGAGAGAGAGAGAGAATGTTGGGGTAATAGTTTACGTAGTTGGTTAGGTAGTTTGCAAAGATGGAACAAACAGAACAAACAAGGTGATTGCTGATGATCAGATGTGCTGTAGGTACAACATCCAATGGGAATGGGGACTGAGAGGGGGGTTGTCTTCCGATCCAGATTGTTCAATAGACTGGACTGGATTATACACAGTGGATTGGGAATTGGGAATTGGAGATTGGAGATTGGAGACTGGTTGTCGGGTTTCGGGAGCTGTGTTACACTGCATGACTTAAACGGGGCCCCAGCACGAGACTTTGTTTTCTCTTCTCTTCTTTGCGTGCCCTATGGCCGCCCTGTTGCCCCTCAGAGGGGAGGGAACAAGACATGGAAGGCAAGGCGATTGGGAACTAGGGAGTGACGTGCAATGCGCGCTGCACTTCACTACGTGTAAACGTAAACGTAAACATATGAGACCAGAACAAAGAAAGGCACATGATGCGATTTCACGGGGAGACGGCCCCAGCGTGGAACGACCTCCGGCAAGTGAGGTGCATTAACACAGGCTGGTGGGTTGGGGTTATTGATCTAGACACTCGGTCTTGTTTCTAGTGCCTCTTGTTAGTCTCAACCAAGATGCCGTTTCCGACAGACAGTCTAGAGAGTTTCGATTCACCACCTGTCAACGGTCAACCAACATCTCTCCTTGGCAGTCCAATCTCATGTGTCTGGCAGGCCTGTAAACAGGTTTCGACCGCCCATGCCCATGCCCTAGCCGTTGTTCTCCAATTCTTCAAGACTAGGTCGACGTCAAGAAGCATAGGTACACAAAAAGACCCTTCACAGCACTGTCGTCACAGCGGAGGGCCCAAACACAGGCCCTTAAATTAAGTCCTTTCTAGCACTCTGTGGCTAGGCCACCTCCCCACCCTTTCTCACCGCGGCTCTTGTCAAGTTTGCAAAGTCGCCCCTGAGATGTGTCGGATTACATTAGTCTGCTTTTGATTGGCTCAACTAATACGGAGAAATTGCTCTTGGTTTCTTGGCACCGCTGGTCGGCTTTTCGCGCAGGGGATCGTCGTCCTGCCCTGGGCCTGACCGACTAAGATCCGGTTGACACTAGGCCGAGATCGGTCCCTCTTTTTTTTCTCACTCCATGCCATGAATCCATCAGCCGAGGCCTGTAGGTACGTTGTAGTCAGCCGCACTAACATTATCTTGTCTTATCTTATCTTATCTTATCTCGTTCACGCTCCAACCGCGCGAGATTAGATTATCGGCTTCAGTTTCAAGTGGGCGCATTTACAGAAACACAATCGTCGACCTTTGAGGCCAAGCTGGAGCTTCAAATAACATCACCCAACCCAATTAGGCATTCGTCTTCGATTTCAGACATCGCGATCAGCTCCTTAGTCACGCCCTCCCATCATGGCTTCAGAATTCGGAGGTTCTCAGCCAAAGAGAGAACCGACACCTACTCTTCCGCTATCGTCGATTCCTCAAAAGCGCGCTCTCGAAGAAGGCCGTCACAGTCCCGTCGTCCCCTCGCCCTTGAATCCCGAAGTCAAACCTTCCGAATCCCTGGCACCCGAAGATGCCGCCCAAGCTGCTCGTTCCAAGTCGGTGCGCACCAAGAAGGACACACTTAAAAAACGCGAATCCAAAGGCGGTGATAGTGCTCGTGCGACTCCCGACCCGAAGCCAAGGGTGAAGCAACAAAAGAAGCAGAGCGAATCAAGTCCGTTACGTTATAAGCTCGCGCCTCCTAAACTGTCCGACTTTGACCCCCCTCGAGGTCCTGTCATGACGGCGCATCATGAGACGACAATACATGATGGTCGAACAGTAGAATTCTTTGAGACATCGGATCAGTAAGTCGAGCTCAACCCCAATCCGCTACCTCTAAGCTAACCTTGTAAGTGTCTCCAACAAGAAGAGCTTCCGATATACACACTGCATCGCCGACCCTCTTTTCCCTTCCATGATCTATTATCGAGGTACAGAGCCAGAGCCTTATGGTCCCCACATGAGCTTCGAGGATTCGGCGGGGCATGTCTACTTCGACAAGTCAGCCCGCCAAGTTACGACCGACAAAGGATTCCGCATGGCACGAGCGAATGTTGCTGTAAGGGAAGGCAGATGGTATTGGGAATGCAAGATCACAAGAGGAGTTCGGCCACCCAAGGATGGCGAGTCTAAACCTGAAGGCGGACAACATGTGCGCATGGGCTGGGCGAGACGAGAAGCATCACTTGATGCCCCAGTAGGGTTTGACGCCTACAGTTATGGCATTCGCGATGTTGCTGGCGAAAAGGTGCATATGTCACGACCTAAGGAATTTTTCCCTGCAGGAGAAGGTATTCGAGAAGGCGACGTCATCGGCCTCGAAATTCAACTACCGTCAGAACATTTACACCACAAGATCATGACTGGGCAGTATAACCCAGTAGTTGACCAAACCGACGAGGAACCTCCACCTACAGCGGAAGGGCGCAACATTGTCCGCGATCGCGTTCCTATTCGCTTCAAGGCACATACGTATTTTGAAAGGATCGAGTATCATCCAGTCAAGGAGCTGGAGGACCTCATGAACCCGACTGGGTTGGGTAGCGGCCCTTCTGAAGCTCCTGGTCCTAACCATCCAAGCCCAAGCCTACGTACTCTCCCCAATTCTTGCATCCGCGTATACAAGAATGGCGTTCTCATGGGAGTTCCTTTTGAGAATTTACTGGGGTTCCTTCCACCATCTTCTCGCCCTCAAACCCAGGTCGGCGCCCGCGAAGGTCTCGACGACGGCATGCTCGGATACTACCCTGCGGTCAGTGTCTTCCGTGGAGGCGCTGTGGAGGTCAATTTCGGCCCCGACTTCTGGTACCCTCCTCCCGCCGAGCCCGCCGCCGACGATGGCCCGGATGCAACCAGATCCGGCCATGCTCAGCTGAACCAGGTTCATGCTATAAGCGAGCGCTGTTATGACCAGATTGCTGAGGACATCGTCTATGACATTATCGACGAGGTTGACTTCTGGTCGCAAGACGGCGGTGGCGCCACAGATCGTCAAGGCGTGAGTGACAAGAGCGAGGCTGTTGCCATGGCCCCTGGGCGAGAAGAGATAAAGGAACTGGTTCAAGATGATTAATGCAACAGAGTATCTTCTGCATCGCCATTGTCCCAGCAGATATGAAAACCTTGAAACAGACCCTGCTTGCAGCTTATTGCAAAAGATACCCACATTGAAACTGCAGAATTCAATTTTATTATTAACAATATTTTCATTACTAGTGAAACCTGGTATCCATACTGCCCCGAGGCCCCATTCTCGTTTCATCAATCGTCATAACCTGTGTCGTAAATATTGCATTACCATCTGGAAACATTTCCCAGCCTGCCAAAGTCCTTAGCCCTGTCTTAGCGACGAACTGGCTCTTCTGGCGAGACTGGTTCGTTTATAACCAACACTGGTGATCGTTCAGACATGGGGGATACAGGCTCGCCCAGTGCCGCCCTATCAGCCCTGCGACTTGCAGTAGCAGCCTCTGGTCCAGGAAGAAGAGGGTCGTCTGGAAGCTCCTCAATTCGATCACTGCCGTCGATAGGTGTCTCGTTGGCAGACTGCTCACGCTCAAGGCGCACTTCGCGGCCTCGCTTGTGGCAATACCACAGCACAAACATTAACACTATTGAGGTTAGCCAGTGTACGAACAGTTCAATGAGTAGAACTTACAGAATAGAGAAACACTCCATATGACATTTGTGCCAATAAAAGCGGGCCAGCGCACCTTCAGCGCGTTAACAATAGCCTTGAGCATGCTAACTACAGCTCCCGGCTTTGTCACCAGATCTGTCAAGTTCGATGGCTTAAGGAGATCGATGGCAGCATCTTTGATGCCTTTGTCGGTGTTGGCCTTAAGACCTTGGCTTTCGGCTGCCGCTGCCAATAGCTCAGGCGCCAAGGACGATGTGAGCTTGTCTGGGAGCTGGGTAACGAGCTTCTTCAAAGATGACGGTAGCTTTTCGAACCCGCGGTTAATGGCACCATCGCGGTCCTCGACGAGGCTAGAAAGGTCACCATAGGCTGTTGGAACGCCATTGGCAAGATCCTTGAAGACTTGCGTAAAACGAGACAAAAGCTCAGAGGACTCGTTGGAGAGTGAGACAATCTTGTTGTTCTTAGCCTGGAGGTTCAAGCGGTCGAGAACGTTGCCGAGATCCTCCTCCTCGCGCTCAGCTTCTACAGGAGCAACATTGTCTTCAGGCTTGAGACCATCCTGTGGTTTCTTGTGTCTTGTAAACAAGGCTGTAAGACGATTCGGTTGTTTTTCCTGCTTCTCTTTATCTTTTTTTTCCTTCTTCTTGTCCTTTTTGCTCTTGGACTCCTGCAGAGACTTGATGGCCTCTATCTCGCTCTCGGATGCAGAGGAGAGCTCGATCTGAGGGGTGTTGACTCTGGGAGGCAGCGGCGGAGCTGGACTGTCGTCGTCCAGAATACTCTGAAGCCAGGCTTCATCATCGCGGTCGAGAACTGGGCTCAGTGGAGGAGTGTTGGAGCTGGGGCTGTGCTCGGTGCTACGCCGCCTGTGATTGTTAAAGTCTGGTACGCGCCCGTGCGTTTGATCAACTGAAGAAGATCCAGCATCCGTATTTTTTGCGCTTTTCTCCGCAGCCGCCTCTTTCTCAGCCTTGTTCTTCTTGATCTTCTTGTATGTCAGATATTCCAACATCTTGAAGTTCGTTGTTGGTTGTGGTAACGGTGACGGTGACGGTGACGGTGAAGGGCCAGTAGATGGGGATTAAGCTGTTTAACTACTGTAAACTACTACGTAGCGAAACAAGAGGCCGCCCGGGTGTGAAAGAGAGCGATGGCAGTTTGTGTGTTGGCGCGCGGTTGTAATTCGCCTTTGTCTTGTCTTGGTGACGAACGAAAGAGCCCACAGCCACATCACATGTGATGTCATGACGGCTGCCGAGTCTGGACCTCCCTAGACTGCCTAAACCCCCACCTCAACACTTTACAATACCTACATGATCGACATTCAACTGCCGTCGAATCATACGAATCCGAAAATTATTGGTCAAACCACTCCCAGAGCGTGTGGGTGGAGATTGGGACTTAATTCGACTTCGGTTGTTTTAATTGCTGCTTCATATTGGCCTTGGGGTATCTTGAATTCTTGATAGAGAAAATAAGTCGGTAGACCAGCGCTTATGCCTCAATCGCCACTGTCAATGATGTTTCTTCACTCATCATCCTCATGATCCTCATCATCTTCTGCTCCTCCTTCGTCACGGATGACCTCGTCCGCCAGTGTACTACGTCGCCAGCCACCGCCGCTCTTTCTTCGTCCTCGTTGAAAAGCGTCAGTCGACGTTACCGCTCTCTCGCCTATGTATTTCTGGCCCGTCCAGTCAGTAGAGCATCGAGGGCATTTCTTTTCCCTTCTAGTTCGCCAGAAAGCCTCTTCGCACACCTCGTGCAGTCGAAAATTGCATTCCACTTCCACGCACCTCAGACCCATCGTGACTAGATCCTTGCATGCTTCACAGGTCTTGATGCGCTGCCAATCGCGTGGTCCTAGATCGGGGTCGTTGTATGTTTCAATCAACCAGGGCCGCAGCTCAAGTAAAGCTCGTGGTGACAATGTGTAGAAACCCTCGTTACTCTTCTCAAACCAACCTCCCTCGACCAAGCCTGCTAGTACAGCCTCTACTTCGCTATGCTTCAGACCCTTTTCTGGAGTTGTTTGTGTCTGCGTCTCCACGTTGACCTGGCTCTCTTGTCGGCTAGGTCGAGCCAGTTTGATGGCTTGCATCTCAGTTATGGCCATGACTTCCATGCGCGGCGTGTTGAACTTCTCGAACATGGCGTCTAGGACTCTTTTGATGAATGCAAGTTCTTCGGGGTTATACGTTGTGGCGAGCTGCGTCTGCGGATCGGAGGTGGTGTTGACCAATGCCCATATTCGTCTCTTGGTTACTTGATGAGCAGTTGTGCGGATTTCGTAGTCGAAAAGTGTCGCTGCTTCTGAAGCCTTGTCTATGGCATTTTGGAAGTGTTCCTCGGTGATTTGGTCCCTGCGTATCTCGTCCTCGTCTTCGTCTTGACTGCGGCTGGCGTTGAGTATCGCAGCAAGGATAGGACGAGCCTCGTCGAATGTGATTGTTCCTCGAGCTAAAATTGCCTGAAGAAAGGCTCTATCGCTGTGGCTGAAGTGGCTATCACTCATTTTGAACTATCGCCAAAAGGTATTTGCGGTCATGAGTCGGAAGAAATAACGGTTTGCTTGAAACAAAGAGACCTAGCTGCCTTTGACGTGGGGAGACGCGTTGAACGCGTTCCTAGCACAAAGGTTTAATTGAGTGCGTGGGTCACTTGAGTGGATTTTGTGGCTGTGTGGCTGGCGTGTACAGATCCCTCTCTGACTGACGGGCCTTGGCCTAAATACCTCTTAAATCATATTATTCTGAATATTTATATATATTCCGCTTCATATGCTTGCCAACTTCCCTGAAAATTGAGTTGCTACAACAAGATTTCCAAATTTAGTTGATAGTTTCCTACTTGCTGCGACCTCAATTAAGGCGGAATTGGTTTGCACCGAAAATGGTTCGTATAATCGTTTTTCACTAAATGCTGAGTAAAAGAATGCTTAAGGACAAGAAATAGGAACTCGAGCGGGAGAAGTTTAAATCATGTCAAAATACGAACCACATCTTTTATCATATGCATACAAATTTTGCCACCTCATGATACATGTTGCTATGTTTTGGCATAGGGTAGGTAGTCAGCTCTGGCTGCTGACTCAGCTCATCTGCCAATGAATAGCACTCCTGAGAGCTTTGAGCTTCAACATAAGTTACAACATATACCCTTCAACGCTCAAGACAATAACGCGTAGCCTAGGCCACGACTGTGCCAGAACATATAGAATTGGCTACGCAGGGGGCTGGACACAATTCACACGCGGAGAAGAAGAAATCGGGCCACGTCTTGAAGTCCTGGTCAGTACAGCGAAGACATTTATGTGGTGAGCTATCCATCAAGGCTACAGCCGTAAACAGCCCTTATTTGCTATAGTGGCTTCGATCTTGGACGAATACCAGAATCTGGAGCACTCAGTCGATACTTTGTGTGTTTGAAAGAAGAGAGGACCATTATTTGCGACCACTGGTCTCATCAAAGTTTATGAAAGAAAATATCCAGCCTCAAACTCACAATTCCTGAACATCCCCGGCTGTCAATCGCGAATAGCTCCTATCACATCAGCAAACACCAAAAGAAAGGAAATATGAATATGAATCAGACGGAATTGAAGGAATTCGATGTCATTCGGGTGGCCAGAAGCGATGGCCTGGATACTGGACCTGGATACTGGCCGACAACAGCACCAACCACCACCAGTGCAATTAAGAAGACAAAGGATGCGGCTGTCTCGGAGAAAACACCAAGAACGAAGCCACAGATGATTCGCTTGACCGAGGACGACCCAAGATTTACGGAGTGGAAGGTTAAGCTCGGTATTCTCCTCAAGCAAGAACTATGCCCGAATCCTGATGGTAAGTCGAACTCTCCCGCACCTATCTGTTCAATATCTAACTCTGGTAAAGAGGGGAACTCGTGGCTGGTAAATTTCCCACGAGGTTATTGGCTCTACGAGAAGTCAAAGCATCTCTGGGTTTCAGGATATCCAATTAAGGCGAAGCTGTTCAAAAGCCCCCAGGAGTTTGCTGTCCATTTGATATGGCTCCTCTCGACATCGATGGACTATCGAGACTGTTGTTGTGCTCATTGCAACGCTTCCAACATGATCAAAGGAGGAGTCAATGCTGACGACGGCCTGGTCATCACTCACGAACCCTCCAAGGTCGACAAGATGCCGACCAAAGTAACGCCTGTTCCTTTACCCCCAATGCCTGGGCAAGGGCCTCAGAAGGCCAATAATGTTGTGCCTCGACCAACGTCTACACAGTCTACGCCGGCTCACACTGCACAAAACTCCCCAGCTCCAACGCCGATCTCTACTACTGCAACTCCTGTGCAGCAAGTCCAACAACCGCCCCCGATTAGACCTCAGGAACAAGTAATTCAGCCGCAGCCGCAGTCATACCCACAGCCTCAACCGCAACAACAACAACCACCCCAAACTCAACCACAGCAGCCACAGCCACAACCGCAACCGCAACCGCAGCCGCAATTACAACAGCTACAACCCCAACCACAGGCACAACAGCAAATTCAACAACAAGCTCCTCTCGCTCAAGCGTCACCTCAGCCTATCCAATGGGCACTCAAATCAGCTGTTTTGTTCCGATCAGGAGAGCTGGTTTGGTACCAAAACGGCAACACATGGCGACTTGGAGTTATAGCTTCTTCGACTAATGGTCAGCATGAAGTTATGCCCATCGGACACGGCATCGTCCAACAAAGCAATGTGACAAAAACCGACGGGGATATGCGTCCCTTCTACGCCTTCACAGTACCACCTGTTACCCTCCCTGAGCTGAAGGAGAAGGAATATGACGGGGTTTCGTGGGAGTCACTATTTCAGGGTGCAGCAGATGGGAATAGACGCGAGATGCTCGCCCTTGACGCCTCCAAGATGGCAGCTGTCAAGATTGATTATTCGTACTCGCTCTGGTCGAAACTTTCAGAGGACCCAAGGGCTCGGAGCGTGACTTATTATGGTTGCTTCTTTGGAGCTGAGCGGGTCGAGATTGGCGACGCAATGCGGCTCAGATCACTCCCGGCCGACCTCAACGTTCCGGCCGAGACGGGCGTATTGGGCTTGCGGTTCATCTTTACCATGAAAGAATTCCCTGGCGCCGTCTTCTTCCGTGGCCACCTTTACCAGCTCGTATCTGAAGATCAACCAAACATTGTCAGGGATGAACACCTTCCCATTGCGATGCGGAGCGAGAGCCAGTGGCGCCATTCAGTCGGGGCACATCGCTGGCGCTACGCACTGGTTAAAGAGAATGTCGTGTTCAAGGAGCAGTCGATTAGAGGTCGATTCTACCCGACGCACCGTCTCATGCCCATCCTCAACCCGGCCGAGTTCCAGAGCTCGGTTGCCCAGCGCCGGGTGGATGACCAGTACGCCCACCTGAACAATCGTATGGATGGCACGGGAAGATACCTTGGCCGGAAGATAAACCGGCTCGATACCCTTGGAGCGTCGGTGGCCCATTCGGCTAGGATTAGTCTGGAGCCGTTCATTAGAGAGGGAGACCAACCTGTAGAGTGATGATGGATGCAAGAAGCTTGGTCTGTATACGGCATGGAATCACATGTGCCGAGGGTACGAATTACAGGGGGGTAATCATGGAGTTTGTTAACCAGTACGTAGAATATTCAATAGAGATATCCACCAGACCGTATTATCAGGAATAATTTGTTTAATTCGTTGTTGGCCTTCTGCCCTTCTTCTAAAGTCATAGCCTAAGACCAGGCCCTTGAAAGAACCCCCCATTATACCCTACCCTGGTCCATTTCCTAAGATATGCATACGCCTCCCCTTCCCCTCTCTTGTCCTCCCGACATCCCGAAACCACCAGCTTCTACTCACGATACACACGCCATCATTAATCTGATCCATCTGTGCAACACACACCGTTACGCAGAAAGCAACAGGCCACGACACAATCTACGCTTCTCTCTTAAGACAAGCAACACTTGCGTATGCTGCAAGTAAAGTATCGGGGCATAAAGCAAGATGGGGTTTGGAATGTACCACAGATACTACCTCAAGAGGTACATACGGGATGCTTGTGGTGTTGAAGCACGGCTCCACGTGTTTGCTGCATCGTTGGGGCTTGTCAGACACACACTGTATGAATTGAGAGGGGATGGTTTGGGTATGTATATGATGATGCCATGTATGGTGTGAAGAAGCAGAGAAGTGGAGAGTTGAGACGGAGCTTTGATAAGTTCCCGTGTCTTATTAGCTATACTCTCTCGTATTGAATTGGAGGACACCCATCATATGGTCAGTGAAGCCACTGTCAAAATCACCCATTTTCGTAAAAAAGAATGCTATGTATGTCATGAATGATTCACGTCTTTCTCATTGATACGAGGCGTAGGTATCGTTCGCCAGGAGGACTTGTGTTTATCAAGAGAGAATGAAAATAACACCGCTTCATCGCTATCGCCAAACACATTGACCGTGTGGCACACTCGTTGTGGTATCCAACATCCTCGAGCCACGGCCCGTAAAGTAAACACATTTTGCTTGCTAAGACGCAAATATCCCCCGAGTACTCTTTTGACAAACCAACTAAACCAGCATCCCCTCCTTTGTACCGCATCACCAAATTCCCCTGAATCACATAAACTCCTCCTTCATAAATGCGTGTAAATGACTGATGACGGAGAATGCAAATCATAGGGGCGCGTTTTAATGATCCAGATCGTGATGTCGTATACGTCGGCTGATGTAAATTTGCCATTTTTGTCTCGTGAGGAAGATACAAGAGGGCTTCGCATCAAATACTATTGTGAACCACGGCCAAGGATGGATGGACCGTACAGCGTGTGACTGAGTAGAAGTAAAATAAACGGAATGGCGACGAGAAACAACTGTCCAAAGGTTGCCGGCTTATTGATATAAGAGATAGATCCTCTGACGATTGTTCCTCGCCATGGTTGCCGAGTGTCATTGCGTGATTGATATGTGAGTTTGTGAATTGATAAAAGAAATAACCTCCTCTCTTCGTCCCCGACTCCTAATTCAAGGATGTCTATTAGTGCATTGTGAGTTATGCTACTTTTAGATTCTCAAGCCGTGCCTGTAACTTCTTCAATATTTCCGGGTCTGGTTCAGGCTCGACTTTGCGGGGTTTGACACGAGGCGATTCGTCTGTTTTCTCCGAGCCACATTTCGTGCAATTGGTTCCATTCTCGGCACCGGTTGGGAATATCGTCTTGCAGGACTTGCATTGGTAGTGTGGTACACTGTTTGGACCAAATTCATCACCAGGGTAACCGTATGGGTATTTCTCCTTCTTGGGTCTGTCATGTGGTTAGCAGGAAAGCTGATTGATATATCTGGGTGAACTCACGGGTCTCGAGGGCAGTCAGTACAGCGAACATGGCCGCACTTCTCACAAGTCTTGTTACCGGAGATGAACAGAGTCGAACATTCGTGACAGGTTCTTCGCACACGTTGACGAGGCTTCTTGTGAACCAAGTCCTGGCCTCCCGTCTTGCTAGGTCGAGTGAGAACAATCTTCTTTTCGTCAAAGGCGTAAGAGTAGTCCGGGATGATGGGAGCGTTCTCCTTATTGGCTTTGATAATGGCGGCACGTCGCTCGCGACTGGCAATGATTTCGGCTTCGCTTCGCTTTGGAGGGTAACGGGTGCACTTGGTGCAGCGAGCATGCTGGCAGCTGGGGCACTCCTTGGCAGAAGAAAAGGTAGCGTTGCACTTGTGGCAGGTTCGTCGTACACGCATGCGAATCGGCTTGTCAATGCGGAGAACGGTATCGTCGGGGGATCCAGTATGAAGTTCGGAAACATTGATGTCAAGTCCGTAACGCTCGCCAAGTTTCTTAGCACGCTCCTCTATCAACTGGCTCCTCGTCATCTTGGAGACACCCTCCATGCCTTCATATTTGGTCTTAGTTTCCACTTTCTTAACCTCGGGAACAGGGGCTTGGCTGTATGACTGTTAGTGATCAAATATTTTCAAGATTGGTTTCATCGATGTCCATGAATGAGCAACACTGGGCAGAACGCCAGGTCTCATTCGTGAGAATTTCGTCAAGAGCAACCGTACCTCGTCTTGGGAGTCTCATCAACCTTGGCGGGAGCAGTTGGCTTAGTGGTGGAGAGAGTTGACTGGCGCTTGGAAGAAGTAGAGGAGCCTTCTCTCTTGAGGAAGGTCTTAGTACGAGTGAGAAGCTTGCTCAGACCCTTCTCTTTCTTCTCTTCTCTGGGCGTCGATGGCCCGACTTGAGAAGGAGAACTCATGCTGCTTGATTTGGTGTAACTAAACTGAATTTGACAATTGGTTGGTCGTGACCGGTTCTTAAGCAGTATAAGATGCAATGAGAGTTGAGATCAGGATTCAATCGGGTTCTTTTCAGGGCTGATTGAACATATGCCAGAGGCGAATAACACGAGAAGGTAACGGGTGATAGGGTTTGCGATGAATCGTAAAGCTCGACGATATTGGCTGTATTGGCGTAATCGGCGAGACCGAAAGTAGTGGCGCTCAAGAGACGATGTACCAGACGATAGATAGACAGCGACAGTCCTGGTGGAGGATAGGAAAGGCTGAGCTGATTAGTAGGAAAAACCCGTATATCGAGTCAAAAATGAAGAGTCTATGTTTATAAGCCTCTCATGACGCAGTGGATCTGCGATAAACACACGAGGCGAATCGATTATATTTTTATTTTTAAATGTTGATGAGGGAAGAGGAAGAGGGTTGGAGTTGGTTGAAGGATGACGGGCGAGGGCGAGCGAACTATACCTACTTGAGGTGGTCTGGTCTGGCGGTTGCTAACTTGGACGGGAGAGATGGCGCTACACACTCTCTCCACGGAGTACAGTGCACATCTGGCGAGGTGAGGCAAGGATGGACGTGAGGTGAGAGTGAGTGGAGGGTGAGCCAGGCTGGTGGTAGTAGTGGACCCAACCTAGCGGCCCGGCGCTACAGTGCCCTGCTGCAGAAACGGGGAGGACGAGACCAGCGAATGGAAGGCTTGCCCGGGGCTGGCAAGGTCCAAAAAAGTACCTACTGGCTGTACCCAATTATTTACACAAGTTCGTTGCATGGGACCCTGCCCGGGAAAGAGAGAAGAAGTGCTTAGGTAGGCTTGCCCAGTCTTGGGTATTGGGTCTTGCATATCTGCCTCTGTGGGGGAGATACGCCCAATACCTACCGGGCTGGCGACAGTACCTACTTCGTACTGTAAAAATCACCTACCTACGCGCAAGCGACACAACCGAAAGCAGGGAATAACGTAAGGTGAGGTAGGAAGGGGTGAGGTTTTTTCTTTTCTGTTTTTACTACCTAACGTACGCCTTCCATGAGACTTGGGGGTGGAAATGTCGCACTCCATCGCATTCTCCCTTTCCTGGTTCTGTCCTCCAGTAAATTGATACTTCTCTAAACACCTCTGAAGGACCCGACACTGCGGGAGGGAGGGGCCTAGAAAGAGTCGGCCGCTGGAAATCGGGAGCCTATGTTTTAGTTGAAGCACTGGTCAGAGGGGACTTGGCCTCTTTAGGAGGTGATCCAAGACACGACAGGACATGCCACGCATCAATACATGTACTATTGTACAGTAGCTCGGTCTCTGGTGACGGGAAAGGTAAGGTGGGATGTACGTAGTGATGCGCTACGGCGGTACGATGCCCCTTCAATGCGTACATAGGTAGTAAGAGCTCACTCAGGCTCTTTTGTTGTCTTTGAAGTTTGGAAGATGGTATGGGAGAGACTTTGAGATTTGAACCCTGTCTCTGTCTGTCTACCAGTTCTGCTGTCACAGGCACAGGTTACGCTCTTGCAGTCTGAGACTCTGAGCCTGGGTGCGTGTGGTGTGCTTGATGCCCACAGGGAATTTAACCTGAATCACACCCCTGCTGACTGTACAGTGCGGGACAGTTCGATCCAAACGAGGTTGAACCTCCGTGGTATTCCCTACCTATTCCAGCTGGTCGGTTCACTGAGTTCGTTGGAGTTAAAGTTGTGGCCAGCGGTTTGGCATGTTGCCAGCCGGCCAGCCCTTGCTTGGCCTCTTTGATGCGGCCAGCTGGGTCAAAGTGGTGGCAACGCAATGGAACGAACCAAACTGCTTTATTGCGGCACTGTCGTATGTAGCATTTAGTGGTCACTCAGCTGCCACATTGAGAATTTGAAGCTGTTGGTTGTTTTGCGAACCTTCCAGTAAAACGTTATCGTTGGTCCCTTTTGCGTCGCGTTGCGTTGCAGAAGGGTTGATGCGACCGCCCCATATGTACACACATCAAGAGCCTAAACTGGAAAGTTAATAGATCATCATCAGGCAATTGCTGGAGCGTTTCGCATCGCGAGAAGAAAACTATCGTTAGTAGCTAGGAAGCATGGGTTGGCGTGAAATGGTCTGTTTCACCCACGTTATTTCCGTAAGCCCGGTTTTGTTTATCGTCGTCAGTGAGTCTGATGGCGGCTGCAGCACAATCCAATTGAACAAGGAAGTTTGTTAGTATGGCACTTAGTCCATGGCTGAAATTAATTCTGAATGCTGTGATTGTAGGTTGCAGCTGTCGGTCAACCGTAAACAAACCATGATCTGGGCCTCAAGTTGTTCAAGCCTCCTGCAGATGAAGCGTGTCACAGCATTCCTGTGCAAGGTTACACATTGGAAAACCGTTTGTCCATGCCATGAGGCGTCCAAGGACCTGATTGGCGATAATCAATGCGTACCTCCTGAAGGCCTGAAGACAAAAGTCTCATAGTGAGTCGTGTTAGTGATGCATCTCGGAGCAAATTGAAGGTTGTAAAGAGCCTTGGAGCATCCCTGACCAGAAACAGAAACATGACCGCCTCTAAGATTCATGAACTTAAGACCAGGCAGGTGCAACTGAGTCATAAAGTGATGTGATTGGTCCAAGACCTCAGTCCGGAGCTGTCCCGGGTAACAGGAACCCATGTTGAGACTGCCAAATGTCCATCTCCGAGAATTTGCCATTCCTTCCTTGGGCCTGAACTTGGCAGTGGAACACTAGCGGAACAAAAACGACAGGAACTCCCAACTCCACGGCCCAGGAAGGAAGGAAGGCAGGCCAGATCAGCGCACAGACAGGCAGGTACGACAGGCCAGTCTGATCATTTAACACGCCCCTGTGGTAGGGGAGATCCATCAAATCCCAATCAAAATCCTGGTTATCCCTAAAGCAAACCCTCAAAAACGCCTAAAACCCCATTCTCAGGGAACCTTAAGCTTGCCGTCGTCAGTCTTGGCAGTATAACCTCAGTACAGGAATACTGCGAGGGGTCAATTTTCATCCGCCGTCAAGTTGCAACGGTTTTTCGACAGACAGACAGACTTCCTTTGCTATCCGTAAAATCTAGTAAATATGTTCAGTTCGGCCAGCTAACTTGGGTGCCTCGGTTGCCATGTCATTGACCGCCTAAGAAAAGAAATATCAATTAATTGCCTGCGGAGGCCTCAGTTTTTCAGTCCAGTTCATCAGAAAATATGGCATCGCTCAAAAGCATGATAACTCCGACCCTGGAAAGCACGATGTCTTGAACTACTACTATCTTTGTCCTCGGCAGCAAAAAGTCCAAACTGCGCCTCCTTTTTACTTCTCTCAACTACGGATACCGGGCTCAGGCAGGTTCAAGGTTGAATTAACAAGGGCAACCCGGGGTTAATATGGACGGGCCAACTCTTCCTCTCTTCCCGTAGTGACCCCTGGACTCACTACCTCTCTATCGGTCCATCATTCCACTCTTCAAAGTTCAAACAGCCCAAGCTCCCCATCATACGTGGGAACTGGAAATTCTGTTGCGATTGGCTCTCGTTTTTACTGACCGGATCTCCATCAATAAACCCAGCAGAAAGGCCATTTTCCAAGGCGAAAAGCAAATAACATTCCGGGGGTTTGGTATTATGAGCAGCTGCCACACAGTCGGTTCCAAGAGACAGGTCGTTCTTTGTTCGGTGTTTGGCACTGTCCTGCAACTACAAGGAATATTTTAACGGTCCTCCTTTATTGGGGATCGCCTGTCGGCCTTGCCTCGATTCCTACCCGTGGTTAGACGTTTATACGCCGTCAGCATCGGCATATATGACCATCTCAAAGTACCTTAACGATACCATGCAGCTAAAGCACCAACGTCGACTGCTTGTAGGGATTGCCCTTTCTACCGCTTGTCCCTCAAGGCTTCATACATCTGGGCTCGGGGTCTCGGATACGATGCTGTCGATGTGTTCCCTGACCGTACCTGAGTTTACCGACTACATTTTTTATCGGTAGTTTGTCATGTCAGATATGTCCCAAGGTTGGAATCTCAGACCTGTGTCTGATCTTCCCGCTTCGATACGCAGAAGAAAGCAAGGCAAGAATCGCACAGACGAATATGATTGATCATATCCATTATGAGCTGGCATGCACACTTTCTGACTCGCTTGCAATAGACAAGCGATAGGGCAGCCCTTCTTGATTGCTAAATGTGGTGTACCGATTCTTTGAGGCTTCACTAACTTTGTGATAATCCACTTTCAGAGGAGCATATCCGGAAAACAGGAACAGCTCATCACTGCGTTTTCGTCTCCCTAGCCATTCTGGCTGGATGTCACAGCATTCCAGTATGGAAACTGACCCACTGGCTTCCACGGCCCCCGGTGCCGTGTTTGAAACAAACGAAAATTGCGGATTTGCCAAAGACTTTAGTTAAGCCAGACATGCAAATCAGTTTATTACGTGGGCATGCTTCGTTGAGTTCTTTTCGTTGCTTGCCTTTTCGGCCTCTGTGTAACGAGCCACAGCACAAGCACGCAGTCTTCTCCTGCACAGCATGGCTTGCCTGCATCCACCGCCATGAACCGATATTGAGTCTCGCCCGTCCTGCAGGTAACTAAGAAATGCAGTACCCGCTTTCTCCCGCCAGCGACTGTGCCAACCTGGTGGATCGTCCCGCCCATCGTTCTCTTGGCTCAATAGAGCTTGGATAGGAAAGGTGTTCTTAGTTTTGTGAGGATTGGGAAGCACATTGAAGTATATAGGGTACTTGTCTAATTAAAGAAGAGTGGAGGGAGGGGATCTAACAATTGACAACATGGAGGTCTGGAGCTAACTTATACGGAAGAAGATATTCGAGATGTTCCGCGAACCGCTCTGGCGGTAACTAGCTGTCAGAATGCGGGAGACGGGGGTTAATCTGACAAGTTTTGGAAGCTGTTGAGCGACAAGGAGGCCCGAGCAATTGGTCTAGAATTCGATCTTGATGCCAATTGAGCACCGAACAGGCGAGACATGTGTGTGCTGACAACTGACAGCCGTTGATCTTAGGAGGCTTGAGTCATTCCCAACAATGACGATATCCAGCTGACCGGTTCCAGTTCCTGAGACACAAGTCGGTGACGAGCCACAACCCTTGCACATATTCCCAGCGACTTGGTCCAAATGACCACGTAGCACGTCAATGGTTGTGCCCAGCATTCATCGACCTTGACCGCTTTCATGTCTCATTTACTAATTATGCACGTAGATGCACACGTACTTATCTACTTGTGTACCACCGTGTGTCTTGCCTAGGGTCTGGATCAGGCAAAGAACGACAAGGTTGGGGAGGGGTCAGGCCCCTCTGCCGATACTTGCAGCGAACGCCTTTTCATCATCTGCATTTGAGAATCATCGTTGTATTGGCTGAGTCTGCATCATTTACGAAGGAGAGCGACCTCCTACACAGTACATACCTCACACACTGCAGTGTAGCACGGCGCGAACAATAGTCACTGCCCCTGGCCAAAACTCGACAGCAGAGACGTCTTTCTCAACCATTTTGGAACGCAGTACGATGCAATGCAACACGGGCAGAAAAAAATTCAAACCCAAACCTGATCGAGATGGGGATGATGGGGCGGTCCCGGAAAACTATATCCTGCTCTGCCGCGAATCCTGGGTCGGCTATTAAAATGTTTTTGGATAGTCTGACAGGGGTTTCCATCGCGGCAAGCAATCAACGCCACACATACCTATCAAGGGATTAACTTTAGGCCCCCCACAAGGGTCGAGGAAAGTTTCGCATACCGTCATCAGGGATTCAACCGAACGAGCTAGTATAACAGAAATGACAGACTGGAAGAAAACTATGTGTCTACTATTTGTTCCGGAAACGACCCTTGGGTTTCCCTGGCTGCACTGACCAGAAGCTAGCCTTTGCTCCGGTGTCCTGATACGAACTGTTTAATAGCATCCGAGTGCCAGATGCTGTTCGGAGACAGTCCCGGGAAAGGCAGGCTGTTCGTCGGGGCACGTTCACTCACAGAGACGAACTGTCTGGGAGCGCTGTGTAATCGGCACATTGCCAGGGGACCTTACTGACCCGTTTGCTCGCTACGAGCTATGCAGCGGACGCCAGCCGTGTTGGACCCATTGTACCTAATTGGCTTGGAACTCTGCAGCTGCACACTGCAACGTTGTGCATCCCCGAGTTTGAGGACTGAGTTTTGGTGTCATGGCCTGATGACCCAATAGCCCGGAGCCAACAGTGCAGAATACAAAGGCATTCGTCATTTCGACCAGGTTCTTAAACAGGGGGGGGGGGGGGGGGGGGGGGGGGGGGGGTTCGATCACCGATTTTCTGCGTGGCGAGGAAATGGCATTCTGGATGTACTGCACAGTACAGACAGCCGACTGACCACACAGAAACGAAATCATGCAACTGCAAAGGTATTGCTCAATAAAGAAGATGTCCGTTCACAACTGGACCCTCCGTTAAACATCAGTGGCGCTGCGGCCCTTGCCGTCCCGCGGATCCGCTACCCGCCACCAATATATGATCACTAGCCGTTGAAGTCCGGAGTTGGAGTTGAAGTTGAAACCCTAGGAATAACCCAGCTTAGCCGGAATGGACAATCGCAAGCCGTGATTACCAATTCTCATATTTCGTGTCCACTCCTATTAGAGCAAAATGGACTCTGTCACTAAGGACCGTGCCCTGGGCACCATTTCCCGGAAAGCAACCGGATACCCCGAGTATACATCCTCAGTTCCATGCCAGTACTAGGTCCAATATATCTCGGAGAATAGAGGGCTCCCCCAGCGATCCACGCAAGTGTAAGGATGCTTAAACGGCGAAAACTGGATCTTCAAGATGCCATTATCATGCAGGTCCATAAGCTTCATGCACCGGAACATTCATCCGAAGTGGACTTTGGCACTTGAGTTGTAACGTTGCACTGTTCTTGACCTTCTTCTTTTCATGCCACGCGTGATGATATGATATTGGCCTTTCCACCTTGGCAGAGACCCCTCTACTCGCCGGAGAATATAAAATTTTGCACGTTGTGGAAGCCAGAAAGATATTGCGCCGTGTGCAGAGCAGGCATCATGATGGATCCTGTTTGGGATGACAAATAACATCAGAATGGTTGCGTTTGGACAATATGCTATTTGGGGGTGGCACACGTGAAAGTGGCCTAGAATGCTTGCACAAAACTATCTGTCGAGGGTTTACATTGAGAAGTGCAACAGTGGAGTTAGTCAATGTGGACGGCTGACTCGGGACTTGTCATGAGGCCTTTGCTATTTCCTGAATCTGTTATTTTCGACCAGGAGAAGGGCAAAATATCCATAGGTGTGTATATTGTAATATGTATAGTATTATCGAAGAAGAAAAACGTGGAATTATAGTTGATTGTTTATGGAGGGTAGCATGGAGAATTAAAGCTGGCAGAGACAGAGCGAAAAGCAAAGCACGTACTTTACGTCACCATCTCTGTACACCTTTCCCTTTGCCGACACCTTCGCTCTCCAGCACTGGAAATTCCTCGTACTGGATGCCCAACCCTAGATCCGACGAGGGCATGCCTTGGTCCTCCATGCTGAGCTTTAGGGCAAGTTCGAGATCGTAATCTCTGTGGGCGTGACCTGACGATCCCACCTCGGGCGCGACTGGTGAAACAGTCCCAGAAATCTTGCTCTTTTTGCCGAACTTCGGCTTGTATGCCACAGTGAACTCGTAGTCGCCCGAGCTTGCTGCTTGAGGGGACGTACCATTTTCGTTGACGTCTTCCATCAGAGACAGGCGAATAGCCTGTTGAATCTGTTGTTCATAGTCATCTTCGACGGGTACTTTACTGACATCATCTGTAGAAACAGTAGGAGGGATAATCATGTCAGTAACGCTGGGCTCGGGAGTCACAGTATCAACAGTAGTTTCACTAAAGGTCGAGGCAGTGTCCAGACCAGCATCAACGGCGGAATCACTCGTTCGGCGTTGTTCTTCAAAAAGAAATGCCTCCTCGGAGATCATTTGCGCATATCGCAGAGATTCTTCTTCGGTCAGATCCCCAAGAGAGCCAACACCAAAGCGACTGCGAAGGCGATTCACTTCCCTGGCTTTCTGCTCGTTCTCTCGTTTGATTTCAGCTTCCTCAGCAGCGATGAAACCAGTTACAGCTCCGCCCTGGCGACGACTGGCCAAACGGCCATGGACATCGGAGTGTCTAAGCCGCCGCTTGCGCCCCGAAGCGTGACTGGCAGAGCTGTACGCCCAGTACCTCAGGAACGCCCCAAAGGAAACAACGCCGCGAAGAACCGTTGGATCGGGGTCGAGATAAATAGCACGAACTGCAGAGTATGTCGACTCGTCAAGGTGAGGGTTCATTGTCATCATGTGTCGGGGCACCCGCCCATTGGATCTAGCATTGAGAGTTCGAACGGGATCCAAGGTCGACGCCAATGGGTCCCATGCTTGAACAAGCCCATCATTTCCACCATGAACGATATACATGGCTGAGAGGGCCACACAGGATACTTCTGGAGACTCAGTCTGAATTTGCCGTACAGGAGTGATACCCGAAGTCTTCGCGTTTTCACGAGCGTTCCAGGTAAGTACAGCGCCAGTATCTGTTCCGATAGCAAACAACCGAGATCTGCGGCCTGGAATCTCTTCCTCTGCGGTATACAACGGATCTTCACTGAGCGTTAAAACTGCAGTGTTGGATCGATCTATACTGGTGCTTGTGATCACAGCATGGCTTTGACTCTCCAGCTTCATAGAGCAGCTCTCCCATTCATGAAGGTGGGATAGAAAATCCGATGATGATACTGAAGCAGGGGAGACAGACTCGAGCACCTCGTTCTCTGCTACATCCAATGCTTCTGCGGAAGTCGTCCCAAAGAGTGAGGACTCGGGGGGAGCAGGAGAAGCAAAAGGAACCGGTGCCAAAACGACGGAAGATGATTGAGCGTATTGAGAAACCAGTGATCGGGTATATCTCTCAACGTGTGCAGGCCGATCCTCGGCAACACCGCAATCCACCACAAAGATGTTCTCACCCGCACCGTGCCCATCGTCGTTAGCGAAATCGACCTCCAATTTCCGCTGCATATCCCATCCTTCACAAACCCGTCGGAAGTGTGCTGGTTTTTGGCGCAAGAACTTCTCTATCTCTCGCGCTTCGGCAGCCAGTTGACTCTTACTCAGGTTCATGGAATTAGAAGGGGATCGAGGCGAATATGCGCCTTTGGTCGCATTCTTATCCAGATCGTCTGGCCGAGCAACACGTCGAGTTGAGTCCAGAAGATGCCAGTACACTGACCGTCCAGCAAACCAAGCGTTTTTGGCTATGTCTTCGCTCTTTGTTTGGGGCTGTGCAGTAGGCGTCTCAGTCAAGTAAAAGACTTCTCCCAAAGCATTCAGGGAAACGGCCCATACCCTCGCTGCGGACTTGCGTTTCTGACTATAGGATTCATCAACCTGCAGAGAAATGATCGGCACACCAGGGCTGAGTACCCAGCGAGCAGTGACTTCTCCGGCCTGATAACGTTGGGGCCCGAAATCACCTCCTATGGCGTAAGAAGTGACAACGCCCAGGGTAGAGCCAGTCAACATCCCAACCATTGACTGAGTGGTAGTAAGCACATTCGCTGACTTGGCTAACCAAACACTACAAATGGCCTCGGACATTTCCGGGATCTTGGGGATATCAGGATAGGTATCAACGACACCAGAGTCTGGACCGAGGTACCGTCCCCGATTCTCATTCACGGGGCGATAATAAGGTCGGCCTCCTGGAAAGCCCTCACCCGCAAGCAGACCATATGGCTGGCTCACGTCGAGGACATTGGGCGTAGAAGCAGGACCCTCTCCCAGACCAAAGGGGACAAGGTTGGGGAACACCTCATCGAGTTGCATCGAGTTGAAAGGGTCTACGAAACCCCATTTCTCAATCTTTCCGTTGGTAGGATCACTAACGGATGCTACTCCTAGGTCAGCAGCTCCATGGATAGCCTTTGGTGGTTTCTTGCCGTTTGTGAAGACAGCATGAATAGTCGTCACAGCCCATGGCAGTTTTGAATTATAAGTCAGGACAGCGCTAGTCTTTTTACCAGTGCGAACAGACGCACCAATGCCCCCAGAAGCAAAAGAAGCACCTGGCTTGCCACGGGCCAGGCATCTAACTAAGCGCGTACGAAGGAGATACTCCTTTCTCCAGGATGCCAGCGGTGTAAGGCGAGTGAAGTATCGAGACTCGGATTGGATTAGATCGTGCGAGCTGTCGTCCCATATGTCCACGTTGCGCTTGACCTGGAGTGCTTCGTGTCCTGGGAAATATCGCAGGAAGGCCATACGCCATGCATGGGAACTGGTGATAAGAGCATAGAAGCGTTTCGAAACAAGAGCGATGGCAGCGTGCGAGTCGGAATGCAGATGCGAAAGGATGTGCGTCAATATTTCTAAAGAGAATACAAGTTAGAAGATGTGATGATGGTGTAGAATATTGTATGACGCACCGTTTGGGAAATCTTCAAGTTGCACACCACCAGGTGGTGATTCGGAGCGTTTGATGACCTTGAAGCCCAGCGCTTTCTTAGGGGTAGGCGGAGTCATTGCATTCTCATACTCGGATATACGCTGGCCGGGAGCAGAAGGTTGGACGGCCGAGTGGTGTTCGAAGCTCAGTCGACGTAGCTCCTCGTCGAGTAAGTCGGCATCGACGTCATGACCCGAGTCGCGGCGGAGCGCCGGTGCAGAGCCCGGGTCAGCGCCACTCGAGTCTCCGGAGCAGACTCGATGAAGGCCACTTGGATCATGGTGAAGGGGGCCATGCTGGGTAGATATTGTTTTAAACGGGTTGTCTCGGTGAATCAAAGGTTCTGCGATCTCGAGAGGCTCTTGTTGCATGTAGCTGAAGGCTTGGAACTCGGGGGAGAAGGGTATCGACCGTGCACAAGATGTCTGCACAGTCTAGGGCGCTGGGACGAGGATGTCGGGATGATTGGGAGTGCTGATTGTGCGTGTGCGTTGCTGGGTTGTATCGCTGCGAGAGTGACGAGATGGTCGAGGTGATGATCGTTCCAAGATGGAGTTTGTCGTTTTTGCCGCGCGCCGCGTCGAATTTCCGATGTTCTACTTTACCGATAATGAGCCGACGCGAGATATTGTCGATAATATGATGACGGGCCAATAGACAACCACAATAGGGCATCGTGTTCGAGGAATGAATTGGAATTAGGTGTGTTACGACAGGAAAGACTATCTGGCCTATATCACCTATGTTCTGGACCGCTGTACCAGGAATGCTCTTTCTTTCCTATCATACCCGTCTTGTCTCTTGCCCTCAAAACGTTGCTGCCTGCTAGACCTAACTTTGCCGTGAGTCATCAAGGTAATTCTGATGGAGCCACTTCAAATTTGCCTCCCATTATCGTATCTGTTAGTAAAAGTCTAATGTTGAGTTTTCAGTTCAGGGCTTGTTGTAGCCGTGATGAGCTCAACATTCAATGTAAGATGTCACGTAGTTTCCGAATGAAGTAGATTAGCACCTCTTGCATCACGAAATATCCCTGTGAGTGTCTGGTCGATTCGACCGGGATGCCATCTAAGTGGCGTACGGATATTGGATCTTCTGATTAGCCAATAAGACAGCTCAGTCTCTCGACGATGATGCCGTTCTACCAATGCATTTTCCCAGTGCTTACGTAGGGGTTTATCAAAAACCTTCACTCAATGCCTGCTGACGGGTAATAACGAGAAAAATATCAACCAAAGGCCTACTCTATATAGCCCTGGGGTTGTCTAAGTGGTTTCTTTATAATACACCTGAGAGATGCTTAAAGAAGAAACTAGATAGAGCACAAGCAACTTGCCCATGTTAAACGACATAAGTTGAATTGCTAACAGCACGGGTCGGGTTTCCCCATGTGACAGCATATTACAGTGACTCGATTCTGCTTCAGCAGCTTATGGTAAATGTATTAATACATACGTGTGAGTGTTGGATTAGTACCTAGTTATCAAGGCGTTTGGTAATCCACCTACCCTATGCGAAAGAAACAAATATACTACTCCCCTTTGGATCTCACAACAGAACACTGATAATAAGTAATCCCCTAACAAGGATATCTGAAACATATAAAGAACTGCAGTGTTCTGAATAGAAGCCAGACGCATCAGCCATTCAGTCATGGGGAGTAGTTAGAATGATAAACTGGTACCACTGCAATGATCAAATGTAATGAACAAACATTCACAAATGTGTTGATTTATTGTATTCCTCGCCAAGTAGTATTGGAGATTAGGATTTTGAGACTAGTGTTTCATTCTTAAATCAATGTGTTTAAATTATTCCCCGTATATTTGCGCCCGTTCCATTCCATTGCGTTCCATATAATGTAAGTTATGTATATAGATGAACCTATAATCATGATGCTGAATTCTTATGCTCAAATACCACCCGAGATCATAGCTTTCGTCCAATTCGACGTGACTAAACCCAAACCCAAACGCCGACCGCTATGCATAACAGTGTCGTTCCCATCGTCAACCCAGACCGTCGCGGAGTTGTACCGCTGTCATCATCATCATTATTCTTCTTCTTATCTTTGCCATCCTCCTTAGCATCGATGTTGCTGGAACCAGTAGCAACAGGTGACTGGTTTGAAGCTGTTGCCCTTGCATTGATAGTTGTAACAGTCGAGGCTCCAAAAGGATACTTGACTGTCATCGTTCCAACGATGACGCCACTGGGCCCAATCGTGATAGTCTCCCCTCCGGTTTCTTTTGTAGTGCTCTCAGCACCTGGACCGGCTGTAAAAGTAGTTTCGTCGACAATCACATATGAAGGGTTGACTTTGGTGATTGTCGCTCCACCAACAATTCGATGTTTGGTGTCGGTTGCTTCAGCGTCGTACCCCCCGAGAGTTGTCCTATCAACAACGACGCCTGCAGGCCCAACAGTAATAGTATCATCATCGATCGTCTGCGTGACTCCGGGGTTATCGAGCCCGTAGATCAGAGTCGTAGAATGAAAAATGAAGACGGACTTTCCAGCCACAGTAACCATTTCGCCCCCTATAATAATTACATCTGTCTGAGGACCACCGACCCCTGTATATGTGAGAGTTTCGCCATCAATCATAACTCGACCAGGCGCAATGGAGATTTGCTGATCCTCGACCAGAGTGTGCGAGCCTGCAGCATGAATCTTAAGATTCGTAGTTGTGCCCATGAGGGGGATCTTCAGCCTTGTACCATCAACAATAGCTTCTGTGCCCGAGACAGTAACGGGCACCCCACCAAGTGCTGTACTGATAGGACTGACAACGGATATGGCAGTTCCTATAGGCTGCGGCTTTTTTACTGTTGCTCCTTCACCAACTAGTTCGGTTGGGCGAATTGTGAATATTCCGGAGTCGACAGTAACTGTTGTTGTTTGGTCTGCCTTGAGGTTGGAAAAAGTCTTGTCATTGACAATGACTTCCTGACCCCTTGCAGTCACCAAAAACACCTTGATTGGTTTCGGTGCAAGATCGGTATTGATGCTGGTGTTGATGTCAGTGTCAGCATCCGGCCGTCTTTGAGTTTGTGGGCGATCCTGTGGCCGGCTCTCCGGCATAGGCTCGGATGTTGGTTGTGGTAGTGTATCAGACCGAGCTTGAGATTGATATTGGGACTGAGCTTGGGACTGAGCCTGAGAGTGAACTTTGGACATAGGTCCCACCTTTCCGTGTCCTCCTGAAGTCCACAAATCTCCTGAGGGCTCGGGGCCATTCGGGCCTAGGGAGTTGGAAGGCTCAGGTAACTGTTTATTACTCATGGGCAGCCGACCCTCCTTCGTTTGCTTGCCGAACTTTGGAGGGGGTTTCGTTGTAAATACAACGGCAGGGTTCTTATCAGTGGTTACGAATGTAACAGTCGTTCGAGTCGTAATCAGACTTGGCATCTCGGGTTTGGGAACACCCGTGGGATTTGACCACCCAGGAACCTCTTCTGTAGAGCAGGAACCTTCCGATGAACAGTCTTTAGGAGGTACTTTCGGAGAAACATCTTTGGTGGACGAAGCAGGCGCCGCAGTAGCGCTTGATCCCTTAGAATAAGTTGGATCAGAAGGCTGTGTCTCGCAAAAGTTCGGAGTACTGATGGTTGGATAAGGAGGCGTGTATTCGCTGCTGTTCCCTAGGAAAGTTACTGTTGCTGTGTACACGATAGAGTACTCGGTGATGGGCTCGTTATCTTGCAAGGTCGTACAAGGAGGCAAAGATGTCGGTGCTATCAACGTCAATGTACCTGTCGGCCGGGGTCCAAGTGTGTATGTGCCATTTATTCTCGAAGTAATAGAGGGAATCCAACCACAGGAAGACTTGTGACCAGGACCACAGGTTTGATGCTTGGTGTTGTTAAGTGCGACTTCCGTCAGAGTGGATGCGAAAGCCTGGTGTGGTCTCCTATGCTCTGGAATCTGAACATTGCGCTCTGTTTCTGCTGGAGTTGCATTTTTGTCGTTGCTGGAGTTGCTGTTGGTACTTGATGTATTGGGCTCAGAGAAATGTCCATCTGCTGAGAGAGTGACCCTCGAACTTGTACTCAAAGTGGCCAAATCAGAAGCCAATTGTGTAGTTGCTGTCAACTCGGTTCCATGACTGGAAGAAATCGACGTCGCCTTGGACGAAACCGTTGCCGTGCTTTCATCGGAAGAGGTTTCGTCGAACAATGAGGAATACGCGATATCTTCTTCTGATGTTGTTGATAGAACTAACACTATGCTAGCAAAGGAAAGAGATTGGTCAGACAATAGAGAATGTGTATTTTTCTCTTGTAATATTGTTGACGACGTTGCTGACGTTGATGATGCTGGTATCAACTGCGATAAGCGAGTGATGCTCCCGTCTGGAGCAGTCACGGTGGCTGTATCGTTCAATGGAAAGCGCCTGGGGATTTGCTGATTCAGATTCAGATCGACTGATAAGGAAATTCTTTAGCCGTTATTCTTTTCATTTCCCTTCAATCTTTCAACCAAAAAGAAGAAGTAAACAGAGAGAGAGAGAGAGAAGCGATTTGCAATCCATACTCACATCGAGGTAGTGCAACTCCAGCAACAGAGGGCACCAGCGTCGCGACCAAGAGCAGTGCGTTGGTTCGTACTATCATATCGATGGCACAGCTCGGCACAGCACGCACAGCAACGACTGCTTCCGTATCATACTATATCGGTCTCGCCCAGGTTGTTTTTCTGCTCGTTCAACTGCGCCCAATTCCAACCAAATCGACAAATAATGGCCTCTAAACGAGTGATTTGGCCGTGTCAGAAATAGTTTTACATCGGTTGTGGATGTTTCTGCTGTGCAGTAACCACAATGACTTCGACAATGTCAGCATTCAACAAGGAGAGGGAAATCATTCACAGGGTGCCTGGGAGCTGGGAGGGGCTTGAAGGTTAATGAACCAGCCAGGTCCAACCTCTAAGAACTGGCTCTAGTGTATAATGGTATGGCCAGGGGTTACGTCGCCCAAGGGCCCAGACGATTCCACCCGGTCAAGGCTAACTTGGGGAATAGACTCGGCCATGTGCGAGGAGAATTGCTGAGTGTGCCGCCTGTCAGGGCCTCCACTCCATGTGTTGTTTCATCTTGACCCGAAGATCTGATTCTTGTTCTCATTGGGGTCTGGACGATTGTATGGCACACACCGATAGACCACAGTCCACAGTGGCAGACGCTGTACTGCATTCGACAACACCCACAGAAGAGCCTAGAGTGAGTGTGGCTGATGCTTTCTTCTTTTGCGAATACTACTGTACCATTCTTTCTTTCCCATCATCCATTCCCCAACCTTCTCGGGGCTAGAGGATGATACCTCAGAGTGGTCGATTTTCCGATCAGCACTACCCAGCCTTCCAAGATTCGAATTAATATTCTCTTGGCTACACAGGCCATCCACTAACTCGCAAGACACAGTGGCAATCTGCTGAAGTCTAATAAGCGTACTACCGACGGATCCTCGAAATCCCGATTACCCAGCCCGTGGTATAACATTAGTGGTACAATATTATAGACTCTACTTTACATTCGAGCAGAAAGTGACACAAGGCACACGGCCAGAAACAAGATGAGGGACGAGAAAGCTGCTGGAATTGCCTAATGTGAGCAAATAGATCCGAGGATCAGTGTTCAGTACGACCAGCAAGTGTCATTCGCTACACGAGGATTGAGTTCTTGAATGTCGCAAGCTCGCTCATGTGGTGGGGTCTAACGCTAGCATCTGCTATTAAAGATGTCCCGTGAGCTGGTAAAAGAGTTTGAATTTTGATGGCACTGATCTGGCGTGGGACAGGTTCCTCTTATGAGTGCATTTTGCAATCGTGTACTGTATATGCCACCATTGACTGACATCGTTAAAGGTACAGCCAAGCCAGGGTTTTACTACTCTGCACCACCATGCAGCCACCGACTGATGGCGCCAGGGTTTGCGCGGCTCTGTACAAGCCTCCATATTGGACGAATCGAAGCTCCGGTGGTTGACGGCGACTGACAGGCACGGGATACTTTTCACAAGATTGAGCCACAACGAGTTTCTCTCAAGCAGCTGCTGTTTATGGTTAAATAATAGCACAGTCACATGCGTGGGAATGATGCATTGCTACGCTGACAATACCGTAGCAGCTACTCCGTATCTATGGATGATACACATACACAGTATTGATCAGGCAGGTCGATAAATAAATTTGGTCAAGCAGAGCCAATTGACTGACAATCCCTGAGACCCCATTTTCAGTGTCGCCTTGTACGCTGCAGTCAGCACGAAGGAATAAGCCTCGCAGCTTGCCTCCACGTTCTGCAGTTCTGCCATAATTAAGTTCGAGGCCCGAGCCAAGCTTCAAACAGTCTAAGCTATGCCACTCTATTTCGTGGCTTTCTTTCTGGTCATTGGCCACACTGGGACGGGGACACGACAGGGGCACTGGGACCGGCATAGGCCAAAACTTGCTCTTTGAGTCGCCGTACCCCTTGCCTAAAAATATTGCCCTGCTCTGTCAACACCAAATCCCTTGAACAACATCTTACCGGGGGCTGATAACAGCAACGAGACATTATTCCGTGGTTATATTGTACGACAGCGGCCACCACCGGGACCAGCTTGATGTCGCCTTGCCATTGATCACCTTGCGTTGAACTGATGCTCAGTTGACCTTTGGCCAAATACTGGAGGTGAGATCTTGGCACAAACAACGACTCTGGACGTGCAGCATCTCGGCCGCTTCGACTGTATTGGCTCAAGAAACTTAGCTGGATGCTTGTTTCAATTGAGCATGACCTCGCTGGCAATGTGTTAACACCAAGACCTCTCTCTTCTGTCCGCCGGCTCCGAGATGTGGTCATCCATCCTCGGAACGTCCTTTCTTTTTGCTTGTCTAGTTCAAGCTCGCGAACCAGGGCCGATCTTGTTACCAGCAAGTGGATGGTAGGCCATTCACCCATTCTCCTTTGAAGCCAAATCTCATTTATCAAACAGGTCCGGAATCGATGGCAATTGGTCAACTATCTCGCTTTCCCTTGGTTCGAATTCACAGCAAGTTGAAGTTCTTGTGAGCACGGCTCTTTCCGAATTCTGGGCAGTTGGGTCTGGAGGATGTCTACCCAGTACGTTCTTATTCTACTGGCAACGTTCGCAATGCTTCTTTGTATCTCAAAGAAAAGCAAGAAGATTGACCATTGAATTTTCCCACTAAGCAGTTGGCACTAACGACATGTGTAGAAGAACCTCACTGTACCGCCGCTCGAGGAGGTGTCTATAACCCTCAAGAGTCTAGTGATTGGAGCCCATTGGGCATCTGGCAGCTAGGCCTCAACTATCTTGGCTATGGAGGAAATGGGGATTATGGCCGTGATCGTATCAGCATGCGAAGCCCTCTTAGCGATACGCCCTACGCCATGGATGATGTGTTGATAGCAACAATCAACACCACCAGCTACTTGCATGGACTCTTTGGTTTGGGCATCACTCAGGGCAATTTCAACGGCACTGTTGCAGATTCGCCGTTAACTCAAGCAGTCGCGCAATATGGATTGATTCCAAGCTACAGCTTCGGATACACAGCTGGTGCATACTATAGTATGTTGGCTATGGACTAAGCCTCCCTCTCTACTCAGTCATTAACTTAACTACCTAGGGAACACACCGGTCTCGCTGACACTCGGAGGCGTCGAACCGTCCCGATATCAGGAGCATGATAATGTCTTCACACTGACCCAGGAAGATAACCTAGAACGACCTTTAGTTCGTGGTATTGAAATAACGCCACCCGATGGCCAGGATGCTCCCGATTCCTGGGAATCCGAACAACTCTTACTGTCCCAGTGGAACTCATCCTTCTATGCCATCATTGATAGCACTACTCCATATCTATGGCTACCAGAGAGTGTTTGCGATCAGTTTGCTCAAGCCCTCAACTTGACATACAACAATACTTTTGACCTTTATACTGTTAGCAACGACCAATATCGCGCCTATAAGAATGACGAATCATTCAGCCTTACGTTTGTACTTTCTAGTTTCGACGACAACGACAACTTTGGCGATCCCTATGATGTGTCGGGTATAGTTAATATCACCATACCTCTTAGAGCCTTTGTGGGATTGTTGCAATACCCATTCATGCAGCATACTATCGAATACGGCGACCCAGCAATCCCTTACTTCATGCTCCGAAAGGCGCAGGACAGCGCGGCGTATATCCTAGGACGATCGTTTTTGCAGGAGTCGTACCTCATCACTAAATATGACGAGGGCGTCTTCTCTATACACCAGGCTCTCTTCCCAGATGAACCATTTGATGACTCCGAGTTATCCCCAATTAAGCAGTCTGACAACAGCCCGTATCCTCCACCGAAATCAAACGATTCCAAAAGCGGCCTTTCAGATATACAGGTGGTGGGAATAGGAGTAGGGGTTGGCCTAGGAGTCTTTGCTGTTTGCGTGACAGCCTTGGCAGTGTGGCTATACTTCAGACGAAAACGCAAGGCTGCAGCTGGAGGCAACAACCTGTCGGAGGAGGACCAAGGCCCGTCCTCGAGCGTTGCATCGCAGTCGCCGAAGTCTCCTCTGTCCCTCTTGTTCTCCAAGGTTTTTGGTCGCAGTGACGCGACTCAGCAAGGTAAAGGAGCTGCCTGCGATGGGGAAAAAGCTGTTGAAGCACCGGATACACAGATTCATGAAATGCTAGCCCCGATCCCGCCAGCAGAACTTGATGCGGATGATAGTATGTCATGGAACGACGATACTGAGCTAGGAACTGACAACTCCAACAACATGAGTGCATATGAAATGGCCAGGAAAAAGATGGAAAGACAACTTCAGGGCCCAGTGCCATCATATACTCCCCGTGCTGATGGCGCAGAGATGCCCCCAGAGAAAGCGATATACCAGCCAAATCCAGCAAATGCCCCCCCCGCAGCCCTGCAACTATCACCGTCTGGATCTTTGAAGACAAACCGGGAAGAAAACTCGAATCCAAGCTCCATACCATTACCATCACCATTGACCACACGCTTCGACGCAAATGGCCACCCCATCAATACGCCATCTCCATCTATGGTAGTGATGCCTGTATCACCAACTAATGAAGGCAACAACTCATCACCAAACTCGCCTCTCTCCACAGATTCCGACCATCACACCATCAACTCCATGACAATGGGCAGATCCTCCTCCGATAGGGAATCTCACTCACCGAAATCAACCACGAACATACCAGAGCGGACAGTCCAACGGGCACCAATTGACCCATCAAAGGTTGTGTTTCTAGGAGCACTACCTGAAGACGCTCGGTTTACTCGCCATGCTGAGCCGCACCCTGCATTGGACCCCGGCGACTCTTCGCAACGCCGGGGCACTTTTGATACTCTGGGAAGCAATTTCACTGTCGAAGAAGAAAGACATAGTACAGAAGACTCAACAACACGTTTGGAATTGGGTACGAATGAATCATTTGTTGAAGCTGTGAGAGACCATTCACAGTTGAATTCTCCAACAGACCAACCTGACACTTCACGGAGTCCAGAGCGTATCAATCCAGGCGAGGACTTGATTCACGTACCGCAACTGGCCGAGAGGCGATACAGCTGGGAGTAATAGTATTGTCGTCGCTTCCATTCTTAGGTTTGCACTACGGCGTGAATACTCCTCTGTCCACTGCTGACGAAGCAAAACTTCAATCGAAAGACACAAGTCTCATATCCTGGCAGATCGATTAAAGAGTATGGAAATTTATAGGTAGTTTGGAACATCTGGGGTTTAGGGGATTGTCGTTCCTTTTCCTTTGACCCATTGCCTTATCCACAAGATAGTTAGGTTAGGCTAAAAATGTGGTGAGATGTTTTATCCATGAAATGCATTAGCGAGCGTTTGGAATATACCAATTCAAGTTATTATGTCATATGATACTGTGCATGCGCTGCGCCCTCCTATTGTTGAAGAAGAACAAATTCGTTGTGATGTTTTTACCCAGTGATCTTATTTTCAAGACTCTCTTTTTTGAACAACAATTTCACAATGCCACCAGACGTGGAATCTTCTCTCCAATACCCGCCTAATATAGCTTTATATTGTCACAGACCGGTGCTCCTTGATCAATTCTTCAATTCCTTAGACTCTCAATGTGATATTTAATCAGGCCCTGATGCTCTAGTAGCAATCTCTCTGTCTACCAAATCTCCTGCCACCATGTCAAAGTAGCTAAGATCTTGTTGCGCTCCTCTATATCGTCGACGTCTTTCGAAAAGGGTTCAAAAACAGCCTTCTTGGCTGCATCCGCCATCTTAGTCGAGCCACCACAGACACAAAATAGTCCATTGTCCAATATCACTTTCTCGATCGTTTTCACCTCCTCATGCAGCCGATCCTGCACGTAGATTTTATTTCGCTGATCTCGCGAAAACGCAAGAAACACGTTCAGATGCCCTTCACGCACAGCAGCGTCGAGCTCTTGCTGGAAGAAATAATCTGCCTCGCGGTTACGGTTTCCGAAGAAGAGGTACATAGGACCCGGGAAGGGGTGCGTGAGACGTTCGTGGACGAGAGCACGAATAGGAGCGAGACCGGTACCTGTGGCGATGGCGACGAGAGGCCGCTGGGCGTTTTGTGAACCGTGAATAGGCGAGAGTACGGGCTTGCGGGTGACAGTGAGAGTCGAGTTGAGAGGGATGCTGTCGAGATAACGAGAGCAGAGACCTTCGCGAGGTTTGCGGAGGACAGTTCGGTATTTCACGAGAGCGACAAGGAGTTCAATCCGGGTTTTGCCCTCGTCTGTGGGATGGTTTTGATGAAGACCGCCGTTGGCGATACTAAAGTCTCGGCCACGGATTATTGGGAAGATGTCGAAGAGGCGCTCAGCCGGCAGCTTGACGGATGTGAATTCTTCAAGAACTTCGAGAATCGATCGTCTGGACCGCGTGGCGTAATCAAAATATTCGTCTAGATACTCAGTCATGGTGAACTCAAGCAGACGCTCCTTATGGTCGGGGTTAGTTGAGAAATATGACATATTCTTGAGGAATGACCTCCGGGGAATGGCAGTGAAGTCAATATTATTCAAGAGAAGGTCTCGTAGGGTGCACTTGGTGTCTATGTAGAGGTTCGTGGGGAGAGACTCGCAAAGAGAAAGGTCAATAGGGTTGTCAGCAATATCTTCCCAGCCCATGAGCGTAATGAGCCTTTGTGCGTCCTCGGGAAAGTTTTTGGGGTAGATGGTGAGACAGTCTCCAGGTACACAGGACAATTTGATATCATCAAGGCGTGGAATATCGAACGATATTAGACGAACGTCTTGCCAATGGTTCTCTGGCGTAAGTCTGTCATTTCCGACCAAGGTAGCTGTCCATCCTTCAGGGATAGGGAGTGGTAAAGAGGGGGGTAGATTATGAGCTGTGAGCGGCGTTTGACCACAACATTCTGACTTGTTTTCGAAAGCGTTTGATAGAGACCATTTTGCAGGAAGAATGACATCGTCTGGAATAGGCTTTAGGCCAGAAGGTGGAGGGTGGTGTTCGAGTAAATGATTGTAGAGTTGTTCACTCCAGCGCACAAAACTGCCATCGATGCTATCACCGACGTTAGATACTTTAATCTCATAATTCTTATAACAAAGCTCACCCATCTGGAAATTGCTCATCGGCTTCAAAGGGATCAATAAACGTTGCAGCACCAAGTTGGTCAAGGCGCCTGTTTAGCTTACGAGCTGCCCAGTTAAATCTATTTCGTGTAAGTCAACATGAAAAGTTACTAAACTGCTCCCCCAAGGACTCACTTCACATAAGTGCTATCACCTAAACCAAAAGTTGTATAATTTACTGAAGCCAAGCAACCCGGGGGTAGTCTTTTGCGCAGTAGCCTTTTCCAGAAGAGCAATGAGTTATGAGGCATATCCCCCTGGCCAGTGGTTGATATGACAAATATCACAAAGCTAGGTTGAAGAAGGGCGTTCTGAGAATAAGAGTTAGTTGGAACGGAATATAAAATATAACACGAAACTTACTAAATCTACTGCGTCGAGTTCCTCCACACGACTCTTGAAATGCAGCCTCTGACAAACTCGCCCCAGCTCCTCAGCCATATCCTGGGCATTACCCGTCTCAGACCCATAAAGGACGAGAACACTCCTATCGTGAACCGTCATAGTGGGTGGCTAATGCAACGAATAATGAAAGAGACAAACAAAGAGTATATGGATGATACAGGGAAGGTCGAGTACTGTAGGGGTCCGGTCTCGCAGGTTGAATCATGAAAGTCCTGTAGTCACTTTGGTGGGTTGGTTTGCCGTGAGCTTAGCGCCGACTAGTGGACAGCCGATGGCGGGGCAAAGAATCTGCGCGCTGTGCTTCGGAATCTTGTCAATCTGGGGATTTATTAAATGGTAGATGGCGTTTTTCGATGAATCAGCGTTCGACAATTGTGATACTATGATGGCAGTGGACGACCAAAGTGTTCCACAGGTCGAGAATATCACTAAGAACAACATTTCTTTTAATACCTTAAGTAGGTACTCATAATATCTACATTTTGCTTGCTCCAAAGCACTGTTGTCCTAATACAATATGGACTTCAGGTTGTTACTAGGTTCACATTCCCCGATATCCCATGATCAAGATAACCCGCTTATCATATGAATGAAACTATTTGAAGCTGTCTTGGGGGTAGACAATACAATGTAAGTGCCAACTCAGGAGAACCTGACCTTTCTTGCATTGTGATGACTATTATGATTACACGAATATTGCCTATTGAGCAAAGCAACATCGTATGTACTCCATAAAACCTAGCTATTATGAATAAGGAAGAGTTCTCAGCCGAGCCACCTCTTCCTTATTCATCGAACCGCTTTACAAATGAGCATGTCAATATACGTAGCAAACCGGGGATTAAGTTCTCAGAGACCTCAAGGCTTAAACGCACTGACAACGGGTGAATTCTAGAAGAAGAAGCTGTGGAGCAACAAGCTGGACTTGGCTTTCGGGGACTTGGGTAATCCTAATGCTAATCCTAGTTCGCAGCGCAGCATTGGATCCAAGCTGCCGGGCTTGGGCATGGGCGGGCGTGTGCTAATAAGGTACCGAACGGATATGTAAGAATAGCTCACTCTTCTCGTGTATTTATTGGTGGGAGCAGACAATGATCGATAATGCCCTGGCCAATACTTCCCAATCCGTAAAGGGGCTTGCAAAGGGGGTGAGTTGACCTAGTCAGGGGCCTTGTAACAGTAATAAGACGCTGAACTTCGATAAGCTGTGAGATTATACAGGATGAGTAATTTCGGCCCTTCAAGCACGATGCTTGGACTATCAGGTAGTTTTGAACTTTGTGTTATGTAGTAATATACTGCCTGGGGTTACTTAGTCGAGAGTCAGAATTGAGAGTCTCTCAAACACACAGCATATCTGCACAACCCTAAATTGTGATACTCCGTTAATCGATTTGAGATATACTTTACTACAGAAAAAGCCTGTGCAGGTTCTAGATTAACCTTCTGTTTGTCTCCTGACGCCGTGATGCTACCTAATTCATGAGTCTACGCCACTGCGAAGAGAAGCAAGCTAGTAGACCGCAGACTGCAGACCGTAGAGAATACACCCCACTATTTCCCATAATCCTGATTTCAGATGCGAGCAACATGAGCGGTCTGGATAGGTACCTAAGGAACATTGTATTGTTTGTATCAGTTGATGCAGCTGCGTGTTCATTTTTCTTGCCATTTGTATTGTATTGCTGAGAAACTATCGTGTTCAAACTCACCACAATCGAAAGCCTTATAGCGCATATGTGATCTCCTAAGCTTTAAACAAACGCAACCTTTCATTATTTACTTTCAGACTCAACTCAACATTACCCAGCAGACCATCTATAGCACCACTTTAACTACACCGATATATACATGAGTGACGCATATTTGACCCGTACCCATATCCATACCCGCATCCGCACACCCACACGCCAGGCCCTAATACCTACATGAACTGGCACAAATTCATGCATTGCATCCATCCGTACGAGTCTGTAAATATCCAGAGTTCCGGACGATCACGACTTCGACTGCTCTTGAGGCTCTCTTTATCCATACTCCTGCCAAGAACGTACATCGGCATCTTCAAGTCACCGCCTTCCCCATCTTTAAACTCCAGGTACGTGTCACCATTGCTTGATACCTACTTACAGGGCCTGCCAGCCCACCTACTCCGTACTCCGTGCCTAGGAAGAAACTCCCCCGGTCGAGACCTGCCTTGAGGATCTAGGACCACTCACCAGGAAAGAACCCACAAAACTGAAGCTCTCTCTCTTTCTTGCCTTAGAGCTTGTCGGTACTGGATACCTCCCTCAGAGTGGATGGTACTTACCTTGGCGTCGTGACCGCAACGTGGAGTTCCTCGAGTTAAATGTGCTGTGGTTCTGGTACCTTCCTTCGTGTCTTATACCCAGCCTGAGCTTCCCTCCGCCACTTTACAACTTGCGCCTGCCCGTCTCCCCTAGCCCTGGCCACTTTCCACTTTCCACAACTCCTCACCTGCCCACCCCCCTGACAACACCCCCCTTCCTCCTTCCTCTGTGCCCCCCAAACTGAAAGGCAAGAAAATATTTCAGATTCCGCTACCACTTCTTATCACTTCCTCCTTTCACTTTCTCCATCACAACATCAAACACCTGTGTCTCCGCGCAACGCACCGCCGTCTGTCTAATCCCAACCTCGTTTCTAGGGCACGAAGCTACCCTGATCAATCTCCTCCTTATTGCACCAGAGTTCTACCTGTTCAACCCGCAGCCACCGTTTTCGAACGCTCCTCCACCACAGGTCCAAGTTCGAACGTCATACTCAACCAAATCACTAACCTCATCCACCAACCGCCAACATGTCCGCCGCCAACACCAACAACACCAACACGGATGCTGCCGTTAATGACGTCGCAAACACTCTGAGCAATACCTCCATCAGCAACAAGCCTGCCGATGACAAGACCGCTGCCAACGAGGCCGCTTCGGCCAGCGCTGCTGAGGGCCGCCGCCTCTACATCGGCAACCTGGCCTATGCGACAACTGAGGGGGAGTTGAAGGACTTCTTCAAGAGCTACCTTGTGTAAGTTCTATCTTGTCTTCATCACTATCCTTAACCCTCGACCCGGAATTATTATCCCCTTCATGCGATCTTTTCTGCTCCAAACGATAAATACCCTGGTGGAGACACGTGTCTCCCTGCCATCGTCATGACCTCCTTCCCTGGACTTGACATGACGACAACTCCGGGGTAGGCACGCGCAAGACTCCTCCCTTGTATTTCAGGTCTCACTGAAGATGGAATGGGCGGATACCCGTGCCTACATACATTGACTCAATGAAGAAAATGTCGAGTGCACTGGCTGGACCCATCACGCTGTCACCCCATGAAAGACGAGCCGTAACATATACTGACCTTTTCTGCCATTAGCGAGTCTGTCTCGATCCCTAAGAACCCTCGTACTGACCGACCTGTCGGTTACGCTTTTGTCGATCTCTCTACCCCTACCGAGGCCGAGCGTGCTATCGAGGAGCTTTCCGGCAAGGAGATCCTCGAGCGTAAGGTTTCCGTCCAGCTCGCTCGCAAGCCCGAGCCTGCTGGTGAGAAGTCAGAGGGTGCTAACGGTGAGGGCTCCGGTGCTGAGGGCTCTCGTCGTCGAGCTTCGGGACGTGGCCGAGCTCGTGGCCGTGGCCGTGGAGGCCGCACTGCCCGCGCTGGTCGTGTGAGTCATACCTGACTGTTCTGCTATATGGGCCGCCTACTGACAAAACTACAGGACGGTGCTGAGAAGAAGGAGGGTGAAACTACTGAGGCCGCTGCCGCTACTGATGATGCTGCCCCCACAGCCGCTGCTCCTGCCACCACTGAGGTTCAACCTTTGTCCGACATTACAAACAAGATCAACACTGACGAGAACACAAAGACCTCCAAGACCCAGGCTCGCCCCCAACGTGAGCGCCGTGAGCGGGGTCCTCCCGCTGATGGAGTTCCTTCCAAGACCAAGGTTATGGTTGCCAACCTGCCTTACGACCTGACTGAGGATAAGGTCAGTGGTTCACCAATGGTGCCTCTTCTTATGATGTGCTAATACTGTGACAGCTTATCGAGCTTTTCAAGGCTTATGAGCCCTCTTCCGCCAAGATCGCTCTTCGACCTATTCCCCGATTCATGATCAAGAAGCTCCAGGCTCGTGGTGAGGCCCGCAAGGGTCGTGGTTTCGGCTTTGTCACTCTGGCTTCCGAGGAGCTCCAGCAGAAGGCTGTTTCTGAGATGAACGGAAAGGAGATTGAGGGCCGTGAGATTGCCGTCAAGGTTGCCATTGACAGCCCTGACAAGACTGATGAGGAGCATGAGGGTGATGCTACCAACGGACAGAAGGAGGCTGCCCCTGCTACTGAGGCCGCCCCTGCTACTGGCGCCGAGGCTGCTGCCGCTCCTGCTCCTGCTGCCCCCAAGGCGGCTGAGGCTGCTCCCGCCTCTACCACTCCCACCACCACTGCCTAAGTTAAGGCTTGGCGCGAGTTTCACGGACATGAACTTGATATCATGTCTCGATGATTACTCTTACGATTTGGCATGCGATTTGAACGATTTTTCTTACGGTAGACTCTCGCTACAAGGATGAAAAGAAACAATAAGGTTTTCCACCTTTCCTGAGCTTTCGGGGAACGTAAGCAAGAGCGAATCGAACTCTGATGATATCTCGGGACGGTGTTTATTTGTCAACCTTGATCATTTTTCTCATCAAACACTTTAATATTTCCATGATCGGAACACAAAAAAGTTCACAGGCCCTCTGTCATCTTGTATTTGTATCCCCTTTTCTCCGTCACCCTTCGATGGGTTGTACACTAGTTCACACCGGAGGGAGAGAAAAGATTAGCACTATTATAAAAAGGGCGTTTTGATGAAGAAGTTGATTGAGCTGTGAGGCTTTTCATGGTGGTGAATATTCTGTAGTGAAATGTGTTGGTGACGTTTTGCATACCAATTACTTTGCCATCACAGGCACTTGGCGTGATTGGCAGACGACGAGAAGGCGTTATTGTTCTGGCTAGCAGTAGTTTTTAGAGTTGGCCCCCAACCTGTGGTGGACATACCCGGCCCCCTAAATCAGAACAGTAGGTGCTCATGGTATGCTTGAAGACACCCAGACACGGGAGGGTCTAGACCCATGTTCCAGTGTAGGAGCACTGAGCGCTGAGTGGTGTAAATAGACAGCAAGGGCATGGCATGAACACTAGCGCCCTGGGCTGGGACGTCTCCCTTCCATTTCCAGATTACCTACAATTGGACTTGGACATCGACTCATCATTAAGATTGTGCTCTACAGCTTCGCTCAACCAGACGCAGTTTAATAAGCTCTACACTATAGCGCAGCTCCAGTATCATACTTGACCTTCGCGATGGCGTCTAAGGGTATGTGGGAGGTTGACCCCGAGACACGGTCCAAGGTTAGTCGTCCTTCCACTATCTGTCTATCCCCTTTTCAATCGATCTCTACCCATTCTGCCTGTTGCTTTGCGTTGCAACACGACACGATGCGATACGCTGACGCCAATTACTCCGACAGCTCGCGACTCTTCAAAAAGAATCGAAGAACAACATTTGCTGTGACTGCAATGCGCCATCCCCGCAATGGGCCTCCCCCAAGTTTGGTATCTTCATCTGCCTCTCGTGCGCCGGTGTGCACCGAGGCCTCGGTGTTCACATCTCCTTCGTCAGAAGTATCTCGATGGATGCTTTCAAATCAGGCGAAATCGAACGAATGCGACTCGGCGGTAACGAGGGATGGAGGAACTTCTTCGAGGAACACGAGCAGACCAAGATGATGGGTATCACCTGGGAAGACTCGACTATTGCAGAACGATACAGTGGCGAAGTAGGCGAGGAATGGAAAGAGAGGCTGAGCTGCAAAGTTGAGGGACGTGAGTACGTGCCTGGTGAAAAGAAGCCCGCTCCTGCGCCTGCGAAGCCCGCATCGCGAACTGGCACTCCTATGAGTGGCAGTGCTCGACGGAACGAGAGCCCTGCAGCGGGACCAGGAGGCAAGGTCAAGGTAGACGACCAATACTTCTCAAAGCTCGGTGCAGACAATGCCTCGCGACCGGATCATCTACCACCTAGCCAGGGTGGAAAGTATGCCGGATTTGGAAGCACACCTGCGCCGAGCAACTCGGATAATGACCTCAACTTTGGTGATATTCAGAAGGATGCTGTAGCAACCCTTACAAAAGGCTTTGGATGGTTCACATCAACAGTTACCAAGACTGCCAAGACTGTTAATGATGGCTATATTCAGCCTACTGCTAAGCAGGTAAGTCCTTGGTCTACGTATATCGTATCTATTGCTCTACCAGTTCTGACCAAATAGATTGCCGATGGCGACTTTGCTAAGCAGGCCCAACTCACAGCTTCGGCCTTTGCAAAGCAAGCTCAAGCAGCAGGGAAGAATGCGCAGGAAGGATTTACAAGATTCGTAGAGGGTCCCGAGAATCAGAAGGGCCGGGGAGCTCCCTTGGATGAGAGCAAGAAGAGCTTCTGGGATGAGTTCTCGAACCTGGCAGACCAGAGGCAACCTGGTCACAATGCAATTGGAACAAGTGCTATGGGTATGGGAAAGAAGAGTACAACGGCACCTCCACCAAAGAAGCAGGATGACGCATGGGATGATTGGTGAGCGGAGATATAATATTGCGAGCGGATAAATAAGAGCGATATGTCGTTGATGTACGGGAGTCGGAGCATTGGAGTCTAGGCGTGCTTGTCAATGAAACTAGTCTCTACAGGCGTGCTCGGGATTACTCGTATGTCTTGATGAGGCCTAACAGAGAACGTTTGGTCTTGCCAATGCCGAACTGATTACCTGTGGCTGAACTCGGCATTTGCACCTAACTTGCCGCCATTTCTCAAAGCTGGGTTTCCCACAGCGTCCGGTTATTACTCTACGAAAGTACCCAGGAAGCTATCTGACGAGGCCTTGTCAAGATATACGGGAATATTGTTCATAGACAATTACACAATGGCTTGATATGGAAAATATTCTCATCTATGGAAAAGTCCCGACATCGCTGGCTGTCGGCGAGTTTGTCACGTGGACCGTCGGCCGAGGTTGGAGCTGGGACCGGCCCTAGCCGGTACCGCGCCGAGCTTTGCCATGACGCTTTGGTCGGCTCTTGTGAAGGAACTCGCCGTTTTTGAGAACTTGAATCTCGCATTGAACAACAGCAATACAACATGTCAGCCCTACGGATTCTCGTCCCAGTGAAGCGGGTTATTGACTATGCGGTCAGGAACTAGGAATTGGTTATGAAGGAACCTCAGAGCGCTAACAGCCACCGCAGGTCAAGCCCCGAGTTAATAAGGCCCAGACAGCCGTCGAGACAGCCGGTGTCAAACACTCGATGAACCCTTTCGACGAACTCTCGGTCGAGGAGTCAGTGCGCATCCGCGAGAAGAAGCGTGCGCCCGGCGGCGTTGAGGACATCTGTGTTATCTCTGCAGGCCCGCCCAAGGCCCAGGATGTGTTGCGAACAGCCATGGCCATGGGCGCGGACCGAGGCATTCACGTCGAGCTTAAGGATGGCGAGGAGATTGAGCCTCTAACAGTAGCTAAGCTACTCCAGAAGGCAGTGGAACAGCAGAAGAGCAACCTGGTGGTGCTGGGCAAGCAGAGCATTGACGACGACGCCAACCAGACGGGCCAGATGCTCGCAGGTCTGCTCGGGTGGCCGCAGGCGACACAGGCCAGCAAGATCGAGTTCGGCCCTGGCGACGAGGTTACCGTAACGAAGGAGGTTGATGGTGGTGTCGAGACGGTGCGCGCCAAGCTGCCTATGGTCATCACAACTGACCTACGGCTCAACGAGCCCCGATACGCAAGCTTGCCCAATATTATGAAGGCCAAGAAGAAGAAGTTGGAAAAGACCAAGTTGGCAGATTTTGGACTGGACGGCGTGAAGCGTCTCAAGACCCTCAAGGTTATTGGTGAGTTCACTACTCTGTTCGATGTGTGTTTCATATATGCAGTAGAATTGTTGCTAATTTATAAACAGAACCTCCCACTCGACAGGGTGGTGGCAAGGTGGAGGATGTTGGTGGCCTTGTTAGCAAGCTCAAGGAGCTTGGTGCTCTGTAAATAAGTACAAAGAATAGTGAACACATAAACACCGATACATGATAGCCAAGTCGCGCGACTACAATTCAATAGTGTGATATTCCTAGCGGCATTCAGTGGCGGTAATTAATCAGCCAGGCAGCTTAGATCGGAATACAGACATGAGTGCTGGTGTTTCATAACATACTGTTCCGTTTCTCGTTCAGAAGTCATGATGAGGTACGCTTAGGCAGTTCGGTAGCTCTACATGTCAACAAACTTATAGCCAGCTTATGGCAAGGATTCAATCTATGGTTTCGATCTGCCACTACTACCTAGTCTAAGAAATTGTAAACAATGAAGAAAGAGGCATTATGCAGTAAATACAGAGATATAGAGGTAACATGCTATGGACATGGGAAGGAACGTAGACTAAGAAAAAAACAATATAAAAATCGTAGTCTCATTCGCGATGAATGAGGGTTCCGAAGTAGCAGAGTTCACGTTCAGAAGCGTTTATATCCCACTGTTCCAAGTTGTTCCACTTGGAGGGGCTGGGGTGCCATAGAAGAGATGGTTGACAATCTGTACCTATACGCCGTAGAAGTCGAGATCGAGTGTCTACCTTGACCGTTGAAGAGAAGACAATGATTTATAAAGACGTTCGAGAGCCGCTCTGACGGCTTCAAAGACCAAAAGTACATCCAATTCAACTCGCCCACGACGTAATGTTGGCCTTGGTGGTTCTCCAAGACTGTTGAGCCTCAAGAATCCTCCGATACGGCCTGTCCTTATCGCACGAAACATTCAAGGTTGTTTCAATGGACGTGCCTGACGGGACAGGGGCTCCACAGGCTCGGCACTAACGTATCTTACTACCATATCGCCTACCCCCCTATACCGCCACTTTATAATAGCTTTATTTTAGTTATAATAATGTAATTTATTTAATTCTAATATTATTAATATAGCTTTAATTAATTTATTACTTTAAGAATTAATAAAAAAACTATTACTTTTTTATTATTATTTTCCTTTATTTTTTTCTATTGTTTTTTACAGCCAGTTTATTATTTAACTTCTAAGTATTAACCTTAGTCTAATCTTTATCTAAGATTAAATCTAGTATTAAGGGAAAAGCCTTATTAAGGTTAAATATAATTATAAATCGACCTAACGGCCTTATTATAACCTTATATACCTTTAATAATACTATTTCCTTCCTTTAAAATAACTAACTTACCGTTTTCTTATTAAGTAACTTACCGTATTTCTATAGGATTAATTTAATATCCCTTTAAGTAATTTTTAATAATTAATTAATTTTTAAAAGTAATTTTTTTATATCTTAATTTATTAAGGGTATTATAAAAATATTATTATTACTTTTAATTTATAAAGGTAGTATTATAGGCGGCTAAAATCCTGGCCGGTATAGCTCTTTTAGCTTTAACCTTAAGATAGCCTTTTTAACGTTAACTAGGTAAATATTAATAGCTTAAAACCCCTTTTAGATATTCTTTAGATTAAATACCTTCTTAAAAGCTATTATATAGGCTATTATAAAGATCTACTTTTATTAATATAATATTACCTTATAGGTCTTTATATCTATAATTTACTTTTAATAATATTACTTTAATAAGGTAAATAATATAAAGTTAAGAGGTTATATAATATATAATAAGTATAAAGGTAATTAACTAAGCCAGACCTTATTTATATATACCTTTTTTATAAATATAGTAATAATATAAGTTTTATATCGATTAATAATTAATATCCTTTATATAGAATTATTTACTAGCTTAATCTTAAGGAGAAATATATTATAAAACTATTATAGTAATATTTTTATATTAAACTAGCCTTTCTTACTATAAATAAACTTCTAATTAGGTATATTATTACCGAAATTCTAACCTTATATTATTTTCCCTATAAATACTATATATAGCATAAGGTAACGGCTATCTATTAATATAATCTTTAATATCAAGATTTAAGTAATAGTATTACTTTTTATTTTATTAGCTATACCTATAAAGACTAAACCGCTAACTATTCTACCTATAGTTATACCTTCTTATAGGCTAGTCTTATCTAGGTTATAAATACGGTTTATATTAATAAATAAGTCCTTAATAATATATACCAAGCTAGAATAATATTTTTTAAGACCTTTTTCTATAATTACTTTCTTTTTAGTAATTAAAATAAGTTATAATAGCTTTAATATAATAGTTATATAATATATAAAAAAGCGGTTAACCTAGTTCTTATCGAGGTATAGTTTAAGACCGTTAAGATTGTTAAGATATTATATATAATTATAGATTTCTTACTTTAATAATAATTAGGCCCCCTTTTCCTATAGTAATATAAGGCTAATTAATTCTTATTTTTAAACTAAGGTTAGTAAAAAGAACTTTTAATATTATAATTTAGTTAGTTAGGCCCCTTTTATCTAGTCCCTTAATATTAACCGCGGTATAGCCTTAAACTTAACTATAACGTAAATACTTAACGACTGTATATCCTAAATAGTTCTAGATAGCCTTACTTTACGATCTGGTATTTATAATAATATCCTGAAAATTTTAATTAATTTAAAGTAAAAATGGTATTATAAGAAGTAAGTATTATTATAATATTATACGGCGTTAAGACTATCCCGAAGTGGGCGGTGTAGGGGGGTGGGCGGTATGGTGGTGAGATACGTTAGGTCTTATTGAAAAACGATCGACAGTGCTACGCTACGACTGCTTCTAGCCTATCTTCCAGGTTTTGACCGCGCCAGAGGAAAAAACTCAACGAGGACGAATCAAATGACGTCTCAACATTTCTGGAGTTTGTCTGGGGGCAGTGGATCTGGTATGGCTCCATTGAGTTGATGGAGAGCAGGGCCTTGACTTGACTCAGTCGAGATGTGCACGTTGAATAGGTGAAATATGAGTCGACAGCCGATGTTACGTAGATAGATTCAATGGGTTTATTCTGACATGTAAAGTGAGTGACATAGGAATATGGACAGGCGTGCGTAGAATCATCTGCAGATCTTGATACCTAGAGGTCGCGATAAGAGGCGTAATTGGTGTTGAAATTTGAAGGGAAGGGGAAAAAAGACCAAAAACGATATCGGAGGTGTCTCTGAGTCTTGTCCCAAGGGTCCAGTACCTGGCAGAGGGGCAGTCATAGGTAACGTTCTAGCGCCCTACAGAGGTGCCATCAGGCGGAGCGCTCAGGCCGCCACCACTGTTTTCCTCGGCGGAAGAGCGGCATCGGGGTTCCGCTGGAGGGGAATTTTCCACTGAGGAACCCACTCCAGAGGAAAAACCTGCCAATGACCAAGATGGTGTTGTCAGTTTTCCTATTCGGGGCGGCGCCAGCGGAGCGGCATCGCACCTTCTCCCATCTTTTCCTCCCACCTCAACATCCCACCTCTTGACTCTTTCTCTTTTACTCTTCCTCAAACAGAAAGAAATCCTCGCGATAACTCTTCAAGATCTTCTAGATCACTTCGGACCCTCGACTCAATCCAATTCAACGCTCTCGCAACTCGATTGCACCTTGCCTTACAACCCCTGATTTGAGCTCGTCTCCGAATCCGCCCATATGAACGGGCGCCTTTCCATCTTCACCTCGCAGGTACGTTCACTTTTTATTTTATTTTTCGTCGCGTGTGAGACAACAGCTGTACTGCAACCCCGCCATGATTGAACACATCTTCATCTGTGGCTTCACAATAAGCTTTTGAAGCTCCAAATGCATCTGGGTTCACTCAATCCCCTTCTTATCTTCAGCAAGATGCTCACAATACTTCAAATGATTCCAATGCTAACTCATTTCCTCGCAGGATTATCTCTCTGGTTCGTTCCTCCTGGTTTTGACTCACCGCTCGGAACCTTACCTTGTCTGTCTATCGAACATTGACACTAACCTATTGACTTAATATAGACCATCTCTGGAAGTCCCAGTCTTGCTAAAGAACTTTCTCCGAACAACCGATTATTTTCTTTCTAAACCTCACAACAACAATCTACATATAACAAAATGTTCTCCCGACTGGCTTCCTTTGCCAAACCCGCGGCCAAGTCCGCGTCGGCTTCTGGCCGAACCATGCTTCAGGTCCGATACCTGTCCGAGAAGGCTGTTGCTGGCAGCAAGGGTAGAGCTATGCCGCACTCAAATACTCGAGCCACTGCTCCTGCTGCTTCCCTTCCTGCCACTCTCACCATCCGCGTACGTGCTTCTCTATGAAAGGGTTTTCCTCAAAACCCAAGCTAATACATCGACAGGATGGCCCCGTTTTCCAAGGCAAGGCCTTTGGTGCCAATGCCAACATCTCTGGTGAAGCCGTCTTCACCACCTCTCTCGTTGGCTACCCCGAGTCTATGACTGATCCCTCTTACCGAGGCCAGATTCTTGTCTTCACCCAGCCCCTAATTGGCAACTACGGTGTTCCTTCCGCTGTCCGAGACGAGTTCAACCTTCTCAAGTACTTCGAGTCTCCCCACGTTCAATGTGCTGGTATCGTTGTCTCCGATGTTGCCGTCAACTACAGCCATTGGACTGCGGTCGAGAGTCTTAGCGAGTGGTGTGCCCGAGAGGGCGTTCCCGCCATCTCTGGTGTCGATACCCGTGCCATTGTCACCCACCTCCGAGAGCAGGGATCTTCCCTGGCTAGGATCTCCGTTGGAGAAGAGTACGATGCTGATGAGGACGAGGGTTTTGTCGACCCTGGTCAGATCAACCTTGTAAAGCGTGTTACCACCAAGGCTCCCTTCGTTGTTGAGTCTCCTGGTGCCTCTCTTCACGTTGCTCTTATCGACTGTGGTGTGAAGGAGAACATCCTTCGCAGCCTTGTCAGCCGTGGTGCTTCCGTCACCGTTTTCCCCTACGACTACCCCATCCACAAAGTCTCTCAGCACTTTGATGGTGTATTCATCTCCAACGGCCCCGGTGACCCTACCCATTGCCAGGCCACTGTCCACAACCTTGCCCGCCTCATGGAGACCTCCAACATCCCCATCATGGGTATCTGTCTGGGCCATCAGCTTCTGGCTCTTGCAGTCGGTGCCCGCACCATCAAGCTCAAGTATGGTAACCGAGCCCACAACATTCCCGCTCTCGACTTGACTACTGGCCTGTGCCACATCACCAGCCAGAACCACGGTTACGCCATCGACGCCAGCACTCTCCCCAGCGACTACAAGGAGTACTTTGTCAACCTTAACGATGGTTCCAACGAGGGCATGCTTCACAAGACCCGACCTATCTTCTCGACTCAGTTCCATCCCGAGGCCAAGGGAGGCCCTATGGACAGCTCTTACCTCTTTGACAAGTACCTTCAGAACGTCCAGCTTGCCAAGAGCAACCAGGTTGTTTTCAAGGACAACCGACCTACCCCTCTGATGCTCGACATCATGAGCCGAGAGCGTGTTGGTGTTGAGCCTACTCCTCTTGCTGCTAGTGCTTGAACAAAGAGTCTGAGTTGATTTCGGCGTCTGGGATGGGTAGTTGGGTAACGTTTGGTGATTTATCGGGAGCAAGGGTTGCAGCTGCTGTTTCGAGGAATGTACTATTCAAAGAGTATTTAACTATAAGAAAATTATGATACCATTTCTACACTACTGATTCGGCATGTGATGAATGCGGCACTGTTATTTAACTGTTGAGTGTAACATTTTATAACGAGCCATGATATTTACAGAAGCGCCACCCATAATAAAAGATCATTATCCAAACTCTGAACATGATGATGTATGCAGAGGCAATAGCAATTAAAAATTACAGGTAATCAATTCACTGATATCATAAAACCCATTGCGTATTTCCTTGGACCCATTAACCTTTTTTTCCTCAACGCCGCCCTCCAGGATGTTGAGCTCCAGCTCACACATCATTTGTGTACAAGACAAGATATATGTCGTGTCATCTCTGCCCGTTTCGCGGTACTACATGATAAATAAAGAGCATACCCTTTCAGTCTCTCATCCGGGCATCACCATCATCGGAGAAAGAGCCACGGCGGGCACGGCGGTCGTCTCGGGGAGGAGGTAGATAACGATCACTGCGCGGTCGACCGCCACCGCCGCCGCCACGTCCACGACGTCTTCCGCCTCGGCGCTCACGGCCACCCATGGTGCGCTCGCGGTGAGGAGGTCGGATCCCTTCGAACACTTCCTTGCCTCTGTCGACAAATGTGGTACCGTTCTCGAAGGAGTAGCGGTTGATCTCACGACCGAAGTCGCGAACGCGGTCGGTCGAGTAATGAGAGCGCATGTTGTCAATACGACGGCGCGCAAGGTCCTCGGACACAGGTTGGTAGTTGATAACGGGGCGGGTATTAGTCCGTTTGAACGTGCCGCCTGGGTTGGTAGGCGGGGGTCGAGGTCCCGGACCGGTGCCGGGGCGAACAGGACGAGGTCCTGTAGGGATGGCAGGATCACGGAGTGCTCTCGGTCCAACAGGGATGGAATCGCTGGCCAGCGTAGAGCTTGGAGGTGGCCCTGCGCCTAGGGGAGGACCTGGACGGGACACAGATGATGTCGCTTCTTCGAGATGAGCTTCGACAGTACCGTCAGGTCCATCTTCGTATATGACTTCCCATCGCGCGCCAGAACGCCCACGAGGACCTCCGCTGGCCTGTTCAGTATCGATCCAGTCACGGACCTTATCAGGCGGGACGAAATCAACCCATAATGGCTTGCGGTTACTCTCGTTAGGCCAGACACTGTCGTGCAGTGCGGTGCGGACACGGGAGGCAGCGGCAGTAGTTTTAAAGATAACAAAACCATGAGTGCGAATTTGATCAAGAAAGAATTCTACCACGACATCGTGATCTAAAGAATCTCGAGGGTGCGTAGCGAGGTCAACAAGATGTGCCTTGACATCTTGAGGACGAAGAGGGCGCATGAAGTTCTTGATGTATAGGGCAGAAGTGGCCGGGTGCACCGCAGGCGCAACGTCCCGCTCGTAATCCATTTCTTGTTGTTTGCCTCCGTCCTTTGTAATAGCTTCTTCCTTGGGTGGCGCTTTTGATTCCTGTGCTGGTTCTTGTTGAATTTTCTCCGATTTGGGCTGATTATCGATATTCATAGGCCCAGGTTCGTTTTGAGATCCAGGCAGCAGATCCTCCTGGTGCGAACCTAAATTGTTGTTATTTATTACACTTTCATCGGGACGAGCGCGTTTTCGTGCAATCGATTCTTCGGTAGGCGGGGGTGTAAGAGAACGGCGTTTGCGCTTTTGCTGTTCGGCAGCAGGGGTTGGCTCGAGAGAGTGGGAAGGTGTAGATTCAACAGTGGTGGTCACTGTTCCCGCTCTTGATTTCTCGTCCACCGTCGGTTCCCTCGATTGATTATCGGCTTCGTTCCCAGGAATTGGCATATCAGATACCGGTTCGGCTTCTTGCGACACTTCCTCCAACGATCCATTCTTGGAGATTTCCTCTTTGTCTGCGTCGTCGCCCCCTTTGTTTGTCTCTGCCTCGGCATTGAACGCGTTAGGTTCGACCGTTTCCTTTTTCTCTACCTCTTCCATCTTTTCCTCTGGCTTTTCGTCTGTGGTTTTGAGGTTCTCGACCGCTTCCTGGGGCCCCTGGTCCGCGACGGCTGGGTCTTCCGCTGCCGGCTCATCAGCTCCAGCATCATTGGCCATGGGCGCATCTTCTTCTGGTTCAATTTGGGCGTCGATTTCCCCCGTATCCTGGTCGGCTTCTTCTAAGCGCGCGATAAGCTCAGCTTTGAGGCCATGTTGTGGAAGATCTCGATTCTTCAGCTCGGCTTTGAGGTCGACGACTTTGAGCTTAGCCCAGTCGGTCATGATGGAAAGAATTCGCTGGACGCGACGGTCCGAGTTACTTGAGCAAATTGTCTAAACTTCGCTTGAAAGATAAAAATGTTAAGGATGTAACGGCGAGGGATAGAAGGTTAAATTGATGGGGCAATTTTGAATTGAACGAAGCCTGAAGCAACTTTCATCGTCCTCAGCCTCGTCGCAAATCTAAGTGTAAAAGGCCGTCGCGTCCAATGAGACATGGTGGTTGACTGTATTATGTCAGCAGGCTCGACCCACTCATGCCCCTTTCAAGCCACACCATAGACAGCCACGATATGAGTGGGCATGGCCTTCTTTATTTACACGCACATGCAATGAAACATAACAACAAAGCCAGAAGGGTATACTTCGATCGTTAAAAGTCTCATGTGACCATTCTTCAAGCTCCATTACGTCATGAAGTGTAATAATTGAGTGTTGAAGTAATCTAGAAGGTCACATGCATGTTTATAATATGCAACTGTTAGTGGACCACAAGAAATAGAAATGATCCTCACTTCTGATAGCCCATTGCTTCCTATAATAGTAAGAAATACCACTTTTTTCGTAACAGATCAAACGAGAATTATAAGCTTGCTCTTAGAGGATGAGACCGGGTACTAATTGAGTCTTTCTAGCCATCATGACTTCCGGTTAGCCTCATGGCCTCATGGCCTTGGCTAACAAACACTCCTTTGACTCCACTAGATCGATTTAAGATCGATCTATTTAGTCACGACCAATCCCTTCCTGTACCTTCAATACAGCAAACACAAACTCAATTGGAACGGACAGACGAGTGCGTCCTCTCTATTCACTATTCCACTGTTCGTTCTACTACCAACAATGGCATGAGGTGATGTTTCTAGTCTGGCCCGCCCTGACCCCTGTTCCCCCCCTGGTTCAAGGTCATGCCCATCACACGACCTCCAGCTCCTCCCGCATCGCGACCTGGAGCTCCCCGAGCTTGTGTGGGTCCTACGACAACACGTCATGGCAATTGTCCATTCCCTTTGGCGCCCACTATTTTGTGTTTTCTTTGGTGGCATTTTAGTGCCACTCTTCCACCTCCACCTCCACCTCCGCACTTTCAACGTCGACGTATGGAGACTTAACTTAGACTACAGTAAGATCCCACACTGTCATGACTGTGTATTCATTTGCAAGTCGATTCAAACAATCATGGAATTCTTTGCTTTGGGAAGGCGACCAAATAATTGAATTAAATAGAGAGCTCCTAGTCTTTTTTGGTATTTTCTTAGGTTTCTCCCGCTCATCTGTCGAATACATTAAATACATATATATTGGTCTCAATCAGGACCATGCCTGAGCCCATCGTAAACTCTTAATTCGTACAAGCTGACACTCAATGCCAGGATTTTAGACGTCGATGCCATCGACAACGACGCCCTTGCTCCAGTTCCACTGCAGGCGTCTGGAAACCTCCAATGCAGTAGCATCATCAATCAATGCACTGACAAGATACAGAGATGCGTCAATGCCCGAGCTGGCGCCTCCGGAGGTCACCACACGGAGGCCACCAAGTCGCATGGCGGCGCGACGAACAATCGACTCTCGACGGGTGTTAGAGTCCTTGAACGACATGCTTCCCTTTCTGTGTGTCATTATAAGTTAGTACACTGTCTCACTTAAACTCAAATGCATGACAGAGTGGGGTAAGATTTAACGGGGGCTTGGGTTACGTACCGGGCTGCCGAAGGGCGACGTCCCTGACCAGCATCAGACTTGCGGCGGATATATGGGCTCTCGTCCTCGCCAAGGTCGAAGCGTAGGTTGTTGACAACATAGCGAGCGTCCTCAACCACATCGGTACGCTCCTGAAGGTTTACAGTAGCAGCATCGCTGCAGATGTTCTCAAAGGTGGTAAAGTAGTCGGGGTGGGTGGTGGCAGACAGGCCAGAGAGGATGCCCTGCTTACCAAGGAAGAGGGCACCGGTGCAGATGGAGAGGATAGTACGTTCGCGGGCAGGATCACGCTTTTGAAGCTCTGAGAAGTCGGTAATGAGAGAGAGGGGTTGGAGTTCCTTAGCAACGATCTCCTTGGAGTTACCACCAACGACGACGAGGATGTCAAAATCCTCAAGGCGCTCGTGTGCCTCCTTGTAGGTGATCTGGGAGCCGACGACGACACCCTGGTCCGAGATGACCTTGGGCTCTGGGCCAACGATGGTAACCTCGAAGGCCTTATGATCTGCACAAGAGGAAAAGTGATCAGCGGGAGGGGTAAAGACGAAGAGAATACTGTGCTGCGCACCAAATTGGGGAGCACAGCACAGTGTTGCATTGGGAAGAAATCACTTACTGTCAGGGTCCTTGAAGTCATGGGAAGCGGTAGTAAAGACCTCGAGCGCGCCGGCAAAGTCCAGAAGATCGAACTTTTCGTGGATAGCGAAGAGAACGTCAACAGGCTCCTGGTCAGCGATGGCCGAGGTCTTCTGTGCACTCATCTTGGCGGTATTGTTGGAGGTTTTGAAGAGGGTAATAGTTGAGGAAGAATTGTGACGTTTGTTGGAGACAGATGTATAAGTAGAGAGCACGAAAAAGATATGCTGGCTACTGAAGTAAGCAGTTGTAGTGGGGCGTTGAATTGGTTTGTAAATGGTGATCTGAATGATGATGATGATGAGAAAGGAAGGAAAGAAGAAGAAGATAAGGAGGAGCAGGAAGGTGTTTTTAAATACAGCGAGGAATGCTGTATGGTTGCTTTGCCCTGAGTCTTTTCCCCTCATCGATTGACGACTCAGGAACTGCAACCACCTCACCTCACCTCACTCTCAGTCCAAGTCCAGTCCAGTCCCGTCCCGTCTCTTCCACTGGCCAAAGTTGAGTGGCTCGATTTCTAGGTCAGAAGGACTCAGAGTCTGGTGTGATCATTACCCACAAAGTCATGGTACGGTCTCGTCTTGCTGCAGCTAGTATCAGGAAACTGCGGGGTTACTAGCGTGGCGGGGCTTCCCTAAAGTCCATGGTACCACCTGCCACCCCGTAAAGTGTTGGATTCCACATGCGGCGGAGAGGTAGAAGAGACACTGCCGGGACATGCAGCTGTGACCGATCAGCTTTCTGCCGGCCCCACTACCTGCCGCGACCACCCAAACTCATTTTCGCTTAGGACCACTAGCCTCTGGAGCTCCTCCCCTGTAGCTCGACTCACAACCGCTGTTTTCAGTGAGGTCGCTGGTCTCCGGATTATCTTCCAGGAGAGAGACTCCACTCTCAGGCGCCACAACTCGCACCACTGCCTGCAAGGCAAGGTACCGCCACGGCCAGCCGTGCCGCGCCGTTATCCACTCCAAGAATCACCTGCCCGCACCCGACACCAAGTGTCACCTATAGCTTCACCTCCATGAGTTAAATCCTCAAGGAATTAACTCAAGATCCACACTTACACGGGCCTCACCACCTCGGTCTGCTCACCTCGAGTCTCGCCAGCTCGGATGAGGCAGTCACGCCAATCATGGCTTCATCAGTGTACGTCATCTTATTCCCTCCAGAAAACTCCATCGCAGAAACGTCCTCCCCCAACAGCTTGTTCTTTATAGCCTTCCATTCTATTTTTCCACATTGTCTCTGCGATATTTGCCTCCCTTTACCAGACTTCTTCCTTCTCCTTTTCCCGCTGACAATAGTCTTCATTGTCTAGGTCGCTAAAAGATCTCTCCAAGGCGATCGTCGCCTTCCTCACTGAGCCAACCGCTTCGCTCCCTGATGACCTAGTACAGACCATTGATGCCTACCTCCGCCGACACCAAAAATACGATGATGCTGCAGCTGATCGTCTCCAAGAGGAGCTCTTCTCCATCTTCGACAAGCACGTCAAAGACAAGCCCGTCGTCTTTGCGCCCTTCCTGACCATTCTTCGCCAACTACTTTCGATACTTCGAACCCCCGAGCGCATCTTTGTTTGGTGGGACTCCTGTTCTACGCTTTTGTCCAAGTCATCTCCCGAAAAGGGCGTTGTGGAGGAGTCTTTGGCCAACATTATGGAAATCATCTCGATTGCGGAGGAGAACCACGATGGTTCTGAAGCCGACCTCGCTTCCAATCCGCTAATCGACCGTTTGTTCACTGGATGGATGGAGAAACTTTATCCGTCTGTCATAGAGGGTGTTACGAACCTTGAGCCGAATGAGAGAATCACACGGGAAGCCCTTGTTCAGTTTGGGAAAAAGCATCCAAAGGTGGGCCATGTTTCAAAGCTTTGCGTACGAACCATCTAACACGAACAAGGAATTGTTTACAGCACTGGATCGTTACTTTCTTAAGAAGCAGTACCGCAAGGCCGTTCTACGGTTCCTGGGAGACTATCTTCAGAGTCAACCTCCCCATCTCCACCAGATTCTACAGACACCCTTATTTGTTGATCTCCTGAAATGTCTACAACAAGACAACTCGACAACTATTGTCTCAGCTGCACTAACAGTTCTGATCATGCTTCTTCCGCAAATGCCGAGTTCGCTTGTCCCACATTTACCTACACTTTTCAACATATATGCAAGGTTGTTATTTTGGTCACGAGAGCGAGCTGGCATCGTTGAACCTCAGCCAGAAGATGCAGACTCAGCAAGCTGGGAAGAATGCAGTCACGAAGCAGAAGTTGACTTCCACCCTGTTTATCATCTCCTAAGCTACTACACTATCCTATACGGCCTGTATCCCATCAACTTCATGGACTATATCCGCAAACCTCAGAGATATCTGCGTCACGCCAACGTAGCCAACGCCAACGACATGGAAGTACAACCCACGGAGATCCGGGATCAGTCCGAAAGATTTCGCCGATGCCATCTACTTCATCCAAACTTTTTTACTCTTACGATTGATTCAGAAAAGACGGATTTTGGCCGCTGGATCAAGAGCGAGGCGTCCGAAGTTGTTGCTGAGTGCATGGCCTTGTGTATAACGGCAGAGTCAAATCAACCGTTTGGGCACAATCTGCATACTTCGGGAGTTTCTCCATCGAACGAGAGTCTTATCAAAGATGCTTCAGTACCACAGATGCCCACGGCGGCGACTGAAAGCCATAGCGGCTATCGCTTGCCTACATCTGCCAGTACAGAGTCGATAGTAAGTAGTCGCCGCCCGTCTGCTCTAATTCGCCGGGGATCTCAATCAAGTGTTCCATCTACTCGAGACTCCATCGATGCCAGAATAAGGGAGCCTAGCGTCGATAGTCCAACTTTGGGTCCTCATCTTATTCAATCTTCGTCGCATACGCAGTTGCAGGATATGATTCAATCCAACAAAGCTATCAAGTCTGGTCTACATCAGTCTTTGGCCAACGATAGTGTGCCGTCCCTTTCACTCAGTCACCAAGACTCCGTTGCTGATCGACTTGGCCCATCGCTGTTGGGTGCACCTCCGACCATCAGCACTCCGCTTTCTCTGACAGAGGCGAACACCCAAGTGTCTCATCTACAGCGGCAGATCTTGCTGTTGCAGAATGATCTTAACTTTGAGAGATTTTTGAAACAGCAGCACATGGCTCACATCGGTGACTTACGAAGGCGGCACATGGAAGAGGCAGTAACAGAAGCAGAAACCCAGAACCTGCTCATCACAAACCGCAATCTGAAGCATAGATTCGAAGAAGCAAAGAAAGCAGAGATGCAGGTTCGGCAGGACTCGGAGAAGAGCCGAGCTCTTGCAAAGAAGTGGGAAGCTGACCTTTCTACTAAGCTTAAAAAGCTACGTGACGAATCGAAGCGACTCAAGGCAGACTTCGAAGCGCTTCAAAAGGAGCTGGATAACTCGACGGCAGAACGTGACAAGCTGAGGGTGCTCTTGTGTGATGCCGAGGTCAAGGAGGTCAACTGGAAGCAGAACATGCAATCAATCGAACTTCACAGTGCTGAGATTGATCGCTTAAAGAGCGAGGTTGACAGACTGACAAAGGTGGAACGTGATTATCAGGCCAAGGAGCTGGAGCAGCAAACGGCAATTGCTGCAGCTGCAGGAGCGGAAAGCCGAGTCGAGGCGCTGAATCTTCAACTTGCTAGTCGCGAGAGTGAGATTGAGCATATCAGGAAGTTGTTTCAAAATCAAGTTTCAACACTCCAAGCAAGGTTATCCGAGGCACAGGAACAGAGCAGTCGGCCCTTTCGAGGTGGGAAGGAAGCAATCGAGGGAATGCTCGCAGCAAGCCGAGAGAAGCAAGCTGAGCTACAAAAGCAATGCAACCTTTTGATGCGTAAATACACGGCCTTGCAGTCATCATTCCTGGATATGAAGACGGAAGCAAGGCCAGGCCACATGAGGATCGACACTTCAAACCCTCCAGAAGCTGAATATGAGTCTCCATCGACGTCGACGAGCCCCGTCATGATGAAGACAAGACCACATCGTGTGTTGTCAAGTCCTGATGTCGCGGAAGGCACTGCATACAATGTTACGCCGCCTCTGGACCATAAGCATGATGCTGCGTTGTCGCCGAAATCAGGAGGCTTGGCGCATCCACCTGGATCACCGCTAGGAACAGATGCGTCGTCTCTGTCAATGAGCCCAGACCATCAGCGGTTTGGGCGTGGCGAAGCAGGGCGACTGCTTGCCAGGAGTCACTCGGACCTGTTTGCGAGTGCAACACACAATCGACTCCGTAAAGACTCGAAAGACAAGGGGAAGGAGGAAGCGGGTACAAAGAAGGACAAGAAGCCATCGGCATTGAGAGGAATCCGAGGCTTTATGTATGAATGAGGATATATGATTATAGTAGCTGGTAACGATATGTGATAGACCGGTACCCCATTGGACATGGCGCATATTAGATAGTTGGTTTTTGCATACATACAATGGGCTCGCAGCCCTCAAGTTGCCATAGTGTTGAGGCCATGTTTTTACGTCACGAGATGAGCGTTATTATCATACTCATCTACCTCTTCCGATTCACCACACACACACACAAACGTACTGTGTAGAACCAGCGTTCTTCAAGCCAACTACTTGATCATTGGATAATTTCTTAGTAATCTGCGAAGCCAAAAGTTGACGATGATGGTAGCGTGGCTACCTACGCAACAACTCTAAAATTAATAAGTCCAGGACAGCTCGCTTTATATCAGGGCAGAGATCGGTGAACTCTGTGATCGGGAGTTCGATATTGTTATGGTACTTTAACATAACAACGGGAACGGCTGCGAGAGCGGGTCAAGACCATCGTATATGGTGTCTGTCGATGTGATATGATGCTCCTGATGTAAGCGCTTCATGGTGTAAAATACTTCTCTTGGTTCTCAACAATTGGGCGGCTTCCGTAGCTCAGTTGGTTAGAGCGTCGTACTAATACTTCATACCGAGTAATTGGTGATGCGAAGGTCTCAGGTTCAAGCCCTGGCGGGAGCAATCCCAACGCCATCCAATTGTTATTTTTGCACTTCACACTTTTTTCGGCTGTCGTCGTTGTTCCCCAGAAGAGCTCCCTGTCTTTTGCTGGGATGCTATGAAGTCTGGAGAAGCTTGATCCCTTACGTAAATAGGGCTGAACAAAAGCTGCGTATTCGGATGCGGGGTTTGTATCTCAATCCGGCAAAACTAGCGAATGACCTTCCGTTTGTATTCTTTTGATTTCATTTCCGAATAATTCCTTGACAAATTGTTCCAACTCGTTAGTTATTGCTGGAGTGACTCAGTTGATACGAGGGCATTTATCTTCCTTTAAATAGGATCGTGATTTGTGGACAGCTGAGCTTCTCAATTGTTACTTTGTTTCTGACTGTGTCTTGTTATACGTCATCCTGTGAGCGACGTGACCATGTCTTGAGACATGTTTCTCATCTGATGATTCAGATTTGGAGAAACGGAGATGTTCGTGGCAAGTAAGGACTAGTGTAGCCCTCTTCCAACGAATGCCATTGTCATTGTCATTATTTTGCTGTTTCGAGACGATCAAGCTCGTGCTGCTGTCTGTGTTGCGATACGCGCGCACACACCATGGAGCACCCCTGTTGGAGATGGACAAGGGCTTGCTTGTGTGCTTGCGGGGAAGAGATTTGGTGAGGGCAGATCATGAAGACTCGCGATAGCGGTGGGCTTGCCTATCTGCGATGAGCCAAATTGAGTTGTTGGTCTGCAAGAAACCTCCAATAGGGTATTGTCAATATTAATTAGAGGGCCTGGAATGGCCAGTATTTCCGGCTACGTCGCATTGTTGTATCATTGAGGGGCCATGACAATGACATGCAATGCATCTGGCTGCAGGGCCGATCTCGTTCGCTCCAGCCGCATGTGGATAATAACCGATGGACGCACTTTACCCAATCCCAACAGCCTCTGGCCGACTACTGAATGTCTGCAATCAGGTCCCCGCGTGTCAGTCGAGAATCTGGTTGGTTGGTTGGTTGGCCGGTTGGTTGAGATTGAACCGCCTGCACAGCCATACGTGATCCCAATAGCGACAGCGCGGGGTGGATAGATTCAGCGAGAGGCTGTGCGTGAGAGATGCCAATACTGATCTGAGCGGTGTGGGATAGTAGAGCCGAGGAATGCGCACATCAGAGCTGGAACTTTTGTACCGAGTGCAGAGAATCGGTTTGTATGTACGTATTAGTGGTATCTGAGGTCTGGTGATGAGAGACACTCGAGTCACCACTCACTCCTTGTGTATTGTCTAAGAAAGGGGGAAGACAGAAGCTTAGTGGGCTTGGTTGAATTTTGATACTAGCAGGAATTGATAATTGATGTCGAATCTCTAAGATTGAGGGACAAAGCCGTTGACTCGTGGTTGAAATGACGTAGAGGTGCCACGTGAAGCTTCCGCCTCTTCGTTCTTGGTCTCTAGCGTATGTCGTCAGCGGACCTGAGGCTCCTGGTCCTGGGTGTCTTTTGGGTTTCAGTGGGGTTGCCTAGTGGATTCCCAGTGGCCTGGGCCTCGCGAAGGCGCCTGAAGCGACCAGGGGGAGGGATCGCTGCGGTGGCTGACCTCCGGGGGGTTTGATATCACATCACGGATCGATAGAGGAAACAATAAACAATATGGGATTCAACGGGACGGGGGCGTTGAAAGGGGCTTTTCCGTTTGCCGTTTGGATGGGAATACTTGCTTGTTATTTATAACTAGAGAACAAAACGAATCAGAGACTCGCATCGGTTGTTTGCTGCCTGGTCTAAACTTGACTCATTCTTCCCAAAGCCATGCATCTTTGTTGATATCAACATTTGATCATCCATCACCGGATGCCGTCGCTCAACATCGGGTTTGCTCTACTTGTTCTGTGTCTCTTCAGCTTTCCCGTCACAATCAATAGTCACCCTCGATTAACACCGTCCTCTCAGAATACTCACTCGAGATCTAATCAGTTGTGTCTTTTGACTCTTTACCAATACGCACCCCATGCTCATGGAAATTCAAAAATAAAGTATTCAGCTCAATCAACGCAATCGACAAGCTACACACCAGTGACCACACCACCACGACTCAAACCCGCGACCCTCTTTTCTTTTGCGCCCATCTTTTTCCCTTTCTTAACCTGACAATCCCACATTCACCTATTCTTCTCGTCTCTCTTCTTTTTTCTTTCTTCTTTCTCTCTTTTTTTCGATTCGTTCTTCCACTTTTCGTGCGCATCGGGTCTCTTCGTTTCCCCTTTCCCTCTCTTCGTCCTTGCTCAACGGGAGGTTCCAAATCCCATCCTCCCCTCTTGGCAAACGACACAACCACCACCTAAATCATGTCGTCGCTCGAAGCCAAAATTGTCGTTCTCGGCGCCCAGGGTGTTGGGAAGACGTCTCTGGTTATGAGATATTGCAAGGGTGCATTTAATCCGGCTCAGATCACCTCTACAGTCGGTGCCAGCTTTCTCACAAAGCGCGTTGTGGACTCGGATTCAGATACAGTTGTGCGCCTCCAAATATGGGATACAGGTTGGTTTTGATAACGAGCTGGGGAAAAAATCATTTGTTCCCATGCTAATATAACATGTCGCAGCCGGTCAAGAACGCTTCCGATCCATTTCTCGCCTCTATTACCGCGGCGCAAACGCCTGCATCCTTTGCTACAGTATCACAGACGCACAATCATTCGCCGATATGGGCGTATGGCTCATGGAACTCCGACGAAATCTCCCCCACGACGTCATCCTCCATGTTGTCGGTACAAAGGCCGACATTGTCGCTCGCGATCCTTCGGCCCGCCAGGTCCCATTCGAACGCTGCATCGCCTACGTCGCCGAGAACCTTGCCCCGGGCATGGGCAGCACGCCGCCCCCTACCGCTACCCCTTATAACATTCCCACACCAATGATGGGTGGCCAAGCCATGTCGCCTCCGTCTATGGAGGCTCGCAGCCCCAGCTCAAAACGTAGTTCTGGTTTTTGGGCACAAGAAGTTGGATGGGACGCATGCCACGAAATCAGCGCCGAGACAGGAGAGGGCGTCGAGGAGGTCTTTCGTGTTGTCACACGCAAACTCGTCGAGCAGAACCGCAAGATGCAGCAGGCTCTGTTGATGGCCACCGCCATCCCCGGCACACCAGGCTACGAAGCTGGCATGGATGGAGGCTATTTTGCTGGTGCGGATGCGCGTGGCAGTTTCCGCGTGGGCCGCGACCGTCGCAGCTGGCTCTTCTCGCCGGCTTTCTCGCCTGCCATCACTGTTGAACAGGCGGGAACCCAGGAGCAGACAAATCCGGACGGCTGGGACCGTAAGCAGACCAGAAGGTGCTGCTAATTTTAGAACTCCAGGATTACCTTAGACGAAGAGGACGCGAACGAAGCGATACAGATGCTATGTTGTGTGGACAGGCGAGACGAGGTCATGTCTGCAACGAATTCCCTACGGCTACGGCGACGACGGAAGACGACCTTTAGGATGGTTTCGGCGACTGAGCGCACATGTTTGATACCCGGTCTTTTTATTTCGGTTTTCATATCGGTTTTGTATCTTTTTCTTTTTGCGATGTGGGTTGGTTCACAGTTGGGGTGTTTTTGTCTTTGATTGCGAGCTTTCCGCTTATTCTCTATTCTCTGTAAGCAATGCATATTCTCCTTCTCTTTAGGTGTTCATTCGGCCCATGATGCATGAGACGAGCTCTTTTCTTGTATTGTTTTTCTTTTGCTCGGAGTTGGAGGATACAGGTCATAAGAGTGCGGGGACAAGAAAGTAGATACCGTTACATCTTTAACTTAGAACATAGGCACCATACATTATTGGTCAGTTTGAGATTACTTTTGCTTTGGTGACGTGCTTATAAGGTTGCGGTTACAGTTGCATAGACTTTGAAGATGCCGCAGTGCTTATCTGTAATGCGTATTCTATTTTGGATCATTATTGGCTGCGACACTTCGTAGCTGGGATCATCATTAGGTGATTGAGATCTAACTAGCAGAGAAGTCTATGTGAGATCCTTTCCGTTAGGCTTGGGACCATTGTTAATCTGTCAATAGGCCACACGTCGGAAATATGGAACTAGGTAGAGGCTGACCTGAATTTGATTCAATTTACACATGCAAAACAAACCCGAAGCTAAAGTCGGCCCCATCCGAACATCTCCACCCCCACCTGTTCCGGTCGGAGCGGAGTCGGATAAGTCCCCCGCATTCACATCCCGCCATCCGCCATCCCGTGCCCGCCAAACTCCAAACTTCAACCCCGGGACTACGGATCAAAAGTTAGAAAATTGTTGCTTTCCTTAACACCCCAACTTCTCGTCTCTATTTTACATCCTCACTATATCAATTGCTATCGTTAACCTCTCGAAAATGGACCAACCTACCGGAAACCTCGCAAACCTCCTCCCTCCCTCGTGGAAAACCTCGGTAACTGCTTGGCTCGCCGAAGACACACCCTCGTTCGACTACGCCGGTTTCGTCGTCGGTGATGGTCCCCGCGTTGCTACACTCTGGGGTAAGTCCGCGGGTGTCATTGCCGGCCGACCCTTCTTCGACGAGGTCTTTGCGCAATGCGGCTGCACCGTCGAGTGGCACGCCGACGAGGGAAACGCTGTTGATCTGAGCAATGGGAAGCATCGGGTCGCAACGGTCAAGGGGCCTGTGCGTGGCATTCTCCTTGGTGAGCGCGTTGCGCTGAACACCCTGGCACGATGCTCTGGCGTCGCTACCAAGAGTCAGCGACTTGTGTCGATTGCGCGCAATGCTGGGTATACGGGTGTGATTGCAGGGACGCGAAAGACGACGCCTGGTTTCCGCCTGGTTGAAAAGTACGGCATGCTAGTTGGCGGTGCGGACGCTCACAGAATGGATCTCAGCGCCATGATCATGCTCAAGGACAACCACGTCTGGAGTCGAGGCAGCATCACTGACGCTGTCAAGGCCGCCAAGTCAGTCGGCGGCTTCGCCATGAAGGTCGAGGTTGAAGTACAAAGTGAGGCTGAGGCTGACGAGGCCATTGAAGCGGGTGCGGATGTTGTCATGCTGGATAACTTCACTGGCGATGGCGTCAAGATTGCGTCCCGAAGCCTCAAGGAGCGCTGGCAAGGGAAGAGACACTTCCTGCTAGAGGTTTCAGGTGGTCTGCAGGAGGACAACTTCGAGGCGTATCTGTGCAATGGTAAGTTACCGGCCTTTGGTTGTGTTTATTGCTTGTTACTGACATGTTATAGATGTGGATATCCTCTCGACGAGTTCTATTCACCAGGGTGTGCCTCACATAGACTTTTCACTCAAGATTGAGCACTAAGAACAAAGAATAAAAATACCCAATATCAGAACTAATTTGGTGAAGAATTGATCCTCTCTCCTTATCTGAAGGCTCGTTGCTTATTATCTGGTCTCGATCTGCATCCGTGAAGCTGTTGCCTCTCTTAGCCACATTTGAAACCTGACCTAGTCATGCTTCTACAAGAGCAGGTGCATACGAAATTATACACTTGTTTAACCCGATGAACATGAACTGCACAATTATTTCCTCATGCGCAAAACAACAGCGCTGCCTGGAACGAGATCAGCATGTCCATGATATACCTTCGTCTTGCTAGTGGATGTATACGGCTGATTTCACCAGTCCTGGCCCCCCGAAACCCACTGCATGTTTCTAGTAGAAAAAGGGGGACAAATGCAGCCTCATGAGACAGTCAACTCAATGTAACTAAGGCGATACAGGATAATCTTGTTTGGGCAAAAGACACCATGGAATACAGAGCCCTCCTTCAGAATGAAGCCAAGACGGAAACGCCATTTCTGCCACTCACTCAAGGCACATGAGGTGATATCAAAGAAGCGGCTCGGGCTGTGTTATATCAGGAGGTCCCAGCATCTTCAAAGAGCTTTGTTTGGTACTCCTGACCTGAATTCTGCTGAACTGTCATGCTGAGATAGCATTTTTATTATCAAATGGTGGGGACACAATAGCTATAGTGGTTCGACCAATGTTGTTCTTTCGAAGGTCTCGGAAACGCAAGGCCTTACATGTATCGCGAGGGTCATCACACTCCATAGGCAGGTGTAGGAAGCCCATATATGGGTTGGCTGGTTATGTAGTTACTGCTTTGATGAATGCCTTGATGAATGTGACGGTAAATTATAGGAACGGCCTGTTCACAACATATTGCCGGCACTATTTGTCACTACTCGCTCTGTTCGTCATGCTGAGCAGGCAATGTACACGTGCGAGTTATTACTGACCAACATGTTTAACCTGATATACATAGAGGCAGCGGTTTACTCATGGGAGCCTAGGTATCTCGTTCTATAATCACGACATTCACATAAACCATGTACCATAAGACAATGTTGTCGTAGACGCCATCACTGATGCAGATCAAAGGGAAGTGTGGTTGGCAGAATAAATGTGCCATTGATGGCTATCGAGTGTGGCTCTTTTGTAGAGGCTTTCAACAGTCAAACCCCCCTTCCATAAACCCCAAATCGGCCGTGGATAGTGTCAGGTCATTCGCGACCCGCAACCAGGCAATGAAAAGAAGATGCGATGAGGGTAAAAGAAACAGCATGGGCACAGGCACTCTTCGTAAAACCTCATTCCTTACGCGCCATCCCTACCCTATCTGATATCATTTTCGTAGACGCCAGGCATGTAAAGTCAAGACCGATAGAAGAAAAAAGTTGGCCAGGTGGCCCCATGTTGAGCAAAGAAGATCGTAAAGTACGATGATGCATAACGTACATTGAGAATCGAAATGAAGAGAAAAAGGAAACAGTTGCTGTAGACGTAGTTTGGAGGCTACGACTTATCCATCCCACTAGATACGAGTGCTTGCCAACCAAGAAATGCCGGGGCTTCCCATAACTATGGATGCAGAAGCGTGCCTTGTTCGTTCATCAAAAGGATTGTGCACCTTTTTAGACAGTAACGCGCTTGGCTCCTTCGGGCTTGAGCACGTTGTTACCGTAGCGGCCACCGAAGTTACCTAGAAACACCAATGTTAGCACTTGTTCATATTAAAATCATTGTGATGAAGCTTACCCTGAGGGTTGTAGTTGCAGACGGTGTACCAAGAAGGGAAGCTGAGGACAGTTCCGGCAGCGCACTTGACAGTAGCGCAGCCGACCTTGGTGGAGTCCTTCCAGACGACCTGGGTGAAGTGGCCGTAGAGGTCAATGTTCATGTCCTCAGGAGGGTTGTCCTGGCCGTAGAAAGCCCAGTTAGACATCTCGCTGTCGTACCACTGGTTGGTAATACCACCAGCAGCAGCCTTGTTCTTGAGACCGTCAATGTCGGAGGTAGCGCCCCAGGAAGCGAGGTTCTGGCCGTAGCCGCCATTGCCTTGGTCCCTACATAGTATGTCAGTTACTGAGGTTTAAGAGGGGTAAAGAGAAACTTACATATCGTGCTCGAAAACACATCCGTTGGCAGTGTTCTCGGCGTAACCAGCGAGCTCGTCATCCCACTCAAGAGCAGAAACGGAGTGGTTGGCACGGTGAATGTTGTGGTAGGCAAGCATAATGTTCTCGTAGGAGCCATCGAGGGACAGGTCAGGGGTGCTACCCTCAACGACCTTGGGCTCAGCAGCCTTGGTGGGCTCAGCGGCCTTGGTAGTCTCAACAGCCTTGGAGACAACCTTCTTGACAGTGGTCTTGGGCTCCTCGACGACGGGCTTAGGCTTCTCGACAACGGGTTCGGGTTGCTTGTAAACCTGCTCCTCCTTGTACTCAGACTGGGCCACAACTGTGACAACAGTGACCTTCTCGGTCTCCTTGGTGACGGGAGGTGGGGTGCTGGCAGGCTTCTCCTCCTTCTTGGGCTTGGGCTTCTCTTCCTTCTTGGGCTTCTCAGCCTCCTGGGTAGGCTTAGGAGCAACATATTCGGGAGACTCCATAAAGACAACGCCAGTAGGCTTAGCCTTCTCCTGATCGGCTGTAACAACGACGGTGACAACCTCGTAGACCCACTCGGTCTTCATGGCACGCTCCTGGAGAGCATTTCGGATTGGGCTGGCCGAGGCCAAGATGGCGCTAGCGCCGACGAGGAACATAGACGCCTTCATGGTGATCGGTGAACAGACACGAAACGGATTGGGGTGAACTGGAAATAGAGTCAGTTATATAAGCTTGAGAGATATTAGGTGTGGCTGTTTTCGGTTGAGTAAATGTCAGACCTATGCCGCTTGGCAATAGCTGTTTCCGTGTCTTTGACGAAAGCGATGAGGATAGCTGGTAGTAAAGGTGGAATGGTGTTTCTTGTGGGGAATGTTTGGATAAGAGCGTGTGAGACATTTGGTGTTGAGACAACTGAAGGGTGCAAAATAAAATTGGAATATTGCAATATATCGAGGTGTAGGGAGATGCCCTTGCTGTCTATACTTGCGGCATTTGCAGCTGTAGATGGCAGCTGCAAAGACCGAGCATTGCTTGTTCAGCGACACAAGTACCGAGGGCTGCACCGAGTCGCCATTGTTGAAAGGGAGGAAGTCGATAAAAGACTCCCTCAAAGACTGAAGCGGGTGGAGAACAAGGCGAGACAAAGAGGGTAGATGGATCGCAAATGCAGGTACAGGCACAGACATGCAGGGGTCAGACAATAGTGATTCGGATTATGCTTACCTTTGGGGTAGTGTCTGAAGATTGCGTTGATGATGGATGTGATTCAGAACCAGTCTGATGAGCACTGTTGGATTTGAGATTCCGTCAAGGAGTCTCGAAAAAGAGTTTTGGTGTGGTTGAACAACGATTTGAAGTTCAACGATAAGGAGTGACAGAAAGATGAACCGAAGGAAGGACGACTTGGTCTGCTTTGCGATACGAGGGATCAAGGTGAGGGAAGTCGTGAGTATTTCAACGGTTCAACCGGAAGCTTTGCTTTAGAGTTTTGGTTTTGAAAGGAGTGGACTGCAATGTACTAGACACGCAAACAAAGGAGTGGCAGGCCCTGCTATCGTTCGACGAAGACTCTTGGAGGGGGGTGAGGAAGAGAAGAAGAAGTCGAGATGGCTTCGGAGCGGACAACGACGTTAAAAGGAACTGCTCGGCGGGTCGCAGACGGTCAGCCACTGTTAGCCCAGGGGCGGTTGGTTGGATGGTGCGGTACCTATGGATTGGAAGCGTTGCAGGGGGGGTATCTGGGGATCTGGCGAGCCTGCAATCGAGTGTGAGCCAGGGGGTGTTGCAAGCCCGGGGATGGCGCCAGGGGGTGTAGGCTGATGTGTGTGTGTGGAACTTACTAACAGTGTAGAGAAAGACGGCAGTGAGAAGCTGTTAGTGCACGACAACGAATGATGGTGGGTAAATGAGCGCGGATGGTGGAAAGTTGGGGTTCGGAGACGACGGAAGAGGAGCGGGAATGTGTTTTCTAGGAAAGTGAAGGACGGTCCCAAGAGGAGATGAGGCTTCCATTGTTTGGGCTACCTGCGCAGCCCTGGAGCGCAGCGAAGCACTGCACTGCCAAGGGCCATCGTAACTAGCACCTGCAAGCACCGACTAGCAGTCGGGTCTTCCATATTGTTAGAGTGACCCCTGCAATACAGGCGCTAGTGCGTCAAGCCAGGGGTGAGCTAGCGTGGGCGCTAGAAACACGGCGGGACGGGATGGATACTGCAAGGCACCAGGAACGAATCATGCGTGAGTGCCTTGAACCCGAGGCATTCAGCAGCGTAGCTTTGACATCCAGCGCCATGATAGGTATTGAAGTCCAGATGGTCAGCGCAAGTGTCAATTCAAGGTATTGATTATACCTATTAAATTACGATGGGTGCTCTTCACATTCATTGTCATATATTGAATAAGTACTAAATAAGTCAAATGCTCCGCCTGTATATCATAGACATCAGCTTCGCGATAGTATCGGGTAATTTGCAGGTGCACAGGCCCTGGTCAATGACTAAGGAATGAAACTCGTGGCTTGATTATTCTCCCCTAGCATCTCTAACCGCAGCCATTATCATTATCATTGCCACTGCCACTTATAATGACATTGACACTGGTATCGACATTACGCCTCTGATGAAAGAGAAGCCCTACATGCATCACCGACTGCTACGGAGTACACACAATGCATCAGGCCAACAACTGCCGCTGATCGGCTGGTTCACAGATACATCACAGTTGCAACCCAGAGACTTGGTACAAACAAATACTACGTACGTATCGGTTTCAGAGACGAGACGATAGCACATGCGCATAATGAGTTGGCTTGAGCTTTTGACATGACATTAATTACGTTGCATTGCTACAACAGCATTGACAACTCACACGATCTATGGCTACCTATCTAATCAAACACGCGACCATACCTAGGTTGTGGATCCTGGTTGATACCCAGACCAGAGTGGGATGAGAACAATCAGTGGGTTGGCCCCAGCCCCTAGCAGCCTTGAGCGAGGTATCCGTAATTGCCAGCCAATCTCATGTATTACTACTTCAGCTGTTGACTGTTCGATATTGGGTCTGGCAGTGTCGATGTAGCTATTGGTGTTGATGTTGACGTTGTACTCTCATTTAGCTTCAGTTCATTTCCGGCTCTTCTACTCCATATGCCGGCCTATCCCGTACCCCAGTCCGATCATGGAAGGGTCCCAAGAAATTAACTTTGATTCTTATTCCTCTATCAAAGCTTGTCGGGCTGAACGGTCTAGACTTGACTTGAATATTGTCCATCATTTCCTCTTTTAATGATCTTGACAAAGCCTCCAGATGAGTCCATTGATGATTATGCTTGAGAGGAGTTCACCAGGCTTGGCTTAGCTGGCTTGCGTAATGAATAGCCACTCCGCAAGCCAAAAGCCAAGTCTTCAAGCCTTTAGCCACAGCCTTGGCCATTTCAGAATGGGTAGGTTGCTGGATGCGTATCATCCAATACATTACGTATGCACACTTACCATAGACGTTCAGCGTCTAAGAGAGCTGATAGATGTCGCGCTTACACGGTAGCTTTGCCTAAAGGTCCATTGACTTCCGGATGCAGCGTTATACTATGTGCCTGACGGGACGGGATACAGCGCCTACACGATCTGTACGTTGGACCAAGATCAAGATCGTATTAAGATCAGGCCTCGTACGTATTATGCCAGAGTTCGCACGGGTTCGAGTGTGATCAATATACGGATACTCGGGGCGTCCTTGTCCTGCAATGTCTAACCTTGTCAGCATTAACAAACACGAAACGCATTCCTACCCTGGCGTTGCTTTGATTTGATCTGAGCAAATCGCAATAGCTGGAGGCTGAGGCGAGAGGAACAAAAGAATACGTACCGGGGCGTACACCCCTTTTTAACTCGCACAGCTCCTGCCCTTGCAGATGACTGATGTGGCGCGTGCTCTAACGATCCGTCTCTTATACTCCGTACTTGAGACCCAATCAGAGCCTCATTCACAGCCTCATCTCCATCAAACAAGCTCCTCCAGACCCCCCAAGGATGCTGCAGTGGGCTGTAGCGAGGCTAGCGGGACTGCCCTGCAGGCTGCTGCATTTCCGAAAATCTGCGTTCCCCATGCTCGCCTAGTCTGTCTGAAACTGAGCTAATTTGAGGCCAACTCCGTTCTTCATCTCCTAGCCAAGGTTCTTGGCTTTTCTTTCTTTTCTTTCCCGTGCCATTACCAATGTTGACATCCTCTGTGGTTGTTCAGCATTCGGAGTCGTGTTTGGTACCTGCCAAGCTATTCGGGGATAATCAAATACTACGCATATGTGTCTGGTTCACAAGCCGTCATTTCTTCTCATAGCAAACAGTCAGCAATCAACAGGACTGGAGTCACGGAGTCCTCGGCTCATTTGCTTTTGTAAGTCCGTGTATGATATATCCTGTCGAGTTCCACTATCGGGCATTGGCGTGTCACAGACTGATTGCCTCTACTCTACCTATGCCTGGCCTTAAATGGTACGTACATGTATGATGCATTTATTCCAGGAGACTTTAGGGTATGTGGCCAACGTTTTGAACCCAATGGCCTGGCACTCAACAATAGTACACACTACCAACTGCCATCATGACCTCTTTGTCTGCGTGATTGATATACCTTCTGCAGATCAATCAATTGTTCTTTGCCTGCCAACAAGAAAGGATCAACACAGGGTCATCATGGTCCTCCTTTACTAAAGGGATTGACCCTCTGATCGAGGGCGATTATCGAGAACCTATTCGATCATTGTCTTGCTGCTCACACCCCTCACACGTTTACTTCTCCCCGCTTCTGATTATCCCTTGATAGTATCTTGAGCTCAGCCATTAACGCATTTGTCTTGGAAGTATTACGTTAATCATGCCTACGACTCAATTCCAACATCTGAACTTGGCTGCCATGACACGCAATCTGTGGCTTCATGATAGTCTAGCAAGGGAAATAAGAACGACAAATCCCATAGTAATGGGAGCATTCGCCGCGTGGCGTTCAACTGCATTCCTTCACTAATACCCGAATAACTTTATTTGAGTGTCTAGTCCAAATTCATAGGTAGCCTTTGGCCATCGGTGTTCCTGCTAGAGTCCCAGGGTTACGTGGCCGACGTCCCGGGACTCTCTGCTGCTGATCAAAAGGTCGAGTCTTGTTACCGGCTGCACCGAACTGGTCCATCAAGCTTCAAGTCCGTGGAAGACGGTAACTCGGTAGCGCCGGCCCTAGGACAGATATCCGTAGTGGACCAGTCCGGTCGATCAAGAGCCGAACTTTCACGGACTCGTCGTCGTTGTTGGTCTTGTCACTTGTGAACCTTCCGCATTTTGATGATATACGCGTCAGTATAGACATGGTTGAACTCTGATCTGATCAAGCAATTGATCTGGATAGTTCTTAACCGTCCACTACGCTGATCGATCTCAATCCACTTGAGCACAGATGATTCTAGACCTAGTCTTGTAACATTGGACATCGGTATTCTGGGCCTATGCAGGCATGCCATCTCCACATGAATTCTATCTTTCCTTGCTATTAACGTGCGATATCTTACCGCTTCAACAAAAATCAAAACAATACGGATATGTTCCTTGGAAATTGAAACCATGCAGGCCTCATTTCATGCGACCTCCCTTCGCAATGCATCACCAGTTCAGCTTTGTTGTTTTTGCTTAGCTGTTTCATACAAAGCAGATCATGCACTGGCGCTGGGGGCAGTATGTTGCCCCATCCGCCGATCCATGATAATCTCAACGTGGTGGCATGGATTGACGTCTCCAGCTTTTACCTCACCACAAGTCTTAGTTTCACGTGGATTTTCGTCTAACCTCGCGCCCGCTCTGAAGACCAAACGCCGATTGAGCTTGTTTTGGCCCATCGGATCGACATTCGCTGCAATGGGTATGGACTAGCTATGGAACAATAGCATCTAATATAGATCCGGTAAGTTGAATAGATGCTTATCCTACAACTTCTTTTCGTGTAGTCAATTTCACACAGCACTTGAGTCTCTTCAATGCTCGTAAGGCATCAAAGTCCAATATGTAGGTTATGTGGTATGGGGATGTTTAATTTGGCTACAATTAAGGACAAAATATTATCCTCCCTGAGAGGCCTATACTATCATAAACACATAGTCCGATGCTAGTACAACAAACGATGTAGTATGTCCACATTCTAATAGCGAGTGCACTAAACGTAGAATAGAAATACCCCTAGGACACTGTAATACATCGCTGGAACGCGGACCGATCGACTTTGGCCACATGCGCGTACGATATGGTACAACATTTCACCACCCTCACTTCTCGAAGCAAACCCTCCAACCTCGTACATCCTTCTAAAACGTCACCGAGAAAGATATGACCAGCTCCCGCTGTATTGTTTCTGCTGGCCTCGAATACGGTCACAGTACAGAAAGGGTGTAGGCCATGTCAGCCAACCAACGATGTGACCCATTTCGAACATCAAACATGGGCGCTTGAAAGGCCCGTTTCTCGTTTCACGAAGCGCACAAGCGCCCAACAACCGAGGAATGGAATCGTTTCCCAAAATTGCGCCGAGACTATCTTTGTCAGTCAAGCTGCTATGCGATTTTGTTTGAGATAATATCTCTAGGTTAGTTAGAAAACCTCAATATCTGCATTGCATCTTTTCTCTTAATTGTCTACATCACTACAATACTCGAGGCTCTAATAAGATATAGATCGCTTAATGGACGAACCATTCACTAGTCTGCCAGGCAGGTTTCCGTTGCATATGGCCTTACAAAACAACACATTGCACGCTGTTTCCAGCTCCATCGTTGACTTCCCACACCTAACCAATCGTTCTCTTTTCTGGCCGGCTTTCGCTTTGAAACGAGACGGCTGGTTGCATGAGGGGAGTTGCCCAACCTCAGCAAGCTCAAGTGAGCCTGCAACAAAAGCCCCGGCCAGAAAAGGCCTGCGATGCATCAACAGCATAGTCATGTGCATGGTCAGGGTACTTGTCCATCGGTGAAGCTGTGCGACTTGGCAGACCACTCATCAACAAGAACAGCTTGCTTGAGCTGAGAGGTGCGACCGTTCCCAAACAAGCAGCTTCAAGGGGAGTACGTGCCATATATCAAATGCTGTTTGATGACCCCTATTATTGCCAAACCGAAGCCTGCAGAGAGCCAATATATGTGGTAATGTACTAGGAGTTGTTTGTTTGTGGGTTGTGTTCAGTCAGTCGGTTTTGGAATTTCATGATAGCAATCAGCTAAAATCTCGATCTCGGCAGGTGGTTTACACCACGTCATATAGAGAGAACAATTGGAATGATGGCCTCACGGTCTAGTTGAGATGTGGTGGTATCAGGCACAACTTTAGAATGTCTCAAAGTGCCGTGTATCAGGCGATTAAGGCTCGCTGCAGTATGATGCATGTGCAGTCGCGTTTGAGGCTCGTGCTGTTGTGAAAGGTGGCGTGCTGTCAAGTTAACCATGAAGAGACTGAAATGACATATCATGTATCGCCAAGACAAGTCTCAGGATCAACTCATATCCAGTTGTAGCTGTCAAGGCAGTTAGTGTTGGTTGATGCTGGAAACGTCCATGTAAAACTAGATGTTTGGGCCATTGAGCGGCACGATGGACAGTAAATTGTGACAAGCATCTGCGCCAGTCGAGAGTAGCTGTCACGCTATGATACCTTGTGCAAGAAAAATGATTTGATTTGATAGTTGGTAATCCACCTTCTTTGATTCATCGACAAATATACACGATCAGACCTCGACCTCAACAGATTCCGGCACTTTATTGCTGCGCATCCTCCTGCCCCGGAACAAAGGGCTTACCATCGCCAGGGCCAATGCGCACGTCGGCAAAGATCTGCTTTGGTCGGAGGTGAACGGGGGTGTAGTTAGTAGGCTGATCAGGAACCTTCTTCTCAAGTTTCTATAAATCGTGTTAGAGGCTCCACTAGAAGTTACAGAACGTGAGGATCATACCAAGTTGTCAAAGACACACTTGTTGAGCTTCCACTCAGCAGGACGGCATTGCCACAACTGGTGGTTTCGGTCGTCGAGGCACTCCCAGTGCTTGCGGAACTCGGCCAAGCAGTGGGTGTTGAGGTCCTTAATGCTGTTGATCTGTGTCAGCAGCTGCGCTCGGCAATAGAGCTTGTTGCGCCCCAAGTATGTTGCCAGGCTATATGTTTCTCTGGCTTTCAGGTGACGTACACGCTGGAGGCACATCGGGTAACTCGTCGGCCCTCCTTCAAGCACTCAAACTCTCCTCGGCCGGGATTCTCGTTCTTGCATTGCATGTAGTCATCGTTGTAGTCGCGGCATCGAGCACCGATGAAGAAGGAGGCCGAAAGAAGAGGCGCAGAACTGGCACCGACCTCCTTGACAGCAGGAATGTCATCGGGCAAAGGAGCAGTGTCAATGAGCAACTGCTGGGAGAATCTAATGAATCAATCGGTTAGCCAATTATCAGCTATTCTAGTGCTCAATTACACCCGCCAGCGGTTTGGGAGTGAAGCCAAGAGAGCGAGCTCTCGAATAAACGTACTGGGGCCTTCGGGTAGACATGATGCCGATGTTCTGCGAAGCTGTTCGTCGAACGTTGCGGTGATTCGAGATTCCTGGAGTGGTTATGTGAGGTCGTTCGGCTAGGATTTGGTAGCGTAAGGTATGAATTGGCCCGCTATGATTGGTTGGCCAAGGTGGCGAGGCTGGGCGACAAGGCTGCAATGGGTCCTAAGACAAGTGTAGCTCTGTTTTCGCGTCGCCAGCTCCAATAATTTTGACCGGCCCAAACAAACAGAGCAAACCACCAAATTAATTGGACTTTTCAGCCTTACAACATTAACAAAAATTCACCACGACCATCGCATTATTGCGCAGCACACTTCTATACCGTGCTGAATTGCCCTTATTGTCTCGCTCCGGGCTTCATCCCGGCAACGCATCCCATCAGCTAAAGCTCAAGCTTAGCTCGCTGACTGAAAGCTTTCGATTTGCACGTCGCATCATCATCATTCAACATGTCGCTCTTCGGACAGGCGAGGCCTTCGATGTTTGGGCAGTCGCAGCCCGCTCAGACAAATACACAGAACCAGAATACGGGATTTAGTTTTGGCCAGTCGCAACAACAGCAGGGCAATACACTTGGCGCATCGATCCAGCAACAACAGCCGCAGCAGATGCCAGCTCTATCTCAGTCCCAAGCCCAACTTTCAAACTCGCTATGGCAGCCCGGAATGGAGACACCCCGTATGTCCTTCCTCAGCGTCGCTCTCCTATATCGCAACGCTAACATCATGCAGACCAGAAGCCGATTCTTGAGCAGATGAAGCTCGTGACTGAGAAATGGGATCCCGCGAACCCTAACTGTGTCTTCAAACATTACTTCTACAACAAGGTCGACGAAAGCCATGTCCCCTATTATAAGCCCCAACCCCACGAAGTCCCCCGGGAATGGGAGGAAGCCTTGCAAAATAAGCCAGCTGCGGGCTTCATGCCCGTTCTTTGCTCCGGCTACGCTGGCGTTGCCGATCGCCTCAAAACACAAAAGCGCGCCGTTGCCGACTTCAACACCCGCTTGCACCAGATTAACGGCAGCCTAGATTCCATTCTTCAGCGCCACGAACTCGAGACCGAAGTCCGAGCTGTCGCAGCTCGCAGAAGACAGACAACGATCAGTGAAAGATGCCTAGCGCTTGCCGCACGGATACAGGTTCTCCGTAACCGTGGTTATGCTTTGAGCGGCGATGAGGATGACCTGAGCAGTCGACTACAGACCCTGGAGCGGGATGTCCAAGACCCTGCTGTAGGAGCGCGAGAGGAGGAGCTCTGGAGTAGACTTATTGTTCTTCGAGGGTATGCCGACCAACTTAGCAAGGAGCTGGACAAGCCGAGCGGCGCTGAGGGAGAGAGCATTGACCCAGAGCGAGAAGCCAAGGCGAAGCGAGTAAGTGGATGTACATCTTATACGAGGAAGACAAGTCCAACTAACTACTTCCCCAGGTGCTTGAGGATTATGAGAAGCAGATTCAGCATATCAAGAAAGAGCTTGAGGCTCTATCGACAGATTACGCAGAGTGGGAAAAGACCAGAAACCCACACTCAAAATAGATGGAACTTAATCAGGGCAAACTGTTTAGCGGTAAAGGTGGTAAAGACAGACAGAGCAAATGTCTTTGACAGGATGTGTATTGGTGGCATAGAGTTGGAGTCAGGACTGGGTTTTCATCCTAGGCGTCACAGGATACGAAATGTGAATCTTTGTAAAGTTTTAAAGAATAATATCGATATAGCAAGTGATACCGTGATTTGGGATTCTAAAAAAAGAGCAATACAGAAGTGTATATGTCATTGCCGAGAGTGATGTTGTTGCGCGGCTTTAACCCGCGGCTTGGAATATGTATTGGTACAGATCAATCATGAGTCTTCCACCCGCCCTCTCCAAATCGATTCTATCGTACATGGCGCAATTGCAGCGTCATCTTCCGTGGGTCTAGCAGGGCTCATGATGCCATTAAGATAACCCGCAAATTCAGTCGTAGAGGTTATCGGTATTTAGAAGATCTTGCCAACAAGGTCGATAGCGAAGGGAGCTGAGACATAAGTTAGCGCCGCTGTACATAGAATCAGAGGGTCAATTAAACGAACAGAGGTAAAGGAGGACAATAGTGGTGACAGCGCCCTGGACGGTGAAAGCAGCATCGGCCTCGAGGGCGCGGATCTCCTCTTGGGACTGCTGAGGGGGGGCGACTATGATAGGTTAGTTTATTGCTCAGTGATCCGGTCTGTATATAACTCACATCCTCCGAACATTTTGTATGTGATTAGGTAAAGAAGGGAGGGTTTGATGAAAGGACAAGGGTCGTGGAAGGCCTGGTAGAATGAGGTATGATGCTATCTCGAGTTGCTGTCATGGGCGGGCCAAAGAATTTTGACAAGCGCGGTTCAATTCTAACTAGCGCTGACCAATCAGCTGCTGCGATTGATGGGTTGGTTTCTGAAGCTCTTATCGATAAGCTTGTCTCTGGCCGCATATGTCATCAGAGAACTACGACGTTGCTAGCATAGTACGGAGTAGCCAGGTGAGAGAAGAGATGATTAATTTATCTATTCGTATGATGTTGATCGTGTACACTCGGGCAAATACAAAGATGCCTGGTTAATGGGTAATTGTCTTTCCAAATCCGTGCCATGATTTGTTAACAACGTATTCGTTTGTTGGGCGAGCCTGGTACTCTACCTATAGTCAGCACTTAGTTACAGGCTCTCAATCAACCTTCCTGAGTAGGTAAGTAGGTAGATGCTACGAAATCGACATTTTACACGTGTAGCGCAAAAGAATTTGTAGTAACCAATGTCTAGGGTATCATCCCCATGAATCTATTCATTCATAATCATCAAGTCGCAGAAACAAACCTCCGCATACGCTTTTCTCCATCTATATACCATTTCCCAGAATCCTTGTTTTTACCAAAACCTAAGCCTCGAAGATCAAAGCCACACCATCGTCACCGGCTGTAACAACTCTCTCCCCTGTCTGGCCCTGGACAAAACCCAGGACACCACCGCCCTCACCATCGCCACGGTGGCCCTTCCATTCCTTCTGGAGGCCAGCCTCGGCAGCTGTGGCGGGAACATTGGGGTTCGTCGCTCCAGCACCTCGGAGATCCCAGCGGCGCACGGCACCGTCCATACCGCAGCTAGTAAGTTGCCATGAGTTGGGGATGAACTCAAGCTTGACAATAGCGTGCTCCTCGTGGGCACCGGCGATGTGTCGTCGAACAGCGAAGCGGCGGGTTGCGTCATACACAACGATAGAACCGTCGACGGAGCCAGCGGCAAGCAGGGTGGATGCCGGTGTGTTGGGGGTAGTAACGATAGCGAGTGACTCGATACTCTCGGATTGAGTGTGCAGAGCGGCTAGGATTTGCCCACCGGGTGTCGACGTTGACTGACTTGTAGTCTTGCCTCCAGCACGGGCGCGAGCCTGGGGTTGAGGTCCGCTAGGAGCAAGTCGTGGAAGAGAAACGATCTTGATAGCACCAGTAGCACCACCGACAGCGACAAATGCGCCCTTGGGGTCAATGGCAAGAGAGTAAAGACCACCCTCAACTTGGAAGCGCTGATCGTCAGCAGTCAGAGCCACAGCAGTCATGCCGTTATCGCCAATAAGGTTCTTGGCTGTAGCCTCACCCCAGACATCCCAGACGTACAGGCTACCGTCCTCAGAGATGGTGGTCAACAGGAGACCATCGGGCGTCCAAGCGCCGGCGGTACAGCTGCCAGTGTGAAGGAAGTAGGACTGCACGATCTGGAGGGGGTTGGCCTGATCTGTGGGATCGACTGTGTAGACCCAAACGGAGCCGTCAGAAGCGCCGAGGGCGACAGTGTTGGGATTTGTCGTAGAAGGGCAGGGCACAAGCCAGTTCACCTCAGGCACCTCCTGCGCCTCACCAAGGAAGTCCATCTTGAGCGCATCGTTTGAGAAGGTTGCCTTCCAAGCGCGCAATCTTCCGTCAAGACCACCGCTGATAAGGACATCTCCTTGAGGGAGAGTCCAGGTAAGTGCATTCACTGAGTCTGTGTGGCCGTCTAGGCTGAATAGGGAAGAAACCTGAGTGCTCTTGAGGGCGTCGGCGGCGGGATCGCTCGAGAAACTAGCAGGCAGCGGAGGTCGCGACTCGACAGTGGCGGTATTGAAGACCCATCCTGCACCAGGAGCATCGTCTTCCTGGCCGGCTGAACCACCAACGGCGATGATGGAGGGGTGCTTAGGGTGCTGGGCGATTGTGAAAAGAGAATCCTTGGGTTCGTCGAAGTAACCGATAGAGTCGTTTTGGAGCAAGATCTCCTCGTTGATATCCTCATTGTCAGAGTCCATGGCCATGTCCTCATCCTCGGGGATCTCCTCGGCGGCATCGTCGGCGGCGAGCATGTCCTCCTCGAGCTCTTCGTCAACAGGCTCCTTTTGATCGCGGGGGTTGGAAGACGACATGATGGCGGGGTAGTTTTTAATGAATTTCGGTATGATGTGTTCGATGCGTTCGATGAGAGGGTTGAAAGATATAGAAAAACAAAGATATAGAAAAGGTTATGGAAATAGACTTCGTTAGAAACCGAAGCTTTCTCCTCGGGTTTGTCAGTTGAAGCTTGCTTGATAAGCAGGCAAATGTTTTTTCAACTTTTGGTGGTTGTCGGGACGAGGATTTTTTTCCTGACTGCGGGGTGGTGGCGTTGGCTGCTGGAGCCCAGCTTTTTACTTATAATGGTCCATGACCAAGTTACGCACTTTAGTTTTAGTCAATAATTTTGTACATTAAATAAACGACGAGTTTAGTAAAGAGTTGAGTCTTCGGAATATATCGAACCTATTTTGCTAAGAATTGAAAATGATAGTAAAGTGTAGTTGGCTAACAAATGGTTGGGGCTCATCCATAAGTTTGACATACTAAGAACGGCAATGTTATAACAAGAACTTCTGACTGTTGCCAGATCTCCATTGACACCTGTAGTATCCAAGTCACTAATTAAAAAGGCTCCATGTTATTACTATTACTTCGAGATCGATAGAGCCTGTGTGCTGAGATTGAATGAGGGAAACAGGAAGTGAATTAATAAGGACTAATATACCCCGAGAGTCCTTCAGTTGAACTTTCTCTAGATGTTAGTTATACCAGATACTGGAGGGGTCTGAAAGACATAAAGAGAAAAAGGAATCGCTTGTTCACTGTCAAGTCCTGATAAGAGGCCAACTCTTTGGTACCAGTATTAGTCTGCTGCAACATCGTGCATACAACAACACCCAAGTCGCTGCTTCACCGGTCAAGCACTTCAACCCAGTTCTTTTCCGACTGCTTCCTCCTCCATCGCTCCTTCGCAGCTTGGCGCATCACCTTTTCTTCCTCTCCAACCTCGTCGGCCTGCGTTGCCATCTCACGAATCTGGTGCTTGAGACCTAGTGAGAGCATCTTGTACCATCCACTGTGAATCTTGCAGCGTTTGCGCTCGCACATACCGCGGACTTCGTCGCCTTCTCCCAGGGGGTCATCGAGCTTTGACGCTTTGAAGATGGCCTCACCCTCTGGTGACTTTGCGAAAGCTCCGAATGAGTCCCGGGCGCTAATAGTATCGAGACGCTGATCGTAGCCGCAAATGTCTTCCTTGAAACGGCCTGCGTTGATGGCTGCTTGACGACGCTCGTGAGCGAGTTCCAGGAGAGTCAGCATTTTGTGGCAGAGAACCGTTTCCTCGGCCAAATGAAAGCGCGCTGCTGCTGCGTTCTCGAGAAACTCTTTCTCCTCCCCAGAAAGATGGAGTGAATCGTCATTTTTGTTTTCTGTGATAATTGTTAATGACCCATGCCTGGCCCCATTGAGGAAGAATTGCTTACCTTTCTCATTTCCATTTGTCACATTCTCTTCGCCCGAAAATGGTGTCTTGAACAATCGCCAGAGTCCTTCCTCGTCGATTCCTGAGAGGTCACTTCCCAAGAGTGCCATGAACTCTTCCTGGCTAAGCTGGTCGTTGATACTCCCCTTCCCCTTGGCTTTGGGCAGCTTGGCTACCATGCGTTCCCACCAGGTTTGCGCATGCTCATTAGAGCAAAAGACACTTTCCTCATCCTGAGCTATACGTGCCGCTTTTCGGCAGCCGCCAAGTGCGCATGTCTTTTTGTATAGTGTTTTTAGGTTCTCATTTGTACAGTGGAGGCAAATGAACTTTTCGATTAGAGACTCACCAATCTCTTTGCTCATGTTGATGCACTCCCCGTGATACCAATCCTCACAGTTTTCGCAACAAATCATCCATCGATGGTCATCTGCACCACGACAAATGCAGTAAGGTCCGTGGTCAGATTCCTCGAGTTCGGATCCTCCCGATTCAGGGGCTTCTCCTGATGGCGCGGCTCTGGCCTTTTTTGCTGCTCTTGGTCCTCCTGTGTTTTTTGGGCGCTTGGCTGACTTCTTGATGGTGGAGGCCGTACCTTTCTTCTTTGAAGCAGCGTGGCCGGCCATGTTGGATGGTTCTGTGGCGGTTGGAGGATATGAAGGTGATTTGGAAGAGGAGAGTTGATTGTCTGGTGGCGGTTGAGGGGTATCCTCGGTTACCGTATCGCTCTTTGTGTCATTTTCAATAAGCTCAAATCGAGATTCCTCGCTTTGTCCTATTGTTGAAGTTGTTTGTTCCATTGTGGAGCGTCGGCGGCATGTAATTGCCAGTCCACACGCTGTTATGTATTCCTTTGCTCAAACGAATCAGTCACTTGACTCTGATATTTGATTGAAGGTTAACTGGGAGTCTATTGTTGTATTTGTATAGTCCTTTCGAGATATCCGGCTCTTTTTAAGACTAATGGTCCCAAGAATGACTTTCAACTTCGGTGTAAGTTAAGCTATAGGCGTATTGGAGATTAACGGATGAGTGGCTGGCTGGTTAAATCGGATGACTAAGGCCGTCCCGCATTGAACCCCGGTAAAAGCCCGGACCAGGCATTTTCGGAGCTGGTGATAATCGAAAGATGCAAGTTTACGTAGTTGATAGCTTTTACATGAGCTTCACTCGACTTTTTTTATAGAAGCAATTCACCATGTCGAATTCGGTGACGGCCTCCAAAGCCCTTAGGGGCGTGTTTTCCTCTCTTTCAACGAGGCAATGCCAGCGTTGTTTTTCTAGCAGTGCCCTTCAACCCAAGCAGCTCCGACCGACTCTCCCGCGAGCGCCCATGCAGTCGAGACAGCCAATTACTCAGCGCCGAACCAAGTACAAGACAATCGAGCAGGCCAAGAGCCGATATAGCAATGGGGTATGGATTGAGAGATTCCGAGGAGAAATACGGCGACGAATGAGCAAGCAAAAGCTGACAAATGTGCAATAGCCGTTTTCTTGGAAGGCCGGAATCATGTTCGTCGGCACTTGCGGACTATTGGTTTGGTACTTCGAGTTCGAGAAGGAGCGCATGCAGCGCAAGAGAATAGCTGAGGCCGCCAAGGGCGTGGGCCGACCAAAGGTTGGAGGAACATTCGAGCTGATAGATCAAGATGGGAAGCCTTTCACAAACGAGATGATGAAGGGCAAGCATTCTCTGGTACGGACAAGAACCAATCCAAAGACATCAATCGACAACAGAGGGCTAATTCTGACTAGGTCTATTTCGGCTTTACCCGATGCCCCGATATCTGCCCCGAAGAGCTCGACAAGATGTCTACCATGCTGGACATTGTGGAAGAGAAGGCCCCCGGCGCGCTTCTCCCCATCTTCATTACCTGCGACCCTGCTCGTGACACACCAAAGGCACTCAAGGAATACCTCGGCGAGTTCCACGACAAGTTCATTGGCCTGACTGGTACATACGATCAAATTAAGGACCTCTGCAAGAAGTACCGCGTCTACTTCAGCACACCACAGAACGTTAAGCCCGGACAGGACTACCTGGTGGATCACAGCATTTACTTCTACCTCATGGATCCCGAGGGTGATTTTGTTGAGGCATTGGGTAGACAGCACTCGCCGCAGCAGGCTGCTGCACTTATTCTGGACCATATGAAGGACTGGGATAAGAAATAAGATGCTAAGTGATCACTATCATGTAAAAAAGAAAGTGGTATGGATTGTACGATGAGAAGATATTGCGGTTTCTGTAAAAGTACTGTACCACCAGAATCATTGACTCATAGAAAGATGCCGCAATGGTAATTAACCACTCAATTCAATTGTACATTTTACAAGCTATGTTAAAAACAAAAACAAAAACAAAAACAAAAACAAAAAGAAGTAGAAGCGTATCAATCAGTTTCTTATGCTGTGTCATCATATCAATCAGTCTTACTTGGACGTGGTCGGCGATCCTCGGTTCATATTAATGTGGGCGGGACTTAACGACGAGACGAGTCCTCTTATCAACCATGACTCTAACAAGTTGACTTGAAACAGGACAAGCGACTACCAACATTGAGTGTTGTACCTTGTTTTTTGTCTTGATTACCACATCCAAAATCCCTGATTAATATCATTTGTTCACCAATACTCGTACACTTGATCCTTCGCCCTTGGCACTGTCTTTCAATATGCAACGCTTTGGTGTGGTCGGCCAATGCCGATTCGCTGTACGTCGGTGGTTGCAGTTACAGCCTCGGTCTGTCGCGCCGATGACGGTGACGGCCTTGAGTGCCTCATCAGGATCGCAAAGGACATTCCATACTTCTCCTATCACTCTATCAAAGCCCAAGGGCTTATTAGGCGTTAACCCGAACCAGTATGAGGAGCCTACCGACCTGGCACGGAAACTGTTCTCCGAGTTCGCGTTTGCATTTGAGTAAGTCAATAACACTCATGTACTCTCAACAGAGACAATGACAACCCATCAAGTACTAACACGCATCAGTATCGATGGCGTCTTATATCAGGGTCGCAACCCGGTGGATGGGGCTGACAAAGTCCTCAAAATGCTCAGAAGCAATGGAGTCCGATACGTCTTTTTGACCAACGGTGGCTGCGTTCCCGAAGACAAAAAGGCAGATACCCTACAGGAAAGACTACAGATTCCCAAGCACGACGATGTGGTAAAGGGGAGAATGATTCTGTCCCACACGCCCATGAGTGGTTGGAGCGATGATGTCAAGAACAATGGCACTGTCTTGATTACTGGCTCACACCCCGAAAAAGCTCGTCAAATTGCTCTTGAGTAAGTGCTATACCATCTCTAGCTACCTGCTTCCTGACCACTAACTGTGTTAGCTATGGTTTCAAGCGAGTCATTACTCCGGCAGATATTCTTGCTGAATGTAAGGACGTCTTCCCGTTCGAGCATATCGAGGGTGAGATCAATGGCGTGCCCGCTCCATTGCCTGATGGAAAGAGAATTCCTCTGCTCAAAGACCCGTTCACCACAAACGTCCCTGCCAACGCCCTCAAGATTGATCATATCTTCATCTGGAATGACCCACGGGACTGGTCTCTTGATATTCAGCTCATCCATGATCTCTTGATCTCTCACCAAGGATACCTCGGCACTGTTTCGAACCGGAATGGTAACGAGTCTTTGCCCAATAATGGTTGGCAGCAAGATGGCCAGCCTGGACTCTGGATCTCCAACCTGGACCTTCTGTGGAAGACAAGCTATCCTGTGAATCGATTTGGTACGGGGGCTTTCATTGAGGCCCTAAAGGGAGTGTGGTCCACGACAACCAACGGAAAGGAACTTCAGTACAGCGCTCTTGGCAAGCCGTCTAACCATACTTACAAATACGCTCACGATAGGCTTCTTCAATACTACCACGATATGGCATGTAATCGTGGCCAAAGCGCTCAGCATGACATATCAAAGTGCCACCCACTTCGACGAGTCTACATGATCGGCGACAACCCAGAGAGTGATATCCGGGGTGCTAGCGAGTTCAAAGCAGATGATGGTACCGAGTGGGTGCCCATCCTTGTGCGCACGGGCGTCTGGCGACAGACATCTACAGAGAAGGAGCCTCGATACAAGCCAGCAGTCATTGTGGACGATGTGGTGGATGCTGTCGTCTGGGCACTCAACAACGAGGGCATCAAAGCTACTAGAGAGTGGGTGCTATCTACTCTGTCGCATACCAAGGGTTATGTGAAGCTACCGCCCTTGGAGGATGGAGTGCAGATTGATGGCTTGGAGGATGGGGTCAAGTATCCCAGTGAGCTGGAGGCGGGCGAAGCCAAGTTATAGACAGTCATTCGATACAGAGATATCAGTGCATGCCGACAGCGGCCAGTGCTGATCGGTTAATCGTACTATAAATCCATATATCAGGCTGTCAAGGATACCAAGGCAGACATCCCTCGAATGGCACCATTCTCTCAGCCCTAGGGCCAAAAGCGAGAAGAGCAGCAGCAAGAGCTGACCATATTCCTTGTACGGCAGGGATATTCATGCAAGAACGCTCTTCCCCGGACATAGTCCAGGTTGTTGCAGATGTTGTTGGCGCTAGTCGACTCCTTTCTTGCCATATCACAACCAACAACACCATCCTCGTTTCAGACTCCACTGCCAAGAAGAGACCAATTGAGCTTTCCAAGACACATGTAGTGTTAAAATGAGGCTCAGATACATTATGTAATTGTTGCGACTTCTTAGAAGTACTTAATTGCTTTCGATCTCGTCAGCTGTGAAGTCAATAGTTAACTTAGTGAACTAGTTAGTGATATTTAACAATCGGGGTCGCCGCGACCAGGGTCAATGAACTTGAGCGTCTGAGACTCCTGGTCTGCAGCTGTAAGCGATGCATATCACGTACGGCCCAGCCCCCTCCTGGGATAGTTATCTAGTGATCTCCCACCACTATTTTATGGTTCCTTGGGTCTATAGCCTCTACTTATATACATTCTACGTGCATTGACGACTCATACGCGACCAATTGCTAAAGTGCCCCAGAACTCAACTATACCGAAACTACCAGACATGGATACGAACAACGACTCAATTGGAGCCTTACGCAGCCTCTATGAGGCCCTAGAAATCCCGCAGACAGGCGCCATAGACTGTTTTGCTAAAGCAAAGAGGAAGCCCAATTGCTCACACAAGCTTCCAGATGAGAGAGACGATATAGATGATCTTATGAAGAGGCTGGTGCTCACTGAGAGCTATGGCAAACACTCCAATGGACTCAACATAACCCACAGCTCCGCCATAAAGGAATTGACTGGGAAGCTTGTCTGTTCAACAAATTCCTTGCATTCAACAAGGGTTTTAGTCGACAGCAAGAGATACTTACCTCAGGAACAATTCGTTCAATCCGTCTTGAGCTTGAGATTCGAAAGATGGAAATCGGAAAACCTGAGACAGAATCAGAGCACAAAGCACAGCACGGCCGCTCGTTCTACTATAAGATCTTTGCCTTCTCGTTCAATTGCTGAATGCACGCCAAAGCACAGAAGAACTTCTGGCCGCAGCCAGCGCGTCAATGACAGTGATGAAGACACGGAGACGGATGCTGGATATAGTTCCGAAGCATCAACGCAAATGAGCCTTCGCCGACCAAAACTCGTCAGAGAGAATCACAGGGACGAACAAGAGACATTGATGACGCCTGTGAGAGGTCGAGGCTATAGACTTCACAACAACTATGTCGACGTTTCAAAAGTACTTCAAGAGCCTAGAAACCTATACCCATCGCCTGATTTTGATCAATCTGTCTTTTCTCCTGGATCTGTTGCTTCGCCAGGTGCTAGCGAAGTGTTTTCTCCTATCTCGGCTGCGTCAACACCCGACTCTGTCTATAGCACTACGGGATTCGATTCTCCTCTGTCTTCATTCCGCGGTAGCTCTCGTCGCATGCGTAATGAGGAGAGTCCAACACGCCATGGGGAATGCGACGATATCAGCTTTCTCACGAGGGAGATGGCGCGAAAGATGAAACTTTGTGAAGACAACTCCAGTACTAAGGACAACCTTATTGATGGCGAAGCTGTTGGTGATATGAACAACGTCATTGGTGAGGGTGATGAGGAGAGCAACGACGAGAGTGACGATAGGTGCGATGAGGTTAGCCCGGCTGAAGAACCTACGCACAGCTCATCATCTCGCCAACTCATGACATTCTCCCCAAGAGAACATAAACTGCCTATCAAACGAATATTTGATTGTATGAAAACAAGACTAGCAAAAAAAAAGCATGGGTACATTTATTGCTTCGCCGAAGAGTCGGCACCTGGCTATCTGAAGATTGGACACACCGAATCTGACCCAATGGAAGGGGACATGGAAGCACCCGTTTCATCAACAATGAAGAGGACGAAAGATGATAAAGTGCAAGAGAGAATCTTGTACTGGAGACGCACATGCAAGCACGAGATCGACCTCAAGTTTCGGATCTTTATGCCATGTGCAGTGGCAAAGATGGAGAAACTGATTCACCGTACCCTACACAAAGAGCATCGATTCGCAAAATGTCCAGCTCCAAAGTGTGATAGAAACCATCAAGAATGGTTCCAAACATCCGTGGAAGAGGCACTTAGAGTTACCAAGGTTTGGCAAGAGTTCAGCAAGTTGAAGCCTTACGAGGATTCAGGCGAGTTGAACAGAAAGTGGTGGGACCTTGCGTCGGATTACCAGGACAAGCCGGGTAAATCATATTCAGCCAATATGAAGTGGCTGACAGTATGGAATCAAAAACTGACTAGAATGGGCGAGGAGAGTATTAAGGAGAGAAAAGAGGCGTTACTCGACCGCCTGAAAGATGCTGAGGAATCGACGAAGTGGGCTGAGAGGCAGTTACGGAAAGCAGAAGAGGAAGAAGATTCCATTCGACGGGGGCTGAGTGAGTTGAAGATTGGTGATAGGTAAGTGGGGAAGAGGTTTATCGATGCTGTATTGTAACTTGAATATTTATATGTACCTAGGTAATAGTGTATTGGCAACTAATATAGTTAGGGACTTGGCGTTATATCAATGGATTAAGTATGATCTTGAATCAAGATGTCAGTAAACAAGCCAGTGATGACTTGCTAGCGTACTGTAGCTACAGAATCGAGAAATCTATATGGTTACGTGGTAGACGAATGACATGGAAGTATACTGTGATAACATCCTCGAAATATTGAACGGAAGAACCACCAGAACAGGACTCCGAGTCCATCATGTTTAAGGTTAGATTCTATACCACTCATTTGAAGTGGGAGGGGTTCTGTATGGATGATCCGCTTGAGAAGTCCATCATGGGACGTTAAGCCGACGCCGAGGATAGCCTCAAACGGCCCACGGCCCACGGCTTGGAGCCCGAGAGTGGAGTCGATAGCCTCCGGGGGCCGGCAGGATCAGTGCCGGATAATACGAACAGACCATTCTGCGGACACGGATCGAAGAAGGAGAGTTTCAAACAGAAGGAAAGGAAGAAAAGATGGTCCTTGTCTTGTCGAAAATCTAGTGGTCTTGGCGGTGAAGCTGGGAGCATGTGAGACACTGCCCAAAACTGCTACCGAAGGTCCCCTGAAGAGGAATAGTGTCACCAGCCACTAACCACCGACAGGCTGCAGCTACGTCACCCCTGGTACCAGAGAGAGCTGGGTCTGGACCTTTAGAACGGCTCCAAACAGCCGCAAATGCTCAATTTTCGTCTATCAAACCCTTGTATTCTTGTTTTCTTTTCTTCTTCTTCGGTGTCAGTTTTTGGGAGCTGACTCCAGAGTAAATAACCAATTAATTGATCGTGACCAGGTCGCCCCTTTTTCCAATGAGTGACGTGGGACTGCCCGTACAAGTTCCTGTTTAAACCCTTGATTTCTGGGCGCGGACGCCAGTGACGTTTGGATCATGTAAGGTTAAGAAAGGGAGGGAGTCAGTCTAGTTTAACTGTGGTAGAGATCATGTGGTCCTTTTCTTTTGGCTTGTGATGGCCTTTCTTTTATATGGTTAGTTTATTATTTCCTTATCTTTTCACTTTTATCAATGTCCCTCTTCTGCTCGTATACTTTATCTATTGCTCTTCCAGACCGTTCTTTATCTTCCAACTCAGCACTCGCTTGTAGATAAACCATGTCATTTCGAACGTCAATCAAGCGCATCAGCTACAAACCAGCCAATACGAATAAGTCATTCATGGCACACCCCAAAGTCCCCGATTCCACTAAGCACACTCCCCCTGCTCGTCCCCGCCCTACAACCCCCAGGGCCCAAGCCACAAGCGAACCAAAGCCAGTGACCCTTGGGCCGCTTTTCTTCTTTTGGGAGAGAGGGGAACAATCGACACCTTCCTTGCATCTGCAGCTACGCCTCAATTCTCTACCAATTCCTCTTCCTCGTCTTCTTTTCTTCCCTAATACAAAACCTCTCTTCTACTTTACACTAAAACTTCCATAAACTACGCACCAAACCGGCGACCAACTTGGAAAGTTTGAACCTTTAAAGTCAGAAACCCTTCCCCGCCATGTCCCCCACGACAAACGGCCCGTCTGCTGAGCAGCAGCCTCAACCGCCGCCGTTGCGTTCAGCTCTCAAGAGTGAAGAAGACATTGAACGTCCATGTCCTCCGAGCGGTTCTCTTAAAGGTACGTTATTGATTTTTCATCGCTCAAACGTTGCACCTCGAGTAGTGTTTGACATGTGCGACCATTGCTGCTTTGGCGCAACTCAATCTCATCCTGAGCATATGATGGGATAAAACTCCATGAGCGAGGAAACATTGTCATACAGCCCTTCTCATGCTTCCTTTAATATCTGCCCTTGCACCTTTTACACCCGAGCATATTGAGTTTGCGTGCCGTTACCAAAATATTCAAACAAGGAGTGTAAAGCTCACACACACTAGCAGTACAGATTGCCGAACCTGAGTCCGAAATCCAGACCCTCGAGGATGAGTCGCAGCCCACAAAGCAGTTTTCTACCAACCTTCGGCGGCGCTTGAGCGGCAAGCCTTCGTCTTCACAGCTTCCCAACAGCTCTTCTAGGTCTTCGCTCAGTGACGGTCCTTCCACTGTTCGTGCGCCCGAAGAGGCCCCCCCAACCTCGAACCCATCCTCGCATCACCACCATGGCCACCGACGACAATACTACAGCGAGAAACTTCTTGCTCAGGTAGGAGATTGGCTAGAGCACGAACGTAAGAAATCACATGCCAGGAAATCGAACAAAACGAGCCGGCGGCGCAAGTCTAAGTCGCCGACCAAGGACATCAAAGAGACCAAGGGAAAGAGCATCGAGGGCGCCGAACCCGGACTCCAACTCCAACCCTCCCAAGGATCGGAACAAAGCAGCAATACACGACCTCGCTCTGACTCTACCGACTCTGAATCCAGCGAGATTTCTTTCGATAGACTTCAGCGTATCCTGGAGGATTCGTTGGCTCAGATGGGCATCAACTCGATGCCTCACTTCCCTCCCAAGCTGACCCGCCCAAAGCATCGAAAAGTCCCGTCCCGTTCTTCTCTACGTGGTGGACCATCGTCTGATACCGAATACGCGGATGGTGATGCCATTGTACCTAGCTGTGATGTTTGGCTAGACAACTCCAAAACGATGAGCTATGGCGGCGGCGATGCAGATGCTGAAGATCAGGAAATTAACGATCCCGAAAACAAGATGGACAAAGAGAAGGAGTGTTGGTTCAACTTCAAGAACGAGATCATTCGCATTACCCATACCTTAAGACTCAAAGGATGGAGGCGCATCCCCTTGGGTGGCGGTGACAAGATCTCAGTTGAGAGGCTTAGTGGTGCCTTGACCAATGCAGTCTACGTCGTTACACCCCCGACTGAAATTGATGAGGCGGATGGCAAACGAAAGCCCACCAAGATCCTTTTGCGTATCTACGGGCCACAGGTTGAGCATTTGATTGATCGAGAAAACGAGTTGTCAGTGTTGCAGAGATTGGCGCGCAAGAAGATTGGACCTCGCCTGCTAGGCACATTTCAGAATGGTCGTTTCGAGCAATATTTCGAATCCATCACGCTTACGCCGGCGGACCTTCGAGATGCCGATATGTCTCGCTCAATTGCCAAGCGAATGAGAGAGCTTCACGATGGTATTGACCTTCTCCCGCATGAAAGAGAAGGCGGACCGGCAACGTGGAAAAGTTGGGACCAGTGGCTCGACAATGTCGAGAGGATCGCTAATTACCTCGACAAGGAGTACGAGAAGGAGGTTCAAGGTCAGAACGGTCGACGTGACTCTGTTGTTCATGCTTGGAAGTCACGAGGCTACGTGTGCGGTACTCCTTGGCCTCAGTTCAGGGACATGATGACGAAGTACCGGGCCCATCTCAACAGCTTCTACAAGGGCGGCCAGAGAGATGTCAAGGACAGCCTCGTGTTTGCGCATAGCGATGTGAGTTAAATTGGCACTGCTTCTCACATAAGCCTCGACTAACAACCTTGCAGACGCAATATGGAAATATCCTCCGCATTCGTCCCGATGACGAAAAGTCACCGCTCCTCCAGGCTGCTAACAAACACAAGCAGCTCATCGTCATTGACTTCGAGTATGCCGGCCCCAATACCCGTGGTCTCGAGTTTGCCAATCATTTCAACGAGTGGACATACAACTACCATGATGCTACGGTGCCCTGGGCGTGCGACGTGCGACGATATCCTACACCCGACGAGCAACGTCGTTTCATCAAGGCCTATGTCGATCATCGTCCCCGGTTCCAAGGCAACAACTCCACGCCGCGACTGACTCCCGCCGATAGTAATGTGTCGAGTGGCATATCCACGCCACTTGCGACACCCACTAACCCTCCTGCTAACAGCTCGAGCTCCATTGTCGAATTTATGCTTGACGCACGAGTACCACCGGGAGGATGGAGTGCCGCAGAACGAGCCAACGACGAGCAAAGGGACCAGCGCGTGCGAGAGCTGTTGGAGGAGACCCGACGGTGGCGCCCAGCCAATCATGCCCATTGGATTGCGTGGGGTATTGTCCAAGCCAAGATTCCAGGGCTTGACGATTCTATCAAGGAAGAAGATTTGTTGAGTCCTGATGAGTTCGATTATTTGAGCTATGCCCAGGACCGTGTTATGTTCTTTTGGGGCGATTGCGTGCGTATGGGTCTCGTCAAGTTGGAAGAACTGCCACCTATGCTACAGACGCTGGTCAAAACCGTCGAGTATTAGACGCCGACACTCGCTAAGGGAAAAACATATTGGAAGAGCAAGACACACAATAGTTAGATGTGCTCCGACTAGAAGATTGCGATATGACTGGATATCTTTCTCTCCGTCATTCTGAATATGAGAAGTAGATTCGAGTTTTTCGGCATCGGGAAGCTCAAGATACTAGACTCAGCATTGCAAGACTTGCCCATAAAGAGTGTCCTGCTAGAGAGCGTTCAGAAAATTTCCCAAAGAGTGAGTATTCAGCAAATCAATTAATACCAAAACTTCAGGTCACGGTTCCTTAAATGCATTTTGCGTTTCCTGTATCTCATCTAACGTTGATGTTTATGCTGTGTTTGAAGGAGAGGCCGTTAATCTTTGTAACATGATATATCTATAAGGAATGCTTTATGCATCGAGCTTGAGTCGATCAAGCATGGCATCAATCTTGCGCTGTAGAATCTGGTAGTTGATGGCATCTGAAGCGAACTCGTCTTCTGCCTCGGCTCCATCCAACGTCCGCACAGCCTCTACACCCTTGGCATTACCGTTGCCGTTGACGACTTTGTCATCGTGAGTTTCTTCAGGAACTCCATTCTTTGCATCTGCTGATATCTCTGCCTGTTGTTCCATGGCAGCCGCCAGGTCGACGTCGATTTCCCCGATCTCGTGCATCATCTCCTCGATACCAGCATCATCGAAACGAAGTCTAAACCGATCACCGAGGTAATATCGAATATCGTCCAGTAATTCGATAGTATCCGTCTCTTCTCGCACGGTAATACGCTGGGCTGATTCGGCGATGAGGTTCTGGAAGTCTTCCTCATCTATGTAATCCTCAAGACGATATGCTAGATAACGTGCTGCAAATTCTTCTAGTCGCTGAACACGAAGATCCCATGCAGCGTGGATAACATCGTAGATATTGATGGGCTCCATCTCAATTTGCTCGTCCTCTTGGACACCCTCGCCATTTCTTTGCGACTCTCCGTGGGTGCGGTCTACTAACACGTTGGAAGTGCCGCTGCCCAGAGTGCTAATGGCCAGGGCAGCCTTACTCTTAAGATTATCGAGGAAGAGCATGTCCGCAGCATATAAAAGATCCAGGGCGTGCTCCAATGGAAAAACAGCGGTCTCGGTATATAGGAAGGTAAGTATGATCTCGAGAATAGCAGGCGTACAGTCGATGGTGACGATGCGGAGGTGCTCATCACGCTGGGACTCAACAAAGTCGCCCGAGAACATCTTTTCAAAGTACTCGCTGCGGATAAGCATGGCTTTGTGGGCAGGGTAGAGGACTGATTTGCGCTTGGTGACGGTTTCTTGATCTTTGGCTGGGCCGATAGGTATTGTAGGGGTGTCGTTTATGGGTGTTGCTTGGCCTGAGCTTTCATCCTCAATATCGATGGGCTCGTCGGCGCGGAGGATGACGTCTGCGAACATGGAGTTGTCGTACTTCCACTTGACATCTTTAACCTGATCTGTATCAACGATCATCTTGTTCCCGAGGACGTTCTGGTTGAAGAAGTCCTCGAATTGCCCTCGAGCCCGTTCCACCTCAGCTTGATACCGTTGCCTGGCAAGTCTTCTATCTCCACCTGCAAGGATAGTCTCCCACAGAGACTCGACCTCCAGCTGCTTGCTGACCTTGTCCAAGCCTTTGAGCACATCCTCCTCAGAATCAGCACCGGCGAAAGGAGCGATGTCACGCGGGACTTCACCCAGGTAAAGATATCTTAGAACGATAAGGAACGACTGCACGGGAACAGCGCTGGCGAGCTTCCAGGTGGCCGTTTCAGGAACAGCGGCGAGCTTGGCACGGAAATAAGGAGACCGCGCAACAAGGATGAACTTGTGTAGATCAAAAGAGCGGGAGCCCGAGGCTAAGGTGATATCTGTCGTCTTGGGGCTTGTGCGGCCGAGAAGGGTTGAGATGTGAGTGGACCAGTAGACGTAAGGGTCTGAAGACTTTGAGAAGTCGTACTGGAGAAGAAGATTGCGGATGCGGTCATTGAGGGCGTTGTAAATGCATCGCTCGCCTTGGAATGTGTTTCGTTCTGCGAGAGCGCCTGGGTGAGCGTGTTAGTGGTGTATGAGATTTCATGACTTGCTGTAAGTGAGATTGCACTTGTATCAACAATGATGAATATCGAGCCAACTAAGTAATCACTCACCAGATTCTAACAGCAATTGAACGAGTTCATAGTGTCCACATAAACTAGCCTGCTTGTGTCAGTCTCGCTCATAGACACATATAACTAAAGCACATACAATAATGAGGGGCGTGTAATCGAATCGATCCTTGCCATTGATGTTCACACCCTCGCTAATGAGTTCCTGACATCTTCGCAAATCGCCTCTTCGACATGCCATGAGAAACTCATGAAACTCAGGGCTTTCGTCGAGGGGATTCTCATCGAGAAGGACGCCACTCTCGATGAGGCGGGCTTCTTCGCCGAGTTTGCCCTCGAGTTCGAATTTGCGGAGAACCATGATTGTATTGTATACGAGTATTAGAATCCCTGTATCCTCTTTAACTGTAAGAAAACGATTCTAGGGAAAAGGAAAAAGAAAGTCTTCTAGGTGTGTCTATTGTTATGAAAGAGGTTTATTCTTCTCTCTTTTTTATCTCCGAAACCGCCGCTCGTCTAAGATAGTTCATGATTATCAAAGCATGGAGATCCCCCTCCAAAAAGAAGAAAGTCGCCATCATCACAGCGGGTTTTGCTCAGCCAATCAGAAGCTTCGAGTCTTCGCGTTGATGCCACCACGCAGTCACGTGTCGTCTATTTTTATGTATCTATCGGTGTATCAATATCTGTCTAGATGCATAACATCCAAGACGCCTCGTCTGGTCTGCGTCTTATTGGCAAGCATTTTTCCATGTTGCACTCCGATACGTTAACTTATTTGTTTGTTGAACCGTTTGAGTTTTCTTCAGGCCCGTTACTCCAAAGGCATTTGGTTAATAGAGTAAAATGAGACCGTTTTGAGACGTATCGATAATTCCCCTGCCAAGCTTCTTGCTTAGCTGGCAAATTTGGTTTACACATCCTCCAAATCTCACTCTTTATACAGACCGAAAACATGGGTTCCTTAACGAAGGTCCTGTGTGTGATCTTATTTATCTCGCTCATGGTTTTTGTTGCCTTCTTCGGCCGAATACCAGCTCTAAGGTTAGCATGAGATGTGCATCGTATTTACCAAGGATCCATACTGACTCTAAGGTAGACGAACCCCTATAGCTACGCTGTACAAGCTAATATGGATCAACATACCAAATGGCCTTACGAGGGTGGACCAAGCGGTCACTGGAGGAAGGATATCGAGCTATCTGTCACGGTTCAGCAATCTTATGCTGTATGAGCGACATTGGACTGTTGTGGTGAGTTGTCATACCGTCCCTGCCTTAATAAAACAATGGTAAGCTGACGATCCAGCTCTTCTTTCTGCTCATTATGATAGTGGGCGAGTGCCTGTTTGTTCCTCAAGCATGGCCCCAAATCGGAGCCACTACAAAAGTCGTTGTCGTTATTAGCATTTCTCTCCCTTACATCTTCCTCTATTTGGCATGCGCTGTTGACCCAGGCTATATCACACCTGAGAATCACGCATACCACATGTCGCTGTACCCTTACGATCACACTGTGTTCCATCCGGGGCATATGTGTAAAACATGTGGATTCCTCAAGCCTCCTCGCTCCAAGCACTGTAGTCTTTGCAAGCGCTGCATTGCCAAGGCTGATCACCACTGTGTCTTCATAAACTCATGTGTTGGTTACGGGAATCAGCACTGGTTTATCCTGCTGCTAGCATCTACCTCTTTTCTGTGCACTTATGGTGGCATCCTGGGAATGTCCCTCATCACAGTTCGGGTACAGAGATATATCCCTGGCTGGTCCGTATGGAAACCTAGCCACATGACCATCAATAAGTATTTGGCCGGTTGGGGATGGGGAATTGAAGACAACGTCAACATGGGAGCCTCGTCGCTCCTTGCAGCTCTTACCTCTCCGCTCGTTTGGGGACTTTTCTTTTACACCCTCTACCTTGTCTACTGCGGCACCACAACGAACGAGACCCTCAAGTGGTCAGACTGGAAGGAAGAAATGCGCGAAGGCTTTGCATTCCGTCGATCTATGTCTGCATTTCGTCCGAGGAACGAACAAGTTGAGCCCCCTTGTCCGCGTTGGCCCCTCGAGGTCAAGCAGATCATCGTCACCACACAGGATGGTCAGCCTCCGAAGAACGACCGTCTTCCGGGAGAAGGCCAGTGGGAGCGAGTATGGAATCTGAGTGACGTCGAGAACTTGTACGACATGGGATTCTGGGATAATATGGTCGACGTTTTTGTGCCCGATTATACGTATGGGCAAAATATTGATGAGCCCAATGCAGAAAGACGTCGAAGGAGATGAAAATATGTATGTGGACAAGATGTTACATGTTAGCCAATAGATCATAGACCCCGGCCAAATTTCTCTCACATGCCAGCTGACAACGAATATGGCCCTGCTACAAGAAGAGAACAAATGGGTATGGTTTCCAAATACTGAGTAGCTGAGCTTGACAGCTGGTGTTACAATTATTGTCTGTCAAGTCACATTTATACCACATGTCTATCCGCAAACTGTATCCATTGATGCATTATTTCGTTTTTACGTCGCTCATGATATCGTAACCACACGCTCCTAGGTCTTGCGTAGACCACCCAAGACGACGTTCGCCCTCCTCCACCACGGCAGCGACTATACAGCCCCCGTCACTACCCTCATCTAGAGAGCGCATTGATTCTTAAGTATTGATTCACCCAGCCGTAATCAACTCCACGACTCCTATTTCTTATATCTCTTACAAAAGGGTGCCGAAGCTACACACAGACAGTCAGTAACAGTATGTGCACGTGAGAACAGCAGATATAACTTACCCGAAAGTCTGCTTGATGCTCTTGACGTAGTACTCGAGCCAGTTGCGCTTGGTCACATCCTCTTGGCCGATAGGAACACCCTCCCACTTGACTCGCATAACGGTAACGTGGTCAACGTCGTTCTGGTCAAACTCGATGTGGAGCTTGGAGAAGTGGCCAGCGGGCCACTGGTTCAGTCGCCAGCTCTGGGTGATCTTCTTGGGCTCCTCAAGCTCAAGGTACTCGCCAGACACGTTTCCGCCAAACAGCTCGAACTTGCCACCGACCTTGGCACCATCGAAAACCTTGGGAGGGGATCGTGTGAAAGCAGCGATCCGTTGAGGATCGACAAAAGTCTGGTACAGCTCCTCGGCAGTGGTTCGGAACTCTTCGTTGTCAGTCACGGTAGTGGTGTTTACGACACCGCCAGAGTTGGTCTGGCTGCTTGAAGTGGCAGCAGGCTTAGGGGTAGAGCTGGGGTGGACCTTGGGGGTCGAGAAACCGCTCGAAGGGTTGGAGCCTGGGGCATGCTGGATATCCTTGCCATGCTCGGCGATGAGGGCGCCGGCAAGCTTCTGGAACTCCTGACGCAGCTGGGGCACAATCTTTGATCGGACAAGGTCCTTCACGGGCTGCTTCTCCTTGGACTCGGCAAAGATGTCTACGTCAAACTACGATGGATCTTAGCTGGTTTATTCTACGGCAACACGGAAGGCGAAAGAGCAGGGGAGGTTTTACGTACCACGTACTCGTCTTCTTCCGTGTCGTGGGCGATCTCAGGCACGGTAATAGTGCCAGAAACATCATCCTCACCGGGAGCAGATCCTGTTAGGTTAGTTGTTGTGTTCGCAGCCTCAATCACCGTACTCCCTTACCAGAATATTGCAGGACCATCTTGACGTCAAAGATGGTAATCACCTTGCCTTTACGTTGGCTGACGTCAACATCACCGTCCATGCTCTGGATCTTATCAATCTTGGCCTTAACCTCGCCATCCTCAGCTTGAACCTTTGTCAGGCTCTCGTCAAAGTAGGACCTGGCCCATGCCGAGACGTCCTTGTTGACCCAGTGCCAGTTGTTGGGGTTGTGCAGAACCATTGTGAAGTCGGTCGGGGCGCAGTTACTATATGACTTTTGGAAGCTGTTAGCTTTGGTTCAAGCAGATAATGAACAAGTGTGCAAAAGTAGAGGATCGCAATTGGTATCAGATATGGTCTTAGACCACAGCATATAGGTCATCAATGAAGGGAGTACAAGTCACTCTATGACTGGTGCCAGCTGGATAATTCATCATAAAGATGCGATGTGTGCAAGGAGTGTGTGTTTTGTGGTATACTTACAAATTGAGATGCGAAGATGGTATAGAGAAGAGATAGAAAAGGAAGAGAGAACGTGGTGCTTGATATCTCAATAAATAGAAAGAAAAGAAGAAAGCAGAGCAGAAAAGGGCTGAATATGAAGAGTTGAAGGAGAGGAGAGTTTGTTGGAGAAGAAGCCTCTAGAATTTTACTCGAGCCCACCTTTAAGCTAGCTTCAAGTGGGGCTCATTTCACAGCAAAGCCAAACCAAACCAAACCAAACCAAACCAAACCAAACCAGCCTCGTCATTTTCAGAGCCAAACCTCTTCAGCCTCGGCAAAATTATTCTCCATCTCGATAGGTTTGTAAGAAAGCGGAATGGATTTGTAGCGACTCCGTGAGTTATCGTCAAATATGACATGAGTCGATGCGCATATTCCCTTCCAAGGAAAGAAGTTTGATGATGTTTCTCATCGTGGTCGGCTTTGTACGAACGGCAAGTTTGCAAATCCAGGGTGGATAATTGTCGTTGCGAATTGATGTTTAACGAGATTGTCCTTCAACTGCTTTCGAATTGAGTTCAGCGGACGGACAATGTTAGCAACAACCGTGAGTCGAGAAAGTGAGCTCATCAAGTTTCGTCTTGACCACTAAACGTTGCAAGTTGAAATTGTCATCTCGAATGCAATGATGTTGATTGACAAAGAGGAGAGAAACCAGGTATGACAGGCGCTGGTCGAGTCTTAATATTGCCGTCACATAACTTGCCTACCCTGATGCACACTACGCCATCAATTATCAAGAGTCGAGACTCAATGCGCATCTTGGCCTGAGGCTGCTAAGTTGGAGCTACCTGGGTATCCGTAGAGACACACAATCTTTATCTGCTCGCTCAACAACAGTGGTCCACTTTCATAGCTCCCGTCACACTTGAATGGTTAAAGACATCCACATCGTCAATGCCTCTATTGTATCTGTACTCCGTATAAGAGTATAATTAACTATAACTGAGACTTAGATGTTGACCGTCTTTAAATTCAGTGTGCCATATGCTCTGCAAGGGCCATGACCAGCCAAGTACGTACTTGATCTTAATGTAGCGATGAAAACGAGCATCAAACTTAACATCAGCCCATCAAACCCCCCTTGCACACGGATCTAATGCAACAGTTCGATCCGGCCATGCTGGGTAGCATTGAGCATGCATATTCCAAAGCGAACGGCTTTTGGTCATGAGCCCCAAAACCAAAAGGAACAAAGAGAAATGTGACAGGCTGCGAGGGACGTCCATTAAGCGCCGGCATCCACACCCAACCCGCATAGTCAATCCCTGTTGACCAATGACAGCAGTTGATGGTCAAGGGGAGGACTCTAAGAATAGAACCACGATGGACTGCTCCAACTCTGCAAGTCTATTCCCAACCTTTCCAGGCAGTGGGGTCCAAGAGGGGGACAGTTGAACGTCCCTCATGGTGATAGGCAAAGAGAGCAAAGCAAGCAGTCTGGTTGAAGATCGAAAGTGTGTGTATATATGGGTGCTTACAGTAATCAAGATGCCAAGAGAAGCAACACTCAACTCCATTAGCGTCTATCGTCGGTCTTCAAGAGGATCCTCGAGGATCTACAGATACTAAACTAGGATACAATAAGAACGCCATCTTTCAACTTTGTCAGCTGAGTTGCTTGATAACTAAGTTAGAACAGGAAGAAGCGGTCGAAGCGAAGATACCACCAAGCTAAGAATAATTCCCCTCAATGCGTACTCAGTAGCGTGTAGATCTTCCCTTGCACCTTGCCATTGCTCATCCATCAACTATCCATTGACCCTGGGCTGTTTGTCCCACACTCTGATAGCATCCGTGAGTCGGTTCGACAACCCCAGTGACTCCCCCCCGGTAGGTTTCTGTAGGCAGGGCTTGGCTCTCCGGCAATAAACTGAAAGCAGTTTCATGTTTATATCTCACTTTTACCATCTTCCGACCTAGGTAGCTAACTTACAGTCCTTATTTAGTTACTTTCTCCCGCTGACACCGCCAAAAGAAACTGAGGTGTCGTGATTTCGACTTTACGCAGGGGTCTATGAGCTGTTGCTACTACCGCATCGCTCCTGCTCCTGCCTGTACATCCTTTTCCCATTACAGAGCCCCCTCTCCCAAAAAGTTCCCATCCCAACCACTCAACCTCTTTTCTCACCTTCTTGCATCCTCAATCACATTTCTATTTTAATTTCGCCGGTTTCGCATTGGAGGGCGTATTCATCCTTCTCGCCGCATAGACGTGGATGGCCTGATGAGAGGTATTTCCTTGTCAATTGGCCTACAGCTTCTTTTACACGCAGAGCCTCAGCTACAGCTACGCCTGCAGTACGGAGTACCTGGTGTCGTTTCCAAAACACGCGCCCACCTCAAACAGCTGAGTCGGGTCACAGCAAGTAATCGACATCTTAGTCCTTGTCGTCTCGGCCTTTGCCTCGATTTTGTTCCCACTGTCTAGATCCTCACCTGAGCGTCGACTCACCTTGACTTCTCGCACGCGCCCGCCACCCCGCGGATCCATCCCAGCACCCCACGTACCAGAACCAACCGACCAAAGAGACGGCGCTGATGCGCAGCTGTCTCAAGACGTCCCTCGTCTCTTGTGGTGTTGTGGCTGCCACAGGGACCCTGGACCTGGCGGTCGAGTGAATTCTAAATCTATAGTGGCCTGGCCCATTTGATCTCTCATCATGGCTTCTCGTGATCCGGCGCGACTTCGCCAGGGACTTCATCCTCTCACGACAACATCAGCAGGCGGCTACAACGGTCCTCTCCATACGCCCATATCTGCCGTCTCCATGACCTCGAGCCATTACCATTCTGCTGCCCAAACGCCTGGCAGTAGTATACAGCCTTATAATCCCCAAGAATGGGCCCCTACACAGTCTGCCGTTGCCGAGCGTGCTGTTCAATATGCAGGCGAGGTTCAAGGCAAGTAGCTGACTATATCAACACTTCATGTTATCTCTAATATTCTAACATGGTCCAGTGTCGCCGGTGCCTCCCCCGCCATACAGTCCGCCTAGAGGTCAACAACATCGTCCCATAAGTACAGTCTTTGACTCTTCGCCTGCTGGAACTCCGACTCCGCCGCCTAGACTAAGCACCATGATGCATCGGCCGTCTCCTGAACCGGCCAATGCATCTTTTCCTCCTCCCCCGGGGACGCAGGGGCGCAACGGTTCACGCGATCGCCGCTTTCTTCCAACATTGGGCCGTCGTAGAGATACCGATACCTCGAGCACTCCACCACCTCAACCTCCACCGCCTCCTCCTCAGAGCCATCGTCAGAGTATGATAGTGCAAACTTCGTTTCACCATCCCACTCCGGAATATGGAATGGCTGGTGTCATGTCGCATGGGCCCCCAGCAGCCCGAAGAGCCGTTTCTGCTGGGGCCGTTGAGACACCCACATCTGCTCGCTCACGATCAACCTCTCAGTCTAGATGGGAACCAGGCATGCCTCTTCCACCGCCGCCTCCTGGTCCCCCTCCCCCTTCCTCAAGTAGATCACAAAGCGTGCAGTCCATGGATAGGAATACAGTTCCCATCATATCTCCTCCCATGAAGAGACGCCAACCGCCGACTGGTGTGACAAATCTTGGGCCTGTTCCTCCAACACCTGCGGACTGGAATGAGAATGAAAGCCAAGCAGGGCCGTCAAATCAGAGACGATCACCTGGTCTCACCATTGATACTTCATTAAGTTCCAGTGCACCCGTTGAGCCTGCTCTTGGCTCGTCATCAAGTATCAACGGTCTCAACCGACAAAAGGCGGTACGACATGATAAAACTATTCTTCAGCGAAGGACTGAAAGCCGAACGAGACACAGCTTCCGTGAATCGATAGATGAACGGACGCGACCAGATTCAATGGCGGATATAATGGTACCGAATTCCACTGATCTGTCGCGGACGTCAATTGGCAAATCGACTCCCCTTAGTGATACACTTACATCACAAGATTCTCGAAACTCAACCCCCAGGGCTCCAGGGTCAGGGAAGCTACCTCAAGAAGCAGAAACGCCACCTTTCTCTCCCCATGCTTTCCAACAAGCACAGTACGGAAGCAGCTCAAAAGCGGTCGCTCCCAAAGCACTGCCTACTCCACCTCCTCGGTCTGGTTCTATTGCATCAGTCTCACGAATACGGGAGTCCTCTCGGCCCCCTTCAGCCGGACTCGTAGTTTCAAAACACCTAATCACAACACAAACTGCCGATCAGTTTGCAGAAGGAACTATCGATCGATTTCGCGAGTTTGCCATTAAGGAGTCGAGCGCCACTACTGACGCGGACCGGGTACGCTTGTTTGCTGATTTTGTGGTCAATGAGTCGAGAATCAGACGGGAAAGGTACTCAACCGCTATTGGAGCTATGGGCTCTGAAATATTTGACCTTACTCGAGATCTTTTCCGCCCAATGGTTTCCCAGAGGCGAGAGTCAGCTTCTTCACAAGATCAATGGACTCCTGGCTTGTCTGAGCCAGGTCCATCTCGTCGAGGCTCTGTGGGCTCCAATCTAGGAGAGAGCCCTCAGCCGACCACCAAATCAGCCAATGTTCCCACATCGCCCAGCGGGAATAACCCCCCGAACTTGAATTGGTCTGGCAATTACATGCCGTCACTATCGCCAATCCTGAGTATGAGCGTCAGCGAAAACTATGAAAACGGTAGCTCTCGAGGTCGCCCTCCAAGCCGTTGGTGGGAATCAGACTCACAAGGCGAAGCATCCCACCTTGGAAGATCTAAGAGAGAATCCAAGTACATGGGTGTGACCAAGACGCAATGGGTTGAGGAGGATCGACCACCTGTGGTGTATGAAGAACAAGTCCCGTCATCTGAATATCCGCCTGAAAAGACGGGCTGGCATGATCAGTCAGAGCCTAGTCTCACACCTCAACCATTTGGCTTCCCTGCCACCTCAAACATGAACTCGAGTCCATGCTCAACTATCAACCGCGACCACTTGGATATCTCTCGCCTCGTTACGATGCCTCCTCCTTACCCGAGGCACCATCCTGCTGTCAACAACAAACACCCTGAATTGACTTCTATCAGAACAGCAGTGCGAGCTCTGAGTCAACTTGATGAAATCACCAAGACAAGGGAGCGATTTGCTGTTGAGAGCACCAAGCGCCGGGAACAATTTTCCAAAGCAGCGACCGACCGTCGTCAGGCCTTGCGGGCAAACTTGCAAAACGAGATTAACTCTGGCAGTTTGAGTTATGCAGATGCAGGAGCTATTGACGCCGACGCGAAAGCCAGTGAAATAACGAAGAAAAAGGAGCTGGAGAAATCGGAATACGAGTTGTTCCAGAATCAGGTGGTATTGCCTCTGAATGAACTCTTGACAGGACGTATTGCGCGCGCCACAGAGTTGTTCGACGATCTAGCCCAACACCTGTTCGATAACGGACAGATCGATGCCGACATGCCGCAAGAAGAAGGCGATGATAGACCCGAGCTTCTAGAGAAGTTGACTCTACTGAAGTGGGTATTCGAGGCGCGTGAGGGCCTGCACCGGGCTATTTACGATATCCTTTCGGATCGTAACGGCCGATATTGCGAGGTTGTATTGACCCCCTACCGGCTTTCCGGAAACACCGAGAAGCTCAAGTCAGCAGAGACTTTTTTTGCGGAAGACTCGGCAAAACGCGAATATGCGTATGCTCATGAGGTTCTGGAACGAACACGAGACTTTCGAGAAGTAGTCGAAAAGGCTGTGGACCATGGTGTTGCACTGCAGCTGTCAGCATTCTGGGATATTGCACCTCCGCTTTGCGAGCTTCTGGACAACATCCCTTCGGACCTAGACGGATTTAATATTCAGATTCCAACGTCGGAGATTGAAGAAAATCCGTCATACATTGAGCATCCGATGCAGTATCTGTTCAGCCTGTTGCTTCACGCCGAGAAAAGCACATACCAATTCATCGAATCGCACACCAACCTGCTCTGTCTGCTTCACGAGGTCAAAGAGGCAGTGGTGCATTCTAAAGGGAAGGTGCTCGAAACTCAGACCCAGGATGAGAAGGGGAACCCAATTCCGAAGGCCGATAGTAATGCGCGAGCGCAGCAGATGAGAAAGGCAGAAGAACGCCGACTTACCGAGGATCTGAAAGAGAAGGTCCGTCTCGTGCAAGACCAATGGAAGAGCGCACTGGGTGAGAACATTACTCTCGTGAAGGAGCGCCTAGGAGAATGGTTGTTGCAGATGGGCGGCTGGGATGAGTCGTTAGAAGATAGAGGCGTGGGCAGTGTTTAGGAGTGCTAGGAAAGTGAGTCGCTCTTGATGTTGATGTTGATACCCCTAAGCCAAACGGGCTTGATCCTTGAAACGATATTATTCTGTATATATTTTTGGAATCTGGACCAAATGTGTCCCTTGAATGAATGAGAAATGATGATGAATGTTTGTTTGATTCTTAGTAATCGAGTGATGCTTGGGTATTGCGTCTCTTATCTGTTCCATACACTTATTCGTACATTTGGCGTGTGAGCTGGCTGTATTTGCCCCCCTCCTGGATATGTCCGCCGGTTCCCCTTTTGACTATTTTGCGCCTTTTGTCTCATTCCTGCATCTGCAAACCATATGTTCTCGAGATTGGTCGGGACTGGGTGTCGCAGTTGCTGTGGATCGGCTTTGGTGTGATTGTTCAAGCCTTAATGGCCCAACCTGGCCGTCAAAGTTTCCCTCCATTGATTTTTCTGATTCTTCGTTTCCAAAACGCATTCGATTTTACTTGTACTCAACCGGGAGATCCATACCAACCCTCCGCGCGGTCAAGCGAACACGCTCCTCCTCATCCATACCCATGCCAGGGTTATACCGCTCGAGTAACGTGGCGTACATGCGCTGAGATCGAAGATAGGCTACAGCCTGGGCAGCAGCTTGGGCGCGGGCTTCTTGCGGTGTGGCAGCGGCAGCGGTAGCCTTGGAACCGGAAGCGAAGGAGTCTCTAATGCGAGTGTGTATATGAGAGCGCGGTGAGGCGAGGATGGGTCGCGGTGGGAGCTCACGGAGGAGGGAGCGGTAGAGAGAGCGGAGGGAGGCGGGAGAAGAAGCCATCGTTATGCGTTTTCAGGTTGGTGTTGGATATAAAGAGGATGGTGTTGAATGTGATGGAAGTACTCCGTAAACTAAAGATGATGGATGGATTGAACGGACTCCAGTGCGTTGATGCTTGAAATGCTGAGCCAATCGGATGGTTCCGCTATGGGCAGGGGAAGAAAATGTTAGCAGATGGTGAGAAGAAAATGCCCCTCATTCATATGGGAGACCGATGGCGGGGCAGAGCAGAACAGAAGTAGACTTGAGGAAATATAGGTCCATTGTGAGTGTATTTAGGCATTTATAGGCCTGAAAACACTATACATATAATTTGTTTGCGAAGCTATATATAATCCATGCTTCTGTTTATTCCTCTTGTCCAACCATCATCTCCATAGGTAGGAACTCTCCATTTCAGTTGCAATTACGCCATAGCAAGGTAAACTTGGGGAACCTCAGCTGCTTCCACTTCTTTCCCTCCATTCCCATTCTTCCTCACTCAAAGATCAACAGTTCAATCAAATCCACAATCCCACTCAATCCTAGACCCGGTAACTCGCCATTCACTTGTTGTAAGCTCCGACGACCCGCCCGACGACCCGTAAGAGACCAACCATAGAACAATTGCGCCATCCCACGTTACCTACAAATCTTGTACTGTGTTTTCGCCTTGCATGTCCAGCGCTACTAATCCTCGTCCTCGTCCTCGTACCCCTACTACTTCAAAGTCTTTCTCCTCTAGATATCTCCTCCTCTTTCTATCAACCCTCATCCTGGCTATCTTTCTCTCGCCGTCCTTCATCCCCCGTCTCCGCCAACTCTCTTCCCATCTTGTCATCCTGCAGCGACCACTCACAACTATGGCATCCCCATCTTACGCCTCGGAGCTTCAGATCGCTCAGCTGGCCGTCCAGCGCGCCACTATCCTCACAAAGCGCGTCTTCCACGAGAAGGCAAAGGGTACCGTCGACAAGAACGACAAGAGCCCCGTTACCATCGGTGACTTTGGCGCTCAGGCCCTCATCATCGCCGCCCTCCGCCACAACTTCCCCGACGACGCTATTGTCGCAGAGGAGGAGGCTGCCGAGCTTCGCAACGACGAGAACCTCAAGAAGACTATCTGGGAGCTCGTCAGCTCTACAAAGCTCGACGACGACGACGCTGAGAAGAAGCTCGGCGGTCCCATCAAGGATGTTGACGATATGCTTGAGTTGATCGACAGAGGTGGCAGCCAGGGCGGTTCAAGCGGTCGCATTTGGGCCATTGACCCCATTGACGGCACAAAGGGTTTCCTCCGTGGTGGACAATACGCTGTCTGTCTTGGTCTTATGGTTGATGGTGACGTAAAGGTCGGTGTCCTTGGTTGCCCTAACCTTCCTGTTGACGACTCGGCTCGTCTGACATCCGACATCGGCGCCAATGCCACTGACGAGGGTCGTGGTGTTGTCTTCTCTGCTGTCCAAGGTCACGGTGCCACCAGCCGTCCTCTCACTGCTGGTGCTCTCACTGCTGAGAAGTCAATCTCCATGCGAAGCCTTGATGACCTCTCAAAGGCCACATTCTGCGAGAGCGTTGAGGCTGGTCACTCAGCCCACGACGACCAAGCCCTCATTTCCAGGAAGCTTGGTATTACTCAAGACAGTGTTCGTATGGACAGTCAAGCTAAATACGGTTCCATTGCCCGTGGTGCCGGCGATATTTACCTTCGCCTGCCCGTCAAGGCGACATACCAGGAGAAGATTTGGGATCACGCTGCCGGCGACCTTATTGTTCGCGAGGCTGGTGGCCAGGTTACTGATATCCATGGAAAGCGTCTTGATTTCACCGTCGGACGCACTCTTGCCAACAACAAGGGTGTTATTGCTGCTCCTGCTGCTGTCCACGGCAAGGTTCTGGAGGCAGTTCAGGAGGTTCTCAGTGCCAAGCAGTCATAAGAAAGAAACAGCGCAGGAAATGAAAAGGAAATGACATGATTTGAATGAAAGCGAAGAACCAAAAATCATAAAAGTAGTTTTGTATATGCCTTGACAGATAGTACACATTCTGTACACGATGCTAGAATACACACGCCAGCTGCGTCCAATAGGCCACCGAGGTGGCCATTGCAATCCCCAGATATCGTCTCTTTCTCTATTTGATCTTCTTCTGCTTCAGCCTGATCGTCTGGTCATTGATAAACACACCCTTTCCCTTGTAAGGCTCCGGAGGACGCCACATGCGAACTCGTCCCGCAAAAGACATGATAGTCTCGCGGTCAATGCCCTCGATCAGGATACGTGTAGGCGCAGGAGTCGTAACAGTGACACCTCGAGGAATACCCTCCTCTACAGGATGCGTAAAACCCAGCTTGAGGCACAAGAAGCGCTGTCCGGGGTATTCCTCCTTAGCACCTCGCTCTTCGACGCTGGCTCGATATCCAACACCCACGAGACGGAGAATGGCCGTGTGGCCTTCTGAGACACCCATGATGTAGTTCTTGAGGTAAGACCATGTTGTTCCTATGTAATTGTCAGTCCCACTTGCATCCGAGATGATGACAGCCCGATGAACCTACCCCACATTGCCTTCTGGTCCTTGGCTTCGTTGTCCTGGACACTCAACAATACCGACTTGGCCTCAGGGTCCTGTACCAATTCCACATATTCGGGAACCTCAAGATCAAGCGCTCCTAATACTCGGTCAGCGATTGCCCCTCCGCCGGTTCATGAAGCTTTCCAACGCACCCAGCGGTCCCTTAACATTTATGGTCTTCCTGTAAACCTTCTTATACGACGTCAAGTCCCTGCGCGCAGTCGGCTTTCCAACTGACAGCTCCACACCTGGAGGGATCGATAGGGGAGTTCGGCCCAACTTGGAGGGTCGCTTCGAAGTCGTTGAGAAAGAGGCGGCCGTGGCTCGGGGTGCTGGCGTATTGGCAGACGTCGCCTGCCATGCTGGCACTAGGAACCCAGGAAGGGTAACAGGGCCAGAGGACGAGGCCTTAATGGCACGTCCCATCGCCTTCCCCCGGCTGGGAGTAAACATGGCAGCCATTGGTGTCGATATGGCTGTCGTGGGCGTGCTGCAATGCTGCTCATCGAACGAGGTTGACAAGCCGATGGAGCTCAACTTTTTGCGCTTAGTCATGAGATCCATCACGTGTTTCTCTACTACAGCTCCCGGACAGCGGAGCCCGACCACCATCATTGAACTTGATTTCCATCAATCAATCGATTTAAATTTAAAACCGTCACACATCTTGAACAACTTGAATTCGTAAAGCCAATTATAGGTTCACAGTGACTAAGAATTGAATTCGTACAATAGTACTCTTGGGAATTTCGTTCGGCTCATACATCTATCGTGTACTGCCAGTTTTGAGGATATCTTAACCCCAGAATTACAATGACTACACCCGGAAATGAAGTTGCAGGCCCGCTATACAACAGAGACAACATAGCGACCAATGAGTTCAGTACAGGCGTGTACCTTACTCCTCGCCCTCAGGAAGTTCCTCCTCGTACTCTTCCTCCTCCTCATCAATACCAGCATCCTGGTACTGCTGGTATTCAGAGACAAGATCGTTCATGTTAGACTCAGCCTCAGTGAACTCCATCTCGTCCATACCCTCACCAGTGTACCAATGCAAGAAAGCCTTGCGTCGGAACATAGCGGTGAACTGCTCGCCGATACGCTTGAAGAGCTCCTGAATAGAGGTGGAGTTTCCGATAAAAGTAGAAGACATGGTAAGACCACGAGGGGGAATGGCACACAGAGCGGTCTGGATGTTGTTGGGAATCCACTCGACGAAGTAAGAGGAGTTCTTGTTTTGGACGTTTCGCATCTGGTCCTCGACCTCCTTCATGGCAACGCGACCACGGCTGTAACAGTTAGCAATGTATTCACAAAAGAATAAGATCAGATGCACTCACAAGATAGCAGAGCAGGTCAGGTAACGACCGTTGCGGAAGTCGGAAGCAGCCATCATGTTCTTGGGGTCGAACATCTGCTGAGTCAACTCAGGAACGCTGACAGCGCGGAAGGAGTGAGCACCACGGCTGGTCAGGGGGGCAAAGCCGACCATAAAGAAGTGCAGACGGGGGAAAGGAACCATGTTGACGGCAAGCTTTCGGAGGTCAGAGTTCAGCTGACCAGGGAAACGGAGACAGGTGGTGACACCGGACATAACAGCGGAGACGAGGTAGTTGAGGTCACCGTAGGAGGGGTTAGACAGCTTCAAGGTTCGCATGCAAATGTCGTAGAGGGCTTCGTTGTCGATACAGAAGGTCTCATCGGAGTTCTCGACCAGCTGGTGGATGGAGAGAGTGGCGTTATAGGGCTCAACGACAGTGTCGGAGACCTTAGGGGAAGGAACAACGGAGAAGGTGGCCATCATTCGGTCGGGAAACTCCTCGCGGATCTTGGAAATGAGCAGCGTACCCATACCAGCACCAGTACCACCACCGAGGGAGTGGGTGATCTGGAAGCCCTGGAGGCAGTCGCAGCCCTCGGCCTCACGGCGGACGACATCGAGGACCTGGTCGACGAGCTCAGCTCCCTCGGTGTAATGACCCTTCGCCCAGTTGTTTCCAGCACCAGACTGGCCGAAAACGAAGTTGTCGGGTCGGAAAAGCTGACCGAAAGGACCAGCGCGGACGGCATCCATGGTACCAGGCTCCAAATCGACGAGGACGGCACGAGGGACGTACTTGTTGCCGGAAGCCTATGTGCGTCAGCCTACAGTTTTCGTGGAATCAACTGTCTGCAACATACCTCGTTGAAGTAGACGCTCATGCGCTCGAGCTGAAGCTCCGAGGTGCCGTTGTAGACACCATTGCTGTCAAGGCCATGCTCGCCAGAGATGGTCTGCCAGAAAGCAGCACCAATTTGGTTACCCTAATCAACATTGTTAGCACCCCTCATATATGACATTGGAGCAACGAGTACTTACGCACTGACCGGTCTGAAGATGAACCTATTGTAAAGAAAAGATTTGGTTAGTCTCATGTTCCAGCACAAGGTTGATCAAGCTCAAGCTGCAAGCTATCGTGCATTGTTGTTGAGCTGCTACCACCCAGCGGGGTAGAATCAGGGGCGCAAAGGCAGTTTCAACGCGCAGCAACACAACAAACAGCTTGGGGGATCATGTACTCACAATCTCACGCATTTTGACGAATCTGGATGGATAGAATCTGGAGGAGTGAAGAGAATGAGAAGAGAATTGGGTCGAAGTTGTCGAGAGCTGAAGTAGCCTTAGCTTTCACGAAGGAGGACGAGAGTGGGTTGGGAGAGGCAGGACCAAGGGGAATGTTGATTTTTGTTTGGAGGGTGAAATTGTTCACCGCCACGGCTTCAGGGCCCGGCAGGGGGGTAGACAAGGGGCAGGGCGGTTCTTTCCAGGCAATTGGACCAGTGAGCACCCTCCCGTGTTTACTCTGTGGTCCGTGCGCGCGTCTAGAAGGGCAAGGCGCCGCCTGAAGGGTCCCCGCAGTGGCAGGCACGCCAATGCTACTCCACTTGCCAGTGCCGTTACGGATGGCAGAATCGGAAGCTCAAGACGAGGCAATGGCAGAACATCTCGAGATACCTACTTGACGGCAGAGTTTCTCTAAACTGGTGAAATGAAAACGGCATTTCAAGCTACCCCCAATTATACAACTAAGTTCTATTCTTCAGTCGTTGGCAAAGCTATTTCCACAGACCGTTAAGGCCAGCCACGTCGGAGTTGGTATGCAGAAGATCACCAACTGACGGGGGGTGCCAGCAAAACCGCCCCACCGGTAGGTAATTGACGATTTGGCCATCCGAGATGAACATGCTACGTAAGAACGCCTTGGGGCGATCAGCATTTCAACATAAGGCGATCATAAAGCGAGAGATAAGCCGAGGATGGACTGCTGAGCCCAAGATGCGTAATTGGAAATAGGTCACCGCCCATCGAGGCTCCAATTAATAGCAATAAACAGCGACCTGATACGGATACTACATTTTAAGTACCAAAACTCACTTGCACCCATTCGACAAAAGCCAACGTACGGATACTCAGCTCTATTATATCAAGGTTGACTAATAAACGGGCTTGAGTGGAGGCGGAATCTTATTTATTATTGGCATAATTCCCTGTTTTATGTCAAACTCCATGAAATAGTCAAGATCACTTGAACTCTGCTCGTCCGGGTACTGGCATCTCCTCCCTTGAACTTGTCGTACTTACACCGACACCAGGGCCTTGAAACTTCTTTTACCGCCTTCCAGCATCGGTAGCAAACCTAGACACTCATTTAAGCGAATTCGTCTACCTGTCTTATCATATCACGGGACTGTAGTCCTGTGATTGGTGCCTCCTTGTCTAGCTGTGAGGGAGTCTAAGTGGTGTGTTTCCCGTGGTATAGGCTTTGGTTTGGTTCCACTGCGACACAGATGCCATCTTGTAATTACTTTCGATAATACATATTGACGTGGAAATGGTGCATCTAAAAGAGGAAGAGCAGGTATTTATATGCATCGTAGATTCAAAAGGCACGACAGTAGTAGTTGAACGATTCTGTTGGATCCCACCTTGAGAGCTTAACGAAAGTGGTTGTAGTCATCTCTGCATTTCAGATACAGCCTGAAGACCTTCTCCCAAGGCATAACACATCTACACAGTTGACCTGTAGAAATAATCAGGTTGCCTTCATCTCTCGTAATTCGTGATCCCTCCAAATACAAAGGAACTCCTAGCTCTGCGGAACGACGGCCAACTCCTCCTTCACCGAATGCCTTGACTTCTTTAAAAGTTCTGTTCCTCGCAAGCCATGCTCATCCTCGCAGCGACTTCACTCATCCGAAGTGTACTGCCAGAACTCATCTCCGTTCGTGTTGTTGACATGAACAAGCTTCGCAATCTTAGTGCCGTAGGCATCGGTGCCATCGTCTCCAACTCCGCGTCGGGCCTTGCAGTCTTTGCACTGCTTGAAGCCCACTTCGTTGAATGATCCGCAGGTGCTGCCGTCGTGGAGGGCTTGGTTGCACTTCCAGTAGAGGAGGTTGTCGCGGACCTTGAGGGTTGGCCTGGTTTTCTTGCCCTCGGTGACAGGCTCAGGTTTCTTAGAGATGGGGGGTTTCTCGGGATTCTCAGATGGATCAGGATCAGACATATCCATGTCGATGACGGCTTTTGTGTCGATAATGCCTTCCATTTTTAATTGGCTTCGTGGTGATTGTGTGAAGAGTAGAAGAAAGATGTTTTTGGGTTATTAGTTCTTAAGCTCAGGGAGGGAGCCGTGTGCAGTGAAAAGTGTTGCGGAAAGGTTATTCAAAGTTTATAGGAAGCAAAATACAAATATGCAAATATCACAATAGAACTGGTGTGGGCTATAGGCTTATTGTTCCTGTCAGAAGCGCATTGTAGCCTATTCATCGAGGCTTCTATAAAATTTGCCCCGAGACTATTTATCGACATCAAGGTAACACCAAACACAAACAATGCATCAGCAATACTGGGGTTGGACAATGCGAACTAAATACTGATAGTTCAGTTCTGTCACAAGGTCAATACTAAATAGACTAAAGTATAATTAAAATCCACAAGATGGAAGCTTTGGGTGACGAGAGTAGCATAGGGAAATACCATGATAGATACTAAAGTAACAGACAAGACATGTCGTAGATCACAACATCAGATTTATCAATTTGACTATGTACTTAATGCTGCTTAACAACACCCGAGGCATCAGCTTGCGCGGCAATCCTCTTCTTGTACGCCTGGACATCGCCGGGAAACTTCTCAACAGTGCCTCCATCACAAACCCACAACGACTTACACACCGTCTGCAACATTGTGACGTCGTGAGACACCATCAGCACGCCACCTTGGAACTCATTGAGCGCCTCGGCCAAAGCGTCCATGGCCTCGATATCCAGATGGTTAGAAGGCTCGTCAAGAACCAAAATGTGGGGATTTGTAAGAGCCAAGCAAGCAAAGGCGACACGAGACTTCTGACCTCCAGACAGCAGTCCCATCTTCTGCAGACCGGTTGTTCCGGTAATACCGAAGGCACCAAGTCGGCGACGGTACTCCTCATCTGTTCGTCCGGGGTAGTTCTTGGACATAAAACCGACAGCGCTATCGGCGAGGTCAAGGGCATCGACGTGGTGCTGAGCAAAGAATCCAATTCGGAGGCGAGGATGTTGAGAGATCAAACCAGAGGATGGGTCCAATTTGCCAATGAGAAGCTTGAGAATAGTTGTCTTACCAGCACCGTTGGGTCCAACAATTCCGATTCGAGAATCCAGCTGAACATCCAAGTCAACGTTGCGGAGCAAGACGTTGTCCTTGTTGTAACCAAAAGTAACCTCAGACATCTGCACGATAGGGGGCGATAGCTTCTCGACTTCGGGGAAAGTAAATTTGACGCTGTACTCGGCCTCGGGAGCTTCGAGGATAGGCATCTTCTCGAGCTTCTTGATACGTGACTGGGCTTCTGACGATTTGGCGGCGTTGTAACGGAACTTGTCGATAAAGGCCTGCAGATGGGCTCGCTGTACCATCTGGGTCTCGTACTCTCGTTTGGCAACCTTCTTGCGCTCCTCGCGAGTGGAGTAGAAGCTATCGAAGTTGGCTCCACGGTAGTAGTCGAGACGTTGTGAGTGCTGGTGGATAATGTCGGTAGCAACCTCGTTGAGGAACGCTCTGTCGTGAGAAACGACGAGAACAGTGCTGGGGTAGGTTTGGAGGTAATTGGACAAGAAAGTGATCGAAGGGACATCCAACATGTTGGACGGTTCGTCAAGAAGAAGCAAGTCAGGCTCACAGAACAGGGCTCGAGCAAGAGCCAGGCGCATTCTCCAACCACCAGAGAACGTCTTGGTAGCAAACTGCTGTCGCTCTGCTGAGAAACCGAGACCAGCAAGGATACTAGCAGCTCGTGGTTCGGCCTTGTCAGATTCCATCTCGGCCAACTTGGCTTGAACATCTCCCAATTTAGTATCCTGAGCCTCTCTATCGCGATCGATTCTCGCCGATTCGGCAGATGTGTCGGCCAGAGAAGATCGTTGTTGCTCCAACTCTGCAAGTCGAGCGGTGATTTGCTGTGGTTGTTAGGGTATGTCATATCAATACAATGAGTGAACTTACTTCTTGCTCCTTCAGAAGAACCTTGCGCCAAACATCGGCATCCAAAACTGCCTGTATAGCTGGGGTGTCATCACCAGTAATCTATATTGTTAGCCGCATCCTCATTTTCGATGATAGGTAGACTTACTTCCTGCTCGACGTGCAGAATGGAAATGTGCAGGGGAATAGCAACCTCACGACGAGACAGTGCTCGAAGCAGAGTAGATTTACCAACACCGTTGTTACCAACCAGACCATACCGATGACCGTAGGCAAGAGTAAGAGTTGTGTCTGTAAGAATACGGGTTCCACTGATAGACACATCGATGTTGTCCAATTTGATGTCCTTGGACTTGTTGGAAGAGCCTCCACCCAGTTGCAGAGGATTGACAGCCATGTAGAACTCTTCGTATGACTGTGTCGACTCGGGCTGGTCGAGAAGTTTAGAGGCCTCGTACTCGACGACCTTGTATGTCTTCTTTTGCTGCTTGGCTGCGATCTTGCGCTCTGCCTTTTCGAGCTTCTTGCGATCAACCTTGGACTCAACCTTCCTTGCGTTCGCAGACTCGAGATCCACGCCACCGGTCGCCACAGCCAATGTGGATGACATGTTGCGCTGCTGGCTCACTTGAATGGTTTGGTCGAGACGTCTGACCATCGATGGTCCTTTAATCTGGGCTCCATTGGACTCTGTGTACTTGTTTACCCATTTCTCGACAAGCTGCTTGATCTTTTCTTCAAGCTCGGGGTTGACCTGGCCTGATGCGGACAGCAGTAGCTCAGTGATGGCGGAAGCAGCTTCGTTCAGAGGAGACTCTCCAGATGTCTCCTCCTCATCCGAGTAAGCCATCGAAGCATGGGTAAGGTAGCCTACGGAGTATTGGGTGACCACGGGGTCGATGTTGGGTAGCACAGCTCTGATATCCGCTTCCATGATGATGCGCAGACTTGATGTCACAGCAGCTAAAGGGAAAGGGTAATTGAGTCGAGATTCTTCGACACTTCACAGTTCGACTTATCCTTGTAGCGATTCCCTGGGTTGCACAGGAAGACTCAACTGTGGCCGAATGATTTGATAGTATCTTTACCTTGGATGCCCCGCCAGAGTTGTCGTTGAAAATTGTGGATGTAATGGCAAACTGTCGGCAGGCACGGAGGCTTGAAGGCCCGATGACCGACGTGAGGGCTCTAGGGTAGGCAGAATTGCATCTGATGGCCTGAATGAACCACTATGAGTGCATGTTTTTTTTCTTTGCTTTAGGTTTGTGTAATAGCGTACTGTCTCTGAAACATATTACAGTGTTTATTCTACGGTTTCATGTTTACTTACGGGTATGTCAACTCGCTTTTTATCCGTTATCATGACTGTGTTCACAGTCGCTTACCCTAGAGATTGTGAACATGCAAACTGCAATCACGTATGAAATAGTAAAAGATGTAGTGTTATATGACCAATGGACCGTGCGGAGTACGCAGCATCTCTATCTCTGGCAACGGTTCAGATAATGAGAACTTGATCTCCCTTGACTTCAATATTCTGTGCCGCCGCCTCAATTACACTTCTGATGGTTCGACTAAATGTATAACACGCCGGGTTATAACCAAACAGGGAAGCTCTTATCACAGCAGGTGTTAAATGTCTCAACTACGATTGAAAGAGAACCTGTGGCCTAGGCTCGGACTGAGGGGTTAGCAATGAACCAAGGCACGAAAGCCTTGGTTGAAGTCACATGTAAGAAAGAGTTGACGCTGAGGCGGGAAGTTGTATTAGTTGCAGGGGTTCTGTACAGATGCGACTTTGGTATTGATGATGGGAAACTACGAGATCACAACTGAATCAAGGCTCGCTGAGCCACAGATCTAGAATTGCCTAGACTCACTGTAATGAGATTAAAAGGACTTGAAGATCGCTCGAAGCTCAACTGGCGGTGAATGGCTCTAATACAAAACAATGTTATCCCAATCCGTATTTTCTACGTAAACCTGTTCGTGGCCAATTTACCAACGACATGCATGCATAGCGCAACGAACTCAATATTAGTGCCCGATAGGTTGCGTCTGTTGTCTGTTGTGCCACGGAACGTGTAAGACGATTTCAGCGTTCGCAGGATAGCGGGTTTGCATAAGCCAACCTATCAACATCAATACCACCATCATATGATCAGGTCAACATGAAAACCTGATTAATGTTACAGGGCTATCCTAGCGATAATCAAGTGTTCTAAGGTCGGCTATCAATGATTATTGACTATTGAAACTGCTGGCGCAGCTCAGCAATAACGAGTTGCCACGAATCCGACTCTACGCCGGTTTCAGCAATTACGCATTTTCAGCTCCAAACAGCGTGTGTACCAATCATACCACGAGAAGCTCCTAATACATGTTGTATTTATTATTTGTAGATAAGCGTGGAACGGACGCGACGCGTTAACTTCATCTCATGATGTTGTTTTCTGCCCGCTTTGGCAACTCGCCCAATTGACATTGACCCGGAGATGAACGAAACCTGGTATTAAGATGTAGGAAGTTTATGCTGACTGATTGGTAATCTCGCGTCTGCATTGTTTCTGCACAACATTTTGATGATCGTATGAAATCTGTGTGCACTGCGGGAGATCGATGCAAGGCTCTTCTGCATGACAGCACAAAGCTATGTACATGTTCAATGCAGAATCACGCCAGACCTGGACTTGATTGTCAGACATGCTCCTGTCAAGAGATGGAATGTCGGTTGAAGAAGTCAGCTGAATCAGCCTGTAGACAATGTCGAGTCATATTCGAGAGGAATTTTCGGTTCTATTGAACGATTCACATTACCCACTCACCCAAGCAACAATAACGCACATTGCGCTTGAGCCTAGTAACGTCTTTTTGTCTTACATTTTCGATTGACAACAGCCAACAGCTGTGCCTGGCAGCCAGCCATCCATCCATCTCTCCGCCAAACTGGTCAGAATATCACTAACAAACGGCGCTCCGGCATATGTGGACGCTTGAGCCTCTAGGCGGACTTGCGGCAGCGCCGTTCTTCGAGGATATGATCAATTCAACGTCATTATTTATAGCAGCGTAATATTACCATTGCCTCCACTTGGCGTGACAATAGTTGGGTCGTCGCTTAACTATCGCGCATCGTCGAAACATGCCAAATTTGGCTCGTACGGGACAGGGTTAGCTCAGAACTCGGAGGCTAAGTTGTAGCTCTCCACTCCATTGTTCCTCTCCAACTCGCCTTCACTCACTACGGAGTAAATAACGACTAAATTGCCCTGGTGATCCTCAACATACTTCAACTGATCTGACAATCCCCAGGATCATGGTTGTCAGCCAAACCTTCAATGACATGATATCAAAAGTTTGAAGCCTCCAAGGGTTGCACCACCGTGTCAAGTCCTAGCCAAGACGCCAACTTGATATGTCTTAGACGTGCAGCTTCCGCTTTCCAGGATCCAATGCCAATTGTCGGATTGAATTGACAAGACAGGTCATCAAACTTAGCTCATCGTGCTCCTCACATCAATAATGTTCCAGGCTTGCGGGCTGCTGGACGCCTCGTCCGTCATGAACACCATTTTCTCACGTTTCTCGTTAACCATGAGACAGTGGCAGAAAGTAAGCCATGCATTGACTCAAAAGCACCCGTCGATCATGATCACTCGGAATATTTCTTCTCTTTGCGGGGAAAAACAGCATTCCAGGACCTGAGATACACATGCTATTAGGATCAGGCGTCAAGAGCCTCATGATAGGATCCTAGCCCGCCTCCGCGGAGAGGGAATGGTCTGTCTCTCATGGGCCCTCGTGGCTGTCACTAGGAAGTCCATCATGGCACCTATCACCAAGCTTTGTGGGAAAGTCGACAAGCATCCCAAGGTAATTGAGTTCAGGGCTATAGCCATAAAAAGCAGTTCGCGTATTGCGTCAGCCACGATCGTGTGCGCTAGACATGTCTGTCTAAACTACAGATACCTGTACATACTAACGTTAGCTGCCGTTTGAGATTGGTTGGTGGAAATTGGACTTGTTGGTTGAGCAGGTCGCTTTAATATGCACATCGTCTCGTTCAAGCGACTCGCAAGTCAATAAAATAAGCAGACGAGTGGGTTGTCGAACAGCAAACCAGTGGCAAATTGGCTGGTTCGCAGAGATACATAGAATGGCCTTCCTTTTTGTTCTTCGTCATGATGCTCACAAGGTGCATCTGTAGTCAGATGCATTAGAAACATCACCGATCAAGGGATATCCCAGTATGGAGGGGATTCTGAAGAGGACCATGCAAAAGATCACAGAGAAGGGCAAACCGGAAAGCTCCGCTTCTCTCTTGTTTCAGGTATGAGTTGCGAGAGTTTACGGATACTATCAGACGGTTTCGGCCTCTAGAAAAGCCGACGCCAAAGGGCCATCCATGGAAGCCGGATCGCGAGGGAGGAGATGGGCTGAGCACATGTTGGCAAGCTTACGGAGTATGTACTACGTATTCGTAGTAGTAGACCAGCTCAATGCAGGTCCTTGGCAACCTGGAGACCCAAGATATCCATCCATTCATCCATGATCCAGCCTTATCGAGACTGAACAGAACAGAGCAAAAAAGAGGTACGTGCAGGGGAATAACTGCAAGGCAAGGTATTTTAGGTTTGCCGCTGCAGACTGCACCCGTAGCCGCGGGCCATTGCCTCAACACGAGGAGGATCTGCTTGTGGCTTTCGGTTTGGGACTTGGTGTGAGTCTCTGGAGGTGCAAAATCGCATCTGGAACATATGAATGGTGCCCGCCTTGAGACGAGAGATGGCCCTACCTAAGCTAAGTCTCGAGATACGTAGCTCACAACCCCACCGTGAGACGCAAGCGCCTCTTCGGATCTTGATCGAAAAGCTCAAAGACCGAAAAACATTCCGATACCCATGACTTTTTGGGGGCTCTCGTCAAATCAGGACAGTCGTTTCATAGTGACCCCTCCGTAAATGCAAGCAAGGAACAGGCGACAGGCTTTAGTTATCCTGCAGATCATCCGGTTATCCAGTAATTATTGCATGTATTTTGGGTCTTGTTATTTGTTTACATTTATGTTTATATTTATATTCTTGGCCAGTGGCGGTAATTTCTGTGGGTGTTGTGTAAGTTGACTAGTCTAGTGGCGGGCCTCAACTTTTGACAGGACAGACTAATAACAATCAATTGTTGACTTCAAAGACAAGGACTGTGATTTTTGTGATATATCTGCAAGGGCGGCCCCGAAGCCTCCAATACGCGTGTACCTCGTTACCGGAAATTAAAGATATGTATGTTTGTCTTTGCTAGCTCATAGAAATGAGTGTTATAAACAGGGTCCGAGCTGTATGTGATCAACATAGAAAGGCAAAGCAAAATCAGTAGCTTGACGCTTGAATAACATGAGTGCACGACCTGCATGGGTATTACAGAACGGTTAATTTGTGAGAAGCCACGAAACGCAAATATAGCACGAACCTGAAGAGGATAAAACCATGCTTCTATCCAGAAGGCTGCGTGATATACCCATAAGTTAAACATTCGCCTCTGCAGCGGCTTATAACGATCCGTGTATCGCGGAGCAACTACCCAAGGTTACAGTATCCAAAAGGCCAAAACCATCACGGCCTTTGACCCGTGTTCTAAGGCACAATGATGGCACATGATGTAACCATTGAAGCTTCATGACAGAGACCAAACGACCCTGCAATGGCTCTAGTGAACCTTGTTCTTCTCAGACTCTGGTCTCTGCGCCACTTGGTGAATGGTGAGGTCCCTGAAGTTTCCTAAACTTTTTTACTTTATGTTTTCTTTTGTTGCGTCAGGTAAACCCTTGGTGTTGTACATGATACTCAAGGGCTGCCGCAGACTGACGACTGTGGGACAAAGAGGCGAGCTGCTCATGCCTGCGGCCATCTTCTAGCTTTTGGAATAATTGGAGTTTTTTTTGTTTGTTGGGTGTTGTTTATATGTGCCTTATTATTATTCAAGGCGGAGTACGCCGGGCATGTATACCAGTTCAGTCCCAAGATGGAAGTGTGGGGAGAACCAAGCAAGCTGAAAGGCATCGCCGGCCTGTAATTGATGCCAATAAGATGGCAGGCTTGTATGGTTATCAAGGAAGCAGGAAACTTGTTGCAGAGCTTGTCGCGAAATGGCTAGACAAATGCACGCAAGATGGCGAACTGCTCCGGAGGATCATGGATCATGGATCTTGGTGTGTTATACATACTGCTTGGAGACTGGGAGTACGAAGCACAGAGATGCAGAGTGCAGAGTGCAGAGCCCATCAACAGGAATGTCAGTCAGACAGATCTCAGGCCGTGCGATTCGAATGCAAGATATCAAGTCAGCGCGGGAGTACAACCCCTATTACCAATGAAAAAGTCTATAAGAGTGCTGTCTGGCTGAACATCACCAGGAACAAGACATGTGCTTACATTCAGAGTAGTCTTCTGGCGTCGCGAATTGATACCTTATTCAGCATCTGTTACGTCCAGGGACCCTTTGGTCATAGTCATCAATCAATCACCTAGGAAATACGTACCGTGAGGGTTTGTTGATAAACAGGGTCGCTACCAGGGCCGCGCTTACAGCCTGGAACGGGCCTGTTGTGTGACGGCAGGGCACACGATTGAGTACCTGGCTGTACGGACATACGTTGTATGATGCAGACGAGAGGGACTGATCGTTGTACGTATCTCATCGCAATCTACGAAAGGTCATCGTACTCAACACCAGCTCGATGAGATGTACGCGGGAGCACCAGGGCCCTGCGACAATATGCTCAGATGCTGGTGATACCTCAAGGAGCGGATAGCCTAAGTTATGTTGTTATGTGGCAGAGCAAACTCCGGGGCCCTTGACCTACGTTGACGTTGAGCAAGCAACGGACAGGGCTCCGTGTGTTATGTTTCTTGGTCTCTGAGCTCGCGGCAGGGATCTCGTGCTGCTCTGCCTCGCCCGTCCCCGGAGAGTCTCCATCCCGTTGTAACCCCCGTTCTCGTCAACCTCCGGGGCCGAGGGGCAGTGAGCACTTGAGGGTCAAGAGCTCGATGGGATGATTCTCTGGTGGAGTGCGTGTCTCGTCCCTCTGTCCATGTCCACATCCCACGATCGTGTATTTTAGCGTGGGAGATCAAATAAGCACCTCATTCTTTGCTCACCAAGACTAACTAGACCATCCGCTACCCGTGTTTTGATGCGCTGTACTTGTCAGCCCGAGATGCAACCCCCGGACAAGCCAAGGAAGTCCCCGGTGAAGCAATCCGTCCGGAGCTCCATGTACAAGGGTTGACAGCCACGGCGGCCGTGTTGCCCGCTCTAGGTAGAACGGTATTGGTAGGCATTAGATAGAGTATGTATGTACTAAGATAGTTGAGAGTAACAGGATAGGTTCAAAGAGTATATTCAGCGATCGGACAATTGAACCCGGACAGGTATAGAGGTTTTGTTCCTTGGAATGGTAAATAACGGATGGTCAGCCCACAAGCGCTAGACGACGAGCGTTTAAACTTTCCCAGGATATCTAAATTATTATGCTTGAGAATGAGACGTGCTGGACCTCGTGTAGCAGCCAAGTTGCAATGCAATTCAGGTATTGAAGTGGAGGCTCCCGTCTTTCTCTCAAGATGCGGCTCAAGAACCAACTGTGTCAGGTCAATCTCGATGAATTAAAGGCGCCCCCTATGTTTATAATGAAATTAATGCTATCCACTGAAATGTTTTCATCTCTAGATCCAAGGTGCTAACGCAGGTTTAATTCAATTCGACTCAGTGTATATGATATCAGTTTCAGGCCATTGAATCAACTATTGTATGCAAGTCATGTTTAATGTTAGCTGCCCTCCACTCAAAATAGCAGTACTGATCTCTCTTGATGTTCAGCGCTTGAGACGTGCCCCAGCCCAGACCCAATCAATTGCAGGTTTCCAGGCAGGTGGGTAGCAAAATAACCGGTACACCAAAGCTCTTTTGCAATGTAAAAGTGAGTCTAAGAACAAAATAAACTCATCATATTCGATACAATTTGAACTGATATTTTCTGTCACCTCGGCCTACTGTGCGGGTTTTATTGCGCCCCACCTGACGCACTCGCTACAACGCTCGACTGTCAGGGACGGACGCCTCCAGCATGTTTTACAGGAGCCCTGAGGCCTGCAGCGGCGCTAGATGTTCAGTGGCTCCGCCCGCTAATGAGAGACAAATGCAGGACCTGGGTGCCCTGGCCTTGCCGTGGAGTCGCCGTCTTGGTAGGCTTGATGTGCATCCCTGCAGAGACGATCCGTCCTCACCCAAATCTCACCTGCAATCTCCAGGTTGCAGCTTGTTCGATTCGAGGGGGTGCTCAGGTACTTACTGTCAGGGCTGCTTTTCTCTCTCTCCTCTTCTTTAGTTGCAATTGCTTTGGGTTTGCTTTTGTCTTTTCTTCTCCGCTCCGCTGCTGGTTAATTGGGATCCAATTTGGCTACGTACTATTGTAACTGTCTTGCTAGTCACTGTAAGGGATCCCAGGAATAATAATACGCTGCAAAAGGGGAGAAGAGAGGAGACATCAACAAAAGAATCATTCGAGAGACCCTCACGTTAACCTTTCCCCCTCACCATCTTAACTTCTTTCTACCTAGCCAATCTTCGATTCTCTTTTTGTTTCTTTACCACTCCTTCACTGGAAAGTCCCTTTTCTCTGCCTGCAGTAATAGCGCGATTGCTTGCTTCATCATAGCCGGCGCTTGTTTTTCAGTCCTCCCCCACTGACACTGCCCGGCATTGACACTGACATTGGCACTGCACCGTCACTGTGTTTTTCGCGGCAGCAACTGCCAACCGCCCCGAGTTTTGTTTTCAACTGTCGCTCCCGCAACCTCAAACTTTCAGCTCAGCCCAAAAGTTTCGTCTCTCACATTCTTTCATTTCATTTCGCCCGTGTTTTTTTCTTTTACCCCCCACCAAGAGACACAAACGACCGACTGACGCCGAGCTTGATCGGGGAGACGAGGCATTCGATTTGCTGCTTGTTTGTTTGTTCGTTCGTCCGGCCATAATCTGGTTTCGCCTAGCTTCTTCCCGTCTTCGCATCGTTCCCCGGTGCTATCCATTCTCGCTCATAGTCATAGTTGGGGTGTGTGGGCTTCAACGGTTTCTGCTCCTCGAACCGTCAAGCCAGGTCCGGTCAGGTTTGTCAACTCAGAACTCTCAGGCCCATGGCTTGAACGACGATGAGCATCCCCTCCGTTTCCAGCACCGCCGTCCTACGCCTCTAGAATGCTAGTCGCTGCGTTCTCTCTCCCGCTTGAGTAGAGCGCGCGCCGGCTTCCTTCGCAAGCAACCATGCAGACCGTTCCAAGTGTAAGTTTACTGCTAGCTTTGTCCTCCCCGCAAAACCAGTCCACACATCAAGGCAACCAAGGATCACCACCACCACTTCAGCCATTAATCACATGGGTTGCTACTGTATAGAATTTAACTTATCCCACCCTAATTCTGCCCTATCCAACACTGCTCTTGGATCCCGCCAAACCCTCTTTCCTTTGTGGCTTATCCACCCATCTTTCCTGTTGCAGCAGTAATTGACCGTGTTTATCTATTCAGCTTGTTGGAACCGGCACTGCCATCGCTGCAGCGGCCAGTGGTTTGGTGTTTGGCCAGCCCACTACTGAACCCAACTCTTTCACCCATTCGACTCGACGTCCTTCTCATTCCAGACGAGTCTCAATAGACCGCGAGCCAGTCATACGCTCACCATCACCGGGCAACTTTGCTTCGTCACGGCCCGCCACAAGCAACACCGCTGCTTCTGTACTCGGTGCCTCGCACTATTACACCCTCCCGCGCCCGATTACCGCCTCAAGACCTCCTCTCTCCCGTTACCAGCGACCGCCTATGCCCCAGACGCAGTCGACTCCTCCTCCACAGGCTAGCAGCAGGAGGTCGTCTTTCTGCAGGCATCCCGACTCTCCAGCTATTATCCCGGAGTCTCGAGAATCAGTTTCTTCCAATGGATCCTGGATAAGGCGTCTCTCTATTCGCCCGCTGTCTCGTCACGAAAGCACAAGGTCGAGTGTTGGTCCTGACGCGCCCTCCATCTTTTCCCACGGCTCAGCTGCCCCGATCTTGCGCAGCCCTGCAACATCGAATCTACCTCGAAATAAGCTTGTCAAGCGATCCACGTCGACCCGCATCGACCCTGATCCTCTACCACGACGACGTGCGAAATCTCACTTACAGATCTTACCAGTTCTTCGTAGACCAGCTACGAGTCATCAAAGGTCCGCAACTTTGCAGCTGTCCCGACCTGATTCTGCCCTGAATACACCAACAGATGCGAACAATTTCTCGTTCGACGATCCACCACGACCCCACGAGTTCCTTGCCCCATCTCCGCTCAAACCCCCCTCAAGATCGGCATCTATAAGAAGCGGGTGGAAGTCATACTTCCACTCTAAGCGGTCAAGCATAGGCGGACGCCCGGGCTCGAGTAGGTTTGGTGAGTTCAGTCCACATGCTCGAGGCGCCTTTTCGAAGCGCATTGTTGTCGAGAACGACGAGCGTAGTCGGGTCCATCTGGTGAAACCAAGAATGGTTTCAAGAGCAACAGCCCCCCCTCAAGGTCTGCTTCCAGCTGCGTCAATTGAAGCAGGATTCGAACCCACCCAAACTACTATCGACGAACCAACTGTATCCTCCGAGAGCACCCCATCTAGAACACCCCGGAAATCGAATTCAATGCCATTTGCGTCTGCAGGAACGTGGGCGGTAAGGACAACAGGGAGCATTCGGCGCCCCAAACGTGGCGCTGAACCAGGGGTCGGGAATAAACGACGTGTGTCGGAGCCGCTGACTGGCGCGCAATTTGGTGCTGACCTTGGAACCAATCCGCCATCGGAATCGACCCTCCCCGCAGCATCACCATTATCGGACAGGCAGGGGTTACCGCTTGGTTCAGCTGCCGGCGTGCAGTTGAGAAGTCGTAAAAGGAATTCCTCGTCACCAATTCCCCCGCCTCCAAGACTTGCAAATTTCCATATGGATGCGTCCAGGTTAGGGTATTCTGCCGGGGTTTCCACTCATCAATCCAGACCCAACCAACCCTCTGGAAGTTCTACTAGCTCCACCGCGATGTCACAACTTAGGGCATCGCAGCACGACAGGACTTCAACCATGGAGAGCTCTGAGTGTGACATTCGGGATTGCACATCAGGGGATGATGATGACACGGATTTTAAAAGTGACACCATGTTCGACTCGATACGGACTGTGGGTTCCGGTCGTGCCCGTGCTGTAGAGACACCGTTAGAGTCCATGTACGACGAGTCACCACCAAGCACTGCCGGCAACGGTACAAAGACAAAGCGGTTGTCAATCCATGAGATGCTCAGTCGGACTTGGGAGGAGGATGAAAAGATTATGGAGGAGGACGAGAATGCATCCACACCTGTCCGCACGATTCATCGATCTGAGGTATCACCGCGCTTTAAGCTCGACTCGAGATTCAACCCGGCACCTCATGATATCTCAACCTCTGCAAACCAGGAGTACAGCAGGCTGTCCTTGGACGACGAATTTGACGATGACTGGGCCAGGGATGACGAGTTCCCATGTAACCCCTTGTCGCCTCCCTCCAAAGGGAGCTCACTGAATTCCAGGGGAATTAACCCTAATGTTCGCCTCGCCCTTGCCAATATCAGCGGCAATGGCCTTGCTGATACAAATGGCCACGACACTCAGCATGATCGTCCGCTTAGCTCACTATTCGATTGGAGCGAACCCCCAGCGCACGACAAGTTCGATACCGAGCGGCCGCTACGGCCAAAGACTTCGTATACTAAGGAAATGGACTCTAGAGGCGGCCGTTCCGCCATGCGCAAAGGCCCAACCCCAACTCACGTCCGAAGTCAGAGTGTTCCAGTTGTTCATGATGCTCCCGAGGATTCTAAAACAATGGGATCCAAGTATGGCACATGGGGCATGGGAACTAAGACAATCAGTGAAGATTGGGACGACGACTTTGAATTTGGTGCAAACAGTATGGGCAGTAACGACAAGGGCGACAAGATGTTCGCAGTTCCCGAATCAATTCGTGCGACTCAACCGAGCGTCAAGGCTCATTCCGGACATATCAGGGAATTCTCTCTTCTTGTCAATGACTTGAAGCGTCTCTGCCGCCATGGACGGGATATGAACATGCTCGATGGGCCACAGAAAGGCTTGTGGAAGGAGGCGGATGGTATCATTGCTCTTGCATCTCCCGATGAAGAGTCGCTAGACGAGGATGACGACCAAAAGTCTACATCGTCAATCAACTTTGACGCATTCGATATCGACGAACGGTTTGGAGACGAAGGCTTCGATGCACACTCCATGAACCGCCTTGACGCCGCCTTTGATGGACACGAACCCCCAATGTCCAAGACTACTGTAGTCCGAGAACGTCACTCTCCCCGACGAAGGTCTGTCTTCTCTCCCGAGGACGATATCTTCGGCAACTGGCCCGGAACGGATAACCCCCCGTCGGCACGACCCAGTCGCCCCAGAACGCCAGATAATAAGTACAACAAGGCCCATGATGTTTCAGGAGTAGTCCGCTCCGTCATTGGAGCAATGCAACACCGTGTCCCTGACCAGACACCTGATAATGGCAAGGTTCACTTCGACACCAACAGTCTGAAGGCCCTAGTTAAGAGAGCTGGCGACTTGCGGGATCTGCTATCGGATATTGTTCGACAGGCAGATCAGATTACGCAAAGCCCCATGCGCACACCCCGGAATGAGCGTCAGCATGATTCAAGTCCAGCATTTACTCGAGTATTCGATGACCCCGGCTCAAGTCCACCTAGAAGAGTGGTACGAAGCCGTGGCAACAATTCACTCAGAGAAGCCGCGTCGTCTGATAACTCGCCATCTTCCGGCCTACCACAACGAATGCAGATGATGACTGTCAACTAATGAGCCTGCTCCCTGGTGCTCTGCTTTAGCCGAGCGTGTATAAAATAATAATATGGAATTCTACTTGCATAGCGATGGTCTTGGAGACCTAAGGTCTTTTCGATGATGTCAAAGGATTAAGGCCGCTCCCTAAACGACATGTCCCGCGCCTCGACATAATGCTCTTTCGACTACTCGATTCATCTGGGTACTCATCCTCTTCACGTCCATTTTCCAGGGATGATGGACCAGTATTACAACCACGGATGAGCTGGAACGCCTGCAGCGACTCAGGACTTGAACCAGATGGACCACTGCACGAGAGTCGGAGCACACTCGTCACGCCTATGGGCAATACTCTTAATGACTTATTCGAGTAATACGGTAGACGGAATACGGAACGCTACGGTGGCGATGCCGGTACTCGTCCGCGCGAGTATAGTTTGCGAAGGGTTATCAGTTTTGTTAACGAATTTTCTTGCGTTGTCCCTTTGTGTTTACGAGGAAACGTGCTTTTCGTTTGTCATTCTTTTCTTGTTCTATTCTTGCGGCCTCAAGGCGCGCTCTAATGCTTCGATGATTGCTCAAGGGAAACGGAAAACTAAGGAGAGGCGGTGGTTGGAGCAATCGTCTATCTCGAGAGAAATCACGTCTCTTCCTCGAGGTAATGGACGAATCACTTGCCATACATAAAGTTGTCTTTGCAAGGGGAAATACCAAGCTGGACATAAACGGATAAACAGCAACGAGGAAGACAAAAAGAAGAGAATCACGCAAGGGGGCTAGGTGTTGTTTGGGATACATACAGGCTCGGATAGGAAAAACGCATATGGAGAAAAGGAGAGAAGAACGAGTACGGGATGTGCATTTACTCTTTTGTTGCTTTCAATGACGCATCAAGGGTGGCATATAGTTTGCAGTCCTAGCCTGTTCTTGCTATGATACTGCATGGATAGAGAGGTCATAATGGCCATAACGATTTATTACCCACATTATCATCGCCTTGAACTTGATGATTACTCCACCTACGGCAAATGCTGTAATTCATTATATTCGAGTCGAGATTCTTACTGACAAGCGTAACATTTAAATAGCCAGTGAGGCTTGTCAGGCTGTACAATTTAGTAAGGCCAATGGCAGACGACTCATTGCTGTTATTGTCATGCAACCCATCGATGGCATATTGTGAATACCTCGCAATCAAATAGGCTAAATATACACACACATCTGACACGGATTCTGTGGTACGATTAACTCTTTGAAAGGTACGGGAGATAAATTAGATCACATCAATTGAGGCATTTATAAACGAGAGATCAAAGTTTGGTTGGCTGGTTGATATCATTATTGACATCCCAATCAATTTATAATTCGAGATCGAATGCTTTCAGCTACTTTTTCTAGGCTCAGGTTGATTGTGCCGTATTGTTTACTATCCATACATCAGGCGTGGGCAAATGCCATGCACGCAGTAGAAAGACAAAGAAAAACCCGCTGGCGAGGCAGAGTACCATATCGCCCCCAACGCCGAACAATGTAAAAACCAATAGGATAAAGCACGCTCCTAGTTCCACCAACTACCTGCCACTGCAGTTCCAGGTAACACCATTTGCTTTGATAGCAAGTTTGTAAAGCGAGTTCATGTGGCAGTTTCGCAAAATCATGTCCGAAAAAACTGGTGATCGTAACATCATGTTACACAACCCGACCCCAAACCCCGCGGGGTTGTCGTGGTTATGTCCAATGCAGGGGAGGCCGTCTTTACCACAGCTGCATGAATGACAGTCCCTTTCTACGGGACTTGTCCATCCAGGGACCACCCAACGCTTCAGGAGCAGGAGACTGTGAGCGAGCCCAGAGCGCCTGCGAACTAAAGTCGCGGGGAGTGTCGTCGCCTGCGCCAGGGAGGAAGGCGGAGGAGGAAGAGCCGGGATACAGAGGCAATGGGGGACGGGCCTTCTGAGTGCGACCACGTTGGGATGTGCCAGATTCGGCATGCTGCTTATCGAATTCACTCAATGTTGGTGTCAGCTCAAGGAAGCGGGTGTTCATAGGCCTCCACAGCTCATCGGAGGCAATAACAGGCTCATCAACATCAGCGCCAGGCTTGGACCAGAGCTGGTAGTTGTCGACATCAGCCTCCATGTCCAAGGTCTTGTCAGATCCCAGTTCGATGGCCTCTTCCAGAGCAGCAAGCCACTCGATAGGCGTAGCGGCAGGGCGTGGCCTCTCGGAGTTGATGGAATTGGCTCTGGTGAGAGCGGGTACAAATTCGCTATCAGTAGAAGATGCAACCGAGGCGGCTCTCGGTCGGACTGTGGAGAGCGCGAGCCAGTTGACCTCGCTAAGATCCTGGTTTGATGCACGCACAGACCAGAGGCTATCTGAGTTGAGCTTCGGCAGAGATTGCTGCGAGATGCGCTGCTTGGGCCGTGTGTCGAGCGCTGCGGGGCTCTCGGACGTAGTACGGAAGTTGTTACGGCGATGATTCAGGCTGAATAGACCTTCCAATACCAAGGAATCAATCTCGTGCTCAAGCTTAATGGCAGCGGCATTGGCCTTGGAGTCCCAAAGAGGTGCCATGTTCCAGAGGTAGCTAAATCCGAAGTCGGGGAATGCCTGAAGAGGACTTCGTGGCGCACGTTCCATACCCTGAGCAGCGGGCGCCATTTTCGTTGTTCGGTAGTCGGTGCGCTGGTGGCTGAGACTAAACAGACCGGCCGGCTCTTCGTCATTGAAGACAGAGATGGGAGCCTCCCACAAACCAAAATTGACCGCCTCACTGGGTGTGGATGGTTCGGAGCCGCTGACCGAAGGTGCGGAGCTGGATCCGCTCCAGAGACCATCCTCCGAAGGCGTCTCGGAAATAACGGGTTTGGCGGGAGTCCACAATGAGGTGCTATCTGGGAATACAGGCTCGGCCTCTCTAGGCTTTACTCGGGTAGCATCGTCCTCAACAATGAGGTAGGTTGCCCAAGTCTCTGCATCAGGCTGAGGAAGTCCATAGCTAGTCTTTGTGGAAATTGGCGAGTGAGTCCACATGCCGGGCAGTGGTTGCTTGGTTCCCCAAAGTCCGAAGTTTTTGTGCTCTACCTTCTTGACGGGGGCAGTCCAAAGTGCGTTGCTCTCAATAGAAGGCATGTCGGCCTTGGCGGGGAGGAGACGTGCGGTCTCGCCAGTAGGCAGGTAGCTGCTCCAGGTAGAGTCGTCAGGCTGGGGGAGTCCGTAGGAAATGTTCTTGGAAACGGTTGGGTGAGTCCACATGCCCGGCAGTGACTGCTTGGTTCCCCAGAGTCCAAAGTTGGTTGGCTCTACCTTCTTTGACGAGGCAACCCAGAGCGAGTTGCTTTCAATCGTAGGTAAATCGGCCTTGGCGGGGACGAGGCGCGCGACCTCACCGGTAGGTAGATAGGCGTTCCAGGTAGAGTCGTCGGGTTGAGGAAGTCCCTTGTTAGGACGGGAGACAGGAGTGCTAGGAGTCCACAGAGCCATGGAAGAAATTTGATGATTTGTTGTTGTGTGTTGATAAAGAGACTGAGACTGAGAGTGGGAGGCAGGTGTAGGGAGGGACGGAATCAACAAGTTAATAACCAAGGTTTGCTGTCGGGCTGTCGGGGCGTCGGATTTGTAAATGACGAGCGGACTTAGCGGGAGCGGGCTCGGAGAGTCACAATCAAGGTCGAGGTGGAGGGCAGCGTCAACGTCAACATCTGCTGGCTTAGAAATGGAACCCTCCAAGAAACGAAACAGAAGCTGTGCTTGGGGCTGCGGGTGCCCTGCGCTTGAGGCGCCACGAGACTTGTCAGTGGAGGTGTAGGGGTCCAAGGTTGATTTGGAAGCAACTGGGGAAAAGATGGACGTCCCATGAGTGGAATCGTCGTCATTGATTGGTGCGCCACCCTGAACTTGACCCATATCCATCAATAAGCAGCGAGCCATCTGCGGCACGGGCATGCTTATTGATGCACCAGGGGCCCCAATCTGTCCAATTTGCGGCTGCCGACGGACCCTGATTAGATTTTTCTCACTCACGTCCCTCCGGAGATCCATGTCCGTAGGCGTATGCGTTGGCGTCATTGTTACAGCCAGTGGTGAAGTGGGGGTCACTGCTCCAGCGCCAACGTCGGCTTTTATACTGTAATCTCCATCTCCGTTATGTTGTGTTCGAGTCGCTGCCTGTTCGCTGGCCTTATCGCACTGCTCTTCACCCTCATTTTCAAAGGTCTTGGCATGTTCTGAGATCCACGCGTCTGTGTCAATTCTGCAATCAAAGTATAATTAGCATTGTTCTAAAAAACCTTCACCGAGTCATAAGCTTGTAGTGGTCGCTTCGCTTCACTTCTTACTTACCCAGAAATGGCCCGAGGGTCTGTTCCGTCCTCGTGAGAAGCTAGTATTTTTTCCAGCGGGGTTGCCTGGACACATTTATCCGTCGCCTGGGTCACAGGCTGAGCGAGCTCAAACCCGAAGTAGTCCTCATCGTCGCTGTCGTACGTTTCGCTAGAATCGTCGTAGTAGTCCCCATCATCCTGCTCGTAGTCGTCCATGTCAAATTCTGAGACTAAGCCGTGGTTCTGCATCTGCATCTGCATACCCCCTGCCACATCAGGCTGCACAACCCTGCTAGACATGGTCACCAATCCCAATGGGCCAGCTCTTACTGTCGCACAGTCTGAACGATCGCCCCATGGGAATTGGAAGATCCCAAGCGTGCCGCGCCTATCAGGGAGTGGTTTTGGGCTCTCCAGGATATCTGGCAAAAGGGTGACACGTCTGATCCGTCGCGGGGGGTTGCGGGGTGGCTTTGGCTGGGCTTTGACTTCCACCACTTGAGTCTTAATTTGTGAAGTTGGCCGCCATAGCCCACGGTGATGTGCTGTTTCGGTCTTTGGCTCAACTCTTTCCCAAAGCCTGGAACTCTGAATCACGAGAGGCGTCACATCCTTCCTCGCTGGCCGTCTCATGGATGCGTCGGCGCTTGAAAACTCTCCATTCTCTACCACGAGCTCACTTGTCGGTCTGGAAGCTGGGGTCCAAAGTAACAATCCAGCATCTCTGCTAGTAACCGCTTCCACGGAAACTATGGGGCGCCACAGCACCACAGCCGCCTTGGCAGGACTAATTCGTTCTTGGCCAATTAAAGCTTCGTGATCTTCGTCGTATTCGCTCTCCTCATCAGTGTCTGGAGGGGTGGGAGTGGCTAATGGCGCCGTGAACCTGGGGAAATTCGAACTAGCTGTGAGCTTTGTCTTGGACTTCAGGTCAGCATGGGGGAAAAGCGGCAGGACATCGTAGTCGCCATCAAACTGTCCTGTCCCTCGCTGGGCAAGCCTTGCGGCAAATGACAGGCGCGCACTTCCATATCCATATCGCGAATCTCGGCTAGGTGATGATGTTCCCACAGTAGATAGCGAATCACGAACAAGCATTGTATGGCGAATGGTGTGCCATTGGCTTTCCTGTTCCGTCAGTTCCTGCTCCAGATTGGTCAAGAGAACCTGTCTGTCATTCTCCGCTATCTGATAAGATAACAACACTGCATAATCAATATCTAATCCAATGTTAGAATTGCGCCATCGCAACCATCAGAAAATTTTAACTTCACTTACCTTTTTGGGTCGTTTCCACAAGACTGTCTTCAGATTCCACAGGCGATGGCTCAGTGAACACATCGGTTCTACGTAAAACCAATGGCGTTGGCGGAATACTCCGACGAGGTCTTGTTGAATTTCCCCTGTCTGAAAATGTCGGACGGGCTGCCCCCACTTGCGATGGCCAGACATGCTGTTGTTGTTGTTTTGCGGTGGCTTGCAATCCCTCGGCACGTTGCGACTCCGCTCCAAAGCCGACGACATTGGCTTGGACGGAGGATGGCTTGTGCATAGTCAAGGACAAGGGTCCCTGGCGACTCTCGTTCCTCAACGCCAAAGGGGTCTCCGCAACTCCGAGCCCGCTCCGTTGATGAGGTCTTGACATGACAGTTACCGTCAGGGCCCTTTGCACGTGGATCTGCTTTGCAGGCGACCGGATATCTGCCTCCATTGTGAAATCTTCATCTCGGATCGTTGTAGGGGTGAGCGCACTCAGGTCCTTAATCGGTAGGATAGGCGAGGACCGTCGTCCATACCCCTTTGCTTGCGGATCCCACCAAGATGAACTTGTCGAAGATAACGGCTCTTCAGGTAGATGGATAGTCGTAGATCGAGGGCTCTTCGGAGATTGGGCAAGCTTCTCAACTGGAACAAGGCTTGCTGGCGTCCTCGAGCTATCAGCCAGAGCCTCCGTGTTGTCGATCCTTGGCTTGGCTTCGTCGGGCTTTGGCTTCAGCTCGAGGTCAACTGGCAGTATTGGGAGATTGACCATAGATCGTGATCGTCGCCTCGCGCTGCGGCTAGTTTTACTTGGCGTTGGGACATTTGCCGCCAGAACATTAGCAAACTCGTTCAAACGAGACAAATCGTAATTGATGTCTGCCGGAGTATCAAGCGGCTGCTTGAGTCGCATGGTACCGCACGATTGTGAGCGCTTGTGGTTCTGGAGGCTGGGGGATCCTTCCGTGGGGAAGATGGCACGATCAGAGCTCGACTTTCTTGGTATAGGCCGGGGTCTATGAACCACTGATAACGTTCTTGCAGAATCCTCCCTCTTGCTCAGGATCTCGCTTGCGTTGCTCCTAGGTATAGCCGCCAATGGTGCTGATTTCGGGGGTTGATGTTTCGGTTCATAATAGGGATGCGATACTTGTGCGACGACGGGCAGGGAGAAGTTGACGATAGCATCTGCCATTGCCTTTGTAGGAGTACGTGCTGGTGGGTTGACTGGCGTAGAGCGCGGAAAGATAGACAAAGCTGGCGATGGCAAGTGTCGGGGGGATTGTCGAGGAGATCGTCGGCGGACCTCATCAGCTCCAGGAGACAAGAAGGCGGAGGTCGTGGCGGCCATAGTGGGCTCAGAGGATGAAGAACTATACTGAGGCTCGGCCAAACTCGTGGAATCATTCCGGTTCTGATTCTGCAAAGCAGTTGAAGCGTCTCTATCCTCTAACTTCATGCCCCAAGTTTTAGTAGACATGGTCGAATCAAAGGATGAGTTATTTGTGTGCGATTTGGTTCCAAATCTCGAGGCGGTCGATATTGTCTCCCGAGAAATCGATCGTTTGGGGTCCTCAGTTACTGGCAAGCCTGCCACTGTCTGGTTCTTGGGTAGAGGGAACAGTTGACCTAGTACGGGTACTCCACCCATTCCAACGTTTGCTTGTCCAGCAGCTGGCATCGCGATCATTGGTAGTTGTTGTTTGAAATCCGGATGAGGTGGCAAGGGGTCGGAGCTTCTCGTAAAATCATTCGGTGCTGTCCTTGTAAAGTCATCATGATAAGTCGATCCATGGATGTTCGTAGTTGTCATCTGTCGAGTGTGAAAATCTCGTGAGTTATCAAAGTCAGGTACACTCAGTCCCCGTACAGGCTTCGAATTGTCGGCAAACAATTGGTCGTGGAATAAAGTGACAATCCCTTAAAAGTTAGCACATTTATGGTTGAGCACTTTGAGCAAAGCCTACCAATTAGTATCAACAGACCAATTGAAGGCACAGTTGTTCGGATAATCAGGGGCATAGATCCAATGCTCATCATCAAGGGAGCACTAGTCTAGGCAAAGTCAGTTATGTTCTCGTATTTTCGTTACTTATTAGACTTACTCCTGTCCAGATGACCAAGCCCAATACAATAAGTGCAGCCGCTCGCGACTGGCCAGGGCTGATGGACCCCTTCTGTGTATCGGAATAGTTTCCACGAGAGATGATTCGCATCAGGAGGAAGGCCACAAAGGCAGTGTCGACCACAGAGACGGTGATTCCAACCGGCACGATAGATGTCATTGTCAGGCATACATCAGCCATCTGAGGACGTTGGATTCCGACAAAGACCCCTCCGAGTATAAGTCGCAACACTAGAAATCCCTGCATGATTGCGATCTCAGTAAGAGACGCCAGACTATGCGTGCTGAAGATCCATAGTAGACCTTGTTGGATAGATACTCGTGCAAACTGATCGAATATTGATGCAAATGTGACCATAACCTGGCATCCTGATTTCGAATCGGTATTAAGTAAGAAGGAGGCAAAGTCGATTTGAGCCCACAGGGCCGAAGAAATAAGAAAAGCGACGAGGGCCAGCCTCGGAGCATCTCGAATGATTTTGGAGGCACGTTTGCTGAAGATAAGAAAGAGGGCAGCAGTACCAGCGTGCGCAACCAAGCCGCTGTGGTTTGGTTATTCCATTAGTCCGTTGGGATTCATAGGGATGACTTACAAAGTAAAGGCCGCAATTAAGGCCTGACGGTTAGAGTTCGTCATGAAGATAACATTAGTATTAGAACGAGTGTAAGAGCAAGTAGATGAGCTAGGAAAATGTAACCAAAAAAACGAAGGGAAGTATAACTTGGATCAACCAAGACACAATACAGCGAATGATTCAGCAGTATGTGCGATCAGAAGTGAATAGCGGCGAAAGGGGAAAAGGGAAAAAGGGAAAAGGAGAGATGAAAGGAAATGCGATGCAACAATGGAAAAGTCTCCAAAGGTTGTTTGTTTGCAAGTGGGCATGGCCATATGAGCGGCAGCGTTGCACTTGCAACGGTGGACTATATCGTGCTGGGTTTCAGCCGAAAGTCTTGGGTCAAACTGGCTGTGTTCGAGTTTCCTCGGATAGTCGTTTGTTTTACGGCGTGAAGCGCAACCTGATTGGATGGATTGGGCACATCATGGTGTTTCGAAGAAGCCCGATGTAGCATCTCTCACTATGAAACTCAAGATGTCGGAGGCGGCGGCTGCTAGGGCGGGACTGAGACGGAACTTCAGGGTGATCCGGCGCTTGATACAAGACGATCCACTGCTCAACTATAGCACCCATGGACATACTGACGCCGCATAAACACAAGAGGTGAAGCGAACAGAGCCAAATCTGCTTTGCTGTAAACCACGAGGCGATAAATTGGTCCATGGACCGACTTAGTCGGGAACAATTTCCATCTTGGGGAAGTAGCCGAGTTGTTGAAACATGGCGATGGAGTCTTTGGCTTTTTTCCCTTCCTTGACTGGAAGACACTCTCTTCGGCTCAAGAGTATAAATAGCAAGAGAGATAAATTAATAAAAGAAGAAGAGAAACGACGGTCTTGTTCTCTTTTCATAAGAATTAACACAGCATCCCATTGCTGTTCGGACAGTGACCGAGAGAATGACATGGCGGGGCAAAGGGAGGCCTGCTGTTGGTTGACTGTGACGACAAATGAAGCCTGGCAATTGGGCAGGGCGACAGACACCCTAGACACTCCCGCATTGTGGCACTGCAAGTTTCCCTATGAGGTTAATGTTGCTGGGCAAGAGGGGAGCAGATGACAGATGAGGTTGTTGCCGAGAATACCAAGCTATAGCCTGGGAAGGTTATACAGCAAATTTATGAGAAATTGAAGAATTGGAGAATTGGGCATTAACTCTTAAAGATATTGTCAGTCGCGGTGGAGCCTCACTTACTCAACCCGAACGCGCCCGAATGACGACAAGGGGGAGGGGAACTCGAGGTGTCCTTTCCTAATTCGACCTAGACACGGGCACTTGCGCGCAGCCCATTCCTACCCTACAAACTACCCCGGATTTGAGTAATAAATAACCTTACCCAGCGCCTAATGTCTGTGATTTGTGTGGATTATTAATGCATTTCTTTTCTTTGCGGCATCTAGAGTGCGTGTATACTTGAACAGAGACTGAGGTAGTTATGTTAATTACCACGTACAGTTAACGTCTAGTTGCATGTGGCTATTTATGGTTACTAATCTCTCTTAATGACATCCATAACGAGCTGTCGATTAAAGCGTTGTAGACCAACGGCCATCAAATCCAAGGAACATTTTCAATAGCAAGGTTCAAAAGGAAAGTCTACGAAACATAGACTTGTAAGTGTCACATAAAGGATAAATAACGTAGTTAAATGCACACATTTTCTCAACATCTTTCCTGTCACGTTTATGACTTACCTCCGGACTACCTTGAAGAGTCACAACCGGGCCGGTCATCGGTTTATCTATCACGAACGGAGCCGGGAGGTTAACGACAACAAACCGTTAGACAAAGTACCCGAGACCGTCTCCGAAATATTACTGTATTCGTCAGGTTAACTATTTGAGTAGATTTATCCAACTTCCTGTTTAGATCTCCATTGCATCCCGTCAAGAACTAATCATTTGATCACACAGCCTGTTTTTTGCAGTCAATACCCTATACCTGTTGTAGCTCTATCATGCTTGAACCCCCAAGCTACTATCAACAACTCCATCCTCAAATGCAGCTACCGGCTCGCGGCATGCGGAGTCACCACTTTAGGTTCCTCAAAATCCTACAGTCTCCAATTGACGGCTGCTCAATGGTCAGGTTAGATATCGGCTGCACCACCACCATTGCATGTGGCCGAATACCCCTTCGAGTAGGTATATCTTGATATCAGTGACATGAATTCGAATACAAGTGCTCTATAGTACCCTAGGTACCTTTGTTTCCATGTATACATCTGAGAGTTCGGCGAAATGCACCGAACAACTCTATTGCCTGATATCTCGGCTCCGATGCGACTCATCTATCATGTTGCTGAATGAGTAACCTCATGCAGGTTCACGTATAAGAGGTAGACCAAGAGCCACGCCAGAAAACATCACTCTACACAAACAATCTTATTCAATTATTTACCACAATCAACATTACTCACAATGGGCCGCTTTGATCTTGAATATCCTAAAGAGGCCATTAACACCGTCAAGCGCGAAAACGACCGCGCTGTCTATGCCCTCAAGACCATTCATCACATCGTCAACTCCTGCCAGATCCTCCATGTCTCCTTCAATACCCCCCCTCAGCCCTTTCCCGTCATTCTTCCCATGATCGGTCAGATGGGCTCATTTGATCGGCCCAGTGCAGATATCAGTGACCCATTAGACCTCTATCTGCACGGGTATGTCTCGAGTCGCTTTGTCAATTTGGGTCGTGAGTCCGGCGCTGAGAAAGGCCTATCCGTATGCGTTGCTGCATCTCACGTTGATGGCCTTGTTTTGGCCTTGTCATCCTTCTCTCACAGTTACAACTATCGCTCTACTGTGCTCTTCGGTCACGCGACGCTCGTGGAGGACGAGGAGGAGAGAATGTATGCCATGGAGCTCATTACTAACAGTGTGGTACCGGACCGCTGGCGACACACCCGTCTTCCGCCAACCAAGGCTGAGCTCCAGAGCACTGGTATCCTCAAGGTAAAGATTGCTTCCGGAAGTGCAAAGATACGCACGGGTGGCCCTCACGACGACAAGAAAGACACAGAGAACGAGGCCATACAAGATACAGTTTGGACAGGTGTTCTGCCAATTCACGCGAGCGTAGGAGAGCCGGTGGCTAGCTCGTACAACAAGGTTGATGTGCCAGATTACTTGGCGGAATTTTCGAAAGATCTCAACACTGACAATCAGCAGTATGCTGTCAACGCTGCAAAGGATACTTAAGAGGCAATTGGCCACGGGACACAGTGTAGATATCTAGTTATAAGGTTTAGGCCAAGAACATGTCAGGTTTCCTCCTAATACCCAAAGCGGAACTAAACACAACAGTGCAGATTGGGTATGTACGGAGTCCCCAAGGAGACAAACTATGTACAAAATAAACGAGCGTTCACCATTGCTCCCAGATGTAACCAGGCAGCACAGATCGCATGATCTTCCAGTGCCCGGCAGCGCTCTCCTGATGCCACTTGGTAACCTTGCTGGTCTCGTTCTTGTTGAGCACGTCCGTAGCTTCACCCTCAAGCAAAAGCTGCTCCTGAATCTCGTGCTTAGGCAACAACAGGTTGCGTCGGACCTGGCTCTGGAGGAAGTCCTTTTGGGTAGGGCGACGGAAGGTAACATCTCCAGGAGTCTTGCGGCAGAAAATGACCATGTTGGTGAAGTCGCTTCCCCACTTCTCAACGTCGGCCTCTGCGCGTGCATGCTCACGGAAGATTCGGCATGAGGGGAAGACCTGCTTGATGGTGCGGTAGATGAGCTGGGGGGTAGGAAGACCAAAGTCACCAGCATAGTTCTGAAGAATAAGTTAGTACGTGAAGGAGTCTGATTGATGGATGGTCCACTTACAATGGCAATGACTCCATCAGGCTTCAGCAAGTCTCCCAAGCCCTGCAGAAACTCGAGAGTAAAGAGGTCGACAGGCTCTGCACCACCAGTGAACACGTCATGAACGATGTAGTCATAAGTCTTGGATTGCTTGACGAGATCAGCGGTGTAAGAAACAGCATCAGCGACCGCAGCAGGGTTATTTTCGCGGAGATCAAAGTATTTCTGAGCAAATTCATGAACCGCTGGGTCAATCTCAACAACAGTAGTATCAATGCCGTGAGAGACAAAAGCAGAAGGGGTGGTTCCGATACCAAGTCCACTATATCATGTTAGTGAGTTTGTGGCAAAAAGCGCTAAAAGGCGACTTACACGACGAGTGCGCTAGCTTCGCTGTCAAGCAGAGGAGCCTCCCTCTCAACAAGACGGACAGCCTCGAGCATGACAAAGACGCCGTAAATAGGCTCAGACACCCGGCGGCCGTTAACGTGAACCCACTGGCCACCAAGAAGACTGTGGTCGCATCGCATCACACGATAACCTCTATCCAGACTCTCAATAACCGAGACATAGCCGGTCAGCGATTCGCGACGGTCCAGTAGTGTCCAGTTCTGAGAGATCAATGTAGTGTTGAGAGATTCCGTAGCCATGGGTGTCATGACGTGAGTGTTCAAAAGAGCCGTGTGCAACAGCGCGGGAACCGCCAAGACAAGGTACTTGGATGGTGCCATAACTGCGTAGATAGCTCCCAAAACGAGCTCCATACCAACGCGAGTGAACACAAAGGTAGTTCCAATAACACCCTGCAGCTTCTCCATGGTGAAGTTCTCGGAGAGTCTGAAAAGAGCCCACGAGACAATACCAGGCGCCGCATCTGCGACAAACTTGGGGAGTGCGCTCAGGTCAGCATCTTCAAGAATATCGGCCACGGAAGCGGACGAAGCAATTGCCAAAGGGATCAAAGTCAGACCCTCAATAATAAGAGGACCCCACCAAGCACCCATGCGATCGGTGAAGCAACCAAGGAGAAACTGGACAGCCGGAATGTTCAGGGCGATGATTGGGAGAAGCTGGAAAGTCGACAGAGGAATGACCATACGGAGGATCAAGTTACCAGCCCAGCCGATGAAGCACGCAACCTTGAGAGCGGTTGCGTGCGTGACAGCAGAGGGGATGGAGCCATAGATAGGGGAGAGATTGAGCTGCGACGCGCTCGACGCGACACCCAAAAGGCCCAGAAGCAAAAGGGTCTTCGCATAGACCAGAACCTGTCCCATCGCACGGTTCGTCCAAGTATCTTCCTTGGCCTTCTTCGCTAGATCCTTGAGTTCCTTCTCAAAGCGTTCTGGTGTGAAGCCTTCAGGCGCGCCAGTCGCCTTGGCCAATTGGCCGTTTTTGTCGGAAGCCATTGGGAGATAAGAAGAGAGCAATCGAATGAATACAAAGAATATACAACTAAAGTATAAAACAAATAAATAAAGGCGATCTGGTCTTGCGGTTCAAATGGCCTGCACCTGAAGCTCGTAGACGGTTGGATGTAGATGAGACAATGTTAATTAAGGTTGACGTGGCGGCAGTTTGGTTTCTTTATTGGTATGATGTGGCTGGTGATGTGGCTGTGTATAGTGGAATTGGGGAGATTGTATGGAGCAACTAGGAATAGTCACGATACTCCGTAGTCGTTTCGAACCTTAGATATGACTTGTACATACATCTCTGATAGGCTGTTAAACTGTTTATATATCGGATTATCCTAACTACATTATATTACTATGGCGGTTTAGAGCAGTTCATCTGGAGCTATACGTTCCTTCTTATGGAGGCCCTATTTCTCCTGAATCATTTGGATGCTCCGTCAGTCATTCACGTAGTGAACCTTTTACCTTTAGCTCGCCGGGTATACTTTTAGACCCTTAATGAATGCAATGCTCTGAATAGTACACTCCCGTTTCTACCACGTTGACGGTATTCATACACCACGAGATGCCACAGGGCAAAAACATAAACTCAAGTGACACCACAAGTGCTAGTGATACCATTTCTCACATTATGCATAGCTCATAACAATCCAATCTAATCCAAGGAATCATGCTCGCCTTACTTTATGCAAGATCCGATCATCTATGCTTGTCGTATCCCCTGATATAATGCGCCGCATGCCATTCCGTCATGTCTCGGGCCCTTCCGGAGAAGCCCTGAGAAACCCAGGTATCATTCGTATCAAATTTGAATGAGGAAAAAAGAAAAAACCATAATAAGGCGTCAAACGATGACAACATGCCTATGCCAACTCCTCAGCCATACCAAAAAACACAACGCCCCAGCGTCAGAAACGCCCGAACGATGCAAACCGTGGCCACATCCCGAAACAAGACATTGAATCATTCCTCCATCCTCGTAGTTGCTTAAATCGTAATGCCCCTCTATGTATCTCGCACTTGTTCTTCCTTCCCCGGTTTCTTACATGCGCGGTGGATAATCTTCCATATCGTCATCACTGCTGTCTATCTCTTCCTCTTCCTCGTCTTCCTCATCAGTTCGTGGACTGTACATATCAGATGCACCAGGCCTGCTACCAAGGCTGTCGAGGATACCGCCACTGAAAATGGGTGGTGCGGAAACTGAAAGATCGGCGTGGCTACCGTTTCTGCTCATCGAAGGCTTCTCTGGCAACTGCTTAAGCAAGCCTGTTGAAATGTCCAACATAGTCATAGCAAATATGGTCAAGCCCTTGCCCTCGCCAGGCTTCGAGCTCACCGAGAGAGTCCATCGATACTCTCCCAGACGTCGTCGATACCAATCGGCCTCCTCGCGACCAGGTGAAGTTGCCCAGAGCAGAGATCCAAATGTACCAATCAACGCAAAGTTAGTCTTGGAGGCGAAGTACCAGAACGAGCGCAAGTGGTTCGGTCCAAGTCGGTTAACGAAATCCATGGCAGAGATGAGACGTGCTTTGGCAGCACTGCGACAAATGTGCTGGACGTATGAGTCGACAGAACTTGATGGGGAGGCCAGAGATCGAATGATTCGTCGATGAAGCGTGATTTCGGCAGCAAAATATGCCAGATGGAGATATCCAACACTTGACAGTCTGCTAGAGGAAGGGTTAAGAGAAGAGTATGAATTGTCCAAGCGAATCAGCTGCGGTAGACCTCCGTACCACTCCTTCAATTTGAGCTGAATGGGTTTCGCAAGAGACAAGACTAATTGTGTCCCTTGTTTGCCTGCGTTTGCGACTGTGTTCATAGCCTGGAGGGTGTAAAAAGTGTCGAGAATCTCGGAGAGAATTTCCGATAATTGCACGACTCGTGTGAATAACAGTCTTCCTTTCTCAATATCCAGTTTCTCATCTGGGTCGTTCTCGTCCCACTCAACATCTGGAAAGTCGTTTGCAGTTAGAGGCTGAACACCCCAATTAGTAGAAAATATGTGCGATGGTCGGCCGTGAACGAGGGCGCCCCATTTGTCCTGCATGTAAAGCGCCCATGCCAATCTTTTCCTCAAGCCCTTCTCCCATGGCGGTATCTTCCAACCTGTGCAATCCAGATGCAATCCCAACTCGTGACCCAGTGCTACTAGTTGAGCAGTAGGAGCCCACTGGTCGCCTTCAGGCCTTTGAGAAAGCAGTAGACCAGCCTGAATCGTGGAAAGCTTCGGCCGAAAGGTTGCTTCATCCAAAGTTGCACGGACGAGGTTTTCGAGCTCCTTAACATTGGGTCGGGGTAAACTAGCCAATTCCTCGCTCTGATCCCACCAGTTGATGGCAAGAATGTAAACAGCTGCTAGTAGCGGCGGTGAAAACTCTCGATGGGATCGTTCATACTTTTCCATAAAGACATGTTTTTGAATGATAGGAAACCCTGGGTGGACAATTCGGAAGTAGATATCGATAAGACTTCTGCCATGAGGGGCCACGATGGACTCGACATGATCGGCGTCTTGCGTCACATGCTCGTGTCCTGGAGTGTTTGAATCAGGCAGCATCAAGAAAGTGTCGTGTTCGCTAACTTTGCGAAGGGTACCTCTGGACAGGAGACTCTCGTCATGAGGATCAAAGGAAGAAAGGTTGATGAGAGAGGGTTCAAAGTCGGTGGTAGGGCCAATATACTGGCTGTAACGGTCATCCTGCAGGCCCAGTGTACGTTTAAGCATGGTCGGGCCGCCGACATTAGCCATCTCCTCCAGGAACGAACTGCTAGCGGCGGTGCTGGAGAGACTGGAGTTATGGTTTCGTCGCCTAGATGCGAGACCCGGTGAACTGTACGAGGCCAATCATATGTCAGACAAAGGCAATGCAAGGAAGAACACGAGTAATGTGAGGGATACCAAAAGAGAGAATTTGAGTGTAGAAGGAAACGATAGACGCAAGGGAAAGGTACGCGGACTGGTGGAGCAGCCTGCTGCAGTCAAGCCAGGGTGATTTGAGTGTGGAGGGCTCGGCACGGCATGGAGTTGGAGATGGAGATAGAGATGAATATGGGGATGTTGGGTTGATCTGACCTTCTTTTCCCGATGATATCGTCGTTAGTCTCGCCATGAAGCTTCCTTTTTCGGGACGGCGGGCTAGAAGAAAGGGAACATTCGGAGCCGGCAGCTTGGCACTGTATGCAACCGTCGTCATCGTCGTTAAGGATACAGTTGACGCGTGAGTAACGGCATGATAGACAGGGTGGGAGTGAGGAGGCGTTGAAGGATGAACCCTCAATGGGCGCAGAGCTGGCAACGCCGTGACCCATCTCGAGCCTATGAAAGCTGTCCTGGCGATAAGCAGAAGGTTCCGGCCGTGGAGGTTTAGGAGCAATGGCGATAGGCGCCGTTCTCTGGACCGGGGCTGTAGACTGGGGAGACATGGTGGGAGGTTATCCGTAGATCCACGGCGATATACGGGCAGGCAGTAGCCAGGTCAGCGATCTGCGATCTGCTATCTGCTATCTGTTATCTGCGATATGTAATCTGCTATCAGAAAAGAAGAAGCAGAAGCAGTAGCAGAGCAGAGTAACAGCCGAACAATCAGAGGGTGTGTTGCTGTCAGGGCCGAGCTGACTTGTGTTACACACAAGAATCACAGGCGCCCGTTGCCCTGCAAAAAACGGGCGCAGGATTGGTCTGAGCCTCAGTGGCTCTTGAGCTGTCAGAATCTTGGGGGTGCAGTATGCAGTGTGCAATGTGTAGATGCAGTAGATTTCCGATATGATTATGGTTATGGTATGGTACTGTATGAGTGGTGGTGACGATAGTAAGAAGATAGTACTGTAAGTATTACAGCAGTGGCAGTAGCCTGTAGGTAGTTTTTTTTTGTTTGGGATAGCGATAGGCCCAGGCCCCACGGGGTCAATAGTGACGCAATGTGTTAGAGCTACGACCACTGAGAAGCGAGATGATAGGTATCGATAGCTAATAGAACCACGTTATCCAAATCGAGTCGAGCGAGTTGATTAGAGTCACACGCACGACACGAGTCAATGGTTGGTGCGAGATAACAGTAATAAATCTGGGGAAGCGGAGGATGGGATAGGGGACGGGATGTTAGAGGCGATATGATAAGATGATGCAAGACAGAGCAAGGCAATGCAAGCAAGAAAGATGGAAAAGAAGAGAGGGAGGGAGAGGGAGAAGGGAAAAAAAGAGATAAGAGATGCCCGAGCAAAGCACAAAGTGTGTGTAAGTGACAAAGAGAGAGCGAGCCTGAGAGGGCAAAGAGTGGGATCCAAGATGCTAGGATCCAATGTCAGGGACTCCAGGGACTTTGGGCGGGCGCAGATGGACGCCGATGGAGTCGGGTTGGTCGACAGATGGGAACGGGAAGACCAGGGCCTTGGAAGGGTCTTGGGTCTATCTGATAAGGCCCTTTTTTTGTGCTGCAAGCGGGGAGGTAGTCTACTAAAGGTATTGGCAATTGGTATTGACTAAGAGATCGATAATCAAGTTCAAGTACCGACCTCGGTCTCTACCTGAAAGAGGTATACTTATTGTTGAGTCAGTCGGTTTCTCCTCTTTTTTCTCTTCCATCTGTTCTCTACAAACTGCAATGGTATATGTCGGTTGTGGATGAGAGAAGAGATGCGCGATGACCCGAAGACTGTGCTGTACTGCACGGCGATGATGCGATGCGACAGCCGTTACCCCAAGGTAGTGGGATGAGTAAGGATATTGGGCGACAACAGGGCAACACAAATAAAGAAAATACTGTTTGTTGCTTGGTACGCCCGCCTGTGAGTTATCAGTTGTCAGATGTGCTCTGGCTGGTTGATTTGGTGCTCCCACTGTCACAAAAAATGTCTTGATTTCTTGGGTCTGCAGGCGGGGGTATCGAAAAAGCCTGGGGAACCGGGGATAAGATTGGACCGGAGACTGGGTATGGAATGCAGGGCCAAGGGCAGGGTCCTCGGTGCTCAATGCTCGCTCAATGCGTTTTGCTGACCTTGTCCTTTCCTTTTTCTCTCTATTCTGACTTGATTTTGACCCGATTCGACGTTGGCTTGGCTTCTTCTACCCGGAGTAGAGATAATCTGGAGAAGCTGTCGTGTGTGCGAATGACAAGGTAGTTGGCACGTCCGTGATAACGACACGATGCAGCGAGGCGAGATAAGCTCACGAGCCTATCAGATTCGACGTCATTCAAAAGCAAGGGAAAACCACCGACTGGGCCAGAAAGAGCTACCTAGTCGCCTGGTGGCGCGATTGCCGTGCAGTGTAGTAACTTATTTATATCAGAGCATATTAAGAGAGATGCAACGGAAGGTCGCTTACCTGTTCCGTAATTTATGAGGTTGGTCACAACATATAGCCTCCGAGAGTGAGTGAGGAGAGAGAGAGAAGGGTAAAAAGGTAAAAATAAAAGAAGAGAGGGCAAAGACAGCAGAGATGATGCTGCTACTGTATAGAGGGCTTTGGGGAGTTCAGAGTGCAAAAACGCAGGCATGTGAGAGCCCATGGAATACTTCCGGCTTGGTGATATTCCCCGCATGGTTAAAAGTACCTGACATGGCCTCTTCCAAAGGGTCCCCCCGTCTCCAGATTCGATCCCCAAGTTTCTCCTCTGATAGTTTCGGGACAAGCCTTGCCAATAACTAATGACTAAAAGCGTCAACCCCCCCAAACTTTGAGGCTCGGAGGTTGTCCCGAAAAAGGCATCTCAAGCTTAGAGAACACGAGCCCAGGAAGGTAGGTAGATAGATAGATACTGAACTTGAGTACCATGAACTGTCATGTCCTCAGCCTGAATGGTTCTTTTGCTTGTCCTTGCAGGTAATTAACCAGGCAGGGCGTTACACTCATTGGGTCAATGGGCTGGAACATCAAACCTTAAACTCTGTCATTGGGACAAATCCACTCGCTGCAAACCATATCAAATCCTCCAAAGTGCAGTCGCCTTCCAATTTCCGATATCTTTAGAAAGCCATCCCTCCGCGGCGGAATCTAGCCCTGAATCATGACCAACGTCGAGCCATCGCACGACCCTAGTCATGTAGACAAAAGATCAGTGCAGACAGCGCAAACGGGGGGATTTCCTCGGCAGCGGCGTTGTCACCAAAATGCCCAGACAAAAGACAAGACCAGCTGGTTTTCCTTAATAATAAGCCGAGGAGGGGAAGAAAGAAACGGGCCACATCATGATTAGCCCCAGGCCATAGCCATAGCCAGGTCCAGGTCAAGGTGGTCTGGTGTGTTGATGTGTAATTACTCTGTACGCCCAAGCGAGTGAGGATAAAGGCCGTGAGTTGAATGGACGAGCAAGCTTATCTCTAGAAAATCAGAGGAGATAGAAATACATAATGGCAAAAGATAAGTTAAAACGCAGAAAAAGAGGAACCCCCGGCTTTGAGAGACATTTTCCCTGTACAACCACAGATGGGCAGCTTTAACACCATCTTGAGAGGGAATCTCGCGGCAGAAACGTACAGTATACTTAGGACGTGGCGATAATAGCTGTAAAAGCTAAGTATCGTATACCGGTAGACCGAGGGCGTCTCGCTGAGCCCATTACCAAATGGAAAACCATCTCTGAGCTTGTCTTGCCTCATTCTGCATGGTCCGGCAGTTGTTTTAACGTAATGGCTCGTCCGGGGGTTGGATTTACCGCTGTAGTCAAACAAAGACGTCTCACTCTCACTCTCAAGTCTTATCCTCTGCCTACTCTCTTCATGTTTCTGTTCATTGGCTGCTAGAATAGCCTTTTTGTCCCATTGGTAAAAATCCCCGATGTCCCTTACTGTTGGATTCGCTCGGTTGAGATGCGCCTCAGCTCTAAAGACTAAAAACACCGCAAATCTCCCCTATCTGCCCATTTTTGACAACACCGGCTCGCCGTTGGCGGCTGCATTGTCATACCCGGCGCCGAGAATCCGACTTGCCCCGGTATCCGGTTCACGATATGTATCCGTAAACTCGGTGAGGTTTTTAGCCAAAATTAACCTGTCATCAGCAAGTTGTCTCCGGATGCCAAGTGACGATCTTGTTATATCTCGTTGATAGGTAATAGCAGAGAACATCACAATGTCAAGAATAAGAAAAGCCGTTAGTCAGACTTTACCGAAGCCTTGTATTGATCAGCTCCGGCGAACGTTGAGAGCGCCCCACACGCGACAGCTTCAACCAAGATCTGTCAGCTCTCACAGGTATCAACAGATAGATAGCTTCAGATCCTTTGGGACAAATACATATTTTATGATTGGTCAACATCCTCATCATGATCCGAAAACGTCTCTGATCTTGACTCAGCAAAAGACTTGTGCCCGTGGGGACTACAAGGATGTTGAGTTGCGGTTCGGTTCTATCCCGGCCGTGCACGGGCCAATTCGTCAAGATCAATCAAGACGGATTCTAACCTAGAACGAGCAACATCTGAAAGGCGTCATTTGTTAGACCCGGAGCTTTTAAGACGACTCCGTTTGACGGAAGCGCGACGTAACTAATAAAAGTCCAGACTCCAGCTACATTGCCGGGCCCGCTATTTACCAGAGCGACTACCTGCGGCTTGAGCCAGTCTCTCCATCCAGTCCGAAGGTCTGCCCTCTCTCTATTGATGTCATATTGAAGACGCTGGCTCAACTGCCACGTGAAGGTGGAGTCGATTAGCGATAACCTTTTTGGCGGTCTATCGTGCAATCGAACAGGCCTCTTTTCGGACTTCACTCTTGCGTCCAGACCATGATTCTCTCTTCATAGTTTTCCGTCGGTTCATCTGAGCCACGTTTTGGGAGCACCATGTCCAGCTCTTCCTTGATATGAAAGCCAAATCGTTGGTAAAAAGACACCGCATTCATGGTGGCCTCAAGAATGACTGGCGCATTCTCTGAAGCTGCCTCAGCTTGCACTCGTCGAAGTAGAGCAGATGCAGTTCCTCGACCCTGGAACTCTGGATCTGTACAGAGATATGTCACATCTAGGGGGATGTTAGTTTCATGTAGTAAACAACTGGGCTTGCTTGAAGCTATAAGTTCACACATAATGGACTTTACTGTCACAGTGCCCGCTTGACTCTGCCTGACTTACGATAATACGTCTTGTCCCCCAAAACCTTGTCTCTCTTACTTTTGGTGAGAGCTGCGTATGGCCCCAAATACTGACGCCCACAAAAGTCTGGAAACTCCTCATCATCTTGGTCCTCACTCTCTTCCTGCCGCGATTGCCGCTGGATATTCCATTTGGCAAAACTCGCTATCTTCCCAGTCTCTGAATCACGCGCAACAAGAACACCCTTGTCAGCGCTTTGAACATGGTCCTCAACGTCTTTGAGTAGCCAATTGCGCATGAACTCCTTGCTCTCGGGGTTGGGAAATTGAGCATGTATCAGCAGATTGATGTCCATAGCAGAGAAGAAGGTGCTGGCCACGCCGGGAGCATCTTGCTTTGAGGGAACAATGATTTCGAATGTCATAGCAAAGATGTAACGTATAGTAGGTAGTTAGTGAACGACAAGAGAAGTTGTATAAGTTCAAGGTTGCGGTCAAAATCGACCAGAACCTCCATGATATTATTTGTGGCCTAGTTCTGGAGCACGTGACAGCCAGGAATGTTCAGCAATTCTATCTTCACTTTGAATTGCCTCGCATTAGAAAGAAGAGGACACATCTATCTCGAAATAGCCTCTGGGTATGTTGGGTGTATCGCTACAATGCTTCGTTACTACCGTGCTGTGTTAAAGGTGACACAAGGTCTAGGTCTCGAAACTCTAATCACCCATCAACAACAGCGCGCAATGAACAAGATAACATCCTCGTATACAGTCACTCCCTCCTGAGTGTGCCATGTATCAAATTATGGTTTCGAGAATTTTCTCCCGTTGTAGGCCATATCTCTAGTCAAGTCGGTAGTTGTCTTCTTGCTAAGCTGCTCTAGCATTTCCCGAGTTACTAAGGTGAAGTACTTACTGTTCGAATACTCTCCATGAACTGTCTCATATCAGCCCTGGAGCCATGCAAAATTTCAATCGTGTGATGATTGAGCTAGGCAGAGTTTGTCTCGGATCTGACAATGTGTAGGATCGACTCGTCACATCAACTGATGGGAGAAAACGTACGAACGCTCTGCATTCAAACTGTCAATACTAAAGAGTAATAGAGATACTCGGTGTATCACCTAGATTGCCATAGTCATACGAGTCACTTGCTAGAAAATGGTACGAGCTCAAGGTCGATGGTAAGAGGTTATATCCTGAATAGATGTGGAATCCTAATTCTCACCTAGTACCACCGTTGACGGTTTCAGCAGTCCTCTTGTCATATATAAGCATCTACGATAGATTCTGTAAGCTTGAAATCCCATATGATTGTATTTAGGTGCGCTTGTCTCCACCATAAGTAATATGCTTCGTAGCAAACCAGCGGAGAAGGACGCCTGATTAGAGATTCGTTGGTGACGGCCAGAGATATCGGCATTCTATCTTAGTCGTTACATCTGATCATCACTAAAGCAGAGTATGAGAAGAGCGGGGAGAACTTGCCAGAGTTTAATGTACAGCAGCCTCGTACCTACCACACTCGACATAATGATGCAAATGTTTGCTAGTATATGCAGCCCTGGAACACCGGTCGGATGTGAACTTACTACCTAGGTAACATGTCACCCAAACCTACATGTGTCGATAATTGCTCGGAACCAGGCAAGAGAACATGACGACAGACGGTCACACGAACTTAGTTGAAGAAGGTGGCATTGTGGGTTTTCAGGAACTCATGACTAAAAGACGGAAAAGACAAAGTTTCATAATAAGTGCATCGAGAGATAGGCTGCAAACGAGTTTTGAGACTCGTAGTACGGAACTCATCGATAGAAACTTGCCGATAACTTGATCATTATATCTCAGATTGACAAACCCGACTCACTCAGAGAGTGGCTGGGTATTGTCACTTGTAATGAAGGCATCATTGGACTACTTCAACAAAAACTGTCTCCCTAAGAAGTTTCACATCGCAACTGTACTACGACATATTATCAATTAAGTAGGCCGATGAGATAGAGTGATGTACGGTATGACTGCAAACGCAAGTATGTTTCAAGAGCATAAAAGGACTCGAGAGTGAATGATTGAACAGGAGTGGTTGTCTAGATATCATACATGTCGTTCTTCCGATACTGCCTGACCTGGTTGGTGTGAATTCTACGGAGTAGCTATGGATGACATACTACAAGACATGACTAACTGTTCGAGAAACCAACAAGAGCTGGCGGCTTTCATCTAATCATCTTACCGTCTGACGGACAAAGCCGCGAGCATCATTCGACTCCTGCCGATTGTCGTGCCATTTCATGTTTCTACGAGTGTACGCTCCTCCACTCTCTCATCGTTACTTCAAAGGTACAAGACAGTAACATCACAGAACACATTATGAACGGAACTCAGAGTGTACAAAACAAAGGGGCCGCTATATGGCAACTATAGACCTAGTCTGGCGAAAAATACAATCGTGACTCCCCGAGTCTGCCAGGGATTAAAATTACTTAAAAGAATTTGTGCGGTTTGCGAGTGGTCCCTTGATGCTGTAAGCCGCAGCAAGGCTTAATAGCCAGCCGGCGGCAGATGTGATAAACAAAACGCCCCTATGGGTTGGGTATTTAAACAGGAGGGTTGAATGAAGGAAGCTTGCCGCCACAGGCGCTGACGGCCTTGAGAGCCTTGGCGTTGGTGAGGGCGACAGCCTTGGCGGGCTGAGTGCTGGGCTTGCCGTAGATGGGGAGGTCGTCCTCAGCTACAGGAGGAGTGTAAGAAACGTCGTCGAGGCTGAGCTTCAGACTGGGGACGGTCTTGAGGTCGATCTTGGAGCCATCAAGCTTGACGATCTCAACCTGGAGGCCGCTGGTGACGGTGTCGGCAACCTTAGTAGGAGAGCAGGCACCGAGAAGCTGAGGGGTGTCGGCAGCCTGATCAGCAGAGAAGGAACCGTGGACGATACCCTCGGCAGGCTGTCGCATCACAACGAGACCACCGACGAGCTTGCCAGAAACGTAGACGTTGACCTGGGCAGGACGCTCAACCTCAGTGACATCGAGCTCGACGTTGGCGAAGTAGCGAGTGGTCTTGGAGTCAGCACGCTCCTCGTTATCACGGCGGCGAGAAGAACCGCTGCCGTAGAGACGGTTGATGGTGCTCTTGGCAGAGCTGGAGAGCTGAGCGGCAGACATGTGCCAGTACTCGAGTCCGGGGTAGGTGTATCCGAACCCCTTGATGTTCTTAACACTCTCGGAGGTGTGGAAGTTACCCCTGGACTTGTAGAAGGGGTTGAGAGGAGAGGTGGGGGTGATGCGAGTGCCCTGAGGAGTAGAGTAACGAGAGCCACCAGAGTAAGAGCCAGTGAAGCTAAGCTGGTTGGGGTGCATGGCCTGCCAGTAAGCCCAGAGACGGTCGACCTGGGTGTGGTGCATCCAGAAGATGGGGTCGAAGCCGGAGAACTCAGTGGCGAGGAACTGACCAGCGCAAGAGGCATCCCAGTGAATGGCGTTGTGGATCTGCTCGAGAGAAGCACCGTTGGCGCCGGTAGAAGCGAACTGGTTGAAGGTGGTGGGTCGGGTCATGACATCGTACACCCACTGCTTGTAGGGTCGCTGACGGAGGTTTTTGTTGGCGGTTCCGGGGAAGCTATCGGGGGCAGGGCAGTGGTAGATGCGGCTTCGGTCCTCATCGTCCCATTGTCCGTACTTGCCACTGAGAGCATCCTTGGGGAAGTTGTAAGTGTAGAGAGGGTTCTTCATGTTGATGGTCTTGAGACCGCTACCGTTGGGGACCTTGACGTTGACCATAGACTGAGTGATAATGGAAGGGATGCCATCGATGGCCCAATCCCAGAAGGGGGATCGCAGAGAGTTGGCTGCATCAACGTACTGCTTGCGGTACTTGGTAGGGTAGAGGTTGGCCAGTCGCTTGGCGTGCTCGACGAGGATCTGCTCGTAAAGCAGAACGTAGGGACGGTGCCAGGTCAGGAAGAGGCTCTCGCCGTGGGGACAGTATCCAGGCCAGCCATTGCCGCTTCGGCCACCACCACCGTTCCACTGAATGAAAGGCTTTCCATGAATACCAGCAACCTGGAAGAAGGACTTCCAATCGGTCTCCTTAGCGTCGTACATGGAGCGGACAGCTCGAATGTAAAGATCCCTGAGATATATGTTAGCATTGGAGGTGCCGGGCAGCAGCGCAGCAGACTTACCAGGTGGGACCACCGGCCTTTTGGAGGTCATTGATGTTCTTGCGAGAAGGAACAGCACTTCCACCAGTGACCGAGACACCAGTGACGAAGATGTTCTGCTGTTGAGCCTCGACGGGGTTGACACCGCCAACAACCGCAAGAGCGGCAACTAGAAACTTGCCGAGCATGATGATTGTCCTGATAAATAAAACGAATGTATTCGAACAGAAGTCGTGCGTCAATGTACGACTATGCTTGCTCTAAGGAAACAGGATCGAGAGAGAGGCGATTGAGAGAGTGGGAGACCGGCCGATATATAGACTGACTACCAGCTGAGCCATGACCACGGGGATAAGAATAACACAGGGGGTGTGCAAGCAAGATTGACGGCCATGATCCCTTCTCCGCATCCGAATCTCCGTCTTTGCCGTCCCAGCTGTCAATCATCGTCAAAGGGGTTCGTAACGCCCCTCATGGGGGCCCTAGATGACAAGGGGGAGGGGGTGCCTAGGGTGCGTAGGTACTCCGTAGGTAGGGCAAAGATCGATATTTCCATGGGATGGTATCCACAGATGAAGGAGTAGCAAAGGTGTGGTGGGTGAAATGAATTGTGACCCATGCACATGGCCATGGCCTCTCTTTCTCCGTCGCTTTAGTCTGGCTCTGCTCGTAACGCCACATTGGCCGGATCAACGTCTGTGTCCCTGAAGAGTGACAGGCCTAGTTGAAGCTGTCAAGCTGGGGGAGTAGTCAGCGCGCGGACGATTCAGGAATTCGCCGAGGCTTCAGTGTAAGGGGCATCAATTAATCAACCTGCGTACTCAGTACAGTAAGCTGCAATGCGTTGTTGTTGCTGATGCTAATGCTGATGGTGCGTCTTGTAGATGTGGTGTTGTTGATGGTGCGCAAGTACCTGGCACTTAACAGCAGGGGGAGAAGAGATTCTGCCCAGCCCAGCGGTACGTTGTACCTATTGGAACTTTACAGCCCTGCTTCTGGACCGCTTCAGCGGTTGGGGAAAGGGCTGCTGGGGGGATCTGGACTGGAGTTGTGCCTGGTCTACTGGTGCACTGCGCAGGGAACCCGGCTAAGATGGCAGTGAATAGTGGGGCGCTAGACTGTCGCTCAGCGGCACGACACGACATGGCACGACAAAAGACAAAAAAGACAAAGGGTTTGTTACCGTTTGGTAGGCTGAGGGTACTTTGCCCGGATACGTCGTAAGCGTGTGTTGCCGAGGTACCTACCGTATAATTTATAAATTGCGGTCCAATCTCACACTAGTTGCATCGTCCGTCTAGCGCCCAATTAAAGTCCCCTCCCCTGGCGCGCTTAGAGCCAGTACCTGAAATTCTAACATGGCTTGCATGTATGGCCGGGCTAGCTAGGTCAGATTTGTTCGTGATGTGGATGATCTGAGAAATAGTTGCGAAAAAAGAGGAAACATGATCGAATCGTTTTGTCACAATTGAGCTGACTACGTTTTGGCTTCTGTGAGACTGCAAAATCCTCCAGTCGATTACCGACGCCGCTCAACTACCGCTGACTTTGACGACGAGAAAATGCCGCTGAAGGATTCGAGTCCTGTAATTAAACGCCAAGACAGTTGCGATGCTCGGTCCAGTGACGGTCGCCCCTGTTGGACTGAATTTTGTCGCTGGGTACTCCGGTGGCCGGTACAAATAACTAGACGAGCAAGCAAAGCAAGTGGAAGCACCTGGATACTAAAAAAGGATCAACACTATGCGCGCGATACGCTCTGGTAGCCTACTGCAGCTGCAGCTCAGGAACGTCAGCCGCGTTCCGGGAACAACTCACGATGCGTCAAACCTACGTCAGGCGCCATCGGACTATTGAATGAATTGTTCCGCACCACGCAATTACCTAATTCATCGCATCTGTCGTGTGGTGGACAGCGGACTCTTGATGGCGATGGTGATGGGAGGCAGCTAGGACAACTCGCTACGACGTGGGTTTTTTTGGCCCTTACTCGTACGGGGGGTTTTAATAGAAACCTAGACGCGCTCCGGATCTTGACGGGGATGCCGATTTGATCGTCACAGAGTAAGAGTACGTAGGTCAAAGTCGGCTCATTAATACGAGGCTGTGGTCTGTGGCCCGTATACCTGGTGCAGCTCCAGAAAAAGAATGGAAAAAGAAAACAGCCACGTTTGTGGTACTCCATGTTTCTTAGTCTATACCTAGGTACAAAACAGACACTACCTAAGAAAGCTCTGCCCTTGGCTTCCTCTTTCAGCTCGTCTGATCTACCTGAGGCAGACAAACATGTCCAGATTGGGTCAATCGTACTCCGTAGGCCTCTTGACATTGAGAGAAAAGTACGGAATAAAGCAAAGCGAAACAAAACAAAAAGTTACTATGTACGTGTACGCCCATGAGCCTTTTTTTAGTATCATGACGGTTTAATTACGGCCACAGGTCCTCGTGGTTCGTCGCTCACCGTTTAAGCTAGACCTAATCTCCTCAGTGGTAGTGGCTTTTTTGCTGAGAGACGAGCCTTTTCCATCCACTCATGAAACAGCCACCCGCCCAGCTTGTGCATACGCTAAGGTACTGTACCTCCTAGGGCGTCACAGTTTGAAGACAGCTGAAGCTGGACCTCACAGCTGCTAGGCTTTGCATCTGCCAAGGGGCGGAGGCGGTAACCTTTTGTCGTTTTTCCCCATCGGCCAAATAGCGAGACTCAACAGTCATTCCCATCCGCCCATCTCATGCCTTTTTCTACTCAAACACTAGGGAAATCTGCAGTAGGGCCCGTGAAGCCATGTCTCAAGTAAGGGGCAACTTGCACTAAGGGAGGGCTAAAGGAGTGCTCCATTGCTCCAGCTCCTAGGGACATTCTAGCTCGACTCTAGCTGCTGCGCGTGATTCCGCTTGGTTTGGGTCTGTTCTATTTAGAACTATTGAATGTGCTAGGGTTGGAATTGCCTCTCATTAACGGCCCATTCGCTTCGATTTCTCCCCATAATTGGACATGCAATGGATTATGGCTCGACAGGCAATAAGCTGGAGCAGGCAAAAGAAGATGGTGTTCTGTCGTAAGCCCTCTGTATGCACGCATCAACCTTTCAACCACTTATATCCTGACAAGCCTGTGCAGACAAACAGCCTGCATAGAGCTGCGGCCAATCCCGTATTTCTATATGTCTGTAGGCGTCCGCCGCATGTAACTCGATGCACTCATCATTCATTGCCCAAAGGTCTAAAGGCCCAAAAGCGAAAACTAGTCAACTATTCTGATGTTTACGCTGGACAGCAAACCTCGTGTTAACCTACACACCGCCGGTCAACTCTGGTCCAACTGCATAAGCCCTCGATCCATTGACTTGCCGATACGAGCCCTATGAGTTTGGGACCAGCCAAGCAGATGTGTGTGATGTACAATCCAATGTCCAAATATGGTATCTCTCTGATCAGATCAGAGTTTGAACCGTTTATTGGGCGTTCGCCTCGTGCCTTGTGGCTCCCCGCGTCACGGCGGATGAATCGAGCGCCGATACGGTACGGCTGTCAGATCACAACGGTGTTTTTGTGGCTACAGAGTTGAGGGTATTTAAGGCCTGTGATCTTTCGATGGGCGTTGATCAAATAAGCTATTGAAGCATATACCGAAGCATCCAATCCAGTCATCACCTGACAACTACACAAAGAACTCTTCCAAGTCACAACTGTCAGCCTCGTGATAGTATCTCTATATGATCACGACTCAGTCAAGATCAGATTCAATAACGTGAAATCTTATTTCCTTAGCATCCATCCTCTACAAGTTTACACCCCAGTCTGGACCAACCTTGCGGCTGACTAGACATGCAACACACTGAGAACAGCGCAGTAGCATCAATATCAATCCTCCAACATTTAAAAATAATCCGATGATGCGATGGAATGAGGGGAACCCATGTCCATCCACCACCTAGTGGCTAGAGCCTCGATTGAGTCTGCACTCTGCAGTGCCAAGGTTGGGAGACTTAACATCAAGACCAGCTTACCCTTTCTATTTTCAATCTATGCTTGCCAACAAACCCAATATTTCACTGCTAGTGTCCCTTGACAGACTTGGCAAAAGATCAGCTTAGGATCTAAACAGGGTTGTCGTGTTGAACTTTTGCTTGCTTACAGCCTTTCTACAAAATGGGATCTTGATTTTGCCTCTTTTCTTATTCCCACGGCTACCCTACTTTAGTACTTTGCTTACGATGGATGTCGATCTCTCCAACGGCTCGGTTCCGGACGGCACTAGGCTTGCCAACATTTTGTCATGATGGCTTCTTGGTTTCCCACTCTCGAAGCAATACACGACGAGATCGACTTGTATGTTACCCAACATGGTATTTCTAGGTGCCTGTAGATCGTCTTGGCAAGGAAATGAACAAACAAACAAAAAAGGGTTGCCAGGAACATGGTTGATCCACGCAAGCACGTTACATTGGTTACACCAAACCGAAAACACCATCTAATATCTCATAACTACGGAGGATAAATCCAAGACAGTCTTGCCCGTCAGCCATACAATGCCTGAGTGCCACGGGCTATGACCCCTCCTGTCCACAAAATGTCTCAATGCAAGATGTTGAATTGATACATATCTTTTTTTCTATCTCTTTCCTATATGGCGCTACGCTAAAAGGTAGCCATCGCCTACGCATAATGTCACTCCTTGTGAACCATTGCATCTATACGATGCTGACCACGCCACCCTTTAGCCTCCAAACTCTCCAGTCCTTGGTTCATGCAGGTCCCGGGATACAATATTAGTATATTACACTTGAACTTTGTTTAATGCTATCCCAGCCGCTTACTGTGGTCCGCTTTTGAAAGAAAATAAACACAAATGTGATACAAAATGTATCCACGTCAAAGCTCCCACATGGTGTGACACTCGACTGCGGTCCTTCTCATGATCACCGTCTCAGCTGGAGCTGAGGTTAGACTTTGAGGGACTGCTCCAGCATCACAAGGCCCCGAAAGCCGTCCTTCCACCGTCTCATCTGCTCTGTATCTGGCTTCGGTAGTGGACTTCGTGCAAAGCCTCCGTAACCCATCCACGCCTGTAGTCCAGCCTTTACGCCCACCACACCGCCCTGGATCGCCGTCCAGTCGCCCTGTGAGACAACTTCCTGCATCTTTTGTGCTTCGGAAATATTGCCTTGCACATAAAGATCCATGGTCTTGATGCATGCCCTCGGCGCAATGTTGGCCAGCCCAGCCAGGATACCGTGACCACCTCCGGCCAGAGAAGGGATCAGGAAGTCAGCAGAGCCTGCGAGGACGAGAAACTCGGGCTGCCTTAGGTTGTATTTTGACAGCTTGCGAGTTGCTGCGACTACCCTGTTGAGCTTCCCTGTGTTGCCGCATGTCAACTTGACGCCTACAATATTGGGGTGCTGTGAGAGACTAATAATGATATCCGAGGACATATCCATGCCATTGACAGCACCCGGGTAGTTGTATACAATGATGGGAATAGGAGACTTGTCAGCCACTCTTGTGAAATACTCCAGGATGGTTTCCGAGGCCGGGCCAAATAACGTGGCATAGTAGGACGGAGGTAGCACGAGCGCATAGTCACCGCCAGCCTCCCAAGCCTCGTTGCAGTATTGGATAGTCTCGCGCGTGCTCTGGCTCCCGCACCCCACGATGACGGGCACATGCGAGAAGCCGCCGTCATTCAAGGCGGCTCTTGTGGTGGCGGTGACCAGCTGCCGCTCCGAGTGAGTGAGATGAACGGCCTCTCCGTTGGAGCCCTGCGTAGCAAGACCCGTGACACCGGCCTGAGCAAGTCGCACAGCATGAGCGGCAATTGCGGCGGTGTCGACGTCTTCTGTGTCCGGATCGAAGAAGCACATGGTTGGGACATAGACGCCCCGTGTTAGAGGACGAGCCACATGCTGCAACTGCACGTCAACCAAGCAGTCTTCTGCAGAAGCGCTGGTGGTGGGTGATGAAGTGTTGGATATAGATACGGATGTGAAGTTTCTGTTCTCGTCACTTGAGCTCCATTGGCCATTGCCGTATAGATCGTTACTGAAGGAACCTGCTGGCGAGGGCGCATCACTGTGAGGAGGCATGATATCTTGGAGTTGTTCTGGCTGTGTGAGAGATTGTAGTTAGATAATGTTAAAAAATCGTTGAAAGAATATTTGTGATAACGAATAAACAATACTATGATACACTTTCACTTGTTTCCATGGCATGAGGGATTGCTGGGCTTTATATCCTCTCCTCCTCTCCCAAAGCAAGACGATCCAATCCTTCCATTTCAACATCGCGGCTCAAACACCACTCCATTCGCAAAATTCCAAAGCTGATAACTCACAATACCTCAGCGGGGCCACAGTAAGTCAACTGATGCAATTCATTCACTCCGAGAGGACGAACAAACCGGTCAGCAAGACGCGCAGCTCCAAGATTGGCAGAGACAAATAGATACTCCGCTTGTATGCGTCTCTTCATGAGGGGAAGTGCTCACGGGAGTCGCCTTTTGGGGGTTACCATGCAGAAAATCCGGGGTTAATGGGAACCGAGATTCAGGGTTTAAGCCTCTTGATGAGTCTGGAGCGTGGGGGTAGGTTTGAGGCCATTCAATGTCCCCATTCTTACGAGTAGTGTGATGATTCTCGTGAGAGTAGTTGTGGTAGATACCGTGGAAAGATCGTGGTATGACTGATGCTGCGCCAAAGAGGCGCAGCATCGAGCGTATTGACAATTCCTATGAAGGCAAGCTATATACTACAAGCCGGCAGTTGTATTGTGTTGTGCCTCGAAAGTGAACAATTCTGAAGTTAACCGAAACTATTCGCAAATCGCTTCTACATCCGTCGATGTTCCATATTCCAACCGTAATAATCACTCGTGTAACCAACCCCGAGTCGTGGCAACTCTCCCATCATACACCTTAATCCATATGTCCATCATTCCTTGGTCAACTTTAGTTCAGCTGTCAGCTTCGGTGCATCATGATGTGTCATGTGTTCTCGACAGAACAAGTTTATCCAGCCCCAGACCTTCAATAGGATCAATTGTTGCGTCAGAGACGAACCAATTAATTGTTCAATTGCAACCCCACGATAATTATCCGTAGGAACGAGGAGTGAATGTGGCAATTGATATATATACAAGTCACAAGTTGTTAGGAGTCCTCGGAGCCTTGAAAATAGCATGTTACTTGAATTCTAGCCGAGGATCTTTGCGCAGACTCAAGGTCAGGAATACGTGACCTTGAACAATGATCTTAGAAAGAGCCTAGGATTACAGATGTCAGGAGTCAAGACCGTCATTATTTACATGTCCCTCAAGTATTTCAAATTTAGTAGGATACTTAGAAATTGAGGAGAGTTTTGATCTTTGATGAACCAAATATACAAACAATTGTATGGTAACGGTGACAACGAGCAACTATACTTGAACACTTTCGATTCCTAGCCCGTTAGATTGCGAGATCCCTATGAAGAGTATGGGCTGAGATGTATTCTGGTCAGCAATATTGATATCGTCTGAAAGCCGTGGCTCACTGACAGCTCAGCTGCAAAACATAACCTAGGAACACCTTAATATGATCACCATGAATAAGGAGTTAGTTATCCTTGAACATTCCCTCAGTCGAACATACCAAGACCAAAGCAGGCAACTTTACGAGTCTCTTGTTCTTACTCTTCCATACGGCAAGCCCAGCTGTGCGATGCACTGCGCCGCCTATACACAGAGGCCACGCATATCATCCTCGCTTACATCAAACTTCTCCTCACCATGCATGCAGTTCATTCTTGCGGGGGTGGCTTTGCTGATGTCGAGGTACACTGGGGGTCAAACATGGCACATTGTGACGTCGTGCCTTTAATCCGAACAAACACACAAATCCTCGGTCTACACAGGGAGTCACTGTGCTCATCATCCACTGGGTTGATGCAATCGGTAAGATCTGTCTTGATTCAAGCGATATCGACATAACTATGGCCAAAATCGTTCATTCATAAGCATACCCGAAACTTCTATTGCAACGCCAACCCACAGCCTCATGCTTGCCAATACGCCGTCTAAGTACCCCAAGAAAATGAAGTGAATATTTTACACAATAACCAGTTCGTCGTCGTCGTCGTCAAGCATAACCTGTCGATCGAGGAGTTCGGCTCCAAGGCTTTCCCTCCCAGCTTCCCGAATACCCTTATCTGTAACGAAACGAGTCTTTTTCCGCACTGGCGGCTGTCCATCCTTGCGCAACTTCTCCCCATCCTTCATCTTGGAGAGCTTGTTAGTAAGACCGCTACCCCAGCCAAAAGCCGACGGTCCGTTGTTTGTCATCGAACCGCTTTGCGACCCAGCTTGAGAGCTGTCGGGGCGCTTTCGCTTGACAGGGCTGAGGTGAATGGTGGAATCCTTTCCCAACAGTCCAAGTGACCTTGCGTCTGGCCTATGTATCTCATCCGCCATGTTCGCAGAGTTTGACTGCGAAGACGTGCCCGCGGCTGGAAGGTTTGTGGTCCGCGAACCAGAATATCGCATATACTCCCTTCCGGCCGCGTTACCGACCTGGCCAAGCTTCCTCATCATGTCGCGCTCTCTTTCCTTCAACTCGAGATCTCTTTTCATGAACTCTGCTCTCTCCTTACGGTCATTTGGTGTTCGATCCTTTCCATCAATCAGGTCTGCTGCACTCATGGTACGCGAGGCAAACCAATGCGTTTTCGTGTCCCAATCATATGTCTTAGCCGACTCGTCCTTCTTCTTTTCGGCGCCCCAGCCGAACACTTCCTTGGATTTGTTTTTCCTGGCGCCAAAACTGCTTCCGTTGATCTCCACTCTTGTCGATCGCTGTTTGCGAATAGCTTCGTTGGAGTGAAACTCACAATGCAGTGTCCGCTTCTTGTTGATCCAAACAGCGCATATATCCCCGTCCTTCTTGACCGATTGGCAACCCCCTAGATCGCGAGATGTGCCAATTTCAACAATCGAGTCATCATCCGAATTGATGACCAGACTAAATTTGCCAGTATCCTGTCGACCTGGAGGGGGCGGCATAATAGTAGGGTTGAGAATGCCAATAACAGTCCCCTCAGTGAGCTTCCAGTATCTTGTGAAGCCAGAATTGAAAAGGAAAAGATCCAGTTCCCATTCTAAATCGACTAGGGTCATGACCATGTATTTCCCTCGATCTTCTGTCTTCCCATTCTTCTGCGTCGGCTTATGGGCACGGGGGTCTGACTTCTTTGCCAATATGCCAAATATCACGATATCCTGTTCGATATCAGGCAGAGCAAAATCTGGTGCTTTGACATCTTTGAGTAGATCCTTGATCATATATACTTTCTTGCCTGACACATGTCGAGCAAGGACGCTATGAGGCAGAATCCTTTTAGACAAGTGAAAGCTTGAATATGGCTCAAATCCAGCGGCTTGTTCTTCAGACACTTCGCCAGGTGGTGTCTTCTTTTTCCGGATCAATGCTGTGGAAGTTGAGGCTGGGCTATCCATATTAGGAGCTTGGACGTTGGGCACGGTGTAACTCCGTTGTAAGCGGCCTGGAGGATTAGGCTTTCCCATGATATCCTCCCTTGAGAAGGACGGAGTTTGAAGTGGCTCATCTGGAATTTCGACAGCTTTCTTCTTGTACAGTTCCATCTCATCCTGACTAATCCCAAAAGTATTCGATCTTAACTTTTGAATCTCCTTTTGTCGCTGAGCCCGAGCAGCTTCGTCTGTCCTCACGGATGCCAGTCGTTCGTTGAAACTCAAAGGGCGATTTTCTGACGAGAAGGAAGAATTGGCGCTTCCCGTGGTCCTCGATCTTCGCAAGTAGCCAGCATGACCAATATCAGTTGTTGTCTGCGAGTCTCTGTAGCTAGGCGCACGTTTCAAAGAAATGTCTCTAGCCTTAAGGCCTTTGTCGATACCTAGCAATACCCTGCTAGGGGAAGTTTGCATTTGGGGTTCTTGCGTCCTTCTGACTGGAGAGGCCGGGACTTGAACGAGGCTTTGTTGTAGTGCGGGTTCGTCTCTTGTGGGAGTTGCTGCACGTCTCGAACGGCTGGGGACTTGAGTTGATATCACAAGCTCCGAGGTAGTCGTATGTAGATGCTCAACACTCTCGTCCGTCTTCTTCGTCTTGGCGGCTTGCAGCTTCTTTAACTTGAGCCGCGCCTGGATCGCTTGGAGCTTCAGCTGTAGCGTTTCCTCGTCTTCGTCCTCATCGTCGTTTTCAATCTCGGCCATAAGGTTCATCGAAGGCAGGTTACGACCTCTTTTCGAAGGCGAAGGTGAGGGAGATGTCATCATCTGTCGATATCGTTGTCTGCCACCCGGTGTGCTAATAAGAGCTTCGTGTGGAGATCTTGGAGGCCATTGGGTGTCGCTTCCTTGTTTTGCTGGTGATGCTGCGGTAGGTAAGGTCAGTAAGTTGTCGCAAAGAAGATCTTTCGGCTAAGCGATGGGGTCTCACCTGGAGCCATGACGATGCCTGGAACAGTAATCTAAGCTTTAAGCTGGTTGCCCAGAGACCAGCCCCGATGATATGTAGTTAGTGACCTGGAGGGATTGAATGTAGGTGTTGGGTAAGTCCTATAGCATATTCCCAGTTATGTCAGGGAGGTAGGTATTGGCTATGCGAGACGGCAGCCATTCAGCTGGACCTGTTCAGTCGCCAGTGGTTGAGAGAAAATATGCTGTAACTGCGATTTTCGGTTGTAGATGCAAGGAATGTTAGTTTAAGCGGTGTTGGATTGGACATCGACGAGTGGGCATCCACAAACCGGCCGGGCACCGTTAGTTAAAAGTTAGGTTCTCTCCACTGGAATATGCGCTGGCTGGCAACTGGCCAGTGCTGGGCTATCGACTGGGGCCCGGGGGGTCTTGGCGCGCCAGCCCCTTCTAACATTAGCTGATCCGCTAAATTTGAATCTGTCGTAACCCCTGCAACCGTCGCGTCGAAACGCGTCTCACCGTGTTTAATTCAATATCAGTTCGATCTCATCTTAATGTTTCCACTTCGTACTCTGAGCCAGGGCAATCTTCTTTGGAGAGCATCAACATCTCGAATTTATACCCTTATTTTCTCTGGATTCTCTTCAGAATAGCATTGTACATAAGTTATTAATTCACTTCACGCAAACCATCATAATGGCGAGGACACGGGCGACGAAAGCTGCTCCCGCAGATACTAAAGTATCAGAACCTAAGACTACTACCTCCAAGTTTAGTCTATCTACTCGAGTAGAAAATCCTTCCAATGTTTTCATTCTTCCCTCCAAAGCGACATCCGAAGCGCGTATTGTCACTCTCCCCAACCCCAGACATGGCCGACCCGCGAGATACTTGGTGTGTCCAGAGACAGGCATCTACGAATTCACAAAGATTGCGACACCAAAGACAACGCCACGAAGCTGGTTAATCGAAACTGCATCAGAGTCGACTCCTGAGGATAACTCTAGCAAAGCTGGGGTGTCAATGGGCCAAGATCTATTTCTGGCTACGTTAATTGACCCCCTTTTCCTCGTCCTTCCCGCCTTGACTGAAACCCAATCCAAAGGCTCGGAAGAAAAACGGCTCTTCCTTTCTAGCGATGACCACTTCGATAAGCTACAACAAGACTCGTCACATTTATCTGAGATACTGCGATGCGATAAGACAAGGAAACTCATCAAGAGTCGAATGGCCGTGGTTTGCGATACCGTCGAAGCTGGAGACGAGAGCATGTTTCGAATAAATGAGAATAAACTCGCCAATGCCATTCTGGAAAAGGCAAAGAGGATGCGCGAGGGTGGCCTTGCTCCAAGCATGGAAGAGAAGTTTGTGAAGAAGGCGCTTGAAGCACCGATTCTTGTGCAGAAACGACAGAGTACGCAGACTACAACAACAACAGCAAAGCCGGAGGCTCAGACGCCGACTGCAGAGTCGACTGATTCCCAGTCAACCGTTGCCACAGCTGAATCAGAAGCATCTCAGCCTTCAGCCACGGTCACGTCTTTCACAGAGGAGACTGTCACGGAAAGTATTGTTAGTGCCATTGAGGCATCTACAGCTATCCTCGAGCTCCAGAGGCTACGCATCGCTTTCAGTTTCATATGCTCAAGTTATGTTGCCGCCACTCTTACTGCTCAATTGGAGAACCTGTTGAAAAAGGAGGTTATGGTAGATTTTACGCCTTTAGACGATTACCTGGCCAAACTCGCGAAACTGCGTGCCGAAGCTATGGCTGCACATTCTATTGACTACTCTCGCAAGCGTGGCCTTGATGAAGACGAAGATGAGGCTCTTGTGAAAAAGAGAAAAATAGAGGAGGAAAAGAAGAAGAAATCATTGGAGAGCAGGGGAGTCCGGGATCTCAAGAAAGTCAACACTACGGGCATGAAAAAGATGAGTGACTTTTTCAAGAAGAAGTAATAAGAAGAAGTTATATTGGGTATATGTCATAAAAGCGTGAGATGAACGGGAATTACTCTCATTTGGTCCCTCTGGCTCGGCGCGCACCAAAACCTCGACCAATGTTAGTGGTCCCACGGCTCGGTATACTCGATGAGCTGTTTCCGGATGTGTAGCTTGAGCTAGCTCCTCGCGATACAACCCGGCCTCGCGCCCTGGTGGTGCCTCTGACTCCTCTGGTTCCTCTTGTTCCTCGCGCGGGCGCGGTGGTCGCCAGTCTTCGCTGTTCCTCTTCTTCACGGCGTTGTCGCAATTGCTCGCGTCTTTCCTCTTCTTCAGCAGCCCTTCTCTCGGCAGCCTGCTGTCTTTGGATAGCCTCTGCCTCTTGCTCGGCAACATCTTCAGTTGCGCCCTTCCACCCGGGATCCAGAAGCAACCGCTGGTTATGCTCGGTCTGGGATAATATCCGCGTCCAAGTGTTGAGGAGAACAGAGGCATTGTTAACCGTGCTCAGTACGGTCTGCAGTGGTCAGTGGATATATAACTAAAAGATCATGCGAAGGAAAGCATACATTCATGTTCCCCCCTGCCCGTTCCAGGGTTGAAATTACACCCTCAAGGGACTCGTTAATGCCCCGAACACCTTCAAGTTCCTTGCGCAATGCAGCTTCATGGTCTATGGGTTCTGGGCGCTCATGTGTCGGGGTCTTTGGTGTTTTGGGGGTCTTGGGGGTTCTAGGAGTCCTCGGACGAGATGTCGGTGGGCCATCTACGTGTGATGGGGATTCCCAGATATTAGACTCTGTATACTCGGTGGTATCGTCGTCCATGGTAGCGAACTGTTGTGGTATACAAGCAGGACCAGTATGTAGAGAGCTGTCTCGCCGATCACTTTGGAAGCGCCGGTCTACGGTCGCAGCAAGGTCGTATGTTTCGAGACGTCCACGTTTCAAAAATCGTGTAGACAAACGTTGTGGCGTAATGCAGGGTCAGGGTCGGCGCTTGTTGGATTGAATAGTGATGGGTTGCCATACAACAATAGCCGTATTTAATTCATGAGGGGCACTTCTATTGTCCCCATATTTGCTTAATTCAATGCTCGTGGCTGCACTTTGATTGGCTTTGACAGTCGCGTAGTCAACGCGTCAGGGAGGGGTTGCTCACCCGACGGACGCGTTTAGGTTCCAAGTGGATCGGTAGTTTTAGTGGGTAAAACCTGCTTCCACAACCAAGAATAGGGAGGCTGGGAGACCAGTGCACACTCCAGGGTAGATTCTGTCCCCAGCCACTTCGCTCACCTTTATTCTTCTCTTTATTCAAATGTAAACATCTTACCCTACAAACACTCAACTCTGAATCTGCCATTATCAACCATTAGCAAGCGACTTTCATCACTCCGCAATCCTATTGATATTTACCAGAACTATATACCCATCTTGCAGATATTTACTGCAAGTCGCCGAGCCAACTGTGTTGTTTATCACGTCATCCAACAGAGCCAATTCGACCTAATTCTCCCGACTGGACCTGGCACTCATCGAGGACATACTTTAAGCCTCAAGTCGAGATAATTATCTAACGGACAGGCTTTATTATTCAGCAAAACGTCCCAAACGGCTTCGATTAACAAAGACACTGCCTCGCACCTGTCAAGATGGCCGACGCACACGGCTCTACCACGCCTCCACCGCCCTCCCGCATTCACACCCCCCCAACTCCTCGCCTCGGATACCAGGACAACTGGGAGCCATTTACTCCGCGCAAGTCTGCACGAATTTCATCACAACGAACAAGGACTCCATCTCCCGGCGCAACAGATCGTCAACCTCAATCACCGTACACCACCAAAAAGTCAAACAAGCATTTGAGCGCCGCTATCGCATCTCCCATGCCGCATAAGAAGCGCATACCCGGTAGTGATTTCGTTCGCCGAGCAACAGAAAACATGCAAGGAGAATCTTCTCGAGATGGCGCTGGCCGTCGAACCCATGAGCGATCAAACTCTTCACTCCTTGGTGCCGCTGGAATGCTTCCCACCCCATCAAAAACTCCCCAGAAGCCTCCCAATGAAAAGAAGACGGCGCACATCAAGTCTGTTGCCCGCAATCTATTCAGCTCCGATGCCGATGAAGCTTCTTTGACTCCTCGGAAGCGCCCTCTCAAAAAGTACACTGGCAACACGTTAGAGAGCTTTGCTGTGGAGGAGGTCGAGGAACCTATTGAGATCTTCACCGACACCCGTGATCGAGTTCCTGTTCGCGACGTGAGCCAAGAGAACCCTTTCCTCACATCAGAAAACCCTTTCTTCAGCGAGGCACCTCGTGCTCAACCCACAAGACGTCACGACAGGCGCAAGGTTAAGGTTCCTGGAGAGGGCATCAAGACTGTTGACGAGCTTGCTGACCGCAAGGATGGCATGGTATACACATTGTAAGTTCCTTATCCTGTCAACCATATATGATACGCAATTGCTAACTTGAACAGCCGTGGAAAGAGGTTCTTCCGCAAATGGTCTGAGCATGAGATTGAAGATCCCGATGAGCTCCAAACCGTGGAAGAAGATCCTGAGGCTCATCTAACACGACCTTTGACTCGAGCCTCCATCAAACCCTGCCTTCTGTTCCAGACAACCAAGACAGATGAGCAAATTGAGGAGGAAGAGGCCGTTACTGACGTTGAGGACAACGAAGATGAGTTGGACATTCCAGCGACACCGTCGATCTTTAAGAAAGAGCGTGCAGGCACACCTGAAGCGCCTAGATTTGCTCCGGCTTCACCACCTTCAACTCGACGAGTAACTCGATCCACCAACAAGCTTGGTGATGAAAGCACACCAATCAAGCCACCTGGCAAACGGAGCCCCTTCGACGCCTGGCGACGAACCAAGGACACCGTCAAGTCGCCATCGCGCAAACGGTCCGGGGAGAGCATCGACACCAGGGAAACGAAGCGCAGCCGTGTTTAAAGAGTCCCTTTCATGCACCGGTCTTGCATTTGCCTTCTACCACGATGTTGCATCACAGCCAAGTGGCTTTAACAAACTTTGATTTCTGCATACGGTTACCCCTGCCTTTCACACTGTAATGGAAATCAGGACTGGCTTTACGGCGTTGGATGAAATTAGAGCGTCAAAAGGACTAGCAGGCTGTCACGGATGACGGAATGGAATGTATCGTATTGATGGAAGGACACCATATTATTGATTGATTGATACCAGGAGTGCCCTCGACCGAGGTAGAGAGGAGAGGATGGAACCCCAAATCTGTATCGGTTTATTCTATTTGATCTGGCTCGGTATCGGCTGGTCTGGTTCAATGAGGGGTTTGTTTTCAGCACGTTTTCGATTCTGTGAGACCCGGTTTTTAGATAGATGATTTTTTTTTTCATGATGAAGTCGAATAAATCGGACAAGTTCATGATAATTACATGAGTCTCACCCCTGTGCCTGTGCTTCCCAAACCCAATATCCAATTGGAAGTCATTCTGTGATCCAATGCGTTGACGTGTTGACGTGCTTAGCGCTTTGCCCCACGTGCCCCTCATCCTCAGTGATTTTGTCCTGACATCCTTCCGTCAAATAGGTACTCTCTGTAGTCTAAAAGGGCATTGGGAGGTAAGTCAGGTCTTCTCTTCTCTATCTAATATCTCTGTGTTGAAGCAAGAAAGTAAACATACTGACAATCCGAATAGTCTTTTGTATTGATTCTGTGTCTACTTACTATAGCTCAAGATGCATATCCTCGTTACCAATGACGATGGACCACCATCACCACACTCTTCTCCCTATGTCCACTGCCTCATTCAACAGCTCCAGCAAGCTGGCCACACTGTCTCTGTCTGCCTCCCTCACACTCAGAGATCATGGATTGGAAAGGCACACATGATTGGGCAGACCCTCAAGCCTCTGTACTACCGTCCTTCAACTGTTGTCCATGGCGAGGATTCCCCAGGCACCACCCATCATCGACCCTCTCCTTCAGGAGATGTTGAGGAATGGATCTTGATTGATGGGACACCGGCTTCTTGCGTCCAGATTGGTCTTCACCATTTCTTCCAGGATCGGGGGCCTATCGATCTCGTTGTTAGCGGACCTAATTACGGCAGAAACACCACTGCGGTCTTTGCCCTGAGTTCAGGAACGCTAGGTGCAGCATTGGAGGCTGCTGTTTGCCAGAAGAAGTCAATTGCCTTGAGTTTTGCTTTCTTCACCAGGAACCACGACCCAGTCATTATTGAGGCAGCTTGCCGACGCAGCGTCAAAGTTATTGAGAAACTTTACAGTCAGTGGCCTACAGACGGCAGTGCAGACCTCTACAGCGTCAACGTACCTCTGGTGGAGGGCCTGGAAAATAACAAAACAATCTGGACAAATGTTCTACAGAACTACTGGCGAGAAGGTGGCTGTTTCCAGGAGATTGAAGGTGAGGCAGGTGACGAGAACGAGGAAGAAGAGAGAATACGCGAGGGTGTCGGAGGTGAGGTGGACGATGAAGCTAGACCTAGCTCACGAAAAGGACATTCTCACAAACACTTCAAATGGGCGCCCAAGTTCACTGATGTGTACAAGAGCGTTGAAGAATCCGCACCTGGCAACGACGGATGGACTGTCAAAGAGGGACTGACAAGGTATGTTTGTTACCTGCATGGAATAGACGTTGCTAACTGTCTTAGTGTCACTCCCCTAAAGGCAAACTTCATGCATGGTCCTGGAGAATGGAACCAGACAGAGCTTGAACTGTAAGTACCCTTGATCGAATGATATGTGAAGGGCAAAGTTAGGAGAGGAGCACAATGCCTGTATTCTACCATTATTACCAATAGATACATTCTTACTGTTGATTAAGGGACTCGGGTTTAGAGGAAAGCCAACCTAAGCGAGATGTGGCATTGAGGCAAAAGAGCTCTTCAGTTCAAGCCATCATCTCCTACGAAGACTCTTACGTCCAACCACTGATTCTATCCGCCTTAAACTCTCTATTTCCGGAGGGGGTGTTCAACGTGATCACTGAAGTACCAGAGTCTGACGAGCCAGCTCTTGCAAAGGTTGCCCCCTTGGGCGGAAATGTGCTGCAGATCACCGCGTACGAGGCCATCGACTTTGAATATGCTGCCAGCCATGAAGGAACAACTCTTATCAACAGCTACATGATTCGAAAAGCCCTTATCCGAAAACACTTTCTGTCCACTACTGTTGACCACTGGGTCGCAAAGCATCCCGAATCAGTCCTCAAGACGCACATCAAACGCAGTGAAGCCTTTGAGGTTGACTTTGCAGAGTTTCTGGACGATGCCTTGGTGGAGGCCTTCGATCTAAGGGAAAGTATGGACCGCAATGAGCAGCAATCAGACCCTAATGGAAAGGAGTGGTGGATCCTGAAGCCGGGAATGAGTGATCGGGGTCAAGGAATCCGTCTCTTCAGCTCGATGGATGAGCTCCAGAACATCTTTGACATCTGGGAGGAGGACCAGCCCGACACCGACGATGAAGAGGAGGTTGATGGAAAGGACGATAACGGCGACTACATCACAACCTCACATCTGCGACACTTTGTTGCGCAGCCATACATTCATCCTCCTTTACTGGTTGATGGCGAGAAGCGCAAGTTTCACATTCGGACGTATGTGCTGTGCACCGGAAGTCTCGACGTCTGGGTTTACAAACACATGCTTGCACTCTTTGCTGGAAAGCCTTACAGTGCACCGGCAGATGCGCCAGAAGACATCGAGTCTTTCCTCACCAACACATGTCTTCAAGATTCACCAAACGAGAACACAGTCCGTCGCTTCTGGGACTTGCCTCTGTCGAGTAACATGCGTGACGACATCTTCCGCCAGATCTGCGACGTAACTGGAGAAATCTTCGAGGCCGCAGCAAAGGCCATGCCTATCCACTTCCAGACCATGCCCAATGCTTTCGAGGTCTATGGTCTGGATTACCTTGTGGACGCTCAAGGCACTGCTTGGTTGCTCGAGATCAACGCTTTCCCCGACTTTAAGCAAACCGGAGGTGACCTGAAAGAGATTGTGTCTGGGTTCTGGAAGGGCGTCATGAGGCATGGAGTTGCACCATTCTTCGGAGTTGAGAGTTCGATCAAGGACCAGGAGGGTGCGGAGGATATGGTTCCTGTTCGTAAGGTGGATTTGGGACGACGATAAGGCGTACGTTGAACGGTTTCAAAGTGACTAGAAGGATTACATGATCGGTAGATAGGACGTTACACTCGGGGAGTTCAAAAGTTTTATGGTATACACACACACCATACAGGTGGCATAGCTACGGTATGACTGCGAAGTAAAGTATAAATCACAAAATGAGTTTAGCATAGCATTGGTTGATCAGTATCCGCTATCTTGACAACTGCCAACTTAATCATGATGATTGTACACCTTTCGAACTGTGTCAAAGAATTTATCATGCATCTACGAGGTTAAGCTGCTCATGTAGCATGTCATTACGTGAAGTCGACAATCTAAAAGTCTTATAACACGGCGAATCAGTTATCCAAAGAGGAGAAACGGACGCCCGCTGATTGGAGATTCGAGAATACACAGCCACGATTCTTGTGGAGTAGGAGCAAGATTCACCGCCAGAGAAGTTCTTGCCATGCGGCTTTTAACAATTAACAGAGACATAAAGTTTGAAGAAAGGCATCAATAAAGGCAGTTGTGTATTTGCTGTGCCGTAGTGAAGCAGGGTCTTTTAGTCGTGGAGGAGGCTGTGCTGTGATGGTGGTATTTGGATGCCGGTATCATCTGTAAAGGGAAGCTGAAAATTTCAAAGCGGGTAGGATTTGTGATTGTGAATGTCACCACGGGAATTTTATCGTAATATGGGATCAGGGGTTTTGTAATTTTGTGATATACTCAGGTTAGTAGCAAATGCTTGCGTGAGATTGGTGAGATAAGATCCCGCTGCAGCACGATATTGCATGCATGGATTGAATGCATACGCTCGGATTTCAGCAGAATGTTACACAAGCTCTGGTAATGTAATGTACTGAAACTTAGACTCTTGGTTTATCAGGACCTTGGTGGACTATAGACTCGATCGCCAGTTATGGTATTAGCACCTGATCTATCGACTTGAGGCTTTCGATTTCAGTACCCGCCAACCTAGGCATAACAATATACTGCCCGCTCACTCAGCTGAGCATAGTGTGAAATCATTCAGCCTCTTGGGCTATTGCACCCGTAAGCTTTCTGGCAAGGCATTAATTATTTCGGTAGTTTCCAATCTCGTCTCACTTCTGTAAAATCGAGTACCGCAAGAAGTCTTAGATATCGAAGTTCAACCTTGCTGCACACAAGGCGAAACGAATACGTATCCGTAGTTCGGAACCGCAACTATCCGTACGTTGTATCTTCACATGCCTTGGCCTACGGACTAGTTGATGTTGGCATGACCCTTAGGCTTAAGAGTTTGCCTTCCATGTTGAGCTGCATATGATTCCAGACAATCTGTAGCGACGCACCGGCGCTGGACTATACATCTTGATTGTTTTGTTGACTGTGGCTTAGACGAAAGTTTGATCTCGAGTTGCACGTTGTACGGCTACAAGAGAAACTGCTAGCTTTTGCAACATAATTGGCTGAAACTGCCGATGCATAAACTCATGAGCTCATGAGCACTGCCTACTGGACTATCTGTGAGAGATTCGTGTGAGGTCGAGGCGTCACTGGCGTTGTAGTATACCCATTTCGGAAGCTATCTCGGCCAACTATTGAGGCGAAGTCGAGCTTTTAGGCGTGTACCTTTGTTACTGAAAGTTTAAGACGCCGCTTTGAGGCATGTGACAGACGAGTACGGAGTGCGGAGTAAAGAGTACGAGTATAACAAACGCTCAGATCGAACCGAGTGAATTGTGGTTAACTCCATGAGACCACATTTGTAATGTGCGTATTCGCGTATTCACTCTCTCCAACCGTGGCTGAGCAATATCACCAAGAGAAGTGAGAGCTACTAACCGAAGCTTCCTATTTGCCAGTGAGTGACACTCACGAGAGTGATAGATATATCGCCTGGCTATGTCATGATGTCGGTCCGGAGATTTTGTAAACTCTGTTGAGCTTTGTCTTGGCTTGGCTTGGCTTGGCTTGGCTTGGCTTGGCCTGATACTCAGGACCCTTGCTGCATAAGCTGGCAGATGGAAGGATTTCTGGGCAGAGGCCTAGAACCGTAGCTGATTGGCTGTTCAATTCGAGGTTTCTCTACCCAAAAGAGACGTGGACAACTCTTTTTCGACAACGACTGTGGAGTTTGTATTGAATATGAATTTGAAGTCTGCTTGTATCTGTAGTTTACCAACTTGGTGATGGTAGGTATCGCCGACTTATGATGCACTGTGTCTGTTTCCAAATATTCGATATGTCCTACTAAAGTCCAGCGACCTGGCTATCGGGTTGATATGTGGCTGTGCAGCATCACCCGCCACTTCAGTAATGAGAAGGCCTCCCACTAGCCACGCACACCACTGAGGGTGAGGTGAGGGAACAACCTTATTGCTCCCCATCAAAAGTTTGTATGATGGGCCAGTGATATTCAGACCGTTGGTGGATAAAGAGTGGTCTCGGCTATGCCAAGTCTCGTGGTAAGGGACAAAATACCTGATTCGTTCATGATCGACACGCTACGGGCATAGAAAGGAGATAGCCAATGCACAGTTGTACTGCCAAGACTGCCTTGCCGTGATGAGTTGTTTGTTTGTGCTTGAACTGCTCTTTTCTGCCTCTGCCGTGTGTGCGTTCTCCAAGCACAATTGTTCGTCATTGAGCACACCCAGTTGGCTCATTTCACAATCACCAGACAATCTCGGTTCCTAGTCAAATAAGGGATAAGGCTTGTGACAGGGGTTGAAATAACTGGGGGAGCATCCCGCTCAAAGATTTAGAAACGAAGCTTGACCCGGGCAGTGGAGTTTGAACAGCATCGCAATAGGACAGTTTGTGAATAGCGTAGTGGGCCGTCCGAATGGCTGATTCAAGGTCTCTTGGACAGGATCGAACCCGAGCTCTAAACCGAGCGTAGCAACTCCTCCTGAATACGACTTTGCTCGCAAACTTTTGTCCTTCAAGGGATGATATCCACAATCCTCGTGGCGCGGAAGGGAAGGGTTCAAGAGAGGCATTTCTCAAGACATGTCACTGGGACCAATACACTCACTGATTGATATGTGGCTGTCTCCCAGGGCGGAATGCACGGTCAAGCAATCTAGGGAAATAAGCTCATCAGCCGTGTGACTACGCAAAAGCCTGCATCTAGAGAACAAGGATTGGCAAGGATTCAATTTACCAGGAAATTGTCCATAGGACTAGAGTGCGCCGTACGGTCGGTCACTATACAAGTATACAAGCCTGCAATATTTCTCAGCGCTATAGGATTCTGTTCCTGTTGGAGCAGTTGCTTGCACGAGAGAATTAATTCTGACTGAGAAAGACCAGGGTTCGAGATTAGCTTTATGAACTAACTACGGTGACATGCAATACCTTCTTGTCTTGATAGGGGTGAAAACTGGATCAAGACAGGATCCACGACTAACGAGAATAGCATTGCGTCGTCATGTCGACAGCTATGGCCATACCAACGCGTATTATGATGAGTACAGAGTATACTCCGTAGGCTCCGGCATTTGCCTTCAGTCAGTGTGCAGAGTACAGGGCTTATTCAAACTATTTCCTTTGACTATCTCGTTAAGAACAATGACAGACATGCTCAGCATGAGATGGGATTGTCTGTGCTTTAGCGACGTACGGAGCAGTGTGATGAGAAACAATAACAGATTATGTCGCAGCCATGTTTTTTCGGTCACGTACCTGATGTCTACGGAGTAAACTGACCAAGTTAGGATGCCTGAGTCTGATGCGAAGATGTCGTCGGAATCATATATTAGCAACGATTCATCACTAATCAGGACGACTCTGGATTACTATATATAAGCCGTTTAAAAGAAGCGCGCTGACTTGGCGCCAAGTCATGCCAGTGATAATTTAGGACAAGTCAATTCGAAGAGTGCAACGCGCCCTGGCGCTGATAGATTCTAGGGCCTTGGCTTGCTGGCCCTGTCACTTCTAGACGGGGCCTGCCAAGACGGGGTCCTCGAATGATCGTTTGCGCTGTGGCGACATGGGACGATGAGCTGCCTCGCGAATTGTTGAGCATCACAACGAAGCTGAAATTCATCAGGAAACGTCACCAGTTCGCCTTTAGTTAGTTGAGCTTGAAACACTGGAGTCAGAAGCGTAACACAGCCGCATTCTTGAAGCGTAAAGACGGTAAAAGAAGAGGCCGCCGAGGAACGATCATAGCTTTCGGCATTGACTTGACGGAGATGATGAGCGTTGGCTATGCGGGCTGGCAGGGAAAGACTGAAGCATATCCGTAGGTACAGGAGTAAAGCCGTTGTTTGTTCATGCAACTTTGGTTTAGTATCCGAGATATACAGAGATCCTACTCCGTACGGAGTAAGTGATAATTAGAAGCCAAATTGTACTCGGACAGTGACAAGAAGCATAGTGCATATGTCATATGGATGTCAATATCTGTAAGCCTTAATCGCGCGAATATCGCAATAGGATCCCCTGTTGCAATAGGTACATTCAGCGCCTAACAAGCGACTCATCGAACCCGATAAATCCTCTGCCTGTGGATGAATTTCCAATCCCTACCTATCCAAAGGTAGAAGGACTTCCGTCAATTGACCACCTGCCCTGGTCCTTGTAGGCCCGAGTTTAAGATGTTCCATCTTGGTTAGACTCATCAGGTACGTACACTAATTTTTCTACGTGCACCCTGTGGTAAACATGCAGGAGCCAATCAGGAACTTTGCACTGCCTCAATTCAAGAACGAAAGAGCAGCCAAGGTTCGGTCGAGGCGAAACCATCTCCTCCACTTCTACTTCCACTGCGAATCGAGCAAATTCATCTCTCCTCAATCTTCAACTGAATCCTTTGGTTGACTTTCTCTTCTCTTGTTGGCCATGTTTAAGTTCTCGAGATCTTAATCGTCCCACTTTCTTCTGCCTCCTCAAGGCTTCTTCTCTAATTCTAGCTATTTCTCCGTTTACTTAAACAACATCGCCCCATGCCCTCTTGCTGGCTCCACGCCCTCTTCCCTTAAAACTCCCTTACTCAACAGTCAACATAATTCCCTACGCGCATCGAGACCACACTTTCGCCGCTGCATAGCCTCACTCTTGGTTCGCTATCATCTCTCCGGCTTCAAGGCTAGGCTGTCGCACACTGCGGCACTGCCCAACCCATCATGGCTGATCACGATGACATTCCGCCCATGAGGCGTCGCGCGTACGTGACTGAGGCCGAGGTCCAAAGGGGCCTCCAGGCAATTCATATCTTTATCAACTGTTCAATGCTGATTATCTTTCCAGTCCTACCATCACCATCGATACAACTGCTGTCAATCCTAATACCTCTACCGACGCTCCCCAGGAACCACAATCTTCCCACATGCAAGACGACGCAGTCAGCCCTACAACAACATCCGATCCTGCGACAACAAACGGCATGTCGCAACGACCTCCGAGACCCGAATTGGACACATCTATGTCATTTGAGAATCGAGATAGCAGCAGACCAACAAGCCCCCACAATGTTTCAAGTCCCTTGACAGCAAGATCAGGCGACCGGGGGGTTGGATTCTTGTCTGTGCCTATGAACCACCGATCGCGACAAAACTCAGTCGACTCTGACGATATGTCACGATCCGTTTCTTCCCATGGAGATACCACCGTCGTGGCTTCTAATTCGACACAAATAGACACGCTCAAGGGTTCCGAGTATGATCATAAGAAGATTATCAACGATGAGACCGCCTTGAAGCCCGATACTGGCACCGAGCAGGATTTCGAGGTTGAGAACAACCCGTTTGCCTTTACACCTGGCCAGCTGAACAAAATGTTTAACCCCAAAAGTCTTTCAGCCTTTTATAAGTTGGGTGGCATGGATGGCATCGAAAAGGGTTTACGATCTGATCGAAAAGCTGGATTGAGTACAGACGAGAGAGGCCTAAGTGGACACGTCTCGTTCGAGGATGCAACGTCTAAGAAGCAAGCAGCTCGAGACGACCACTCTACTTCTCAGTCGGGCGATAGTTTCGCCGACCGATTACGTGTTTACAAGGACAACCGATTGCCCGAGAAGAAGGGCAAGAGCCTTTTGCAGCTCATGTGGATTACATACAACGACAAGGTTTTGATCCTGCTGTCTATCGCTGCCGTTATCAGTCTCGCTGTTGGTCTGTATCAGACATTTGGTGGAGAGCATAAGCCGGGTGAGCCCAAGGTCGAATGGGTCGAAGGTGTTGCGATTATTGTCGCCATTGCCATCGTCGTTATTGTCGGATCTTTGAACGATTACCAAAAGGAACGCCAATTCACCAAACTCAACAAGAAAAAGCAAGATCGTCTGGTCAAGGTGATTCGCTCAGGCAAGACGATTGAACTCTCTGTTTTCGATGTACTTGCCGGAGATGTGATCCATATTGAGCCTGGAGATTTGGTACCGGTTGACGGAATTCTCATTGAAGGCTTCAACGTCAAGTGTGACGAATCGCAGGCTACTGGTGAATCGGACATCATCCGAAAGACATCCGGAGAGGCCGTGTTTAACGCAATTGAGAATCAGGAAAATCTTAAGAAGATGGATCCTTTTATCCAGTCTGGAGCTCGTATCATGGAAGGTGTCGGTACTTACATGGCAACATCTGTTGGTGTTTACTCCTCTTACGGCAAAACTCTCATGTCTTTGAACGAAGACCCCGAGATGACTCCTCTGCAGGCGAAGCTGAACGTCATCGCCACCTACATCGCCAAGCTTGGTAGTGCCGCTGGTTTACTGCTGTTCATTGTTCTTCTCATCAAGTTCCTTGTCGGCCTCCCCAAGCAGCCTGATTCCGTCACACCCGCTCAAAAAGGACAGCAATTCCTCAACATTTTCATTGTTGTCGTCACCATTATCGTGGTTGCTGTTCCCGAAGGTCTGCCTCTTGCTGTTACACTGGCCCTGGCTTTTGCGACAACTCGAATGCTCCGGGATGCCAACCTGGTGCGACATCTCAAGGCTTGTGAGGTCATGGGCAATGCGTCAACCATTTGCTCTGACAAAACTGGTACTCTAACCCAAAACAAGATGCAAGTTGTCTCTGGAACAATTGGAACAACCCTCCGATTCGGTGGCGCCAAGCGTGGTGAATCGAGCGGTGCCTCTACCCCCGTCGATACCAGTGGTGATATCAGCATTGCTGAGTTTGCCAACATGCTTAGCAGCCCTGTCAAGGATATTCTTCTCAAGTCTATTGCACTCAACTCTACCGCTTTCGAGGGTGAGGTCGACGGAGAGAAGACTTTCATTGGATCCAAGACTGAGACAGCCTTGCTTATCCTTGCCAAGGCTCATCTCGGCATGGGTCCCGTCAGCGAACAGCGCGAGAACGCCAAGGTCCTACAGCTTATTCCTTTCGATTCTGGCCGAAAGTGCATGGGTGTTGTTGTTCAGGGCCCTAATGGCACTGCTCGCCTTTACATCAAGGGTGCCTCCGAAATTGTTTTGTCTAAATGTACTCAGGTTCTTCGAGATCCCGCCAGCGATGACTCTCTCGCCCCCATGACCGATGATAACGTCAGCACGGTTCAGCAGCTTATTGAGAGCTATGCAAGGAGGTCACTTCGAACTATCGGTATCACTTACAGGGATTTCCCTTCATGGCCGCCCAAGAACGTCAACTTCGTCGAAGGTGGTAATGAAGTCGTCTTTGAGGATCTCTTCACGGATATGGCTTTCATTGGTGTCGTCGGCATTCAGGATCCTCTTCGTGACGGCGTTCCTGAAGCCGTAAAACTCTGCCAGAAAGCCGGCGTCGTCGTTCGTATGGTCACCGGAGACAATAAGATCACAGCCGAAGCAATCGCTAAGGAGTGTGGAATTATTCAGCCTGACTCGATTGTGATGGAGGGACCCGAGTTCCGAAACCTCTCAAAGCTTCAGCAAGAGGAGATCATTCCCCGCCTGCATGTGTTGGCGCGATCTTCCCCTGAAGACAAGCGAATCCTAGTGAAGCGACTGAAGGACAAGAACGAGACAGTTGCGGTTACTGGTGACGGTACCAACGATGCGCCTGCTCTCAAGATGGCCGATGTAGGCTTCTCAATGGGTATCGCTGGTACTGAGGTGGCCAAGGAAGCTTCGGCCATTATTCTGATGGACGACAACTTCAACAGCATTGTCAAGGCTCTAAAATGGGGTCGCGCGGTCAATGATGCCGTCAAGCGATTCCTTCAGTTCCAGCTGACTGTCAACGTTACTGCGGTTATACTCACATTCGTTACTGCTGTTTCTAACGATGAAGAGTCATCTGTTCTCACTGCTGTGCAACTTCTCTGGGTCAACCTCATCATGGACACTCTCGCTGCTCTTGCCCTGGCAACTGATCCTCCTCACGACAGTGTTTTGGACCGAAAGCCCGAGCCCAAGGGATCCAGCATCATTTCCATTACTATGTGGAAGATGATTTTTGGACAGTCTATTTACCAACTCGCAATCACTTTCCTACTTTACTACGGAGGTCCCAAGGGTGTTATCCCCACGAAGAACATCCCTTCTGATGATGAGATCAAGACGCTAGTTTTCAACACTTTTGTCTGGATGCAGATTTTCAACCAATGGAAGTAAGTACCGTCACTCTATACAACTTGACTGAGAGTTATACTAACCCTTATAGTAACCGTCGCCTGGACAACAAGTTCAATATCTTCGAGGGCCTCACCAAGAACTGGTTCTTCATTGGTATCAGTGCCATTATGTGTGGTGGACAAATCCTTATTATCTTCGTCGGTGGGGCAGCTTTCCAAATTGCCAAGGAGAAGCAAAGTGGAACACTCTGGGCCATTGCGATCGTGCTCGGCTTCCTATCTATTCCTGTCGGTGTTATCATCCGCCTGATCCCTGACCGATTTATGTCGCTCTTGGTTCCCGAGTTTCTCAAGAGGCGAGCCAATAATGTGCCTGGTCTCACGGTCTCTGACGAGGAGATGAGCCAATACCCTGAGCCTCTGGCGGAGGTCCGTGACGAGCTCAACTTCATGCGACGTATGAAGGGTGGACGGTTGAACAACCTCAAGTTTGCGATCCAGCATCCCAAGGAGGCGGTTGAGATGGTCAGGTCTAGAAGCCCGTCCCATTCTCGATCGAACTCAATCAATGCGCCGCGAACGCCAGTTCAGGAGAACCCCTTTGATGGCACACCTATTGGAACACCCAACTCAAGTAAGGGACCTCGGTCCACAAGGTCACGGTCCAACTCTGCGTTGGGAGCGCCGACAGTGATGGCGGGCATCGTGGCGGCAGGTGTGGCGGCAGGCTGGCAACCAAAAATGAGGCCAGATGATAATGGAGAAAACAACGACGTGCAAAAGTAGGCGTTGTCATGTAATTGATTCGGATGGGGCATGCGAGGTATTGTTTATTATTAGTATTACTTTGGGTACGGATAGAACTGGTTAACATGGAATCGATAATCGAAGAGTTTGAGCGATTGAACGCAAGTCCGGAGTTTCTTAGTTTACGTGATGATTATACTGAGTGAAAGAATAGAGAAGAGGTGCAGTAGATCAGATCAGATCAGCCTGAATGTGGCGTAAGCTAATAATATGGTGGATGACCCAGTGGTCGGCCGGTCATAGACTGAGAGTTGATGGTGAATTGTAGCCAGCCAATCAGCAAAAGTGGTGACAACCATGCATGCATCAAATGCCAAATTGACTACCTAGGTTAGTAGTTAGTTACTCGGTAGAAATGGCACGAAACGAGTAAAAAGGGAGAAAGAGAGAAAAACTGGCTTCAACTAGCTGACATAAGATGCGGAATACAAGAAAAGTGTCTGTATAAGAAATAAAGAGAGCATTAGTAACGAAATAAGCAGTGCCTGGCCAGGGTATTCTAGAAACGATTGTGGTGTCGGAACCGAGAAAAGTTAACGCTGTTTGGTACAAGGGGGGGAAAGTCAAATGCGAGGGGAATGGATGATCTGCCACATGCTACGACAAGAGGAGGGGGAACGATGGAGTGTGAGTGTGAAGTTTGACATTGAGGATATGGATGAGGATGGGTTAGAGATAAGAAGAGATATTCTTTATGATACCTTAGTGAAAGCAACCATTCTTGAGTCAGAGGTGCGTATATTTACACTTACATTTACACTCGGTTGATCTGATCCATCACATCTCATCATCAGTTCACCCTTCTTTCACTTTCACCTTTTACCCAATTTATTTATCATTCTGCTCTAGCCGAAACCACTCTATATTCTACGTATCCCCTATGCTCTTTTCAGCTGCCGGATACAATTTGTCTAACACTTGTCTTTTTGTGTTTTATCTATCACCCTTTCAGGTACGATAACGTATCTGAGTAACATAAGGGTTACTTCAGTTTACTCCAAGTACAGACAATATCTGTAAGTACTAACTACCTAATCTACTTACTCCTCAAGCCAAGCCCAGGCCCAGTGAAGCGAAGCGAAAAGAAGGGGGAAAAAGAGAAAAAGCCAACCAAAACACACGGTTTCGATTTCCCGATCTGGGGTTAATAATAGATCCATATCTTATGCCACCCTCGTCTCTCAGTCACTCTGACCCGCTTTCTTCCTTTACAACACACTTTACTCTTAGGTTACCTACTTCTAGGCACTTAACATCTTCGACTTTTGACCTACAACTTCCACTTCCACTCTCTATCCCCAACTTGTACTTTCTTCCTTTTACATTGTCAACTCCCTGCACAACAAACCTTTCTTTTTCCTTCTACACAACTTCATCCCTTCCTATTTAATCAATCATGAACCCGAAAAAAGGTTCCGGGAGAAGCGTCGCCCTCTCCAAGCGAAAGGCTCAACCAAATGCCCTGGACAAGTTGGGTGACAACCCAACAGAAGATGAGATCAAAACCGCCGCCGCCAACGTGGCCCTTGCTGATCTCGAGGAGAGAGTTGCCGACACGAGGGAATCGTGGGAGACAGATTCTCTCTTTGAGGATGTTTTTGACGAGTTGAATTCTGACAATACCGTTGCTCTTGATGGTGAGTTGTCTATCTGCATCTATTCGCTTCTACCGTAACTAACCATCCTTAAAAAAAAGACCCCAAAGTTTGCACACCAGAGGAAGCTAGCAGGCTTCGTCGGGAGCTCCGAGAGTATGGCCCAGCCGTCTTTTGTCAACGTACTGTTGATGCTGGCCATTATACCGCCAGGAAACTTCTCAGCGCCTTTGGCATTCGTCCTCCCGCTTTTCTCGAGGGCGAACCTGATGACGCCTACTTCAGTTTGTTGTCACTGGCCATTACGCGTGAACTGTCCAAGCGCGCCAAGCTTTTGCGCTACAACACGGTCGACGATGCTGTCGATTTAATTGCAAAGAGTAAGAACATCGTTCTTATCACTGGCGCTGGTATTTCTACCTCGCTGGGCATTCCTGACTTCCGTTCCAAAGGAACCGGTCTTTACTCCAAGTTGGAGCACCTTGGCCTCAGCGACCCTCAGGAAGTCTTCGACATTGGCGTCTTCAAACAGGATCCCACCATCTTTTACTCAGTGGCCAAGGACATCCTCCCGAGCACTAACCGATACACGCCTACTCACAAGTTCATTGCCATGCTCAATGAGAAGGGGAAGCTGTTGACAAACTACTCTCAGAACATCGATAACCTTGAAGTCAAGGCCGGTGTTCCCAAGGACAAGCTCATTCAGTGCCACGGCTCTTTTGGAACAGCTACCTGTGTTCAATGCGGCTACCAATGCCAAGGAGAGGTCATTTTCCCAGAGATCAAGGCCGACAAAATCCCCCGATGCCCACGCTGCATTCAGACGCTGCGCACAACTAGTGGTCAGCCTAAGCGCAAGCGTTCTGCAGGTACGGAGAAGAAGCGAAGACGTTGGAGCGCCGAAAGCTCCGATGAATCCGAGTACGACATTCCTACTGCCGGTGTCATGAAGCCTGATATCACTTTCTTTGGCGAGGCTCTGCCTGATGAGTTCTCGCGACGACTCACCGAGCACGATCGCGACAAGGTAGACCTTGTTATTGTCATTGGCACTTCTCTCAAGGTCACACCTGTTTCTGAGATCGTGTCCTGGTTGCCATCTCACATCCCTCAGATTTACGTATCTCGCCAAGCCGTCAGCCATATTAACTTTGACATTGATCTCTTGGGTGACTGCGACGTTGTCGTTGCTGAACTCTGTCGTCGTCTCGGTTGGTCCATGGTCCATGAGATGGTTCCCAAGGACCAAAAGATCGAGGTGCGTAATGAGCCTGGCTACAAGAGTCGTCATCTCTTTGAGGAGAAAACGCCTTGAAAAAGAAGTCTTTCTGTCAAAAGTTGTCTTTACACATTTTGAGCGATTAACATGGGAGATCCTGATTTTGTTTGTTTCACTTTATTAATACTGTTTGTTACTTCTGCTGCAAGTGGATGGCAAGGCGTCTGGAGGAAATGATATGTCAACGAAAACGGTCGGATACAGACGGAGTAAGGGCGTTTTAGGAACCAAACTGTCCGTTGCTTTTTCTATAATATGTCTCAGAGCTTGAGTACCGTACTTTCTCTTTCTTAATACTTAGATGCGTGTGTTTTCACGAGTTTATGGATACGATTCTTTGATTCAGCTCCTGACAGCCCCCACCTACCAAAGCGAAACTCATGATTCAACACCTTTCGGAGCGGGGCTGTTAATTCGTTGTCAACCCAACCGAGATTGTGGCGTGAAAAGGGATGGTGGTCAAAACGAGGGATGATAATGCGATGCCGCGTATTACGATACAATCGAAAGACATCATATCTAAGGAACAAAGTTGTGATTAAGATGATACTGAAGGGTTAGATAATAATAGATAACAGAACTCTGAGATTCATGAAGCATCAATATCGATCGAGATAGCAAAAGCGAAAACCGATGAGGTCTGCCTCTAGAGGAGGTGATATTTTAGATCGACACTCTGAAGTTGGTATACCCAATCAACTACGCAAACATTACCACGTGTAAAGTGCATTGCTATTGTTGTGACTGGTTGATAGTACGTCGAGGTTGAATAATCATTTAGCAATTCACTCAGGTGCGTGGGTTGCATGTGATGGTGTATACAATAACCAACTCGACCGTGGTAATAGCATATACTATAATTCTATCATGTGCTGGCAGCTACCTGAGATCAGGCCAACTACTGCGTCTTTTCCACTACGTTTTGTATCACTTTGATGATACAATCAGCCATGAGTTAGTTATACAAGTCAAACGATCTATTCTTAGTATCCATGCTACAACAGCAATTACCCCATTCCTACCAAAGATTCCTGGCCTAAATCAAGCTCTCATATTTATCCAAACCCGACTTTTGCCCCGTGTTGTTCTGTGGTGTATTGGAGGTAGCGTTGTTCGCCGAGCCCATACTGCCCCAGTTCGTCTGCGGTGGGGTTATGGAGAACGATGAGGGAGTAGCAGATGTGCTACCTGGTGGCGGAGGAAGTGTAAAGGACGATTGACGCGATGCCGAGTTCATTGACATGCTTGCCATTGAAGAGCCAAGGTTGCCTGTAGAAGCACTAGTGCCAAACCCAGATGAGCTTCCCCATGGAGTTGGTGTGGCCTGCGAAGCAGCTGACCAGTTGATAGACGTCCCAGAGGTAGAAGCAGACAGCGGCTGCTGAGGGGCGAGCGGTTGGGTTTGCTGTAGTTGACTGGGAGGCTGGAAAGGTGTCGGCTGTAACGGCTGACTGAATTGTGTTGAGGACGGTGTTAAAGCCTCGAATCGACCGAGATCTGGAGTCACGGTTCTGAAAGATGGTGCCTTTTGAGGAGCGAGCTTTGGTATAGTATTGGTGGATGGCGGGGGAGGCGTAGACCATGAGAATGTGGGCGCTGGTGTACTTGACTTGGACTTTGCTGGATCATCCCAGCCAGGGGTTGCCGTACTTGACCTGGGACTGCCCACACGTCCCTTGACTAGGCTCTCAAAATCGTCGTCTGTACCTCCATTGTTCTGGTCAAAGGTCGTGCCAGTAACGCCACCAAATGCCATGAAATCCTCGTTAGGTGCTGCAGCACCGCCGCTCGAGGCACCTCCCAGTTCCTGGAGCTTTCTTGTCTGCTCGTCCTCAACCCTCCGGGACAAACTCTTAATGAGTTCCATGAAACCTTGGAACTGCTTCAAGTTGAGTAGTGGTCCTAAACTCATACTCCAGAGGATAGGCAGGATCTCCATCGCCACGAAGTCGGCGTCAGCAACTGAGCCTACAACTCGCAAAACGCCCAAAGCCGCCATCATGACGGCAGGTTCTTTTGTCTTGATCACTCTGATGAGTGGGATAATCTTTTCCTGCATGGTGTACTTGTCAAGTGCGCTAGAAGAGGACGTTTTCTTGCTCTCTAACCCGTTGAGCCCGTCGTCTTCGCCGCTGTCGTTCTTCCCACCGCATAATATTACAAAGGCTCTCAAGCCACGGACTTTGATGGCAAGACTGTTTGTCTTGCTGAAAACAGCAGCGATCACTGGGAACAACTCATTTTTGATAGTGCTGAAGTCAAGTACTGGTAGTACAACTGGCAGACTGCGAAGGGCAGCATCGACAATTGAGTGTGTGGGGCATTCGATTGCTGCTATGATGACAGGAAGCATGTCTGCAGGGTGGTCAGCATGAGATACGTACATTACTTGCTATGACTTACCATCTTTGAACTCCTTTCCAGAGCAATTGCTGGAAATAGAAGAAATATTCTCAAGAACAACCATAAGACCCGCGTCCCTAGATGGGTCTTTCTCTTGGGTCTGCTTGGCATTTACAACAAAGATTTCATTCAGAGCTGGTCGAACCTTCTCACTGAATGCCCTTTTGGCTGATGGAAGGAGATCGAGCATCTTGAAGACATTTTGTAAAATGAGCGAAAGAAGGTCTCGGTCTTTGAGTTCTTCTATCAAGGCTGGCAGGATCTTCTTCTCCATGACTGATTTGGGGAACGAAGGCAACACTTTGTTGAGGCCTCGCATAAAAGACGCCTTCTCGTTGGCAGTCTTGGCGGGGAATGAGTCAAGGAATCGGATTGTTGACACCAGAATGTTGTCGAAGTACTCGCTCTGTTGGAACTCACGCGCCGTCATTCGTTGAGCAGGTCGCCTTGTGATCAGCCTCGGTAGAACATCGTGGGAGAGCTCCCTAGGAAGAGGCCGCGAAGAAAGATAGTTGTTACTGGCAGATGGAACGCTGGAGGAGGACGCAAACAAACGCTTGTATGTAGACAAGCTACCGTGGCACTCCAGGGGAGACTTGTGAGGTGAGTTGTACAAAGCGACTGCCATAAGTCCGAGAGAGAACATGTCGGCAGAGGAGTTGAGGTTGTTATCGACTACAAAGTCGGGAGAGGTATAGTCGAGGCTGAGTTGCACCGCCTTTGGTAGTCTCGGATCCATGTTGAGGACTTCATATAAGTTAATTCCTTGGATAGACGTTGGCTTGTCGGATCCCTCAGGGGGACTGGCGAATGCTAATCCACTGATTTTCCAGTCAGACTGTATCATGTTAGTCGAATTGGCGTGATAACGGTTGGTTGACATGCCTTAGCGTTAATGAGGACTGCATCAGGTGTAAGGTTGCCGTGCACGATACCAGCATTCTCGTGCAAGAATTCGAGTGCTTTGCTAACTTGAAGCAAACCCTTTTGAATTTCCAGCTCGTCAATCTCGAGTTCTCTTCGCTTCTTTGTCCCATCTGCATCCTCCGTCACGTATCGACTTGACCTTCCGCCGGGCCCTCCAGATCGTTCCTGTTCGTCCTTGTCCTGCAACAGACTGGATAATGAAGCTGTGACAGACTCTGTAACGAACTGCAAGCCTCCACCTCTCGTTTCCTCTACTGGTTCCACCAATTCCAGAACATTGGGATGTCTGAGCTTCGCGAGACTTGAAGCCTCCTTTTTTAGACGCTCGACGACTTCCTCGACGGTTTTCTTGAACGAAGCCGCGCCGGAGCGGCCCAGAGAGCTGCCATGGGTGTCCAGTGACTTCTTATCGAAGACAAAGACGCTGTAGGGTTTCCCGGTGGATTTCTTCTTCGCATCGTAGATCTTCCAGGGGCCAGCCGTCGAAGTCGGTGCTGAGGAAATAGAGTAGTTGCCGGTGATGTTGGTGGCAGATATGGACTTAAATGCCGAGGAGAACATGGTGGCGGCTCTCCATGGATCGCGTATATCGATTCAGGGTTTGAGGAGGTGCGAAAGCTACAATGCGCAGCCGTCGTTGGATTTTAGAAGCTTGTGGTACAAGTTGCTTTCGAAGAAGAGATATACAAAAAAAAAACACGCTGATCGATCGTCGCTTAAGTTAGGCCGTAAAGGAACTGGGGATGAGAACGGGAATGACGTTGGTCGCGATGCGCATTCTCCATAAGCGTAGGGGTAGTCTCGAGTTTGACTACGTATCCTTACCTCCTTACGCCGGACTTGGGCTTGTTCTTTACCTTGCAGCCTTAGCTTAAGCAGCTTCCCCACGATAAGCTGATAACGCTTGCCCTGAGGTGCGCGGGCATGGACCTAAGCTAGTTAGCACTTAGTCCCCTGGAAGTCAGCTCGTCCCCCACCAAAGGCCCCTGTCGTCGCCAACCCTGCAGCTGCGTTTACGGAACTTTAGGTGACTTTTCCAGGCCAGTCACAGACGGCCCGAGACGGTTGTGGGCGCCTGGAAACGGCTGTCCCTCTGAAGTACCTCGGGCTCACTTTGCAGCGAACCTATCCTGTCGGTCAATTGCCAATTGAGTGCCATCATCGTGCTCCGATACAGCTCCGATCATAGACGAACAGTCCCGGTCATAGATGAACAGTCCCTAGTACTTAAGTTGGTACCCCGTCTCGTCTGGTCACCATAGACTATCGTTCCCCATCTTAAAACTTCATTTCTCTTGTCTGCAGTTTGTGTTGAGCATCGCTTTGCGCCAATTCATCTTTTTACCACCAATTGACTTCACAAGGCGCCTCTATGTTGAGACCGTTGTTTGTTCGCTCCGCTCTACGGAGCGCTCGCATGTCGAGCTTGAGACCGCTGTGCCATGCGCAACGATACAGCATCAAGGCTGAAGCTGCTTCTGCGGTGAAGCCTCTGGGACTGGATGCTTCAAAACTCACCATTGAGAGGACGGGAAAGCCCAAGGGACTTAGCAAGCCTGAGACCCTTGTGTTTGGAAGAGAATTCACAGGTAAAGCACCCCCACCAAATCAAATGTGCCCTCAGTTGCTAATTTTCTGCTAGACCACATGCTTGCGATCGAATGGAATCAAGACGAAGGATGGCTGGAGCCCAAGATCACCCCTTACCAGAACCTCTCCCTCGACCCTGCGACATGTGTTTTCCACTACGCCTTTGAGTGCTTCGAGGGCATGAAGGCCTACAAGGACAAGAATGGCAAAGTGCGACTCTTCCGACCCGAAAAGAACATGTCTCGACTCAACAAGTCTGCCGCCCGTATTGCGCTTCCCACTTTTGAGACCCAGGACTGCATCGACCTCATCTCCAAGCTCGCCAACCTCGACGCTCGCTTCATCCCCGACAAGCGAGGATACTCGCTATACCTGCGCCCCACCATGATCGGAACTCAAAAGACGCTGGGCGTTGGTCCTCCCGGCTCCGCTCTCCTCTACGTCATTGCGTCACCTGTCGGTCCCTACTATCCTACCGGCTTCAAGGCCGTTTCTCTCGAGGCCACTGATTACGCTGTTCGTGCTTGGCCTGGTGGTGTTGGTGACAAGAAGCTGGGTGCAAACTATGCGCCCTGCATCGTTCCTCAGCTCCAGGCTGCCAGCCGTGGTTTCCAGCAGAACCTCTGGTTGTTTGGCGAAGAGGAGTACGTTACCGAGGTCGGCACCATGAACATGTTTGCCGTTCTTAAGGACAAGGAGACTGGCCAGAAGGAGCTTGTGACAGCTCCTCTTGACGGTACCATCCTCGAGGGTGTCACTCGCGACTCTGTGCTCGACCTGGCTCGTGAGCGTCTTGTTCCTGAGGGCTGGAAGATCAGTGAGCGCAAGTACACCATGAAGGAACTCGCTCAAGCCTCCAATGAGGGCCGTCTGCTCGAGGCCTTTGGCACTGGAACTGCTGCCATTGTCAGCCCTATCCGAAACATCTCATGGAAGGGCAAGCTCGTCGACTGCGGTCTTACAGAGAGCCAAGAGTCAGGCGAGATCGCCCTCAGGATGAAGGAGTGGATCGAGGGTATCCAATATGGTGACGAGGAGCATGAGTGGAGTTACACTATCTAGTGTGATTATGTGTATGGCGTTTTAGAGCGGCTGGGAATAGATAGACAAATCGGAATCAAAATAATTACGCTCACGATAAAAACCATATCTGCTTTGCCACAATTGCTTGTTAAGGCTCACAATCAGCGACACTAGAAAAGACCAGAGGTTGAGTTGAGTCACAGCCTCGGTTGGACAGTAATACCTCAGCACGTCTAGCAATACCATTCTTCAAATGCAAATAACATGTACAATTGACCAGATTTCCCTCTGTTCGTATGTCAAATCCACTCGCTTTAGTTCTTCTTGTCCTGCTTGGAAGGATCGGGCAGGATTCCCTCCTCCTCTAACCTCCTTCGTGCTTCCTCAAGGGCCCAGGTAGAGACACTACATATTGATTAGTACACGTCGTACATCAGATTCTGGCCAGAATTTCGCCCTTTGAAGAGTTTGGGACTCTCCGACTGCGATAGAAATCCTCCCAGTGCAAATCACTCACGTGGTATCGGGCTTGAAGGCGAGCGCAACGGCGGTGGCGGCAAGACTGCCGAGGAGGATATAGGTAGGCCACTCCCAGCCCTCAGGCTCGGGCTTCTCGCCAGGCTTGACACCCCAGAGCCAGCCGGTAGGGGGGTCAAATTGGTGCTCGCCACCACCTCCTTGTCGTCGTGCGGACACGGCGAAGCCTCTAGTTGAGAGGGGCTGTCGAATGCAGCGTGCGGCGCGCAGGGGCGCGATAGCAGCGCGGGTAAAGACCATGGTATATCGGATCGTCGAGATATCGAGGGAAATTCGGCGATGTAATGGCGTGTGGAGGGTCAATGGCGGAGTGACGTTGTTGAGCTTGATGCTGCTTGTTTGCTCTGGACGAATGCGTACCTAGGTAATTGCTGGACGTCGATTTGATAGGCTCACGTGACATAAAGTCACAACACCCCGGTTAGCTTCGTACCTTTGTACCTTTGCCATCTGCAACTATTCACGGACAAAGGGAAGAATGATACGAAATATAAGCATAATTTGTTATTGTTGTCTGAAATTGAAGTCGAGCTTCTATCGGTCAAGCTGAGGATATAATTGTCACCATTTCTAGGAAGTTATCCCTCAGCCTGGATATAATGGAGTACAGCATTTCCTCATTTATCCTTAACTCAACTTGGTACTAATGCAGTCCATGCGATAACTCGACTCACCTTGAGAAACACTTACAATTTCAATAAGAAAAGTCATTATAGTATTGATATACTATTACAACTTTTAAAATGCAATCAACGGTACCTTAATTTCCGATTCAAACTCTGTCTTGGCAATCGCAATGCACGTCCTCATCGGTGCCCAACATCATGATCTCTGGCTCCGCTGTAGTTACATTCTACATCAACTTTTGATATTCAGAGCTTCTCGCATGAAGAACTCATCTTACCTGGGGTTAATCTTTTTGATATTGTTTTGGCAAGCGTGTCTCTTTTACACATTTACTGTCTATTCTTTTCATTCGTACCCAAGCAATTGCAGCCCAGCTATGTACCAAGACCGGTGATGAAACCATCAGTCATTTATAAAATCATCAGATAAACACAGTATCGCGACTAACAAGCGCCTCAACTGTTTTGTCTGTATCATTGAATCGTGACTCGGTACATCTTCAATACCAGATCCTTCCTTGAGAAATGCTCAATAAGTCATGTTTATGACACAATTCGACACTATACATATCCATGAAGAACAACCTGGAAAGGACTAACAACCACCTATAACTTCACCAATATGGAGCAAGAACGAGGCCGTCAACGGATACTGATCTCAGAATCTCATCGGAATGCCAGTCAATCTCAAGCAGTCGCCGAATCATCCGCGATCGCGATGGAGACTGGCAGACCAAGTCTAGACCCGAGCGGGCTAGAGGTAACATCAAATATACCCTCCGCGTCTCCATCTCCATCTCCATCTCCATCTCCCTCTCAGTCTCAATCTCCGTTGTCTCTTTCGCCAACTCGAGGTTATCTTGCCCGGCCAAGTTACGACTCTAGGAGATGCTCTTCGGCCGTGAGCATCATGCAGATCGACGAAATCATTTCCGATGATCGTATCAATATGGAAACGTACGGCGTCATAGAGAACCGTGAAGGCTTCTTTGACGCTCTCTTCTTAAAACCGGGACCAGTGAATCCCGAGGATATCGCTGAGCGATCCAAGGCAACTCTACCGAAAGAATTCGAAAAGAGTCATCCATTATCTGCAAAGCATTTCTTACCAAGGCAATTTCATGAGATTAAGTCAGTGGCCTGCAAAGTTGCGACCTCTAGGGCTGGCATCAAGCTCCTCAAGTCGTTTCTCGGTTTCTTTATCGCATACATCCTATGCCTTGTACAGCCAGTACACAACTGGCTAGGTCGATATGATTACATTATGGCAGTCTCTGCAATTCTAAACCACCCAGGTCGGAGTTTTGGTTCGCAGGTGGATGGTGCTGTAGCGACCATTGTCGGTACCGCTACCGGCCTAGCCTGGGGCGCTCTTGGACTTCTCCTTTCTACATCTACTCATGATGCAGGCAGCGGATATGGAGGTATTCTGGCTCTCTTCTCTGCTTTTTTCTTCCTTGGCATCGCTTACATACGCTCGTTCTTCATTCGTCTTTACCAGACTGTGCTATGCGCAGGTATAGCTGTTATCTTCACAACGCTGGCCGAGACCAGTAGTCTAGATATCCGCTGGTCCAAATTCTGGAGCTATGCCATTCCTTGGCTTCTAGGTCAAGCGATTGCCATGGCCGTCAATTGTCTTGTCTTTCCCGATGCAGGCAATCGCCATTTGGCAGTTGCCCTTGACAAGTCATTCAAAACTATAGAGGTGAGTTTAGTTTATGTGCCCTTATGCACAGTCGTTCTAACTTAAAAGGAATCTCTTGTCATTCCTAGGCCAAGAGACACGAGACTTAGGAGACGTCTTGCGAAGACTTTTATGGACATGTCACTTGCTTACCGAGATATGAGAATCGATATTACCATTACACGCTTCCGTCCAATGGACTTGCGAGAGCTACGCAATGCAGTACAGGGCGTAGTCAGGGCCCTTCTCTCCATGGACACGGACACGGATCTTTTTGAAGACTGGACCAACCCTGTTGAAATAACCATTGTAGATGATGCAGGTAGCGAGGCTTCGTTCGAGGATTCTAGGCGCAAAGTAGCCCAGGTTCTCGTGGACCCCACGAAGGAAGTGATATCGTGTATGTCAGAGGGTATTAGGAGATGCCATGCTGTGCTGATGGACCTGACTGGTTGGCGCAAGCACTTTGGTCCTCCAGCTGATATCTCATCGGACATTGCATCTGTCCAATTGCGTATGGAAACCGCTCTTGAGGCTTTTGACACAGCGGAAATGCTTCTCCTCAGATCCGAAGACAGGCCCGAGACATATGCGGAACATGGTCAGGCCGTAGAGCTTTTCGTCTTTGCTAGACACGTCCGCGAAACAGCAGCAACTATTGTCAACCTCATGGCCAAAGTACACGATATGTCTACTCACTCTAACAGAAAGCGCGTTAACCTTCCCACATACCCCCCTGAAAAGGCTATGTACAGGACGAACGCGCAAGTGAGACATGATCGCGGCGGCATTACAGCGGGCATGTATCGAGCAACTTTTGCCGAGATTGGAAAACTGATCAAATTGACCAGTACGAGCGAGAAGCGCCAGCCGCGTGAGAACTACGAGGCAGTCACCGAGCCAGACGACAGTAAGATGACAGAGCCGAGTATTACCGGGCAACCAGCTTCAGATCAAGATAAGCTCGGGTATAGGATATGGATAACCTTGCGACGCCTTCAGGGGTTCGAAAGTAGATATGCACTCAAGGTGGCTATCTTGACTACACTCTTGGCTCTTCCTGGATGGCTACGGAGCGAATCCGCCTGGTGGAATCGATATGAGGCCTGGTGGGCTGTCTGTATGGGCTGGATCATGATTCATCCCCGAATAGGTGGTAATATCCAGGATTTCTTTACTCGTGCTTCGGCGGCTCTTCTCGGCGCTGCATGGAGTGGTGCAGCTCATGCAGCAGGCGGTGGTAATCCATATGTGCTGGCGGTATTCGCTACTATCTACATGGTTCCTATGATGTATCGCTTTACCCAGAGCACTCATCCGGTACGTTTACTTGCACAGTCTCAAACTTTGCTAATATGGTTCTAGCGATCTGGTCTTGTTGGATGCCTTTCCTTCACCGTGATATCCCTCAGCTTGCGGAGCCACTCAGAAGACTCTTCCATAACACTGCTTGGAGTTCACAAGGGCATAGTCTTCTTCGTTGGGACTATAGCACCCATCTTAATAAACTGGATACTTTGGCCGTTCATCGCCCGACACGAGCTACGACATGCCCTATCCGCCATGATTATTTTCATGAGTATAATGTACAGGAGTAAGAACAACTCAACGCCCTACTGGACTTCGCTGACCATCAGATGTCGTTGCGGACTATGTCTATTTCGACAAAGGCAAAGATCCAACCCCTGAGGACATCAGACGGTCCGAGATGCTTGAGAGTCGTATGCGAGAAGGTTTTGTCAGAATCCGACAGCTTCTTGTCATGACACGTCACGAGATTCGCCTTCGAGCCCCTTTCGACCCAATCCCTTACTCGTGTCTGGCTGCCTCATGCGAGCGCTTCTTTGAATATCTTATTGCGGTCAGACAATCCGCGCTTTTCTATAATCCAGATTACATCCGCGACAACCCTGTGGCTGCTGAAAAGCTGCTCTTCTACCGACGAGATGCAGTAGCCGCCATTCTCGGCAATCTATATATCCTCGCCGGTGCTTTGAAGTCCCAACGCAAAGTACCTGTAAGTGTCTAGCCTACTCATGGCAACGTTGGCTAACCCGTACCTCAGCGCTATCTACCAAGTGCCGCGGCTGCGCGAAAGAAGTTACTCCATAAAACCGAAGAGGTCGCCAGGGAAATGGCAGAAAGTACCGAGTTTCAGGAGCTCGAAAGGCAAAAGACTTGGAGTGATATTTATAGCTATTCATATAATGAGAGTCTTACCGGCTGTGTTGCTCAGTTGGAAGAGCTAGAGCAGTTCACAAAGCTTATCGTGGGCGAGAAAACGTAAGTCAATTTCCAAAATCTTACCATCACTACTAACCAGAGCAGATTCGAGAGCTCAAAACACACACAATACGATGAAGAGGAGGATGCTGATGAATCGCCAGAGCGGCTTTGATTGATCATATTAACCGTATCCTATCCATGCAATGCTATACCAGTTTCGCTAATCAAACATATGCGCCATTGGTCATTTCGTTTAAGATATCCCTCGTGATAAGTTTGCCCTTTAATAACGCCTTGTCCCCAATCCTGGCCGTTTTTGGTGAAGGCCTGCGGTTCTCCTTTCCAACGGCCTTTTTCCGTGGTGATTTGGTCTTCTGAGTAGGGCCAGTGGCTGTAATTTGTGTACCAAAATCTTCAAAATAATGGTTTTCAAGTGCATTAGCAGGCATTTCGTAGATCCAATTTCGTTCCTCCATGAGGGAGATGAATTGGCTCAACATGCTGTCGCTGCCGCTGCCCTTGAGGGTCGATTTGCTTCCAATAACGAGCAGCTTCGTTTTTGCTCGTGTGAAAGCAACGTTGATTCGTCTCCAATCCTTCAACAAATCTCCAATGTTGCAAGCTTCATTGCTTCGAACAAGACTGAGGACTATCACCTCCTTATCTCGTCCCTGGAACCGATCTGTTGTATGCATCTCCACTCCAGAAAATGCTTTGAGCTTTTCTTTCAGCATAAATAGCTGAGCTCGGTAATGTGTCATAACACCAATTTCAGAGTCTGGAACTCCGACCGTCAACAGGCTGTCAACGAGCTGGGAAACAATGCGGACTTCGGCCGAGTTGACAATACGTTTGCCCTGAGCTTCTTCACGGACAGGGGGCTGGATCGTGTCAGTGTTAATGAAACGCACACGAGCCTCGCTGTCAAGAAGATCATATAGCCAGCATCGACTTGGGCCGGGAGCAGAGCAAAACGACCGAGGCGTTGCTGCGTGAATGTTTGACGCATCATAATGTCGCTGTGTAAGAGCCTCCATTCGCGGAATATGGAGTTTTCTCTTTCGCAGCTGTTCTGTGCCGCATCGGAGTTTCCCGTCGTAGATCAGGGTGTTGCTAAGAGTCATGATGTCCTCACACATACGGTACTGATGCTCCAGATTGACAACCGATTCAGGGTGAGTGTCAGATAAGAGCTTGAACAGACTGACATCAAGGCCACCTTGGCGTGCTTCTTCGTTCCTCACAACGGGAGGAAGCTGGTTGTGATCGCCGACAAGAACAAATGTACGAGCCATTCTGATAGGACCAGCACAGATGGGGAGAGTAATTTGAGATGCTTCGTCCACGATACAGTAATCAAACGAGCGTTCGTGGAAGACAGGATGGTTGATACCGAGACATGTCGTTGCAACAATGGGCGTTCCATGCCAGGCATCCTTGATTTCATCAAATGTACTCATCGGTTGGCCAGCAAGATAAGCAAAATCGCGAACCTCGGGGTGAACTTTGGCGGGGGCGCCGAGACGAAGAATAGGTATCTTATCTGTCTTGAGTTTGAGCAGAATATTGTCAACAGCGGTATGAGTATGCGAGGTGAGCAAAACACTCTTCCCCTGGGATGTTAAAGCACGGATAATGTGGGCAATGGTTGTAGTCTTTCCGGTGCCCGGCATTCCAAGGACAAGTGCATAGTCCTGTGCACTCATGACTTTTTCGATTGCCCGGTGTTGGTCAACATTGAGGCCGTCTCGGTCCGATACAGTATACTGAGTTGGTGCAGCTTTGAACTTGGGTGCTTCTAAATCAACAATCAGCCGTCGAATTTGCCGTGACCCAATAATGTCATCTGCCATCATCTGCACGAGGTTGTTCCGAACGGTTGCCATTCCGTTGCTGAACTCGTCCTGATCAAGTCGGTATCGGATAGGGGCCTCCTTGATTTTACCGGTGGTTTCGTCCTGGGTCGCTCCCTCATGGGCAACGTCCATAATACTAGCAAAGGTCTGGTTGTCATTCTCGTCAAATCCGGGTTGTCGAATCCGAGCATTGTGTAGTCGTCTGTCGACAGCCACACTGATTCGCTGTCTCTTGACTGCCGTAACGTAGCCGATGGCCAAAGCAAAGTGACCTTCCTCATCAGAGACTACAATTGGCTCTCCGACTGTTAACTCAGACTCGAGAAACGAGAAACCTGCTATTTGGTTTCGTTTGACGAAACTGTAATGGTATCGGTTGATCTTGGGGTTGTGTGTGTCGACTGATGCTGAGCCGTCTTCAATGATGACATCTGCAAAGCACCGCGACTTCTTTTCTCGCTCGGCGCTAGTCATAGTCCACAACTCTCTTTTGGTTTTCTGACTCTCCTTTTCCTCCTTGGTGAGTAAGTTCTCCCATTTGATGAAGAATTCCTGGTGTAAGGGGGTCAGATGTTTGACAAGCTCATCAAACTTCTCGTTCATTCCACTCGTCTCCCCGTCTCCATCGTCAGCTAGTCTGTGATAGATAAAGCACGATGTCTTGGCGTAGCATTTCCCACACATGTGCTTGCTCTTCAACATTGGGGGCAGTTGAACGCTTCTCTCTCGAACGTAACATGCCAGTTGGTTTCGTTGCATGATCATATGCCGGAGCTCGTGACGAATCGCAGGAATGCGCATCGTTTTTGATGTCTCCATATAATAGAGAATACCGTAAGCGATCTCTATATCATATCGATCTGATAAAAGCAGTGTATAAAGTGCGGTCTGTGCCATGTGGTTACTGTTTGCGTGTTTGCCCGTCTTGACTTCAAACGGCACGGTTAAAGTACGGACGTTCTTCCCGTCTTGCATCGCAACTTCAACAGTTGCGTCGATATTGCCTTTCAGTCCGTACATTGGGGACCAAACGTGCTCTTCAACGTCCAGGAGTTTGGTGACAGCCATGTTGGCCTTTTTCCCGTTTCGGTCTTCAACTACTGCATCCTGCTTTGCCTGAGAAGACACGAAAGAGCCAGCCCAGTAGCTTAATTCGGTCATTTTCGACTGCAGATGCTCCCTGGCTGAGGGTATACCGACTTTGATAGTGTAAAGATCTTCGACATGCTTCTCTGTGATGCGATCAATAACGCCGCATAGGAATGGCAAGTCCCATTTGTTGGCAAGTAGTGCCTCCTGGAATATTTCGTGTAGCATGGTTCCGTAAATCAGGGGTGGTGTTGGTGGACTGGTGGCCTTGACTCGATCTTGGAGCACAGCGCGGCGCATGCAACCAAACGAATCAGCCACCACAGTTGCGGATATAAGTTGATCTGGGTGTAGGATGAGGAGATTATGGGCATCGTCAATGATGCATTGGCCTCTCGCAGTGAAGTCACCTATGATGTGAACGTATGACTCTGCGTGAGCTGGCGTGTCAAACCACGAACCCCTCAGAAGAACTGTCTTGATATCTTTCGAGGTATCGGCCTGAATAAGAAGTATCTGAAGTCGCATATCAGTAAGATTCGAACATGTCTGTCGACCGACCTACCTTCTCTGGCCGTGTATGTCCATACTGGTCCGTAAATTCGCCCTCCAAGACGTTGGTCACCAGGTATCGTTGAATTGTTTTCGGTTTCCGGCTCTACCTGTTACTTAGCATGTTGTGGGTCCTCCTGGGTTCTTCGACGTACGTCTCCGGAGCAATTTTGGGCTGCTTGGGTTGCTGCCAATTCCACGGCCTCGAAATCAAAGTCCCCCTCAAAGGCATCACCAAAATCTTCATCCAGATCGTCGGGCTTTGTCGACGGTGCAGCTTGAGGGAGTTGTTGTGAGTTCGCAGTAATCAGTTCTTCCGCCTCATCAAAGATGTCGTCATCCAAGTCACCAAATTCTTCTAGCAACTTGTCGTCGAACTCGTCTGATATTTTATCGTCAAACTCGTCTAGTTGCGCGTTTTCCGTCCCTGTCAGATCTGGTTGAGGATCCGCCTCCAATTGGGTTGTGGTAATGCTCGCTTCCAGTTGGAGTATTGTGTCGTCGTCAAACTCGTCAAATTCGTCGTCGCCATAGTCCGAGGAAGCAGGTTCAGGAACCTTTGTCCGAGTTGGTGATTGAGCTGCACGCTGTAGAGGGGGCTGTGCTGGGGGCTTCATCTGGGGTGTAGGTCTACTCTGGGGTTTTAGTTGACATGGGGAGCCACTACTAGTGGTATATATCCGCCTTTTCTTTGGAGAGGGAGACTCTGGTGCATCTTGAGCTTCCTCGCTCTGCCCGTGGATGCTACTAGTCACCGTATCGAGCAGTGCTGTTACCATGGAAGATTTCGATGCCTCCATCTCTTCCTTCTCACTGCTCAGTCGACTACCCGAAGTTGATCTTTCGATCCTCCTCCTCTTTGGCCAATTCAAACCGCAACTTATCGCCCGTCGTAGATTAGACTCACTAGCCGTTGGTTTTGTTGATCTTGGTGAAGAAGACACCATTAACTGGGCTAGTGCTGGATTTGCTAGTCCCAGGGGACTGTCCGAATTGTCAGGTACGTTCAGTGAGTATCGATCCCACAATTCCAGTGTTGGGTCTGCATGTGGTGACTTAAGAGCTTGGGCTAGCTTTCTGACGTTGACCGAGGGTGTATTTGGCTTTTCCGGGATTGGTGATGATACGGGTGATGAGCTCCTGGCACGTTTTCTTCCTTTGCGAGACAACATGGGAGATAATGCATTTAGGTACAAGTTATCCTGTCTGTTGTCCCACAGCAGTCGATCATTTGGCGATGTGTTTTCGTCTTCTGCTCCGCTGGCAGGCTCGAGTAGGTCTTTCCATGTCAATCGAGTGGCGGGCGTAGTCATAGTATCGTCCTTGGTTCGACTCGTCGCATCTTGTTCATTCTCTGTGTTTTCTATGCCTGATTCGCCGGCTTTCGGGTGGTATTGGAATTTGTTGAGTTTGTTCTTCGTTACCTCGGACACAGGCTGGAGTGGTCGAGGCCGTGGTGCTTGGTGCACGGGGTTACTCCTCGAACGCTGCCATGGTGAGCGCTACAACTATTAGCAATGTTCACCTAGTGCTTTTTTTTTCTTCAAAATACCTTAGTTCGACCAACTTGATCCGAGTAGGACTTTTCTAGAGGCATTATAGTTCACTGTGATGGAACATTCCGATATTAAAGCCGTTGAAGTACGATGATAGCGGGACATTCGAATTGAGTGGAGGGAAGGACGCGTTTAATGACCAAAACGCGTCGCGACAGTCGCGACCCCTTGCAGACCGGGGATTGTTGATACCAGGTCACGTGTAGGAGCTAGCTCTGAGGACCTGCAGCTGCAGCTCAAAATGGGTGGAATATAACCGGCGCATTAACACTCTGGGCACCTTATGATGGGAATGTTGACAAAATTAATGCGTTGCTCTTATGATAAATTCAGACCAAGTCTTTCTGTCAATCTTTCTTGGTGTGCGGGTTATATTCTAACCCACCTGAGCTAACATGTCATTCCCCTCCAAGCTCCAAGCTGGGGGACTCCACCATTAACGGGCATGGGCGTCAGTGGATCAGTTCTTCACAGCGTCACCGTTTTTGTCCCGCCATACCCGTCAGTTGGCGATCTTCCAGTTAGCCAACCCAATTTTCGAATTCACAGCTCGATGAACACTTGCCTGTGTTCTGGTTCACTACAGCTCTAGCTTGTCCTCACAATGGCTATGAACCCGCAACCCAATGGCCCTGGCCCTGCCCAGTCTCGTGAGAACTACAGACACTCGATGGAAGAATGGCGCCAGTCCGCCCTCTCCCAGCGCAACCAATATGAACCCCGCGTGAAGGAGCAAGTCACCAGGTCGTTTCAAGAATACTCTCCTCCGCTCTACGCCTCAATAATCGGCTACCGTCGTGACTGGAATCTCCTTGTTACGACTTCTCGAGTCTCTGGCTTTGCAGCTACTCTCGGGCGAGATCTTGACAATGAAGAGGCTAAGGCCATTGCAGAATACACTCTCAACAACATTCACACCAATGCAGGCTTGAAATGGCTGAGCGTAGCAGTCGCTGGATACATGACATATCGTGGTCGCCGTACCTGGCAGTTCCCTTTTTACAAACCTAAGCTCGGGGGCCGATTCAACCCTAACGAAACCACCAGCATATTCTCCAACAAGAAGATCCGCGGTCCTTGGCCTCGTGCTACATGGCATTGTCTTCGATTCACGGCCTATCTCGCTGTCACTATGCTCATGGTTGAGCCCGCCTTCCGAGCCGTCAACTTCATTCGAACCGAAACCGCCATGACACACGATCCCCGGCTAAAACAATTCACTAAGGATGCCAGCAAACGTGTCGAGCAAGTCATGTCAAACCCCACCATATCAAAGGCTCCTTTTACCGGCAGGAATGCGCATAGAGGCGATGAGAACGACCCATGGGCCAGCAATGACGGAAACAGCAATGATGGAAACAACACCAGCTCCGAAAGTACCTATCAGCCTACACCCACACAGTCCTGGGACAAATCCCCATCCTATACAACCACACAGAAAAGCCAGCAACAAAGCCAGCAATCCAATGACGACTGGGGTGTCCTTGATGATGATGATGCTTCCCCTGTCGCTGCCTCTGCTCGCAAGCAACCAGTCTCTTCTTCTTCTTCTTCCTCGGGCTCCGCATGGGACCGAGTTCGTCAACAATCACATGGTGCTCCCCGACAGCAGCAGCAACAATCTAACAGTCAGTCCCAAGGCTGGGCAGCCCGTCCCCAACCTGAAGCTCATCCTCAGTCACAAACCAGCTGGGGCAATGAGTCTGCTGGTGGCTCCGGTGACAATTTTTCGCTCAACAAACCAGATGAGGAGAGTGTTGTTGCCAAAGAACAGGCGCAAAACGAATTCGACCGACTTGTCGAAAGAGAAAGAAAGGGCCAGGATCAGGAGAAGTCTTGGGGACGTAAGTAAAATGATGAATATAAATATTGTATTTGTATATGAAACCGCAGATTATCCTTTGTATAGCATAAACTGGACGAAGTATAATTCAACATCGCTACATTTGTAATTCATTTTGTTTCAACTACTACGCTAAAAACAAGCAATCGATCCGTGATTGTTTTTCCGGCTGAGCCGTCTACATTTACTTGTGCTGTACTAAACTCGCTCCCCATCACACTTTTGCTTACTACTTCACTTCATCGGACACTGCAACAGGCTCAACTGCGTCACCTCCCTCCTTCTTGTCCAGAGTCGTTTCCAAAATACTCTCACCGGCCGTGTTTGTGACAAGACTCTTCTCAATCTGAACAGGCTCTTCCTGTTGCTTAGGCTCGGCGTCTTGTGCAGGTGCCTCCTGAGTAGGCTCGGTCGAAGGCTCCACAGCAGCTTGCTGAGTGGGGAGCTCTGGTTCAGCTTCTTGAGGCAGTTCTCCTGCAGCGGGCTCAGGATCCCTGTGGACAGGGACTGATTCCGATTCAAGTTCTGATCGGAGCTCCGGCTTGGGCTCAAAGTTTGGGTCTGACTTAGGTACCGTTTCTTGAGGTGCGGAGGGTGCAACTTCAGGCTCCTCCCTCTTTTCAACAATAGGCTCGGGCTCCTCGATCTTCTCCTCAACAGGCTCTGGCTCCTCATTCTTTTCCTCGACGGGCTCTGGTTCAGACACTGGGGTCTGCTCGCCAGAGACAGACAGAGAACCTTCAGGGTTAATTGACCAGAGAGTCTGGGGAATTGAGAATGACAGAGAAGGACCTGAAGATCCAGTGGTAAGTGCGGGGACAGCAGCGGGGCTCCGGGCCGGAGCTCGGCGTTGTGGGCCCCGGGCCCTACCCTTACGGGCATCGGAAAGCGGAGCCTTCTCCTTCTCCTCCGTTAAATCCTCCTGTGGCTTTGGATCGTCCTTCTTGGGAGCTTGAGGTCCCAGCTTCAGGCGCTTGTTCAGGTCACTCATAAAGCCCGCCTGAAGTGCGGCAATCTTGCTACCGGCCGGCCTACTAGGCACAGGAGGCTTCTGCTTAGGTTCCAATGAATCTCCTGATGCAGACTTTGTGGGTCGAGGAGGGATCGAAGGTTTTGGCTTGTCTGAAACAGGCGGCTTTGAATTTCCCTCGTCACTTGTGGTATGTTTCGGCTTAGGTCGTTCAGGAATTGAAGGACGATCTTCAGAAGCCTTTTTGACCGGTCGTTCAGGGATTGAAGGTTTGCTCTGCTCCTTGGGTTCTTCCTTGAACTCCACCTTTGACTCTTTCTCGACTTGAGGAGAGTCAGAAACAGTGGTCTCGTAAAGTTGACTCTCAGGGGCATCTTCCCAGATATCCCGACTAGGGAATCGCTGGCCGGCAGATGGCCTTTTGTTGTTGTTGAGGAAAGAATCGGATTCCTTAGGGTCGTACCAGATGGGCTGGTCGTGGTTCTTGGGGGGCTGGATATCCACAGGTCCATTGACTTCCTGCTCTGCAAGTTCTTCCTGTCTCTGAGCAAAAAGATGAGCAGGTGTCTTGGGACGGTCCGCGGCAGCTGAGCGACGTCGTGTCTCTTCCGTCTGCTCTGTTTGTTCTGCCTGGTCTGGTGTCGAAACCTCAACGGTGTAGTGCACACTTTCTGGGGCATCCTCCCAGATGTCTTTGCTAGGGAAATAATGGCGGGCCTTGTTGCCAGCTGCTGGCTTCTGGGCTTCCTGCTTGCCTTCTTCGGGGAAGAGAGGCTCGTATTCCTCAACATCGTCCAGAGAGGTGGGGGCAAATTCCTGAGAGTCGTTGTTCCTGTAAATGCTGGTGGGTCTGCTCTTGGGTCTGTTGGCCCTGCTGGAAGGTCGACTGGTGGGCTCTTCCAGATCACCACTACCTCGACGGTCAGGAGGTGGGTGGACGGCAGGCTGCTGGCTGTAAGAATGATTGTCATTCTTGACCTCATCAGCAGCCAGGATGGGTGCATTGTATTCATGATCCTCATCATCCACAGCAGGGTCTTCGTCACCATATGAGCGGTACTCGGGGTGCTTGGGGTCATCAACGTGCACTACACTCTGACCCTCAGGGTTGGTGACCTCCGACTTGAAAGATAGAGGCTGGACCTTGCTTTCCATGGCAGAGGCGGGACGGGGCGAAAGGCGGGAAGTATACTCTTCACTGGCCTGGAAACCAACCTCATCAGTCGGGGTAGACTGATAACCCGATGTTCCTGTAATTATTAGCTCATGTTGTGTCAAAGGTAAAATGGCAACTTACCCATGCCAGCACCACGAGATCTTGTATCTCTGACCAGCTTATTCAAGTCATCTTTGCTCATGGCAAAATCATTTTGACGGTCATGCAGGGGAGTCTGATGCTCCCTCTTAAGGATTTCAGGGTGCTTCTCGTAGTATTCCTTCTCGAGTTTGTCGCAGGGTGCAACACCGTGGCCGTGGAGGCCGTAGCTGCCCGGTGGACCACCACGGGAGCTGTGCTTGCGATGATGGTGCTTCTTGAATTCTTCAGAGCCAGGCCCAGGTGAAGGAGCCTGAACATCTCCAAGGTGGGGGTTCATGGGCACACGCTGGCCAATTTCGGGGATGCCATGCTCGTCCTCAACCTCGGGTCGGCCATCACTAACTGAGACGTTGGTGCTGGACTGCTTGTTGACGCCCGAGGTAGATCCAGGACGGCCAATGCCAAATTGTGCTGCCTTATCGGAGTCGGTGCGGGTAACAGCCTGGACACGCTGCTTGGCGCTGAGGGCAGGCAGAGAAGGCTTGGGCGCATGAAGCTTGAGGTCTTCAGCGATAGTGCGTGTTTGTTCAGGAGATGCAGCTCTTTGTTCCTCCTTAACCTGAATCTCTTCAGGCTTTACTTCGTGAGCCACGGCGCTGTATTCGAGACCCTCCTGACCGATAGAGGGCATGGAAACGCTGTTTGGGCGGTGAATTGGGTCCTGCTGAGCATCGCTTGGGTTGAATCGGGCAGAGATGGGGCTCTTCTTGGGGATGCCCCCGTTGAAGGGTGAAGGAGCGAATCGTTCGGGATTGGGAGATACGGAGCGGTCGTTTCGTTTCGATGAGGGGCGAGGCGGGATCTTGGGAGTACTACCAGCGGGTTCGTTCTTCTCCTGGCCCTTGGCCGGGCGAGGTGGGATAGCGGGAGGTTGTTGCATTGTGGCAGCTGTCATTGTTTGTGTTTAGAAGCTCGGGGGAGCGGGTGCAAAATATAGAAACAAAATAAGAAAAGATATGGATGTCTGGTTTCGGTGTAAGACGATGGTTGCTGTACAACGGGGCCTAGGAGGACCAACGGCAGGTCAGGACTAAGCAATTAGTATCAAGTTAAAGTGACGAGTGCGGAACCAAGGCAATTGCGAGACAGAGAAGGTATAGCAGGGGTTTGGCTCTCTCCACGACAGGGGAATAGACTGGTATTTAAAGACTTCCAGCTCGAGTCCCGTGGATCACGATTCAAGGTGCCTGTGTCTGTATCTATATTTGTACCTGTACCTAGGTACTAATACAGGTTCCAGTGTTGGGCAAGCCGCTGCAGCCCTCGAGCTTATCGGATCCACGGTTCACGAGTTGGAGGCGGCGCCTAAGGTATGAGTGAAAGAATGGATTATGGACCCATTCATGGCTATCAGAAAGCGATGAAGCGAAAATGCCACGGCGCACCTGCTGCGCCCTCCAGGTGTTGCGCCCGTCGCACACCGATTGACCTTTTGTCGGGAAGAACTTACCAATAGGATCGCCGTAATTGGTATTGATTGGCCCAGGAACACGCAGTGTAGTTCGAACGTACTAGGGAAGTTAAGGGACGGTTTTGGTTGGGGACCTGAAGTTTAGATAAGAGAAGATATATATAAGAACTCTGGGCACTGCGCTTTCAAGACAGCGCCTGGTGACTGAATGGATGGTTTTATATACTCACGTCTGGCCTCGAGAATTCAAAATGGAACGTCCAGGTGACATGCACAGGATCGGGGTCCAGTCTTTGACTCTTGAGTCCCAGTGCCACCGGAGCTGGTGACTTTTGTTCGTCGTCACTGGTTATAAAAACAGGGATGGCGATGGCGCCAAGTGAGACTGTGCGAGACGTTTTCAATCCACACTGTAGTTAGATCATGGGTTGTTTCTGACGAGTTTGAAGAGATCGTGGGTGCAATGAGACTGCTTCAAGATGGCGATCTTTTCTCGGAGTTTGTCATTCAAGTTTCGATTACTATCTCGTATGTTCTAATTATACCCAGACACGAATTGACCACTTCTCTCAGCCTTATCCCATTGTTGATCTCTTGTCTCTGAAGCTTACCTCAGAGCTCCTATTGAAAGTATTTTCGTCACTTGCATGGCCGTGGATACAGTGCACCCCGCATGCTAATGATGCCACAGTCCCTCAACGGACAGTCCCATGAATCTATGATGGGTTTTTCCCGTCCAATCCAAACAATGAAATGAGACGCGCGGTGCGACAAACAGTTCAACGTAGAAGTTCGTTTCTGGATAACCTGTCGGCCATGTCCTTGTATCTGGAGACAAGAGATACCGGTATTGCTATCATGCCCGTGTAAAAACAACCTGCAGGTACTCACAGCTCATCCATAGGTTAGTAGGCTATAGCACTCTCTCAACACCTCTCTCCCGCCGACCCGCTATAGGTAGTTCATCATGGCGGCGGATCTTCTGCAGCGTATTCCCCACCAAGCGATCGCTGGATACTACAGCCGGCTAGTTATGGGTGCCTTTGCTACAGAGTTGCTACGTCGTCCATAAGAGGACAAGAGAATGACGCTTACTCGACGGCGTTTTACTGGACAGTGCGGTGAGGAAACTTGACGGTCGCCTGACCAGCTGGAAACTAGCCGTCAAAGCATGCCTCGCAAGGACAAACGTTGTTGATTGGGGACGGGAGACAACTCGATTTACCAAAGAAGCCCAGCTTCAAGTTTGGCGCTTACGATGAAATCGGTCGAATCAATATCTATCTGACGACGATCCTGAGAATTTTTTCTAAAATTCAAAAGTTCTTCCAAGTTCTATACATATATGACGGTGAACAAAACAATAAACCAGGTTGCATGATCGTCCACGTCTTCTAACAAAAAAAACTTTGTTTCCCCTGGACATCTTATCACGATCCTCTAGTCGAATCACATCCCGTCCGTCCCCTCCACACTACATACGATACCACCAACTCGAGGAGTTTTCCGCAGCTGTCCTAAAGAGGTTCGTTCTGACGCCATCTCCGGGAAACAAAGCTCCAGTTGACCAAAGAGTCTAGACAAGAACCGGTCCGGTTACCCTACACATCGAATAGCAACTCTATGATTCACGTCACCGTCTTCAGCAGAGTCTCATAATCAGCCAAATCATTACAGATGACAAGGTCATTTTGTTTGTTATTTCGCTGTTAGACTCATGGCACTAAATTTGCTGATAGCTAGTGTATAACCTCGCTATTGCAGGAGAATGCAGATTCACTAACATTCTGTCCGGGTATTAAAGGGTCGTGAATGTGACAGTTCTCCACTCGCTTCAGCTATCAGCTACATTTATCCTAGCGGCGAGCCCGTAAAGCTTGGTACCATATCACGAGGGTATCAGAGCTTTGAACGCTAGTAGATATCTATGTTTATCGTTTTCTTCCACCATGACGGCTGAACTAACGCCTCGAATGCCGGATTGATTAAGTTGCAGATCCATCATATGATTGACAAGCGGTGATCCCGACGACTAGTTCTCAACGGTCGCAGAGAGGATTGTTTGATATCAGTCGAATGGTTATTAGCGAGTTAACCTATTTCGTTGGGACAGCACTTCCTTGGGGTTACAACGGAAACAAACAGCAGAAGCAATGCAAATAATCAGTTTCTAACGAAACAACTCAAATAACGCAGTCATCGAAACTCGTCCCACGTAAAAACAACAGCTACAAAAAACGGGAGCCGTTCCTCATCCCAGACGCCAAATCCAGCTGGGTATACAGGCCGCTGCTCTTGGCAGGATCCTAACTCGTCGAGATATGCGGATTTTCCATAATCACCTTCGTCCTCCATTTGCAAGCCATCAAAATGCTGCAGGCATCTCCAACACTCAACGAACCCTCCTCCTGTACGGCACCTTGCGATACCTTATGATATAAAGTGGCTCGTTGTATTTGCGTCGCAACCACGCAATTGGTTGAGAAGGCAGTCGGTGTGCCTATACAATCATCTGCGCAACACCCTGACCACCGAGGGTCTTGCTACCCACAAAGGCCTGTCCCTTGACACCGGCAAGCAGGTAGCACAGAGCAGTAAGAAGCAGGAAGACAGCAGCGGCAATCAGACTGCTTGCGCCACTAACGTTACTGATGAACTGAAGAGCAGACATGATACCGTAGGCAGCTGCGCGCATGTAGTTGGTCGAGATCTTGCGAATCACCTCGTCGAACTTGCCGGAGGTCGGGCAGATACGGAGGAGAAGAGGGACCTCGATGAACAGGATGATAAACGATGATGCGCTGTGTACAGTCAGTTTCAGTACTTCCATTATCATGCAAAGGAAGTCTTACATGGCAAAAGCGCAGAAGATGATGCGAACAACATTAAATGAGAAGATGTTGGCAATACCAACAGCCAGACAGATAATCATGGAAAGAATTCCCAGCCTGCACACGAGCAATGTTAGTCGGTTGTTGACACGCAATAGTTCGTTCGATTTGGTCCAAGTCGCAGAGCTCCTTAAGAGAGCTCCTCAAGAGCTCGATAGCTATGATTGAAGCTGTATACAGTCGAGGATTGGTAGCTTACCATTGTCCGTAAATGCCTATATGACTATTAGTACCAACTACGAGCAGCGCAATATGTAGAGAGCAACATACTGAAGTTTCGTGTCTGGAACTCCTCCTTGAGCGTCATCTTGACAGCTTACGTCGAGCGTTCGTATTCGGTATTTGAGCGGCCGAGGGAGATTGCACTTGGCGAGACGAAGATGACGATGTCCTGAGCAATCAATGCGGAATCGGAACGATGGAGGGCGTGTTGAAAGTAGTCGAAGTTTGCGACAGCGATTTGATGGTGATCGAGTCGAAAAGCGGAGAGGGTTGAATTCGTTGTGACGGCGGAAAGTATGAAATGATGAACGTAGCCTTTTCGCAAATGATGGGATGGGATGCCCGGTTGCTAAGGTCCCCAATTTTGATTGAGGCTTGGTGCAGGGCTTGGCTCCAGTGTCAATATGGGCAAGGTAGGTGAGTGGATGGCGGCTCCACGGGGCGATGCTGGTTAGGTAGGGAACTTAGGGTCAAGTTAGGGTCGCTGACAGCGGTTCCAGGTTGTTTTTGTAGGTGAAGGGGTCCCTGTAACTGTAACGTCCAGGAGTGGAGGCCCGATGAGTTCCAGGTTGGATGGAGTTAATTATAATATGAGACAAAGGTTTTGGCTCTGAGGTTTGGTGAAACACAACAAACGCACTTGTGGTGGACTGATATGGTTCGTGTACAGAGTACCGTGTGAGGTATATACTCTTTCAGTCTTTCTTTAGGCATCTTTATTCTCGTAGGCAACTCTTTTTTGCAGCACAGCCAAGTGACGTACGTTGAATACGCGGCATTGCCAAGCCTCGCCGAGAGTGATGCGGAGTTGAACGATTTGTGTCTTGCAAAGAGACGAAGTGCCAAGGTAATTATTCACTGTGAAGACGGTGTTGAATGCTTGGCAACTCCATAATTGCGACTTACAGAAAGCAGAGGAGGTTATATTCAGACTTCAGAGTTCAAACTGTAACTTGAACCTGTCTGTAGCAACCTTCTCAAGCTGGTACAGTGCTCTAATCCACTAATTAGCTTCGCCAACTGTAGTAAACTGTAGTATATCTGTACTGGTATGTGTATTGCTGGCTAATTCAATGAATAAGCAAATACGATAAGGGCTGGTCTAGATCTTCCTTTGCAGATTCTCTCACAGTCAGCCTGTCTTGTCACAAACATACAACTGAACATCCCATGGCCTGGAATATCGTTCTTTAACCACGTGGTGAGGTGGAGTGGTTCCTCCTGCTTGTTTATAAATACGCTACGAATACTTCAACACCATTACATCATCTTCAATAACCTTAAGCTTTGTCTTCATCGCTTATCAAGCAAACAATTTTCGAATTCCGGCTCGCGATCCGACTGTCCAACTCGTCTGAGCACTCATAAGGCCCATTGCTCCAACTTGTGCTGTTGGTCTCTTTCAATCTCTCAAACAGCCTGCCGATCAGTTCGTAGCCTCAAGAAAATGACTTATACGATCCTCTCAAACGACCAGGTCAACTACATATTGGAAGGCCTCACAGTTGACGAGCTCGATGAATTTCGCCATGTTTTGGCTTCGTCCCTCCACGAGTTTTCTACCGGAGTGCCGGCTCTAGAGGAAGCCTTCCAGCAACCAGACCACACCTCAACACTGCATCCTGAGACTATGGCCAGGACGCTTTATATGCCCTCCTGTGCGCCATGTGGAATGGGCTGCAAAGGTGAGGCTATTGCGTTATCTTGGGATTGGGTTATTCTGACTTAATAGTGATTTCTTTGAACAGCCCAGAAGCAGACCAGCCATCTGGCGTTGAGCAGGCCAGTCCGACTGGTGTTATCAACTTGTTCAGACCAGATGGCTCACCACTCGGCATTATTAATGCGAGTGCTTTGACAGCCTTTCGAACTGCTTTGGCATCGACTTGTCTTGTGGCGCGCCGCAACCATGTCAAGACTTTGACCGTATTTGGTAGTGGTCTCCAGGCTTACTGGCATATCCGACTCGCTCTTATGATGCGCGGACACACCATTAAGCACGTTAATGTCATAAATCATCGCTGGAGCGATAAGGCGACTGGGCTGTTGAAGAGATTCGCTGGTATCTCTTCTGAGATCAAGAAACGTGAAGGTTGGTCAGAGACTAAGTTCGGACTGCTGGTCCCAGCGTTCCACGAGTATAAGCGTCTTATGAAAGACCAGATAAGAGAAGCTGATGCGATTTACTGCTGCACCGCATCACAGAAGGAACTCTTTGATGGGTCTATCTTAACGTCTCATGAGGGCCGCAAGAAAGGAAGACTCATCATTGCTGTCGGAAGTTTAACACCAGAAATGAGGGAACTACCCGACGACCTTGTTCGACTGGCAGCTAAGAGAGACGACAAGCCTCATCGTCATTTCCATAAGCATGCAACCGAAGGTGGAGTAATCGTCGTTGATAATATCAGGAGCGTACTCAAAGAAGCAGGCGAGATCATAGCAGCCAATATTGGCCCTCATCAGCTAGTGGAGTAGGCATTCGTCCTCAATTTTCAAAGATATTGCTAACCCCTTATTCTAGGTTGGGAGAGCTCGTGATGCTGCAACGCCTAGCTATAGAAGAGTCCGATGAATTCTCTAGCAGTCGAGCATCTGTAGCTTCGGATATGGATAAGCTAGACATACATGGCAGGAGTTCCATGTCGACAGTCTATGGTAGTGGCAGCAATACCAGCGAAACCCCAACAAGTCCCACTGGCTCAGTAGACTCAGAAGGCCGTAGGTCCAGTTCGTTCTTCCATTCGCGAAAGAGCTCTAGCACCTCATTAGACAAGGAAAAGAGAAAATCAGAAGACCACCTTTGCCGTTGGTTACGAGACGGCACTGTCGTGTATAAGAGTGTTGGCCTCGGACTGATGGATCTCGTAGTGGGAACGCACTTGATTGAGGTTGCAAATGACAAGAACATAGGAACTTGTTTAGAGAAATTCTAGACGAAATGATATCTCAAGATAAACTATAAATGCTCATAATACATGCTGCAAATGTTTGTACATAAAATTCTACTCAGCCACCCAGATAGCAGCCATACCCATACCAGTTCCCACACACATGGATGTGGCACCAATCTTCTGGCCTGTTCGCTTGAGCTCATATAGTAGAGTGGAAACTTGTCGGGCACCAGTGCAACCCAGGGGATGGCCAAAGGCAATGGCACCTCCCTTGGGGTTGATCTTCTCTTGGGGAATGCCAAGCTCATTGGCACACCACAAGCACTGGCTGGCAAAAGCCTCGTTGATCTCCCAGATGTCAACATCGTCCTTGGAGATACCGGCAAGGTCAAGAGCCTTGGGGATGGCCTTCCAGGGGCCCTGACCCATGAGGAGGGGCTTGACACCAACGACCGAGGCGCAGACGTACTTGCCGATGATCTTCTGTCCAAGCTTCTCAGCGGTAGATCGCTTCATGAGGAGAACAGCGGCGGCGCCGTCAGAGATCTGACTGGCGTTACCAGCGTGAATAGAACCATCCTTGGCAAAGGCAGGGCGAATCTTGCCCAGGGACTCGGCGGTGATGCCATCTCGGACACCGTCATCCTTGGCGACGGTGATCTCCTTAGTGTTGCCCTCCTTGTCCTCGAACTTGACCTTGAGAGGAGCAATCTCCTCGTCAAAGAGACCCGCCTTTTGGGCCTTGAGCGCCTTTTGGTATGATGCGGCAGCGAAGGCATCTTGCGCAGCCCGGGAGATGTTGAGGTCCTTGGCCATCTGCTCAGACAGGACACCCATGGGGACCTTGCAGTTGGCAGCCTCGGGGTGCTTCTCGAATTCTTCTGAGAACTCGGAAACAGCACCGGGACCGTAGTTGATGGACATGCTCTCGACACCAGCACCAATACCGATATCGATCATGCCAGTCTTGATCTGGTTGGCCACATCGACGGTAGCCTGGAGACCAGAAGAGCACTGTCTGTTGAGGGTTCGGACGGCGATGGATTCAGGGAAACCGGCAGCCAGACTGGCAGCTCGCATCTCGGTCGCACCGCCACCGGGGGCGAGCACGGTTCCGACACACAGGTCCTCGACGAGGGCAGGGTTGATCTTGGAGCGGTCGAGAATGGCCTTGAGGACTCCGGCCATAATGTCAGCGGCGTGAGTGTCCTTGAAACCACCGCGACCTCCCTTGGTGAATGCGCTTCGGCATGCGGCGGTAACGACGATCTACACAAGACGAGGTTAGTGAGCTATTCTGGCGCATAGTACAATTCTTTCTGTACATACATCGTCAGGGTTCTTCTGGAGGAGCTTCTCACGGCCGCCAGCGGTCGGGTTGCCAGAGATCTGGCCTCCAATCTGAATGATTCTGTCGGTGACTAGAGATGAGGTCAGCTTGTCATCTTGATAAGCGCAAAGCACGGCGACTAGACATACCGCCCATCTTGGCTATGATGTAAGGGTATTGCTAAAAAGGAGTTGAGGGTAGGGTATAATGCGCAACACAAAGACGACTATGAATCGAGGCAGAGGGAAAGAAGTACGGAGAGGATTATTATACAGAAAAATCTCGGTAGACCTCGGATGTTGTGTAAGAGCAGAGTTGGGAAGCTTTGTCACGGGAGACTAGAATATGGTAAAGCAAGACCGAAGATGGATCTCAAAACCGGGGACCGAGGCATCTCCTAGCCCCGGTCTTGGCATTTTTAGCGCGTCTTTCTAGCGCCCGATCACATGCCAGTTCCCCAGCTTTTCAGGAATCAGCGCGGGGGAAGTTCTCCAAGAGCTTCATTGTTGCGTCACGAGGAGGCTGAAATACTCCAAAAAAGACGATTTGGCCTGGTTGCCATAAGCACGTGTGACCTCTTCTATCACAAGGAAAAAAGCAATCAGCGCTGCAAGACTCGATTGGTGCCACCGCTACTCCCAAGATGGATGTCGATATTAATAATAAACATGAAGAATTTTGATATCATGGGTAGGTAGTCTAAACTCCGACTCGCGCGCCAAGGAAAAAAAAACACCAGAGACTATCCAAAGATAAGGAATAAATTCGAAATCATTATTTCATACAGGTATCATAAGACGACGAAAAACCACCACACTCGGAAACAGCTGGACTCCAAACACTCTTATCGTCGTCTTGATATGATAGAGCATCCCACGGCGAGCTCGATTCTTCACCTGATCCTGAATCATACATAGACATAGGGAGCTGTAGTGAAGTATCAAACGAAGTATCGATCCTGATTTGGGGGATAGCAGAAGGGACGGTCGATGGAACTGTCAATGCGCGATTGCGACCAGTTGTGAACTGCTGTGGCGCTGGGGGGGCCAGCACGTAAGGCGTCAAGATATCCTGAGGTTGCTGCATATAAGAAGGGCTGAAGCCGTTCCACGATGGATATTGGCTGGGGGGCGCAGAACGAGTTACTGCTTCTGTGTTGGGGTTAGCCATGTTTCCCCTTGAGCTTATCAAAAACTACAAGTAACTTACCAGGACCATCGGCCAAACCAAGAGCCTTCAACGCATCAATGCCCAACTCAACACTGATTCGCTGATCGGAAAGCTTCCCAAGTCGGATCTTCAGTTGCTGTTGAGTCTTCCCAATCATTTCCGCGTCAATAACGTCCAGCACACACCAGTGCTTAGCGTCTTTCCATCTCTCCTTAGGCACGGGTCGTATTTGGACACCCCAGTTACGAGCAAAGTTGTCATCGACGACACTGGACGGACGGTTGAGGTAGCATTTGGCGATACATGGTACCTCCGTGGTCTTAGTCTTGAGAGTAATGCGAATTATTTGACCATCTTTGACTCGTGCTGACTGACTTCTTAGAGGTGTGCTAAGAGGCTGTGCTGGGAACTGCCAACTAGGCCCAGACAGTGGTGAAATGGGAGATTGCCCTTGACTTGCAGCCTCATCATCTGTGAGGATGGCTGAATCGTCAAAGGGAAATTGAGGGAATGGTAAAGAGTCTTGCTGAGGACTGAGAGACGGAAATGCTTGCGAAGTATCGGGTTGTATGGGCTGACATTGAAGTCCCAAAGAATCCAAGCGTCTGCCATTATTGACATTTCGTCTGAATGATTCAACACCACGAGAACCAGCAGAAGAACTGCTTCGCCGTCTTAATCGGTCCTTGGAAATAGGACTGAGCCTTGTGGGTGAACGTGAACGATTTGCAGCCTGCTTCAGGGTATTTTCGATAACAGTCAGTTTCAACTGCCTGGGCCTTCCGGTGGCCATAGCCGGGTTTCTTTGTTTATTCATCGAGCTTATAGCTTCTGTGTCGACGACAAACTGGATATTAGGCAGAGGGAGGCGCCTGGGGACAGCGTAAAACGTTGTTGTGTTCGTTGTTGAAAGAAAGTGGAAATGACCGGTCCTTATCTTGAGCCATCAACTAAGCATGAAAGACAGTATAAGTATAGTACTGGTTTATAAGTCCCGAGTGGGCTGGGGAGTTAAATTATCGACTTTATTTGCGTGAGGGAAGAAAAGCACCTCTGCTAGGCTTTCTCAACATCGTGATGGGCAGGGCAGCCAATATGCAAGTTTCTATGTCCAGTAAGTGGGCAAGGCCAGGATCAGCACACTTCCTTAATTCGAGGCAAACCGGTCCAATTGTCTGCCTCGATAACCATTTCCACAAAACTGGCGAGAATTCAGGCATCTGAGTGGTCTATGAGGCTGGTTGGGTCAATTGCACAGCCTTGATTAGTAGGCTGTGCTGGCGATGGTGAGTTTGAGAGCCGCATCGCTGCGTTGTACAATTGAGACTGGCCACGGATGGTTGAAACTGCACTTTAAAAGAATGCCATAAGGCGCAGATTTGAATCGCAGTTAAATATCATTTCTGTAACTGCAACTGCCTTATCCAAATTCCACGGTTTCAACCTCATCTCGAAAAGGCGGCTACATATAGGATCGAGTGGTTGCTGCGCCTCTTTCATACATAGTCTCCGGGCGTTAGATCCCGCATGAGCGACTCCAACTGACCAAATGACAATAACTGTATGGCATGGTGTTCGTCAATTACCAACTCATACGCCTTGCTGTCGTAACGAGCCGCGAGTTCGAGGGAATCGTGTGCCGCCCGTTTCCGAACACTTACACAGAAACTCAAGACTTAAAAAGGTGACTATATATGCTCTACAATTATATAGATGAAGTTCTCAACAATAATAAGAGCTTCCAATAACAGAGTATGTATCACTCTTGCAACCATGCCTTGAATCATTCTAACTGACATAGGATACCTCCCACCAAGTGGTTGTTGTGGAATTCTCAGAAACCACATAACAGTACTTTTCCACAGGAGCTCGATTTAAAAACCAGAAAGATAATTGGGTTGAATTCTTCTGTTGCTCCAACATAGCCCTCAAAGCCTCGCCATGTGCTGTCCAGTAAACAACTCGCAGATCAAAGAAGATAGTGAGCAGAGCTACTGCTATGCAGTAGACAAGGTATGGTTACTCAAGCTTCACAAACCACGCTAAGTTAACAGTTCCTAGATGTGCATCCCAGACCGCTCTTTTGCAGTCGGAGGAAACCTTTCCTCTATCACACGCTCCTTCGAAGCTTGTATCCGAGGAAAATATCGTCGAAGACAGCCTAGGGATCGTCCACAGCGGAAGTCCAGCTGGGGGAAAAGTCAAGTGACTAAGACCAACACACAGACTTTGCCTGTCAGTTGTTTCAAGAGGATGTATTACTTTTCGACAAATAGATGTCTGGGATTTAACAAAGATCGGGAAAACGATTTGTCAGTCAAAGATGTCTTTGTTGACCCGAATCCCGAGAGGAATAAATACGTTCACGAACGCATCGGTTCAACCACTGAAGCTATTCAAGTAGAAGATTTAGAAAAGCAGATACGCTGCTTGACTGTCACCTTGGGGGACAAGCCTGGGAGAGCAGTCAGCCCACGTTTTGAAGAGGCATATGCCCAGGGAGAGTCCTTGACGCCTCCCGAAATCGAGTTCTCTGAGGATAGTGACATGGAGGATGATTACTGGACATGGGATCAAGACACTCAGAGATTCAGACACTGGGATGGGGAACTCGGAGAATGGGTTTGCTTCCCTGAGAGGTTTGACTGATGTGGTTTGGTTTGGTGTAGATGAGATATGATGCATAACAGCAACCGGATGTAGCCAGTACTATCATATCGAGCTTGGATAAGACCAATATGTTTAGAACACGTTCATTGACCAATATTGCTAGATCTTCAACTCAAATAATACAACTTCACCTTCACCATACCATACTCTGCGCCGTGTACTCCCCGTTCGTTCAACCGACCACTTGTATCTTCGCAACCGTATCATGCACCTTGTAACACTCTTACTTCTTATAATTAAGCCTTGCTTTCGGGCTTATCCTTGACAGTCTTCTCATCAGGCGAGAAGCTTATACTGACACTGTTCACGCAATGACGCTCGTCGGTGGGGGTATCGTAGCCCTCGCCCTTAAAAACATGTCCCAAGTGACCACCGCAGTTGGAGCAGACAATCTCTGTTCGTGCCATACCGAAAGCGCGGTCCTCATGACGGACGACGGCGCCAGGGATGCTATCAAAATAGGCAGGCCAGCCGCAGCCAGAGCTGAACTTATGGCTCGCCTTGTAAAGCGGCGCATCACAACCTGCGCAGGTGTATACGCCGTGGTCTGGTTGGTGCTTGTCAAACTTTCCTGAACCAGGGGGCTCAGTGCCCTTCTCACGGAGGATGCGGAATTGCTCTGATATTGTCAGCATATTGCGCAACAGAAGAGTTGATTAAGTGATAACTCACCCTTGTTAAGAACAGCTCGCCATTCGTCGTTTGAGCGATTGTCAGGGTACGACATGTTGGAAGAGTTCTTGGATGAAGTGCCGAAAAGAGCGCCTAGGAAAGGAATGCCGGACATGGATCGAAGAGGGATAGGTCGGAAAGCCAAGTGTGAAGGCAGCACAGGTCTCACACGGGTAATGTTTGAGAAAGTGTAGAAGAGAGTCGATAGTAGTGGAGAGAAGCGCATTGAGAAAAAGACTTGGCGTGCGAGTATTTATATTCAGTTCAAAGGTTGTGTTACGGTTCCTGGACTTCAAAGAGGAAGACGTTATAAGTCCCGGTTTCTTGGTGGCAACCTCAACCAATTGTGACAAATCATGAGTTGCGAGCTGTGGAATCATCTGCATCATCGAGTATTGATTGCTTCTAGCGTTGATGAGCCCAGCCACAGCCACATCTTGGTTATCAGCTAGGTATACGCTCATTGTGGCCCCTGCAATTTGAGGATTGCGCTTGAATACGCTGATAAAATCCAAATATTTCACTGCTTCACTAAAATAGGCTTATTTGGCTTATATCATCACTATTTCCTGAAATGGAGTCCATCATCATGTATTTCAGCCCCGATATTATGTTGTGGCTTAGAATTGGAGTCAAGCTTGTGGTTAAAGCCAATTAAACATTGTGAGAGCAGACTCAAAACACTTCAATTTGTTTGAGACAAGTGTCCAGTGTTTAAGCCATGTATACAAACCCCTGGGATAACTGGGCTTTAATTACTTTGTACAACCAAACACTAAATAAAGCAAGATAAAAGCTTCAATTTCACCGTGTCTGATATCAAACCTCCCCCTTCCCCACCAATCCAGGGGTCAGATACCTATGTACCTACCTATAGTGCAAAGTGTCCAGGCCCACCCGTGCATTAATTCGCTGGGACAGCTAATGGGGAACTAAAACATCACCGACCTGACCACCCTGGCACCTCCCTATCAACCTCCCATCCAATTCTAGGCACACCTTTCAACTCCAGGTTGCCACTTTGCAACAACGCTCGTCTGGAGTGACTTGACTCTCACAAATACATCATCTCAAGCCCGCCCGACGACTCAATCCTACCTCCTTGCATTGCATCTTCGCTCGATATATTGTCATCATGTCCAGGAGAGCCCCGAACCCCGCTGCTGAGCGGGCGGCGCAAAACACAGCTACTCTCAAGAGTCTCGTCAAGTTGGAGGCCAATAAGGTCTGCTCCGATTGCAAAAAGAACAAGCGTAAGTTCTGAACCCAGTTCGAATATCACTCACCTGCTGACTCGACCAGATCCTCGATGGGCCAGTTGGAACCTGGGCGTCTTTATCTGTATCCGATGCTCGGGCATCCACCGTGGCATGGGCACTCACATCAGCCGAGTTAAGTCCGTCGACCTCGATTCCTGGACCGACGAACAACTCCAGAGCGTTCTGCGCTGGGGCAATGCCCGCGCCAACAAGTACTGGGAGGCCAAGCTTGCGCCGGGCCACGCTCCCTCCGAAGCCAAGATCGAGAACTTTATCCGCACAAAGTACGAACTCAAGCGATGGGTCATGGACGGCCCCATGCCCGATCCTGCGTCTCTAGATGCCGACGGTGATGACGATGTGCCCCTGAGCATTGTTAAGGAGAAGCAGGTCATAGAGCGCAAGGAATCCATCAGAAAGGCTTCACTGGGCAACTCACAGGCACCACATGCATCACATGCTATCGCCGCGCCTCAGGAGGATCTCATCGGAGGAGATCCTGTTCCTATTCGATCAAGCAGCGCCGCTCCCCATGGGGCCAAGGTTGCCCCCAAGGGCGAACCTGCTCCTCCCAGGACAACCAGCACAAAGGACTCGCTACTAGGACTCGACTTCTTCGGTGAGCCACAGGCTCCTCCCCGACCAGCTAGCACAACCGGTACCGCCCCGAGTGGTCAGTCCCGTCCCGATCTGAAGCAGTCTATTCTTTCTCTATACGCCTCTGCACCTCGACCGCAAGCTCATGCCCAACCTCAGCAACCGCCGTCTTCAGGAGGGTTTGGCGGGCTCGCCTCTCCTACTTTTAGCCACCAGTCTCAGGGCTCAGTTGGCGGTTTCAGCGACGCCTTCAGCAGTCTTAGCATGTCAAACGCACCCAAGCCTGCTGCGCCCGACCCATTTGCCAGCCTTGGCTCTTCCAGCCGAAACACATCGAGCAACAATGCCTTTGGTGGCCTAGGAGGCGGTAGCTTCTTCGACAGCAAGCCCTCTCAGCCTGCCGCCCCTACTCATCAACATCAATCTTCCAACTTCTCCAACTTTGGTGGCTTTGCATCCCCAGCACCGGCTGCTCCCGCTGCCGCTGCACCCAAGCCTACTCAATCATCTGCCATGGGTGATCTCTTCGACCTTTCTGCGCCTGTGACTACATCGCCTCCTCCGCAACAGCCCGCGCCCGTTTCCAGCTCTGTCTTCAATCTCTCATCCCCTCAAAGCCCCCCTGCTGTTGCGCCTACCAACACTACTACGACTACCAACACAACAAGCTCCATTGGCGGATTCTCTGGTGCTGATGTCTGGGGGGGTGGAAGTGAATGGGGAGCCCCTGCAGCTCCTTCACCGGCTCCTGTACAGAGAGCCCCTGAACCACCAAAGCCCGCGGCTAATGACTTTGGATGGAGCAATTCGGGAGGTGCTTTTGCTAACACTCCTATTGTTCCTGGTGCATCTGGGGGTTTCAACCCCATCGCGTCACCCAAGGTATCAGCCGACGAGGAATTTGGAGGATGGACAAGCAGCGGACCTGCTGCTGGTGGCAGTAGTAGTCAAGCGAAGCCTAGTGGTGGCTTCGGTGGGGATGATGACTTGTTCTCCAATGTGTGGTCATAGACGTGAATTTTGGAGATATCAAGAGGGGTGATCAGTGGAGTTTATAAAACAATTGCAGGCATGTTTGGGCGTTCGCATGTTAGGAGTCATGTAGATGCGAAATGGGGATAGCTTAAATTGTACGACTGTTACGATATTGATTTGAGTGATCAAATAATGTGAAATGTATTCAAATAACGCCGGCCCAACGCTGCCAAAACAGTAAAGTTCCTGGGAATAACTCCCTAGCCTTCTATCTGCGGGCACTTGAATGCCTTCTGGCCATGTTCCCTAAGCTGTGTATTGCACCTGTCACGAATGGCCCGACTTGCCTTTCGAACGACCGCCATGTATTAAATAAAGTCCCAGATCCAGCTTGTACGCCTGCGCTCCAAGCTTTTAAAAGAACACTTTTGCGCCATAGAACAACACCAAGAAAACGCCAATCACGATTCCCGACAACTTGAGGATTGCGACACGGTTGCCGGATGCAGCCATTCGAGTTAAGCGACCGGCAGAGCCCTTCATCTGTGTGGTCATGGAGGAGAAGGTATCGGACTGTTGGACGTCAGCTGTCTAGAAGATTGTAGCCGGTGAACGGTGTAGACGGACGGTGTTGTCGATAACATCCTGGGCTCGGGCATTATCGTAGATGTCAACCGTCACGCCGCGAAGGGCGGAGACCTTGGCGGAGAGCTCGTCAAGACGAGCGTTGTTTTGGCGCTCTCGTTCGTAGGCTTCGGACATGGTGACTGGAAGTTTGTACTCAGAAGATGGGAATGGCGAGAACAGGGGTATTGTTGGATTAGGCGCTTGATCGTAACAAAGTGATTTGTGTATTTATTTGGGTTTATCGCGTTGTAGAGCCCGATCTCTCCTTCGTCGTTATTAGTTGTCTCCTCGAAAGGTAAATGCGAAGTGGTGAAAGGGGTTCGATGTCAACTCAACCCGGACCGCTCATGACGACCTCCCGCCCTCGGTTCTGGAGTCCGCTACGGCCATGGCCAGGGCACGCGGGCGCGCTGGACTTTAGCGGTACGTACTGGCCTCTGCACCGCCACATGTCTATTTGACTAAGCCACTCCTCTTCTACGGGCAGTGATCCACCAAGAAACTGGAGATCTCTCCCCAATAATTACGTAGCCGTGCCACAGCATGTACCTTGACCTTGCCGCCCGAGGCGGGGCAGCACGTTACAGACACGGCTTGATGAAAGAATATGTATGGTCGGGCAGCTACGAATGGCTCAATTGCTGTCTCAGTATTTGTTCTTATTCCCAGTGATATTCGTCTCAACGGTAGCTGTAACTGCGTCACATGGAATAGAGAGCTTTCCCCAGCGCGTAGTGCGCCGTATCTCTGCGTCTACGTTCTACCTAACCCAACGTTTCCTAACGACTACCGTTAGTTTTTGCTTTTTGTGTCTCTGCCGATCCTACGACAGTTCTATATCACATCACCAGGAGAATATTTTACCTTTTGTTCGTTTACACCCATTGCTTGGCAAAGAACTCATCGAGGCGCAGCAATAAATTGCCTGGTGACGACGCAACCCGGACAAGCTACCCGTACTATACCTACCTACCTACAACCCCACTCCTTTGCCCTTGTACTGAGTGAGAGCTTCTTGGCTCCTTCAACAACAGTTCTGGACCGCGCGAAGTCTTACTCTATCTTTTTCCCCTAAATCTTCTCCTGTATCCCTAAAACTTCAGTCGCGTGCATCATCATGGGTATAAACAGCCCCCTCCCGTCGTCTATGGCGTGTAAGTCAAACCCTCCAACTCAGTTTCGTACTCATGATCGCGCATCATGAGCCGCTCCACCCCCTCAGTCAAGCGACCAGCTTAGTCCTTCGCGAGACACGGCTAACCTGACTTCACCACAGCGGAATGCAAAAAGTGCGGCAAGATCTTGACATCCTTTATCAACCCTCGCCAGTCTTTCGGCCCCGACAAGGTCATTCCTCCCTCCATCCTCGAAAACGCAAAGGGCCTCGCCATCATCACTGTCCTGAAGGCCGGCTTCCTCGGCTCAGGCCGTTTCGGCAGTGGTCTTGTCGTCGCCCGACTTCCCGATGGTGGTTGGAGCGCCCCGAGTGCTATTGCGACCGCCGGTGCCGGCTTCGGTGGTCAGGTTGGATTTGAATTGACCGATTTTGTCTTCATTCTGAATGATGCGAGCGCCGTGAGGTCGTTCGCTCAGGCGGGCTCTCTGACACTGGGTGGCAATGTTTCCCTGGCAGCTGGTCCTGTTGGTCGCAATGCCGAGGCAGCCGGTACTGCTTCTCTCAAAGGTGTTGCTGGCATCTTTGCTTATTCCAAGACCAAAGGTCTTTTTGCTGGTGTCTCTCTCGAGGGGTCTGCCATCATTGAGCGTCGCGATGCCAATGAAAAGATGTACGGCCAGCGCTTCACAGCACAGCAACTTCTCACCGGCTCTGTGCGACCACCTCCGCAAGCCGCCCCTCTTATGAACATTCTCAACTCGCGCGCTTTCAGCGGCATGAGAGGAGGCGGTGGCGACGATGCCATGTACAACGACACCCCTGTATACGACGAACGACACGACGATGTTGTTTGGAACGGCCGCCGAGGATCTGCGATGGGCGAGGGTGTGCAGCGCGATCACACAGGCGCACAAGACGATAGCTTCGGAAGACCAAACCGATCAAGTACATGGCAGGACGATGTATACGACAGACAAGGCGGTTTTGGCGGACCTACACGTTCCAACACATTTGCTTCTGGTGGCCCAGCGAATAACGACTATGTCTACCGAGACAGCCCTTCAGGCGGCTACGGTTCAGGAGGCCTGGGCGCAGAGAAAAAGACTGGTCCTGGAAGGCCTGCGGCTCCCAAGCCCAACTTTGGTGCGAAACAAGCGCTTCTCAGAAAGAATGAGGCAGTCGCTGTGTTCAACTTTGACGCCGATCAAGCTGGTGATCTAGGCTTCAAAAAGGGCGAGGTCATCACTGTCCTGAAGAAAACCGAAAGTGATAATGATTGGTGGTACGTGTCTTTGATCCCTTTTACTTTTGTCTTGAATCGGCGCGTCTAACATCGTCTAGGACCGGTCAGATTGGCACGAGAACAGGTATCTTCCCCAGCAACTACGTCAAGATGAAGGAGTAACGGATGTTGTGTGTTTGTATCGATTTAAATACCCTTTAGGCACTCTTTGGATGGATAAATATGAATACGATGGTTTCTGTCTTTCGTAATTTGGACTGCTACCCTCTTATTGTCTGGAGTTTTTCTAACCAGAAGTCCCTACGCCTCATCCATATCTGGTCAAGGTAAAATTCTGCATGCTGTCCCTTCTCATCACCGCTGGCGATATCTTTCTCATATTGTTCAAATAGTGTGGCAGTTGCCTGGTCCAACTCCTTTAACATGTCAGAATCGGTAACCACGACACAGGGTGCGATATCAAGGTTTAAGCAGTGACTGTTCAAGTCTGGAACTTCTAAGGGACCCCCTGGATTGTCTTGGACTGCTCCTGTATCTTCTGTCTGGCAGTTCGCATCTCTATAGGTATCCTCTTTTGGTTTCCTTCCGGTAAGCTTCGTCACCGAAACCGGACCTTGGTCACCGCGGTTGGGTCTCTGTGCTGTACCAGTGATAAAAGCTGATTTTCTCAATGCAGCACCCTGGTCAATACTAGATGGATGATTCGGGGTGGAGAGCTTTCCCGGATTAACAACCCTTTGCTTGATAGGTAAACCAAGGGAACCTGGAGAGTTCCTGGGCTTGGGGACTGTCTTATTGTCAGTTGGGATATTCCCTTGGCCCTCAAGCCTTCCAGCTGGTGTGGAATATTTGGTATTCGATTCAAAGGGAAGCTTTCTTGGCCGAGGCATCAGGTTGCGAAATTCATGCGATTCCTCCTGCGGTGACTGGTAACTGTCCAGTCCGGGCGATAGCTCTTTCCTCAAGTCTGCTGCTCCGTAGTGGCTACTGGCAGTACTTCTCTGAGAACTTTCAGGGATATTGATCTCTTGCCTTTCAATGACAGGGCTATGTAGGAGGGGGCCTAGAGTAAGCATATCTTCGTAAGACTTCGCTTCAGCAGTTTCGTATGGCCACTGAAGTTGAGGTGAATCAGAATCGAACGAATGCCTAAGAGGTGAGCTCACGCGGGGTATATGCGGGTGTGTGTTCACTCTTTCAAGGAACATATTGTATGGATTCAGCTGTGTTGCAATTGCTGCAGCATGATTTGAAGCTGCATGAGGTTGTATCAGACGGGAATGTGTGTTTTGAGGACGTGGTGCTGGGGAGAACGGGGTTGATGTTAGTGGAGGGGATTGGAAAGGGGTGTCTAGTATTGTGGTGAATGATAAGCCCGGTTGAGTCAATGCCCCTCGAAACTCGTTCGTAGGCAAGAGAGAAAGAGGCGTGATGGAAGAGAGCCGTGGCCCTAAGCTTAAAGTAGGATCAAGAGTATTGAGATCAGTTCTTGGGGGGTGCGTGAGGAGGGATCCTGGCATGGTATCGCTGATATAAAACCCGGCCTTCTGTAGTAGGCAAACGGCAACGCTGAAATCTCTCCTCTCTTCGAACTGCACCAGAATTGCTTGAGACATGCCCGGAATTCTGACACACATTCGATTGACTTGTTTATTGATGCTGACAATGTCCTCAGGGGGCCGCGACACTCGATTCATTTCGCTGAGGCGAAGAGAAACCTGATCTGTTAGCATCCCACGGTACCTGATCACTAGATGTGCATACCACTTGTTGCACTCCCCGGTGAATCAAAATGATCAATGTTCCCATCTTTGCATCAACCGGCCTCTCGCCTTCGATAGTCAAAGTAAAGACATCATGCGGGCGAGAGGAACTGTAGGCTCTAGCAGAGGCCCCATCGCGGATCTCTAGATAGACAAGTGGACAAACGGAGACTGGAGTTGGAGGTCCAGGCATGGCGGAGATGAAGAGATGTTACACTTGAATAGACGGCCAGTGATTCGAGTTTAAGTGATTGGAAAGTAAGTATCAAGAGTAATTCAGCAACCTCCGACCCGCCATGGCAGTTATGTGGTCTAGCCTGCAGCGATCCTTCCGCTGCAACAATCCTGGAGCAACTACCCTTCTTTGATCCCAATAAGCAGGTCATTCATACCTACCCTCTTCGATGGCCTTGCAATATCCTAACTTTGGGCAGGAACAATAGAGGAGAGGTTAAGGTAGGAAGGCGATTGGCGCTCATCACTCAATCCAGCGGATCACGTGGAGATAAGCTGCTACAATCCCAGCACAGATAAGGAAGCCAGACTTCGACGCGCCGCGCCAACTAGCACATTGGCTGACCCATGCGCTTCAAGTTCCAATCGTGGATCTGGCTGCAATCACCCACGACATCTGCAAGTCTGCCAATTTATCGACAAGGAGACTTTTTGTAAAATTCTAGACATTCTGTGGGTGCGCCTATTGTAGGTGAATTATTCTCCCACTGCGCAGCCCGCCTCGAAGCTCGACGATCCCAAACTCAATCCCTTATTCGCGACCGCCCACTCCGTATTCTATATCCAACCGCCTTTGTTTAGTCTTGATACAATCGCGCAAGATGGCGCCCGTTCGTAATGAGGTGCCGCCGCACCAGATAGATCGCACCCCTGAATACGAGGAATTCATGTCGCGGCTGCGAGATTATCACAACAAACGAGGCACTACGCTTGACGCAGAACCCAAGGTCGGCGCGACACACCTCGACCTGTTCAAGGTATTCAACCATGTTGTGGAAAGCGGTGGTTACGATAAGATTTCAGAGGAGAAACTCGCGTGGCGTCGCATGGCCTCTGAACTTGGCATATACTCTAACAACGAAGCCTCAACTGCCTTCTCATTGAAGGAGAAGTTCTACAAGAACCTAGCGGCGTACGAGATCAGCACGGTGCACGGAAAAGAACCTCCACCTAAGGAGATCTTGGAGGATGTGACGGCTAAGGGTGCCGCCTTGCTTTCACGTACTCGAGAGAACTTCCGCGGCAGCAAAAGAGAGAGCAATGTGGGTGCTACAGACTCAGCGGCCTCGGGAGATGATGGTACACCCGTCCGTGAGCGACCTATCCCAGATGCTGCGGCCAGCGCGCGTGCGTCTAGAGGTCTACGCGAAGCACCTCCTCAGCGCGTAATTTTCCAGCCGGATACAGGACCTTCTCGGACGACTCGGCATTCTTCTGCTCATCATGCGCCTAGTACCAACTCACCAGCCGCCAACCCTCCCTCAACTCCCTCGCATCATCCCAATATGCATGTGACTCAGCAGCACCAACAGCAGAACTACCAGGGGAATAGGGGCCCCTCAATACTTCATCATCCACCCAACGCTGAAAACACATCGAACCTAGTAACTGCATACCAGCCGCGGTTTTCCAAACCTTTAGCGTTGCGTGCAGTTGCAACGCCTAGCAATGCGCCCACCGAGTTCCAGAAACCACGACAGCTTCCTCGCCTGGATCCCCGTCAACCGATGCAACCAGGCAGTGAGTACTCAATCCATGTCTACTTCTTTTATGACTAACGTCCATAGCCGGTTTCGATGGTCCCAACATATACATGCGCTGTTTGAATGCTCTGCGTTCGAATATTCCTGCCGAGCAGTCATTTGCACTGAACCACTTGGTAAAGATATCGTTTGAGCGAGGTGATAAGTACAAATTGGATTCATTTCCAGGCCTTGCTGAAGGGCTGGTGGATAAGGCCCTCGAGGTGGGACAGTTGTTCTACCATGTCAATTGGACTGTTTCCTGGAATCTCCCATTCGACTCCAGCGATCTGAATGTCCTTGATGGAAACAATGGATCACCAGACATCCTGGAACGAATCGAAAATCTCATTGAGAAGGATGTGCCTGATGTTCTTCAAACTGAGGCGTATGCAGACAACCTTGTTCTAATCTCTGAAGCTGTCTTGACCATGAGAAATATGGTCACTCTCCCGGAGAATGCTCACCACATGTCCGACTTTCCTCCCCTTAAGGACCTCATCTGTATCGTCCTCAGTCTTCCACAGAAAGACTCACTTGTGGAACTAAAACATCTCACTCTGGACATTGCCGAACAGTTAACGCCTTTCATGATTCTGGACTCAGTCGATCCTTTCTACAGGGTTTTGTTAGCCCAGCTATCATCTGATGACCGAGGCACTATTCTGACGGCTCTCCGCGCACTGGGACGCATCTCAATGAATCTTGAGGCCACAAACAAGTTGGGCAATGTACCCGGACAAGTGCTTCAGCGACTTGCTAGCTGGTTATTGCTCAACGATGATGATCTTATTGATGCGTGCCTCGACTTCCTTTATCAGTACACTGCTGTTGTGCCCAACGTGGACAATTTGATTCGTTCCCTTACACCAGAGAGCCTAGTCGATCATCTCGCTCGCCTACTCGCTCATGGTGCCCGCAAAGCGCAGCGCGATATTGTTCTCGTTCCCGAACAGAGAATGCCCGCTCGCGACCAAATTGCCCCGATGCCCGACGACCTTCTTCAGGAGATGCTTAAGTTGGAAGAGCCTGATCGTGTCCACCGTTGGGTTCGTTGCTTTTTCGAGGAGGACAACAACTCCTTTGTGACTCAGCTAGCCGCATGGCAAGCTTATCAAAATGCCTTTGTTGCTCCTTTGAAAGCCACCGGGCAGACGCTTATCACGCCCGCTGATTTCATTAGAAACAGTACTTCTGTGTACAGGGATTCAAATGCGCAGGTTCTTCGAGAGCCTGGCGACCCCCAACAAAAGTTCATTATACATGGTATCCGCGCAAGGCCAAAGCCTCTTGGCATGGATGGTAGAGAGTATGGACGATGTCTTTGGGCCTCGAATCCCACTAACAAGCTTGAGAAATGCGGCCACTTTTACATCCAGCCTGAAAAGATGTGGGAGCACATCATCGTAGACCATCTTGTGGAGAAACGCAATGAAGAGGGACAGTTCGATAATGTTGAGAAGGAGTTCACTTGTACTTGGGACCAGTGCTCTCGTCTTCACACACCTACCAAAATGCATCTTCAAGATTTCGCACGGCACATCAACACACACATCTCCTTAGCACTACCTAGCGAAGCGCACAGTCAAAAACCAGAGCGGTCTTGGGTTGTCCCAGCCAAGACTATGACCGTAACCTATGAAGAGACAGCGACAGTGCGGGATGAGAGGAACCCGAACCTGCCACCTCAAGCCGCTGGTATCCCTCTCAGCGCTGCACTTGTGCTACGCAACATTGCCCGCAATGTGGTCAAGACAGAGGCCGAGGAGGAGATGCTCAAAAAGCAGAAGAAACTCGAGGAGACGGGAGGTTGGAATGAGACGCTCTTCCGCCCTCTCCTGCCACGTCTCTTCGAGATTCTTGCGGAAAACCGAGCTTTGGTATGTTTCCCACTTTTACTCATTCTTTTCTCTAAAGTAGACTTGCATGCTGACCAACTACGCAGAGTCCTTACATTGCATCATTGCTTGATTTGATTCGTGTTGACAAGGAGGAGCAGGACCGATGATGCAGTTTCGCATGATCTTAGACACTGATGAATATGGGCACAAGAAGACGAGGCGTTTGTGGGAATATTACTCCGAGTAAGACGGGTTTAAGTGGGAGCATTGCCTACTCATATTGATTTCCATAGCAACTTCCTCACACGAGCGGAAGTCGAAGGGATCGACGCGCCCTCGTGTTGTTCTGATACGAATTATATTGTATTAATACCCTGCCCGTGGGCGTTAAGGTTGACTGATTTTGATGGGCGCGAGGATGATATATTTGAAGGTCAAAGAATATCCACGTTGAGGATTACGCATTCTAGCATCCTTAGAAATGAAGTGTGTACCGCGCCTAGTTTTAGAAATGGATATTTGATACGTGAAGTAATCCTCTGAGACAACGAACATGCATACTCTTTGCTAAGTAGTAATCTTGGTATGATGGGCAGACCGCTTTGTGAGATTTTATGTCGCCAACAACTCGACTAAGGAATCAGATCAGATAGCAGCTGAGTATTAAGTACCGGCCCGGGCACCTTATCAACGAGTGTTCCCAATGCCGGTCCGGTTTTTGGACATGCATTTGCTTTTCCCAAGGTCAATTCAGCAACTGGATCGCATCCTTGCTCAAGAGCTAACCAAACAAGACTCGTACCAACTAGACGGAAACCGCCGCTATGCGCCGCGGGAGAAATAAAGAGATTTGCATTGTGGCTGGTCAATATCGAAACACGGCTCATTCCATGTCAGCTGGATGGGCAAAATCGAAAAGGGAATTCTGCACCACCCAAGATACCCTAGAGGTGCTTCCGAGGACATTCTGGAAACCGGCCTCCCGGCTCAGTTGCATGCAGCTTGGAGTCCTTGACAGCTCCCCACCACACGATAGCTGCTAGGCGTGTTTGCTTCGATGGGGGTGCTGCGGGTGGGATATTGCGTGCCTGGTTAGGAGATATGGAGTCCAACAAGGTAGTGGAGTGCATCTCATACCAAGCTCTCGCTTAGACTGGTATCCGTGATATCATGGAGCTTGCTGCAAGGCGTCGTACAGAGCGTAAGGGTCAGCTATCGAGGATTACAATAACTGCGTACCCATGCATTGTGGCTCACGTTGGAGAGGCAATCAATGTCTCGAATCTCTTACACTTGATCTCGCTTGTGCTTGTTGGAGAAGTTGCCCCAATGGCCCGGATTCATCGGTTACACGTTACAGTGACGAAGGAGATCATCAGAGTCGTGTGGGTCGCTTAACCATGCGCCATCTGAGAGATGAGCTGAATAATCGTCTGATATCTGATCTGAGGTTACTGCAGTTGAAGCGGAGCTGTTGATAGGAATAAGTAGTTATCATAGCTAGTAAGGACGTACATACACCGTCTTTTGGTATTGCTTGTTGCAAATTATCACAACAGCGGAGAGTCTCGACAAAGATCAGACCAGGTGTAACACAATTCATCTCGTCATTTTGGTGACCATTGAATAGAGAGAATTCAACCCCCACCGATTTGCTATGACTGAACGGCTTTTGTCATTGGCTTTGCTATCATCAAGGCTACGCAACTAGGGAAGCGAGAAGAAACTTCTCGGTCGAGGTGGTGTGAGCCAGTGGGTGGTCTATTTTGGGATGGCGTTGAGGGCCTTGGCAATCTTGGGAATAGCTTGGTCTGGCCGTAGTGGCGGGATGGAGATGACACACCGAGAGGTGAGTATTTTGCTGGGTGAAGATGCCTGCCGATCAAGGTGAGGATTTGCTAGGATTGGATCGCCGCAATCGTGGCCGTGCTACCCGGGCGTGCAATAAGTTAGTTAGCAAATGGAATGTCTGTGCCATAGCTTGGCTGCTTGGATCCAAACTGATCCAAGGTTAAACTCTTTGTTTAGACAAGAGGGCGGTGTAAGAGTACTCACTTTAGGAGTGAGCATAGGTAGTTAATGAATTAGTGAATGTGGAGGAGAATTTGTCTGCCTAGAAACATAGGAACGCTAGTTGATGTCATCTAATGTTAGCTACTGCAAGCCGCAGCGGATGTCGAATGGATCCAGAGCCCATGAATTGGCAAATTGCAATTCTAAATGTATTAGGTTATTATGTTTTGCCTTTCTGGTGTTGAGGCAATGTCTGCGTACTGTTTCTTTTTAAGTTAGTTGCATACCAAGTAAATGGAAGCCAAGTAATGGAAACCATAGCAATCTACGGATAGACCAGAATTTGGCAGGGAACATCCAAGACATGCCCCGGACCGCTCGGACTCTAGAACAATCTTGTTTCGATTGAGGCCTCAAGCTCGAGCGTAGCATCTGGAGAATAGAGTTGCATGGCAGGCTTTGACTTTGAACTGCAGAGAAGGAAACAAAACAAAAAAAAAGTGTTGAATGTTCCATCATCTGGACGTAAGCGCCCGTTGTGGATGGACCGATACAGGCTTGGGTGGGGGCCGCATCACACTAGGAACAGCTACCGAGCCCGGAGAAAGCTACCTACCCCTGCAACGTCCCGAGAAGCGACCTAGGATTAGGTAGGGAATAGGGACCACTCTCCCCGCGACCCGCCATAGCTCCCCTCCCGCCCTCCCCACGGTTGCCTGTGGGATCCAACTGATTTCCCCTCCACTTGGTGCAACCTAATCCCTGGAAGCCCCATGTGCTTGTCACCTCAACTAAAGGCCAGGTCGTTCGATGATGAAATTGTGTGTAGAAGCTTCGGTTCTCATGTTTTGCGTATGTACGCCCAACAGCGTCAATGGCTGGGTCTTCGCCCGAGATTTTGGTTGAACAAGGGTACGCAATGATGTCGTGCTGTGCTTTGTATACCTTGCCGCGAATCAAGTTGAGTTGCAGGTATGGGATGTGAGACGCAATGGAAGAAAAGAGGCTGCCTCTAGACCCGTCACATATGCATGTTATGTTCTGATGGGGGAATCGAGTGGCAGTCAGTGGCTGACCCCACGTTGTTATCAAAACCACAGAGGAAAAAAACAATCAGATCAGAGGTGAAGGTAAGCTTCTGATCGAACCAGTCAGCCAGTCAATAAAGCCATTGGTTTGCTAGATTAGATAATGATTATTCTAAGGACGTGATTGAGGAAAGAGCTACCACGAATAGGATTGCCTTAGGCAACATCGGCATTCGATATGAAATGAGGCAAGAGGAAACAAGTCCAATCAAGACAAGCTTCTCAAAGTAAAACACCATGGAAATTTGTGATTGTTCTAAACAAAGACACATGCAATCAATCCCCCACATTGCACTGCGTGCCTGAATACGCCTCAGCTACGGTCTATGCCTCCACGGCCCTGATGCCCTGTCAATCGATCTTGTGACCATCACAAATCTCCATCCCGTCTCACCTCTTCAAGGGAACCTGAAGGGAACCTGGAACCCTCCGGCTTATGCGACATCGGTCCCCCGCGAGTCCAACCTGTGGTACCCCCCTTTCCCTTTCCCCTAGACCGGCAAGCTTCTAATTCAGGCACGTCAGTATGTACATGCATACCTTATTTCCTACTGTCGATACATTGCAATGAGCTCACCTCATTGTCTTACACCGAAGTCGGTGAAGGAAAACTATCTTCCCTTGCTTGCTTCGATATCAGAAAACGTGCTCATGGTTGCTCTAACTACGTGTATAGTAGGTAGCTGTCACATCTCTATGGATGTCTATATAAATCCAGAGCCTGTCCAAGTCAATTCTCATTTACTCTCACCTCACAACACCACATACGCACCTCCTACAAGTTTCGCTTCACACGGCCTTTCTCACCTTGAGCCATACAGTTAGTATACTCCTATCACAATCGCAAGCGGTATGGTACCTCAACCAATCCCTTGCTCTTCTTTGTTGCTTCAAGTAACCCAAGATATTTTCTTGATGTTGCTGTGGCCAAATCCAGAGATAACGACTAACAAACGTACGCTTTGATGTATAGACACCCAGTCTCCTCCACACCACCTTGACGAGATCTCTTTGTGTGCATTTGCCACCAAGCTTTACAAGTTTGAAGTCCCGGAGCCGAAGAATCAAGCCCGGAACCCAAGACAACCAACCCCAACTCAGACTCGGACAGTTTTATCTCAGGTCAAATTCAAGCCAGCGCATATCTGCCGTTCTGGAGTCGCTATTGAGGAGCCACCAAACCATCAACAAACCCTCCGCAATAACCTAAACTTTGAACAAGCCTACCTTGTCTTCTTCACTAGTGCAAAAGGCCTATCCCGTCGTCTCTCAACGGAGTTTACCTACCGCAAGATCTGCAAACGCAGACGCAACACTTCTTTACTTATACCTACACCTACTCCCGGTTCCACACTTTTGTCAATTCAGGCCCCTGCTGCCACCCTCCTCGAACAAGCACTAGAGTTCCAGAGCCCCCGGAGCCGCCAAAGTCCAGCAGATCTCTTAATTCCAGCCCTAGCTGAAGTCATCTCAACTGTACTTTATTACACACCTCACACACCTTGCTACACCCATTTGCCTTCCTCACGGACATACCGCCACACTAAGTTCTGCACCTAGCAACTCCCTACCCTGCCGCTCTACGACCCTGCGCGCCTGTAACTCTTACAACAGAAAAAAAACCTTTCGCCCCAGGCCTAGAGTTTTCTTTGCATCGCGTTGCCCTCGCATCTCCACCTCCGCTTCCACCTCCACCTCCACAGCACACTATATCTGTGATTCACCTTTAGACCCACTACCTCTCAACTATATATCGAGCCTCCCTTTGCCCATTAACTTCTCCTTTCATCACCTTCAGTCACTACTCTCCCTCCCTCTTTCGCTGAGCACCTGTGTCTGCAACAAAGACCAAGGTCCTCGAATATATAACAAAGCACATTTCTCTCGACTCAACTTATATACTCATCCCTTTTAATCAATCCCCAACCTTCATCACAGCCAACGATCACAATGTCTTTTGCCGCTCGCAACGCTCTTCGCCTTGCTCGGGCTTCTGTCCCTGCATTGCCCAGAAACGCCGCTCGTTGCTTCTCAGCCACTCGTGTGCAGCGTGTCAACGACACCAACATCAAGAAGAATGTTGTCCGCGAGAAGGAGATTCCTGTTACTGTCTACGCTGCCGGCCAGGGCACAGGGGACAAGCACACAGTCAATGTCTCTGAGGCTGCTGCTCGTATCCCTACCGAGACCCCTACCCCTTCACACGAAGGCGAGATTGTACAGCCTCTCTCCCGCAAGGCTTATGAGCAGCTCCCTTACACAATGCGCAACATGAGTGTTTACGGAAAGACCATCATCCTCACTGGTGCTGCTCGTGGTCTCGGAAACCACATGGCTCGTGCCTGCGCCGAAGCTGGTGCCAAGAACATTGTCCTCTTCGATGCCAACCAGGAACTGGGTGATGAAGCTGCCGCTGAGCTCCACGACAAGACAGGTCTCCCTGTCTCCTTCTTCAAGGTTGATGTCCGTGACGGTGCTGCCATCAACGCCGCTGTGGATGAGGTTGTCGAGCATTATGGCGCTCCTGATGTTCTCATCAACTCTGCCGGTATTGCCGACTCGAACATCAAGGCTGAGACCTATGACCCTGCCATGTTCCGCCGTCTCATCGACATCAACCTCACCGGCTCATTCCTCATGTCTCAGGCTGTCGGCCGTGCCATGATGGCGGCTGGAAAGCCTGGCAGCATCATCCTAGTTGCTTCCATGTCTGGCTCTGTTGTCAACTTCCCTCAGGAGCAGAGCTGCTACAACGCCTCAAAGGCTGGTGTTATCCAGCTTGGTAGGTCCCTCGCCGCTGAGTGGGCCAAGTACGACATCCGAGTCAACTGCATCTCTCCCGGCTACATGGACACTGCCCTCAACCGCGTGCCTGCTCTTGACGCTCAGAAGAAGATCTGGAAGTCTTTGACTCCCCAGAACCGCCTTGGCAACGTTGACGAGCTCAACGGCCTTGCCATCTTCCTGGCCTCGGACTCCTCCAAGTTCATGACCGGTTCCAACTGCATCATCGACGGTGGCTACACATGCCTCTAAGCTATGTCTTGCTTCTACGATTAGCGATAATACGGTTTCCGAGAAAAGGCTGGCAGTGAAAGCCTCGAGAGATTTGATTTTTTTTGTTTGGAGTTCAGGAAAGGATTGACGACCTTATTTTGGCGGATTAAGAACAAAAAGGGATGTATGATGATAAAACTAGATACCGCTCTGGATACTACAGAGCAAGAGGTGTTTGCCCGCATTAGACACGGAGCAGCAATCTAGATCCAAAAGAAGGATCCAAATTTAATAGCCATGGGCATTTAATTGATTAAAAAGTCTTCCGTCGTCCTCTTTGTGACTATGTAAATGCTTGATTTAGACTTTCGCATACCGAGCAAGGCTAAGATAAGGTCTGGAGCTAGCAAAGAATGACCCGTTACCTGTCCCTTGTCCCTTGCTTAGAGGCAGATCGTGAGTTTAACGTCCCAGTCCCAGAGTTCATTTTCCGTTTTAGCCCACCCATGCACGTCAATGTCAACCGATCATCGCGTGCTTCCAAGCAGCCAATCACGATGGCACTTCCAAGTTGAAAAAGGCAATCAAGCTGGAGCCAATAACTTTGCGTCTGAGCTAAGCTCACCGCTTCCAGAAATCCGGTCGCGCCAGCCTTTTTATTATTCTTTCTCTTCTACTACAGACACTTGTTCGCCGATAAAACAGCAACAGGCGGTGGGGGAGTATGGGCTGATGCTAGCATGGCTGGAATCAAGGAGGTAGGTAAAGCCAATGGGGCACGCACGTCATGATGGAAATGAGAGGGAGAGACATTGAAGAAGAAATGTCTAAGGAAGATGCAGGAACCGAGACAAGACATATTATCTCTAGAGTATGCAATGTACATGCTGCTTCTTTCAATTCGAGATAACCCAATCCGTGAGCTCTATAGTATAAACAGAGCGAACATCCCATCGTGGTCTTTACTCTTCAAAACTAACGAACCAAATCCCTCCACGTTCTCACTGATTTGGTGCAAGACAGAAACACCGACATATCATGGGCCGTAACGAAAGGACCCCGAAGTGTCACCGGCAGACCGCATAGTCGATCCCGGATCATGAGCCGGAGGGGTCTTGATCGGTGAACATGGGTAATGACTCGGAGGCCTTGTGTCTCGACATCTTGCGGTCTATAACTTCTCTTTGTTCCCCATGTCCTTTCCTCCTGGGGGGGACATCGGGCTTTTACATCTATCTCATTCAGAGTCTACTCGACAACCAAGTACCGCTCAAACTCGGAGGGTGAACAAATAAATCGCCTCACATCACCTTCACCTCACCATCTGCATCATCATAACGAGAAAACCCCCACATCAACAAACATGCAACTGCTCTGCACACCCTCCTTTTCTTTCGCCCGCGTCGCGCGCTCCTTGCGCAAACGCCTGCTCAACTCAAAGACCCTCATCCCAGCCCGCGCCGCCGCCGCATCAGTTCGCAACTCATTACACTTCTCTTCGCCCTTCCACTCGCACTCCAACGACAAGCTCAGACACCAGGTCCGACCTGCTGCGCTTGGCACCGTCGCCGTGCTTGGCAATGGACTACCTGCAGGTCTGGCGGGTCATGCCGCCGTGAGAGGAGGCGAGGGCTGCTCGAGGGCCCGGAAGCATATTGATACACTATAATAGGAGCAATGCAGCTTTGTGATTGGGAGGAAGAGTAAACTTGGGTGTCCAATGAGGCATCCCGGGGAAATCGATAGACACTGGCTAAGCTGGTCTAGCCGCTTGGTGGTTCTGCTTTATTGAGTTTAAGTCGGAGTATTTGCTCAGGCTTGTTGGGTAATGGCCGTTATGAATGTTATGATAGTAGGAAAGGAATCAGACTCGTCAAGAGTCACGTCTAAATGAAGAAAAAAAGCTGTTTCGTATCATCGTCACAGGCACACATGCACAGTCCAGAATCCACGGGGCATCAAGGCAATAAAGCAAGCATTTTTTTTATTCAAAGCTGGTGAGGAGAGAGGATCGGGTCTAGTAACGTAACAGACCTAACCTCGAGCGCGAACTCGATGTGCAAGAAACAGTTCGTATGCAGGGGTATATCCAGCGTGTCATTTCTATGTGCTGCCAGGCGTCATCATGGTGTCCGCCAGCTGGCACCTTGTTTTTTGTTTTTATCTTCTCGTCATGCATCGAGTCGAACTTGGCGACTCCGTAAGCATAACATAACGTGCCACCCCTTGACGCGGCATCGTGACAGCTCCATCTTTAAGATGCAAGGCCTGCTATGATAGTCGAATGATTTGCGGAAGAAATTGGTCATTAGATAATTGGGTTTTCAGAATAGTGATTGGGGTCAAATCAAGGTCCACTGGGTTGTCGTCAACCGGGACAACAGCATCGACGTGTCGATACGTCAATCATCGTCTGAAAAGTGCCGAGAGTCGGTTTTGCGCATTCTCCCTTCCCACGACAGCAGGGGGGTCAGGGGGAGGAACGGTTCGCTTGGGGGGTACCTACTGCCCCTTGCGAGCCTTTTCTTGCGCCCTTTGCTCTCGAGCGGCTCGCACCAAAGGCGAAAGTTGAAGCAGATCAACGCACTGTTTCATAAACTCGTGCTAAGAAAGGTTAGTAACGTCGCTACGGGTGAAAGCATTCAAACTTACCCTCAGGAGATCATGAGCACTGGCTCGCTTCTCGGGATCCACCTTGAGTGCGAAGTACAAGAAGTCCTTGAACACCGGCGATAGATCCTGCTCGTTCTTAATATGAGGTGTGCCGTTGGTGGCAATCAGCCACAGAGCTCGCAAAGGAGATTCGGTCAGGTATGGCGGCTCGCCTTCTATCATTTCGATCGCCATGATACCCAGAGACCAAATATCGACCTTGCGTCCGTACTCTTTCCTAGTGACTACTTCAGGCGCCATCCAGTATGGTGTTCCCACCATGGTCGTTCGCTTGTTCTGGGCTTCGTTGATAGTTGCACAGAATCCGAAATCGGCTACTCCAGTTAGATACGTCTTCTGTACTTAGACATAATATTACTTACTCAACTTGATCTTGCCTTCCATAGATAGCAAAATGTTGTCCGACTTGATGTCTCTGTGAATGACACCTTTGGAGTGCAAGTGCTGCAGACCAAGAAGCGTTTCGCGACACACTGAGGCAATCTGGCCCTCGGACATGATGTTAAAGGTGACAACATCCGTAAGGCTGCCTCCTTCCATAAACTCCATGACGACCCACAACTCGCCGCCGCATAAGTAGCTGTCGATAAAGTTGACTATGTTGGGGTGCGAGCTATCCTTCATCACAAGAATCTCGTTGATAATCAGGTCCTTCTTAGGTTGCTGTTCGAGGTTCATCTGCTTGATAGCTACTAGTCGGTTCGTGCCACGCTCATGGCCAGTAAAAACGCCTCCGGAAGCACCCTGACCAATCTTGTTAAATCCACGGTAAATGTCCCGGGGATCACCTTCGCTACAAATGCGCTTGAGGGAAGCGACAATATCGATGGCTGCGCTTTGACGGGCTCGGTGTCGTGGCCTGGCTCCTGGTACAGCTGCTCCGGGGGCCTGCTGGCGAGGGGCATTGTGCATACCATTGGCCTCCGGGGCACGGCCATATCCAGCAGCGGGCTGCATGTTCGGGTTCGGGTGCTGCTGAGTTCTTTTGCTCGGGGCACGTCCAATTCCACCAGACATGGCGGCTTGGGCCTGAGCCATGGCTTGCTCCTGCTGCTGTTGCATGAGCTGTTGTTGATAGGCGGCGGCCTGCGCCTGGGCGAGTTGCGGGTTGGGCTGCGGGGCGGTAGGGGCGTACGTTGGTACAGCCACGCGTGAGTTGGATCTCGACCGGTGCTCTTCGGGGAGCATAGGACCAGCATCCTTGGACATGCCGTAAGACTCGTCGCCGGACTGTGACATACCGATGCCAGAGTCTTTGGTCGTGTAAGCGCCTTGAGGCATATGTCGATTGCCCATGCTGACGGGTGGCTTCGGTGCCGGGCGGCTGGGCATCAGGTCCTTACCAACCTGGCCTCGTGGAACAGGTGGCGGTGCTCGGGGATTCTCAAAACTTCCTTCATTATTGACAGTTGGAAACCTGGCGTTCGTAGGTGAAATATTATTTGGTGACATACCCATATAGCTTGACGGGTACATGCCCGGTGATGCTCCGCCTGCCGGAGAGGTGGCATATTGGCCAGCATGGTGGAACTTTTCAAGGACTTGGTCCTCTGGGGGTCTCTCCGTGGTCTCCTTGTAGAACTGCAAAATATCAACCATGGTTTGCGGGTTCTCTCGTCTTTCCTTTTCAGGAATTCCACTTTCGTTGATAAGCCGTTGCCATTCTTTTGGCAAACCCTAGAAACGGTTAGCGAGTATCAAAGTAAGAAACCCTAAAGACTGACTGTGAACTGCCCGGTAGAGCTGTCGTAGCCGACGTGAGTGACATGAACTGGGTTTTCGGGCGCAGAGATAACAGGTTTCTTAGGTGATCCGACCAAACTGTTCATAAAACCGGAAAATCCCGACTTCTTGCGCAGAACGCTAGGTTTAAAGTCCCTACCGTCATCAGAATATCGTTTAGGATTGCCGGAAGGACCATCAGTCGTAACCCTTGGGCCGAGGCCCTTCTCATTCAGGGACGAATCCATCGCAGAGAAACTCGTTGAAGTTCTGAGGGCAGGAGTCGCAAGCCTAGAGTCGGTAGGCGACTTGACGATTTGAGGTGGAAAGTGCCGAGCAGGAGCTTTCGGACTAGTGATCTTTATCGATTGGATGCGGTTAAGAATGGCGGCACCGTCAAACGGAGCGCCGATCAAGTCGTCTTGCACAGCGTTGTTCTTGCTGAGAGGACGAAGGTGAGAATCGGAAAGACGATCGGAGTGACGAGGGACAGGAGCCCAATGATTAGCGGGGATAAAATCGCCCTGAGGTGAGATAGGCGATGGAACGGGTCTAAGGGTGTTGTTGGCGGATAATTGAGGACGAGATCGATCAGAGTCTTGCCAGTCGGCCACAGTCGCGGGGTTGGAGCGGGCTGGGGGAGCACTGGGGGCTCGTTTCAGGCTCTGGGAACTGCGTTTGCTCTCAAGGGACTGGGCGTCGAAGGCACCACCATCGAAGCCAGACGAGGAGCGAGCGGAGGCGTGGGTTGGATGTTTCTTGATAAGTTTGCGACGATGTGAAGTTGCGGTATGGGCAGACGCAGACGACGCAGAGGTATATCCGGGGCCGTCCATGATCCAGCGGCAGCAGGAGCAGCCTGAGCGAGTGACGAGTTGGGGGGGAGGGGGGGCCCTTTGGGGCTAAAAAAAGGCCTTGGGGACGGCTCGGGCTAAGGTACTGCTGTTAGGTACGGTATTTTTTTTTAATGGATGGGTCAAGCAGGTAGGTGGAGGAGTCAGGACTAAACAGGAAACAGAAGCAAAAGCAGGGTGTGTGTGCAAGGAACAGAAAGAGGAAAGGGGAAAATCAGAATAGATGCGCGCTGCGCTGCTCTGTGACAGGATGCAATGCGCGGCGATATGCGTGCAGGTTGGGCTCACTGTAAGAGTGTAGAGGCCCTCTAGACTAGCTCTCAGAAAGAGGATCAAGGGGGAACCAACGAAGTCGAACAATAGGGAGTTTGACTGTGGGACTGGAGACACAGCGCAACGCAACGCGGGGGGTGGTGTGTGGTGTGTGTGTGTTGTATTGTGTTGCGTGCTATGTTGTGTTGTGCTCTGTTCTCTTCTTCTCTGCTGAGCTGTTTGGTGTTTGGTTTGGCTATCTTTCGCTTCGGGTGGCGATGCTGAATTGGTGATGGTGGTGGTCCTGCAGGTTGGGATTAATTTACTTGCTTTGCCTTGCTTCGTTTTTGCTCCGCGCTGCTTTGCTTTTCGTACTTGCAAGCCTGCCCGGTGACTTCATAAGGAAAAGGGTAAGCCGGGCTTGCTGATTGCTGCTTGCTGTTGGGGGATAGATAATAAAGTGGGTTGGGGAAATCAAGTTCTGGGGGGGAAACAAGAGAAAGGAAGCATAATACGAACGACAGGAGAACAAAGTAATACCTTTACGCGCACACTGTGTTGTACTCTTGAAGCAGAGCCAAGTCAGGTCAAGTCAAATCTGGGGGAACGACAGTCAAAAGGTAAGAATGAGAATGAGATAATTAGATGAATTGCCCTGGAATGAGGATCATGAGCAAGTGGATAAGATATTACACTGTAACATGGAGGGCCCTTGAATCCCGAGGATTCTGATACAAACGGCCGATGGGGCACACTCACTCACTCACTGGCCGATAGCTCACGGCGCAGTGCTTCGCAGTGCCAGGCTACCTAGGTACTAGGTTATCAATGTTTCCGAGTGTTTCTACTGTGATGCTGACGGTATATTCAGGAGTCTTGTGGGGGTGACACGGTTGCAAAAACTCTACTGACGGGAGAATGGACTTTTTTTATATGATGAATTGCTTTACGACTGGAATTGAGGACTTGATTAGCGAGGTTGTTTAGGAACAAGACATGACATCCATGATAGAGACCCATGCTTCGAAATGAAGGGTTCAACGTGGATGAGATGTCTGAGCGCCAGGAGAATGAATGCAAGCGCTAGCCAACGAGAAACAATTATTCGGCAAAGCTTCCCTCAATTCACACTCACTCTCCCTTTCACTCTGTTTCTCTCAAAGTCGCATCAAAAACCCTCATAAACTACCTACTATCTTAATGCTTATACTATTTGAGTTTGATAGGCAAGGCACCAAAAGAAATGGCTTGGACCCTGGAAACCCCCCAGCGCATTGAGTTAAGGTAGGTACTTGCGATCTGCGGGGCAAGCCACTCAATGCAAAGGTATCGCCTTGGCTCCTTTGGCCTTGGCCAAGGTAAAGTTTCTAACGCTGCGGCGCTGGGTTAGTACCCAACCGCCAACTCCCGTTTGTCCCTTTTTCTCCCAAATTCCAAGCTCATGGCCATGCCAACGTCCCCCACCGTCACTGCAACGCCATCTCTTGTCCCTCGGGCCGTTGGCGCGACTCGACAGTGTGAAAGCTTCTTGTCAGCACTTGGTGGTTGGACCAGCGGCATGGTTGGAGGGATCACGGATGGTATCACTGCATTTGATTTCCCCTGAGCGCCTCGCAGTTTAACGTTCGTGCTCTGCTGTGCTGCGCTTGAAAATGAAAAGCCTGAATGAAGACGCGGGGTGAATGGGCGATTGTCTAATTGTTTGCAAGGGGAGGGCTGATGTCACATTGATTTGTCCCCTTTGGTTCAGGAGCCCTCGGATCTGATAATTAATTACCTGATGGCAACCTACTACGTTAAAGGGAGGACGTTAGCGTGGAAGTGGTGTTGGTTACAGATTCAAACCAGCTGTTTCCAATTGAATCATATCAGTTGTCAGTTTGTCAGTTTGACACTCTTGGATGAAATCAACGGCATATTTCAGTCACCTAAGCATCCACGGATGCATGTGTAGTCCAGTACTACAGCTGCGAGCTGGTACCTCTAGCGGTTTGAACTGGGGCCATCATTGGCACGCTAGCCGTTTCCCCGCTAGAAAACTCAACTTGACATCACGTCTTCAAAGGTTAGCAACTCAGATAAGCACCCCAAGTTCGTAACTGACCACCAGAGTCTCAGGTTCATTATGTCACTCCAAATGACTCGCTGGCAAGAGAGCATGATGGAACTAGGGTGCGATATTAGACCAAGCGCGTAGCAAAACGTTATTGTTTGGAAGCAACCAATATCTCTTTCAGAATTACTTTAAGAAATTTACATCCAACGATTTGTGTTTGTGCTTGAGTTGGACAGTAGCACCAAACCTTGACCAATTCAACTCATCATAAGGGATCGTGGCTCAGAGAACGAGAATAATCTTTGGCCATGACAATTCCAGTGACAAGTCACATATATCGATTGCTATTCAGTCGCAAGCTCATCACGATCAAGTGTGAGTGGGAATCAATGCAGGTCGAGTGGGGACTCTCTTTGACAAAAGCCGGGCGGGAAGATTCACAGAATCAAGCAGAAGCTAGAGATCAAAGTTTGGCGGTCCTTGGCCAATCTCAAGCGATTGTTTCCTCCGAGCTCAGACTAGCACAGGCACAAGCTCAAGTGGTCCCCCATTATCGTGGGTCTGATGCTCGTGGCTGGTGGAGATTCCCGGGAGTTTTGCAGAAATCTTGTGGATGGGAAGTTCAAGCATTTTTGGCGATGCGCTGTACCTGTATCTGTACCCGTAACTGGGTAAACCTTGGTTGCATTATTCATACATGTATTGACTTGATCGTGGAGCTTCTATGGATTTGTCTCTACACTTCAAGTAGTACCTAATGAGTAAAAAGTCTGATGCGGGGCCTCAACCTAGGAACCGCAATAATGCGCCCAGCAACTTAATATTACCTAGTATGGATGCGTTACACCTTGGTCATAATGGGGCAGATGCCTTGAATCAATCCCTTCGTCAGCCATCCACCCATGAATACTTCTTTACGAATAGTTCTCACTGCAGTTACTGGGTTGTTTCCTCACTTTTTCGCACGGCGTCTGACCTCATTCTGTGCAAAAGAAGAAAAAACGAAGTGAACCAAAATCTGACAGCCAACAATTATAATAGTATTCAACCACTTCATATCCGCTTCGATTCTTTGCCTGAAAACCCACTTCAGTCTGTCACTTAAGACGAATACCAATGGATTCATCCAAGCCATATCTTCACCTTTCTTCTGGGCTTTCTCGACGCAAGCCACAGAGCACAGTGAGCTACATAGTATAGACCTGGAACTTGAGCTCCACCCCTTTCACTTGTCTTCCCCAGTATCGCAGTGAGACATCGATTCTCTTTCACTGCCCCTGAGAGAATCTGACTAGTCATGTCAACCCGAGACATATGAGCTGACCCGTAGGTCGCTCAAAAAATAAGGCACATGTTTGGGGCGGTTGACTACGTTTCAGAGATGAAGCCTGCTCACCATCCAGCTACCGCCGTACTTGATGAGTGAATCTTGATGCTGGATACTACGAGAAAGTAGCGGCTCTAGAACACTGCAAGCGAAAAGGATCAGAGTGACAGCATCTAGCCCATAGTCCATATAAAGTGGCACAAGGGATGGAATACCACGTAATTCCTGTTCTTTGCCCTGTTTGCTTAGCTGGTGTTGTCGATTGTATAGAGCACCAAGGATCGACCTTGCAACAAGGCGGACTTGTTTATGTTCTGGACGATCCGGGCCAGGAGCCGCCAGTCCGTTCCTTACAACAATACTCTCCGTACTTGATAATCTAACCGTCCTGAGAGTTGTACAGCTCATCCCATACTCAACACTGCTCGTAAGAAGACCCGCCTGCGGTCAGATACAAGTACAGCGCATAGCTCGTCAGTCGATACGAACGCCTGCGGAATCATTCCTTGGCTTTGTTGCCTTTTGCACACGTGTTCGTGCGTGTTCGTCTGTAAGGCTATCAATAAGATAATTCCAGCCCTATCAATTTCATGCTAAAGAAACTTCAAGGCTTAAGTACAATAGTAGTGAGGAGTATAACCCCAGCAAGGGTGACTTCGTGAAAGTGCCTCCCTCTTACCGTCACAAGCAAACCCGATTGTTAGAACCTCGAGTAAAGTTCAACAACAAGTTGTCTATAAAGATCCGAGTCAGTATTGTCCTTGGATTGGGAAAGTGCTCGTTGTCATGCTGCATTTGTGAATAAGCATGCAATGACTTTGGTAACAGAACTTATTCGCTATTTATATATTTCTAGTGTACACGATTAGGAGTTTCTAAATATTGTTCTGGAGTCTCGCTGCCACATCACCAAGCCTGCGTAATGCAGGCGTTGGATGAACCCTGACGAGTAGACCCAATCGTGGCCACACCACCATGCCTCTAGAGGTCGGAGTGTGCCATGACCGGTCAGTACCTGCAGTAGCTGGCAATGCAGCAAGAGGAACGCAGCATCTGCCTGCAGCAAACTCGGTGATGTGGTATGAGAGTTTCGTCGTAACTTTATCCCTCGCTGTGGGTGGATTTTAAGCATGTGCCTAGGTAGGTGATGATGTGGGCGGTATAATCTGACGGCATGATAATTCGAAATCGTCAATAGCAAGTTTATGAGCTGAGACTCGCAATCTTATCGTTAAGTAAGCAAAATGTTGACATGAATGACAATCTATGGACTAGCCACTATCTTGATAAAGTTTGTATAAGATCACAGTGGCATCTAGGGTAGGTAAGGCGCCAATACCTCTCTCTTCGAGAACCTCATGAGCTGCCGGAGACAAGTTCACGAGATCATTCACATGCAGATCGACCATGCATGTGCATTTGACGTTCCTTGACTGAGGTGCTCCCTCTTAGAACTTTTATGAACATATCACGACCCCGGTAGAAAACCAATACTTTTAGTAACATAGATTGCTCCTCATACCACAATTAAGCGACTTAGCGTCCCATGAGCATTACAAAATCGCTCCGGCGATTTAATGATGTACAATATCAAATTCAGGGTACGTTTGATGATATGGCCATTGGAGCTGAGGGCGCCGGGCTTCTCGAAGAAGGTTTCCTTTAAGTTTATCGCTGCTGGCAGGCAAACATGTTATAAAGTTTAGATGAATTATTAATGATGGAAATATGATTTCCCAATTGGGTTCGGAAAGGCTAGAAAAGTCAAACAAGACCCAATCCGTTGGGCAATTCGTCAACAAACACTCGAAGACATCGCCAAAATCCGTCTCCCTCAATGTAGAACCCCGTGATTTTCCCAACCCCACTTCCCCCTTTAGCTTTGCTCTCTGTGATAGGTTTAGCGCCCGGTACCTCGGACAAGCTTCGCGTAAATTCTAGGTGTGTCTCTCAAAGTTCTAGACCCCTGCAGCAAGGAAAGGTGGCCTACTGGACTTGGGCTAGGTATACTTCGTGGGGAGAGGTCGCCATCTGGAGAAACTTCCACCTCACCTTCATCCTCTCCAACGACAAACACCATCTTCAACCTTTAATCATCTTCTTTGAGTCCGCCGTCCTTTCGGTCTTCGGTCTCTAGCACAGCTCTGGTTCTTCCTTCTGGTTACCGGTTTTCATCGTCTGCTGTCTCTTGCACAATGTTCTAGAGACAAGACTCGCTATACATCTGATCATCCCTCCTCAGTCGAACCTTCAACTTTTAAAGCATCTTTACCTGGCCGCAAGCTTCATTGCTCCCGTAGCCAATCAGATCCAGTAAGTTTAGACTGCACACACACCATAGATATTATTTTATTCTATTCCTCGTGACCCTCTTACTGACAATTATCATTAGAACATTTGTCACCCCTGTCGATTCAAGCTTCACCGTACGTTCGAATCAATAAATTACCTTCGCAATGGCTTCCGAAGCTCCCAACTCCGAGCTCTCTGCTGCTCAGAAGCTTATGCAGAAGCACGCTGAGGCTCCTCACCCCGTCATCGTCGAAGATGTACCTGATGAGGATCTTCCTATTCGTGCTCCCGCGGAGGCCTCTAGCTCTGCCGAAGCTCCCGCCGCTCCTGCTCCCAAGGCAGCCCCCAAGCAGCCTACTTCCAAGGCTCTGGACACTCAATCGCATGAGTTGTTCCCCGAGCTTGGTGCTCCCAAGGGTAAGGCTGCCAACGTTGCCCCCATCTGGGGAGCCAAGACTGGCAATGGTGCCGTCTCCAACGGTGGTTCTCGTGCGTCTACACCTGTCTCTGGAGCTGCTACCCCCAACAAGCCATCTATGTTCATTCCTGGCCGCAATGTCGAGACTGTTACCCTTGATCCCCAGTACATTCTGCCCCGTGGACAGTTGAAGAGACCTATTCCCGATATTATCAAAGATATCAACCGCAAGTCTCGTGCCACCGTCTCGATGGCCACCTCCACCAACGGCCGCTACAAGTTTGATGCTACTGGTCCTCAGGATGTCGCTCAACAGGCGCTCAAGGACCTGGTTGCTCAGATTGGTACCCGAGTAAGTCCATCGTCTTCTGTTTTGTGAATCACACTAACATCTTCCAGACTGCTATCAAAGTTCCCATTCCCCAGTCGACCCGTGCGCACATCATTGGTAAGGGAGGTTCTATGATCAAGGCCCTCCAGGAGAAGACTGGTGCCAAGATTCAGCTCCCCAAGGTCGACGAGAACAACCCCATTGATGAGGAGGATGACGATGCCACCATTGACGTTACCATTGAGGGTAATGCCCTCTCTGCTGCTTCTGCTCGTGATGAGATCCTCAAGATTGCTGGTGAGCGATCTGCCAATGTCCAGACTAAAGTTCGAGGCATCCCTGCCGCTTTCTACCCTTTCATTGCCGGCCGCGATAATGCCTTAGCCCAGGCTTTGGAAGAGAACAACGGCATTCAGATCCGAGTTCCTTCTCTGCAGGCCTACCCTGCGGGTCCCATTCCTGTCACCATCAACCCTGATCAGCGTCCTACCTTCGCCCCTGCTGGCAATGACGAGAGCCACATCCAGCTTGCTGGCGACCGTGCTGCTGTTCAGAAGGTTCGCGCCGAGATCGAGCGCCAAGTTGCTGAGCTCCACAAGCAGCTTGCCGCCGAGCAGCTGTCTATTCAGCGTGGCCGTCACCAGTTCATTGTTGGTGACCGAGGTGTTCCTGTAGAGCAGTTCTTCGCCGATACCGGCTGTTCTATCCTGCTCCCCACCGACGAGGACGACGATACGATCACCGTCATCGGCCCTTCTGCTCAGGTTAGTGTTGGTATGGAGAAGGCTATGGATCTGGCCATGGGCATGCAGATGTCTAACCTGGACATTGCTCGATTCCACCGCAACGCACCTGGTGGCGCTGCCACCCATGCTGGCAACGTGACCCGATATCTCCGTCAGCGTAGAGAGATCGAGCGCCTCGAGAAGCTTTACAACACCCACATCAACACCCCTTTCTCCGAGGGTAATGCTCTTCCTTGGGAGCTCTACTCGCGCGAGGGAAAGAACGCTATTCGTGCTCAATCAGAGATTACTGGTATAATCAATGCCCAGCCTCCTTCTCGCATGAGCTCTGTTCCCGTTGATCCTTTCTTCCACCAACACCTTCGCAACAACATTACTCCCCAGGTGAAGCAGAACTACGGTGTCCAGGTTATCGTTCCCGAGGCTTCAGAGAGCAACGTTCCTGTTCTCCTGGTCTTTGAGGGCCCTGACCCCGCCGATGGTCCTTACCAGCTGCCTCGCACAAAGCCATCGGATGCTGAGATCCGAGCCTTTAAGCAAGGACTTGAGGATGCCCAGAAGCACATTCTTGACCTGATCAACAAGCAGGAAGCTATCACCAGTGCTACTCTTGATGTCCCTGCTAAGTTCCACGAACGCCTCCGACGATTCATCAAGAAGGAGCAGGAAAGCCGAAAGGCTGATCAAATCCCTATCCGGGTTACCAAGGTCGGAACCAACATCACTCTCCGAGGCCCGGCCTCCGCCGTTGAGTCTCTCGCCGCCAAAGCCAACGCTTTTGTCGAACAAGAAAAGGAGGATGAGAAGGAGCGAGGATTTACCCTGTCTTTCGACTTCCCCCAGAAGTTTGCCAACCACTTGATTGGTAAGGGTGGCAGCAACATTCGAGAGCTCCGAGACCGCTTCGATGTCGAAATCCAGGTTCAGGACGGCAAGGTTGAGCTCAAGGGACCCAAGGCCAAGGCCGAGACTGCTCGATCTTACATTCAGGGTCTCGCCCGCTCATTGGCCGACGAGACAACTCACACTCTGAAGATCGATCCCAAGTATCACAGAGAATTGATTGGAGCTCAGGGAAGTCAGATCAACCGTCTGCAAACCCGTTACAAGGTCCACATCTTCTTCCCCCGATCTGCTAAGCCTGCAGACGATGAGCAGGCTAATGCCGATGCTGAGGAAGGTGCCAAGCCTCGCCGACAGCAACCTGCTGACGAGGTTATGATCCGAGGTCCCAAGAAGGGCGCGGATGAGGCTCGGGATGAGATTTACTCCCTCCACAAGTACCTTGAGGAGCACTCGGCCACCGCTACCGTTCCTGTCCAGCAGAAGCAGGTCGGATCTCTCATTGGCCAAGGTGGTGCTGCTCTCGACGAGCTTCGCCAGGCTACCGGTGCTAGAATCGATGTCCCACAAGATAGGGACACCGACATTGTTGAAATCCAGATCAAGGGTACAGCTTCGCAGGTTGCGAAGGCCAAGAAGGTTCTGGAGGAGAAGCGAGCTGTTTTTGATGACACCGTTGTCCGAACTCTTGACGTGGACAAGAAATACCACAAGGCCCTTATCGGCGCAGGCGGTAAGTTTCACCATGGCTATACAAATACACATTCACTAACTCTTCACAGGTTCCAACCTTCGTGACATTGTCGTCAAGGCTGGCGGCTCTGACGACCGACGAGAGCTTGCCCGCACCATCCAGTTCCCCAAGCAGGAGGCAGATGGAAACACCATCAAGATTGAGGGTCGAACCGATGTTGTGGACAAGATCGTTCAGCGTATTCAGGAGATTGTTGGTGAGCGCGAGAACCAGGTCACTGAGGTCGTGGATGTTCCTATCGAGAACCACCGCTCTCTCATTGGCCGCGGTGGTGACACCAAGCGCCAGCTTGAGTCCAAGCTTAATGTCTCTATTGACGTTCCTCGTCAAGGTGACGGCAAGACTGGCGTCAAACTGACCGGTCGACCCGAGAATGTGGCTAAGGCGAAAGAGCACATTCAGGGACTCGTCCAGGAGCAACAGGGCGAGACGATCCAAGTCCCCAGCAACCTTCACCACTCCATCTCCAATGGTGGCCAGTTCTTCCGCCAGCTCCGCAACAACTACTCGGTCACTGTTGACCATGCTGGTCAACCTCTACCCGCTAAGCCTGACTCTTCCACTCGTTCCAACACTGGAGCTCTTCCTCTGATCACCGACGATGATGATTCCACATCTGAGGCTCACTCATGGAAGGTTATCCAGATCGATGCAGGTGATGACAGCGATTTCCCCTGGGTCCTTCGTGGTTCATCGGAGAATGTGGAGAAGGCCAAGGACGCTATTGCCAAGGCTGTCGAGCAGGCCAAGAAGAACGATGCTACGGGCTATCTTGTTCTCCCTGACCCTCGAACTTACCGACATGTTATTGGACCCAACGGTTCCAAGGTCAACTCAATCCGCAAGGAGAGCAACTGTAAGATCCAGGTTCCTCGGGACCAGGCCAAAGATGAAGCAATTGAGATCATTGGAACTAAGGATGGAGTCGAGCTGGCCAAGGACCTTATCCTTGAGGCCGTGCGGGAAGGCAGCAACAAGGTTCGGGAGTAATGACGGGCTGATATAGCAGCATCCTAATCGAGACCATGATGATATGATCTGTGGAGCTTTGCTGGAGAGAATGGATATCCATGGTGAAAAGCATAGTTACAAGTTAAAAAGAATATTAATATGAACAAAAAATAATCACGCGATGTGCTTTCGTCTTTTCGCATCTCATGCGTAACATATCGTATGGCGCTGCTGCTCTTATTCGTGTTCGCGATAGTGGAAATTAAGTACATATTTATCACGTGAACGCTACAGTGCTCTCCCAACATTGATGCAGCAAACATTAACATCTGCACACCGCCCACAACTATATCTAGACGTGTCTCACAGTTTGCAGTACTTGAGCTGCTTTCGTTGCAAATATCCCAGTTTACAAAAAGTGGGAATCTGCTCAGATGGGTTCTCAATTGACGCCCGCGACAGCCCCTTGGGACAGGGTTCCAGCTCAGGAGCAGCTTTTCGTGTTAATTACAGGCGCCAACAGGTTTGCTCAACAAGTCATATACAAGGAAATAACAGTAGCTAACAAAATTCTAGCGGTATCGGCCTTAGTATCGGAGAACGACTTATCGACGAATTCCTCGCTACACGATCCTTGCAGTCGCACCTCATCCTCATCCCTACCACACGATCCAAATCCAAGTCTTTACAAACGATCAAGGCCCTCCGCGACTATGCTCGGAAAGCTGCACAATCTTCTACGGTGTTGCGATCTCGGGCCGGAGGCTCACATCGCTGGCAGGATACTGTTGCGAGAGTCCATGTGTTGAGCTTGCAGCTCGATCTGTGCGACTTGCGCGGGGTGTACAAGTGCGCTCATGCGCTGGTACGTGGACCGGTGAGCAACCCGGAGGGCTTGGAGGGCGAATACCTCCGAAACGTACGGATCCCGAGGTTGGATACTGTGGTGTTCAATGCTGCGTATGGTGGCTGGTCAGGGGTCAACTACCCAAAGGCCGTGTGGACTATCTTGACACAGGGTCTGGTGCAATCTGTCACTTGGCCGAATTACAAGATGGCACTTCCTACAGCCCTTTTGAACGAGAAGCCCAATTACAACTATGTATGTTCAATTCTGGTTATTTCTCATTTCCGCAGGTCAACTCACTAACGGGGTGTGATGCAGCCCAAGGAGCCACCCCTCGGCGAAGTATTTACAGCATGTGTCTTCGGTCATTATATATTAGCCCATGAGCTCTTGCCCCTCCTTAGCCGTCGATCCGAGTCCGAAACCCCAAGCCGTCTCATCTGGTCAAGCAGTCTCGAGGCCATCGGCCGCGTTCTTGACATGTCCGACTTCCAGTGCTTCAACGGCAAAGGCCCGTACGAGTCCGCCAAACGAGTCACTGATATCATTTCCCTTACTGCGTCTCTCCCTGCTGCGCTGCCGTCTTCCAGCCGTTTCTTCACGCCCGATGACCCTGCTGAGGCTCGTGCAAAGCCCATCCGACCGCGGATGTATCTCACCCACCCGGGCATTGTTGCCAGCACCCTGTTCCCTGTCCCTTGGTTCCTCATGTGGGCTTATGAACTTGCCCTTGTGATTAGTCGCTGGATTGGTTCGCCGTGGCACAACACAGATGCCTATACCGGCGCCAAATCACCTGTGTGGATTACCCTACAGGAACAGTCTACGCTTGACGAGTTGGACGCTGAGCGTATCAAGTGGGGCAGCAGCTCGAATCGCCATATGCAGGTTAAAGTTAAGAAGTCGGAGGTCGAGGGCTGGGGCTGGGAGGGCAAGGTCGAAGATGCGGCAGTCCTCGAGGCCGATACTGCAGTTGGCGTGTTCAAAAAGACTGTTGGACGAAAGAAGGGAGCTGTAGACGTGACCAAGGAGGACATTGTGAGGTTCGAAGAACTGGGTGCTGACTGCTGGAAAAAGATGGAGAGTATGCGATTCGAATGGGAGAACATCCTTGGAGTTAAAAAGTCATAGGGTGTCTCAAGCAGCATAAAAGTCACATGCAAAGATTCAACAGGCGTTGAACTAGAAGGAAAATGGGTATATTGCGACAACGATAGGTAGATGATCGTCATAGAGACAATACTAATATTAATAGCTCCCATAGTCAATAGCCTGGGGATCTCCGAGTCGGCTCACTTTTGTATCCCGTTGAAGAACCGTTCACGGGTTAGTGGTTATGGTTGTATTTGAGCGATTCTGCTCGTCAGAGCGAACGCGACGAAGCGTTGTCTTGTGATGGCGACCGAACAGCCCCAGACACAAGGGAAGGGGCACCACTACAAGAGCGACAATTGCTTGAAATACTAGGGCATTCTTCATGTTCTTTGGTGGATTGGCTTTTTTGTCTGCAACGAGTGCATCACTGACAATGACGAAAATAGCGCCGAAGAGCTGACCCCCAGCCCAAGCCAATGTTGACGTGATTTCGGGGCTGAGTGGATGGCTCAATTCGATGAGAAACTCGAGTGCGACCGGGACCAACGAAAAGGACGAGGCGCCTAGGATGGCGAGGACTACATAGGGGCCAGCGATGTCCTTTGTCTCGGGCATCCATACGAAAATCAGGTAACTGATACCAACGAGGGGGACAAGAATCTTGATAGTGAGGAGGAAGCTCTTCGTGCGATCGATAATAGGGGAGGAAATGGCCGAAGCGACGAGACCAACGACGATCAGGACAGCGCCGCCAATACCAGCCTCATCGTCGGAAAAGCCGTAAGGTGTGAGCATCTGGTTGAGAAGTGACGAGATCGAGTTGAAGAAACCGACATAAACAGCAAACGGAATGAGAATCAACCATATCTCCAAAGAGCTAGTCAGAACACCAACGGATTCGCGAAGGCTGAGTTTAGGAGTCTCGGCGGAGGGGCCAACTGGTGTAGGAGGTTTGGCTGGGAGAAAGAACGCAGGGAGGGCGCAGACAGTTGACTACAATTGTTAGCTGGGTCAAATTGGAAACCGCAAGGGAATTTACAATAATGGAGATGTACAGAACCATGGAGGAAACATCGCTAGATTTCTTGACCATCATTGGTGTAATCAGTTGTCCAAATGCTGCACCGAACGGGTTGGCCAGACTCGTCAAGGCTGTGGCGGCAACACGACCGCGGTTAGTGAACCACATATCCGAGTATCGAGTTGGAGCTGCAAGAATAAAAGGTTGGGCAAAGCCAATGACAATTTCTCCAGCCATGGCACATGCGATGTTTCCGCCGCTAGCTTTGGTAGAACCGGCATATCGAATCCAATTTCCGATGAGGATGAGAACAGCAGCTGTCATGAAGGCCAGCTTTGGGCCTCGGTGAAGGATGGTAATGCTGATGGGAAAAACAAACACAAACGCAAGGAAGAATGCAGTACTGATCCAGTTGATGGTTGATTCGCGCACATCATAGTACTCAGCAGCGTGTGATGCGACTGGTGCGAAGGTCATCCACTATAGTTCTGTTGTCAGCATATATACCTCGATCGAGTTGGTGGCTGGAGCTTTAATCTTACATCCCACGACACAATGATATTCATCAGTGTAAGCTGAGCGAGACCAAACCAACGTCGTTTGTAGGTGCGGTACTCAGTTGACGCTCCTTGGCGGATGCTGCCATCGCCTCCAGAAACTCCTTCGCCTTCAGCATCGACCTCGCCTGTTTCTCTGTTCTCCCGAAGAGTGAAGTCGCGTGACCCTAACTTCTGTTTGCGCCAGAAGCGAACACTGCTGTTGTCGCCGCTCATGATGGTGATCAAGCCAAAGGGCTACCGTAGATGCTATCGTCACTGTTTGTGCTCTAGGTTTTGGTACTCGGGTGAAGTTGTAAAAAGATGTAGTCGAGGAGTTGCCTAAGAGGAGAGCGTTGTGGTTGATGTGTAACGTCGAAGATGCAAGACAAGGGCAGGGACGTCAGTGCCAGTGAGTATCAGTGCAAGTGTAGGTAAGTGCCAGTCAGTGCCAGTGCCAGTTTCAAATAGAGGCTAAGCAAGCAGGGACAAGCTCATATGATGTCTGACTGTGGCAGTAGACGCATATCAAATGAGAGTGTGATGCAGCGCAAGTAGGGAGTTGAAGAAAAGGAGTTAAGATGGCGATTAGATGTCCCGGTTTACAACCCAATAACGGCGATATATCACCTCACTAGATTCAGAGTCGCCTCACACTAATGTCAATTCTTCTCGCCGAGTCCTCCGACCGTTGGTCCCGTCCAGTACTTATTACTTGATGCTTTACCGGGATCAGTTCGTCTCGGCCGAGGCGTGCGGGTACTCTGGCTTGATGGGCCGATCGCGAGATGTGGGAGGGTTTTCGCTTGGCGATGCTAGCGGGCTTACAGGCGCATTGTAAGATTCATAAATGTAGTGTGAGTGTTTGACAAGTGGAGGAGAGGAAGAGATAAAGATCTTATGCCATCTTTAAGACGGGAAAGGAGGGGGGCAATGGGGAATTCGTTCTAATCTATGCTGGAAGGAGGCACCTGGACTTGATTGCCATTAACCGGCAATCCTCAAATCTGCCATCCACAAGTGGAAGCCCGTGTGGCACCTTTGCTATCACCTGCACTTCCTTCCACTGCGAACCCACGCGACGCTAACGGTAACGGCTTGAGTTTAGGGCTGTTGATAGGCCACTACAGGGCCAGGATGGAAAACATCCTAACTGGGAACATCTCAAACTTCGAGGACCAAGCCAACCGAGCACAGATTATTCACTAACTTGATATAGTCCTTCTTGCCCGACACTATTTGTTTCTGCACTTCGTGTTCTTCATCAATGCTTCTACAAAAGGAGAATATTTCCATTCCATTTCCCCTCTGTCTCCACCGACTGTTGATCATTTCTTCCTTCACCATGTCTCTCTCCTCCAGCGAACCTTTACTGGCCAATGCTTGTTGCCAGTTAACTCCTTGTTCTAAAACTGGTAGCGAATCTTAAAGTTGAGGGGAAGCGACGTCGAATTCAGGAATCAGGACCAGGTATTAAAGTGCTAATGTAACAGCATATGCACTCGCCCCAACTTGGAAGCTTGTCACTTTAACCGAGTTCTGTTTACAACGCTGCCCCAGCTGCACGAAGAGACATGAGGAAGATCAACAGCCGGATTGAACTTTCAATCAGAGGCCAATCTTGCACCAACTCTTCAATACCATTTACCCACGTCTCTGTTCTAGATTATGTTTGAAGCGATCGTGGGGATTGTCGATTGTGGACACATGGCATTGCTTGGCTCTAACAAATGATATGATGTGAGAACTGGGCCTATTCGACAACAACCAACAACATATACGAAAATGTTGAGCTTTTCACAATTTATCCCCGACAGGGATCCCACTCGCTGCGTATCCTGTACTTCAGATATGCCTCTATCCCAATACCCATGTTCCTTACACCCTTTAGTTCCTGCGCCGTTCAGAAACAACCAACACAAGTGTGCCACCCTGGTTGTGCCGCTGTCCCGATATCCTATCAATCTGTGCTTTTTTTTTTTCGCTTTGCTCGCGCCGAGGTGTCACATGTCCTATATGCATAGCTTTTATACCTAAGTGTATCGTAACTCAAAAGCATATATCAATTGGAGCGCCGCAAACCTGCATCGCCTCTAACGACTTGCAGCGCATCATGGGAGAATTGGCTAGACCGATATCTTGTATCGTCTGCAAGTCAAACAAGGGTCTACATTCATAGTCGATTCTGAGAAGGAGGCAAAGTGGTTCGTGGACGATTCCTACTAGGCTGATACATCATAAGGAGGTCTGGCAAACGGTCATAAGCACTGTCCTTGGCAGTTCCAGTATGGCGTAAAGTCAATCAATGGTCTAGGTATAGCGTGCAAGAAATCTATTCAGGCGTTGGAGCGTATGGTACAGAAAGAGTCGCCATAGGAAAAGTCTATGGACGACTCGACACCCAACAGACGAGCAATCGTACAAGGGAAGAGCCCTCAAAGGGACACCTTGGCTCCGGCTCTAGGCATCTTTTCGACGTGTATGTAACCATCTCGTCGTTATGGGAACCGATAACCCAGTGATGTTGATAATTTACTTAAGCTGAGTCCAGAGCTTAGGGGCGGCGCAAGCGGTCGCGCAGTGGGCAAGGTGGAAGACTGAAAGTATGTTAGTATTTGTTGCAGCAAATGGAATCTATAATCAGGGTTCTTGGGGATCCATGACGCAGTTGGGTTAGGGTACACATACACTCCTCAACACAGTCCTCCTTAGCACCACCCTCGCTCTCCTGCTGCTGAACACGCTCGACACACTCATCGAAGTGGTGCTTGGCGGGGGAACATTGGGGAGAGTTCTTGCACTCTGTTGATGTGTTAGCATGTGTTGCGGGTTTATTATCGCGCCAGGGCGTGAAGCGGTTGCTAAATCACTCGCGGTGATCGGGACCGAACTTCGAGTTGGAAGGTTGACGAACCTTCCTCGAGGGTCTCCTTCTGGTCGACGAGCTCCTCCTCGTCATCATCCTCCTCCTCTTCTTCCTCCTCGTCGTCCTCCTCGGGCTCGTCCTTGGACTCGTTCTTGGACTCGTTCTCCTCCTGCTACTCGTCAGTACTTGACCAACCGAATCCGCAAGCCATTATATGCGCCCTCGATGAGTCCCCATCGTAATTGATCGATGACAGAGCCAATGACGAAAAATGCCTTGCTAGGAAAAATCCCGTACCTGAGTGTCCTCAGCAGGGGCCTCGGCCTCAACAACGCTCCATGGCGTCACAGCCTCGACAATATCGGTGAAAGCGTCCCAGATACCCATTGCGACAGCGGAAGAATTCACAACGGCGAGTGGTGGTTTCGATTGAGGTGTCGTTCGTCGATTCGTCGATTCGTCGTTCCTAATCGTAAGAGGTCGGAAGCTCTCGGCCAAGGTCACGAAATGAAAACTGATCCGGAATTGAGGCATTTTGATTGGCTGTACGAAGCCGGCTTTGTCATCTATGACCACGTGATCTTTACATGATCCGAGCGTCTTCCAGTTTTCCGAAGAACGGGAAGATCCGAATTTAAGCCGCAAAACTTCGAGTCTTGTAGGTTACTCAATTGAAGATGATATGTTCACTCCAGGTGCTATGGTAGAACGTTTGGCTCTTAGGCTTGCGAATTTTGCATGTGAAGAAAGTATAATCTTTGGCAATGTCATAATTCTAGCAGCTCCTTTGCAATACATAAACCCAACAAACAACAAGAGACAGTATACGGATAATGAGTTCATGAATGCAGTGCTCAAGTCTTGGTATCTGTAACATAACCACCCGAAGCCATTGGTGTGGTCCAATGCGGCCGTTAATCATCATTTTCGTATGCTCCCCTATCAATCTCCCCTCGAACGTGATCCTCCAATCGAATATTTAACTGTTGCGCTTGTGCCTCGTCGTATCCTGGCGGTGGTTCCTCCGGTGCCCCTCGACTGGCTGTGCTCTCTGAGCGATTGGGGCGGTTCTCAGTCGAGGTTGTTGTGGGTGCTGCTTCTGCGGAAGAAGCTTCATATGCGGGCAGAGGTTCATCGGGGACGTCGGCACCTGGGCCCATTTCACGGCGCATCTCTTGGTACTGGTAAAGACGTTCCCGCAGCCTGATATACGCTTCATTGAAATCCATCATGCCTCCATCTGAGAAGGTAAACTTGACCTCAAGTCGAGGAATATCTGGGGGAATGCCGCCACCAGATACTGGGATGCAGTCTGACTTCCAGACCCATCCCCACCACATTGAAGATGAAGTGGTAGAATCTTGGAACTTAAGAATTGGAGCGCTGAAAGATTCAAACTTTGGTTCTTGTGTAGGTTTTAAGGGAAGGTATACGATCTGAGGCGTCAGCGCAATGCTTAAACATGCTTTGGAAGACAACTTACTCTCTTGTTTGTCAGGAAGAGAGTACCCTTATCACTTTTCCGTTGAAACGAGGCACATCGTGCTCTCAGCTCCTGGGGCACAGACAGGTCGCATGAGATTCTCGATTCGAGCTTCATCAAGATGCGTTCATTGCCAAGCTTGACAAAGCCGCCCTGATTGAGCATAACCCAGCTATCGGCATTGTCAGGATCGACGGGCCGCGAAGGAGGACGGCTCGTAATAAGATAGTCATGAGGATTGTCCATTATAAGGCGGAGTCCATGACTCCATGGGCCGAAGGTGGCGGGGCAGTCAACGGACGGACTGTGCCGTGGCCGCCGTGGACGGAGAAGACAGGGCGGAGAAGACGGAGGGAGGCGACGGAGGGAAGAAACGGAAACGGACACGGGATGAGGAACGGGGACGGAGGGGGGATGGAAGGATGGTATGGGCGCGAAGCAGGGAACCACCAGGAGGGACAGTATATCAAGACTGGGCCGGACGGACGAGTGAACCAGGGACCAAGAAGGTAAGGTTAAGGTAGATAAGACGGGAGGTGAAAAGGCTTAGAGAAAGTGATTTAAAGAAGAGGCTCGCGAAAGAGGCTTACTTTATCGACATTGTCGCGTACAGGGTTCAAGCGACCCTAGCTCGTGGGCAAATGGCTCCAGGCTCCGTACCGGCAGGTTCAGGACGTGCAGGCAGCTTTTTAGTAGCTCCGAGATCTTGGAGCGGGTGGCTCTGGGCTGCGGCCGGGTTGGCCTCTGGCCTTGTCTTGTCTTGGGTCTTGGGGCCTGGTGGTGCCGTGGTGGGGGGTGGGTCGTTTTGGAGTCTGTTCGAGCGGGCGAGTGACCGAAGGAACGAACCAACGAGCGAGAGTGTTTGGCTAAAGGCTCAAGGTTAGGAAGAGGAGAGAGGCCAAAGTTCCAAGCCAGCCGAGCGAGGGATGGTTATGATTGTCAGGGCCCGTCGAATAGGATGAAGATGACCCGGGGACAAGGTACAGGATAGACTAGGTAGGGGACGAGACGAGAGATGCTACAGTGGTAGAGGATCCTAAGCCAGCCAGCCAAGCAAGTCAGGTCAAGCCAAGCCAGTGGATGTCGAGGGGAGAGGCAGAGGCAAGGCAAGGCAAGGCAAGGCAAGGGCAGAGGCAGAGACCGAGCAGGAGAAGAAACGGGAGCAAAGCTTGACTGAACGGAATGGAGCGAGACGAACAGGTGGCTGGTGGCTGGAAGCGATGCCGTAACGAGGTGGGGGAAGCGGCGATTTGATCGAATTTGCGGACGATGCGATGTCTTGATTTGTGGGCGTTGGATCAAACGTCGCAAAACGAGCAAGATGGGGATGGTGTGATATGGACGATGAACACAGTATCAAGCGTGCGCGTGCGTATATTGGAGATGGATCGATGGGATGGATAGGTACCTAGGTAGGTAGTAGGTAGGTAGGTACCTAGGCAAAAGCAAATAAAGCCAAAGTATGTACCCAAAAGCTTTAGTCGTTCCGCTCGTTCAGGTGAGGAGGAATTGGGATCGCTCACCCAAAAGTTTCAGTGCAGCTTGGACTTGGAGATGCAAAAGTTGGGCGCTGCAGGCTGCGGATCGTCTTTTTTGGGCCGAGCCGCGCGGATGATCTGGACCAAAGACTGCCTGTTCACGTTAAAGTGCGAGCTGGGGTTACCTTGGAGCTATTGTCTAGGTGACATTCTGTAGCCCTGATTGGCCGGAGAAGAACGTCCATTGAAACAAACCACCACGTGCTGTATATGTATCCGTATCTCGAACTGATTCTTGTCCCGTCTTGATGTATCCAACTGAGTGAGGATAACAACTACAATGCAATTACCACCGTCTTGGGAAGGGTCCCAGCCCAGTCTCAAACATCCCTCCATATACTCCATATCTAACCACCAGCTAAGCAAACTCTTCCATTATCTATCCAGTTTTTTTTTTCTCCTTCTCTTTCATGGGCCCCTGGCGTTGAGCTTCTTCAACCCCTGCTGGAAAAGCTGTGCTTGTCGCAACCCTGAACGAGTCAACTCTGCGGATCGTCTCCCGACACCCAAAAGAACCCCTCCCCCTCCCATGTCTTTTGCCTCCACTATCAACAGAGATCTGGCAGCTTAAATCTATTATCTGCCATCTCCGACCCAGTCCAGGGACAAAACAGACAAGTGATGAGCCTGTATCAACTACCTCTTGAGTTACACAACCCTCAATCCACAAGGAGGAATTCTCTCTGGGTGGGCTGTCAACGTCAGTTCCATCACCCGACATGCTTAGCGAAAGCTAGGTAATAACCAGGACCCATCTATGCCAGGCCCTGGGGGCCAGCATCCACAAGTTGAACTTGAACCCAGGCCGGCCTAAACACACGGCTGACGATGCTAGATGCGGAGGCACGTGTCTCCTCACTGAATTCGACATAACTCAAGCGTTCCGGCCCACGAATCATGATGATGATAGGGAGGGGTATCAAGTGTCCCGCTCACACGCCAACGCCGCCAAGTATAGTTGTGATGGTATGCATCATTTAGCTGCATTTGCTCCAATAGGTGCTGCAGTAGCTGGTGCTACAAGAGTACGAATCTCTTCAACTACTACAGGTAGGTGGTCAGGGCCGGAATTACCATAAAGTAATAAGTCGGTCTTTATAAAACTAAGTCCACTGCCTATATAAGACGCACTTGCGCCTAGGCTTCTATCTTATAAGCTAGCTACTAGGTAGGTAAGCCTAGAAACATGCGTTACTCAGTCTTGCGAAGGAGAGAACATCTCTATTCCGAAAATGGGTTGAGGTTGTTCTGGTTTTAACAGGGATCAACATAGTGTTGGTGAACAACCTATGATATCCATGGTGGAATTCGCTCAAGAACCCCTCTTGAAGAAACAACGCAAATTACTTGTCTGGAGCTGATTTGAGGATCTTTGCACATACATATCCTCTCACTCATGTCTGACAAAGGCTCAGCAGCCAAACTAACACGGTTTTGGCCCAAAATACGCCCTAACGATGTTAGTCGGTTCCGTTCTGCGAACTATAAGCCTAGAAGCAGTGAAAAACAGCTGATCTTGGCAGAAAGTGTGCTGAAGGTGTTGTTTATGCGTACCACAGTTCCGGTATCATTGACCACTTTCTATTTGCTATTGCATCACCTACCTGGGTTGGTTGATCCTAGCCGTGGAGCGCCAACTATGTCATGGGCTAAGCGGCCCCAGAGTGTCTGTCTATTTGAGGTCGATGGAGCGGTTAACTACGGGTTCAAGTGGGTGGTAATAGATCAAGTTAATTACTATAATGTGCAAAAACACCACATCAACTATCATCGTAATACGTGGTTCATCGGCGATATAGACTAAGCGTTTCTTCCTTTACGTTCTATGACATTAGGGAAAGAATAGAGCCACTTCAGATACCATTTACTTGGCGCACTTGTGTAGGTGTTTTGGTCTTAACTGCCAAACTCGACGAAGCAGTCATGATAAGGTCGTATATTTTCATCGTGGTCGATACCTACTGTTAGGTATGGAAGGTAGCGGGTGGGTAGCTCTAAACCCCACCTTCCTCCTGCCACCGTACACCGTCCCACTTTGATCTTTCACCACCCAGGTTTCAATTGTTCTAATCCTTCCTGAAACGCCAACCTCCCCTGAAATCCCTGGAATGTTGCCATGTCTTATCATGACTCGCTTCTTGCATTTCGAGCTCAATCGAGTGTAAATGACGGCAATGAAGAAACAATACTGTTGCGAAGCACCCGTACTGCGTACATACATACATTGACACCCTGTTCCATCATGGCGGCCTGGCCCTTGTCTATAAGACGTGTCATTTCCCATTAAATCTGAGACATCGTCACTGATTGATTGATAGACTGATACGAGGATGGGCACTGATAGTCAATCTTGCGTCATGTGCCAACAATTGCAAACCTTCCTCTGGATATCCGTAGTTCAGAACGACATAAAAAGAGAAAAGAGTCAACAAGAGACGTCATGTTAGCGTTTCTCCGCTCAAGCTCCTAATCTATCTCTGCCACTAGCTTCGCTGCATCAAACGAATAAAAGACTGTTCCCCGTTGGCTTCCCATCCCGTCCAGGGCAAAATCCTACCAAATTCATGATTGGCTTCGGTCAGCTTCTTCCCTGTCCTCCCCCACCGAGGTTGTGCATCCAAGCATGTGCTGGTAATAACTCTGATTGGACTGTATGCCCGGCTCGATGGGAGGCTCCGGAGTCACGGAGCTCTAAGTTCCACTGCAACCTTGAACCTCGACCGATTACCGGCGAACTCTGAACCGATACCGTACGCACTTACAACGTCAAAGAGGATACTTTTACTTTTCAAATCAGCAACTATTCGACAGCTCTTGCTCACCGACTTACCCCTATTCGCTAAACTTCCAGCTCTCGGACGCAATCAGCATGAGTTACCAGGCCGACGACTTGACCGAGCTCCAGCAATATTCTGCCTGTGATATCTCAGATGCATTACTGAAGCTTAAGGTTCCTGGGGCCGGTTTTGTTGCCGATCTGAACCCTTACAGTTTTCCTGAGGGTGATGCAACTTCGGTTACTGTTGCGCCAGTTTCAACAGTCCTATTCGCCCCCAAAGGACAGGATCTTCTGGAAACGCAAAAGAACATCCCTGAGGGAACTCACTGGGCAGATCTGACAGAAGCGGAAACCATTGTAGTTCTCAAACAGCCCGATGGTCAAAAGAATGCCGTTTGTGGGGGTATCATGGCAGTTCGCATGAAAGTGTGCCAAGCCAAGGGCATTGTCGTGGCCGGTCGGGTAAGAGATATACAGGAGCTAAAGAGTACCTCCTTACCGGTGAGTGCTATGGACCCTGCTCTTTGATCAAGCTGAACTAGGAGAATGCAGATTTGGGCACGAGGGTTGTCCACAGTTGGAGTCGGTGGAGGGAGCGTACCCTGGGCCATTCAGGTACCTCTTGACATCGATGGAACCCGTGTCTGTCCTGGCGACCTAGCATTTAGCGACCCAATCAACGGAGTAGTCGTCATCCCTCAGGACAAGGTTTCTGCTGTCCTTGAATTGCTGCCCAAACTTACGGCGGCCGATGACAAGATTAAGGAAGACGTTATCACAGGAGCAACGGTCTATGAATCCTTCAAGCTTCATCGAAGTAGTCTGTGATGCGCTCGCGGTGGATGCAACTGACGCTTCCGAGAATGAAACTACTGTCTTCGTCGATAGCGCAAGGGGAAAAAAGCCATCCGTGCTGCATCCACAGCAGCTGACTGGACCAACCTCACACAAGCATAGGACTACGTCAGATCTCAAACACTTGATATCGAGCAACTTGGGGCGCGCATGGATCAATAATACCGTTTTGTGTCATCAGTTCATTAACATGCCATCATCAGAGTAGGATCTCTACCATGACTACCAAACAACCAACAACCAACCCTAGCTCCCAGACCAATAGGAAATGCATACAAGAAGAAACATAAACATACTGGCAGTCAAGATATGCCAACTCATCACAGCCACGCATCCTTCACCTTACTTGGAGTGGAAGGCTTATCCAGCCCAAAATCAAGCTTCGGCATCTCAATCTTTGGCGCCGCCTCTACTGGCTTCTTTTGACCACCGTTTTTCTTTGGCGAAGCCCGAGCGGCTGGGGGCGGCCCGTAACGCACATCCTTGACATCCCAGCCATCGTCCACCGCTGCTGCGACCCATGTTCGAAGGCCGTCATGCACACTTCCATAGAACTTCTCTTTACAGAGTCGTAGGCTGCCGCCTAGGCACCGCTCCCATCCCGAAATTTGAAACTGCGCCCGGAGATTGTTGCGCTCCTTGGTGGTAGGTGTGCAGGCCAAAATGGCGTTCAGGAGGTCTAGGTGAGAAGCAAGGTAGTTGGTAGCATCCCATTCGACTCCGCCCACGTATGGTGCCGCGGGAACCGGGGGGCGCTCTTGAGGGAAATGTCGAAGCATGTAGCTGTACGGACCGGGTGCAGGGTCGGCAGTCGAAAGTCGTTCCGAAGGAAGAGATACAACGTTAACGTTGTGAAGGAAGATCCAGAATACTTCTTTAGTGACGCTGACGACCTCCTTATTCCAAACACGGTAAGGCCTTTCCTGTCTCATCTCCAAGACAAATGGTAAGGGGCGTTGATCCTCCTTTGGCTCGGGATCTCTCAGGTGCGATAGGATGCTCTGAGCTCGTGTGACACGTTCCGCAGGGGCAGCAGACTCGATGTATGTGAACAAGACAGAGGTGATGATGTTACGGGTGGTGAACTCGCTTGGACCCTTCCTCTCTGGGTCGAATAGCATGTGAAGGAGCTTAGGAAAGAGATCACGTTGGATCGTGTCAATGTATTGCATGGCGCGAGCCGTTGTCGACAACGCCTTGAGGCAGAGAAGATTTTCGTGCAAAAGCGCATCTTCATGTTCCTCCCTATCGGTTGTTAGTGACAGCAACGATAAACACAAACTGATCTCAACTCACCTCCATTCGACCTCCATGATGCGGTTGAGGAGGCCTACGATCTCCTTCATACCACCCAACTGAATAAAATCCTCAATCCATGCAACTGTCTCGTTTCTGAGAAGCAGTCGGAGCTTGTGAACCTTCCCGACCTCGACCAGCTGTGGCTTCTGGACCTTTCTAAGGTACGCCACATAATCGCCCGGTCCTTGGTTGAATTTCATTTTGGAGAGGATCCCGGAATTAGAGACTGAACCGCTCGATCCAGGAGGGCCTTCACTGATTACGCTGTCTGTAGACTTGCTTCTGAAATGGCGGCCGAGTGTTCCCTCACCCTTTGACTTTTTAATTGGTGAGCTGGGTTCCTTGGGCTCCTTTCTTCCTCGTGAGAGAGTGAAACTTTTGCCTCGTGATCGCTTTGGCTTCTCCTCGTTCTGTGTGCTTGCTTCGATAGCCATGCCACTGTCGGCACTATCAGTCGAGCAGGGCCTATCTGTTCTAGAGCCTCGTGACTCGGCCCAGTCCTGGCGAATGAATTCCATCTTGATGGTGTCGCTCAGGTTTCTCATTTTGTATCTCTGGTTCTCGGGAATGTTTCGGCGATCCAGCATGGCCTCAAGGTGCTTGTCGATATCCTTGGGGTCAAGCACTCGTTCCCCGGGTGCAGGAACGTTCGATGTTGACTTGGATCGACTATGGTTGAATGTAGTAAAAACGCTCATGACCTTACCTCGACCGCTCTTGCTCTTACCCTCGGTCGAGTCCTTTGATCCCTTTCGAGAGTCATTAGAAGCGCGTGGTTTTGTTGGTGATGGAGGTGGTTCTATTCGACCTAGTATCGGATGATATGACTTCGGCCGCTCTTTGACGGCGACTCGGTTGCTTGTGTGAAGGTCCAGAGCCGGCGGTCTTGCTTCATCCACACTTCGACGTCCGCTTTGTGACTGTTGGAGGAGTGGTCTGGATGCAAATTGGGAGTATATAGGCGGCGGTGGGGGAGCATGTACAGGCTCTTCGGGTGTTCTGTTTTCCTTGTCCTTGGTTGAATTGACGTTATCGTCTGATCCAAATTTCCCCAAATTTCGCAGCGTCTTGGGCCTGAGCAGCCCGGCGAGGTTTGTTGTTGACTTGGGTCTTTTCGGTTTCGTAGGTGAGGGATCTCGAGATTTCCCCCCCTTGGGATCTTTGCCCGGTGCTGTTATGACGGTGAGGTTTCCAAAGCTGCTCTTGATCGGTGACTGTGATCGGTCACGATCTTGCTGTCGTGGGAGGCGGGCAGAAGACTCTTGCTGGTTGTATTGAAGTTCCGCCAAAGCGCCTGGGTTGGAGTAGTTCTCAAAAGCCATAATCTTGGGCTGTATGGGAGAGACGGGGCCGTCGAAAGGACTGTTTGTGGAATGGATGTCGGTAGATGCTTGACGACGGTGCATGAAGCCTTCGAAGATGGTGGACCTAGGCCGTGGTCTTCGAACAGCTTCGAAGCTGTTGCCGTCGTTTGAACTCATGGTATAGTTATGTAGCAAGCTCCGTGCTTGATATGATAGTTCCTTAGTAGTACTCGCTCGCTCGTGGGGTTAAAGTGCTTTTTGAGTAGAAAGGAATAATCTAGAAAAACGACAATAAACAAAAACAAGCCTCACGCCGACTGGTGAGAATAAAAGCCAACTAAGACTGCAGACTGATGCTATGCCATTGCAGAAGAAATAAGAGTTGGAGGTGAAGTGGAGGAAAGCTGGGCTAACAAGGCAGTTAGGTCGTTTAGCTCCCAGTAAAAGGCATGGTAGGCCGTTGCACTGTTTATCGAGGAACGGTCGTTGACCAGGCGACGGGCTATCTTATCGCGCCAACAACGGTGACGATGTTGATGCCGAGTAGCGGGGATCTGAGTGTGCACGCTTGGGCATAACTGGGCAAGATATTAAGATACACTTTTAATTTATCATATTAATCTAACTAATTGCTTTTTAAAGTGGTTTGAGCTTGGAAAAGGTGATTCGCAGCCAAGCAATGATATTTATCTGCCCAAAATAGTAGAAGTGGCTTTACCGGCACGTAGTTAAATAAAATAGTCGAGATGCAATGCTAGCCGAATGACGATCATTCTCGCTGCACAGGCCCGGTCCGGGCAGTTGTTATTGACAACCCTCAACTTTCTTGGCTTTGTGATGACATATTAAACCCGCTTCGTCCACGCTACTACGGGGAAGGGAATAATGATTCCGCAATAATATGTCCACGAATATGACTGCTTCTTTATTTAACACGCTATGTTGGACAGAGAGGATGAGAATATGCTAACCATCAAGAGACTAGGCACTAATAAGAAGATGGGATGGTTCGAATGTATGTTATATCTAGTAATAGCTTCCGCTCATCTCGCATATATGATTAGCACGACGCCTCAACTCAAGCTAGGTGCATTTTGCTGTCACTTGAACATCCATTTCTATCATGGTCCCAACAATCTCCTCACATGCGAAAGTAACCTTCAATTGTTCACCACTCTTTGCACTCAACCCGATCACCAATTCTTTGCTGTCGACTAGCTTTTTGGCACTTCCCCGCCAGAACCAGACAAGTCGTCCGTCGCCTCCCTCAACCACCAATGTGAGCCATGGTGTGCGAGCCTTCCAATGAGGTATCTTTTCATTAGCGAACCCAAGAATAACACGAGCAATCCAGAGCGATTGACTGGTTACCGGTTTGTTGACTGAAGATTGATTGGTCTCGCATAGGGCTAATGAGGTTTGCAAGGGTGCTGCAGTGTCAGGAATGTATTGGCTGATAATCTCGAAATCGAGTGTGAGAACAGGAAATCCAGCCACTTTGTGTAGTACTGACTGACCATAGGGCGGGTTTCGACTGAGGATGCGTTCGATGTGGTAGAATTGGATCGTGGACAACTCCTTGATGCTCTTGATGTTTGCTCTGACAAGCTTGTCTCTCTTTGCTTGCCCAATGCCCTCGACTTGCAGGAGCTGGTTATCGCTTTTCTCCCAAACACCAGCCTTGACGCTTCTGAGTACGTCGAGAGCTGTTCGGACTCCCTTCCCATCACCCCTATCTCCGAGTATATCGACTAGGCATCTCAATACGCGGTCGAGAAGCTTGTACATGCGGCCAAGTTCCTTGTGAAGGGTTTGTCGAGCAGGTCCTGAGAGTTTGTTGGGCCAGCCAGTCTTCAAAAGATCGACCTGGACAAAAAGAAAGACCTTGTGCCATGGCTGAGATATGAATTCTTTAACCTGGTAAGGTATGCCAGTACTGTCGTTGATTGCTCGAAAGAAGGCAGCCTCGCCCTTGTTGATCGGGAAAGAGTTGAACTCGGTGGCAGAGCATGCTTTCCTGAGAATATCGTATGTAGCAGGATTCGGTTTGATCTCGCAAAGGGTTTTGAAGGTTGATGCAGCTACTTCATATCGAAGCTGGATCTCGCGGGAAGGCTCCGAAGCTATAGGTTGTGAGCTCGTGACATCAAGCGACGTTTCTGCCATGACGTGCAGCACTGGTTTAACTTCACATGGACTTATTCTTCCTTGGTGCACATTCTGATAGAGAGATGGTGCGAGAAATTCAAGTGAATTTCTTCTCCGATGCTTTAGTCTTTGGCGATAATGGAAAGCGCACCTCCCCCTGGGCCACGAACGGCAGGCACTCACTGCACAGCTGCGCACTTGCCTAAAATATTTCTACTCCATTTTTAGGGAAGCTACGACTCGGATCACCATATGGACGGGCTCAACAGAAGGTTCGCATACCAAAACTCGTTGAGATAGAGAACTTTGATACGATGGCACAACACATTCAGCACATACGAAGCGGATCTTGATAAGTAACTTGTCAATTATGTTCCTTCATAGGTAATTATATACATCGTGAATAAAGCGATGCTGAAACTTGGCTGTTGGAACAACAAGCGTATCACTCACTGCTTACAGCTTAAGAGTGTTGCCAGCAACGCCAACAACAGCAGACTTGACCTTGGAGGAACCGACGAGAGAGTACTTGTAAGGAATATCGGCCTTGGAGATGGAACCCTTGGGGGCCTCGTTGGTGGAGCCACCAAGAGCAACATCGTTGACGGAGATGCTGCCAGTCTCCTTGGAGTCCTTGGAGATGAGAGCTCGCTTAGCGTTGGCGAAGGCAGTAGACTCAACAAGAACCTGAGCACCCATGCGAGAGTTGACTCCGGTGACGCTGATATCCTCGTAGTAGTTGTTGAAGACGTGGACAAAGCCGAAACGGACGGAGGGGGCGCGGGAACCAATGTTGGACCAACGGTTGTTGGCGTAGGTGACGTGGAGAGTGCCCTTGTCCTCGGCGGCGTTGCTGTCCGAGTGGCCAACAAGAGAGGCCTTGTGGTGGTCGTGGAAGTAGGTGTTGGAGATGGTGACCCAGTCAGAGGCGTGGGTGACGTCGAGGAGGCCGTCGAAGAAGTCCTTGTCCTTGGAGAAGTCGGAAGAGAGCTCACAGTGGTCAACCCAGACGTTAGTGGACTTCTGGATGCCAATGGCATCACCGTTCTTAGCAACAACGTCCTTGATGGCAAGGTTGCGAACAATGACGTTCTTCTGCTTGTTGATGTAGAGACCGATGTTCTCGAGCGAAGCGCCAGCAGCACCAACGATGGTCTTGTCAGACTTGACACGGATCTTGTTGTTGCCGGTGATCTTGCCCTTGACGTAGATGACCTGCTTTCCATCCGACTCAGCAGCCTTGCTGAACTCGGCTAGGGAGGAGACGGTTGTTGTAGAACCGCCAGCACCACCGGTGGTTCCGCCATTCTGTGTGGCATAACCAATGTTGGCGGCATCAGTGATGGCAGCTCGCTTGCCGAGGGTCTTGCCGACCTCCTGGACGGTGGGAGTGGGGACGGCGCTGACCAGAGCGGCGAGGTTGAGGAGACCGAGGAACTTCATGTTGACGGTTGGTGGTGTTTATGTAAGTGTATAGACGGTGTGTTTGAAAAAAAGAGTGTAAGTCGGAGCCAGTCCGTGTAACGATTGAAAAGAGTTGGAAAGAGAGGAACGTGAAGAATGAAGGATGCAGAGTAGAGGAGATTGATAGTGGGTGGTTGTGAACCACTACTTATATATGAAGCCATCGCGGTGGACAACATTATGCCGTGCTCACTGTTATCCCTGACCTGAAGGTGAAGACGAAGATGAAGACGAAGATGACGATGGTAATGTTTCTAGGGTCCGAAACATGCCTTGGACGAATGGGATAATTCTCCGGCACGAAACGGAAGGGGCCCCGTATAAATCGGGGCCAGAGTGGGGCCCAGACCGAACCACGCGCCCGGGGGTTCGACACGTCCGGGGTCAGGTTTCGTTGTAGGAGGGGCCTTGGGGGCTTCTTAAAATTCGGGACTCCGAATAATTGGGCATTTAGGGAAACAGTTTCAAGGTTGAGGCCTGGAAGCGAGTACAGATGAGATTGATTGGAGCTGTTAGATGGCTTTTTCAGCCAACTTTTGGAATCTGTGGATACTCCATCTATTCCTTAAATTAGACTTGCAGCCAAGATCTCGTTCCTGATTCGAGCCCAAGCTTCAGGTGAGACTAAGAATAAGCTTAGAAAAGAAGCTCAGGGATATGCATATGCTATGCGTGATACCAGTGACATACTTGCTACACCAAATATTGAGAAAAGAAAACATACGAGTTACCATCACTTCTTGGTATCACAATGAATGGCACGACTCGTGCTATTGTTATCAGTAGATTAATGGTTCCCTAGAATCATGCATCTACAAAACCACGATTCCATATCTTGTCGTATATGAAACATCAGCCCAGCGTTTAACTCTACAGCTCTAGCTGCACCCACTACGGATGCATCACCAGCGTCACAGAAATTGGCGGGATCGCATCCAAAGCGCACCAAGTGTGTGCTCTGCAGTCGTTCATTGGGCGCATTACGAGATGTCGCGATATCAATCTCAGCCCCGTAAACATTTGACGGAAATATCCACTCCACGAACAAACAAGTTCGTGAACGATCTATCTCTCATAGGTGGATGAACTCTCCAAGATTGAATGACAGGCCGGGTTATGGTGTTGCATTCCCGGGGAACTTTCCGTTTCGGTGTAAGATCGACGGTTTTTGTAATGAGAACCCTTGAGCATGGCTGTTGTTGATATTATCTATTGTTCTTCAGTTCTTGTGTTTAACGCTTTGAAAAGTAACTTAATTCTTGAATTATTCGTCTTGTAGACGGCGATTTAGAAATAAAGAAACTACGTTGTGTTGTGTTCGTCTGAGTCCTCACATCATGAGCCAAAATGTAACCCTTCAACCAGTCCTCTTCCTCAACGGTAGACGTACTCTGCAATCATAGAACCACGAAAATGACCAAGGCAATACCGAGAACATCACGGGCAACTAGAACGCCCCGGTGGATCGAGGTATCTCGTGAAGCTAGGATTATCCGAGGATACCTTCAATAGCGAATATTATACGCGCATCCTGTAACAACGTGGATTATACGCGGCTATCTTCTTCACACCCACTTCTCAACTGCCTCAGGTGATACTGCTAAGTAGTCAAGCTTGACCCTGATTACCAGGTCTTTAATGAGTCTATCCCTTTCCAACCTCTTGTACGAATTATCATCATGTTGAACATCCCCTCGTACGACATCGAGCCCCTGGCGCCTCTGTCGCAATCCACTCAAGAATCTCTTCCCCTCGCAAGTCTCGAGGAATCCGCGAAAGCAGCTCTCGCACATCGTCTACAGCTAGTCCATCACAGGCCTCAACTACCTCTTCAAACTTCCGTCCGAGATTATGCTCTCCGGGGCCAAGCATTAAGTGAAGCTTGACGTTCGCTGCGCCTGCCGCGAGCCAGAGCACTATCAACTTCACTCCTGGATCACCACCGAAAGCGCCACAGCCCCAGAGCCCGGTGAAGATGGAATCACCTCCGTAAGAACTAAAGCCGTTTGTTGCCTTGCTGATCTCACGATCTATGTTATTGGGATAGAGATCAGGAAGGCCTTTGCTGGGCGAAAGCTCAAACATGTCCATCTCCAACGCATCCATAAAGATAAGACGGCCCCCTTTCCAACTCGGGAAGTCTTGACTTGGGCATGGAAAAGCACGTCTTGTCCATTCGATCTCGCGCCTTTCACCCTTCATATCTACCATTGCTCTTGCACCAGAAACACTGATGACTGTGCTGTCTATCAGATGCGGTGCTACCAGAACTACCGGATAAGCCTCAGGGGCAATACCAACGAATATGTCCTCTTGCGTGGTGGATTGACCAAAACCAATGACCTTGTTTGCAGATACAACGACAGCGCCTCCCTTTCCCTGGGCCTCGGGTTTGTGTGTGTGTGACGTGTGGGACTCCTGGTAGTTTACTTGTACTGATGCTAGCTTCACATCCGGTAATGGTGTTTGTCCGTTTGAGTGAAGCTCGTATGTGACGGCATCTCGGTCGCTGTCAGATGTAACTTGATGATCCTGCAAAAGCACTCGGGCTTCAGGTAAACACTCAAAGTATGTGAACAGAGCCTCGAGATACATCTTCACAGCGGTAGGATATCGCTGCTCCGACGAAAACCATATACTCAAATCCTGATAGCCCTCATCGTTTCTCTGAGGTACCGCCGAACAGAGGAATTGGTGCACCACAAGACAAGCGACCTGACCACGACTTAGATGTAGTGGACATGCCGGCTGAAGAAGCTCAAGCTGACCTTGAGGAAAGTAATTCGGTAGCGCAAGAGCAACATCGCGAATCTTGGGCCACACGGTATCAAGTATCTTAGATTGGTCTTGCTCCTGAAGGAACTGTCTCAAGAACCCATAGTCGTTGTCCTGGCATGTCTCTGCATTTGCAGCAATTGTCTGCAACCGGTCTATAAGCTGCACGATGCTCAATATAGGGGCACTCAGAAGGTGATGCAATAGCGGCCAAAAGGGAATTTTGCCGTTTTCGTCTTCTTCGATTCCTGCATCGTCGGGTAAGTCACTGAAGCGGTCCATGATTCGACAACATTTTGAGTTGGGGAGGAGAAATGAGGATGGCCGGGATGACATGGTGCTGGCTTAATTTAGATATTCAGTGGCAGTTCAATGGATTTATCGATCAGTAAATGGAAATAAAGAGCGATGTGTTGTTATTTATTTGTGTTGCTGAAGACTTTCTTGCTCTTCACTCAAAGATGAGTCTTCGCCGATAGACCCCTCACCTCAGTCTAGTCATCCACAATGGAATTACACAGCGAAGTTTAGTCAAACCCTTTCAACCAGAAAAGAAACACTACGTCGTTATTATGTAGAAGTTTATACTACAGAGGCGAAGTAGTTACTCTTTTAATACATGAAGACCCCCATTCATGTACTGTACAGTTAAGCAAATTGGTTGGCACTGAGTCTCTTGACTTCAGCTGAGGTTTCCTAAAGTAAATGAAAACGACGCGCAAGTAACTGTAATCAGCTGCAGACTCCTAAACCATTTAGTCATATCCAACAACTGACAATACGACTTTGTAGCAGAGCAGTTTCTGAGTCCTATACAGTACATGGGAGATTTGGTGGGTGAGTGTCTTTGTCATGCAGGAGAGAATGATAGTGGAGGGTGACAACCTTTGTGTACCTGCATATCCGCTCCCCCAGCCAAAGAAGGCCTATCCCTTTGCGATCTAGATCTAGATCTATCTATACCTTGAGAGCGAGTCTTAATGCAAGAGTGCTTTCTGTCAGCTTATCATAACGATATAGTCTCCAAGGCCACACCATGAATTAGCTGCCCACCCTAGACTGAGACGTCCATCAACTTTTTAAACAATAACAGCCATGTCTCACTCCCATCCCTTATCCATCCAAGAAAGCGACGTGTCAGACACTATCTTCCAAGTCATCTTATTTGCCAAGCCAAGCACTTTAATCTCCCTCAGTTTGACGATCCAAGATAAGGCCAAGACTGCAGCGTGCACCTAATCTGAATTGTCTCGGCGCTGATTGGTACCTAGGTAACAAGTTGTCAATATATTTGCTACCCGCCCTTACTACTAAGCAATAATAGCCTTTCTTTGTTACACGGCCCTTGCATATCGTTGCTCCCCTCTATTGAAGTAGCCAATGTCTTGATTGCTTGGCCGCATGCGGGCAGCGTCAGCAGGGAAATGACCGTCTGCAGCACAAATCTCAAAAAGCATGTCACAGGGAACAGGCAGCCCGAGTCAATCGTATTCAGCAAATGTAATGCTTTCATTCTCTTCTTGAAAAAGAAGATATCTATCTGCAAAAAAGGTATCGTGCGCGTAAAAAAAGCATCCAATGACGTCGCTGCGTCATGTGTAATCCAAAGGTAGTAATTCATCCAAGCCGTGTCTTCTTCCGCTGTCCATGTCAATCAATCATGTCTATATCTAATGAAGCATTCGTAGAAACAAACAAACTTCATCCACCGCCGTCGTCGTCCCCTGCCTCCTTGCCAAGTCCGAGACCCAAAGCAAATTGGGAGCCAAGGCGCTTGGTCCAGGAGCTGCGGGCACGAGAGAGAGCAAGGTCCTCATTAAAAAAACGCTAGGTTGTTCAAAAACGTAAATGTTTGCTTGCCAAGAGCCCTCTTCCATGTATCAGTTTTTGTTGTTTTTTCTCAAGCATCTTTTTGCTCTGCCCGTCTCTTTCTTTGTCGTGAAGTCGCCCTCATTCCAAAAATCCTTCCGAGTGATAAAAAGGTTGGGTTGCCTTGGCAAGCATGTAAGGATCGACTCGAAGTAAGATTATTAGAATGGACTGCTCTCTGTATGTAGGTTGGTCATGCCAACTCTACGTCGTCGTGATCCCAGAATCGTAAAGTGTAAAATCAGAGTCGAAGGTTTAGATCAGGATCTGGGCGAGCATGAGGCCAGCAACGGCGGCAACAACGTTGCCAGCCATGCGAGAGCCAGAGTTGACGGGAACTGGTGTAGTACCGCTGGGAAGGTCGGTGACTGTGGCCGGGCCTGTAGCTGTGGCAGCACCGGCGCCAGAGTCAGCACTGGAGCCAGATCCAGAGCTGGATCCGGAACCCTCAGTAGCCGTAGCAGCAGCTTCGGCCTTTGTGCTGGCAGCAGCCGTAGAGAAGGTAGTAGCAACCTCAGTGGTCTTGGTCTCCTTGACAGACTCAGTCTTGGATTCCTTAGCAGACTCAGTCTTGGATTCCTTGGCAGATTCGGTCTTGGACTCCTTTTCGGCAGACTTGGTCTTGCTCTCAGCGACACTGGTGGTCTCCTCGGCCTTAGAGGTGGTGGTAGCCTCGTGGGTCTTGGTCTTGGTGGGCTCGGCAGTCTTAGTAGTCTTGGAGACCTTAGAGACGGTGCTGCTGGTGGTCGTCTCTTCCTCGTCGTTGCCGGAAAGGGTGTTCTTGACCTTGATGCTAGTATAGCTACCAGACTTGTCGCTCCAGACGTACTCCTTGGCACCCTTGGCTAGTCCAGGGGCGTCCTTTCCGGCGTAGTCGATGATGGTGATGCTCCTGTAGTAGGCATTGAAAGGCGCCTCCTTGAAGTTGGTGTCTAGATAGCATCAACGTTAGTCGGTTGTCCAAAACGAAGCAATTCCGTTCGACTTACAGCCTCCTGCCCATTCCCGTGTGCCTTCGTTGCTGTTCTTTCCACCGGCAACCCATGTACCAATCTTCAGTTGCATTGGTGTTTGAGGCATCTCGTAGCCGGGACGGGTGGCATCGGCAGCGTTCAAAGTACGGACAACGACATCGTCAATAAGCCAGTCAACCTTTGTTGATGTCCATTCGACAGAGTATTTGTGAGTAGTTGAAAGAGGAGCAGAAACAGGGTGGTAGATAGCACGGTCGTAAGTGGTGGTGTCCCCCTTGCTGAAGTAGTTGGTCTGGACCTGGGCATCGTCACCCCCAACCATCTCAAAATCGATCTGTTTATTGAGTTAGTACAATGTTAATGAACTCGGGTAAAGTGTTTGGACATACCTCGTCAAGGTCATCAGACTGAAGGACAACACTGGTGACAATACCTTGACCCTTGGCCGCCTCCATGACGATATCGACACGACCAAAGAAAAGGTAGTTGTTAGATCGAATTGTGGGAGCGTCAGTCTCCTTGTTAATGGTGAAAAGAGCTCCTTGCTCGCTGTATTTGAGGTTGGTTCCAATCATGCTGTGGAAAGCGTCGCATTCACCCTTGGCGAAGTCGCACTCGACCTTCTTGTCACCAAAAGCAGGGTTAGGAGGACAGGCTGCAGAGTGGTCAGCAAATTGTGAATTCATATATGGTGAGTGTTCACTCACTCTTCTTCAATGGGTTGCAGTCTGTGAAGGTCTGAGCAGAGACCATGCCAGCACAGGCCAGAGCCATGGCGGCAGCGGAGAAAGCCTTTGTGAACATTGTGTGGTGTATGTATTTGTGTGTAATGTAGTTGTTTGCTGTTGCTGTTGTATGCTTGTTGAATATTGTGAATCTCAATGTGTCGAGCAGTTGTGCAGAGGCGTCTGAGTGAAAGTTTGACGGCCACTTGTAAGCTGTATAATTGGTTTAGGTGTATGTACCTGAGTGAGAGTGGTTGATAATAAAAGCAGCCGGAAACAGAAAAAGGTATTAAAAAGGTGTGATGATGACTGGGAGGAAAAGAGAGGTCGTCCAAAACGAGAGACTGGAAACGGTGATGTTTTAATGGTAACGCCCTCTCGGTCTCGGCGTCTGGAGACTGAGACCAGAGATTAGAGAGACCCTGGGACTGAGAGAGAGGCGCTTCGGCTCCGGTGGATCTGGAGGAGCCTCAAACCCCTGACCCTGATCCTTGAACAAGCCAAGGGCAACCGAACATCCGCCAAGATGGTGCTAACTTAGAGGCTAGAGCTGGGCCCCTGTTATGCCGTAGTGAGGTTCCGGTTTCGAGCGAGACAGGACATGACGAGACAAGACACGAGCATTGGAGGAGAGACACATGTGCCTAAAACTCGCCGAGATCCAGAAGCGTCCAGTCCCGTATTGTAGCTCATCATTTGTCACTTTATGTGTGTATGGATGTAAATTTAGAGTGCTTAGACAAGGTTAGATGTTGAGGAATTTGAGATGGTTGCCTCCAAGATACCTTCCAGAAAAGTTGATGGTTGTTCCTCAGCCACTTATCACTTATTGCTGTGGCTACACAACGCACAAGTAACCAGATATTTCAGCAGTGTGACATCCACCGCCTGAAATGTAACTATTTAGATATTGATAGCCATCAGACTGTCTTTGACGAAATGAAAATTGCGGCACGCTGATCTTGGCTGTAGGGTGCACCTAAGCACTCATCTACTCTGTACCTGTACTTGTACCTCTACACTGAAGCGACTGACTGGGCGAGATACGGATTCGTACAGGGCAGGGTCATGTCCGTTCGTACTGATAAGTTTAGCCTCCTTGGCTCCTCAGCTCCCTTGTCAGTCAGTCACGACGGACTCGATGAAAGACCCGTCGTGATCTACTCTGGCTGTGACCGTGGCAATCAGGTGGAGATACGGATGGAGAGAAGACAAAGATTGATTGCCCGATGACGTTGTTAGTTTTCGCTCATCCTCGTATATGCTCAGATCATTCTTGCTCGTATATCTTTGTTGGTGATGGTCAACAGAGTTCTTCTGGAATCTAGAGCTGAATTCCTCATGACGAAGCTGCAGTGGCGGTCTTTGCCATATGCAGCGGTAGTGCAGCAGCAGCAGCAGCAGCAGCAGCAGCGCCAGTCGGAGCCACGCAGTTCCTGGCGATCACCCTCCTCTGACACGCAGCGTCTTGCATCCCACAGCGTATCGCTTCTGGTTTCGGAAGTTAGTAAGAGAAGAAGGCAGGAGAAGCGTTATTGAAATTCCAGAGCAGGGCTAGATACGAGGACCACCGTAACTCGCCAACCTTTCACCGCAATGCAAATAAGTTCAGTATGAGTCTCTCTCTCTCTCTCTCTCTTTCTCACTCTTTCACTCTCGTCAGTTCTCGGCAAGATATCCGGTAGTCATTCGAGGGACTGATAAGGGAAATGGGGGAACAGGGGCAGGCCAAGACGAGACGAAAGGTGGAGATATGACAGACGAGAGACGAGAGGCGCAGACCATCTCGGGCAACCCTAGCCCCTAGCTTAGAAGGCCATAGGCTAGACGCCCCTGGACTGGACCCCTGAAAAAGCTGCCTCTTTAGGGAGTAGGCTCTTGTCAGAAAGTGTCGCACAGCATTTGGTTCATGCATGCATGCAACCAAACGGCGAAATCCTCCTTCAAATCCCAGGGTTTTGGTTTAACTACGCCCAACTCAAACTACCAAGTAGACCACCAAATAGACCACTAAATAGACTACCAAATGTCCGACATGTCTTTTTAAAAAACTCCATGTTGGGTCATGGCAGAACAAAACACACGAAATTACTCCACGATAAGCTGCTTGGCGTATGTCACTAGCCAAGTCACTCGCTGTTTGTCGTCTGATTGCGCATCGTATTCCTGCAGTAGCGAGTCACTAAATTGCTTCTCTGTATTGATTTCGCCCTGCATTCATTCATTCATCTTCCATATCTTTTGCCCTTGCTTAGCCCTGTCAGTGCCCAAGTACCTCTCACCCATGCTCACCTCCATCTCCATCTGCCCTAATGCTCTGCTTTCTCCATCTTTTCAAAAGAGTCCGTGTTGATCGAGAAAGAAAAAGGCCATAGCGAAAACATTGAAATTTAAAATCGACCCGCCTCGACGTCACTTTCTCCCACTGACACACGATCCATCCATGTTGGCACAGTAGCATAGCTTTTAGCCTCCCAATGCGGCGAATAAAAAAAGATAAGGTACTCCGTAAAAAGAAAAAGACAAGAAAAGAACAGAAAACACGAGCCGCATCACGAGGTCTTGCTACACGATAGATGAGGTGCTCTACACCTCAGAACTCAACTTAGCACCCGACACTACTGTCAATAGAGTATTCTAATTTTACCCCTTCGCCCTCGCCTTGGCCTACCTGAGCCTAGCCTTAGCCCTTGGCGACACCGTCGACCTTTTTTTTTGTTTGTTCGTTTTCAGTTTAGCATGCAATTGCCGCTCTGCCGCTCTTGGTCGCTGTGCAGATCATACAGCCCAAATCAAATAACTCCTTCAAGCTGGACGGACCTTGAGCTCGAATCAAGTGCCCTCCCGTCCCTCTCATGTAACGCTCGATCTGGCCCGCGGCCTGTCCTTAATTGCATAAATTAGGTTTTATTGTAATTCAATCTTCTTGACATTTAGACATTGATGGCTTGTATCACTTTGTTTCCTTCTTGGTCACCAAATCCTTCGTTTCACCTTGTCGCACCTCACGTTGGGGTGGAAAACCGTGGCTGTTTGCATAACAGCTCTCCCTTATTTGACACAGACATGTGAAACTGCGGCGTTATGCCTAACAGTTTGTCTCAGCGAGTCTCAGCGAATGAAACTGCTAAGAAGAAGACATCCAAGTTTCGGGCTCTAATTCAGCAGTCAGCACTGACTTACGGCTGCGTACTCATCAAAGTACAATCATGCCACACGAGAGAATGTCATCCATGATCCATCAATGCCTGTCTTGCAAATCCTCATCTCAGACATTTTTCTTTGCTTTTTTGCTCATCACATCCGTCTATCTCAGATCCTTACTCTCCTTGCATGCCAAGCCGAGACCCCCCTTGCCCTAAACCAACCCCGGGTTTCAGAGTTCGAGATGCTTATCGAACCATCCAATCGAAGGGGTTCAATGTCTGAATAACCCTTTGGTAGAGGAACTTTGACGCGCGGTTTTCCTGGAGCATCCCAAACATTGGCACTTTCCATGTCGAGGGATTAGTCGATCATTGACCTTCTTGAGAAGACACGAGGTGATCGACCATCTCGGTTTGTCCGGCGCTTTCAGCCTATTTCATGACCTACAGTTTATCTAACTGCGGTTTCTTTCCGCTTCACCTTGTGATTTTTTCATTCAACTCGTCTAGATGGCCAGGCACTTAGCCGGTCACTGTCATGTAGAGTCAACCCCATAATTTCATCACCATTGTGGTTCCCTTCGCTAATGATTGACACATGTCCAACCCTGCATGGTGATCTTAGCACCTAAAATCTTCAACGTTACTTACTCTAACAAGTATCGATAATCCAGATTGATATCACTCATGGAAGGATATAGAAGCCGAACGGATCACCAATATGTTGGAACTTGGTCGTTGGTTCACATATCTGATATGCAAAACAAATCTTACACTTCGAAATCATGCCCTCGTAACCCGAGACGAAACGGCTGCGTATCATATCATCCCCCTTTTCGAGTATCACATGAGATATACGATCCTTATGCTGCCAGGATATCACATCATACAAAGGTCCATATATCTGAAACCAGGTTATACGACATGCTCATTACAGAAATGGGTGATCCTCAAGTTTAGTCTTCTACCCCAGCCTTCTTGTTGGACTTGCCAATACAATAAAGGCAGGAGCTTAAGTCCGTCAGATCATGCAATTACAATCGGTAGTTGTGAGACTTGGCAGAAATCGGTATGGCGGTTGTCCTCGATGAGCCTTATCAGTGACAGTATTCGTAGAGCGTGCAAGGACAAAGCAGAGGGGCCAACTGTTGGCTATATGGATAATGAATCAATAATGCCGTGTATGTGTAGACACATAGTGCACAATGTTTCCCTCTTCTGTTAAAGAAGGCTGTTTCTTTTGTACCGAAGCCGAAAGATTCTCATTGTATTATAAGGACACTTGGAATTCATGAAATACTATGGTATCAAGCGCGGTTTGTTTAGAACATCGAGGTACTTTACCACACGAAGTGGGGGAGACCACGGAAGGAATATTGAATTCATTCTAAGTTGCCTTTGGAAATTCGTCTATAATTACTGCAATACCCTAAACAACAGATTTCGTGACTATGTATAACAGAGTCTGTACCATCCGCTTGTCAGAATGAAGTAGCGTGACAAAGAAAGTAAGGAGATGTAGGGTAGCTGTCACTGGAAGGGCAAGCTGTAATAGAGATTTGGTGAAGACGAATGCGACTAGTATTCGGTCGAAATACGCAACAAGATATATATCTATAGAAATCTATGGCAATGAAATGTATATTGGAAGAAGTTCTGTCAATGAGATAGTGGTGGTCGTGTTATATGTGAGTGTCATGAATGGTTTGTGATCACTGCCTAGATCGGCCAATGGCATGCAAAGAGCCCAACATCACCTCCAAAGGTCTACACCACCACTATGGGTCATACCCTACGACGAAGTCTCAATTTTCCGCTATCTAGCTGACTGCGCAGAGAGCTATGGACCATCTGCAGGCGTCAGATCTTGGAGCCAGAGTCCGTCATGTGGTTCAGATATAGCCTGGCTCGGATCGAGACTGCACAAGGCACAGATATAACCCGCATCCTTGGCTCAACATAGATACTCTCGGCTCCTGTGGCGCCTTCAGTCTGTGCCTTGCATAAGCTAAGACGGTGCTGAGGGCGGGAGGGACGGAGATCTCGGCACGCTCTGCATGGATGAGCAACGACTAACATGTGTAGGCTGAAAATTATGAGTTCCTGCATACCATTCAGACTCTTCAATATGTTGTGAAAGGTTTTGTATTGTGGATCTCCTAACTGCGCCTTACTTGTCTTTGATCTGTGAGTACTACGCAATACTCCGAGGGATGCTTGTGTGAGGAATATGTACATAAGAAACAAGAACCAATGCCATACCACTCCAACGACAGCAAGATACAAGGCCTCCAATGTACAATGTCGTCACTTCCCCAGATCTCTTTGTCTATCATGCATTCCCGGCAGAACGGATCGAATACCCCTGCCTGTCACGATATGTCACGATCATGCAGGTTCCAGTTGACAGCTGCATGAATCATGGCTGCCCATGTCCGACCCTGTTCGGCTGCTTCACATCACGATATTCGCCTCTCCTCAGCCCAGTGACATCTTATGACCACTGACTATCCAACAAGAGACCATTATAGCTCCAGAACGATAAATCCCATGCATCATAAGACCTTGAGAATAGCTAAAGTGGTTACAGCCTTTTCTTTCAAAAACCGTTGATCTAGACCTAGTGGCGGACGACTTTTTCTCGCAAACGGGTCCAGCGGTAGTTTGACCAAGGCAGCCTCTTACACCGCAACTCAGACGGAAAAACTGCCCTGTTTGGTTTTCCCTTTCACAGACCGCTCCCCTCCCTCAAAGGTTCATGTCCAGCCAGTAAAGCTTGTAGCCACATTTGCCTCAGCATGAGACCGCCAGACTGTTACGACGGTTAAAGACGTTGACGTCACCAAAAAGACGATCGTGGCGTTTAGGACCGTTAGCAAAGAAGGCTTCTAGTGTCAGGGGAGCGGTGACGTCTCTTTTCTCTATTGGGGGAGGGACTGTTGGTCTTGTAAACGTTTGGGCTGAGGATTCGCCGGATTTGGACAAACGTGGGACAACGGTCGATTTGTTCTAGAATAGACGTTGATGTAAGTCGTAGAGTCACATAGAGAGAGTATTCGATATAAATACAACTATAATGGGACGATGATACTTGATTTATTGTCTCGATATCAGTCTTTTATTCACTCGTTCATTCACCTTCTTTCAAAATGGCCTGGCCAAAGTCTCTCATTCTTTTGCTTGCTGCTTCGAGCATTGAAGGCGTCCAGGGCGGTCCTTGCAAGCCTCGTTCGCCCAGCTCTTCTGTTCCAGTCTATTCGGAGCCCAGTTACAGTATACCAATCTACAGTATAACTACTTATCCCGTACCTGTAACTGAGTCTACCAAGACTACCACACTCACTTCTTCAAATACCAATGCGAGATCATCTACCACCACACAAAGTCCGGCATGGAACTCAGAAACTACCTCATCCACTCTTTCAAAAACCTCTACAGAGTCTACTGTCTGGACCAATACCGAAAAGTCATCAACTGTCACTTCCCATGAAACATCCACAAGCACCAGAGCTGCATCTTCTGGCACTTCCACTATGTCTTCCATTTCTACATCTGGTTCAGTCTCTACAATCGTGACTATAAGCCACCCTACAATAACCATTATCAGTTTGGAGACGTCCAAGGACACTTCAACAACTACCAAGGGAACCTCTTCCACAACAAAGAGTAACACTTCCACTCGTTCAACAGAAACCAGTGCTTCTCGCACAACACAGAATATTTCTACTGCTTCCACATCGACCGCTAGCTCTGGCACCACAGAGACTTCTACGCTCGTTTCGACTTCTGTCACTATAAAGTCATCCGACATCACAACTGGATCTACATCCACCAACTCTCAGAGCAGCTCGGCTACAACGAGCACCACTGTCACACATGATACCACAGCTTCTTCAAGTACTACCACAGGATCTACTACTTCTGCCTCTACAAGTCAAAGCAAGACATCAGAGACTTCAATTTCTTCAAACACATTGATTTCCACCACAGCGACCTCAGCTACAAGTGAGATTACTTCTACGACACACAGCACCACAGCCTCATCTAGCATTGAGACTTCAAAAACATCAGAGTCTTCAGGAACCACCTCGGTTTACTCTACTCCCGAGACTTCATCATCAGCCAGCTCCTGGGTTTCTACAACTGAGACTGTGACTTCCACCACTGGAGCTTCAACATCTACCGTTGGATCTTCAAGTCAGACCAGCACTTCTGCTTCATCTGAATCTAGCGCCTCTAGTACGGTCTCTTCTACAGCCAGTACTTCTTCGTCATCAGTTACATCCATCACATCCACATCCCAGTCTTGGACCACATCTCAGAGTTCAACCTCAACGTCCTGCTCAACTTCTACAACGTCTGAGTCTTCAAGTAGCACTTGGACATCAAGTGAAGCTAGTACCTCTACCAGTGTGAGCTCTACCTGGACTACCTCTGATTCGAGTACCTGGAGCACGACCGAAGCATCAACCACAACAACCTCCTGTGGCACTACGGTTGCTTCAATTTCTTCATCTTCAGCCACATCACATAGTTCAACGACTTCAGCATCTTCGGCGTCTTCTACAACCATCTCTGAGCCCTCGTCCAGCACTACAGGAACTTCAACTTCAACTTCATGGGCACCTCCAACCTCTTCGACAATCACATATGGATCTTCGACCACCACATTATGTACCACCTCCATACCCACAATTCTCACCAGCAAAACCGCAACCTCCAGCGGTACAACCACATCCCCACCATCGTCGCACCCAACTTGCTTCCGCTACACCCTCCATAACGATCCACCTCGCCCTGCAGACTGCGGCCACACAGGTCATCGCAATGGCAAGAAGGCCAATGTCATCGGCCAGGGTGATTCGGAGAGTGTTGAGAACTGCGGGCAGAGTTGTGATGAGACAGAGGGATGCCAGGCTGTTGTTTACGGTTACCGGAACCATGACCTGAACCAGCCTTTCTGTGATTTGGTTGATGCGCCTCATGGTCGTGATGATGGGGATGATACGCCGTGGATGTGGTACGATATGTCTTGTTTCAACCCAGATTGTGTCCCTCCGCCGGGATATGAATGTGGCTATTAGATGGAAGAGATTTGTTAGTCTGTAACTCATCAAACCTGTATTTATAGTTAGATTTCCTTTGTCTTTCGCCACAGCGTTGTTTAGTTTGTATATACCACTTGAATACCTAGCACAATTGTTCCTACATAAACCATGTCGCATGTAAAATCTCCAGTCAAAACAATTCTATAATCTATAGCATTCGTGTAAGTTACGTCTTCTTCCTAAGCTTATCCAAAGTTATCAGGCCCAAAATACTCTCCTGGGGCAACGGTCTTGAGTAAACATGATTGAGTCCCATCACATCCCTCAAACGGAATTCTATTTCCCCACCAGTCGAGGTTGATATCATTGTATTGCAAAGCAAAGAACATGAACAGCGCCGATAACGCAACGCCAGCCGAGAGAGCAACCGAGAGGATATAGTTGTACTATCAATGGTCAGTCAGATAATGAGTGTACAATAGAACATGTTGTTTAAGACAAACCTTTGCCCAGAAGGCGAGATAACGCTTCCTGATATACATCCACGAGAGCCAGCCAATAGGCACAGCAGGCCAGATATAGCTGAGGTTATATGGAGCCCAGACCATACCACCTGCAAGAAAGACAACTGGGTGAGTGCCTCGAACGAGCTTGTTTTTGGGGTATTTCCTGCCAAGCCACCAAAAGATAAGGACTATGGCTACACCTAAGGGAAAGCCCACGAGGGCCTCGATATATTGGCCTCCATTGCCGAAGAGCTTTTTAGGCCCGATGGTTCCCCAAAGCACCGCCGCTGTAAAGAAGTTGTTCAGACCAGGACATGTGAAACGATAGGGGGCATCAGGTGTACACACTCCCTCCAAGTTTATCTGATACTGAAGAACACCAACAGATACAAGTGTCGAGACAAGTGTAGGGACTATCTGTGCCCAGAAAGTGAACCGCGGCGGTATCTTGAGGTAATGTGCCAGCTTCAGATCAGCGCTGAAGGCAACTGCTTGGGTGCAAGTTGTGAACCCGAATGTCTTGAAGAAGCACATCGCAATGGCATTTCCCTCAACAAAGGAACCCCCCAGAAACTCAGCTATCACGTTGAGAGGGACTGGCACCCCTGTTGTGGCGGATATGATGCCGACGGGGACAACGAAGATGAGACTGAGGAGTATGCCGAACAGCACAACTGCTGGCGTGGTATTCGTAGGCCATTGGGAAATACCGACGATCCCAATGATGAATGCTATTGCGAGACACACGAGGTACCACCATTCAGGGACTTCTCGATAGGCTTTCATTAGCCGACTGTGCGCATCAAGCACCTGTCCGTCCTCGAAATCTTTTCGTTTTGACGGACGAAAACTGTTGATGAGGTCTTTGAAGCCAAGGATTATCTGGTGGTGGTGGTAAAGAGCACCATAGGTAATGGCTGCTGTATATATGGCGAAGAAGAAGATATATGAGCTAAGATGAGCAGCTGTTAAGAATGCAGGTGAGTATGCCTCATACTTCTTAGGGTCGAATATCCCTCGCTCATCTAGAATGGCAGACACATTGTATAATCCACCAAAATGATCAAACACGCGATTCGAGTTGACAGGGAGGTAGGCCGTATGAAAGGCATTTCCGTAGTAAACACCAACGATAAGAAAGAAGCTGAGCATTGAGCCACAAAACAAATTGAAAGTGGTGAAGAACGGTACCATAAGGGGATCGCAGGCCATAGAAACTATGTTCCAGTCCAGTGTTGGCAGAGGGTTGAGGCCAAGCCCAGTATGCCCACCTGTGATGATAGCCAGATCACGATTGTTGGGGGCTATCCAGGTCATCCAGCTGAACCAACTCAGCCCTGCAAAGAGATAGTTTGGAAGCCAGAAATAGGCAAACATTGCACCAAATGCGATACTGAAGAACTTGAAGCGAGACATATTCCAGATCTTCTTGAACGGACTAGGAACAGGAACGTCACCTTCGTCGTGAAGTGCTGTATTCAAAGCTATACAGACCAAGGTTGTCGGCCATAGACAATAAGACGGGTAGACGAGAAAACGTCTACACAAACCAGCGAGACCATATCCGATGAAATTGGACGAGAGTCCTAGCAAGATCTGATATCCAATACTGATGGCGTAAGGCTGATTGAAGTAAAAGGGAAGGTACTGTATCCAAACAACGTAGTTCGTATAAGGCGACGCCATGGAGATACTCGCCATGATAGTAATCAGCATATGTTCCTTCTTATTAAATACTCCGGGATTGAGACCATGTCTCACTCCGAAGAGAGTAACGCCCATGTCAGGAAGAGTCTTCTCAAGAAACTTGCCAAGAGGGTAGGCCAAGAGCTGAGGCACAACAACGCTAACACTGATCATGGGCTGCCGGATCTCGAAGAAGCTGTTGATAAAGGTGACTGCGCACGAGAAGATGAGGCCCACAAACCAGGCGCGGATCGTAGAGCACGGCAGGTTTGGGTCGTCGTGGTTGTCGACTATTGCGCGGACTTCAGCATACGGTGAGTTGTGTGTGATCAAGGCTGTTTCAATCTTGATCTCTTGGATGAGCGCTTCATGGCGCTCTGGATGTTGCAGAACATCGTCGTTATCTATAGATGCAAAGGTAAGTTACCATCAGATTGATAGTCACAGGAAACCTACTTAGGAATGCTTCGATCTTGTTAATCACAGAGAGTGGGAAATTGGGATCTCTTTTATGAAGCTTGTATACTTTCTCCATTGTCTAAAGCTGTCAACACTCCTCAATCCTAAAGCAAATGCAATGAACCTACTTTGTGGACATCTTCAAGGGATAACGTAGCCGCAACCTCTCTTGCTTCAAGCAAATCATCCTGGGTGACGTCAAGGCCTCTTTCAAAGCCACGCTCACATCCAAGTGACTCCTGCGATTCGGGGAGTATATCATTACGAGTCTGAGATAGAAGAGAGGTTAGAGCAAGATACAATTTACACACAGGAACCAAAACTGACTGTATCTGTTATTTCGACAGCCGAATTACTCGGCGGAGCCTCCAACTTTTGCGCCAACTTCGCCATAGGGATGTAGTGTTGGTAATCATACACATGAGTATTGGGGAAGACGTTAGACACAATTTACGACTTTCTTTTAAACTTCTTCCGTCTGGTATAGAATATGCGGAGGTGGAGTTGAGCGCTGATGTCACCAATTGGTTTTGTGTTTATGACTATAAGATTAGAAATATACAAAACCCCCAACTTCTAAAGTCCGGGGAGAGTGACGGCTACGCGGTGTCTATCATAGATCCAAGGATCCATTACCACCCAAAACTTTACACTGCCCTGCCCTGAGGCTTACCACGCGCCAATAAGCTGGCAATTCTTCAGCCCAAGGTGGCAAGTGACAGGGCTCGGCCGCTACAAGGGTGAAGTCTATCTCGGCTTCACGATTGCCAGGCTGACTGCGTTTTCACATGATGTTACTAAGCTCCTTATAAGAATTGACATGAACTGCATTACCAAGATATTTCGATAACTTGATAGGCAGCAGTAATGGGACTTGGTATTGATATTCTGGTGGTAGATCATGGCATGGCATTGGTCAGCCCTACTGGGGACTACACCAGATCCACATCACCATATTTCAACCAACATCATTATCAACACCAGTCAATCATATGTTACTCCGTACACAGTGCAGTAAAGTCACGTATGTCGTCAAACGACGAAATGATCCCAGGACAGCAGTCGCAATGACAGTTCTTCAGTATCAACGTAGGGTGGTAGAACATGAATCGATGTGCAACACATTGTATCAGAGTTTCCACCTAACCTGAGGGATGCAACACGCCTTCAAAATGGCATCTAATTAAGGCAAAGATCTACAGACATTCACGTGCAAATGGCAATATTTTTTTTAACGTGAAGATAAACAATTTGATTGACAGATAGGAATCAATGAAACCTGATTAAAACAAATAAACAAACCAACGTGATCCCGTGTTGGCGAAAGAAAGAAATTCCACTTTTAATCCATTATTGCATACCGGATTGCGCAAGCGCGATCCTCTTCCAGTGGTCGCGTTCAGCTTCCAACTTGGCAATCTTGTCCTCCAGCTCTTCCATCTTCATGGCCTTGCGCTCTCGAGACTTTCGTGCCGCAAGAGTGTTACGGGCACGCTTCATAGCGACAGTGTCGCTAGGGTCGTCGATGATGATAGGAGGCAGAGGCTTGTCTCGCTTGCGAGCGTTCACACCAGCAACCGAAGAGTGACGGGTGGAAGGAGAAGCACCCGACTTTCGGCGGCTAGGAGGGGGAGACTGGCTATCTGACTCCAATTCATCAGACTTCTCCTCAGGGGAGCTCTCAACAGTTGACTGCACAGGAGCAGCAGAAATCTCCTGCTGGGGGAACAGGGGATACCAAGGGTCTGCAGCTGTGTCAAAGTCGGCGTTGCCGAAGTTGGGAGACACATCATATGCATCAGTGAAGTCAGGAGACTCATTGTAAATAGATGGTGAAGTCAAAGCCGTAAGGGCTGATGAGTTAGGTGCGGACATGAAGGAGTCGTGGACAAGAAGATCATGGGGCGAGATTGTCGCCAAGTTGGCATTGCCGCTAAAGTCAAAGACAGAGGCAACGGCAGGCGAGGAGAAGGCCGTGTTGGCCCCGCCCTCGAAGGCGGTGAACTCTTCGAGTTCGACGTCTGATAATGGTGAGCTAGTGTGACTATGTGGAAGATGAAAGTGGTACAAACCTGCAGCGTTCATCATCTTGGCGGTTTGTTGAGGGACACTTCCTGTACTCTGAGAAAAGAGGGGGACCGGAGGTCGGGCAGGTCGATTCTGCTTATTCAACGTAGTGGACGATGATGGGGCCGAAGAGGCGTAAAACTGGTTCGTAGGGCGATTTACAGTAGAGGGAGATTGACCAAAAGCCTGGAGCAACTGGGCGACTCGTTGATTCTGGACAGCAGGCGAGAGAGGCTGTTGGCGACGGTTGAAATGTGACGAGTGACGACGCTGGTTTGGCAGCGAGGTAGTTGACCGATTAGGGTGCTGAGGCTGATCGAACAAGACAAAGTCCTGCTGTGGTGTTTCGGGACTCTGTAACTGTTGCGCGGGTGGTGCCGGCAGGCTGGAATTCGTGGAGGGAAGCCATGGTGACTGGGGATCCGTGGTGAAGACTGGAAAGTCTAGGCCTGAAATGTTGGCGGTTGTGAGGGAACTGGAGCTGAAGCTATTCAAAGCAGTGCTAAAGTTCAGGTCGACCGTGAGGTGAGCTGAACGAGGAAGTTGAGTGGGGATTGGTGTGTTGGGGTCCTGGGACGTAATTTTGACTGAGGACTGAGGAATAACGGGGGAAGGGGGTGATTTAGAACATCTTTGCGATCGCTTTGGGCTGTATACTGTAGATGTTATTTTGTGATTGAATTTTGGGGGTGAGGAGAGGAAAGGAAAGAAGAGAAAGCCTCAGGATGGGAAAACATTGACAATTTGTATTTCTCAGGCAGCAATCCAGCGAGGGTTTGTGCGTGCTGGAGGATGGTACGGGCTGGGAATTGCGGGGCAAGGTTTAGCACTAACAAAAATTGCCTCAAAAGGGCCTACTTGGGTTGTGTTCTCGTTAGACACCCATCCACGTTTCCAAGTATTCCAGTAAAAGCGCGCCCTTCGGACAGACATGGGTCCGGGCAATGAGTCACACTTTTCCGCGCTAACTTTATCCAGATTGGCCGGCAATTCTGGTGCAACCAATTCTGAGACGGCGCATCCTGCGGCGGCCCTGCGCAAAAGCACCCAGCCTCCACCACAACTGCGACTGCCCGTGCAAGCCTCAAGGGGAGCCTGTCGAGTCCTGTCCTGGGGCTTCTGTTTGTCTGCTCTGCCACTACGGTCGCTGCGTTGATGCTGGCGCAGACCTTGGAACTAGCGGAACCTCCTCCCCCGTAAGCAACCAGTTGTCCCCCTGCGACTAAACTTCTGATTGGCCGAATCGCCTTTCGCCCTGTTGACCTGGTTGTGCTTCTGCCAATCATCGTCTATTGACGGGTACCAAAGCCGTGGTTTCAAAGTTCCGTCTAGCATCCTGCCAGGTCAACGACAACAACCAGTCTCATGTAACGAGTTGCTGCAGCTGACGAAGGCAGTGATGAAGACGACAACAAATCCCATACTACGTGGTCAACAGGGGAAGAAGCAGCCGCGCATTCATCCATCCCCTATTTGTCCGTTTCCTTGTCTCAGTCCGCCTACTAATCTGCCTACGGCCCGCAGAGCCAGCTGCTACATGCCTCGCGGCCTTGATCGGAATCGGTCAGGAAAGTTGGCGGTGGGTTTTTTCCCTCAACTATTTCTCCGTCTTATTCTAACCGTTCTAGCCGATCGCAAATTCACAGTAAAAGGTACAGTAGATGAAATGAGAGTTGCTGTATGTTTCAATCTCATTACACTGTGTCAGATGAAATATCTCTTTCTTCCATGTCAGCCGCAGCATTGCCTTTCGTATTTGAACCAGGGAGGCGGCCCTAGGCTTGAACCATCAATAAGCCATTATTTGGTGAACATGGGCTGTGCCTGAATTGAGGCCTTCGCAAATCCGCCCAGTCGTATCGCTATTCTGCCTTTCCGAATTCCATCCATGGGAATGTCCTAAAATCGGCTTTGTGGTTTTGCGTATACGTATCGAGTTCCTGGTTCCCAATTCTGGTTCCTAACTTTTGAGAACAGTTGCCGCGAGATAAGGATCCCAATTTTACTGCTTTATCGCAAACCGACTCATAAGCGGCATCCCAATAGCGTCTCATAAAGAAGTGGGTGTTGCTGCAACTGACAAAGCATCTTGGCTCTTTTTCAAGGTTCTTTGCTTCCCACGCGCATATGCCGACTTGATTCGTACAAGTCTCTTGGCTTCGCGATGCTCGGAGCCACCTTTTTAGGATTCAAACTTATTTGGTGATGTCTTAATTCCGTGGCACGGAATTAAACTTTTTGTAATTCTAGCATCCAAGATTTGATTCCTCATCAAACCTACAGTTATCACTTACCCAGCCTGTCCAAAAAGGAATCGGCCTGCTTCTTGGCCCTCCGTGCCGCCATATCCTCCCTGCGTTTCTCAATTTCCCGTTTCCTAGCATCCTTCTGCTCCTCGCGAGCCTGCCGTTGCTCTTCCGTCTTGCGGCGCTCTTCCGCAAGCCCCTCCATCTCCGCTGCTCGACTCTCTTCGTCCTTACTGAATTTGAAAAATCCCGTGCCTTTGGTCCGGATCTCCCAGTCAGCGTCGTAGTGTTGCGCCGATGGTGGTGTCGCGCTGCGATCTCGCTTCCGTGCCAGTTCCTCCATCTTGTCAGGGTCGTCTGGGTTGAATGCCATCGACTGGATCGTGTCGCCGACAATAAGGTTGCTCGGTGCGTTGGGTCTTGCAGACATACGCTCGAGCTCTTCAGCTCCTAGTAGACCGCGTTGTGCTCTTCGATCCAACTTCTCTTTTTCTGCTTTGGTGACTTGTCGTACGCGGCCAAATTCGTCTTCGTACTCAACCATCTCACCGCTGTCGTTGGCATCGTCCTCATCGCTACTTGTTTCATAGTTCTCCTTTCCATCTTCTCCTTCTGCCCATTTGCGGTCAAAATCTATTAGTGGTGCGGCTTCGTTTTCTTTTGGGACGTAATCTCCTCGCTTCATTGCTGCGTATAGTCGTGCTTTTTCCCCCATCCGTCGCCTGGCGCGTGCCAGTTCTTGAGTCTCATCTTCCGTTCCCGCGACTTCCTTCAATTTCAGCCTCTTTGACCCATCAGACTCTTTGCTTCTCTTGGGCTTTGTGCCTTTAAATATGTCGTCCTTGCCCGCCTTATGGGGGCGCGAACGGCCAGCTGGTGGTGTGCCTGATGAGTTGGTTGACATCAACGATGTCAGTTGAGCAGTGAAATCAAGCGAACTTGATAATGTCTTGTCTCGCTTCTGCTTCTTGGCAGGCTGTTGGCCATACAAGTTTGGATCTTGTGGCATCTTGTTTAGCTTGCTGTGGTGTGTGTGTGTGTTCACTTTCAAATAGAGTTGTTGATCATGATGGAAAGAGCATGGTAACGCCTTTGACCCAAAAACTGGTAAGGCCCATCACCGTTCAACCTGAGGCAATCAGAGTAAAAATCTTAAACCACATCACGATCTCACATAACTGTATAATTCTCCAGTCTGCAACAGATGATATAGACAAAATTGGACGATCTACATAATATCTCTAAAATGTCGACATCAGTAACAAGTGGGCTCATCAATTGCTTGCCCAATTGGTTGTTCCTCTGAATACTCCGATGTAGGGTAATCCACCGCGGGGTTCCCTGGCGTGCTCAAATGACCGTCTTCAATGCCCCGCCATCGGAGCTTGACTTTATTCTTTCACAAGCTTCGTCAACAGTTCACATTATAACAGCAATCATGTCCGCTCCCAAGCAAGTTTTCATTGGAATTATCGGTAAATGAAACACTGCGAACTACAATTTATTGTGAAACTAATAATCATTATTACAGGCGCCGGTGGCGTTGGCAAGGCCTTTCTCGACCAGCTCCAGTCCCTCGCTGCTCGGAAACCATCACCGAAGCTTAACCTTGCCTACATCGCCACGAGCCGCAAGGCCGTCTTCAATGACGACTACTCTCCCATTGATATCGGAAGCGCCGTAGAGACTCTTGGTTCATCCTCCAAGGCTCCCCTCGCTCTGGCTCAGGTCGTCGAATACCTGGCCAAGGCCCCTGCCAAGACTGTTCTTGTCGACAACACTAGCTCCCAGGACGTTGCTGAACTATACCCTCTCGCTCTGAGCCGCGGGATCAGCATTGTTACACCCAACAAGAAGGCCTTTTCAGGCTCATACAAGCTGTGGCAAGACATTTTCTCTGCTGCCGAATCTTCAGGCGCCCGAGTCTACCATGAGTCCTCCGTCGGTGCTGGTCTTCCGGTCATCTCCACCCTGAAGGACCTTGTCGAGACTGGCGACAAGGTTACCAAGATTGAGGGTGTTTTCAGTGGCACCATGTCCTTCCTCTTTAACTCCTTTGCGCCTACTGAGGGCCAAGGCGGTAAGTGGTCCGAGGAAGTTAAGAAGGCTAAGTCTCTGGGTTACACGGAGCCCGACCCCCGAGACGACCTCAACGGTCTCGATGTTGCCCGCAAGTTGACTATCCTGGCTCGCCTTGCCGGTATCCCTGTTGAGTCTCCTACCTCTTTCCCTGTGCAGAGCCTTATCCCTAAGGAGCTCGAGTTTGTTTCCAGCGGCGATGAGTTCCTCGAGAAGCTCCCCGCTTTTGACTCACAGATGGAGGAGACCAAGGCAGCTGCCGAGAAGGCTGGTAAGGTAGTCCGATTTGTTGGAAGCATTGACGCTGCTTCTAAGCAGGTCAAGGTTGGCCTGGAGCAGTTTGACCGCTCGCATCCCATTGCTGCCCTTAAGGGAAGTGATAACATTATCAGCTTCTACACCGAGAGATATGGAAGCAACCCTCTCATTGTCCAGGGTGCTGGTGCTGGAGGTGATGTGACCGCCATGGGAGTGACAGCTGATCTGATCAAGGTTTTGTCGCAAATTGCTTAAAAGTTGAAAATGAATAGCCAAGTATAAAAGTATCAAGTTTGAACCTCCATCAGGACCGCAGATTTTTCTAGTTCGTTGTATGCTATCGTAATCAAAGTGATGCTTTGTCTATTCCTGTTGCTACTGCTGCAGCATGTGGGTTCGTAGTGACAATGGCATCGGATTCGACAGTCGCAGGAGGGTTCTTGTTATTGATGTTCCTCCACATCCAGAGAAAAAGGTCGAATATCACAAGGAGAAACACTGGTACGAACAGCAAAAGACCGAGGCCAAGCTACGGGTGAGTCGGTCAGAAAGAAGCCCAGGGGAAATTGGGTCGATCAGCACTTACACAGACAAGAGAGATCAGGTTAACGATAGTAGAGTACTCGGTCAGTAGAGGACCGAAGAGGTTCCACGGCGCGTCGGTTGACGTCTGAGGCATTATGGGCAACGCTACAGCTTGCTTTGAAGTGAAAAAGCTCATGACTTGGGAACGTGTGATGTTGTGGATGGTAGAATCCCAAATTCCGAGGCTGCCTCAGGGATGGAGGTCGATGCTCCATGTTCCAGCGAAGCGAGCAGGGTTGTTTCTGTCACTTCATTGGCATGTGCAAGCCAAAGCTCAGGTACCTTCACCGCCTTCCTAATGTGGACCGTTCTGCCAAGCGCAAAGCTTCATTCGTACTCAACCTCACAAATTATCACCAGAAATTGAACGGTACTAAACTGAATAACCTCACAGCAGCCACTATGACAGCAGATCTCCCAAATAAACAAAAGGGCCGCGAGCTGGATCGCGTAAAGAGGACTAAAGATGGAGTCACTCAGTTGCCGCGAAAAAAGTTCTATCGCCAGCGAGCGCACGCAAATCCCTTCTCCGACCATATGTTAGAATAGTATGTAACCTCGCGGGCCATATCAATTGCATTGTTTCTAACCTACGACAGCCCCAGGTCTCCAGATGATATGGATTGGTCTCCATATTTCCCACATTACGTTCAACAGGGAGCGTCGAAAGATTCATCAAAGCCTCCTCGTCTGACAAAGGATGTAGAAATTGTCGATATTGGCTGCGGATTTGGTGGTCTTTCGGTAGCCCTGGCACCCAAGTTGCCCGATACACTCACACTCGGTAAGTAACACAAGGGTTTGCTCGGGAACGGCGTGCTAATAGATCTAGGCTTGGAGATCCGCGCGCAAGTGGCAGGCTATGTCCAAGAGCGCATAAAAGCTTTGCGATCACAGAATTCAGACAACATGTATCAAAACGTGGGCTGCATCAGAGCAAACACTATGAAGTTCCTTCCCAACTTTTTCAAGAAGAGTCAACTATCCAAGATCTTCATCTGCTTTCCTGACCCTCATTTCAAGGCTAGGAAACACAAGGCCAGAATTGTGTCGACAACGCTGAACTCGGAGTATGCCTATGCGCTTCGGCCGGGAGGTATTGTGTATACTATCACAGATGTGGAGGACCTGCATCTGTGGATGGTCCAGCATCTTGAAGCTCACCCTGCCTTTGAAAGGGTCTCCAAGGAAGATGAAGAGGCAGATGAATGTGTCCAGGTTATGTCAACTGAGACTGAAGAAAGCAAGAAGGTCACAAGGAATAACGGCCAGAAGTTCGTAGCGTTGTTTCGGAGACTTGAGGATCCTCCGTGGTAGATTTGGAAGATCAAAGGCAGCTAAAATACCTGAATTTCCACCGATTTGTTTCGAGGCTTAGTTATGACTTACAAAAAGACTCACAAGGACAGCGTAAATTACGTGTAAGAAAGGATAAACAGCTTGTGCTCTCAGCAGAATACTTGAAGTGGTAGTCGATTGCTAGATGACATGTCAAGATTAATACCAGGATATTTCCTCTGGCCTAATTCAAGTTTAGTACTAATACTTAATATCGCCCTCTATCACAAGCTGTTCCTGCAGTCACTGACATTCGGCTCTCATGGAGGGGTGCTGTCCAGGGTTCCATGTCCCGCAGGCTATTTTGACAGGGGTTGTCCAAAATGACAGCATCTGTAATCGATAACCACCCGACCTCACCTCCAACTCCAATGACCTCCACTAGCACCGCCAGCTTCACCACTAACATCCATCTTCGTTCAAGAATGTGGCTTTGAGGTCAACATCCTGGTGATGGCCCTCAAGCGTAGAGATGTTATTGCTGCAGGACTCGCCGCCTTTATAGCCTGGGGCTTTGCTGCGAGCTGGTCACCTATCCTCCGCTGGGCGGGTCATGCCTTTGTTGCTGGCTCACTCGTCACTCTTATCGCCCTCTTAGCCGGTCTCTTCCTCATCTCTAGACGTCCCAACGACGGCAATTTACGACCACACGGAGTCACCTTTCTAGGTGCAAAATCATGGCGATCCGAGGTGCAGGCGCTGCGCCAGCGACAATCATATACTCCCATTCCAATCGACCCTGAATCACCCCGCGTTTCTAAGGCTATCGACGACCTGCTTGGACTTATAATCCGCGACTTTGTGAACAGTTGGTATTCCAACATTAGCAGCAACCCTGCCTTTACAAATCAAGTTGATCATGCTGTGCGCCAGGCACTGTTGAGCTTGTGCGATTTCGTTCGTGAGAAGGATCTGGCGGATCTTGTCACTAGCCGTCTGGTTCCTCTGCTCACCGCCCACTTTCGCGACTTTTACGAAGCGGAGAAATCAGTACGAGGGAAGAAACTTAATCGTTCTGTGACTGAATCTGAAGAGCTTGACCTGGCTATTGCTTCGAAATTTTGCGATGGACGTTTACACCCTGCCGCTTCCTTGTCGTTCCCCGACACCAAGATGGTTCAGCAGGACTACCTCCGATCTCTTGTCGCAAAGATTGTACCTCGCATCCTCCCAGAGGACATGCTTTCTAGTCGAGCTGTCTCTATCATCATTCGAGAGATTGTCGGATGTGCCGTGTTGTTCCCCGTGATCCAGCTTCTCTCCGAGCCCGATACCTGGAACCAACTGATGGAGAATTTGGGGCGTTCAATGCTTCAGGACAGATCAACTGTACGCAAGCTCCGTGCAGCCTTGGACCAGCATGCTCCGTCTACACCAAAAGCCAGTAAAATAGCTTCCATGCCCCGAGTTGCACCAGGTGATAACGAGCGCAAGTTCGAAAAGTTCATTCGTGCTATACGCAAGGTCAACAACCTGTCGGATGCGCGCCGTTTTCGCAGCGAAGTTGCAAGCCAACTCAAAAGGGATTCCCTCCAAGACAATCAAGACCAAGTATATCTCCGTCGACTCGAGATGGGAAAGAGGCTACTCGATCAACGTGTCAACCATCTAGCAGCTGGTGGCGAACGTCGCCCGCCTGGACCCTTACCTTTACAATCAACCTCTTCTTCGCACTCAAAACTGGAGAGTGCGCCCCTCGTCGATATCTTGCGGGACCCTTCAGCACTTTCCTACTTTATGGAATTCATGGATCGCCAAAAACACATGCCTCTAGTGCAGTTCTGGCTTGTCGTTGATGGGTTTAGAAATCCTCTGGAAGATGATGGTCCGGATGACGAGCTACCGTCAACCCTACCGATGTGGACAGATTCCGATCGTCAAGACCTACAACAGATAAACCAGGCCTACCTGTCAATGCCTGAATTAAAGGTCCCGGACCATGCGAAGAACGAAGTCAAAGAGTTTCTCAGGGCAGGAAAGACAGCCACGCCTATGCAATACTACAGGGCCCGACGAGCTATCTTAAGAGCCCAGAGCGCTGTTTTAGAAGAAATGCAAAACCGCTTCTTCCAAATGTTCAAAAGATCCGATTTGTTTTATAAATGCCTTGCAGCTGAGGAAGCAGCAAATCTTCAGACCCTGAGGTCGACACCCCAACCAGAAATTCCAGTATCAGCACCCAACCGGTCCAGCAAGACTTTACCAGCCAAGCCGAGGCCGGTATCTCGATTAACCCCCCAACTATCGAATGCAGGAAAGCGTACAGGATCTGCATCGGATCTTAGGTCTTTGACTACCAACGGTAATGGGTCTGGCCATCGAGCTAGGCGCTCGCTGGACGAGGGCACCTCAACTCCCCTATTTGAAGACGACGACATCGATACAGATGGATTGGGGGATTCTGTGCAAAGCCTAGACGCAGATACGAACAGTCAACAAATGCCAGACACACAAGTAGTCCAGGCGGTGGAGCAAGCTTTTACAGATATTATGGAGGGTGATCGTCCACAGACTGCTGAGGATCTGCGGGCCTCCCTTTTTGGTGGCGCCAGTGCTAACAGTATTGGTGGCATCGACGACAGCACATCAAGTCTTTTCTCGGGGAATGACAACGAATCTCATCGAGGTTCTCTGGATATGGGAGCTCGACCAGGCATGCCGGTTAAGGAAGGCGAAAGGCCGAGCCTTTCGTCTCTTGGTCTCGTCAGTGCTGCTTCACGAATTGGTGTCTTTGTAGACGACGATCTTTTTGGCGACAATAATAAAGATCTTCCCGATGATGGTGAGCCAGACGACGGCCCGGCACCAGATGACGAGGACGAAGTGCATGAAGCAGCTCCAGGAGACCTTGGACTGGTAGAAGCTATCAGTGTTCTTTCAAACGACATCGATCGTTTGGTGGCACAGGAAGCAGTTGTCGAGTCTCTGACCCGAAAGGCAGAATTAACTAACAACACCGCCGAACTACGAATTCTCAGAAAGTCAAAAGCGTCTCTGCACAGGGAGATCAGGCGCAAGGAACTTCAACGACAACAGTACGTGGTTCAAGAGAGCGATAACAGTCTCTACGGACGCTCGACCATTAAAATCAAATCCATCCAAGTAGGAAAAGAGGAGGATGGCCGAGAATTTGCTCTATACGTTGTTGAAGTTCAGAGAAACGCTGGAGAGCAAATGCCTGCGGCGTCTTGGGTGGTGTCAAGGCGATACAGTGAGTTTCACGAACTTCACCAGAAGCTACGGTCACGGTATCCTTCGGTTCGGAATCTTGACTTCCCTCGACGGCGTATGGTAATGAAGTTCCAAAGCGAGTTTCTACGCAAGAGACGGACTGGTCTGGAGCAGTATCTAAAAGACCTGCTTCTCCTGCCAGATGTTTGTCGTAGCCGAGATCTCAGGGCGTTCCTTTCTCAAAGTGTAATTACACAAGGCCAGGATATGCTGGATCGTGAGGACAAGAAAGATATGATGACTCGGTTCTACGATTCTGTTGCAGACGGAATGGACGATATCCTTGGAAATATTCCTGTTCTAGACCAGATTTCTGAGGCTGGTCAGAACTTAATTGCGGCGGCTACCAACCAACTCAATGCGGTTCCGCTCAATGTCAACGAAGACGCCTTCCCAGCCGCCGAGGCCGAGGCGGAGCTGAACGCCTTTGAGAATAAGGAGCTTGAACCGTTCATTAAACCGATCTGCGACATCTTTCTTGAAATTTTCGAGCTCAACAAGGGAAACAACTGGCTCCGTGGCAGAGCGGTAGTAGTTGTTCTCCAGCAACTCCTTGGCGGTACTATTGAGAGAAAAGTGCGAGATAATGTCAAGATGCTTGTACAAGATGAATACATTCTCAAATGCGTTGGCTTGGTTCAAGATAGCCTTTGGCCAGATGGTCAGCTACAACGGGACCGTAAGCCACGGACAGCCGCCGAGAAGAAAAAGACTCGAACCGAGGCGAGCTTGATGCTCGCCACGTTGGTGCCAGATCTCGCAGGCAGCGTTGTAGGAAGAGTTAACGCGCAGACAGCCAGTCGTCGTATCTTTGCGACATTGAATAACTCGAGATTGAAGTATGACTCTCAATTCAAGTTCCGATTCGCACTGGGGTTTGGCTAACTGATTTACAGTGCACATTTGGTATTCACTATGATTGACGAAATCGTCTCGGTTCTTTTTGACGAACCATAGGGCTCTAATCAACAAGATTTTCTCGTCCACCAAGCACATGACACAGGGCAAAGCAAGGCGTTGGGCGTCACTAATGCATGGATGGGGAGTCCAGTTGGGCTGGAATGATGACGGGACGAGATGATTTGTGGTTTTGTAATGACAAAACCTTTTTGGCTGCTTACCTTATCAATTAAGTTAGAGATTCATATGGAGGTTGCCGTTGACAGATGGCCATACAGTAATAGTAATGACAATGGATTGTTCTTGACCACTGTACGCTATACGCTGTAGGGAGTATTTGCACTGCCTGTCATAGGGTGATACGACGTTGGCTGATCGCGATTGAGTTTTGGAAGGTTTCCAGTCTAGGTAAGCTGCGGTAGATTAATGCAGGCGCGGGCGTTCGCATGTGACGCTAAAGAAGCAGCTTCAGCACCTCAGAGAGCGAGATCCGGGGCACCTTCTCGATCTGACGTTCTGCCATATCCTCCCGCCTTTGCCCCCAGCCATTCTGTCGCGTTTAGGTAGGACCTTGGTTGCGCCCATGCAGTTCTCTCTTCTCCTCTCCACCACAGTCGCTTTTCTATCATCATCATCAATCCTCGTCCGATCCGCCACCATCGCAAACCCTGCGATTTTGTTGTTTCTTGGTCCATCGTGCGACTGGCTCTGGACTTCTGGAATACTCTCTGGCTTTGATAACGATCGAACTCCTGTTTCACCCATCTGGACCCTCCTCGTGCTTAACTCGACAACGCTCCTCCACCGGCAACATGACGGAGGTATCAGCCACCCGGCTGTACTTGGGGAACCTCCCTCGCAATGGTCCGGATTCATCGCCCTGACGCTCCTAGTCAAACCACTGACCTGCTGCCCAACAGCTACCAAAACCGACGTCGAGGCTCACTTCGCGACTCATGGCACCGGAGAAATCACCGAGGTGAAGCTCATGAATGGCTTCGGTTTCATAGAGTACAAGGACCCTATGGATGCCCGCGATGTTGTACCGGGTTAGTTGTGCTTACCCCTCTTCCTGTCAGAGTTTGCTAACCAAGTTCTACAGCCTTCCGTATGTCAACAGTCCAAAAATAAAATGCTTCCACCGTATCCCCAGGCTAACTAGCGATTTCGAAAGATGGTTCTGATTTCATGGGAGAACGACTCACCGTTCAATTCGCTCGTGGTTCCCGGCATCGCGAGGGCGGTTTTGGCAACCAAGAGCGCACCGCGCCGCGGCCTCGTCGAACCCCTCATCGAATGCAGATTACGGGACTTCCAAACGATACCTCTTGGCAGGTCTGTTCACCCTCCCCGTTACCCATCGCTGGATTCCATGGACCTTCCCTTTGTGATTTGCGCGCTGCTCTGGTTTTTCTGGTTTCGACCCCATGGAACTGCACCGGGAATAGGTCTAGGGGACAACATCCAAGGACCCCCTCCACCCGCTCTCCTGGTTTTGCTTCCTGGTTCTTAGCCTGACGGATTGCACTCTCGTTTTGTGGATTACATGGACTTCCGGCGTTGCCCTTCCTGGATAGCGACTTACGTGGATTCTGGAAATAGGACCTCAAAGACTTTGCTCGCCAGTCTAGCTTGGACGTGGTCTACTCTGAGACTGGCCGCGAATCAAACGGCCGAGGGTGCGTTCAGTTCCCTGTGTGTTGTTTGGCTTGGTATCTAACATGATTTAGTTTCGTCGAATTCGAGACTGCTGCGGACTTGAGAACGGCTGTCGATAAGCTCGATGGCCGCGAATTCAAGGGCCAGCGAGTCCAATGCGTTGCTGACGTATGACAAGGTAGCCCCATCCTTACGAGGAACCAGAATTGACCCAATATGCAGACTCAGCCCGAGATTCCGCCTCGCGAACGTGGTCGATCCCGTTCTCCGGGACGACGCCCATACCCTCCACCTATGGACGACTACGACCGACGCGGTCCTCCCCGAGGTTATAGTCCTCGCCGGGATGGATACGGCTATCGCGATCGCAGCCCTCGACGGGATTACTATGACGACCGTGCTCGCTACCGATCGCCACCTCGTCGTCCCATGGAAGACTACCCCCCACCTCCTCCCCGTGGTCGCTATGATGACCCCTACCGACGAGACTACCCTCCCCCGCCGGATCCTTATGCTAATGGCCGACCGCCATACGACCGACCCCCTCGAGATTTCCCTCCGCGAGAGGCTGGATACCCACGAGAGGGTGGTTATCCGCGAGACTATGATCGTGGTGGTGCACGCTACTGGTAAATCCATACCCTTTCACCGCTTTGGGCGCTTGCATGGTGGGACTATCCTTGACCGACGGTGCTAGATCTATCTCCAACCGACCACGCCAATTGGCGTAGCACAGTTACGGCCTGTTATTAGGTATGGAAGGGAAAGATTCAAACGAAGCAGCGACATGCAGACTGGTGCGGCAATGATCGACGACCGACAGAGACATTCTCAACAGCCAAACAAAAGGATGAGGGACATTGGACTGGCGTCAGGTGCAAGCAGGGTTTGGCAGAACAGGACGAGAGTCGATGACAACCAGGAAAGGCCGCAAGGCGTATGATTTGAATGTGTTGGGTAATACGAACTACAGTGTATGACTACGAGGAAGTAGCTGCAGGTGATGATTTGCGTACTTCTTTGGTGTTTCTCTTATACTAACTATCATTGGGGAACGTATTTCTTGGGATCGTTCATTTTTCGAAGTTGGGTTTGTTTTGTTTTATAACCAAAAAGATGAGATAATTCAAGATTGATTTTGTATTTCCAAATCGGCGTTGCAATATAGCACAACGAGCGAAGACACTGTTGGGGATTTACTTTGACGACTACCGAATCCTGGCATCCCCTATATAACACAAAAAGAAAGATGTTGAACTGGGTAGATAATAATGATGGATGTAACGCGCTTAAAAGGGATTATTGAGGATGGTAGAATGTGTGGTATCGGGTATTGTTAAAAGTTTGGTTGGTGCAGATTGCAAGATTATGCCGTCTTCTTCCACTGTGTGTAAACACCAATAACACTGCTCAGAGTACCAGTAAGACCGACAACGCCATCGTCGAGGAAGCTGACCCAGCCGAGACCGGAGACGGGGACCAGGATATCGCAGAGATCGCACAGAAGTTGCTTCTTGGCGGCGGCACGCTCACTGCAAGCGCAACGGTTAGTAAGTTTGATGGGGTAAAATTGAGGAAGGCAGATGATTGCTTACATGGAAATGGTCTTGCTCTCGACGACACCCTCACCCTCCTTCAGGTCAACCTTTGCTGCGCGTGCGCTCAGCTGGCGCAGGGTGTACAGTTGGCCGATAATGCTGAAGGCGATGCCAATGGCCCAGGATCGGTAGGCCTCCTGCTGGAAGCGCTTGGCGTGCTGCCACTTCCTGATGCCGGCGGCATCGGGGATGGTGAGAGCATCGCAGGTGAGATATCCGGCGTAACCCAGCTGGCGACCGACCTGGGTGTACTTGAGGACGGGGTCAAGGGACTTTGAGTCGGAGGCAGTTGCGGCGGCCTTGATGTGCTCGACGAATTTGCCGGCGCGGAAGATCTTGCGGAACAGGCCGAACTGCTTCTTGAGGGCGTTCCAAGGGGCGACCTTGTCCGGGGTTGCGTTCGTGCGGAGGAGGTACCAGGCGTAGAAGCGGGCAAAGTATTGGAAGACGCGCATGAGCTTGTCGCGACCGAGGGTGGTGGCCATGTAGCGCAGGTAGTGCGCTACCGTGGGGTGGTAGACGAGGGCGTCGGCGACCATGATGGCGATGGTGATGGTGATGTATGGATGATAGGTTTAGTTGCGATGGTTGTAAGGGTAGGTAGAGTTATGCGACAGGTGATGATGTACGGAATCACAGTTTCGCCAGTAAAAAGCCAGCAATTACTGATGGGCGAAAAATTAAAAGCTTGGATAAAAAGGATGAATGGAGATGGATGGAGATGCAAGAGATAAGTTTCCAGGTACAGGAAAGGAAAAGCTGGGGAAGAGAACGCGCGAATGGAGTCAATAAGGTAGTTTAGTCCCCTGCCGAGTTAAGGCAAAGTAGATTGAGATTGAACGTGGAGACGGAGACTTGACCGAGATACCGAGGTCCGCTCACGAGATCTCGTGTAAAACTATTGCCGTTTTGGGGAGAAGGGGGAAGGGGAAGGGAATGGCTCGGTCCAAGTTGTTTGAAGTTGAGGGGAATAATTGTCTTTCGGGTGAATTAGAAGGATAAGAGAGTTTGATCGGTTCTGTTATGTCGGCTTTCTTGCCTTGGCTGCTACTTGACATGTTAAAAAGACATGTCTTTTCACTATAAACCTGTTGACCTTCGTGATCATTGAATGAAGGTATTGATAAAGGCATCGATTAACGGCACATGTCCGAGGCTTGAGGACAGTACAGTTACAGTACATTACGGTACAACTTGGCGCCAATAGCGTTTTACCAACCTCGGAAACTGTCCGTCAAGGCCCTTGATATCGCTATCAGCTGTCACTGTCAGCTTCAGCTAATGCTTCTGAAAGTCAGGCCGGATAACCTTTGATCCGGTTCCGGACTTGTAAGTTCGGTTTGGATCGAGGGAAGGAAGTACGTGAATAATATAGGTAAGTCGAGATCTGATTGCCTCAGGCGATCAACACCCCAATGGCAAGGCATCAAAGACAAGGTCTGAGATAAGGCAAACCCCAAACCCACCAATTCACCCCCATTTGCATCACTCTCTCGCTCTCGCTCGGTGTTTTGCTCTGCAAGGCAAGCCGAAGATCTTGTTCACCTCTCTATGATCTCCAAATAATGACCCCCGCTTAAACGTCAATATGAGCGAGCCACCCCCACCGGACCAGCCTGGCAGGACCTGAAAAGAAATCGCATTTGACATTTGGCGGGGCGTCGAGTGGCTGTGACGGCAAAGAATTGCGGCTTCATCACGATGGGCCTCTCCTCTGGCTCACCTTGAAATACCCTTGACGCTCCTCGGGGAACTATCACCGAGAAAGGAGGAGCTCCCACGGGCACTCCAAATTGTGGGGGAAGAAACCGGGTCCGTAACTTGGGCCTCGCGCAGTTGGAGGAAAGCTTGGAGACCCCGGGAAATCCTCTTGAGCCGCTTCCCCTCGGCCGGCAAAGGGCCCAGAATACACACACTCGGGAGTCGCTTTGGGTCGTGGTCACGATGGGCCATGATATTCCGATATAATGCGCCCCCCAATGGCCGGGAATGGGCAATTGGCGCATCATGGTTGGTGCAAATTACATGACATTACCTATTCGGTATTGTTGTTGCGGGTTGCGGGTTGCGATAATGGAGAAGTCTGGGCTTCTGCTACGTAAGGTACTCGCACGGATGGGACCCGGCGTATCATTGATCGTCATGCCCATTGTCGTCAACTTACTGTGCTTTTGCTCAGGCTCAAGCTCACTTATTTTTACATAAACTCGGTCCCGTTCCCGAATTCTCGTCGCGTGCCCTTTTCTATTCTCCTCCCTCTTCTTCTTTCCCCTCCAACTTCATCTTCCAAGCTTCAAGATACCCTCATACCCATCCTCGGCTTAAACTTTGTCTCGGTCTAAGTTCTTGTCTCAGTCTCGTTCTCCAACTTCCCCTCCTGTCGATCAACTTCTCCTCCTTCCATCCTATCTACCTCTAGGAATCAATCACATACCAACACACATCATGTCTACCACTAACAGCGGACAAGAAACCGAGAAGGTTAACACTAACATTGTTACCCTTACTCGTTTCCTCACTGAGGAGCAGGCCAAGCACCCAGAGGCCACTGGTGACTTTACGTAAGTTCATGTTGTTTCAAAGCCTCAATTTCATGACATCCTCGCTAACTCCTGCCTCTCAGTCTATTGTGCCACGCTCTCCAGTTCTCTTTCAAGTCCATTGCCTACTACATTCGACGCGCCACCCTAGTCAACCTCACTGGTCTGGCTGGTTCCTCCAACAGCACCGGCGACGACCAGAAGAAGCTCGATGTCATCTCCAACGACCTCTTCATTGAGGCCATGCGCTCCTCAGGCAAGTGCGCGCTCCTAGTCTCCGAGGAGGAGGACGAGATCATCTACTTCAAGGACGCTCATGATGCCCACTACGCTGTCGCCTGCGATCCCATTGACGGATCATCCAACTTGGATGCCGGTGTCTCTGTCGGCACCATCTTCGCCATTCACAAGCTCCCCGAGGGCTCCAAGGGTGTCAAGGACGACATCCTGAAGCCCGGTACCGAGCTACTTGCTGCTGGTTTCACCATGTACGGCGCCTCTGCTCAGCTTGTCATTACCATGCGAGGCGGAACCGTAAACGGCTTCACTCTCGACAACGGTGTTGGAGAGTTCATTCTGTCCCACCCCGACATGCGCCTACCCAAGTCGCGCGCCATCTACTCCGCCAACGAGGGTAACTCGCTGTACTGGGAGGACAAGACCATCAACTACTTCAACTCTCTAAAGCAAGCCCAAGAAGACGGCAAGCCTTATAGCTCGCGTTACATCGGTTCCATGGTTGCTGATGCTTACCGAACTCTTCTCTACGGAGGTATCTTTGCTTACCCCGCCGACAAGAAGAGTCCCAAGGGCAAGCTCCGTATCTTGTACGAGTGTGCGCCCATGGCTCTCATCTTCGAGAATGGTTAGTTTACCACGTAGTAGCCCCTGTCTTCATTCCGCTAACCTTTCTACTCTTAGCTGGTGGTCAAGCTGTCGACAGCAAGATGAACCGCATGCTCGAGGTGGTGCCCGAGCACATCCACGACAAGGCCGGTATCTTCATGGGTAGTTACGACGAGGTCGAGAAGGTGAAGAAGTTCCACAACTAAAGGGGGAAACAAATACGGCGCTTTGGCATGGGATCATGAATTCAGTTAAATATCAAAAAGCGAACATCATGAGTGAATGAGCATTTAATGATCATATCAATTTTTCATAACTTTTTTTCCTGCATCATGCATCATGTAGAGTGTCATCATGATGAGAAGTCATGATCGTGGGCCATCATGGCGGCGGTTTAGCTAGTGATGTCACATGCTACATACATGGTTTTGACGGTAAAGATGCACGTTAGAAGGAGACCTTCTTAGGATGAGATAACGTAAGTGAGGTCATGACATAGTCGCCAGTCGGATGATGGTCATTTGCACCTAGCATGCTCCAGTTAGTTACTGTCGTCGTAAACCCTCCGTGGTACAGATAGCTGTCTGCAGGACCGTGCAGAGGAAGTCGAGATGTCGCACAAAGTGATGCATTCCTTGTGGTTATAGATCTACTGCTCATGACCCAACGTATGGCATTCGTTAGAGGAAATCTCACTGCACCATCACCTCGGATTGAAGATACATCAGAACATCGAACCTGTCCTCATCTCGACAGTCATGTCGCGGATCCACGGTATGGAAGAATCAAACACCCCTCGAAATTACGAGTCTGCAGATAGAACTCAGCCATTTGTGCTACGAGAACCCGTTGCCACCAAGAGTACCACAAAACAACGCTTTTGTTTATTTGTAGTTTACTCAAGTAGGAACTACACATGAGGTATCTAGTATGATTACAAAAAGCCACAGAACAGAGCCTTCCAGGCAGGACGAGGGCTAGCCTTGACATCGAGATTAGGCTTCTTCAAATCGTCCTCATCATCGCTCTCATCGCTGCACTTCTTAACCGCAGCAATTGAGTTGATGACCAGCTTGAAGTCTCCATCCTGCTTATCAAAGAAGCTATTCAAAGTCAGTATCTCAATGTCATGTGTCAAACACAAAAAAAGAAAAATCTTACCTTCGCGTCATGATAGATATCCTCTTGATCTCATCCGTCTTCAAAGGCTCAGGATCCTTCACCTCCCTCCCACGATACGTGGCCTTGAACTCATCCCACGTCTTGACCAAAACACCACCCTCGCGCGGCGCCTCAAAGTCCACCTCCCAGCTCACACCGGACTCATCCCTGCCGTCCTTCCTCTTCCCGGGCAGCGTGTCCTTGACGTTGAGCGTGAACTTGTGATCTGAGCTGCCCGCCCCGAGCACGAGCTGCAGCCCCGTCGCGGCCGACAGATCCAGCCCCAGGTCGCCCTGCGTGCGCTGCGACGCGAAGCCCGCGCCGCCTAGTGTCTTGGTGTCCAGGTTCCCGTGGTAGATGGCCTGCGTGGGGCTTGAGACCGTCAGGTGGGAGATGCTGGAGCCGCCGCGGACGCGGTCGTCTTGGGCGGTCCAGAGACTGCTATTCCAGGGCCTTTTTCAGGAATGTCAGCTTGGGGAAAGGGGATGGCGGGTTGTGTACGTACTTGGTGCCACCGAAAAGGAAGTCTACGTGATGCTCCATGATTGTTGGTAGTGAATTGATGTATTTGCGATGAATTGAGTTGAGATGGCTGATATTTTGTTATGCTTAAGCGGGTTGAAGTGGATGACGCAATTGAGTTTATGTACCGTTGCCGCGACGGCAGTTGACATTTTGACAGTTCAACATGCTTACGTACAGCAATAAATTAAGTTTCACAATGCAACTGATACTTATACTTCACAATGAATGTGTTTCTTGAGAAATCTGTCTATGGGTAAACTGTTTCTTTATTTTGCACATTCTCAAAAACACCACAATATGTACTGCCACTTGCATCCGCACTAATACTGCGATGGAAAGTAGGTACCTACGTACGTGCAAACAAGGTTCACACCTCAGAAGTATAACGTTAGTCCAAGTACAACTCAATTGGCCCGGTAGCCTGGCCCTGGGTCCCAGAGTCTAGACTCAAGTCGAGTTGTTTCAGCCATCTCTCCTCTTTGACTGGCACTCAACACTCGCGGATAAGAAACGGATTTGACTTGTCCTTTGTGAGGAAGAAATAGTTGTCCACTAACGCCGGGTTTTATCTCCATTCTCCATGGCAATTCCCCTTAGCCAACTTAGACTTTTGGGGGGTAATATAACATCCATAGGTAGTATCATAACTCACCCATTCTCCCGTATGTCCATAAACTCCATACTACGCATACACTTCTTCCGGTCTTTTCCCCTTCCTTTCCTTCTCAATTACAAGCATCATCCCACATAACATCCCGCAGGCAGGCCGATATCATTCGCCACTTCGGACTTGATAGACGAGGGTTTGAATCCTTGTGGGAGGAGAATCCTTGCGTCAATCTTGATCTTTGCAATCATACATGTACCATGCAGAGTACATGCTTGCCCGTATTGCGTATGCTGCCGCGGAGTCGGTACCAGGCTCCCCCTCCCCAAAGGATCCCCAATGGACACGGCGCTCGCTTTCAAGCCTTCCGAGCCTGCTTTCATTTTCTCGTTTACCTCTTTTGGTGTCCGTAGGAGCCGAAAGCCACGCACATGGGCCAACACGACGCCCAATTAACGCCGTGACGGGTATAACTGTGAAGTTCGCAACACTCCCTTCCTTTTCATGCAACCCTCCTTGGCACGTGGTGGTAGGACCAACAACTCCAAGGACGAAGGATGAAGGATGTGGCCTAGGACTCGGTTGGGAAACAATTCCAATTCCAATTCACACCCTAGTATTCCGTCTATTAGTAGTAACCGCCGAGAATAGATCACACAGCAACTCCTTAACACAACTCGTTAACATCACTCACCAACATAACGTGATGTACGTACGTACGTATACGTATCAATGAGGTGAGAGAAACACACACAAAACAAGGCTTTCCAAAGAGCGGCGCAAGGTCTGGATTCTGGATTCCGCCTCTGTAACCTAGCTCAACGTAGCCGCCTGCACATGTAGAGCAAGCCTACCATAGAGATGCAGCTGAAGCCACTCTCAAGCCATCGACACACTATACCAAATACCCAGGGCTCTATCTCTTCAGCTCCGTGTACGCGAGGAGACCACTAAAAAGGACCCGACACATAAAAGTACAAGTTTATTAATGTTTGGAGCCACTTGCATGAGCCTCCTGTTACTACCTAAAGCTTCCCATAATTAATTCACTTTCTTATCATGCCATCTCTCCCTCACTCAGCCAGCCTCGTTGGGTATCAAGGTTGGTCGGCTCCGGTCCAACGGCACATCTTGTAGCCACTTCATCATATCACAGTCACTTTCAAACTCGGCCAGCTTTTGATTCGTACAATGCATCGTGCACGTTTATTCATCATCTGACACTCTCGACGGCTCTGGCAGGTAGTTCTCGTTGAACCCCGCAGCCGCCATCTTTGTTTGCTCGTTGGTATGCCCTCTCGCTTGCCTTTCAACCTTTGCCATCCTCGCCCACTCGTCCAATACACATTCATATGCATACGTGTGTGTGCATTCCTTCCAAACGCCTCAATCTTTCCCTTGGCCATTCCATTTCCAAATAAGCAATCGTCCGTGCACCTTGCAGCCGTTACAGAAAATCACATGGTCGAGCGCTTCGACCCTGTGAACATAAAACGAAAGCAGGCGAGTAAACATCGTCTGTGAGACACTTTTGAGAGTATCCAAGAAGTGAAGAGTGTGGAGTGTGAAAGTGTCCCAAATGTCAAAACCCGCCATGCTATGCCTTGTGAGGCTCATTCCCAACGCCTAACCAAAATCTCAAAGTCGCTGTGTTTCTTTGTCGCTCCATTTCTCTTCTTCAAGCTCGTCACCTTATTGGTGATGAATCAAGTCGGGTGAACCAGGCATTGACAGAGGCGTGGTCGGGTAGTCGAAGCCAGCCTCTGAGCAGTTGGCAGAATGGTCGAAAGAGTGCGACAGCGGAGGAGTCTGCGAACCCCATCAGCAACGTGGATCTCGTATAACCCCACGGGGCGTTTGACTGGCGTGACTCACATGAGGGTTGGACTGTTCGTATGGGCTACCACCGTGGAAGTCCATGGGAGGCATGTAACCGTAGGTCATGTAAGGAGCGAGTCCATCGTCGCTGGAGTACGTCTCTCGCTTGATGGCATCGCTGAAGTGTGTCATGGAAGGTAGTGTCATGGGCACTGTGGACGCTGTCATGTAATTGGGGTAGGCTTCAGCGGTTGTGATGGCTGGGTAGTGCTGGGTTGAGCCGTAGGGAGCAAGGAGGATCTCATCGGGAGCAGGGTACGTCGAGTAGGTGAACTGGGGAGGGCTGTCTGAGCGGGCTCGGTCGTCGTATGTGCCGGAAAAGAAAAGCTCATCGGTAGTTTCCATGGGAGGAGTGAACTGGCCCTGGGAAACTACAGGCTTGCTGGGAGCTGCGGATTGCGACTTTTGAGTCTTGGGTGCGGAGGGGGATCGCTTCGACTTGGTAGGCTTCTGTGGCTGCTTGTCGGACTCGGCATCGTCAGAAGAACCAGCACGGCGCTCGAGGTCTTCAAGACGGCGCTTAAGCTTCTTGCCTGCAGTTAAGTGTTAGTCTTGCCAAATCTTCCAGAAAGGCTTCTCCAGAGTCAACATACGGTAGTTGCGCTGAGCAATGCGGTTCTGTATCCTTCGGCGCTCGGCAAGGTCAGAGATCTTGGTCCAGTCCTCATCAGGGTTGGCAGAAGCACTGAAGGCACTGCTTGTTCCTGAGTATTGTCTGGGAGGTGGGGGAGCAGCCGCGTAGGCGTAGGTGGATTGTGTCATAAACATCGACATTGTAAAGTATGTTATATGTGTGAGTGGGGGAGGAGTTGTTGTTGACAGTGGTAATCGTCGAGTTGATCAACGACGAAGCTCTAGATAACCCAAAGCACGATTGGGATAGTTGGTTTATTCTCAATTGTTTCCGTATCTGTCTGTTCTGTTCCGTCTGTCTTTATATCCAAACGAATTAACAGGCAACAATGACCAAAGCGATGTAAGTTGCTTGGATTGAGGTGAGGGTTGGTAGCAGTGTATATATGAGTGGAAGATGAGAAAGATCAAGAAGATCCGAAGCTGCTTGAAGCTGAATCTGTTGATGCAGTTAAACTTGGAGATAGATGGAGAGCAAGATGGTAGGTGAGGGGGAAGAGGCTGTATATTAAATATCCCCAAAGCTCCAGCTGCGGGAGCAGGCATAACGGAGAGACCCAAGAAAGTGACTGACGAGGAAGGACCCTGGGTACTGGGGGTGTGAGAGGTGGAAGTTGAGGGGGGGTGTTGAGCACTCTCCATGGTAAAGACCATGGCCCTGCGCTTTCCCTTCACATTGATCAATGTATTTGCACCTTAGAATACACACCTCTTTCCTAGGCTGGAGTTGCACGCCCTTACTCCTGCCTGCCCATCTGGCCATCCTACCACATCCACCACCCATCACACTCCACTTTCCATAATCCCACAATCCACCCCCCCCCCCCCCCCCCGGCAAGCACCCAAGCACGGCCACAACCAGAAAAAGGTCCCCGGTGCCTTCTGATGTTTGAACTCTGAACCCAGGAAGAGAGGGGTGTCGCTGTGACGGGCCTGGTGCTGGCGCTGGCCTCACAGGGCTGGTGCTCATCACTTACCCTCTGAGCCCCAATGCAAAACCAGGCAAGGGTAGCTGTAGGTACGTATCTCCGCCTTTTCAATCCCCAATCCCGTCTTCCATCCCAGCCTGCCTCCACTGTCGCATCCAGCAGGCTCGCACTCAGAGTTGTTTGACTGGACCATTCGCCATACTCCGTACAATGGAGCCAAATCCTTCGTGCTGCCAAGCTTCCAAATCAACCCGTTTACTTTACATCGTTTCTGCCATTTTGAAGTGGAACGCGAAGCACTAGAAGAAAGCATCGATAGAAATTGAATTGAGTTGTAGCCACGAAAAAAAGCACTGTCTGTCAACCCCTAAACCAACTCTTCTTCAATACACATGAAACTGTCTCATTTGGTACGTACGGCCCGTGCAATCGACTGTCGATCTTCAAACCTAGGATTTATAATAAACTCCGCTACATGTCCGTCTCCAATCCCCAACGGGACTAATGGGTGAATACTGACAAATGCTGTTTCCTTTAATGAAAGGATTCAGCATCATAATAGTCATATACGACGGACTTAGTCATTGTGAGTCTTGACGGCCAATACAACGTCCGATGGTCAACTGCATTTCACTGTCTGCCTGATGTCGTCGTGGAACAAGGAGGGGAGTGTTTTGCCTTTCTGCTCAACGGTGTCTGTTCAAAAGAGCGGGATTCACTCTCCAAGCACTGAATGCATGAAATACAAATCGGGGTTAATGGAGGGCCGCAGTCAACCTCCTGTACGGGCAGCGGGTTTAAACATCTGCTGTGCTTTGATGCGCTGCGTTGTGTTGTGCTGTGCCATAGAGTAGCAACGTATCTTTCATGCCTAATACAGCCAGGAATGGATGCATATATTTGCATTCATCAGTAGTGATCAGTATTCACTGTTCTCCATTCAGTACCGTCTCTTAGTACACCGTTCGTCACGTAGCATCAACGGTGGGTTGGACGATGAACGACTAGGCGCAGCCAAAAGGGCGGGAAGCAGAATAATCAAGCATCACAAATGAAGGCGCAATTACAGCAGCCCAGCCCAGCCCAACCCAGCCCAGCCCAGCGTATTGCCATCCGTTGTGCCCATTGGTTCTCTAACCGTTTGAAACCTTAGTACTTAGAACCTACTGATAATGGACTGGAGAGAGTGGCACGCAAAAAGTTCCTTTGTGAAGGAGCCAAGTGCTGGACGCTAAGCCCACAAGCCAACCAGGTCCCCTAAAACAAGCCATGGACCAGCAAAGAAGCTTCAAGGCAGACTCGAAGGAATCTGTGCTAAATTTGCCCACCTTTTGTCGAATCGATTGTCGTCTCCGCCTGGCGCAGCGTAGCATCATCTGGCTTCCCCTTAGCCCCCAGGTCCAGGGCACAGCACGTTCTGTTCATCGCTCTCAGGGCTCTCCTCTTCGTCTCTTGGAACTGGTAGCTAACAGGGCCCTAACGACCTGACCAATCATAACAATATGTGACCGAGCACCCATGCCAGAGAATTGATGGTGACCAATTGCTGTCTCGCAACCCCAGGCTCCTCTTTCTCGCTATCGCTCCAAGGACCGTTTTGCCGGGTAGACTTAGACTTAGACCTGGGAACCTTTGGGACGGGCGGCGCCAGCGTGAACAACGCCCGTCGTAGGGCTGTGTGACGACACGACTATTCACCAAAGACTGGTCAACCTCTACCGTACACAACACACATATAGTACAAGTATGTGCACTCCGCGCTACCACCCAAGCCCTGCTGTGAAGATCAACATGTACGTATTTAGAATATCTCGACTATTTGTTCCATTGTGGTTTAGGCTGGCCAAGTACTGAAGCATCAAGCTCTCCCAGAGCCAAGACATTCCCGCGTGGGAGATCGTTTGTTCCCCCTGCTTGCAAGCTTCCCAGCCAGAGTTTGACAAGCGACATCACCATCGTGCCAGTTTCCCCTCAGTGCCAGGTCCGCGCCTATACCTATCCTTACCGGCCGTCTCTGTCGTCCTTGTCCTCGTCCTCGTCTAAAGGGCCCAAATCAACTCTCTTTCCCACCACCCTCCCCATGATACACCCAACCACATGGCTACGAGACAGCACACCCCTGTGAATTAACAATTCGGAATATTAATTGGCGTTGGAGTTGCATTTTTCAGTCGCAGTCGCAGTCGCAGTTACAGTTGAAGTTGCACCTGTCTAGATTAGAACAATGCTGGGTGTATATTAACCAAGCATGGTAGATAGAGAATGATAGTGGGATTAAATTGACTGTGGCTTGAGGGGGTAGTTGAGACCTTCGCGGTGTATCAAACTACCAAACACTTGGAGCAGGCTCAATGTAGGATCCTCAAACATGACAAAACCAACCAACAGCCTGATATACCATTCCCAGCACACCGGCACCGCCTTCGTGGTTCTTGACGAGTCTTGGCTTTTTACCGGCTTCAGCCCTCTCCGTCCTGTTATCTTACATACAGTTAGCGCCTGGACATCTTTTCTGTTATGGAATTCAAGTTTATTTGTCAGAGGCCATACTAGAAATCAATCTTCCTTATTTACATAAAATACCCTACAGTTTTAGAGACCTACTAGGGTCGGCTGTTTTTACCATCAAGCTTCCAGCTGTTGATATTAAGCGCGGCCGCAATAAGACGCTACCAATATTCACTCCTCGAAAGGCGGCCGACCCCTGCTCGCGACCGTTGAGTGGCAACGCGTCGCTCCATTTGACTCCAATTTGGATCCTGTACAAGGGGCCAACGGGGGTGAAGGTGAAAATCCTCCCCATAACTTGGTTATTTGACGTTGTTTTGGGGGCTGTTGAGGATCGACGTCCTTCGAGCCCTTCGCCTGCGTATTTTGACGACACAAGTGTTGGGATATTAGATGATTGTGATAGTTGTTCAAGGTCGACCTAGTCTCTTTTGAGACATTTTGCCTGTAAGGATGCGCAATAATGGAGCCTGAACCTTGTTGTTTTTGCCCACAAGTACATGTGGCCGTAGTGAGGACAGGCGGGACAGGCCTTCGGAGTGTGTACCCGTACTGCAGCATTGGGGCAAATTAACCTGCATTGGCTGAATCCTTCCAGCGTTGCGCCCTGAGGTTACGACGATTGCACCCATCCTGTACTGATCGCATTCGCTGGAGTTTAAGAGGCGCGGCGATGCTTGATTACACTATCACCTCCGCTTCCTCTTCCGCTTTCGCGAGTTGGATTGCAAACCCGGCGCTTATCTTCTCGATCTACTCGACGCCGATGTTGATTTTCAGTACCGGCGCCCGTTTTACCAGTTGGCCGGATGACACAAAACGCATTGTCGATCGGCTGTATTCGGTAGGCTCGTGAAAGCAAAGTATCCGCGGCAAAACGACGCTGCAGATGGGGATCTGGGAGTTGGCGCTGACTTACACAGACTTTCTCTCCTCCCAAAGAGTTATTTCATTCACACTAAATTGGAGAGTAGGTATCCACGACACATGAATAGGCGGTCTACTTGAACATCTTCGCAGGCCATAGCGCTATTCTAAGCACTTCTCGAGCGTTCATCCTTACTATGGGAGGGCTGCGTTGACATTGAAGCGCTCATGTCGCTTGACTACCATCTCACGGATATAGGTGAAACTTTGAAAGCCGTAAAAACCGTAAAAGGAAATGGCCGGCTCCGGGTTATGGTGAGATCCGGGTCCGCGGTGAAAGCCATTGTCAACCACACCAAATGTTAATATACATTGCACACTACGTAGGTGGTGTCTTGATGGCGCCAGCGCGCGGCAGAGCGGCGTCCTACGTCCTAGTTTCTCGACTACGTACGTAGTGCTCAAATCTGTTGAGCCCCTTTTGGTATTACCCGTGCGGTAGAATTGAACATGTTACAATGAAGGAGCTGCCTTTGCCCGCAATACGCAGCGGGTGGGGTTCGCCTGTGGGTGCCGTGAACCCCGAAATGTGTTTCTCTCTATCTCCGGTTCTCGTTGTCTCGGCCGGAAAACGGATTGCGAGTTAATTGTATCTTGGCTACTTGGTCACTTGGGCTGCCCGAAATGGACGAAAAGCCCAGAGAGTGGGTTCGATGGATATGACCGTCGTGCAGAGGCAAAGCAATCGCGAGGGCAATAACGCCGAGATAGCGTCCTTTGCGGGATGACAATCCTTTGCCAAGCCGGCATCGAATAGGAATGGAAGACTTGGAAGGA